AATCCTGAGGAGCAAGCGCTTTTTGATCAGTTCCAACAATTAGTCAAGGAGTTCCAGGATGTTATCCAGAATAACCCACAGCTTGTGTCCCTCGCCGGAAGTATCATGAATAAGGTAATAATGAGTAATGCTCGTATTATAATAGTATAAAGAGTATAAAGTTAGCATTTTATGCTTTTCATCTATTCTAATATACTCTGTAAACATTCTTTATCGCCTACTGATAGATTTTAAGCAATGTCAAAGTGAATGTCGAATCGTTCGCAGACTACTTGCAAGAGCAGGCCCAGACTGTTCAGGGTTCTGCCTCTCAGGCTGTCAATCAGGCGCAAGAGGCAGCTTCACGCGCTGCAGCCCAAGCCCAAGAAGCTGCTATTCAGGCTGCTGCTCAGGCTGCTGCTCAGGCTGCTGCTCAGGCTAAAGAGGCAACAGCCAAGGCTAATAATCAATATAAAATCCCTCGGTTCCATGAACTTCGTCAACACCATGCTAACCGCCCCAAGCATCCATTTGGCTATAACCATGGTTACCGACATAGTATGTTTGGATCCGCAATGCCAGGTATGCCACCTGCACGCCCTGTAGCTCCTATGCCTCCTATGCCTCCTATGCCTCCTATGCCTCCTATGCCTCCCATGCCTCATATGCCTCATATGCCTTATATGCCGCCAATGCCTTCTATGTCTACAGTCTTCCCGATCCCCCCTCTGACCCCGGTTCCACCGCCTGCAATGCCTTTGTTCCCTTCAGTTCCGTTTATGAACTCATCTACAGAGGCCAACTCTTCTTCTGGACTTGGACGGAGTAAAAGTATCCATACCTCCAAGCCTTCGCCATTTTCGAAGAATTTCCCATTCAGCAACGCATTGCCAAAGGCAGACAGATCATTCACCATCAAGACCCCTCGCTCTCCAGTGTCTAGCGACTCGGAGGCCAAAGAAGAGATTAACTCTGTCAAACTTGGAAAGACTAAGGCTGTGGATGCCGAAACTGACTCTAATGATGAAATATCGTCGTCTTCGAGTTCGTCCTCATCTTCGGCTTCGTCCTCGGCTGCATCGATGCCGGGCTCCTTCCCAAATAATCCACCAGAGATCCGTGTCAAGCCTAGATATGTCTGGGCGCCTCTCCCTGATCATGCCCAAACATCCGGTCAGCCCACCAAGTATGGTTGGGTGTGGAGCGATAAACCTCACGAGGATGATATTAAACCCTATGTACCAAAGGCACCGGAGCCCAATCCCAGGAAAACGTGGGTCTGGGGACGTATGCCTGATCATGACCGAAAACATCTTCCTCCTTTGGAACGTGCCAGATACGGCTGGGTGTGGGGCACTGAGGCCGAAGTGGCCGAGGCTGACGCCAAAGCTAATGAACGCGATGCTGCGGAACATGCTGAGATTAAGGCACGTGAAGCTGAGGCCGAAGCCAAGGTGCGTGAAGCTGAAGCGGAGGAGAAGGCACGCGAGGCTGAGGCTGAGATTAGGGCACGTGAAGCCGAGGTATCAGAACCTGCACCCTTGTACACCTCATCAAATGATGCAGGTTCAACACCTGGTTCGCTCCCGGGCAGACCATCCGACTTTGGTTCATTCCATAGACCTGGTACCAACTCAGGCTCTGGGTCCAGTAGTGGAGCTTCCACAGCCGATGCGGCTGAAAGACTCAGGCGCCGTCAGACAGTGCATGAATTCAGCCAGCAAGAAGATGAAGATGAAGAAGTCGAGAATGCGAATAGTTCTTTTTATAACAGTCAAGGGCTTCAGGACCAAATGAGAAGATTCCAGACTTTGAAAGCTCGTAGGGCCGGAAGGCAAAATTGCTTTGGTACCTTTATCGATGGAACTGCTGCCTCATCACGGCCTGTTGTAGGTGGCGGCAGTCTGGCTGATATTTGGCCAGGTCCAGCAGTATCTTCGGCAGAACCCTCTCGCTCTCAAGTCAACGTGCCGACAACCGTCCATTCATCCAATCCAAGGCAGACAACAGTCCCAAGAACCGAGCCTGTGCAAGATAGGACAGCCAGACCATTGAGCACAGCAACAGATGATATGAACCCGTTTGCGGATCCCAATGAATTTGAGCAAGAAATCCGGACGTTGATCGACATGGGTTTCCAGGACACGCCCGCATTCCGAACAGTTGTGCGTGATTTTGGAGGAGAGTTGGAGGCGATTATTGATTTTTTGATCAAACATTAGATCAGATCCGTTTTCTGATTTTTTTTTTTTATTTTGGAAAATGATTGCTGATTGCAATTGATTTGCAGCACTATTCGATCCTTCAATAGTTGTTTATTTCTTTAGTCTTGACAGAAATGATATGAAATAAAGAAAAAATGATTCGAATAAAATTGCTCCTTAAATTTTTTTTTTTCTCAAAAAGGGTCTTTGGAAATTTGGAGAGATAGGAGACCATCCTGGTTGCCAAGGGACTCTTTGCTTTGTTTGTTCCAACACGAACCAAGTGCAAATTGTGTTTTTTTTTTTTTGAATCCACCACTGTAGATATTTAACATCTCGCTATTAAAGAGAGAAGGAGAGGTTCATGTAGAATAGCAGTTCATCATGACAGGATCAAAGACTATTTGGTACAACAAGATCATGGCTGAGTCAAAGCTCAAGAATGATTTCTTAGGGAGTCTCCAAGCATGGTATCACGCCTTGTTTAAGAAAAGAACCCTGGATGGGCGATAAATCACGGGCAAGAATGGACCTAAATAAGCATAGCAGAAATAGAAGTATCGCTCCGTGACTCCGTGTTGGATGCCTTGAATACGAATGGCATTCGGTGTGAGAATGTTATGTCTGTTAAGAGTATTTTGTGGTAGCGACAATAAAACAGGTTCTTTCTACCCGAGTTTGTCATCACTTTCTCTTAATACTCTGATCTGACTGATCAGCAGTGATTCCCAAGGATTGGCCCTTTTTCTCTTTATATCCCTTGTTGTGCCTTTACGACCTTTTTTATCATTTTTATTTTTATTTTTTAATCTCCTTTACATTTCCATCGCCTTGTTGGCCTTTCACCATTTACAGCTTATTTGTATCGATTACTTGGGCCTGCTCTCCCCATTTTTGACTATTTACTTAATAACTATTCACTAATAACGACAGCAATCAATACCCTCCACAACAAACGCTCAGCATAAACAAAAGCCATGACGTCCCATCAATCCGGCTCAACTAGAGCCTATGACTTTGATTATCACAACAATAGTTATAGCCGTGAACAATCTCCTGTCGATCTACACCGCAATAGACACAAAGGCCCCAAAGCGCTAAAGCCATCACAGCTACAACATATAGACAGTGATCCAAATGTGAATACCCTCAGTAATTACAACCTCATCCAAAAGCCTGATAGGTTTCTCAAAGTAGAAGAAGAGCATGTCGGAGGTATGGATAGATCTTTATACAAGACGAATGCTACATCAAAGGATATCACAAACCTAGACATGGGTATAGCTGGATTTCACCGGGATAAGAACGATGATGGTCAAGGTAACCTTGTAGGAGCCATTAATATCGCTGAGCACTGTCGACGGAATACGGCTACACCACCCCCATTCCAACACCAACGAATCCAACATTCTCGCAGCCATTATGGATATGATCTCCTTCAAAAATTGAACCGACAAGAACAACAACAACAGGAAGCGCAATACAGCTCTACTCGGCAAGAGAGCACGGATTCCCAATCGACAGCTATGATGCATCACGATCGAGATAAGGAAACTTCAAGGTTTACACCCTCGCCCACGGCAACCTCGATGAAGTCACGGCCCAATGGCATGTCGTCGAGTGCAGAAGTAGCCAACACAACCAATAACTCTGTAGGATCAAAATTCCTAGAGCAAACAAACTTCACGCCATTTCAGTCGCAGACGCCTCCGCAGCAATTTCAGCATGATACAAGAAATCGATCAGGATCCGCTCCATCTAAAATTATTCAGCGGACATCTACTTTCCCAACCACATCTATGCCATCTATGCCTATATCTGTCTCTGTACTGCTTCCTCCATCACCTCGTGTTCAACAACAACAATTTCCATCTCCTGGTAGGAGCGTGATTTCGGACATTCAGTGTGATGTTTCTTTGCCTACAAAAACTAGGTGGGAATATGACGAGAGCATCAGTCCGATAGCCTCCACTCCTGACCAGGAACATTTCCACTATACCAACGAGACCAATAATAGCAATATCAGTCATGCTAGTAAACGAGAAGATAGTAGCGAAACCGGATCGCGCCCTCATACACCTCAACGATCATCCTCCATCTTTGACTTCTTACGGTTCCGTAAATTCTCTATTCCCAAGAGCAGTTCCCAACATCATCAGGCAGCCGCACAGGTCGCGTCTGTCGTCAATGCTACTTCGGCCGCAAGCACCTCAGGCAGTCCTGGAAGGAAGGCAAATTTTCCCCTCCTGGACGCTCCGCCTCCGATAGCTAAGAGTAGGATGAGTGGCCTGTCTTTTGGTTCTCTGATCCCACAACCAACTAGGAAACAATCTTTGGATGCTCAGGCCATGAACGTATGTCAGACTAGAGCCGCCCATACCAGCAGTAGCCAAGGGCTAATCACGCCAGGAGGGCCAATCTTATCCTCCGTATCTGCTCCTTCAATATCTGATTCAGGATGGTATTTGCCTCCAACACAAATACATTCCTTAGCAGACCATGCCCCTTCCTTTAATACAGGCGCCACTACCACTCCAGTATTAGCAATGACAGCATCGCCAACATCAACGCCAGTACCGACCCCTGTTGCTAAACCACAATCGACGTTATCTAAAGTCGCAGCAGCGGTTGCAAGTGTAACTGTTGGGAAGCGTCGACCGTCTGTGGTAAGTGGGATCGAGCCAGGAAAAGATTCATCTGTGCGGCATCAGTCCATAGCGGGATATAAGACTAGTGGATACGATTCTCATCGGTCTTCAGTGGGTTCTTCATGGCTCGGACACGGACATGGTCCAGGACTAGATCAGGAGCAGCTGAGCCATCATGTTATTTATATGAAATCCGAGGTAAAAAAAAAAAAAAAAAAAAAAAAAAAGGCAATACAAAACTCTTCAGGCTGATAAGTACTGACTGTAGGTTCTTTTTATTTTTTACTTATACTCACTCTACCGACATATTATGGATCATGGCTTGTGCGTCTGCTTTGTCACACAGAGGAGTTTACCAGAATTGCAGGGATATATTGAGACGCTGTACCACACAATTCTCAATAAGAATATGACCCTTGAGCATTCTAAAAAGCAAACCTCGGCCTTACAAAAAGAGCTGGGGCAGACATACTTGAAAGCGGATGAAGAAAGGCAAGCGCTGACAAAGGAACTTGACCAGACTAAGGAGAAGATTGCGACCATGGAAAGGAACTTTCTATTATGGAGATCTAAGGTCCATAGTGACCAGCAGGCTCAGCAAGAGGATTTTTTTCATGAGCGAATCGTTAAGCAAGATCGCGTATGTTGCTTTCTTAAGCGTCGTTATATTTTATTTTATATGTCCCCAAGTACTAAAGTTCCTCACTCCCTTTTTTTTTGTAGATTGAAAAATTGGAGGAAACATTGAGTAATTCACAAGAAGAGGCGATGAGGCTTCGAAATCGCTTACTCTCACTCGAATATGACAATAGTTATGTTGGCCTGACTGCTTTTTTACCCGGCAACTCTGACACGAACAATAATAGTAATGATAATAATAATAATAATAATAATAATAATAATAACAGTAATAGCATTAATAATAGCGAGGATAGTTTTTTCAGTGAGGATACGATTCAAGATAGTGGCAGCCCATCAGTGAATCCCTCGATCGGATATGGCCCAATAACTATAGCGGCCCACAAACGTCGCTCAGATGATTCCAGGATTATGGAGAGGAAATCTCAGGCATTGGAAAACCAGGTCCATGATCTGAAACGCTTATTAGAAACAGAAAAGCAGAACCGACAGCGCGATCTAATGGAGTTTCGTAGGAAGATGCATGAAAAATGCGCCAAGCTCGAACGAGAGCTCCAAGCTGCAAAGGTGAGCTTTTTTTTTTTTTTTTTTTTTTTTTGTAGACACTTTACATCAGTGTTGAATTTCTTAAAGCTTCAAAGACTGAATTGCTTTTATTTTATTTTATTTTTATTCTTATTTTTCTTCATTAATCCAGATGGAGTCACTTATGTATATGGAAATGATGCATGAGATCGTGACAGAAAATGACGACTTACGACAAAAAGTCAAGGAGGCAAAACGCAAGGTCCGTCGCCAAGGAAATAGGAACCAAAATAGCCAAAGTAATAGTGGTTGCGGTGGTAGTGATGCTTCACAATGCAACGAAAGTATCTCGGATAGCGGTAAGAGCAAATTCCGAAACGATAACTTTAGAAGCAATGTAAGCGAGGATGGAACGGGAGAGATTATTGTTTAGTTTAATAACTGTTACCAACATTTTTTTTTATTCCCAGGCTCATTGTGAACGCGTTTCTGACCAATCAAAATGTACTATTTCCATTCGCCCATTGTTGAACGTTGTGATCAGCACGCAAAATAAATCTCAAGATTTTTTTTTTTTTTTCCTCCCCTTCTCTGCATCCCTCTCCATTTCCCTGATACGATCTTCAAACAGAAATGCCGCAATTCGATTCTGTTCCACTTTCTTCGACAATCACTCAGGAAATTGACAGCAATAATGGCTATGAAGATGATGATGATAATGAAGATGATAGCTTGGAGGAACTGAACCAAACAAGTCCAAGTAATGCGAACAACCTGGAGGAACAACTGGAAGGCGGAGACAGGCATAAGGACCTATACCATATGAGTAGTAACAATGACGACCCTTACATTACAGTCGATAATGGCGTAGATAAAGACATAGACAGTGACGACTATCACAGTGTGAGATACAACTATGTCGGTGCTGATGATAATAATAATGACGATAGTATTGATAATAGCCATAATGGCGGCGATGAAGATGGTAGTGGTGATGGTGATACTGACTCTGGGAATACGTACGAAGGGCTCCAATCAGAAGACGAAAGGGACGAAAATTACAGTGCAGAGGATCCTATCTATGTGGCAGATATCTTGCGACAATGCAACATTGACTGGCTACAATATCCCGAGTATGCAAGTCATCGGTTGATCGTCGTAAAAGACATGCAAAGAGAGGATAACCATTCGGAGTTACAGCAGCATAGAATATCGACATTTCAGCAAGGCCAACGCCAAAGTGAAGGCGAATGCAATCACAATCATCAGCAACAACTCACAACAGAGCTTCAATCACAACTTCCACAACATCAATCCAACGACAGCGACGGTTTTTACTACTGTTATGTGATGGCTCAGTTCTTATCATCTGCCTCTGCAGTCTTTCGCGATTTTTTCCTTGTGCACAGAGAAGATAGTTCCAACAATGAAGAAATCAATCACAATCGTCTAAATTGTCTAAGATGGATCCCGGAATCAGAAGCTTGCCAGATCCCATTCCCATTAGAGCAATCGCCAGGCCTCAGTCGCGAACAATTGCGACAGCCACAGCCACCATCATCACCACTTGCGTCCAACGTCATGGGTTTACTAAATTCGAAAGCCTACAAGGGCCTGGATGGCCAACAAGGCGAGAGCAGAAACAGCAGCAACAGCAACAATAATGGCAATAATAATAGCAATAACAACGAAAGAGAGGAAGAAGGGGAGGAGGATGGTAACTACAGGAAGACCCCATTGTTGGAACTATGTCTTCCATACCCAAACCATTTCGAAGGTCTTCTGCGGGTCATGTATGATATGGATCTGGAACGATGGACCCAAGAGAATTTCTCCAGCGATACAATCGGAGAAGTCTTTGAAAATGTTTGTAGACTCGAGTGTTCAACTTATTTGACGCTGCACTGTCTCAAGTATTTTGGTGCTATTAAAACAATGATGAGCCGGGAACAATTGGCACGCTCGTCAATGAGGCAGCTGCAAGAAATATATAAGCGGGCTTTGGACTCTAATCTGTTGACATTGGACGAATGATGGCGACATTGAGACATTGACGAAATAACATACATAAAATCGACCACTCTTCCTTCCCTCCTTTCTATTCATTGTCATTATTATTACTTAACATTTTTCTTTTAAGCGAAATAAAGAAAAAAAGAAAATGCAGATGGATACGTTTTTTTTTTTTTTTTTTTTTTTTGTTTTTAGACCCATAATTTGATGGTCGAGTCCCAGGATGCTGTTGCAACCAGAGATGTCTCATGTGGGTGCCATGCGCAATCAATGACAACTTCGCTATGTGCCTTGAACTTCTTGTGGACTTTGCATGTCTTCCAATCCCAGACCCAAAGATTGCCCTCTGAGTCTCCAGAGGACAAATACCGGCCATCCGGCGAGAATGAGGGCTGACAGGCATATCCTGCTACTATATGTCCCGTGAACAGCTTTTTACGGTTTTGACGGAATCGGTCCTTGGCACCGTAGATGAAAATCTGATTGTCAAGAGATTGACAAGCTAACCATTTCTCTATATTTGTGGAAAGAAGTACAAATATAAACATTAAAATGATTAACATAGATACAGATAGGACGCTAGTATAGAGAAGGAAAAGAAAGAAAAGTACTTACGGTTCGGACTGAGAGCGACAGCGGGCATGGAATGCATGTCTGGTTCTGCAATATACTTGATCACGACTGGAATATCAAATTCCCAAGCCCTTAAAGATTTGTCATCTGAGGTGGTTACGAATCGACGGTTTTCATCCACAAATGTAATCGAGTTCACAGCTCCCAAATGTTGGTCATATTCCTGGATAATCTCTCCAGAATTGATATCAAATTGATATATCTTGTGATCAGAACATCCTGCCAAAAAAATATGCTGCTTGTCTCCATCTGGGTTGAACTTGACCACATATGGAATCTTTTTGGTTGAAAACGTAGAGATACATTTTCCAGTCTCTGTATCCCAAAGCTTCATGTTGCGATCATATGAAGCACTGATGAACCTGGTACCGTCATTATTGAATGTGACATCACGGACAGCCTTAGAATGCCCCAAATATGTACGAAGTACACGACGGTCATGGTATACATCCCAAATCTACATAGACATCCCCATCATGAAGGGTAAATGAAAAAAAAAAAAAAAAAAAAAAAAAAAAAAAAAAAAAAAAAAAAACAGCGTTATTACATTAATCTGACCATAAAAGAAAGAGGATTCATATTCTCACATTCACGGCAGTCATGCTCCTTACCTTGACTTTTGAGTCCATACTACTAGATAAAAGTAAATGTGCTGATTTAGGGAAGAACCGGATGGCAGAGACGCCCTTAGTGTGTCCGGTCCATGTATGTAGCAATTTTTTGGGCACAAAACACTCCTTTGACCCCGGTTCACCCAGGAGATTTACATCGAGGTCCAGAGGCACATGCATATATGTGCGTCCCATGTAATCGTGTTCTTCCTTGCCATGGAAGATGGTTTTTTCGGATCCTGTAGCAATGGGTTTGGCAGGCGTGGCTTTGCCTCGCTTTTGATTCTCTTCCTCAGCAGCCTGCACGTTCTTTTCATGCTTCTCACGTTCTTCCTCTGTTGGTCCGCTCATTTCACCAATGCGCTCTCCTTCATATGCTGCCCATGGTCCTCTATATGCATTCTCGCCTTCAAATTGAGATGGATCGCCACGGGTCTGGCGTTTCCGTTGGTTTTGGTTATTACGGAGATGTTTTGGTACTTTGTCCCATATTGTAGCGCCTTTATACATATATGCATATAAAAACAGAGAAAAATTAATCATGGTGAAACATGCCTAACAACATCATAGCGTAAATATGAGAAGATGTAACATAGTGTAACCAGTGAACATGAGCTCTGCCTTACCATCCATCTGCTGTGCTTTTTCAACATTGCCCACGTAGCCTGTTCCTTCTTTTCCAGATCCGCTCTGTCCATTAGCTGCGACGCTCAAAATACTAGGGTCTTTTGCAAATCCAAACGCGGCATATGACTGTTGTTGTGTCTTGAAGTCGATATCCGAGATCATGTTTTCTTCCACATGGCCTGTCCAAACATTCCTGCGGATTTGACTTGTATTAGATGCAAAGGGATTGGTCGGTCCTTGAATGGGCTGAACCATTGAATCATATGGTAGATTGACTGCAAGCGATGTGTCCGTTGGATTGATATAAATATGACGCGAGTAATTTGGGTCCTACGAATGCATGGTGATCCAATACACCCCACCAATATCAAGTAAAGAATTAGGAAAAAGTATTTGAGTATCAACTAATTTTCCATTCTTCAACTTTGCCTTTTTACCTCCAGACTGACATCGGGCGCGGCATTGGCAATTTTTGCAACCTTGTTAGGTTGCTTCAGTGACGAGTCTTCCTCATTGTCAGAAGAGCTGGAACCGTATCCATGTGTAATCAAGTCCATCCTGTTAGAATATAAATCTTAAAGTGAAATGGGTTTTGTAATTCGTAATGAGAATAAAAAGCTGCTCTAGACATGCAAACGAGCTTTGGGTCAGATCTTTTTTTGTGCATAGAGTGATAAGCCACTTTCCGGCACGTGTCATCATTATCCAAAAAGGCCCCAGTTTAAGTGAAGACCAGCTGGACAATAAACTATGAAACCGTGCTATAAGTATCTTTATTTTTTGTATCCAACTCTTCATCTCTCTTTGTCTTCTTTTTCCCCACTTCTCATTCAGACCTCTTCATTTACATTCCACTGGACCCTTTCTTAAGAACCCCCTAATAAAAAAAAAAGAATCATGGCCGTCCCAACTGGTCTCGATATGTTCGAAATTAAACTTCTGGAGCATGGGGTTGCTGTTATTGCATTCAACCGCCCCAAGAGATATAATGCTCTTAACCCTGTTGTCTATGACCAATGGGGCAAAGCTTTAGAGTGGACTCGTAAATCGGAGGATGTCCGTGCTGTTGTCCTGACTGGCAACGGCAAATATTATTCCTCGGGTCAAGAATTGGGTGTGCCTGATTCGGATGAAATGGAAGCTGCTGGAGACATGGAAGGGCTCATCAAAAAGAGATCTGTCTTTACTGAGTAAGTTGCCAAACTGGACTTATTTTTGGCTTTCACTTTAAATGAATAAAGACTAATTAAATTTATCATTTTCAAAAAAAAAAAAAAAAAAAAAAAAAAAAATAGAAAAGTTATTACTGAACTAATTCACTTCCCCAAGTTGATTGTTGCTGCCATCCAAGGTATGTAAAAAGCAGAAAGCGGCAAGTAAAAATGTAAACCGTGGGTTGTTCCTTAAATTTCTGATCAATTGGGCCGAAAATTTTCTGAGACAAAAGTTAAATGTTGTGTTCGGAAATGGTGGCCAGCCGAGTCAGAGGGTCAAGCTTGTGGCTCTTTTGGCTAGACTCTTTCAAATATAAATGGTTTACTTAACAAAATCCTTATAATTGAAAAAGGACTAAAAAAGAGCGACAAGCTTGACCCTCTGAGCCGAGTTAAAAACATGGGTTTTTGTTAAGCGGTTTTTTGTCAAACATGGGTTTTTGTTAAGCGGTTTTTTGTCAAACATGGGTTTTTGTTTAGCGGTTTTTTGTTAAACATGTAACATACACATGCAAACATATTAAGTGGCATATTCAGAACTCGACATTTAGCGTCATCATGACGCAGAGAGTATCCGTGAAAACCATACAGATATTGTAACAACAAACTCACAGATGCTTCTGTGCTAACTCTTATGATATATCATCAATTTGTACTAGGTCCCGCCATTGGATTTGCTGTGACATCCGCTGCCCTCTGCGATGTTGTCTATGCTGTACCGGAGGCTACTTTCAATACGCCTTTTATGCAATTTGGTAAGCAACTCGCTTTCAGCTTTTTCGAAGATAAATCAGAACAAGTAGAGCACATATTTGATGCAATTATCGACTTCTCATCCATTCATACAACTCTTTGTCTAATATCTACATTGGGGATTTAGGCTTCTGTGCTGAGGCTTGCTCATCTCTGATTCTCCCTAGGTAAGACGAATCACATGAGTCACATTAGACTCCAAAACCATGTTTAACTCATGAAGAAAGCTAAGACTTGCCATTTAACAATGTTCTTTAGGGTTATGGGATATTCTCGTGCCAATGAGATGCTTGTGAGTTTATTGTACCAAGGGATTGCCCAATATTAAGCAGTAATGTTGTGGAAGCTGAATAGGTTTCAGTATTTGGTCATCAGTATTTATACTCCTATTTATTTTTCGATATAATTAGCTCATGGGTCGCAAATTTACTGCAGAAGAGATGAAGGAAGCCGGCGTAGTCTCCAGGATCTTTCCTAAGGAGACTTTTATGGAGGAAGTACTCAAGCTTACTACCGCTGCTGCTAAGTTCCCACCACAGGCAATGAAGGATACTAAGGCTTTGATCCGCGACTGCGATTATAAGAGATTGGACGAACTTAGTGCCCGTGAGATGACTCTTCTTGGGGTCAGGATGTCATCTGAAGAATCTGCTCAGGCTATCATGGAGTTTATGAGTGAGTTGTTTTCATCTTTTAACCTTTATGAGTTATAGGATCAATGTACGGGCAACTAATGTCTTTTTTTTTTTTTTTTTTTTTTTTCTCTTCTGAACCCAATTGTTCTTAGTGGCCAAGCACCAACGCAAGCAGAGCAAGTTGTAGATGTCATCAATAAAGTGTATTGACTATTGATCTTTTTCTGTCATGAGATGTATCCAACCATGAACGCGTCACACGCGCTTTTCCAAAATGCAGTCCGAGATTGTTTTTCAAAATGCTTTGTGTTGATCTGCTGTTTTTCCTTTTTTTCTTTTTTCTTTTTTTTTTTTTTTTTTTTTTTTTTTTTTTAATCCTTCCCTAAGTAAGTATCCATACCTATTATCTTATATTAGTCTACCTGTCCATCCCTCCTTTCATCCATCCATCCATCCATTCATTATTATGGCTTGACAACTGCTTATTTATTATTAACCTCTCCACGCACACACACACACATACATGACCCTTCAGTCAAGTTGGCATGTAACCTGATTCTATCGTGACCGGATCTATTTTTTTTACGAACCTATCAATCTGTTCATATCCAAGAGTTAGTCCCAGAGGACTTTTGCAGTTTATGTTGTGATGATAACTTCATGCTATTAACCCAGCTCGTCTAAGGACAATAAATACTTTTGTTCCTCATGAGATCACTTTATGCTGACACATATCCTCAAACTGTCCTTTTCCTTCTTTGGAAATCGTGATGAGATTTCCACGTTTTTGTCGTATCATAACTAACCTGTCAAATCATTTTTGTGTTTTTGGTTGTTGGAAGAAGCTAGGCAAATAGGCTACAAAAGACGAACTAGTTCAACACGAAAGTCTTTTTTGGCAGTTGTGACAACTTTTAAGATAAACAAAGCAAACATAGCACCGCCTTTTTGTATTAAATGAAGAACGATTCTTTAACGACTTTACAAATCTTGGAAACTTTGGGTTGGACAGATCAATGTCTGCCGTTCATGTAGTAAATGTTTAAATGCTAAAAAAAAGATAAAATAGCGAACCTTTTGGTTGTTTTGCAATAGTATGAAGGATAAACAGTGTTGCAGAGTGTTGCACAGAGTATGTCAGCATGTGCCAATTGCTGTGCGTCTCACAGAGGGCAGTCTCGGTATGGATATCATTTATCAGCGGTAAAATGACGTGCAAAAAAAAAAAAAAAAAAAAAAAACAAACAACTCCCCCCACGGAAAACTTTTTCTTTTTTCCTTTCATTCTAACTCCAGTCTAGTCTAGTCCAGTCCAGTCCAGTCCAGTCCATTTTCTCCACTCACTCTCTTTCCATTCTTTCCACTCATTACTCTCCTCTTCATCCATCCTTTTTTTCACACTTCACATTCCACCCTTTTACCTGTCAACATCCGGATGCTTGGAAGAAATGCCACTCGTCCCCTTGGCATGGCCCCGCGCCTTGCTGCTCTCTACAACACTGCAGCATCTAACCGGATAGCCCATTGGATCTCAAAGCCGTTTACTATGGCTCATATGCAACGTTATCTTTCTGTTGCACCCCAACTTCTACTTACTCACCCTCAACAACCACAGCCTTTTTGTAATAATACTTCAATCATTAGCCCTACTGGATCACTTGAGGTTACTTCTGCAGTTTGTCAAGTACATACCTCCGCTACTTCATTACAACAACAACACCAACATCATCAACGACAACACCAATTCGATCCCTTATCGTCAGAAAAGACGCAGGCCTCATCCCCTTCTGCTTCTGATTCTGCTCCTGCTTCTGCTCCTGCTTCTGTTCCTGCTTCTGCTTTTGTTTCAACTTCTACCAGCACTACAGATCCCAGTGCTGCAACTACCAGTGGCCCTACTTCTGTGACTAGCAACGGTACCGCCGCCAACCCAGCTTCGTCCGTTCCAGCATCAGGAACTGCAGTAGCCTTCAATTATCTCTTGGCTGCATCTTGGCATCCTAAATCTCGCAACCTGAGACGGACATCCGCTTCATTATCTGCAGCGTCTTCTTCCACCTCTGGATCAGATGACGACGAAGATGAGAACAAAGTAAAGTGGTGGAAACAAAAACTGAGAGTTGGAAAAGTTGATGCAGGAGAGGATGCATTCTTCCATGTATCAACGCCGAGCAGAGTTGCACTAGGAGTCGCTGATGGTGTTGGAGGCTGGTCTGAGGTAAAGATTTTTTTCTAGAGATGAGATGATATCTTAATGGATCAAAGAAAGGGAGGACATGCATAATCAAAGTGGCGATTGGACAGCAGATGATCCCACGGCTACTTTTTTTTTTTTTTTTTTTTCCTCTTCTCTTTCTCCTTTTGTCTTGTGTTAATTACAACTTATTTATGCACACCATTTTTCTGAATAGGTTGGTGTTGACCCAGCCTTGTTCTCATGGGCTTTAATGGACAATGCAGAAACAATGGCTCGCCTGACAGATAACGATCATTCCGATTCTAAAGGAGGTAGTAACGGAAATAATGGTCAAAAGTCTAACAGAATTCCTCTGGATGCTCAATCGATCCTAGATGGGGCTTATAAAGAATTGGTCCAGAGCGGCAAAGTTCAAGCAGGTAACAGAGACAGTCTAGTCGAATTAAATGTGTTGGACAAAAATAACTTGGCTTTGTTTACAATTGCTTTTGTGCAAAACTGTGAGCAAATAGACCCAACAATGTGGAAGTTGAGCCTCAATTGAACTAAAAAAAAAAAAAAAAAAAAAAAAAAAAAAATCTCACATATTGTTGTTGGGTCTTTTTAAATACCTTCTTCAAATAATAGGATCAAGCACGGCGTGTATCCTCTCGTTGTGCAAGATGACAGGTACATTGCGCGCTTCCAACCTAGGTGACAGCGCCTACCTGTTGATTCGCGATAATAAATGTATTTATGAGTCTCCTTCGCAACAACATTTTTGGAATTGTCCCTATCAGCTCACTATTCTCCCGCCAGGATACCCTGGTGCTAATCATCATGTGATGGATACTCCAAAGGATGCAGCCCAGTCAACTCATCAATTGCAGGACGGAGACGTGATTGTGCTGGCCACGGATGGATTCTGGGATAATGTCTTTACGAAAGAGGCTATCGAGCTGGTCGAACGAGAGTTGGGCGATATCATTGAACAATCTAGACTTCGTCGTCTGGGTCAGACGATAACACCTTATCAAGGATCTGATAGTGATATTGTGGGCCGAGTGCGAGCACTCTCCCAGCGTCTGACTAACACTGCAAGGCGGTTCTCATTGGATCAAAAGAGGAGGACACCATTTAGCCAGAGTGCTCGCCATATCAGGACAGGAGGCAAAATAGACGATATCACTGTCATTGTAACTCTTGTAAGAGCACGCAGCAATCTTGAGAACGCCTAGTGTCTATAGCATCCTACATTCGAGGCCGCTTCACTTTTTTTTTTTTTTTTTTTTTTTTTTTTTTATTTGTTTGGCTTCCTTACTATTATGATAATTGTTATTATTGTTATTATTACTTTTTTTTTTTTTTTTTTTTTTTACAAAATTTGTAGCATTACTTTTTTTTTTCTTCCTCTGCTTTTAGACTATATGCCCATGTAAAATATAACGCTTCTATTTCATTTTAAACTCATGTACACAAACACCTGTTCCATATTAAACAAGACAATATTCATATCGATACTTTTATATGGAGAGCAAGAGAATCAATCTTGCTCAAATTTGTCTGGGGCGTCATTGGGATGGGATTCGATTTATTTTCGCTTTATATCATGGGTCTTGGTTTCACAACTCAAAGATCGAAATTTTCCCCGCACCTTGCAATATGGTTGCATCTTTGTCGGAAGGTCCAAAGATGCCAATCACCGTCTCGCTGTCACGCTCATTAATGGCAATTCGACAGGGTCCAGTCAAAAATGGATCATCTTCTTGTACGCATAATTCTGTTGGTTGATGACCATCCGATACCATTGTTGTTGCTGCCGTTAATGCTGTTGGCGCTACAATAGGTGCGTCGTCCTTTTCGCCTGTTGTGACTTTGTTAGCACCAGATTCTACGCGCGACATGATTGTTGGGTCAGTTGCTGGAGCGACAGCTCGTGACTTATTGATTGGGAGTGTGTACATGGTCAGTGACGATGAAGGATCTAATATAAGTGGAAGCACCTGATCGAGTAAGCAGGTGGAACCTAAATCGGATGAAATGAGATGCGATATTGACTGGAAAGGTCGCCCAGAACTTTGCAATGGTATAGAGACTAAAAACTGCTCGTGTAGTTGTTGCTGCTGCTGTATATTTGTAGCGAGCACAACAGTAGTTACTCTATGCACCGGAGGGTTGGATGAGTTGAGTAGTACACCGAGGGTGTTGTCATCAATGAAGCATATGTCTCGGACATCATACGTGGGCTTTCCCCCTCTATCCTCCTGCTTTCGTCCGGAGACAACCGAGATTTCCGACTCTGGCCTTTCTTCATTTGGCCACCCATGCTCCTGGAGGGAAAAAAAGGCGACCTCAATAGTTGGGACTACTTTGTTCCATTTAATACTAACTTCCTCCTCTTCATCTTCTGACCCCCCTTCAAAGGCAGACACTGGTGTGCTGTTCCCAGTACGGCTAGTGAGATCTGGAGTAGGTGAATGCATAGCAAGTGCGTCAAATGTCGAAGATGTCGTTGGCAATGGCGATCCAGGCGTTGCAGATCGTGAAGAGGATTTCGTCCGCGCTCTAGAGGACGCTGATGCAATAATGCTTTCGCCTGTTAAAGAAGCTTTCCGTTTTTGACCGGATCGTGTCATGACCCCTGATGAAAAAGGTTGTAAAAAGAGTAATTGATGCTGATGCGTGGAAGATTGAGGTCTGTTATCTGAGAGAGGAAGGCATATGGCACTGCTTTGTTGCGTGTCTTCACGGTGTTGTTTATTCTTATCCTTATTAAACCCTTTGTCGAGGCTGTCGTAAGATGGCCGACTTTTAGATTTTTTCCGTGTGCGGAGGATGCATACTAATTAACAAATGTTTTTAAGCCAGTTACTTAAAAAAGGACTTCATGGTTTAAGAGTATATCGAAGCTTAAGCTTAGGCTTACGAGAGGGCTCAGGGAACAAGGTCGACGGCGCAAGATAAAGAGCCAAGGTATACCAAGGGTCTGGTTCCTGTTGGTAGAGACCGTGTGCGAAAGATTTGAAAAATAATTTTAACATTCAGCTAAGAAAATAGTGATAATTAATAAAGGTAATCACATGAGGGTGTTCCTTACATAGTAGCAATAACGTGTGGCCAGACGCAAGCGCCTACAGCTTTGCTTTGCAGGGGCAAGCAGCTCCAGTGTATGTGCAACTTTCATGCTTTTAGAAATAGCTTCTGCAGGGCCCTCAAATATCACGAGGCAGCAACGCGTCATCAAACTGAGGTGCCTATCCAATGGTAATGACAGTGACGACTTTTTCTTGGCTGTCGAGCCTGACGATTGCGGTAGTTTGGAGTGCATGTTTTCGATAACATGGTTAGTAGGTAATGATGCTGCTTCTTTAGAACTACCCTCATTTCCATCTCGGAAAAAGGCATTGAGACCAACATTTGAAAGGCTCGATTGGAGATATTCTGATACAGCCTGGTAGTCGACCGGTGGAAATACCCTTGGCCCATCATCTATATGATCGCCAGTCCGTACGGTCGGCTCTATAGCTTCTAGTACTGATTAAGTCGACATAAGATATACATTTCAAAGGTTAAATATATTACACGTCCTTTTTATATTGTACTTTCTGATCTTTGCCCTCGTTCAATAAATGAATGCGTGACAAATCCTTACCTCGTTCAAGCCAGTTTTCGAATTCAGAAAAGCGTTTAATCTCAACCTTCAATACCAGGAAAAGATGTTCGATCAAGCCTACGAAATCACCAACAGCCTTGATGCTGTCGCGAACCGCTGCTTCTTCCAAACGTAATGGCCTATAGCGCTCGCCCCTAGACGACAGGTTATATGAGAGCCAAAAACAATGGCTAGAATCAGCTGATAGCCCGAGATTTTAACCAATAAAGAGCTGTCACACATCACAGGACCTTACCATCGACTGCAACCAAGAATATCGGAGAGATGGATAAGTAGCCGTTCACAGGCAGGAATCATACATTCAAAGGCCACTCGATGAATATTTGTGTGTGCCGCCCTCACTGATTCGTTCCATCGCTTGAGGCCATCACGTCGAAGTTCTTGCTGTAAATAATAATCCATGCTTGGGCTAGGAAGCCCTGTCACAAGCAGTTGAAGAAACTCGTATGTTGGAGTTGTCGCCTCTATAGCATTACATTTCAAGTTAATACTGATAGACCTAGAATTTATATTTCGTATCTACTAAGGCCTATAGGACCTACCTCCATTGTTCGTCAAAGCCCGTTGTAGGCTGTCGGTACAATCCTCGTTTAACTGACTAATCCTTTTAAACTCGGCTTCCAGGACGCGGAGACTGTCTGAAATATATTTTAGAAGATTAATGATGGGTCGTCTCTTGAGCCCCAAAACTCGGATCTCTCGCGATTGTCTGTGAAGTAGGTCTGAAGTAACAGTAATTTGAACGAGGCGTTTGCCTCCAACCTCGTCACTCTCTGTGGACAAGTGCTGATACGACACCAGTGCATCAAATGTGAGCTCTGAAAGATCGAGCGAAATATCCATTTGCAGTATATCGACTGCCTAATCATGTATCGTGTATTGCTTTGCATTTTAGCTGCGTGACATAGGCGCATATGAACATAAAATAAAATATTAGAGAATCGTTGAGACGAGCTCTTACTGCGATATATCCGAGTCCATATGCCTTGAGCAATGCTGTCAAAGAGACGGGATATGTCTCGAACCCTGCGAAGAGTCTCAGCTTAAAGCACCCATGACTGTCTCCTGCAATAAGTACATTCATAACATCGCCACTCTCTTCATCCGGTTCGTCGGTGGCTCCCGCTAATGCTAAAATATCTTTCTTGGCATCCCCTGGGAGCCCTGTTGTATTGCTCCCTCCAATAATGGAAGGCCTGAGCAACATCCTTGCAGCCATTTTCTGCTGTACACTTGACTGTGGAACTGGTGAAAGGAATGGCATGGATTCCAAAATTGACATCGGATATTGCTACACGGAATGGGTGTCAATGCAGATAAAACAGTATGTCAAAGAAAGGATACAAATGGCAAATCCCATGTAAAGTATGCATGCGTGGACATAAAGTAAAAGACTCTTGAAATCATGAACATTTACATGCGCATTAAAGATCGAAGGCTGTGTGTAGTCTTCGATATGGATGTCGGTCCATTTGAGGTATTGTATGCTATCCATAGCTATAAGCGAGATCCCAGGCAGCACTGTTTGAGTGTTGTAAGAAGGCTCCATTTTGTACGCCAACGACCCATCTCGATAATCATAGACATTAATTTGTCCGTTGCTCAAGCCCACTGCAATCATTTGACCTAAAAAATATGGTTGACGGAGCTTAATACCCTTGATCCTTGTCTACCTTTCTTTTCTAAAGTTATTGAACAGAATTGACATGAAAGTTACCATCTGGTTGCCATGCCAGAGATACAGCATTTACATTCGAAGGCTCCTTGGCCTGATTAACATCATTATCTATCGCTGCTGTCCCGAAGCGCAATGAATGTAGATAAGGATTTCTCGTAGCATATCCTATACCACTATTTTGACTGAGGCTTTGGTAACCATTAAATCCAGAGATAGCATCTGTTCGGACCCGAACAGTCCAATGTCTTTCCCATGATAATCTGTAGAGGTCAAGATTATTTTGGTGATCAACCAGAGCAAGCAGATCTGCTGTTGGACAAAACGCTTCCAATCGGTGACCTGCCGGGAATTGCTTTTCTGAATTGAATTGGAATGTAGAGGGGTTTAATGAGACTGAAGACATGGTTTTGAGATCTCTAATGGTAGCTTTAGTTAGTCTAACCAACAAAGGTCCTTGAGTTGAGTCATTCATGAATGTACATCCGCATGTGCTGGTATTGCCCTGAAAGATCCTCTAAAAAGACTATTACATGCCATTTTTGGTGGCGGTTGCAGGCAAACTCATTATTACGCGCGCTTTTATTTTTTGCCACGCGGTTCTTTTTTTCCCTCTCCCGCCCCCATACAGCTCAGCAGCATTTATTTTTATGAAATACGGAAGCTCATTGTCAACACTTCACTGACGTACCACTGTAAATATTTCTGTCTCGAGTCAATTGAGCTCTTAGGCCTCATTACTTCATTCACTTTGACATTTCAAGTTCTCTCCTTCTCTTCTTTCCGTAACTTGGCTTCTTGCTTTGCTGATACGTTCCAAGAACGCTTGGTCATCCAGACTCTTGCTCGGACGCATCTCTCGCATCATGAACACAGAGGGGGACCTCACTAACCTTATCAGCACCGCACAGCAGCCTCAACCACAACAACCACCACAACAACCACAGCAACGACAGCAACAGCAATCCGTGCAGCAAGACGAAACTACTGATTCTACTTCAACTGGTTTGCCACCAGAACATATTTCTTCTACGACTGCCCCTCCATCATCGCCCCCCAAGGATGTTACTGCTGTCAGTGCTTCTTGTACTCGACAATATGCCATGCTTCGCGCTTCCAAGAAATTTCGTCCTCCTATCTCTATCTTCGACTTGCCATGTCAACCGGCTTCGGCCCCTCCACAAGATACTGAAAGTTTCTTTGCACATCTTGACACGGTTGAAAAGACATTAGAGGAAGAAGACGCTGGCCAAATCCCTAAAGCACTCGAGACAGGGCCGCAGATTGTGGTCGAGTCACTCAACAAGAAGCGCAGGCGTGTTCCAACTACATCAGAGCAACCTTTAGAAATATCTACAGAAATCATACCAGAGCCACCGCCTGCAGAAGCATTAGATGATAAACTGACTCCACAGGGCTTTCTATCAAATCCTTTGCCGTTTTCGCAATCATCCTCCTCATCAGCATCGATGGGCATTACATCTGAATCGCCTTCTATTTCATCCAGTTCGTCTGGTTCTCTATCTTTCACCGGCGACACAGCAGCCACGACCACTACAGATGATATGAATGACTCTATGCCAAAGGATAAAAAGGTTCGATTTTCTCAGGACCCAGCAGAAATCCACCTGATAAAAAACTGGAGGAGACGGGCCAGCAAGCGAAAAGAACGACACTTTATTCGCCATTCAGCCATCGTAAAGCACCCTAATGCTTTGCAGGGCATCAGTACCACAGACACATCGGATACAAACACTATGCCACCAAGAGGCAGAATTCTCTCGGCAGACTTGCCAAGCTATGAGGACCAGCAATTTCATGAATGGCTAGCAGGGACCTCACCACCACCGCCAATGCCGGAGCCTGTGACACAACAAATGTCGGGAATCGTAGCTGAGAATTCACAAAAGCCATCAACAAAGAAGAAACGATTTAGTGAAAGGCTTCGGGGACCTTTAAAAACACAACAGGAAGAACCTTTGCCTGTGGAAGCCAAGGGGTCATCATCAATGATTGACGGCCATGAATCAGAACAAATCAGCATGTCAAAGCAGCTTGCTTCTGATCAGGATCAGAGTCAGGACCCCAATGAAGATACTGTGGAACTAGAGTTTGTTCCTGAGACACAGGAGGAGGCTTCAATGGATCCCGAGGGAACCAGTAAGGAGATTGCTTCAGAAAAGAATACAAGTACTAGCATCCCTCAAACAAATACTATCATAACTCGTATCCCAGGTCCATCCATGCCAACCATCTTCAACACAAAGAAACATAACGATATACTAGACAAGGGCGATGAAAGCGCATCAGCAACTACACTAAAGCCCAACAATATGACAGTCGATGCTATAGGAGAGCTCATACAGGTCGACTCTGATCTCGAAGAAAAATCGGTCAATCTGGACGGTATTATTGAAAATACATCGTCTAGTACGAATACTGCGCTTGATTTGCAAGCAATTACAGCGTCTTCTAAGGGGAAGGCTAAGAAGGATAAGGAGCCAGTGAAAACAGTTGCAGCAATGATTAGACCAAGACGGAAGCTTGTGGCTCCTTCAAAGTCTTCACATATAGTTGAACCACAATCGGAGAAACCTAGTAGCAATATGAGTTCTGATGTTGCGGCAGGAAAAAAACATGCACCTTTAGCCCGTACTATCTCATTGATAAGTATAGAGGATGATGACGACGATACTAAGGTCGCAGATATTGATAAAGCGCCAACACCACCAATGCCACAGACGAATATGGCATCTAAACCTGGCAGCACTGCAAGGCAGACACAGGCTTCTGTTAAAAAAGGCAAAAAACCTGCTACCACCGAGTCGCCAGCGTTGCCATCATCGTCCAAAGCGAAAACCATTGCACTCTCCGAGTTAAGCCTCTATGTCATTCCAAATAACATGGATACTGCTATATTCAATATTACCCGAAAGCGCGTGATAGAGTTGCATGGGAAATGGCTTGGCCCCGCGTTTAAGGTACTCTCTACAGACCCTCGCGCCAAAGCTGAAATCCCACCGTTAGATCAGGAGAATACTACCCACATTGTCACAGCCTTTACGAGTGTTGAAGAAGTGAAACGTTTTTTCAATGTAACTACAATCAATGTAAGTACGTAAACAGGGTCAAAAATGTTAGGCAAAAAAGAGAGTATACTAGCGCCTAGATGATGTTCTAAAATTGGTCCTTGCTCATCCTATGGTAGCCTAAAATCGCGATTGTAAACAGAGATTGGTTATCGGATTCAATTATGTTTAAACGGCCGATGGAGGCACAGGGTTATGCCCTTCGGAAAACATACGCGCTGCCCTCAGGCTCAAAAATACCTTCACAAGACGAAACTCCACCACATACACAGCACTGGGAGGAGAGAATTGAGGGCTCATCAACCAAAAATGATAATAAGCGGCTCGGCGAATTTGAAAGCACAGAGAATAGTCACGACAATGTCTTTAAGGAGATCATGCAAGGGATTCAAGAAGGATCTTTAGATGTAAGTTACTGCTCCTACCTTCAGATTGTAAGGTTTTTATGATGTGTTTGTTGATAAGTATCAATCTGTATCTTTTAGGATGCTGAGCTTTCTGATGGTCAAGATAATAACGGGGATGCCACAGAAAGAAATGATGTAGCGCAAGAGGCAATTCCAGAGTTAACAAAACCCAAAAGCAAAGTATCCGAAGAGAAGCTTCCGTATGGGCTTACTCCAGAAGTGACCCAGCAACTGACAAAAGAGAACAGATGTTTCAATTGTAAGGAAGTTGGACATAGTGTGGATCGCTGTCCTCATCGTAACCCAGGCACAACCAAAGATGATGTCTTGCTACAAATAATCAGCTCTGGAAAATCCGAGGTAGCGTCCAATTTGGCTTATTCGTCTAGCACCGATGTGTTATTAGACACCCAACAATACAAAAACATAAAATACACATTCAAGCTGAAATTTTCTCTGATATTTGATATCTGATATAGGGCAAGAAACGTAAAGCCATGTACCAGTGTCAATCACCTCATGTCGCCGGAAAGAAAGATGAACCGAGATATAACAAAGCAATTTTAGAGCAGGTAAGAAGATGTCATTTTTTTGAGCTTTTGTGGGATCCTGTGCACTCTGTCGGGTCGACTAAAGTCATTTATTTCCATCTAATACAGCTCAAGATTCTTATGGGCTATTATGAAGATAATCAGACAAAGGATAACAAATATCACTTCAAGGTCATCAACTACCGCAAAGCCATCACAGCAATCCGTGCACTCGATTATGAGATCACATCAGAAGAGATGGCTCGCAAAATACCACGTGTTGGCAAGAAGATTGCACAAAAGATTGGGGAGTGTGTTTCGTTGGGTCGAATCAAGAAACTAGACCATCTGGATTGGGATCAGGAGCGTTTAAAGGTGGAAACTCTCTTCAGGAGTGTGTATGGTGTGGGGGCCGAGAAGGCTTTGGAGTGGTATAACAAAGGCTTGCGTACGCTCGATGACCTCCGCAAACTGCCAGATTTAACCAAAAACCAAATATCTGGACTTCATTACTACGACGTAAGTAGAAAACTCGGATACTCTAAACTGGCCTTACTTTTTTTCTTTGAAAACTTCACTCTTTTAGGCTAACAGTTGTACCTGTTCGTTTGAAAATGGATCTCTTAGGATTTGCAAAAGAGAATCCCGCGAGCAGAGGTTGAAGAAATAGGCAAAGTAGTCGAATCAGCTGCCAAGAAGCTCCATCCAGACATCCAATCCCAAGTCACCGGATCCTATCGCCGTGGCAAACCCGACTGTGGTGACATCGATATTGTTGTTGCTCGTCCAGATATTGATACGGGTGAAGAACTCTTCCTGATTATGGAGCACATCTTAAATGAACTTATCATTCAAGGATTTCTGGTTGATCATCTCTCCCTACCGACGTGGTCAGACGATATGGCCAATGCTCCTAAGCACTTCAAGTACATGGGCATTTGCAAGCTGCCTGGGAAAGGATCTGTTCATCGCCATATTGATATCCTTGTAGTGCCTTGGATACACTTGGGTGCAGCCCTGCTTTATTTCACCGGGAACGACATCTGCAACAGAAGCATGCGGTTGTTGGCAGCGAACCGTGGTATGCGACTCAGCGATAAGGGACTATTTACTGGTGTCATGAGAGGTCCAAAACGCAAGAGGTTGAATGAGGGGACGTGGGTGGCAGGACGTACTGAAAGAGAGATCTTTGACTATCTTGGAATCAATTATCTGGAGCCATTTGAACGAGAGTGTTAGCTCTTTTTTTTTTTTTTTTTTTTTTCTTTCTTTCTTTTTCTTTTTTTATATTTGTCGTTTCCAGCGCTTGTTTTTCGTTTTCTAGCATCCAACTGTACCACTGTATCATTTTATAACTTCTTTATATTCGCTGTGCCATAATTGGTTCTCTGTACACTGTAATAAAGTTCGCGAAGGAACATTACTTCCTCTCGCTCTCTTGTTCTCCTCATTCTTTTCAGCTCTTACTGCCTGTTGTTGCCGTAGCAAACATGGTGAGGAGCGCCTATCCAAAAGCGATATTGATCATGCGTTGGGCTTTCTCGGGCTAGATGCGCGTAAGCAGCATTGGATTTGACGTCGACTTCATTATGGATCCCCACTGCCAGATATATGTATTTGCAGGGAATTCTATGTCTATGATGGCTGAGGCATGGATATGGCAGGAGAGCACTGTTGCCAGTGCCCCAGTAATAGAGGCTTCTCTCAGCATTGGAAATGATTTGATCATCGATTGAAGGGGTAGCAAGGGTTAGAATACCATGTACTTTACCTGGTAAATATCTAGGCCCAAGGAGAGCTTCCTAAAGAAACTGGCATCTGCCGGGTTTACTGCTAAAGCTTCATACACGGAAGTATAAGCTGGCCACAATGTAACTTATTCCTGGGATGATAGACAGTCACATCGACAACGTGTTTTGAGAGGAATATGTGCTATTTGTATATTGTTATTTAAACACAAACAAACGCCCCCCTAGAGGCGCACCTTTTCACCACAGAACCTGTGCCATGTTTAACATTCCTGGATTCAACGTCGGCAATCTAGTTGTCGAAGCTCCAAATGAACAGCTAAGGAAGCGCAAGCATGGGGCTATCGCCACAATAGCTACCACAACAACCACTACCACTAGCACTGTCGCTACACCCACTACGACCAGCGCTAGCACCTCCAATCCAGCTTCAGCAACTAGATCGACCACATATGCAGGATCTGCCATGAAGAGTGCGCCGTCGACGTCCAATACCCCACCTGGCAATAAAAGATTCAAGAAGGATAACAATAAAAAGATGCGATCATCTACCTTCGATTCTTTCAAGTCAAGCATTGCCCCAGATCAAGGACAAGAACAGGTACAAGCATCAGAGCCAGTACTATTAAAGGATCGTGCGTCGTGGAACCGGTCCACGAAGGCCTTGCGCAAGGCGAAAGTAGAGGAAGAAAATGCAAAGAGAAAGGAAGCAATAGCTGACAAAAAGAAAATTATCCATTCGATCTCGGGACGTCCTGCAGTAGCGGTTGAATTGCTTTTACAAGGAGAGGTAGATTTGGGGGATATTACTGGTACATCAGGAAACACTCATAGTGATAAAGTTAGCCGCAGTGGTAATACGAAAGATATAGAAATGACAGATATCGCAACAACACCAGATATGAAGAGTGATCAGGTCAAGAAACGCAATAAGCGATTGGAACGAAAAATTAAGAAAGCAGCATACATCGCGGCAATTGAATCTATGAAGGAGCAAAAGAGCGGAGACCTAGCCATGAAGAAAGAACCATCAGAAAGTTCAAAGACTAAGGGTCAAAGTGAGGGTGGTGATGGTGATGATAGGAAAAAGAAACAGGAACAAGAAAAGGCTGGTCCACTTCATCCTGAACTGGTCAAGCTCTCGCAAAAGGAAAAGAGACTGCTGAAGGAGTTCCAGGAGAAACAACGAGAGCAGGGCATTGATCTTGTTGCTGTGGCTTCTGATAAACTTTTGAAAGCCAAAAACAAGGCGGCAACAGCAGCCGCTGCTATAGCCACGAACGTAAAGGCGATGAAACAAAATAATAATGTCGGCGCTATCAAGGGCAAACAGGATAAGAGAGAGGCCAAGATAGCAAGTAACAAGGGAAATGATGAAAAACAGAACACAAAGAAGGTTGCTAGAGCAGCAATCACTAAAGAGACAAAAGTGAACCAAAAGAGTGATAGTGAGATTTCAAAAAAGCAGCAGCAACTTGCCAAAGAAAGAGAGAAACTCCTCGAGGTAAGACCCGGTTGATATTACTGTATAGACTTCCATCATCCGTTCAGTATATATTGTTTTCTTTAGTCTGCCTTACCTAACTTACAATTATACATACACTTTTCTTTTTTTCTTTTTTTTTTTTTTTTTTTCGCTCCACTTTATACTGCTCAGGCTCTCAACCGTACAAACAATGCCTTGGCTGAATTGCAGGACTCCCTTGGCGATGGTGAGGATGAGACACCCATGAAAAAAAAGGATGTCAAACTTGCAGTTCTGGGAAATAAGGGTGAGAAAAAAGATAAAGCAACAGTTGTAACAAAAGCGATATCAAATCCTCAAGTATCAGCAACATCATCAGCGTCTGCAAAGCAGCCAAAGTTGACAAAGCTTCAAGAACAGATGAAGAAGACGCTAGCAGGAGGAAAATTCCGTTTCTTGAACGAACAACTTTACACGACAACAGGAGAAGAAGCTTTTACGTTATTCCAATCAAAGCCCGAGCTGTTTGACGAATACCATGAAGGGTTCAGAGCTCAAGTCGAGTCCTGGCCTCAAAATCCAGTCGATATTTTTATTGCAGATTTGCAAAAAATGCCCAAGGATACAGTCATTGCTGATCTAGGCTGCGGTGATGCACAAATCTCGAAAGAATTAGAACGAACCAAGCATAAGAATGTGCTCTCGTTTGATTTGGTAGCCAAGAATGATCATGTCACTGCCTGTGATATTGCTCATTTGCCATTAGAGGATACGACTGTGGATGTGGCGATCTTTTGTTTGAGTTTGATGGGTACTGATTTCTTGAAGTTCTTGAAGGAGGCCTACAGAGTACTGAAACCCAAGTAAGGTTCATTCTCCTCTTTTTCTTCTTTCCTTATCACTGCTTTCTTTTGTTGTTATTGAAAATCCCCTAACGTCAAACAAACAAACAAAAACTTATATAGTGGTCAACTCAGGATTGCAGAGGTCATTAGCCGGTTTACAGATGTAGATGCATTTGTGGCAGCGCTTAAAGCCCTGGGATTTGAGCTCAAGCATTTAGATTCATCCAACAAGATGTTTATCATGCTTGATTTTATCAAACCTGGTCCGGAAAGTGCTGGTAATGGCGCTAAGAAGGGCAAGAAAGGGAATAAGAAACAGAACAAGCGTGAAGAGCTATCTGAGGTGGGTTTAGAGGTCCTTGATGGGCCATCGTTGTTGAAACCATGCATTTACAAGAAGAGGTAAAGATTCCATGGAGCCAGCAGGCATTATAAATGATATTTCTGAGAATCGACTAAAGCCTTTATCGCATGATCAGGATATTCCCTCAGTAATAAGTTTTGACAGACAGCTTCTAGATAGATCTAATTTTTGTTATTATTATTACTGCCATTATTTCCTTTACATCTTTTATTTTATCACTTTTATCATTTGCATCTCCATTACATTGTTTACACCTTTGTCGTCATTCAAGTATTAAAGTATTAAAAGCAATAGATTTTCCACAGATTCACTTTATTGGTTTATCTGTAAAATGCAGTGTTGAATCTGATGAAATGCTTTTCTCTTTACCAAAGAGTGTAACACCCGCCTTTACTATATGATAATGGTGTGGTAGACGAATCAGCTCTTCCTGCCCTTGCTTCTCGTGGCGGGCTGCTGAGATGAAAAACATGCGAAAGGAACGCGTTCACCATTGTCAGCTCTGCAAGCCGCACTTCTTGCTCTGCATGCTCGAGCTTTCGTCGCATATCACTCAATTTTTTTGTGACTTCTGTCAAAGGAGCGACCATCATTGCGGCAGCAGCATCATAGATGCTGTCCTTCCTAAGATCCACGCCATCTTCTTGTTCACAGCCTTTTACGCACTTTGTAGGGTTGCTTGATTGAGCCCATTCCACACGACCATGTAGTTTTGAGTCTCCCATGAAAGAAATCTGAGCAGACCGCTTAGTCGTGGTACAACGATTGATAGAAGTAGCAATAATAGCGGTAGATGTAGTAGACGTATTTATATGGCCATTAAGACTGTCTGAAGCGATACCCATTTGATCAACCGTATTGACATGATCATCAATTCTGTCAACAGAAATGATATGTTGAGAATATTGTCCAACCGGATCCAATCCTGCATCAGGAGCTTGCTTAGAGGCTTCATAGTTAATGGACGAAGAAGGCCATAATAACAATACAGTAAATAACGAGGATTCCATTGTTGGGATGCACGCCGGCGGTGGAGGGGTGGGTAGCGGCAGAGAGTGAGAATGAAGATTAGGATGAGGATGTTGCTTTCTTGGCAACGGACTGGATGGCCTTAGTGATTCTATGGCCTTGTATGGATTGATGCAATGGACCGATGATATCGCTGAATATTGTGTTTGTCTTGACTGAGCAAGGTTTTTCAAAAAACGAAATTTCCAGCCAGGTGAATCATCTTTGATAGGTTGGATCCTTTTGTTCTTGGTCTCCAATTCGGTACTCATAGTATTCATTCTTCTTAAATCCCAAGTTCTGTGACAGGAGTCCCGATCTGACAGATAGTGTGTATCCATTCGACTCTTGGATGGGAGACGACATTCTTCAAAGGATGGATTGCGGTCAGGATCATGATAGCGAACTGGTTGCTGTCGAACGTGGATAACATCGTGATGCTCTTTGGAGATATCGGACAATACGGGCGTAGCGAGTGTTCTCTCTAATAGCTCTTTTGAAAATTGTGGGAGGGACTGAGGGTGTTGCTGTTGGTGATATTGTGGTGGTGACGGTCTAGTCAGAGAGTTAGGATTGAAGATCGCTTCATAATACTGTTGACGAGAGATGGCATCGCATTGAATAGCGTGGTTCAAGATGAGCTTGGATGTTTGTAATGCAAGTGCTGAATAATACATAGTGTGTGCAGTATTACTGATGAAGTAATCCATCGCGTCAAAACTACGCTGAAACGATTGATTGGAGAGGAGGATGTTGAATAGTATAGTTGAATGCCACAAGGTGTTTTGATACCATTCAAGTGGTTTCCTTTTTATACGAGTGTGGCGATATCTAACCGATATTGAAAATTGTGGGCCGTCAAGTCTTACCTCTCCCGTTGAAAAGAAAGAAAGAGTGAAGAAAAGCCTTATGGTGTAAAATCCTCAGAGGAGGAATGGAAAGGATTGCTTCTCATTGATTTAGGACACAGCACGCTTTGTTTTGTTCAGTCTTTTCCACTGATCACCGAAACGGTCGATTGTGCGAAAATGTCCACAGAACATCTATGCTTTGGCTGTATCGGAATTGAGGGATGATAATACAGTTGGCATGCAAGCCTGTGTTTGTCCCACATGCTGCGCTGTATCGCTGTATCAATGGACCTTTTATTTCCTTTCTTGCTGAATGAACACATGCATGTGTATGTAATGTCTAGACTGATGGGTCCAAGTTCTGTATGAAGTAATCAGGCTATAAAAATAAATGAAAAGTTGTCTCTTATGATATATCTTTTGGTACATCGTCATTTGTCCTTTCTTTGCAAAAAGCATTATTCCGGAAAAGGGGATGGAACATGGGCAAGAAGGGGTCAAAACGCGCTTGTCTCTCTTACTTGGCGAGATGACAACACAACAAGAAGAGCACTGTTGGGTTGATGAATAAAGAATAAAGTGTTATTGGTGAGAAACATTGAGCAGGAAAGCCAATCAGATTTCTCATCCTGGTCAATGATATATTAAAATAAAAGATAAAATAAGATGAGACAATTGGAGCCATGGCTGGGAATAGTTAAAGTTTCCAGCAGTGTGTTTGTGTTTGAAAAATGAGACGATTAAGCATCCCCCCATCCAGACCAGGAATTTTTTTTTTTTTCTTTGTCCTTGATTGATTGAATCCCTCATCATTCATCCTCCATTCCCCATTGCCTCCCTCATCTTTTCTTCTTCAGTATTCTCTCTATGAATCCCGATAGGGACGAGGTATTATTATAAAAATGAAAAAAAGAAAAGAAAATAAACGAAATATTAACACCACCCAACAACCTTTGTTCTTCTCTTTTTTTCCCTCTACACCCTTTTACACAAACCTTTCATTAACCCCTTTCACTAACTGACTCCACTTTTCTCTCTCTCTCTTCTTCTTTCGCCATGCCTATGTCCGTCTTCCATTTCATCCTCGTGAATAACCATCCTTCTTCTCTCTCTTCCCTCATCTCAGTCGACTGTCGTTGACCTTGCAACCATCAACGCCCAAGGTCAACAGCGTTACCATCAGAATCAGTCACAACAACAACCTCGACAACCTGGTGCTGACGTCCATATCATTGATTCTTCAGCATCAACTGGCGCTGCTCGTAATTCCAACACCCAGACCAGAAACAATGTTAACAAAGAGCCCGTGAAAAAGGATTGCCCCCGTCATGCAGATGGGCACCCTCCTAACCAACTGACCACACGAGACCTTGGTAATAAGAGGATAGTCTCATTTTTCTTTGGATCAGACGTCGTCCTCTTTGACTCCATCATGTCCTATCGGATTGCCAATCCTGATAAGCGTGTTGAAGATGCAATCGATACATTTAGTATGTGGTTTTCATATCATATCTTTTTTAATTATATTGCATTGAGTCATGTATAAGAAGAGTACATGGGTTCCTGAGACTTAGAAGCCAATCCACATAGGAGACAATTATATTAATCAAATAATATTTATTCATTTTTTTTTTTTTTCCGCCCGGATATTTTTGCATTCATCCTCCCTCCTTGCTCTTTAATATTTCCACCCACCTCACTGACCTGCACAACTCAATACCGAAAACCCGCATCATTTTCAACCATCATGGGATTTAGGCGAACATCAGAGCGCTGATGCATTAGCGAATATCATCTATGAAACTCAAGCCTTTGACATGATCTTCAAATACCCTATTCCAGAGCACCTTCGCAAAGTGCCCGACAGTGCACCAGTCATCAGTCCTAACCCAACTCTTTCTGATATTGACCTTCATTCGACCGGTAGTGCTGCTGCTGCCTATCAAGAAGAGAAATCGGAAAAGAAGCAGCGACAGCCTCAGGAAAATGAAGAGCGATTGAAACAGGAAGAGGAACAACGGCGTTTGGAGTCCGTAAACAATGGCAACAAGGATGTGGAGGCGGCTATCAAGGATCCTAAGGTTGCACGGGAAGAGAAATTGGAACGACATCGAATCCGGTTTAAGAAGGCATTGCTTCGAGAGAACTTGATTATTGAAGAGGAACCTGGTATTGAAGGCAATGAGATGTACATGAAGGTCTATGCACCATTTTGGAGATTGTGTATTGAGGCTCAAAGACTGCGGTATAAAATCGAACTCTCGGTATGATATGATCTGGATTTTTTTTAGACTCAATGGACATGCAGTGCAGAGTCGTAGTACAAAATGGATATGGAGTTGTGTCTTATTGTGTTTTGGTGTCTGGCAGAGCGCCCGGAATTTCTATAACTCCAACAGGCTCTCTTATTTATACATAATATATGGATGTTAACAATGCTCAAAAACTCTTTACATTTCCTAAATAATAGCATATCGAAAGCGACAAGGAAAAAGCTGCTGCAGAAGTTGCTGCAGCCAACCAAGCAGTGAAACGAAGTTGGTTCGGCCAATACTTCTGGCAATTGCTCCAGAGAGCTGACAACGTCACGTTACCCCTTCGTGCCGAGTCTTTGTTATTCAAGGCCAGCAAGTTGAGACAATTTGATCTGGCTGAGAAGAATCGTAAATGGAGCGATATTGTCCGACATGGGGGTGGTATTAAGCCTGATGGATCTGGAGTGGGCTCCAATATGGGGTCAGATGGTAAAGACGGCTTTTTTGGCACTGGACGCCGTGGCCACTTGGTAAGGCATTGCTTCTAGATCGTACAATACCATTGGATTTCTGCATAAAAGAGTGTATGGACATCCTTTTGAACTGCAGTAATACATATGCAGAAGCTAATTATGTCTATAATCTCCTTTTTTGTATATATGTATGTCATCTGGCGCGTTTGGACTATTGGGAACGGCACTGAATAATTTGCTTCTATTTGTTCATTTTGTATATCAATATCGCATAACAGACAGAGAGTATCATCATCTATTGTAAGATCAGGACCAAACGCGGAGATCGCTATGCTCTCAAGTCCACTTTAGACAAGAAGGCAATCACCGACATGTATACGCTACATGATGGGTCCTACAAATCCAAGGCTAAGCCTCTTCCCAATCGTCGCACACTCCTCTACAACAGCTGGGTGCGTTCCCGTGGTCCCCAACCCCTCGAGGAAATTCGTTTCTATTTTGGTGAAAAGATTGCACTATATTTTGCATGGCTTGAGCACTACACTCGATGGCTTATTTCTGCTGCAATTGTGGGCCTCGTGTTTCTGATCTACGGACTCATCAATTACTTTTATATCAAGAAAAGTTCAGATGCGGGGGATGTTGGTGCGACATTAGTGGATGTGTTTGACAATGCTCTAGCACTGCCCTATGCGCTATTTATGTCTATCTGGTCTGCGTTGTTTGTCGAGTATTGGAAGCGAAAGAGCAATATCTTGGCCTATCAATGGAACACCTCTGACTTTGAGAGACGTGAGAGAGCCAGACCAGAATTCAAGCCGACGGGAACTAGGGTATCCCCTGTGACCGGGAAGATGGAGCTGTATTACCCACGATACAAGCAACTCATCTCTATCCTGATCAGTATCTTGATCGTTTTGGTTTCCGTAAGTCCTCACTTTGTTCTGATATCATGTATTGTTATATATATATATATATTATTGACAAAATTTTATTTAACCGCTTCTTCTTTTCTTTCCTCTTTCGCTTTTCCTTTTACTTCAACTAGATTGCTATCGTCATTGTATCCGTTGGTTCCTTAATCCTGTTCAACATTTGGTTCAGAAATTCTGGAACGCAGCGTAACCCATATGTAGTCAGTGCCGTCACTGCCATCATGAATTTGGCTGTTATTATGTTACTTGGAACGGTAAGAAGTCTATCATTGGTCTTCTCTTGGAAGATCAAAAATAATATGAGAAATCCAGTATTCATTAGGCACTAACACATGAAAGCTTTTATCTCAATGTCTTTTTTTCCTTCCATCTTCGTTTTTAATGATATCAAGGTCTATGCTAGACTTGCAAAGTTCTTGACTGATAATGAGAACCATCGTCGCTTAACCCAATATGAAGGTAAAACAATTATGATAATCAGATAACACGAAAAAAAAAAAAAAAAAAAAAAAACTCTTTATTCTTTTTTCTTGACTAAAAAAAAGCACCCTTGATGCGTAAATGAATACCTTAATAATTGAGATTAATTGATTGTTTATATATTTATATAACATAGATGCACTGACTATCAAGCGCTTTTTGTTCGACTTCGTCAACTTTTATTCCGCTTTGGTGTATATCGCCTACTTTAAAGAGAGTTTACCGGTGCGTCTGGACAAAGACAACTATGATAAATGTTCAAGTAAATCTTGTATGGGTGATTTGACTATTCAGTTGGCGATTGTCTTTGTGGGTAAACAGTTTTTGAACCAGGTTCAGGAACTGGCTATTCCACAGCTTCAGAAATGGTGGAATCGTAAAAATGAGCTAGCAGAGAAGGCTTCGTTGAAGGGGAAATATAAGGATAGAAAGATGGTCAAGCCTCCACAATGGGCCAAGGATGATGTGTTACCCGTCTATGATTCCAGCATGTTTGAGGAGTACCGAGAGTTGGTGATCCAATTTGGATTCTGCACTCTATTTGTAGTTGCGTTCCCGATTGCACCTATCTTTGCACTTTTGAACAATATTTTAGAAATTCGTGTGGATGCTTACAAGCTTTTAACGCAGCATCGAAGACCTATTTCGCAGGCTGCTCAGGACATTGGTAAGTCAACTGTCCCTCAATCTTGAAACGTCTGAGAGAAAATTAGCTGCAAATGTAAAATTTTAATTTTTTTTTTTTTTTTTTTTTTTTTTTCGTTATAGGGAGCTGGGGTGCGATCATGATGTTGATGACGCACATTGCTGTGTTCACCAATGCCTGTCTGATCGCATTTCAGTCCAACTGGATGGAAGAAAATGTCTTCAAGAAAGTTTCCTGGTTTCCTGCCACCAGTAATAACACCCCCGTACCTGACCCCAATGCTGACACCCCTGTATCTCCGGCCGTCCGTTTGCTTTTCATTTTTATCTTTGAGGTAAATATAAGTATTCTGCGTTTGAGAATGATATTTATATTTTCATTACTAATCACCTCAACTCTTTTTTTTCTTTTTATTTATATACACTTCTTTATTGCTCTTAGCACGTTGTGTTCTTGATCAAGATTGCAGTTGCAAATTTAGTCAGCGATGTTCCTCAAACAGTTAAGCTGGCGATTGAGCGTGAGAGCTATTACGCTCGACTGGCACTTGATGATGAAGAGCCTGCGATTGACGAAGTTCTTGAAGATCAGGAAGATGAATCGGATCAAAGCGATGATGAGGATGACTGGCGCAAGCGATTCTTTGGTGATGACGCTGGTGATGATGCCAATTATGACGAGAAGGGAGAAGGTCCAGGTGTAGAAGGCCTTTCTCCTGAGGAAGAAGAGGAAGAGGAAGAAGAATTAAAAGCACTGATCAAGGCTGGCGGATGTGGATGTGCAGCCCATGGTGATGGTATTGTGGGCACCTCAAAAGGAGGGTTTGAAGGAACTTGGATGAATCGGTTCAAACCCAATACTCAGTTGGCGTTGAAACGTCGTCAGCAGAGGCGACGACGCAGGCAGAATGCGAACAAGCAGCAACAGCAACAACAACAGCAACAGTAACAATCAGGCAAAAAGTGAACGATAAGGTGTGATCGATGGTGGTGCCACAAGCGTAATTCACAAAACATAATAAATTAATTAATGGTTCTTAGCTTTAATACAAAATCAGCAGTTTCATTTTTATTCAGAAAAAGAAATGGGAAAAGCACAAGATCCGCTATTTAAACTTAAACTTGTAATCAAAGGTCTCTTGATTCCATCGATCTTCTTCCTCTGTCTCGTCAGTACGATCCTCTCGACGATCTTTCGCCCACCTGGTGGTTATCAACCTCTTATCCCATTCTCTTTCTAAAAGCCTGCAGACCCTTCCAATGAGCTTTAACCTTTCCTCCGCCGCCTCTTTCACCTCCTTCTCCTTCTCCTCTTCCTCCTCCTTATTTCGTTCTCTTAGATCTTCTTCGCTCTCACTAGAATCATCGCTATCGTCATCATAATCATCATCATCATCGCTCAAGCCGTTCCCATTTGACCTGCCCTTTCTACCACTGAAAGAGCGTTCAGAATTATTGACAATGCCATCGCCACCAGTATCACTTGTCTGTACCATATCTCTGTCTTCTCCTTGACCATATCTCTGGCTAAACGCCTTCAACAGTGACACGGCCCATGCTCTGGATGCAGGAGTGCTGCCATAGTTGGAATATGCGTTCAAAATGTCGATCGTGCGTAATATAGCAATCCTCCTGGCTATTTCTGTCTCTTCTGGTGAATCTGCTCGCATCTGTGCTTTGGCTTGCTGCGAATTATTCTTCAGTATATCCATGTTTTCAAACGCCGTAGTTTCATCAAGATAATAGAGGTTCTTGACATAATATTCCCAATTATTGTGTTCGACCCGATGTATACCATCACCAAGGTCCCATTCAGCTTGCTGCTCTTGTTGCTTCACTTCATCATGTTCTTGCGATGATTGGTATTCATGATTACCATTGGCGTTGTCGTGATTATTGACATCCCCACTTTCGACTTTACGCTTTTTGACTACCTTTTCCTCTATCTTGGACTCTGCCTTTGTCTGAGAGCCAGCGTGCCAAGATCTAGAGGTTTGTTGCCAGATTTCAACACCGCTATGTCTTTCATTATTTTGGCTCCTACCTCTCTTGCCTGTTCCTCTGACGACAACCTCCAATGGAGCATGTTCTGATCGATATCTTTCTGCTCTATCCGCCTCACGGAAAAACCCGCGCATATTCTCTCTGTTAATGATTTTGGGCACAGTCACTGGTGCTCCGCCTTGGACACAGTCCCCCTGACGTTTATATCGCTCAGTTCTTACCAACCGAATGTTAGCTGTGCGAGTCTCTGGGATGAGAACAGACTGAAACACATGGACTTGGTATTCAGGTGGCAGTAGGTGAACAGGATAGAATGCAGACGGCGTGGCTCTGACATCATCCGCTGATGGAAGTTCTTCTCGCTGAGGGAACATGGTAGGCAGGTCCTCAAGTGGGAGTGTAAAATTCATCATACCAACCGCCACAGGTTGATTTAACTCTTTGGAGGAAGCCCGGAGACGATCCATCTGTATGAACTTTTCCATGTGTATGCGTCGCTCATCAGTCCTATCGTCTAACATCTCTCGGCGCGGAGGTAATATTTGCAGTAATGTGCTTGGCCGAAGCATTTTAAGTGGATCAGGTATCCGAAGCTCGTACTTTTGTTTGGAATCTTTGGAAATAGCATGCAACACTTTTAGCCATTCCACATCTTCAGTCTTGCACTTGAATGCCTCTTTGTCGTAATAAATCTCGTATGCCAATCGCATACAATCGTCTAGGGTACGTGATGCATGTCCCAACTTCTGTGAAAGTTCATGGATCTCGCGAGCCATGCTTTTAATCTTTTGCTCCACAGGATTTGGTTTCTCTTTGCATAGGTATGTATGAAAAACACGTTCCTCATCCTTTTCCTGGGTTTTTCTCGTGTCTCTTTCACGTAAGTCCTCCTCCAGCTCTCTGACTCTCTCGTACAATTGGTGGCGTTGGCGAAGATGAAGCAATCGATTGTCATTGACTGTCTTCCGTACAATCTCCCGAGCATTTTCTTGAGCCCATGCTGGGAGTTGTTTTGTACGGGGTTCTGGTGGATTCAGGGGAACAAACCCAGCGAGACCGCGGATCAGGCCCGTAGACTGCTCAATGATTTCTGGCAGCGTCTTTATCAGCGCTCTGGCCTTTCTGGTTCGTCGATGCTGACGATATTCATTAAATGCTGCGACAGAGGACTCAGTTTTACCCATTCGCTGTCGATCCGCCTTCAAGATCTGGGTCTCAAATTGACCATACTGCTCTTCAAAATGCTTAGAGAAGAGCAGATCTTGCAACATCCTACGTTCGACAATATCCCGAGTTTTGGCTTCCCGATCCCAATGTATTTGATTGATCAATCCCGCATTCTCCTGGCCTAACCACTCTTTTATAGCACCCTTCCATTCTTTGTAATGCCTGTCTAAATATCGTACTTCTTTTGATATTCTAAGGGTCGTTTCCTTCTTTAAAGCGCTGATGGATCGGTTGGTATCGGCTTCAAGATTAAACTTGGCTTCCTCTAGCCTAGTCAGTTGATTTTTCGTCGGATCCCTGAAGAACCTGGATTTTTTACTTTTTTTTCCTTTCTTTCTGACACTTATTGTATCCTGTGCTGTCCCTGAAAGCGCCATTTCTGTCGAAGTTATAGGACGTATTACTATTTCTGAGTCTGCCGTTGGTGCTGCCGTTGGTGCTGCTGTTGGTGCTGCCGTTGCTGCTGCCGCTGGTATTGCCGTTGGTATTACCGTTGGTGCCGCTGATGCTGCTACTGTCCCTGTCTTTTTATATTTTTTTGCTCCTTTATTCGGATTAGCCTGATATTTCTTAGAATAAAGATCGCAGTCTCCCTTTGTAGCTTTATAAAGGCTGGCTCGGATACGATTTTTGAGCTGCTCAAATGTCTGCAATCCTGAAGACAAATCCTCCCATGCATCGATGCGTGGCTCTGGAACGTTCCACTCTTCCAGTTGCCGAATATACAAATAAGTCATGGGTCGTTTCTTATACAGAGCTACGAACCTAGCAAAATAGAGTGCCGCTTGGGTTGGATTTCGAGCGTTACAAGTATATAATTCCCAATCTTGGCTTCGGCGTGTCAGATGGTTGTGTTGAAGGAGAATATAGGTTGTAAATACTGGTGCGTCTACAAATCGAATGAGAAATAAAAGAGGGGGTTACACTGTTGTTTAACTGCCTGTTCGACCAAAGATGGAGGCTTTCATTTATATTTGAGCTGAAATCATACTTACTTGGTTCTTTAACATTGTGTATCCAACGGTTGAGTATACCATGCGCTGCTATCTCGAAATTCGGATTTGCATAGAAATTGTTGGCAACTCTATCCCAGTGAATTCCAGCTTCATCCGAATTGTCAACAATTGCCCGGACAATGTTGCTGTCAAAGATGGAAATATAATTATTAGAAAAAAACATATGTAAGATAAAAGATATACACATTTTCAACAAAAGAGAAGATTACTGTATGCCTCAACCTACTCGAGCTCAAGAGGAGTGTATGGAGGAAGTTCACGATCAATGCCGTTTATTTGCTTATAATAATCTACATATAGATCAGTATGTTGACGTTAATAACCTGTCCTTCATAATAAACACGAAAAAAAAAAAAAAAAAAAAAAAAAAAAAAGATAGTGCTTAAATAATATGAAAAAAAAGACAAACCGTACTGCAGGCATAACACAGGTCACCAATGCGATCGATTGACAGCTGGAATTTGAAAGAATCACGGGCCCCACAATACCCGCATCCATGGGGCAAAGTTTTTGCGGTCAATTCATACAATCTCTGGAACCGCCTTTTCTCCTTTAGCAAAGCGCCACATTCCGCCGCTGGATATCACGTTTGGTAAGGAAAAAAAAAAAAAAAAAAAAAAAAAAAGTAAATACCATTATCGTTCATAAACCCTACTTACGAAAAGAAAAGAAAGGAAAAAAAAAAAAAAAAAAAAAAAAAAAAAAACTTACCGCAATGATAACAGAGGATGTTTTGCTCATGATCGTATGGATAAAGAGCTGGCATCATCCCGACACCCTCGATATCCACACGTGCCCAACTGAACGTTTTCAAAAATTCCTTAAGGACTTTCGGGAGTTTGTACCCACACCAATAACAATACCATGTCTTAGTGCGATGTGCCTTGCGACCGAAATTCCAGGCCGCCACGCCTCTTTGAGTCAATTCATTTATTTTTTTCGTAGCTCTTTTGAGAGTAGTGCGTTTCTGGCCGTCAAAGGAGTAATAGCTCTTACCAATCTTGTTTTCTAATACAATAACAACAAGAAAAAATACAGACGATGAGGAGCTAGAAACAAAATAAAAATAAATAAATAAATAAAAAAGAGAGAGAGAGAACTATAGCTACTCTACTTACGACAGCCTGGACAAAATGTGACATTGCCCTCTACTATAAATTCCTCCCCTGCACATTTTTCACAGCAGGACTGTTGAAATGTGTTGTTGAACAAAGTTTCGTTGATTTTATCTTTCAACAACTCCACCTGTTGCTGTATCTTATCATGGTACTGTCGTACCAAAGCTCTTGGGCTCATCCAGTCGTATTGATCTATTAAAATTTATATGTATAAGAGATTAGAAAGAGAGGAAAGAAACAAGGGGAGAAGAGGAGGTAAAGGACAGTATCAACTTTTTTAGTACTTTTACATATTCAGTTAATTTCCTTTGCCAAACAAAACAAAAAAGATAAATAAAACGTACGGTTGTAATCCACAGATCGGTCGCGCGACTTTTGTTGTAGCGGCTGCCTTCTGAAGTTAAACCGGTCTTTTTCCTCATAAGTCGGGAGCTGTTCTTCGAACTTTGTGATTTTTGGTGGTTCAGCAGCAATGAGACGTAAATGTTTTAAATAACCCGCGCGAGTGATTTGAGGATCGTCCATACCGATTTTAATGTGGGAAACAAACAATTTCAGCATCGCATCCTCGCCCGTTTTCCATCCACCATAATATTTCATACTGATCCTCCACAGGTCCCCCTTTAACGTTATCTTAGCAGAGGGCAGCGCCTTCGCCTTTTCCCCAGGCATTGGGTGCGCTGCTTCCTTTCCATCATTATTATTGCCGTTGTTATCGTTGTTATCATTGTCACTGGCGATGTCATTGCTATTGTCGTTGTCGTTGTTGGCAGAGTATATTCCCGTGCCTTCCTCTTCATCTTCTTCCGACTCTACTGCTTGGTGCAGATTAAAATCTGACTCTGACCCTGACTCTGACTCTGACTCTGACTCTGACCCAGACCCAGACCCAGACTCTGACCCCGACTCTGACTCTGACTCTAACTCTGACTCTACTTCTGATTCTGGAGCTGGCTCTGGTTCTGCCTTTGCTCCTAGAGCTATCCCTGGTTTTGGCCCCAGTACAGAACTGGATGCTTGCCTCAGGTCGTTTTCAACGTAGGAGGCTGTCGTGACTGATTCATATTGAACTGAAAGCTTACTAGTGGTTTGTTTCTGATTATGATGACGTATTCCTTGGGCTTCGTTGACAGGACTGGTGTGAACCACAGACATAGCCGAGGAGGAAGCGGAAGCCTCGGCATTGTTAGGAGTATTTCCACGATCATTATCACTTTTGTGAAGAGCGCCACTAACAGTATCAATACTATGACGTTGGATCGTATTGCTCTTTTTGCTTATAGTGTTATTATTATTGTTATTGCCAGTGCTATTTTTGCGATTGTTGGCACTAGTGTTGTTTTTTTTATTCATTTGCTTCCTCCCATGTACTTCCATTGTGCCTCTTGGAGCTCTAATGAATGGCAGCTTCCTTTGTTCATAAACAAAAACAAAACAAAAAAAAAAAAAAAAAAAAAAAAGCAGGGAAAAATAGAATTGTGACTGTGGTTCTTCCGCAGCAATTTTATTGAATTTCGCCGCACAAAAAGTATTTACACTATGAAAGGAGACAAAAGCGGCCTTTTTTCTTTTGCTTAATGGGTGTTATCGATCTTTTGAGGATGTGAGCCAGAGGTTCTTCGGTTGGAACCATGATGCTGTTTCTTTGTAGTCGTAGGCGTAGTCTCAACGTTCTGCTGCACATCATGGCTAGAACCTTTAGATTGGGCTTGAGCTTGGTCTTGAGAACGTGTACCCTTCTTGTTGGGAGTCGACGACATCTCAGAATGCTGTTGCTGTTGCTCAGAGTGAGCAGGAACCTTGCCTGGGGCTTGCGTGTTTGTAGACTTCTTGGTCATTTTGCTGTTATTTTTATTATTATTATTATTATATAATTATAGATTATTGATTTACTTTTGAGGGTTTATATGAGAGGATCAAGATGCTCGTTTAAAGAAAGGATGGACGTGATTTTTGAAAGAAAAAAAAAAATCCCTTTCTTTTCTTTTTTTTTTATACCATGGCAACTGGCTACTTACCATTGCCAACTTGTATCCATTCATGCGAGACATCACAACTCAAACGCATCAGTGCTTTTTAACGTAAAATAAACAAATAAATGACACTAAGCAAAGAGCTAGAGCACAGGCTTCTTCCTTGTGAACTACATATTCATGTGCTGTACACAATAGGGGTTGTCGCTTGACTTGACTGATTCATCTTGAATAACACTGGCGATGTTTGACTGACCCTGGCTGATGAATAAAGGATCTGTCTTATTCCAAAAGCTCGCGTCTAGCCCCTGTTGTGTTTAGTGGAAGCAATCGTTTATTTAAGGCTGACTCGTCATTTATGCCAAAACCATCACTGGTCAAGATCTTCAAGATCAGAAATTGGACAGAAGTCCTTTTTAAAAGCTATTCAGCATTCCATCCAAAGTAGCAAAGGTCTAAAAGCATTGATTCACACACCCGGTTGAACATTTTTTTTTTTTTTTTTTTTTTTTAGTGCACCTAGTATACAAGAATTGTTTGAAACCAACGGCAAAAAAAAAAAAAAAAGCAACTCTGGATATCCACTTGGCTGCTGTATACCTTTTCTTCAAGAGAGTCATGTCCCCCTTTTTTTTAAATGTATGGTCAAATACAACTAATTCTATGGAGATGACTCATCCTATAACCCTCCAAGTCTGATCCACACTAGCACGGTTATTGTTGGATATTCCCTCACCCGCTCGCGCGCTTGGCCTGCTACACTCATTTTTTTCCATACTACTGCTCGTTGAGATTGGGATAATCGACCTCACAGGTGAGGATACTACTGTAGACTCTATACCGGTGATATTTGACATTACTGCTCCCATAATGGCCTGTACGGTCCCAACATTGCTGGGGGTCGCGTCCAAGCACGGTATCCTTGCGTGCTGGCAAGATACTTCTAATGGCGATGTTGTTGTCTTTTGCGCTCGGTGGTTACAGGATTGCCTAGAGTAATCGCCATGGTTATCAGACTGGCGTTGACTTGGATGGAATGACTGCCCCAGTGCTATCTCATATCCTCGATGGGTTTGTTGCCTATGCTGTAATTGTTGCATCAGGCGGCTTTTGGGGTTACTTTTGGTAGTCAGAGAGAGCGCATTTACAGTTGAGGTAATTTCTGTCGTTTCCTGTCCACCTGTAAGACGCAAGAGCTGTTGCTGTTCTCTTTCTCTTCGGCCTCTCAAGTTCCGAGGTGACGTATTCCGATGTAGAATATGAGCATTTTTTTTGTCAACAGGCCCCATGTACTCCAAATCCTTATTCCGGAATCGTGGTATTACTGATATATGCATCGGCTGGACTAAAGGTAACGGAGGGCGCACCCGCTTAGCTGCAGCATGGTGATAATGTCGAAGGCTCCCCACCATATATCCATGTTGCTGTAATGCCTCTGAAGTACCTTCTTTATCGTCGCTATAGTGTTCTGCGTAGTTTTCGCTCTCTGGGTTAAGGCTGTCTGAAGCATGATCGTAAGATATCGTTCTTTTTAGAGATAATGAGCGATCGACTCTGTCCCGCCCTCTGTTAACAACAGCGCTATTACTCGGAGATACTACACTTGAACCGACTGGCAAGGATGCCTGGTGACAGAAGAAACTTGAGGTTGTGTTCTTACAATAGCGCAAATGATGAGAGCCGGACGAAGATGGAGTGCCCACTCCAGCAGCAGGAAGTTCTGCCGCATTTTGCTGTCTATATGCACTATTGCCAGCAGTCATATTAGGATCTTGATCATGCCGTTTCGCCCACTTTTGCTTTTGTTGCCGAGTTGGCTGCTCGGATGATGGACTCTTAAAGATGTCGCTCAAATGTAAACGCTCTTTCTTCGGAGTGACAGGGACATAAATGCCTCTCTTGTCCAATCGAAACGCGCTACCAATCCGCTGTATCCAACTTTCAGTAGATCTTAGTTCCGCTTTCACAGCAGCCATTCCTTGCAGTTGTGTTTGCTGCGATGAGTGCTGTTCTTTATTCATGACCATGGCCCTGCTTTGCCCTTCCAGCCGCGCCGGTGCAGAAAGCACCGACTGCGCTCGCTGAAGTTGACCTCGTTCAGTGCTAATAGTATTTTGCCCATCCATAAGGTTGCCAGTATACAGTCCCGTTTCCGGAAAGCCGTGTATGGTTGAATAATGCGAGTAATAATATAGGTGATGGAGACTAGCGGCTGGATGTAAGCTCCCCGTCTGCAGAACAGACGACTGAGCTCGGATTGACGCCGCTATACTGACATTAGCTCGATTGATTGCTTGTGTGCATCTATCCGCATGCTCAATTACATAGACCTGCGCCTTCTGTACCATCCGACGGTTGCTAGAAAAGCATAGCCGAATAAACGGAGTTACTGGAAATAACGCCCCTATCTGGAAAAAGAGGCCATATTTTGGAAGCACCCGTTAATTAGATGTAGATTGTAAGTGGCAATAGGACATACAAAACATAATCGGCTCTTGGGAGGTCTTCCAGTCGATATCTTACAGCAACATCCAGCGCTATGCACTTAAGCAGGAATGTGCGTAGAATACGACGCTCTGACTCCCTAATCTTTAGCTGGGACAGCGGGCGGAAGACCAAAAAGTATGATAATGAGAAACAGATCAGAATACCTGCCACGGGAAATAGACCTGAAGATGGGTTTAGTAAGAAAAGGATCACCAAATCAATCGATTTTGCTTTTAAGCTGCATAAACTTTCGCCAGCAAGCCGTCTTACTGAAAAAGAACGATAGCCCCAAACTTTGTGGACCGTAGCTTAACCTCCATGCGTTGCCATCTCCTTGGAAAAACTGTCGAAAATATTGGAAGAAAGATAGGCGGCCGCGTTCACAGCCGCGGCCACGCCGGTGTCCACACTCGTCTTCAGTACCCTCCTCGATCTGGTCCCGCCTCCCATCCAATCGTAAAGCCCAATCCAAAGCCAGCTGGATCAGCTCACTATTTAGCCGCATATCTTGTTCACTGATATTGAACGCTGTTGCTGGAACAGTGACAGGCTCTCTTTCAATCGATGTCGCTGCATCATTGGTTGACAAATCACGCATTTCCAAGACAACATTGCTAGCTGTTACTGCTACTGAAGGTGTTGCGAATATTGACGCGTAACTACTACGGTATAAGCTGTATCTTGGTCGCGCGCTGCCTTCATTTCTATTTTCAGTGGTATTTTTAGGCCATGCACGTGAGGTGAAGGATGAAAAGGAAGAGAACATGGGGAAGATTCAGCGGCTCTCAACCTTGTCTTTTTTCTTTTTTGTCCGATGAAGATTAATGTATCCACAGGGATAAGTACACAAGAGCAAAAAGGACGATATAATAGAGTATGATGAATAAAAAAAGTAAAATAGAGGTAATGGAAGAATATTAGAATGCCGTAGTTATGCCGCAAGGGACGGAGAGTGAACGGAATGTAAAGCGACAATCGAGTAACTCGTTAAAGAACAAGAATCAAAGCGTAATAGCGGATAAAAGAGGTGGGCAAAGAAAACGTACCTTCTTTCAAAACAAGAGAGGTATTAATCTCTCCTTTTTATTTTTCAATGCCATTGCTATGCAACCACAGATATCCGTTTAAAAGCAAAGCTGTAACGACGGACCGCGACGGCTTTTTTTCCCTCCTGTCCTTCTCATTCTTACCTTTTTACAAACCCTATTGACAAAATCTAAAGGAACAATCGCGACGCACGCACCGTCCGCTTTATTCTGGACGAAAGAGCTCCTTTATCTATGCCTCTTATAGGTTGAAGCAGCTTGGCAGAGCCTGTGCCGTGGTACAAGTGTGTAATTTCCCCTGCAGGTCCATAATTAAATAAATATTATTGCCTACATCAGCATTTAATGGTTTCATTCTTATATTCCTGTTTCTACATAATCTGCCGCCTCAGGGTTAGAAGCCGTAGGTATAGAAGCAGTACTCGTGCTGCTGCCGTCATTGCTCTCGTGAACAACCTCTACCTCCTTCTTCCCTTCAGCTGCCTCATTGACAACATTGGTGTCCCTCCTACTCTGCAACCGCCTTCCTGCTGCTGGTCTAAACCCTGTTCTTTCTCGGACAACAACCAATGGTTCATACCATCCCCTCGTCATTCCACCCTTCTCACGATCCACGGTGTTGAATGGCGGCTTAAGGGATCCTTTAAAGTACTGAACCACAACTTCCTGGAACCGCTTTCGACGCCGTGCCTCGGTAGGGTCCACAACCTCTTCGCCTTGACTCCCATCTTCCTTTTGTGCATACGCCGGCGTCACTTGCCTAAATTCATACAATTCATCGTCTGCATCATAAACATTGTTCCCAGATCCTGCGCCTGTACCTGCACCAAAGGCTTCACTATCGCCATTCACTTCTACTCCAACACCTTCATGTCGTTTTAATAGATAACAAAACCATCGATGTCCAATTTGCACATGAGTCACTTCATCTTCATGGATTTTTTGTAACATCTTTGCAGACTCTTCATCACCACTCCGTCCAAACCGCGCGATCGTCGCTGGATTCACATCCAGGCCTCGGGATTCAATCGTCATATGTACTACCGCCATCCGTGCCAAAGCGGAACGCGCTGTGTCTGTGCAAGAGTCCCAGATAGAGGCATGAACTGGTAGATCGCCATAGTGTGCACCTTGACACTCAAGCCTCTCATTGAGCCATTTGAAATGCTAGTTTGGGGAGGTAGGGTTTTTGGAAGATATCAAATTAAAAATTAAAAAAATATATAAAGTTGCAAGCCTACTACAGAATTCAAGAAATAACTTGTAACATAGACTTGAATCACTATGCATATTTATCTTACCTTGGCTTCATCACAGGCCATCTGAACAAAGTCATCAAAAAACCTGTTCGGCATCACAAACTCTTGTTGCTCTTCATCCTCAATCTGTCCTTTGAGTGCGGTCCCTGCGGTCGCTTGTGTGTAATATCCAAACCGAGCCATGTTGTCTAATGCTGTATCAATTGCCCACTGCTCGACATTAGCCAACGCTATAAAAAATAAAAATAAAAAATCAATAACCAATGTTACTTAATGGCATACTGGCTGTCTCCTCTTATCATTACTATTGTTTTACCATGCAAGATGGCGATCCTGCTTGCTATTATAAGATGAAATATAAAAATAAGCCAAACTCGTCAGTCTTTTCATCAATAACAATATTTACAAGGATAAAAAAAAAGTTCATACAAAGAGATCCTGCTTTGCCAACTTTGACACCGAAACCCGGCCGCACAAATTCAAGCGTATCAGGTCTTAATGGCTTCTCAGGTGGCACAGCTCGGCCAATTGGCACCTCCATATTACTACTACCGCTAGTAGTAGTATTGGATGCTGTATTGTTGCCTACTATGTTGTTTCGAACTTGAATGGAAGCTCGCCATTGTTGACCTAACAACAGTGTCAAATCTGCTTTTTCAATCGGATCGATCATGTGCATGATGTGCACACATTTCTCCAGCAGCGAATTGCATCCTTCCGGAAAGGCGACTGACCCAATGGACATCTTGCTTTAGTTTCTTTTCAGAAAAGTGATAATTCGATCTATTATCATGATATTCCATCACGTGGCTTACATATTAGCCCAACTTCCTGGGCTGTCTGTGTACGAATACCCTTCTCATCAACAGGTTGGAGATGTAAAGGTCTGTTTGAGAAGTTGGGCAGTGAAGGAGGCGAGAATAAGCGAGATCGGCATAAGTAGGGACACAATTCTCCTCCCGAGTTTGACCCAATACCTTTCTTACGTGGCTCCAGTCTCCTTCAACAGAGTATAAACTGCTCCATTCAGTCTCTTTTGGCCTTGTACATAAGGCTGTTGCTCGGAATGAGCAGGATAAGCATGTATTTTAATAAACTTGAACCATTCCCTTCACATTACTGGAAACTACAAAGGCCTTCATCAAACGTATCAGCTGATTTAGATCATATTACAATACTCATAATTGTTCGCTTTCCTTTTTTAATACTTTGCACTCTTTCTCTTTTTCTACAGCATCCTTTACAAGTATCACTCCTTCCTTATAATATATATTAGTCAACGATGCTGCTACTTAAGTTTAAAACAACAATCCTTAGGATTATTTTATTTCAAGATTCTAATGAAAGTGGCAACACAACTTTTTTTTTTTTTTTCTTTTTTTGTCAGCAAATGTAGAATCCCAAATCAAGATAATGGTAAAAATGGTAAAGATGGTAAAATAAACACAGAGACCATAGCGGCTCGCATTGGAAAGTAAAGTCCTCCGCATAAGGAAGCCCTTTGCTCATAACATTATATTAGGTTAGTCTGCGCGCCAGAGAGAGTGTGCTTGCGTGGGTTCCCAGGTTGGATTCGAAGTGTGGCCCTGAAGACAAATGTAGTCGCGGCCATGGTACTTGACCTTGTCACCTGCAGCATACGTTCCTACAGGATCCCAATCGCGTGTGCCATGCTTCTTGCTGTGCCCACCATCGCAGGAACCATGACAATGACTACAGCTACAGCTACAGCTATGCCTGTCATGACAATGGTTACCACTGTTATGCTCACACCTGCTCCTATCCTGATGATTACTATTATAGTGCTCCTCTCTTCTCTCTAAAGACGACGACGAGGATGACGAAATCTTAATCTGCTCTCTTTCCAGTCTTGTTTGTTCTTCCACCTGAGCTCTCTCGAACGAGGCTCGCTCCTCTTCAAACCTCTTCCTTTCACTCTCAAACTTCTCTCGCTCCACCTGCTTTTGATATTCGGCCTCCTTCCTCTCTTGCTCTTGCCTTCTCTGATCATTCGACACCTTGTTGGCCAATAGACCCCCTGCGACCGCTAACAAACCACCCGCAACCGCCATTCCAGCATCCGCCATAGCCTCTTTGTTCTTAATTGACCTGATGCGCTTCTGATGAATCTCATTAATATGAGATTGACCACGGACAAAGCTGGTCGTAGCGGACGAAGTATTATGGTTCTTCACGCTCGTGGTTTGCAAACCGGGGACATTGTACGCAGTTAAGGTCAAGTCGACTGTACCATTGGGCTTGCCACCTGCTGTATAGACTTCGAAAGTGCCATTGAAGGAGCCACCAGCTGCATGGATCACCTGGTTTATGGGGATAGCTGCGTACGCAATCACTGCATCGGCGGTTGTCTCTTCGTCCATAATCTCGATATACAGTTCAGACTCACCATTCAATGGCAATGTGAACGACTGGTTCCACACCGGATTCTTGCCAGCATTCTTGTGAACAAATGTCTTTTGGAACGACTTTGCGTTGTCGAGATCGAGACTCAGACGAAGATAAGGATCTTGCTTGCCAAAAGCCTAAAGGGTTAATATAATTAATATAAAGACATGTGAGTATTATTTGTATATTTGTATAACAAATTAGTTTTTTTTTTTTTTTTTTTTTTTTTTTTTACCTCAACATCCTTCAAGACTGTAGCACTATGGACAGTGATTGCAAGGGTAGGGGCACCACCATATGGGCACTGCTTGGTAAATTGGACTTGGCTACCCACATGACCATCCACATGAACATGGCGATCAACGTGGACCTGGCCATCAACGTGGACCGTCTGCTTTACACTCGTTGAAGACGAGGTTGAGGACGAAGAGGAGGAATAAGTGGTGGAAAGCATACTACAATAAATTCCTTTTTACTTTTATCTCTTTTGAAACAAAAAAAAAAAAGTATAGGGCACGATAAAATGGTGTTGTTATGTGAGTAAAGTCTGATTGATAATAACGTTGTATTGGTTTATTTTAGGAGCAAGGAAGGCACTGGAGAATGTTTGACAAAAAAAAAAAAAAAAAAAAAAAGAAGAAGGTATCCTCAAGCATTTTATATCAATCAATCTCCCGAGAAAAAAAAAAAAAAAAAAAAAAAAAAAACTATTGTGGTATTGGTCAAGGGGGAGGAAGATATACATGAACGCGAAGAGAAGGCGCGTTCCGATTCGAGTTGATTTGTCGTTTGCTATCCATAGTATAAAAAAGGAGAGGGGAGACGGACAAGCAATGGGATAGAAAAGGGGCATGTTCATATTTCGGGAAAGTCGGATAGGACTTTTTATGTTCCAATTTGTCCAGATGAAATGGATGATGACGAGCATTGTGAATCTATTAAACCTAAACCATAATCTTTCATTAATGGTGCGACTCGACGAAAGGGTACATTTAAAATGTCCCTACCTGTATCAAAACAAAGCCATATCCTAGATTTCATGGCAACGGTCCATCATCGCTACTATTTTTTTTAAATATGTAGTGAACCAATTCTTCTTCGGGTTAAAGTGACTACATAGAATTCTCACGCCATTACATCTGTCCGAGAAACAAAACAAAAAAAAAAAAAAAAAAAAAGTCGAATCAAATAAAGGGGTCAGAACTCGCAATAGCCGAGGAATGAAGAAAGCTTTTTTCAGTGTCATGAAGAATCTTCACTTTCAATCCCTAAAAAATAAGGGGTTTCTGTCAAAACATCATCGCGTAGAAACATGAGTAGATCCTTATTATTTACTACTCTGGATAGAGCAGTCATGAAGTGCTCTTTATTCAGTGAATCAAGGCACTTTTCAACTGAGTGTTCACTATACGGAACTATTTTGCTGGCTTAGTTATTCTTGCATTCCCGTAATCCTAAAATACATGCATGGAAAGAATGCTACAGCTACTACTACAAATAACAATATACAAAGATTAAAAAAATAAAAATAAAAAAAAAAAATAAAAAAAAAAAAGGTAGTAAAAGAAAAAGAAAAAAAGAAAGACGAGTAATAAAGTAACCAAACAACCAAGGTAACCAAGCAGGTTCCCTTCTTGGAATAAACACAATGTTCTAGTTACTCAAAAGAGACCCCAAAAGGGACCAACCACTCGCCATCCAACTCAACAACAACCCTTCCGGGCCCACGCGTCTCAGCCAAATGAATCGTCAGTCGCTGATCTCGTCCTGGCTGAATGACTCCAAATGAAGGTGTTACCGTGATACCAGCAGGTCTCAGGATCTCGAAATGCATTTTACGGCGTGATCGATTAAAGAGTGTCACAAATGATTGGACTTCGCCCGCAATACTGGCCGAGAACCGAAGCTCCTTCGGTCGGATCTGCGCTGGGCAGCTACCATCACTACCACTACCACCCAATTCACCATACCCTTCTGCAGAAGGTGGTCGCTCAGAAAGAATTAGACTTCCATCATGTGCCTGTCGAAAATGGTGAGCGTACTGATTTGAGGCCAAGTGTTGCTGTTGATTCTGCTGATGGTAGTATGTATCCTGACGGCGCTGTTGATGCTGCTGTCGCTTACCGTAGTGGCCGTTACCCTGAGTATGAGTCTCATAAGGGCTTCTTTGATCATAGACAAGTTCCTCTGAAAACTCCTCGCTCTGTGCACTGCTTCCACTGTGTTGACGATCCTCATTTCCTATATATTTATACGTGGGGGACAAAGACTGAGTCCCTATCTGGCGATGTAATGATGCTCGGTTGGACGTTCTATTATGAGCTGTAGGCTCCATCTCTGATACAGCACGAGGTGATTTAAGAGAACGTGATGTGGAATTTGGAGCCTGTCCTTTTCTACTGGCAGGAGAAGTCTTAAGCTGTGATTGCAGCTGTTGATACTGGCTCGAACTCAACCTAGCATTCTCAGAAGTTGACGAGTGTGGTACGTTTCTGCTTAGCTTCCCCACAATGTCACCGAAAAACTTTTTGCGTTGCGGGAGAGGCGATACCAAGCTATCTTCGGTGCCGCTTAGTACATTGGTCTCATATGATTCGCTCTCCTCATGCTGAGGTCTGGATTCTCGAGCGTATTTACTCTCCATGGAGTTACGCCTCGAGGCAGTGGTAGACTTCTTTGGCGTTGATAACCTTGCGGATGCAGACAAATGTGAAGTATATGCTGTACCAGGCTGATCCTGGTGGATTTCTTCACGTAAATCTACAATATCTTGTCGAATCTTGGCAAGTTGCTTGCATGACTCCTCCAACGTCGGCACTAGACGATCACCATGGGCACCATAGAGTGATGACCGCTTCGAGCTGAGTCCTGAAGAACGAGGTGATCGAGGAGAAAGGGGCGATGTTAGGGCACTAGAGTCTCGATCATATGATCGACGATGCGTTTGCAATTGCACACTTGATCTCCTAGTTTCACGTGGCTCTGATGAACGAACGACTTGCTTTCGCGGAGTCAATGAGCGCTTGCCTTCCAGTAATGCTGCCTCCTCTGCAGCTCTTCTATCTAACGCAGCCTCTTCTGCTTCAATCTCCTCCAACTCGCGCTGAAGCTGCTTTTTCCTCTCATACGATGAACGACGCAAAGGATCCTTGGATCCCTCTTTTGGACTAGTTGGACCTTCCTTGACTAAACCTCTACCTCTTAGTGAACCTCTGCTGGCAGATTGCTGGAGCGGCTCCTCCAAAGGTACGTCTCTTGCTGATTGCTCGTACATGGAGTTGCGAAGGCCGTTCGGACGAGCCACATTGTTAGGACTAGCTGTCCTAGATATGCTTGGGGAATATTCTGAAGCCGCGATATGTGCACTTATTGGCCGTGTCTTTGCAGTGGAGGTAATTGTGGCTCGTGTTGGTGTGACAGTTCGGGATGGCACTGAGCCACGACTCGTTGGCACCGCTATGGAACGAGGGGGGCTGGAAACGGGAGCAGAGGTCGAAGGTGCAGCTGTCGACATAGATGACTTGTGCGGCAGCCTCGAAGATGGGATAGTGGATGATTGACTAGCCTTTGCTGTTATTGATGCCATTGTGGACGAACCACCTGCTCTTGATGGCGGTATAGAGGAGCGTGTTGCCGCAACAGTAGTTACGCGAGGAATATTGGACACTGATGTTGGCGTAGGCCGTTCTGGAGAACCATCAACTCTGAGCATCTGTGTTGATGTTTTATTGTCTGGTGATGGCGTCTTTGTGGGTAGTTTCGATGGCGGTCTAAGCATGGATGGCTTTGGGGCCTGAATCCTAAGATTACTCTCGCGCTTCTCTTTCATAAGTTCTTGGGCAACCTTTTTTGCGAAAATGGCACCAGGACTCTCCTCCGGCTGAGAATCGTATTCCGGTTCTTGCCAAAGACCATCCAAGATACTACCAGTTGGCTTGGCCTTTGCATTGGATGCCTGTGCCTGTTGATACTCTTGCTGTAAGTTGGACATAGTGCTCGATTGTGTGGCAGGTACCTGTGGCATGCGTAGACTTGTGGTAGGCTGCTGAGCTCGCGGAGTAGATGATGCTATAGATGATACAGCTTGCTTTGGTGGTTGTGGAGGCGTGGTCGGAGCATGTGGCGTAGCTGAAGCAGGAGACGAAGAACTGGCCTGGGAGACAGGTAATCGGGTGCCGCTATTGGGCTGCATTGCCAGGGGCACTCTTCGCTTTGAAATTGCACCAGGAAGAGGTAATTTTGAGCCAGGAGGAAGAGAGATTACACGGGGTTTCCTTGGAATGTTGTTCTATTTTTATATTAAGGGTTGGACACATGGCATACCAAAATGGACATCAATGGTTGAATATTACATTATTACATAATACCACTCCCAAAAAAAAAAAAAAAAAAAAAAAAAAAAAAGATGCGATGAGCAGTAACTACTCTTTTGACGAAAAATGACTGTGGTACGTGGGGTCAACTTACACCTAGGATCATCTTGCCATTACCACCATTCAAGTCAAGCATGGCATAGAATTCTTCCTCTTGCTCATCTTCCTCGTCTTCAGAGTAATACTCATCTTCCTCATCCTCGTCTTGCTGATATAGATCCGCACTGTCTTGGTATCCTACTAGGCCTGTCACATCACTACCAGAACGTTCACTATCAATTGCGCCCTTTGGTCCGAACAGTGCCTCGTACTCGCGCTTTAAGGCTAATGCTGTCGATGAAAGTTCAGACTCGCCTTCCTCTCCGTCCAAATGGGGCTGTGACAAGTCTTGCTCGTCCCCCTCTTGGTTCTCTTGGTCTCCTTGATCCTCTTGGTCATCTTGGCACACTTGGTACTCCTGGCCCTCCTGGCCCTCCTGGCCCTCCTGGCCCTCCTGATTCATTTGGGGCTGCTGCTCTTCTTGTCTTTGCTGGTAGTGTTGCTGGTGCTGTTGCTTTTGTTGCTCCTCGTATGGCTGCAGTCGCTCCCACTGCTTGCGTTTGCCCGTAAGGGATGAGATCTGAAAGTCATGGGTCTCATGCAAAGGCCCAAGAATATCTGTTGGCTTGAGATTAGCCATTAACCGCCGTCGAATCTCCTCATTCTTGAGGTCTTCCCCGTCTTCAACGTACAAATCTTCCAACATTAGATCGCCAGAGATGATCATCTGACCTGATTGCATTGGTTGGCCGCTGCGATGAGATTGAACTCTGTTGTTATTATTACTGTTGATAGTGTTGAGTGATGGTAGTTCTGACAATTCCGCGATTGTTGACAGACGCGCATGGCCACTGATGGGCTCATCATCATGATAGTTGGGAGATGAGGATGTGTTATTGGTTGTGTTGGACTTTGAATTCCCTTGAACGTTCAGTGATTGTTGTTGTTGTAACTTTGGCTGTAACTGCAACTTTTGCTTCTGTTGCTGTTGATGGATTAATTCCTGTTGATAGAAATATGCTTGTTCCTCTTGTTCGTCCAGGAACTCTCCACCTTCAGAGTTATTTTCCTGTACAGGATACCAACCATTCTCGATCTGAAGATAGCGTGCTCCCAACTCATCCTGGGTATCAAGGTCTTGTTTATTGTTCGCATAGGAATTGTGTTGTTGCTGTTGTTGTATATGTGAAAATTGTTGCTGAGTATGGGTGATAGGAAGAGCACTTCGTTGCTGAGAAGGGGAAGATGGCTCATAGTTTTGGCAGGAGACAGAGGAAGGAGCAAAGCTGTCGTTGTCAAGAGAATATTCACGATGATCCTCTGTGCCCGATAGGAGTGAAGTATTTGAGATGTCGCCAACGGGCAAGATTGCCGAGACATCACACTCAAAAGGCTCAGCGGGCTGATCAAACGAGTCGTTATAGGTTGGCCTGTTCATGATATGATGTGTGATATGATAATGATATTGATAATGATAACGTTGATGTGTAAATGTATTACAGTGTGAGCCAATGTTTATGTAGCTGTTTTGGCACCAGCATTATTTGCTATTTGTGATTGTTAATATTATTGAGATTGCTGTTAATCAAAGAGATATGAGTTGAGACTGACGAGAGAAAAAAAAAAAAAAAAAAAAAAAAAGGGGGGTTAAAATAAAAAAGAAAGAGCGATGAGTGAGTGACTTGTGATGAGCATACAAGAGAAGATTGGGAAGGAGAGAGAGAAACAATCGGATTCATAAAAAGTATTCGATTGCAATCAATAAAAGTGGATGGGAAGTACTTCGATGGAAAGTAAAAAGTTTATACAGTCAACAGTTTGTGTTGTTTCTGTATTGCTGGATGAATTGGAAAAGAAGAATCAAGATTTGATTCTCGCAAATCGAGACGACTTTTTATACCTCTTTTTTTTACTAGTGACTACTGTTCACACCATGGGACCATGCGCAAGTTTTATTCTTGTAAAAAAATATAAAATTATAAAATAAAAAAATAAGGAGGGAAACTCATTGACATGCACATGACATACTTTGGACAAAAATCATTTAGCTTGCAACCGACACGTTAAAATCAAACAACTGACGGACGCGTGTCCCCTTTCTCTCTTTTTTTTTTTTTTTTTTTTTTTTTTTTTCCAATTTGTATTTCCACCGTTGCGATATGGAAGGAAACATCTCTATTGCATCAAAGGAGCCTCCATGTCCTTGCGTCTCCTCATCTTAACCACATAGCTCTCGGTCGCAAAGGCAGTGGTTATGAATTGCACATAATCGGTTCTCTGTCGGGGGACGTGCTCAAGCTCATATGTCTTCACGATTGACGCCAGGATCAATCGCATCTCCATCATCGCAAAGTTCTTGCCCACACAATTACGTGTACCTGCAGAGAAGGGATAGAATGTATGGTCTTGCACGGGTGGGAACGGAGATTCATCTCCAGGCAGCCATCGCTCAGGAATATAATCTTTTGGCTGCGGGAAATACTCCTCACTATAATGGAGTAGAGGGAACTGTGCGAGGACGACTTTTTTTTTTTTAAAAAAAAAAAAAAAGTAAGAAATAAAAAAAACAAAATCACTGAGTGCATATATTTATACAAAAATGAAACCTCTTCCTCGATGCTCATGTCCTTACTTGTGTCTTTTGGAATAGTATAGCCACATATGTTAGCGTCCTCATCCACTTCACGAGGGACGCCTTAATGATATAGCCAGAAACACCATGCAAGTCAATTATGGTAGAAGACATAAGCACTCATGTTCATTAAACAAGAAGCTTATTTAACACAAACATATCCCAATTCAAAGCCCTGTGAACAAACATGCTTTCCTTACCAGAGGCAGCAACAGGACGAAGACGCATAGATTCATTAATACAAGCCGTAAGGTAGGGCAGATTCCGGATTTGATCGTATGAAGGTAATGCACCAGCAGAATTGTTAGCTGTCGCTTGATCAATCTCCTCGCGCAGCCTCTCGAGCGTCTTTGGATTCTTGAGAAGATACATTAACGTATTGGTAATTGTAGTAGATGATGTTTCTGAACCCGCAATCCTAACATTGATTCGATCAAGCACGAGTTCGATCATTTAGATTCTACGTGGCAGGATTGAATAAAAAGCTAATCCTAAAGATCTCCCGCGTGTTTTTTTTTTTTTTTTTTTTTTTTTTTTTTTTTTTTTTTTCGTCTGTCATAAAAATCAACAAATCTATGCACTTACAGAAAAACTAGGACCTCAGTATGTAAGGCACGATCTGTTAACTTGCCTGAAATCATGTCTTCATAATCATTCCCAGTCTCTCCGTTTCCACTCACTCGCTCGTTCGCTTGCGCATCAATCAGATACTGCAAGAGATCAGCTCTCCTCCCTTTTTCACCCGCATCCTTTCTTATTTTTACTTGGTCAATTGGGAACTGAAGAAATGAGTAATCTAGGGGAAAGAGCCATCGTACCCACGGGTTAAATGCCTGTTGCATGCTTCTTTTAAGTAATTCGGCCATTTGTTTAGGAAAGGGATGGTCGTCATGCTGGACCATCTGAAATGAATGGCCAAACGCAGTTTCGCCAATGATATCGAGCGATAACCGGTTTATGAGTGAGCAAACGTCGATATGTCCTGGAGGAAGAACTTTGCCTCGCTTGACTGATGTGGGATCTACAAGGATCTCATCGATCGTTTGAATCAACACCTGAATGCACCCATGCATAATAGGCTCTAACGAACGCAAGTATTGTAGGCCAAAAGCGGGCGCCACTAATCGTCTCTATAATACACATTGCAAAAAAAAAAAAAAAAAAAAAAAGAGTAATAAGAGAGTCGTTTTACAACAAATACACGGATAGCTATAGTGTACAACTAACCCTGTTCTTGTGAAAGCTCTTGTCACAGGATGTAAACAGATTGTGCTGATTATACAACTCCATCTTATTGTAGATCTTGCTCTTAGGGTAGTCCGCCTTGACCAAAATATCATGAATAGCGTCCTTGTCCGCAATGGAGATTATGTTTGGTGCTATAAAAAATGGTCAGCGAATATAGGATTATGTTGTTAAAAAAAAAAAAAAAAAAAATTTAGGACCTCTATGTCATTAACCATAATAAAAACACACTTGCCTACACGAACGATTTTTCCGTGTCGTTTATGTGTTGCAGGCAGGAAGTAATGGCTAGATAGTGCATGGCATAAAAGTGTGGCATCCGTCATTTGCTGTCGAAGAGTACACAAGGAAAAAGTATATATTGATATTGATTTTCTGGACTGACCTGCGTCCGGAATAAACGCTAAGAGCCGAGAAAATAAAGGATCCAGAGAATATGGTGCTCGGGATATGGCTTAGTGGATGGAAATAACGGTTACGAATGAACTACAAGGGTATATGGGCCATATGAAAAAGGACAAAGACGAGTGTGAGTATATTAAATGAAGCCTGATGATGACCTATGATACAGGACCAAGGTTCTTTCCTCGCCATCGGCTCACGTAAAATGACAGCAATTTTTGTTCTCCACATGCTCCACATGCATAATTTGCATGTCCCACAACTGCAACTGTGGCCAAAGATTATGTCGCCCCTTGGGGTCTATACCTTAACCAGAAAGCTCAAGAATAAGAGCGTTGAAATAATCCTTGTGATGCTTGGAGATCTTTTTAGATCACTCGAGGATCTTGCGTATTTTTTGATGAATGCATTCAGTAACGCAGGGGAGGTTAATGGCTTTGATAGAATGCCCATGAATGTTAATGTTTAATACTCGTTTTTTTGGAGAACAAAAGAGGAAAAGAAGAAGGTATTTAAACAAGCTTGGGTCCTTCATCCTTTATTGCTTCTCATCCTAGTCTCGGCTGGGCAGGTTAAACCAGATTTACTCACCCTTTTTTCGTTATTGTTGCACAAATGTACCTTCTGTCTCTTCGAGCCGAAGTCACGAGCTGTGCTGTAAACATGAATTTATCAACATTACTTGGCAATTGACTCTTTGTTATTTATCTGAGACAACAATTATGTGGAAAAGAATATGATGTGCCAAGACCGATACCCTACGGTTACTTGCCTTGTCAAGACCAGGTGACAAAGGCGATAGTCTGCCGTGATCTTGGCTGATGGCTGCTTAAGCCACAGGAGACGACATTTGCGCTTTCAAAGTGTGGAGTAGAGGTGAACAATTGGAATCATATGGATAGGAAAGTGAGTGAGAAACGTTTCTTTATTGATCACCTCCTACTGTTTTAAATGATTTAAATAGAGTGAAATTATATTATATACTTACACTACCTAAATGTGACTGATACGGTGTAGACCGCAAAAGTGATCTTTTTTTGACATATTTCTCATTCTCCATCTGCCTCTTATAAACTTTTGTTCACACTCTACTTGCTCATTCACCTGCTTACAATTGCTCCTCAGGTGGACTGAAATGATCTGGGGGAGAGCATTTAAAATTTGACTCTTTTTACGCGAAATGTACCATCCTTTTTTCTCATTCCTCGTTCGTTCTCAATTTAAAAGAGACCTCCAGCCAAAATGTCAAGTTTGGTCCCAGCCTGAGAGAGAAGTATCTGCAAGAGCAAGCCACATTTGCCTTTCAGTATGTGCATGTGCACATGAACTTCGTCCTCAGGCTGACGAGCCTAGTCTTCCTCTCTTTTCTTCTCGCAAACCAAGCCTCTGTGCATTTTCTAAACCGAATCAACCAATTAGAGCATAGATTCCTAATCGACTATGACGTTTTTTCTTTGACAGTGCAGATCGCAGTCCTTAGCCACATTGATCCAACATTGAAGATTAGAAAAACCTTTAAATATTGCGCAGACTCCCTCCATCGCGTCTTTCTTTTTTTTTTGTCATTCTCATCACCACTTTTCACTACCCTCATCTCCATCCAATTCACTACTTTCATCATGACTGTTAAGGCTGTCTGCGTCTTCCGCGCCAACGACAAGAACGTCACCGGCACCATCCACTTTACCCAGGAGAACGAGGCTGCTCCTGTTCACGTCCAAGCCGAGTTGGGTGGCCTCCCTCAAGGCAAGCACGGATTCCACGTCCAGTAAGTCATCCACCGCCTATGTACAAGTACTTTTTTAGAAGTATTATTTATTTTATTTCGATCCATTTGATTGAAAGAATATTATGGAATAAAATATTGTTCATGTACAACCTAAGTAAATTCAACAACAAAAATAAAAAAAAGAGAGAGAAAAAGAGGGAGACTTCCAAAGTATCATTTGGTGCATAATGAAGGAATAGACGCGTGAGAACGTTTCTCTTGTATGCCGTACTTTCTTCGTCTTCTCCTTTTTTTTATCTCTCAAGCATTATCTGTGCATTGACTCCTTGTTCTGGAAATATTCATATTTGATTTTTTAGTGAATTCGGTGATAACACCAATGGATGCCTGTCTGCTGGCGCCCACTTCAACCCCCACGGCCAAACTCACGGTGCTCCTGATGCTGCCGTCCGTCATGCTGGTGATCTCGGCAATGTCACTGCCGATGCTAATGGCAAGGCTACTCTTAACATCACTGACTCCCAGATCAAGCTCATTGGGCCTCACAGCATTATTGGGTATGCTTTTTTTTTTTTTTTTTTTTTTTTCTTACATACATGTTGTTAATCTTTGAATAATTGAAGTATCCTAAGTATTGATATTTCCTTTTTTTTATTATTTTTTTATTGAACTCTTTTGGTTCTCTAGCCGCACTATTGTTGTCCACGAGAACGAAGATGATCTTGGACTTGGTGGACACGAGCTCTCGGCTACCACTGGCAACGCTGGTGGTCGTCTTGCCTGCGGTGTCATTGGTATTACCAAGTAAATTTCTTATTCTTCTTGATCAACAACAACAACGAAAAAAAAAAAAAAAAAAAAAAAAAAAGACATCTTGAAGGAATTTTTTTAGAGCGAGAAAGAAAAACAAAAGGTGCTGTCGACTCGGGTTATGTGTTGAAGGAAAGAGAAATTATATCAGCGCGATTATTTTCGTTCCTTCAGAGTTTTTATCATATTCACCACATTCGTCCGAAGCTCTTCATCTCAAACTTTTTTGTCCTCTTTTAAAAGAATCTTTCTGGAACTTGTACATTTTGTAAAAAGTAAAATAAAGCTCTTGCATACTTTATGCTAATTTTTTTAGAACTGCGCAGTGGGGTACCTTGCTGTGTGCAGAAGAGAAATGGTACCATGCTAACCGCATCTTTTTATCACGGGATTCTATGGAACCCTTTGGGATAAGATCATCAAAGAAGTGTGATTCGTTTTAATCGTGTCACGCGTCGTATTTGCTTACCCTCAGTGTCTATGCTTTTATGTGGGTAATTTCATGTTTTCTAGTCAAAGCGATAGTCAGATAGAAAGCTGGTCAACCAAATAGGGTAGGGGGAAGAAAGAGACATCGTCATTTGAAGCATGATAGGCGCCAAAGGTTGAAATTAAGGCCTTGGGGCTATAGAAACCAAAAAAGTGTGACCATGGGCTAGAAGATTGCTTGAAAATCAGTAACCAGAGAAGATTTTTACTTACTACAACAGACCTTGACCAATGATTGGACATGAGATCGATACCAAATAAGTTGCCATTAAGAGACTGAGAAAGTTCTCATCTTTCTACTATGTGATACTCGTAGAATTGTGTGATTGCAAATGACAAACCTACTATTGCTCATCGATTCTGCGATCAGATCACCGCAATGGGTTGATCTAGTAAGCCAACAAGTAGCTCTTGGATAGAATAATTACCTCCCATAGAGGACCGGTACCAACCTTGCGTGCTGCTACAAAAAGAAAATAAACCTCTCTTCTGGATCAGGATAGAAAACTTTAGCAACTAAGGTTGAGTCATCGAGTGTGTATAAACATTAGTCTGTACTTTGAATTTCCGAGATTTTTCTTATGCACATGTTTATGATGGTTTACTTAAGCTCCTGCTAAGAGCAGATAATTCTCCTGCACAATATACTGTATCAAGCTACATGGATATGACATATTTATTTAACAGAGAAAAGCATGGATATAAGAAGTGTGGATGGTGAATGACAGAATATGTATAAAAAAAAAATTGCCAGGCATTTCGTCTAAAAAGAGTTCTCCCTGTTACTGCTGTAAAGGATTGAATTACTTTTGCCTTTCTAAATAACTTTCTTTCTTTCTTTTTTTTTTTTTTTTTTTTTCCTCTCAACTCATTTTTTAGGCTTGCTTGACGGCAACAACATTGCCGACTTGAGTGATGCCCAACTCCTCAAACTTGCGATGGAACAAGGGGATCAACTGTTGAGCAATCGTGAACGAGAAGACCAACTTGGGTCCGACAACCAAGATCTTTGGTAACAATCCTTTAAAGAAAGCACCAAAGCCTTCGTTACGAACCATTTTCTTAATAATGCTTACACCACCCTCTGGGTTATCGAAGTTGCGATTCTGGATTCGAGTCTTGACTACATCTAGGGGTGCTGCCACAGTGATAGAAGCAACCGACCCTCCAATCGAGGCGCAGAAGTTCTGGAAGAATGTAGCCTTGCTATAATCTTCCAATCCAAAAATCCATTCTTTAACGAATGCGCTTCCTCCAAAGAGCGCAAACGAGCCAGGGGCATTACGACCAGCAGTCCAGAGGGCACCTCTGCAAAAAGATAAATATCAAACAATGTATTATTAGCATACGCTGTATATGTTAATCTGGAAAACTCGACCAGTAAAGAAAAAAAAAAAAAAAAAAAAAGCCTACCTGTACAAGCCCATTCCCTCATCCGCAACAATCTTCATGACGCCACGTCCACGGAAGGCCTCAGGGTTGGTCTGCCTCTTGATCTTGAGGACATCAAGTGGCAAAAGGGCAATCTCACCAATGCCGACCAAAGAACCAGCAGTAGCATGCATCATGGTCTTGCCAGTCTTCTCTCCAAAAACGCCATTGAACGAGCCCTTGAAGTTACGATTCAGGTACTCGTTCACAAAGGGCTGGCCACCGAACTTGTACACACGCTGCATGATCTTGTATCCAGCAGCGAAACCAAGACCAGGGAACAAAGATGCATACTTCTTCAAAAATGCAGCATTGGCGGCATCCTTAAAAATGACCTTGTTGGTGTTGGCCAAACCGACGTTAAAAGGTTGACCAGACACGAACAGCTATCATTTTCAACCAAAACAGAGATGTAAGTCGATTTAAAATCCTATTCAACACGCACAAAATAACCTGATCAAATCTTCCAGGGTTCCTGAAAGTTGCTTTTGCTCCTTTAAACAATTTAATGAAGTTCTCTCCTTCTTTCCACTCTGTCCTGTTCATTATCCAGATTCCTCCTGTATATTGTTCAATTGTACTCCAAAGACAAAAAGCAAAAAAAAAAAAAAAAAAAAAAAAAAAAAGTGAAAATATCATGAACGATATGATAGAAAGAAAAAGGAAGGAAGGAAGGAAGGAAGGAAGGAAAGAGGCGAAATAAAGTTTACTTACACGAGTCTGGTTGCTCATGAGGCGCTTGGCTACAGTGTCTATGGGGTGGAAGATCATTAGTTCGAGGAATCCCGAGGTTCCGGACCCGCAGAGACGGGCGACACCCGACTCCGAGTGCTTGCTTTTGGAGGAAGGAGGCGACATTATTTGTTATGTGTTTCTCAAATGAGCAAGAAAATGGAGAGAGCGGGGTGTTGCGGAAATGACCTTTCGGGAATGCAGAACAGGAACAAAGAAAAAAAAAAAAAAAAAAAAAAAGAGAGAGAGAAATAGAAAACTTGAACATTTTTTAAACCCTTGTCGTTATTATCTTCAATCTCTAAATCTTTAATACTCAAAGGCTTTCCGGTCTATATCCGTGCAAGATCAATACCGATAATTGACATTCCTTGATCCTAAGACAATAACTTTATTTCACGCTATGCATTGATGAGCCAGGTACATATAAAATAACGGTTCTTTTTTTTTCTTGATGGAATGACTGCTTGGATTTGATAGATAAAATAACAATTTCACGTGCTGTGACTGCCTCTTCTTTACTGCAAATAAGCAAATACAGAAATATAAGAAATATAAGTAAAAGCAAATAGTAAATGTGGTATGTTCTGTGTTCTTGTTCTTTTGCAATTTTGTCTCCTATCTTGCTCTCTGCTTCTTATCCATTATTCGATGTCCACACCTTGAATCATTTCTGGATATTCTGACATCTTCTTCAGCTACTGCAGAATCCATATCTCGTGATCGTTTCATGGGAGCCACACTATCTAGCAGGCTCATTTGTGTTGTTGTGAGGATGTGTTGTGCGTTGTAACGGTTGATTACTATTAGGTTTTGAGTCAATCCACCCAGTGAACGTTGCAACCACGGCGACGATGACAATGGGGTGGTGATATTGGATGGGTATGATACAATCAGGCTGATGTATTGCCCTCCCGCAAAGCAATATTTTGCTAAATCAGGAAGTGAGTCTCCAATCAGCTCGCTTGTTGAGTGATGAACTGATCGAAATACTTTGTCGATAGCCTGCTGTCCATCCAGCTGCTTGAACAGTATGAATCTTACAAATACTGGATACTTTTGTTCACCAATTTGAATAACAAACACCAAATCGGGGCCTTCTTTCTTGGTAGTTGTTAAACTACTTGAACGGAAATAATAGAATGGACCCACGGTTTGGCCAGTTGAGAGACATGAGTTGTTCCAGTAATGTGCATTCATAAATGTTTGAAGACTAATACCCTGATCATTGTTCCAGTTATATATATTACCCAACCCCACAATATGAGACTGGTCATTGACCATCTGTTCGACATCCGATGTGTATGTTGCAAATAACGTCCTGAACAACTTTGTGTTGTGAAAGAGAGGTAGTAATATGAGAGGTACTTCGTGTTCCCAAAACCATTCCCTGCATGATGGTGGCGGCAAACCCATAGATAGCAAATCTTTGACTTGATCGTCCAGTAAAGTAGAGAAATTGGAGTTGAAATCAGACTGAAACAGAGCTTTTGCCGCCAAAAGTGAAGCAGGATCTCCAATCGTCATTCCCTTTGCCAAACCGTCAGTCCGACCCAACCCAGCGTCAAGAAGTAAACGATGCGGAGAGCTAAGAATGGTTGGCAGTCCTGTCAATATTTTGAGAGCTAGAGCTTGTTTGAGGATTTTTAGGATGTCGAAACTTATTGCTCTCCTGTCATTTGGATCGTCGATATCATGCAGTAACCATCGCACACTGTTATTATAGTCGTCCTCCATAAAGACTGATGGGACCCCGGTTGGTATATATAAAAAAAGGGTGCCCTGACAGTACAAGAGCAGCAGAAGTAGCTGTGGAAGAAGAAAATGTATGAAAAAATGGAGGGTGGGACGAAGGAAAGGGGGTAGGGACGAAGGAAAGGGGGTGGGGACGAAGGAGGAAAAAAAAAGGTCACAAAAGGTGGACAAAGCTTACAGGGGTAAGGAAAAATGGCCCAAAGGTGCATTCCAACAAAGTGGGATTTGGGTATTAAATGCTCTGCGGCATGATGGATGTTCAGATATCTCACACCCTTAACAACAAAGCTGATGTCGGTTAGAATAAGATTTATCCAATCAGAATCAGTTTTTTTGTTCTGCTTCTGTTTAGCTCCACAAATGAAAACGGGAATGGATTTTAGAAGGACAAAACTCAAACTTGCCAGAGGTAGAGGCAACGCTACGATTCATGACTGGGGCACAAACTGAAAAACAATAATAATCTGTGGCTAGATACAGGACATTGTACACAGCACTAGAATGAATGTATCTCATGGAGAAACCAAAAGAGCCTGAATAACAGAGAGGAAAAAAAAAAAAAACACGTCTCGAGAAGACAAACAACCTCCCTAATATGCAAGTATATTTGAAAGACCCCTTCTCCGTTTTTCACAATAGCACAGCAAAATATAAAAAAAAACGAAAGGTTAGAAGAGAGTATCATAATCATGAGAACAAACGAGATTAACAAGGACATGCGCGTAAAAAATATGTCAAAGTCAAAATTATGCTTACTACACTGAAGGTTGAATAAAGATGAGACAATTTTGTCTTTTTTTTTTTTTTTTTTTTTTTTTTTCGTGCCACTTCTTGCTTTCATTTGACTTTCATTCTTTCCTTGTCTCTCCTTTTCGTGGTTTCTGTCCGTGCATCAAGTTAGACAACAACACGCCTTTATTTTGTGTTATTTTTTTATATTTTATTTATCGGCAAGACGTGAACAGAGCACATGTCGGCAACCGCGGATGAGACAACGCCTCTGTGGCCAGAAGGTGCAGTTCACAACGCCAATCATCTAGGAGAACATGAGGACGATGAGCATGAGATAAACTACGACCTTCCAAGACACAGGAGTTTTGAGCATGGACCCCCTGCAGACCCATGGCGCATTTCATACTGGATCATGGTCATCCAAGGAGCCTCAATGCTCTTACCCTGGAACGGTAAACGGTTGCAATGATTTCATGCCTATTGATTCCCACACATGGTAAAAAGACTATTCAAGTGGGCCTCGAAATGTAACTCTACTGTGATTATTAACATGTTTAAATTATAAAAAAAAAAAAGTCTTCATTACTGCACAGGAATTCTTTAAGCTGAGATTTCGAGGATCGCCTTTTGAACATGACTTTCAAAATTATTTCTCAGTGGCATTCATGAGCACCAATCTAATCGTTGTTGGAAGCTCTATTCTGATTCAAAAGCAGGTAAAGGCTTGTGTATGCTAAGACCTCACCCTTTTTTTTAATGTGATTTGATAACGGTTGAATGTGACACGAGCTCTTCTTTCTCACGGCATAGGCACCAGGAACAACACATATTATTGGGAGCTTACTACTCAATGCGGCGGTCTTTCTGTCAATTCTGGTGTCTATCCAAACCAATTACGAGATCGACTCAACCACTTACTTTTTCTTTACTCTGACCATGCTCTCACTGTCAGCAATCTCGACATCGATTGTACAAAACGGCATGTTTGGCCTTGCCTCTAAATTTACAGGCCATCATGTCCAAGGTGTCATGCTGTGAGTTTTTTTTTTTTTTTGAATGTGAATCTGCATGAATATGGTCATGATCGTCTAACCTACTTGATTTACGTTAATAGTCCCAACTACCAAGATCTGATCTAATTTTTTTTTTTTTTTTTTTTTTTTTTTTTTGGCTTTAATCAGTGGTCAAGGAGTTGCAGGCGCTGGAGTTGCCATCTCTCAGATTGTCACACATATCCTTTCCCCATCTAAAGGTGATTCTTACTTGGACGACTATATTGGCCCTGTGTCGACATCACCATCCTTAGTTGCAGAATTCGGGGGTGGCAGTGGCAACAGAGGCAGGAGACAAGGGTTGGAGCACTCTGCATTCTTGTTCTTCTCGTTCGCATTGCTCTTTACTGTGATCTCAGTCCTGGCGCAGGCACTTTTGATTCGCTTACCCATATATGAATACTACACAGAGGAACAGCCCCGTCGACCAATTGAGTTCTTAGCACCACCTTCACCCCGTTTCAATAGCGTCACCCTCGCTGAAGGCAATCACGACGATAACAATGTTGCTGCTAACGGAGCTGGTGAACAGGATGCCACTATTATCCGTCGCAACTCAACAAGTTCGGCTGCCACGGCCGTCACTATCACCCCAGCTATGATTGAAGAAGCCAATCGTCGTCAGACAGAGGAAGCTGTCCGGCGAGCGGAAGCAGAGAGAGTGAACCATTACCGGAGCGCAAGTCTAGGAGCGACTGCGCTAGCAAATGATGCAAATGCCATGCGATTAATGCAAGATATCTATCCAAGGAAGAAGGCACATCCACTCGTCATCCTTTATATCTCCATTACCCTAGTGTATGGACTAACTCTATCACTCTTTCCTTCATTAACCGGCTTGGTGGAATCCACCAACACTGCGCCTGATCGATCCCGACTTGCCAAAGATCTGTTTGTTCCGCTGCACTTCCTCACTTTCAACTTGGGCGACTGGACTGGAAAGGCATTGCCATCGTTTGCTTTGTTCGCTCCCAGCACGCAACATCCGACGCGAAGACAGCAGTTGAAGTATTTGCTCTCATCACTCACACGATTCATCTTCATCCCTATTTTTCTGACTGCCAATCTGCCTATCCCTTCAAACACGAGGTTGTTACCCTTGTTGATCCAACGAGATGAAGTCTGGTTTGCACTAGTCTTTTTGTTTGCCCTGTCGAACGGGTACCTGGGAAGTATCATTATGATGGTTGGTCCAGCTTGTGTGCTTGGAGGCGAGAATAAGGCCCGTGCAGGCGTCAAGTTGGGCTTCTGGTTGACTGCTGGTCTTGCTCTTGGAAGTGCTGCCAGCTTTGGTGTACGTAAACTGATGTGTGCTCGAGGGGGGTGTCCAACTTGAAAGCCTCCTGAACTCAAGACTTCTTGTATATAGTAATCAATGAAAAACAAGAGTATTTCCTACTTTAAACATTACTTTCACATTCAATTTCAAAGATGCTTAGTCTCTTTGACAGATTTTGATTTTTATGAGCGGGACGGTAAAAGTACATTTATTGTGTTGAACAATGGTTATAAAAAAATAAGAGGTGAACAAGCAAAAAAAGTCTACATACAAAAGGATTGAAAAACTTGGTGCAAATGATAGTGGGTTGGGGGATATTTTGATTTTAAAAAGTTTTTTTTTTTTTTTTTTTTTTTTTCTTTTTTGGTAAAACAGGAAATGGGTTGAACCACCTGTTGATGAATAAAAAGGACGTTCAATTTTTTTGGGTCTCTCAATCGATCCAATTGCATATACAGATACACAAAGCTTAATCTTGCATCACGACAAGTCAAGCAGCGTGTACGTCTTTTCCCTTTTGTTCACTCTTTAAAATTCAAGCTTGCGAGGCTGCTCCCTATTAATCACAAAAAAAAAAAAAAAAGTTCAGATTCGTCAGCATGTGCTTACTACCTTTTAAAAGACGCCTATTCAAGTATTCGATACAAGAACACATAAATAAATAAATGAATAATAAAGCATACCAGGAAAACTCATCGCGACCAAAATGACCGTAGCAAGCAGTCTTGGTGTAAATGGGCTTGAAGAGATCCAACTGCTTGACGATGACGCCAGGGCGGAGGTCAAAGTTCTTCTTAACAATCTCAAGAATTTCGGCGTCAGACTTGGTCCCGGTACCGTAGGTGTCGACGAAAACCGAGGTGGGTTCAGCGACACCAATAGCATACGAGAGTTGGACGAGGGCACGACGGGCGAGACCAGCAGCGACGATAGACTTGGCAATCCAGCGGCCAGTGTAAGCAGCAGAGCGATCGACCTTGGACCAGTCCTTACCAGAGAAAGCTCCACTAAAATAAAGAATAAAAAAAAAATAAAAAAAAAAGTTAGATCATGTAAAAAAGCGAAAGGCATCACGTGAAGGGTAAATGTGAAAGCTAGATCAGCTTTGATGGTAAACAAACAAATATTACTGCTTACCCTCCGTGAGCACCATGACCGCCATAAGTGTCAACAATAATCTTGCGTCCAGTAACACCGGCATCGCCCTGAGGACCACCAATGATGAACTTGCCAGAGGGCTGAAGGTGATAGATAGTCTCAGGGGTGAGGTATTTAGCAGGAATGACCTTCTCGATGACCTCCTCCTTGAGGGCCTTGCGGAGAGTTTCATTATCAACATCAGCGGAATGCTGGACAGAGATAACGACGGTGTGAACGCGGATAGGGACTAAAGCACCACCCTCGTTTTTGTACTCGATGGTGACTTGGGTCTTGGAATCAGGGCGGAGGAAAGGAAGGGTTCCATCGCGACGACCATCAGCCATCTTCTTATTCAACTTGTGGGACAAGATCAAGGTCAAGGGCATGAGTTCGGGAGTCTCATCAGTAGCATAACCGAACATGATACCCTGGTCACCGGCTCCAATATCCTCAACGTTGAAACCCCTCTGGACAAGACCCTGGTAGATATCAGGGGACTGCTGCTCAATGGCGACAAGAACATTGCAGGTCTTGTAATCGAAGCCCTTCTCAGAGTCATCGTAACCAATATTCTTGATGGTCTGACGAATAATCTTTTGGTAGTCAAGAGTGGCCTTGGTGGTGATCTCTCCAAGAACCATGATCATACCGGTCTTTGCAGCAGTCTCGCAAGCAACCTTGGACATGGGATCCTGCTCCAAGCAAGCATCGAGAATGGCATCAGAGACCTGGTCGCAGATCTTGTCTGTAAAGAAGTTGTCACACAATTAAAAACACAAGGGTGACATATAGATGAATTATGAGTCAGCTGCTTTTTATCCATTCTTGATTTTGAGATCAGTCGAAAGAGATCTTCATGTGTTTGCTCATTTCGGTCATCGGAACGATTCTATGAGAACAGCCCAAAAACATATACTGTAAATAAGGGGTTGTCAGGACGAAGGAATACATACCGGGGTGACCCTCGCCGACAGATTCAGAGGTGAAAAGGAAGGTAGACATGGTAATGAGGTTATGCGATGAGTGAAATGAATGAGGCTGAGAGAAGATAAAAAAAAAAAAAAAAAAAAAAAAGAGAAAAAGAAAAGTAAAAAAAAAAATACTATCCAATATTTATATGAAGGGACTCAAAAGAACTTTATGGGGACCCAGCCAACACATGGGAATCGTGTCAATGCACAATTCTACAGCGCACTTTAAAAACATATAAAACACATTCATTCAATTGCTCTCTTTCTACCACGCAAAGGAAGGCGACATCAATTTGCCACGGCCACTTTGATCAAACCATCTTGGATTCATATTGCATAATATTTTTCCTGGCCTTGATCGTACCCATATGTATATACTTTTACTCTTCAACCAGTTCCCCCACTTTTTATTTATTTATTTATTTTTCTTTTTTCTTTTTTTTTATTTTTTATTAACCGCTATAGCAACGCCGCCGTCGTCGATTGGTAAAAGTTTCTATTGCACTTTCAATACTCCCACACTTCATTTGTCAAGCATTTTTCGACATGCTTTTGCTATCCTTGGTTCCTACGATACATCCCTTGATGTCCCCTTTAGAAATGTAAGCGTTCATATACTTTGAAATGTCTTTATTTCACAGGTGAATACCGAGACTTTCATGTATGGAAGCAGATCAGGATTTCAAGATATTATTCCTATAGCTAATATTGATAACAGGAACTGAAGTCATTGAGAATCGATGTCGTGACTTGGCAGTCTGGTAGGATCAACCTATATCTCTATCATCTCCATCTACCATTCAAGTTTTCATTCATACAAGATAATGTTTTAATGTCATCAAACATCAAAAGACAAAAAAGAAAGAAAAACAGTATTATCCCAGCCAGCCAATCAGAGTAGTTGGAACGCACGACATCATTCCTAAGATGTTCATTTTGGCCTCTGTGACTGGAACTTGGCTTTTAGTAATTTGTTTTTTTTTTTTTTTTTTTTTTTTTTTTACTCATGGACACTCAGTGTTATTTTACACTCTGCCCCTGAATAATCTGAATAATAAGATCAAACCCGTCAAACATTGCTCGAACATGCAATCTCTCATCTACTATAGTATTCTATGAATATATCTATGCGTGTGTTTTGTCCATGGGGATTTGGCTACTGGCTTTTCACAAGTCAAGCGATCATGCAAACATCTTCATGATGTCGCGCGTTAAGGACTGCAGGGAATGTAAACTTTAAACACTAAAACAACTGCATCAGACCGGGGTGAAAAAGCATGCGCGTGCAACCAGCAGTCCATGAACTGCGTGTCCACAATAAAGATCAATATCAAGCTTTATTCCTACCCCAACAAATAAAATAAATTTTTTTATCAGTCTTTCTGTGCAACGAGAATAAGGCGAGAAAAGCATATGAAATGCGCCATTGGACACTGGTTGAGCATTTTACTTCAATAATAACAATAATAAAAAGTGGGGAGATCAAGGGAAAAAAGACTGAGAAATATAGCGCATCATAGTCTAACTATATATACGAAGCTGTCATCGAATATGAGATATATATCCAATAATATGATATGATATATATATATATATATGTATGTATATATAATATGCCACATATGATAAATATATATATATATATTGATATTTAATTATTAAATTATACACGTATAGCTGTTTAATGCATGCTGAATAGACTGTTACATGTAATTATTGCTCGATCTATTCAGTCTCGTCTGTGCGCTTCAGATCAAAGCAAAGCCCACTTCAAATGCTGCGCACATGCTTGTACGCTGCTATAGACTGCAGTACATCATTTCATTTACGCAGTCCATTGTAAAATTATAAACTGCTATAAACTAATGGAGTTCAAAACACTACAGATCCAGCAAGCAAGTTTCTGACACTATTGATCTCGTCCGACATCCCGTTGACGTTCTCTTGCGAAACAAAACTTGATGCGATTTCGACTAGCCATGGGGACGCAGTCTCTGCAGTATTGCTCCCCGATGCCTCTTCCTCTGGTACAATGGCTGAGAATGGATCATGCTGCTTAGAGAGCTATATAAATGAAATTCGAATAGTATATATATATATATATATGTAAGATAAAAATAAAATGAGAACTAATAGACCGATACTGGAACTTTCATTTTCTACTGCGAATTATTTGATCCCATAACATCTCCTAAAGACAACTTACCTTATACTTTCGAAAGACAGATATCCTGCAAATGTTGTTGAACATGAAGTTGTATCCTCTGCAAACAAATTCATCCTCAAATCTATATTCGATAATAAAGCAATATACCTTTCTTTTTCTGAGCAAAATACTTCTCTCCACGTAAAACAATCCGAAAAAAAAGGGCGACCTTTGTGTCTGGATTTTGCCTCACCCGTAGCCTAGCAATGATAAAAACCCAAATGCATCACCATGGATTTTGACCAGGATAACGGATCGAACGACAATAGTCCTACCCGGCTCTGGGTGCCCATATTGACACAGTCGATACTGTCTGGTAACTATTGTTTTTGGCCCATAATGTCGTAAAGATGACCCTACTTGTAAAGATCCTCCGTTGGATGTGGTCATGTTGGCTGACGCGTCTTGCTGCTGCTGCCATTGTTGTTCTTGTGTTGTAATTGACTGGGATGTCGCTGTTGGATCGGTGGACATTTGTGCGATTGTATCCTCAGTGTCTTGTGTATTAGATGTCATCCCACTATCTATAATGGATGACATATCACCAACTGCTAATACGGATGCCTCGCTTTGATTCGTGTCTTGGGCACCATTGTTATTGCTGTTGACATCCGTATCATGTGCGTCCCTGGAATTTTTCTGTTTTTTCCTATTGCCGCCATCATCTAATATATGTATCTGCTTTTTAGATTGATCTAAAATAGTCAACTTGACACGCAGTCGAAGATGAACATCGTCATTTCTAGCCGCGTAGATGGGTCTCTGGACTAAAGAGTAAAAAGAGGATATTATAAAAAATTAAAAACAACAAAAAAAAAAAAAAAAAAAAAAAAAGGTCAAACTAATTAATGATATTCATATTATCCAGTTCTCGCATTCGTGCTAGCGTTTTCAACTTTACTAGCATAGTATTCGATTTCTTTTTTTACAGTCAGGTCATACTAGCAGGGGTAAAGAGCATCTCGTGCTCAAACATCTTTGAATGTGCAGCATGTTCACACAGTCCAAGCAGTCGATCGTATAGGCGTTGAAACTGTCCTGGAAGTACAGTCCCAGTTAGACTGCACTCAAATGAGGCTCCTCCTGACGTTGATCCCGGTACTGACATGAACTTCTTGTTGACCTCAAAACGCCTAGCCTTGGAATGAATGGCACAATGTTTCTGAAAAAGTCATAATGATATGTCAAGCCACCTCAAATCTCTATCTTATTTTTACGTGAGAACGTTTTTGTAATTCATATTTATTTCTCTATAATCAGTATCTTAAAGCTGCTTAGTCTTTCTTGTGATCATCTCGATCATTTGTTTGCCAACAACTGCGGCCTCACCAAACCGATCTTTAAAAAACTGGGCGGTATCCTCAAACCGAATTCTATAGCCTTCCATATTGCCCAAAGCAATGCACTCCTGCCATCCACGGGCTGACATCATGAACTCCATATCGTCTTCTCGGATGTTCTTGTCGTAAAGTGCTGCCTGGATGGCGTCCTTGAGGTATTCCTCGTTCAAAAACAGATACTCGGAGATTCCACTGTATCGAAAAAGAAAAAAGTCGATGATTATTCTCTTGCAGTCCTCATAAAGCGTGCTTCTGCCGGTTTGCGAAAAGCGACTAAAAGAAAAACTTACAGCCAGAAGCGGAATAGTGGTGTTTGACAGACCATATGTGAGTAAGGATTCATTTTTAGTTGGCACCAGCAGTCAACCATGGCCAAAAGTGAGAGATGTGAGTTGGGTTTAATCTTTTCCTTTGGAACACTACCGAGAGAATACTGGTCCAACAAGTTATCTGAAAGAAGAATTGGCTCTGAATTCCCTCTGTTGCCAAATACGAAATCTCCAGCCTAAATCGTTAAACCGTGAGGAGCGTAAAACCGATATCTTAATCGACAGTCAACAGTTAAATACATTCCTTCAATGACTCCATTATTATTTTATCAACGTACAGTACGGATACGGGTGATAAACTCTTCCTCCTTTTCCTGAATCATAAGTTTGAATAAAGCTGCCACTGACAAAGAGTATTGACGGACCTGGGCTTTAGCCGAGGGATTGAGAATTGCCAGCCCAGCATACACTATTTTCCAATGAGAGATGGACCACCAACACCTGGAGAGTCAGAATTCAGTTGAAAGTGGTCTCCTGGGGTAATAAATTTTGTTGCTGCCTTTATTTCTTATCGCTCCTCACAATCAATGTAACCTTACCGTGCCATTTGTTTGAGAGGATACGCATGGTCATATTCACCTTGACGTTCTCAATACCCCCCGTATAAGTAGGATCAAACCACTGAAGACATAATTTACATTACGAGCACTGATCTGTCAGCCCTGTATTCATAATCAACGCATTTTGTAAGCTGAATGATCGCCTCCAAGTCAATAGAGCATTTGTTCTTACAGGAAAGTTGTTTTGGTGTTTCCATGTCGTTCCCATGCTCAGGAAGGCCATATGAGTGACAGCCTGGGTATCCGCTGTGATCCGGTCATGTTCCTTGTAAGACAAATGTGCAATCTGACTCTCAAAGCAGCTCAGAATCCTCTCGACAAGTGCTAGTTTTTCTGGAGATCCGCGATGGTTGATGATCACGAGCGGTTGTCCTCGAGAAGGGACAGTGGGGCCATGCATAGAATGACAAGTGATGATGTATACATCCTCAGGCAGGTGCTTTTCAAATGCTGCGATTTCAGGTGCTTTAACGGATGTCTGACCCCCTACAATTGCGCCGATCTTTGTAGCTAATGATAAAAAAATAAAAAATAAAAGAGAGAGAGAGAGAGAGAGAAAGCGGGGCAAAGAGAATATGAATATCATTGAGGACTAGAAAGCTTCTTGGAACCAATTGCAAAATTCACAAGTCCTTCTTCATTAACATTACATGGTCCGTATGTGGCGACAACAGTATTGATAAACTCTGCAGGCACAGAGTATAGGATCCAATCACTCTGTCTAGAGACGTAGTGCCCATCTTTCATCACTGTAATACCTGAATCCTTGAACTCCTCGCGTAAGGACTCATACTTCTCCGGCATATCACATACATTAACACTTAAGAAAGGAAGAGTCGGCAGATTTATTATAAGTACTGTTATAGCGGTTTAATTTATCAATGTGTTCGAAAGACCGGAAAAAAAAAAAAAAAAAAAAAAAGTTTTCGTACTTTTTCCAACCGGCAGCGGAAAGTTTTCGGGCATAAAGTTTTCCCATGTCACCCATGCCAATGATGCCCAGCTGAATGGTTTCCATTTCTGCAGAAAATTCAACGTTGAATGGCATTTGGTAGAAATGAATTTTTTATTTTGATATTGAACTCACACCAGGTCGCGTGCCTTATTGAAGTGAACAAAGGAGAGAAGCAAGGATAGCGAGGAGAGCGAAAATTTAGGAGGCCATTTTACCAGGAACGACCACATGTTGGATTCAGTGACTGTGCTTGACTCATGATGGACACCACAAATATTATTTATCACACCAAAATCGCTTGTTTCTTTGGTGGCGCTTATTTCGAGTCGCGATTTCATTCTAATATGGCACCTCTTTTTATATGCATTACAAAAAAGGGTAGGGGAAGAACCATGCGCTTTTTTTCCCACTGAAATACGTCTATAGCTAGCCATTATTTTTTTATTGGCCAAATATCGATGGAAGAACCTTTCTCAGAGGTAGCTAAATTGGTTACTGAAGTCTAGGGTGCTGATAAAAAATTTACAAAATCAAAAGGATAGTACTCCTAAGGGCTTCCCAGCCATAACGTCTGTGAGCAACGGCCAGAATCATTCTTCCACCTTCGACGAAGATAGCACCGCTACTGAATTTTGAATTTTTTAAAGATAATATCGCTGACTGCTTTCAAAGTTCGTCAGCAAATGAATGCGATGGCTTCCCAACCAAAAGCTATTTCTGGACGTAATAATATCAGAGCAGGCGTCTCCATCCTAGCCAGGCTAGATAGTTTTGCGAGATCTGCGAATGGCAGGTTTGTAGTCGGCAATGATCTGTTCACCAAAATGGTCGAAGGATGTGAAGCTTGATCCAGAAGAGGAAGAATGAATGATAAGAATGAGTGAGGCCTTCTGTGGACGCGCCGAAGTTAAGTTGTTACACTAAATGGTGGTTGTATATATTGAATCGTTGATAGATCCGTACTTTGTCTTTCCATACCAAGCCAAGTACTTATCCCGTATGCTTTTGTCCCTCTCAAAGACACGTTAAGGTTGGAGGAAAGAAAAAAGGCTTAACTGCTTATGAAAATGTAGTATAATTTCATTTCATATAAACCGCATGAGATGTAAATCTCAAAGAAAATCCATACGGGTTTATTTCACACTTTAAGCATTTAGAGTAACCCAATGTTAGTCAGTAAATTAGAACTACCGGCCACGTCCACGCCCCTTCCAGCTTGGCTCATTCTGAACATCCAATCCAAATTGCCCGCTTCGCCTTCCAAATCCTTGTCCATGCCCATTCCGACTACTACCAATGGTACTAAATGCTCCTCCTAGTCGACCTGCAAACCGGTCACCAAGCGGATTCATTCGCTCTCCTCCAACCTCCACTCCAGCGCCACGCCCGTGTCGACTATGTTTTTGTCCTGAACGGCTATTACGTTGTGGGCCACCTCGATTACTAATTCCCCCTGCAGAACGCATTGGTTGCTGCTCCTTTCTCGCATTACGCGACAGAAATCTAGGTGTCGGTGATGTAATTGCAATATCCAGGTAATCGCCAATTACAAATCTGAAATCGTTCAATGTTTTTTCATATTCCTTGCTGGCGCTTTTTCCTGATAAGGCTGCTGTTACACCGGCTATGGCTATACTTGACCCTGATCTTTCACCGTGCTCGACGTGGTCATTATGGTCATCATTATCATCCTTTATGACAAGCTCCTCCAATTGCGTCGGTGCATTCGCTAATGAATCCAGATGTGGGTTATCCAAGCGCACGCTTCCAACGTCCTTTCCAACAAAAATGCCTTTTGTCTGATCAAGATAGATATGTCGAAATACAAGCTGGGCATCTGATCCAGCTTCTGATAATAAATCAGGGATTGCCTGCTTTACAAGAAATGCAATCTCTCCAAGCGTCGCGTTTTTCCATGTATAGAGTCGCAACTCTTCTGACTGTGGAGGTGTCGAAACAGGCGTAAAGTCATCGACTCTATGAGTGAACAGAGCATTAATATGGACAATTAGCTTTAATGACTTTACTATTGCCAGGTTTCCTCTGAAACTCATAGACGTACCGATGATGCTGCCCTGGATTGTAGTACATTTTCAACAGGAATGGACAAAGCTTATTGTTGTTATTGAACAAAAGCATCAGATCAGCTGTCTTTTTTTTTTTTTTAATGTGACTAAATGGTCGAGCTAAATCTTTAAATGTCCAAGGCTTTGAATGTGGAATATTGTTTTTAGTATACCTTCTCACGATCTATCACAATGGATGTTACTCCTGTTTTGGTTTCTATGGATGCCTCTGCCTGCATTGTCACGACTAATGTAATGATGAAGAGGAAGGATGGAAGGGCAGGATTTAAAACAGAAAGACCTGAAGTGACGTGTATTACAGCCATTTTGACCGCCTTTCCCCTACCCAGTTTCTCACACAAAGTAAACTATATAAAATAATGAGGACTATGCCCTCGCCGGTTTTCCACATGGAGAATTGGCCATATGGCCTGACTCCACCTGGCAAAGAATGGCGATTGCTGTCTAGGAGAGCCGAAATCCTCTACGCCGTGAGGCGTCGGAAGTGGCTACAATCCCAAACGTTCGCTCTCGAAGTAGCCGGCCGCAGATATACATCATGGGAGGTTCTTCCTTGCGAAAAAAGATGCCTAATGCCGAGTGCTAAGATAGACTGGACTGACCATGACAAGGCTAGTGCCAAGCTGGAGTACACAGTGCTATCGAAGCCCACTCCTGAGATAGTTTTTTTCCAATCACCTCAATGGAGCAATTCATTTTATTGAGATAAGCTCCGCAATGTTGTCCATTCAAGGACCGAAAGTAAACTGTGGGGCCTAAAATTATTATTTTGTTAATGGAAATTGGAGAAAAAATTGATCAACTAGCGACTGGTTTTTCAGCAAATAAGTGACCGGTCTTTTGTTTACTTTTTTTTTTTTTTTTTTATATATACTGAAAAACTCATTCTTAAACTCTGACAGCACCATGGCACCACCATTCAAACGAGGTGGAGGAAGAGGAGGTGGACGTGGAGGAAGGGCTCGTTATGGGGTTGCTCCAGGCGGTCGACATAAAACCAGCACAACCAACCTACCTCAAGCACTGAGTCAAGAGCTGGAAGGCAGTAAGTTTCACCATCAAAAGCCGTCCTCTGCGTTTCAAAAGACCCATGTGGGTATATACAGCTTCAAGCTAATTCTCACCCTCTTTTCAAGCAGATACGTCAATCTTTTTCGCTGATGGCGATGATCGTGACTTTAGCAAAAAGTTCAAGAATAAAGCTGCCGGACGGAAGGCTCGTAGAAAACAGGAGCGCGCAGAAAAGAAAAAGCATCGTGCACCGACAATGTCAAAGATTGAACTTCTTACACGACAACAGCATATGATGCCTGCGAACCCCACTGCTCAAGGCAAAGGTGGTAGCAAAAAGAAAGGCTCCAACAAGAAACAAAGGGTTGATTCTTCACAGTTGGAAGTCAATATAGATGAACATGAAGGAGAGACTTTGGTGACAGATATAGCATCCGAGATTAAGAAAGACAAAAAGAAGCTGAAAAAAACCATTGGAAAAGCCGCTCCATCTCTCGACGGTTCTGCAGAGTTGGATGCTAGAAAGCTTGAGAAGCTATCAAAATCCAACCCAGCATTCTACGCCATGCTGCAGGAAGATGGCGTAGTATCTGGTGGCGGATCAAGCTTTAACGAAGGCTTTGATGATGATGAGCAGTATATCCGGCACTACGAGAAAAAGTTGGGACTCAAGCGTAAGGATATAGACAAACTTACCTCTAAGAAATCGTTTTTGGATGACGGTCTTGGCGAGTTGTTAGAGGGTATTGAACTAGGCTCTAGGAAGAGGCGATCAAATTCAGGTGCCACAGCCCCTTCAGCAGCAAAACTCCTACCCAAAACTGAGCCAGTAAACAATTCTACTGGAAAAAAGAGAAGCGCTAGTGAAATCGAAAGTGACGAGGGAACGGAAGATGACGAGGCTGATGAGATTGATATAGACAACTTTGATCAAGACTTAGAGGGCTTTGAGTCTGAAGACTTGGACCATTTTGAAGTGGGAGATAGTGGAGACGACAATGAATTATCAATGGCCTTTGATAGTGATTCAGAAGATTTTGGGTCAGAAGTGGAAGATAAAAAGGAAAGTGAGGACAACGAAGGCCCATCAGAAGAGGAAAGTGAAGACACGGAGGGAGTAGAAAGCGAAATACCAGATAAGGAATCTACAGTTACGACCATGGCAGCAGCTCACTCTGGAAAGTACCTACCGCCACATCTTCGGGCTGCTGCTGCTAGCGCTGCTACTGAAGAAGAGAGTGGTGCCTCCGCTCTTGCTAAATCTATCCCCAGAAAGAATACAGAGGAGCTTTTGCGACTTCGTCGTCAGCTCCAAGGACTGCTTAATAAGCTGAGCGAAAGCAATATCGAGCCAATCCTTATGGACATAGAAAGTCTTTACCGCAAATACCCAAGAGCAGGTGATACACTTGATATACTACCAAAAAAAAAAAAAAAAAAAAAAAAAAAAGAAAGAAAGAAAGAGAATAAGACAGGGCTTACCACTTGATACCTGATATTAACAGAAGATTCTGATCTCGATTTATAGATGTAACTGAAAACATCACAGAGATGATTTTGGCGTCCATATCTTCCAAAGCCAACCTGTTGGACTCATTTGTAATCCTGTATGCCGCTGTGGTTGCCAGCTTGTACCGTCTTGTTGGAATAGAGTTTGCGGCACATTTCGTTCAAACGCTGATTGAACAATTCGACGCTTATCATGCGATGGCTTCGAGCACAAAGAGCACAGAAATGACAGACGAGACCCTAAGCGCTGCAAAGCAATGTACAAATCTGATAGTTTTGGTTTCAGAGCTTTATAATATGCAGGTAATTGCCTGCATTCTAGTCTACGAGCTGATTCGTTGGTTCATGACGGAACTTTCAGAGTTAAATGTCGAGCTTGTGGTCAGGTTCGTTAAGACATCAGGATATCAGCTTAGACAGGATGACCCTACAACTCTCAAAACCATTATCCAGGATTTCACAGTTTTGGCGAATCAGACTACTGCAAAAGAGGGCTCTCAGAAGTCCATTTCGTCTCGTACACGGTTTCTCTTAGAAACATTGACTGCACTCAAAGCAAATCGAATGAAAGGACCTTCAACTAATTCAACTACATCAGGAACTATCGCAGAGAGCACTGTACGTATGAAGAAGTTTGTGTCTGGATTGAGCAAAAAGCGGACCACTTTCCCTAGTGAGCCGATGCGTGTTGGTTTGGCAGATATTCGTCAGGTCAAGACTAAAGGCAAGTGGTGGCTAGTAGGCTCAAGTTGGAAAAACAACATGGTGGGCGAGGAAAGCTCGCGTAAATTCTTAACTTCAACTGCGGATGACATGTTGGAAGCCGAGGATGAGCTTCTCAAACTCGCGCGGAAGAATAAGATGAACACAGATGTGAGACGAAGTATCTTTGTTGTTTTAATGAGCAGCGAGGACTATGTTGACGCGTTTGAGCGATTGATCAAGCTCAATTTGAAGGAAGTACAGCAGCGTGAGATTGTCCGTATTTTATTACACTGTGCCGGCAATGTAAGCTTATGGCTTGTATCATGGCTCTAGCCATTTCATACTTGATGTTACTTTTTTATTCGTGTGTCTTATCTTTTATTTTCCTCCTTTTAAAATAGGAAAAGACTCATAACCCCTATTACACGCTTGTAGGACAGCGTCTTTGTCAACATGATCATTCGTTCAAGATAACGTTCCAATATTCACTTTGGGATCTACTGAGAGAAATGGGTGCTGCAGATGTAGGAGGTATGGAAAAGGTCAAAAATGGACAGGTGATTGGTCTCGATGATGGCTTAAACAACAGTGGGAAGAAGGTTGCGCTCCGTCGAATCATCAACCTCAGCAAAATGTATGGCTTTTTGATTACTTCACAGGATCTAAGTTTGGTCATGCTGAAGACAGTTACCTTTACCTCATTACCCGAGCAGCCCACATTGTTCTTTCAACTCCTCTTGACCAATATCATCCTGTCATCACAGCCTCAAGTCCACCCACCTCTCCAACAGCAACGGATGCAGAAGGAGGCGTCTAAGGAGAAGCCCAAGTACAATGCTCAAGCATTAGCTGATATCTTTATCCGTGCAGCCATAAATCCAACACTAGCACAAGGCATCATATTTTTCTTGCAAGCTTTTGTCAAGAAAGGTCAAGTGTGTCAGACAGATCAAGAGAAAGAGACGGTCAAGTGGGCATGTAGCACTATCAGAGAGGTCCTTCAGGGAGCTGTCAATACTGGTGGCCGGTTTTAAGTCACTAGTTGTATTCATAGACCAAATTAAATATAATCATTTAGAGCAGAAGCACCTGACAGTTGTTGCATTACGAACGGTGGTCCTGGTTCCGTGGTGTACTAAATAAAAATGCGTCAAAGCATGTCTTCCATCTGTGTGGCCTTAATAGGAGCTCGTATCTGGGTCGCACTGGGACATACACTGCTGTGGGGAGAGTTGGAAGTCGCGGCTCTGAATTGCATGGATTGTGGCATTTGCTGGGCGCGTGGATCGGAATCTCGCTTCATGGTGATCGCCAAGCAAATCCAAAGTCCAATCTTACACCCTTCCATCCTGTTTTTGTCGTAATAAGAATCCAGTATGTCTGTGCACCATTCACGAGGTCATACAATTTAATAGCATCCACAACACAGGAAGGCACTCTAGGTATTAAAATAAGTCTTTCTGCTTGATGATCAAGACCTGACAAGTGAAAACCATGTAGTTCCACAGCCACCAGGCGCTATTACTCAAGGATATGATGTATTCCTACTAATACCAGCCATAATTTTGTCTTCTCTTCCCTATTGCGCTTTTTTAAGAACCTCCACTTCTCTGCTCCATATTTAATTACACTCCAGGATTGATAACGTATTTGAAGTTCGAGAGGCCCAGTAAGCAACCTTATATTCAGTGTTCGTGGCATTCAAGGCTCTCCAAGGAGACTTTGACCTCTTGAGTTCCCCTCCGCCTTTGTCTTCTTTCTTACCTTGCTCTGCGTCTTTTGCCAACGTAGTAAAAAATATGTCTCTAAATGCCCACGATATCACGCCTCTGATTGCTCCACCTCGTCGTCCCTCTATGAATTACAATGACTGCGTCTGCAATATCACAAAAGTCATCAACCGGACACAAAAACCGCCGACTACCTCGACATCTACGTCCTCTGCTACCAACGTCAACAATATTGAACTACCACCAACGAGTACTCCATTATCAGCAGGTCCCCGGCGGAAAGCTATATCAAACATCTCCATCATGCCTAGGCACATCCCAAAGGTATCCCCAAATACGAAACCGCCTTATGAGACGCCACCGAAAAACGACAATACAGTTAGAGCGAGAAACCATGACCGTGACATAAACCCCGTTTTTGACGATTCGTACAGCAACTCAGGCCAAGGGGATAGGTACACACACCAACAACAGTGGCAAGAACTCCATAGCCATGATCCTAATCAGGACTACATATACAGCAAAGATTGTCTCAAAAGAAGGGCCAGTTTGAATAGCCCTACACGCGTTTCTGCGATGTCTTCCTGCTCTAATTCAATCCATCACCGTGAAACTATGAGTAACATGTTATATCCTTTGGTGAGCACTAAAAGGGGCCCATTCGTTATGAGCAATGATATGGGCCATAGATCAGTGGCGAGCCCTATCTACAACATGATCGACAACATCACTCCTGCTGAAGGACTCCCAAATCAGCGACTGAATACCAAAAGTGGAAATGTTGATCAAAAATTCGGAGAACTTTTGAACGTTAGCAGTTCTTTTGTTGGGAGCAAAAAACGAGGCAGTGACACTTGTATCGGAACTGAGGAATCACTCCTGCTTTCGCCTCCATCGACTTCACTGCTTTCCATGAAAAGAGAGGGGGGTAATTCAGGTTCATTCTTCGGAAAGAATTGCTATTATGGAACGTCGCCTAGTACATCCAAGATATCCCTTCTTTCAAAAGTGTTTGGTAATCAGAATCAGCAACAGGGCAGGTACGGCGACGACGCTTCCAAGAGAAGCGTCCCTTGGGCCAATAATATAGGTGCAAGTAAGATCCTCGCATGGGAGATGCACAAGAGCGTCCCATCATCAGGTTATGAGAACGAATCCTTTGCGCTATGGATCCGACCCAACACTCAGTCACGTACTGTAATTAGTGGCGCCGATGTGGAAAAAGCGGAAAGCGCAGCTGCAAACAGGAATGGTAAAGATGAAGCGGCGACTAGTAGAGATGACGAAAGGCAGAAAAAGTATTGTCCAGAGCTCGAGGACATGAAGGTCTTAGAAGAAGTGCTTGATTTTGGTACGAGACTTCTCTGTACTTTTGCCAACCTTGATATGAAAGAACGATAGAACATTGGCACCATTATGCTGATCAGCTAATGTTCTTAACTTTCTACGGATTAGCAATCATTATATTGATGCGCGCGTCGGCCAGCCTATACCCATTTATATCGAGCGCCTATCCTGAGTCAATACCTTTGAACATCCGTTGGAAATTGCTTCAATATGTAAGGATAGAAGTAACCCGAATAATTGGACTTATAAGCATTGCTTTTAATTCAGCTTCGCGCATTAATCTTCTGTGGATGGATTCCTGTCAAAGGAGGATCGAGGGTGGAGATATTATAACGTTAGGACGCTCAAAGAGTACCAAGATTATGTGATGGTAGATATCGGCTTTGCTATCCAGGCCATGATTGAAATATATGATCAGCAGGAGCGGCCATACAATCATCCTGACAACATTTACCGTGACGCAAAACTTTCCCAACGACCTATCCCTGTTTTTCTTCCTCCAGATCGGACACGCTTGAGCAAGTTAATGAGTAACAATGGTGCTAACAAAGGGAGAAGCAACGGCAATAGCCATATTCCAGCTACATGTTCTTCTCCTAGCACATTGATACCGCCCTCCGTGATAGCTTCGACATCACTCAAAAAGCATCGTCGACACTCATCCGTTCCAGTGAGCAAACTAACTATTTCGGGCATGCTCACATCCATCAAACAGAGCCTACCTTCGCCCATGTCACTTCACTCTCCACTGCAAGACGGAAGAAGCGGCTTCAATGAGTACAATAATTCATTTTATTCGTCATACCCAGATGGCACTCCTTTTGCACCTAGTTTACCTGCACGGTCAGCACTAATGTCTTATACTCAAGCCGAACCAACGGAACACTCATATTATTACAGCCATAGTGGTGCTGGTACCCCTATTACCGCCACCGGAGGGAGTTTCCTTCCTCAATCTATTCAATCCATCATTAGTTCGTTCCGAGGTGGCTCTGTCAATGGAAGCTCCTCGTTATCTTTGGCTTACGGCTCCAATGCAAACATAACTATCCACAGTCCAAAAACGCAACCCATAATGCCCTCCAAGCAGGAAGAGAAGCGCCAGCAGATGGAATATCGTTGGCGAGTTGATATAATGCGTCGAAAGGCCCACTTACGTGCCTGGGCATGTCGCTGTTTCCTTGATTTGTACGACTATTCTCTAATTGCTTCATATGGATTGCTGGAAGAGGAGTTTAAAGACTTGTATCGTATTATCAGCGCAATTGTTGAAGTGGATGCGAATGAAAAATCGCATGAAGTCTTGGAAGCAACAATATCGCAGGCTCGTGAACAAGAGAAGGAACCATTCAAACTTCGATACAGCCAATACAAGACTAAGGCCCCTACAGGAAAAGAGATTCGAGAAGCAAATAAGGAGGCCATCAGGCGATTTGAGATGGAGTATGCTGATCAAGCGCTTAGAGACCGCATGGAATACCCTATACGATCAGTAACTGATAATGATGATGATAGTTCGAAATTGGACAATTGTATCACCTGGCTTCGCCGCCCTCTCATATCCTATAAACACCCTCATGAGCCACAAAACAGTAACGGCGATGGATGCTCATCTTCTTGTTTACCAGGCTTTACCTCTGCTGGTGGTAGTGCTGAAGGCGATGGCGCATATGACTGTATGGAGCTCTATGGCCTCCAAAACCATACAATTTGGGAGCCACTCCTCGATCGCCTTACCAAGTTTGACACTACCCATCATGAGCTTGACGCCCGCAATATCTTCCAGTTTCTCCGTCGCATGTCCCTTTATTCACCTGGAGTTGCGGACGAGCGTAACCTGCTTTCAGATGAATCCCGCGAGGAGATGTTGGCGGTTTTATGGGCAATTGAGAAATGTGTACAAGAGAGACCTGACTACCAGCAATCGCCCACTTGGTTCCGGCTTTCGTCGAGCGCCAGCGCTGTTCAGGCTATTTGTGATGCAGGGGGTGTAATACCATATCTGAAGGGGTTAAAGGAAAAAGACATACAAGGACGTGATCCTATATTGCTTGTTAACCCAGTGACGCTGACGGGCTACTTCAAACGGCTGCTAAAGGAAGGTGGGGGTTTATTACTGAAGGAGACTACAGTGTTATTCGTGGAGCTGGCGAGACCTGCAACAGACAACGGTGGTAATAACTAAGTTTAAGAATCCGTTTTGTAATTTTTTTTAAGTAACGCTCGCCCGCTAACCTTGATTGGTGTCTTTTAGACTTTTGGAACCTAGAAAAACTAAGTAGAATTGATCGCGCACTTCTTTATCGCGTAATCTGTCTGGATCAGAATCGTGGACAAGTTTTCTTGCGAATTTCGCGAGTAATGGACCAGATCCTTGAGTCTTCACCAAAGGACATGGAGCTAGATGCGTTTGCACTGTCCAAAATGGTGCAAGTTGTGGAGCTAAGTGGTGTTCTTGACTTGAAAGCCCTTAGACGCTGGAATGGCGCATGGTCAGCCATTATTCTGGGATACATGTAGTTGCCACACAATAAAAGTGCTGGCAACAAACTCTCAAGGAGTGTCAATGAAAATTATTCGTGTTCACAAGAATTATTTGAAATGAATCGCTCGTTGCATATAACCTCTCTCAGTTTTAATTTGTCTGCCATCAAGACACTATCCTAATTGTATCAACCTCTTTATCGACGAATTAATTAAATATACTACTTTATGTTGAATAAATGAAGCTGTTACCTCATTCAGTATGGTCCCATACCTTGAGTATGAATAGTAACAGCAAGGCAGCTTAATATATAAGATATGGTTCATTTAGTGTTGGGGTAGCCTGGGCGAAAAAGAGGGATATTCCCCGATAACCTACGATGTTAGGTCGTCCTTGCTCCTTTAGACTAGCTCCCCAAAAATCTACGCATTGAAGAGGGCATTCCTTGGTGAACAGTATACTATTTATTTAGTGTTTCCTTGCTCGGTGTAATTCAGCCATGTATTGTCCCATATGCATTTTTTGGTGTAAACAGTGATTCAATTGGTCCACAACACTGGTAAGTAAAGCAGCTGACCCATAGATCCAACATTGCTGCATTGAGATCAGACTGCCAACATCGTTGTCCGACATCCCATTTATCCAGTCAAGGCAATAAAAAGAAAATTGACATTCATCTTTTTGCTTTTTATAATTCTCTTCAAGATTGCAAAAATAATTAGCTTTACTCTGAACATTAAGCCTCACCGCGACGTCATTTCAGTAGCTGATCTTCGACCGTGTCTAGGCCTGTCAAAGCCTGAAATTAAGGTGCCGTGCTAAATTTTTATTATACTCAATGACGATTTATGCATGTTTCTGTGTGTGCCTGAGTGTGTGCCTGAGACAAATCCATTTTCATATTTGAATATGATGCAAGTAACTTGTCAGCTCCCCTTTCTCTTTTCTTCTCTTGTTTCCACAGATCCGTCAGTCTTGGTATCGAAATCCATGCTTGATGACGAGGCCTTTATCTTCTCACTCTTTGTTGACACCTTTCTAACATCACGCACACGCCACAGACCTCTCTCCACAACTGTTTTGTGTTGTCTCTAAATATCTAGCAACTTGTTTTTGTCGTACCCAATCGTCCGATCTGTCACCAACAATCATCTCAATCCTCGTTCTCTGATATTCCTTGGATATGTCAGTGTATCACTGATGCTTATTTCCCCCTTCTCTTCTCCACATTTTACCGAAAGGGGTAAAAAGGAAAAAAAAAAAAAGCAGTAGCCACAGAAACACAAATTCGTACCCTGCCTCTCCCACGTTCATTGATGACTACACTAATAATAAACCAGGACGCAGTAGAACCAGGCTATGAGGCAGCAAAGGCCGCAGATGCTGCGCCCATAAATATGCGTGAGAGCAGTAACAGCAATAGTCCCATGGTCAGTGACATGAGAATTGGATGTTTAGATGAATGCCATTTCTCAACATTCTTTTCGTCTACTTCTCTCCTGTGACACACTGTTTCCTTTTTCGTTCTCCTTTACGCTGGAAGTGAATGAACTTGCTCTTTACATTTCCCCAGACGCCAATGGTGCTGACTTCAGGCTCCATGATAGCACGATCATACTCTTTGTATCGCAATGCCTCCAACGTGTTCATTATTGCTATCACCATTGTCATCGTCATCATCGTCCTTTTTCTTTGTTGTTACTTTGACCTCCGACGAAACTAGTTTACCATCAGTCTGCTGGTCACTAAATTAGACTAAATCCAATGAGGCTAGACTTGCAACTCTTTCGTTGCAAAAAAACATTTCCCCTCTTCTTCCCACCTCTCTCTTTCTCTTCCTCTTCCCCATGTTCCCTGTCGCATCTATGCTTTTTTCCTACTCAGTTTTCTGCTTTCCTTCTGTCTTGCTGCTTGACTTTTAGTTTGTCTCTAATTCCTTATTAAAGCCATTCCAAAAATTGTATCCACTTCTGCTTCCATATCATTGTCTTCTGTCGTTGCCGCGCAGATTTTTACTTTCAGACAACAAAAACGACAAACACAAGCACAAGCATTAGCATAAGCACTAGTATACAGACACCTCCTTCCATTCCATCCTTTCATTATCAAACATCAATATCAACATCAGCGTCAGCAGCAAAAGCACAGATAAAGACGAGCACCATCACCATCCATACTTATACTGGTCACCAAAGCAGTGGAACCAGTGCTGCCCCCTCGCATGCCTGGTCCCAGCCTGCCCTGCCCTCCCCCTCCCCCTCCTCCTCCTTCTCCTCCCCCTCCTCTTCCTCTTCCTCTTCCTCTTCCACTTTGTCTTATTCTGGATCCCCTTCTGAAACGTTCAAGTTGTCACCTCTTCCACCTCTGCGCACTCCCGCTCAATCTGAGTATAATTCTTCCACACATCCTTCCTCCTCTTCCTCTTCTTCCTCTTCTTCTTCTTCCTCTTCTTCACTCTCTTCATCTCGTTCTGCTCACTTTCTTCAACTTAAACATCAGCAGCAGCAGCTTCGGCTTCAGCTACAGAAGCAGTTGCATATGGCCATGCATCTTAGCAACTTGAAGAACAACCGCAGCATCATCTCTTCCACCAACCCTTCTAAAACTGACATTGAATTTGAATCTCATTCATTTTCATCCTCTATTTCGCATTCTGAAAAGACAACAGAATCGTCTAGCCCATCGGATAGTACACTCGCGCTTCAATCATCACAAAACGTGGTTTCTCATTCACCAGGCGAGAATGCCGTTAATTATGAACCTCATCGAGTAAGAATATATCCTTTCAGTTTGATTTTTTTTTCCTATTCAGTACACTTAGCAGCGCCCAGAAATATCCGCAGATCACTGGTCCAAATTTCATTATTAGCTTGGAAAGCTTGAGGGACGAGAGGTCTGTGAATTGAATGGGAAGGCTTGTAGGAATATAAACTCATCAAACTATTTTTTTCCTCGTATATTTTGCTTCTCATCCAGTCCACAGTCTCGTTAGATCCAGCTGCATCAATCCACAATCTTGTACAGAAGGCTCTTTCTTTTCAATCTTCCCTCGTGCCAACCATGGTCTCACAGGCTTCGGATCTGCCTTTCCCTTCAGTACAAGAACTTTCTCTAATGCTCAGTGCCGATATTGAGATTCACAGACTTTGGAAAACTATAACCGAGATTCTTTCTCAAAAATTTTACGCCACCAGGATTACATTAAGCCTCCCTCAAGATCCTACTGCCGTCGCCTCATCGATCGAAAACAATCTACATCAAAGTCGTCCCTGGGGCCTTAAGGCTCACTGGGATTACAAGCATCACTTTCTTGATGAGAATACAGTAACGCCTAAAGACGAGTTCGCGCACCATCACCATCGACTGCAAAAAAACTCGTCATTGGCACAGGATTATCATGACCTTCAGAGCCTGCGCCTATCAGTATCTTCATTCCCACTTCCTTCTTCTTCATCATCATCCTCCTTCTCTTCATCCTCCTCCCCATCCTCTTTCTCTAGGAGACGGGCTACAACTGCTAATAATAGCTTTAACATTAATATTAACGGTAACGATCATAGTCGTGAATATGATCATATCAACACTAATAGCATTGATGAAAACAGCACTAACAGAGGAAGCGCAAAGAGCGATAATGGCGACACGAATAATACAAGGAGCAGGCAATACTATCCAGTACCTGATACTGTTGAGTATCACGAGGATTATTGGACCACCAATCCACCACAGGATTGTGGATACTCCTCTTCAACATCTAGTGCATCGTCCTATTCTTCCGTTAGCGACTGGACAGATACTTCGAGATCGGCGATCCGTCCTCGAAGGTTCACTCCGCATTCAAGTGGCACGGAATGCTTCGCCAATCTACAATCGTTAGAGTACGATCCAGAGCCGCTGTTGAATGAACGTACTATCGATAGCATTTTGAAAGCTGGAAAGACAGTTGTCTTGACCCGTGAATATGTGGGCTCTAAGACTATGAGGAGAAAGGGTTCACGTATGAGATCATTCTTAAGTCGGCGAGTGCATGACGAAGAGGACGACTCTTCATACACGGATACAGATCCTGCGGACGATCATGCGGATATACAAGATGTTGAAGACACGGACAGAAAAGGAATGGCGCGAGCTCTTTACACTGAAGGGGAATCCATTTTTGAGCAGGATACAGGTTCAGGTATGTATAACATTTGTCTGAGTGATGACTCCTGATGCATTAATCAAATTGTGTCTTTGAAAGGGGAAATCAATGAGTGTTATACACGCAAACAATCAAGAAGTATACAAATATATACTTACAAAAAGATGCGGGGACGATAAACCATCCACACTAAGAAGTCAGGCACAGCAAATAAACTTTCAGGATCAGTGAGAGCTGCACTATAATAGCGCCATCTTTAAAGAACTGCACGGACAGTCAGAAGCAGGGGCGTTTATTTGAACACATTCATCTCTACCACCATGCTAACTTCCAATATATATTTATCAACAAACGACTTTCCTCCAACATTGAGTGACAATGTCTTAAAATCCATGATAATAAGATAGTAAAAGAAATCATGTCGTGCACAACATACACCTACGGATGGGACAAGGAGGCTTACCGCAATCATCTTTGATGCTCATTGTTTGTTTGCTAATGTATACGTGCTCGCTTTCTAGATATGGACTCATCTTCTTCACGTTACGACTCGGAAGGATCGTATTTTCCACCTGTGGAAACAACTCTTTACAATGCACGTGGAAATAACGCTGGCCTCTTGGGAGGTCATTCCAAAACAGGATACACCGATATTGTTCAGGGACTAAATCCGACCTGGTCACAGTCACCCGCACCATCTCCTAATATCATCAAGGAAGACCCAACGATTAACCCGTTCTTCCAGCCCCTTACATCATATCCAGCTATGGATGAAGACACATTTGATCCGCCTGACTCGATAAGCGATTCTACAGAGGATGATCACAATATTGAATCAGACCAACCAAAAGAATCGTACCATCACACCGGTCCTTCGCGCCCACAAGTACCTGTATCCTCTTCGCAGATACCACTCCCAACACCCTCGTCTGTGCTCTCCAATGCAAGGTCATTAATCCACATCCCCCTTTATCGGTCTATGGATCACAATAACCAGCGATACCTGCCTTCAGATATTCGCAGTCATCGGCCACCGGCGATGCCTGTGGGTATAATCTCTTTCCTTTCAGACCAGATCCCCTACCCTCCTGAAGCATTAGACATTTTGACGGATCTGAATCCTTTTCTCGCCAATCAGATTACAAATGCACTGCGTCTAGAAGATATTGTAACTAGATCCCATAGATGGGGGGATATCAGCACTCCCAGCATGAGTGATGGACCACTTACCAACGAGACATTCGCAGAGTCAATACAGCGCAAGATGAAAGAGACTGGCGACGATCTTAGAACACCCAAACCATCAACGGTGAGTCATAGTGCGAGTCAAGATTATATGAATGCAACCTCTGCAGGCATTTCGCACCCTCGACATAAACAGTCATCTACACGGTACACTACGGCAGCGTCAAGGATCAGGTCTAAATCAAGGAATCAGCAATCCAATGCTTCTCAAACCCTTTCAAAGCAGCTACGTATGACTAAGGACCCTGAAGGATATAACGATTCCTCAAGCTATAAGTATCAGAGTTCTACGCAAGCGAAAATGAGCATTAAACGCGATACAACCGTTCCTTTAGGACCTTCTGGCCTATCAGATGGCAATCTTACCGAACCAGAACCTTCACCAGTTCATTCACCAAACGAGAATCAGTTTGACCCGTATGATATGCCCCAGTCGAGCAAGCAGCCAGAAGCTTGCTATAATCTCGATTCGACTACAGATGAGATTCATCGCAATCTAAACTTACTGAACTTGGACGTTACTGGAAGCGCGACATGCCCACTTGCCCCACAAACAAAAAAAGTCTCTGGGCGACAACACCACACCTCGAGAAACGCTCTATCCCACCATACTGATGATGCTTTTCTCTCGGGCTGGTCTAACGACTGTCGACGAATGGGATCTTCAAAATTGTTGGATATTGAAGGAAATGAAGGCCTTGATAATCATGAGAGGATGTGGCAGACTTTGCAGGCTGAAGAACCAGAGGAAAGAGCACGATCATTACCGAGCTCACGACTTGGGGATAGCGAATTAGAGCTCGCTGGAAACGAATCTCTGCGCTTAAGCTCAACTCACTCTGTCTCTCCTACAGGTGGAGCCAAGCGGCACTTATTTTCAACTAGTAAGCGGTCGGGTCTCCGTAGGAGGCGAAAGAGTGTAAAAGACCATATTCGGAGTCGGGGAACTCCATCTCACCTATCAGAGAGTCCACTTCCAAGCTCACCATACACACCAACTATGTCTGGATTCTCGTCGCAGCAATCAGAAGCATCGTCAGGCAGCGCCAACATTAGCGTCCCAGCGTTTTCGCCAGATCCATCGCCGATCGCATCGCCATCAGTGCACCAAACTAGGGCATTTGATCATGATTTTAGAATGATGGATTTAGCAGCAAGCCATGAACATGGAGAAGCAAGAAAAACTTCCTTAAGTAGACAAGGCAGTGGCTGGAGCTTCAATAGTGATGACACAAGTCTTACATCGCCTGGCCCTCAGCATGAGAAGCATCATGTTGGACGTAAACACAAAAGAAAGCATCATGCCTTCTCTTCAGAGCGACATGGTCATAACCCGTTCCCAAGAACGCGGCTCTTACGCTTGATTGTTGATGCCATCTCACATCATGTTTTGTATGCTGAATTGTCTTCCAACAGAATTGTATTGCACCTTACAGCCAATTAAGGCAAAATACTAAATATCTACATCCCATCCCTATTTGGTGTTTTTGCTCTGAATTACTAGCACGCTTTCGCCAAGATCAGGATGCCTGACCTGGCTTAACCAGCGATCATTGCAATATACGGGGCTGCCGTTGTCTCAACTGCTTCACACTTCATGGACTCAACTACTTCATGAGGATGACAGAGAGACATTTCAGCCCCTTTTCAAAGACTGCTTTATTCGAGGCGAAATGTTTAATGCCCAATATAGGGTTCGCCGATTTGATGGACAATATCGTTGGTTCCTAGGCCGAATTTTGCCGGTTCGTGATTGTGGTGGCAACATCGTGCATTGGTTTGGGACGTGCACTGACATCCATGACCAAAAATTGGTTGAATTACAATTCAATCGCCAAGTGGAACTAGAGTTGAGTGAGGTAAAAAAAAAAAAAATTGCTTTTGATTTACTCCTGGTAATATGAAATCCATTGGCGAAGTTTAAATTGAAAATTTAACTTAAGTCTATGTGTTCTATTACAGAAAAAATATCGATTACTAGCAGAAGCAATTCCGCAAATAGTATTTACAGCTTCTCCTCACATCGGCTTGACATATGCAAACGCAAAATGGTTCACGTATTCGGGCCAAGTTTTTGAGCAGGCCTCAGGGCTAGGGTTCATGGACCATGTGTGAGTAATCTATTTGATATTATTGTTGTTAACCAGAGATAAGTTTGACTGCAGAATTCTTTCTGAAACATAAGCATACTTCTGTTTATATAATATAGGCATCCCGATGATAGAGCCAAATGCTTCCTTCCTACAAATCTTCCAGAAGGTAGTGGGCCTCCTCCAGAAATGTCAGGATCAGATCCTAGCTCACGGTATTCAACCTCGCCGGGCACTGCATATGGAAAAGGACCAGGAGAGGTTTCATATCAAACAGAAATGCGATTACTTAGAAAGGATAGTAAATACCGATGGTTCTTGGTCAAGTGTATTAGTGTGGAGGTTGTGGAACAAGGACGAAAGTGGTTTGGGACCTGTACGGATATTAACGATCAGAAATTGCTAGAGCATAAGCTTAAAGAAGCGCATGATGCAGCGCAAAAGTCGACTGAGAGCAAGACCCGCTTTTTATCTAACATGTCGCATGGTAACAAAAAGTACTAATTGTGTAAGCTGCTTATTTTTATGATGTATTTTTGCTTATACATTTTATCATTATTTCTTAAATCATACAAATCAACCGATAGAAATTCGAACTCCATTGGTGGGAATCACTGGAATGATAAACTTTTTAATTACTACAGATCTGACAAGCGAGCAGTTGGATTACGTTCATACAGTGCAGCAATCTGCAGAAGCCTTGCTTCTAGTCATTAACGACATCTTGGATCTTTCTAAAGTAGAAGCCGGTATGATGAAGCTTGAAATGGAGCCCTTCAGCGTTCATGCGATGATTGAGGGTGCCAATGAGCTTCTGAGCACCTTGGCTATTCAAAAAGGACTAGAACTTGGATTTTTGGTAGAGGATGATGTACCTGAGGTAGTAGTCGGCGACCGTGTCCGTCTACGTCAAGTTCTTATCAATATTATCGGCGTAAGCTCCTTGCACTATTAACTGAGCGTCAAAAAAAAAAAAAAAAAAAAAAAAAAAAGCTTGGTTTAATAATTATTTGGGTATGGTTTTTAAATTTAGAATGCAATCAAGTTCACATCTCAAGGAGAGGTATTTTCTCGTTGCTCTTTGGTACCTTCCAAGCCGAATACCGATCCGACATCATTGACTATAAAATTTGAGATTTCGGACACCGGTAAAGGATTTGATGAATCAGAAAGAGCAGTGATGTTCAAACCTTTTTCTCAAGTGGACACATCCTCAACCCGAAAGCATGGCGGTACTGGATTGGGTCTTGTACTGAGCAAAGAATTTGTCGAGCTGCATGGTGGAAGTATCCAATGTGAAAGTGTTAAAGGACAAGGAAGCAAATTTTCATTTACTTTTGTCGCTCGTATACCACCACCAAACACTACCGCGCGTGCAACCACCCCTATCGCCAGCGATGATGTGCACTTAAGTGAAATGTTGAAGGTTAATAGAAAGCCCACTCCAAGTGCTTCAGCAGCGTCTTCGGCAGTGCCTGTACTCAAACTTCCCTCTAAATCAACGTCATTCAAGGATAATAAGGCTGTTCCAGAAATCTTGCCTCTTAGACACGTTACAGGCCTCAAGCTGATTCCAGGGGAAATGTGTTTTGCAGAACCTGATTTGGAAGATACGATAGCGACTGCATCAAATGCGCTAAAGAGTGCAGCTCGCAAGATTGGCCGTGGTGAGTTTGCAACCGCGGATATTACACTGAATTCTATCGCGGAGGATGAGTTAGAAGCCAGAAAACACAGCGCAGCATTGAATCCAAAGGCGAATATTGATTTGCCTGTGAGCGACATTAGTACCGTCATGTCGCGGACCGAATCAATTCTTGACGAGCGCAGATATCTTAAAGTTGGACAGCTCACACCAACCAATCCCCCGTTAGGCGAGCCCCCAAGCGTTGCTATTGTGGCTGCCAATTTACCGAACCCAGCTGTGGATATGAAACTGGCGATTCCTGCAAAGGTTTTGGAGAGTAAAGCGCTAGCCGCGGAAACCAAAAAGACAGTAACCCCTTCAGCAGCCGTTTCGCAGCTCATGCGACCTGTTCAAATGCTTTCAAACAACTCATCATCGTCAGCGTCGTCATCATCGGTGTCATCATCATCGTCATTGTCATCTTCATCCTCTTCCTCAACAATTTCGTCTTTTGATTCTAAGCTGTCCGCTTCCACAGCTATATCCTCGTCTGAATCATTGACTCTACCAGTATCGACTCCAATTTCTCCAGAACAGCCCCGAATTTTAGTAATCGCAGATTTATTGCACGCTCGCGAGACTATTTTGCACCTAGTCAACCAACTAGTTCCTAAGGAATTGAATCCTTTAATTGACGTAGCCGTGGATTTAAAGGAAGGAATTGAGTATTTGGTGGGGGAGCGTAAGCAAGTGACCTTGACGGGCAAATTCAACTATTTACTCATCAATCTGGCGTCGTACATGGCTGTCATGGATATCTTTTCAGCCATGCAACAAGATGGTGTACTCGTTGAATCCAATATAATGACATGTGTAATCACAACTCCGATGCAGCGGGCCGCGCTAATGGAAGCTATCAAGGTCGAGGAAGCCTCGATGGAAATAGTGAAGCCGAAGGATGGTCAGACGCCGATCAAAGTCATACCCGATAAAGTCGAATGGGTATTTAAGCCGCTGACGAAAGCAAGGCTTTATGTAGCATTTGCTGATGCTGTCATGCAGCATGACTGTGTTTCTGGGGACCATTCAGGGTCTAGGACAAATGGGAAGGACGGGTTCGTGGATAGTAATAAGATCAATCTGAAGCGCAGGACGGCCCAACAAGTGGTGATAAACCAGAAAGAAATCTTCAATCAGATGCATGATGCTATGGAAGGACGCAATATCCGGATTCTTTTAGCAGAGGATGATCTGACAAACCAAAAAGTCATCCGAAGGTATTTTCAGAAGGTTGGAGCTGAGCTCGTAATTGCAAATGACGGTAACGAATGTGTAGACAAGTTCAAAAGTTATCCCAGGAACCATTTTTCGCTTATTTTGGTAATTTTTTTTTTTTTAAAAAAAAAAAAAAAAAAAAAAAAAAAAAAAAAGAACGCTTCTTTGTTACAACTTTGGCTGTTATTTACTGATGCTTTCTGGCTTCTTTGGTGTATATTTAGTGCGATCTGTTTATGCCAGGAAAGGACGGATATGAAGCCACTAGGACGATTCGGGACTGGGAAAGTCAGCACCTTCAGGAGGGCGAAAAGCGGATTCCAATTGTGGCACTCAGCGCCAATGTCATGGCCAATGTCGCAGAGCAATGCTTGAATAGCGGATTCACGTCCTACCTTAGCAAGCCCGTTGACTTTAAGAAGCTCAGTGAGACTTTGTGCAAATTAGTTCTCTAGCTTTCTATGTGATTTCCTATTATTCTTATTTTTATTAATTGATATTTTTATAATTTTATTGCTATCGCGCTGGATCCATTTATAACCTTTGCTTTGGCACGTCCACTCGTTTTTTTTTATACGTGTATATTTCTTTGTGAAGTCATTTGCAACTTCGATCTTTTTAGCAAAGATACTTATTTGAAATCGAGTTTACATTAGACAATGCTCGCTTGCCCATGTACATTCCTCTTTTTTCTTTATACACTATTATCAGAAAAATAAAATAAAAATAAAAATAAGAAGACTGTTATTTGGTACAACCTTTTTCATGTTATTTCATTGCATCGGCGCAGCAGATTTTGGAAGCCGCATAAAAATGGAACTCGCCTCGCTCTCTTTTCCTGCATGCATCCCTTTTTTTTACATTTTTGCTCTACCTCCCATGCTCTCTCTCTCTCTCTTTCTCTCTTTCTCTCTATCTCTCTATCTCTCTATCTCTTCCTCTTCCTCTTTTTCTTTTTCTCTCTCAAATACGTTTAATCTTTAATCATTTTTCTTCCTTACTGTATATTACCAACCTGCCCTATTGCGTTGTAGCCCAGCACTAAATATGACCATCGATATACTAGACCTTCCTGTAGAGATCCAATTTATCATCGGCACATATCTTGACATTAGGTCACTCCTATCGTGCATCCGTGTATGTCAACATTTCCGCAAAACCTATATTTCGCATGTCTGGCGAGATATTATCTTTCGGGGACCCCCTCGAATTCAACATCAATCACTCCAAGAGAATGCAGCTCTGGTCGAAACCCTTGTGTTACACCGGTATATCCCAAAAAAGTTTTGCTTCATCAAATTTTGCAGGCTTAAGACTCTACGGCTTGTCGACCTTTCAAAGTGTGTCTCAGAAGCCACTTCAGCATCCTGTGTTGACCTTCCGGTAGCAGCCGCAGTGCTTGCAAAGCGAAATCCATGGATTCTCCATCTTGAGTTGTCCTATGTACAGACAGAAATCTCTGAAAAATTCTGGACAATTGTAGCTACAGAATGGAGAGACCCTATCAGCCTATCAGTACGGTGTCGACAAGCACCTAAAGGTACTGAGGCTGAGGAGGATGATAAATCCAAACAAAACCCTATCGAGGCGTTCTGGAGTGCATGTGCTCGGTTCAAAGAGCTAACACTGGATTTACCTTCTTCGATGATGGAGCGTGACAAGACCTCGCTCAAATTCACCACACTCAAGAATCTAAAAAAGCTTACACTCGCGAGAGCAGGGCAGCTGAGTGACCTTGACGAGCTCAGAGGCAATATAAACACCAGTGATCACCGCCAACGAAGTGCTAAAGTAGAACTGGCCATGATTCAAACCTGTCCAAACCTAGAATATCTCTGCTGGGATAGGAGCGCAACATCCTTCTTCTCGGGAGCTGGGTTCATGGAAGCACTACGGAGGCAGGTTTGGGCCAATCTCTCATCGCTCTTATTGCGTCGAATGGCGATCAAGGACGAAGCCATGGCAGATATCTTGAGTTTGGTTTCAAAACGGCTGATAGAACTAGACTTGAGAGAATCTAGTGGTTTTGGTAGTCTATCGTTTAATGTTCTCTCCGAGCGACATTTTGTATCATTAAAAAGACTTTGCATGTTAGGATGCAATCGATTCACAGGTGAGATGGCCTTAAGTGCGCTAAAAGCCTGTAGCCACCTGGAATCCATGGCAGCAGATTACATTTACATGGAGGATATCGCAGAACATAAGGATGTAGTAACAGGGAACCCAGAGCCTTGGGCATGCTATCAAACCCTAAGGGAACTGCAGGTATTCGTAGCAAGGCGACAGCACCAGGCAAAACCATTAGAGCCTGAGCCAAAACGAGTTGAACTAATAAGTAGGGGTCAAACACTAAAACAACTGAATATCCAAGTTTTCCGACAGCTTTCCACTTTGAATCGGTTGAAGTCTCTGACGCTCTCTATGGACATATTTGATCTTCAACTCCTCCCCAGCGAAGTCTTCAAGGCGGTTAATGAGGGAGCCTCGTTAGATTTGCGCCTCAGCTCTGGGCTTGACTGGCTAGCGAATCTCGAATTGCTAGAGCATTTTGGATTTGAACGTACAAGACAAGAGCTGGGTCCTAAAGAATTGCACTGGATGAAGATGCATTGGCGACAGCTGAAAACAGTCAACGGGCAGCTCAGTCATGACCAAGAACAGCATAAGTCGCTGGCATCTATACTGAAGGCGGCAGGAGTCTCTTGCTCTGAGGCAGATAACAACAATAGTTCTTATATGAGATTTATAGACGAATCACATAGAGGGGGTGTTGAAGATAATTATAGCACTGTTAGTGAAATAGAATATTAAAAAGTAAAAATACACAAAAAACTGTGTCAAGAACTTTATTGGTGACGGAGATCCGCATGGATGCATGCTAGGCCATGTCCTTTTTTTTTTACTTTCCTGTCCTGCTACTGTACAAACAGTAATGTTATGCATCGTGTCTGGGTTGTCAGTGAGACATTTTTTGATAACGGGGGACAATGTAGAATTTATTATTTCCGTATAAGGGATCGCGGTATCTAGTAATCGGCCGTAACCGCATTGTTGTACTGCACATCTTGTTCATGAACTACGTCAGTATTGAGTAGTCTTCCTTGGCCTCCTGGAGACTTGTGGCAGGGCTCTACTCCCTACTTGGCCTGTTGATTTTTTTTTTTTGATAACAAGGACCCTCAGGGTCATGGAATCCTTGGTAACGTATGGTGCCGTCATTTGACAAAAAAAAACAATAATTAATCACGTGATATTACCCACGTGACCCTTAATCAAGAGAAGATTAACATAAATAAATTAGATTTTAGAGTCCTTGCAGTTGCCTCTTGTTGGCTAGGGGTGTTGGTTAAGGGGTATAATCCTTTGTTCGGGTCAAAGGGGCCCGGGTTCGAGTCCCGGACACCCCCACTATTTTAATATCGTGGTGTGCCGCAGGTTATACGTACCCTTTTTTGTTTGGATGAATCTAGAAATTTTTGCAGCCATTTAACTTCACACGCTTCTTGGGTGGCCAAATAATGAAGTTATTTGCACGGGGCTATTATTCAGTCTTTCAAATAAAATCCGCCTTTAATTGGTGGGCTTTTCTTTCAATAAAAACGTCAATAGACAGGAAGCATTAGGATCACATAAATGTGTCTCTAACCATAACTATCATTGGGTTATGGCTGGATGTCACGATCAAAAAGGTATATTGAACTACAGTGGTAAGCCTTTTTTGTTGGATGTCAACAAGTTCAACAGAAGCTTCTGTGCTCCTCATCAACACAGGATTGTCCTCAGTAAACGAGACACAGGAGTTTTTACAGATAAAACAAGAAAGAGGGGCCAAATAACGCTAGGTAGGTTGCCAAGCAAATCATGAGGGTGTTCCTTGCCAGCTGGGCTACCAAAGAGAGTTCTCAAAGTTGATTATATTGGCACCTGGGCCAATTAGATTGATCTTTTTTTGAATATGTTGTTTTCTAATTGGAATTTAATTGCCGTACTTTGGGTGCGTTTTTGATATTGCTTTTTTGGATATTCATTAAGTAAAAAGGCACAACATTAGACATCATTACGTTTATGCTGCATGCGGTCATGCAAGAAAACAGTGCGCAGAATAAAGAAGAGCATCCTGTATTGCTTGAATTGGTTGGTCAACTGATCGTCAAAAAAGGGGAATCTATTTGGTTACTGAGAGTTGATCTGACAACCCCTATTATGAATTTTAAAAAAATTAGCATTACACACATTCTCGCTCAACACTGTTTTTACTTCTTTCTTCCATTGCCTATTATCTGTTCTTCTGGACTCGAAAAAGCTGTTGTCTACTGTTCGAAAAAGTCACCCTCACTCCCAGTACTTTATCGACATTATACAATCAATAAAAAAAGAAAAAAATCCTCCTGACTTCAATCATAAAGTAGTTTTTTTTTTTTTTTTTACCTTTCATACACCGTCATTCATCGTAAAAACAAAAGAAGAAAAAAGAAAAGACAAGATGGTGTTTTGGAAAAGATCCCTTCCGCCAGTAACTCATGTGTATCAAGAGTCAATTGCCCACCGGGTCCGAGATATCTTGACTGGTACAGATCACCCTTCACAGAAACAGCGTGATAAGGCTGCTATCAAAGCACTTCAACGACCAGAGGCTCTGGCAGGTGTGATCGAGATATTGAAGACGATGCCCGAGCCAGGTCCTCAAGCAGATGACTGGGGAAATAGTGCTGACGATTCATCATATGGAGAAGGGGAAGCAAAGCAAAAACAAAAACAAAGTCAAGGACAAGAACCAGTTCAACCTGTCCAAGCACTATTCAAGGAAAACGATAACAAAAGCAACATCAAGAAAAGTGGCGATAATTCCAAAAACTCGAAGCCTAATGGAACAACCATTGTAGCAGCAACCACTATTGCGGCAGCAGCAGCGACTTCAGCAGCAGCAGCAGCTCTTGCTGTATCAAATAGAAAGAAAAATAGGTCCACCACTGTAAAGGAAAGTACTGTAACTGATAAAAACACAACCATCACCACCAAGACGATTGTTCGCTTTCATCCTTCGAAGGATACAGTATCCAGTTGCGCGTAAGGATCCAAGAGATGTGGATGTCCATATGACGGTAGCAAGGAAATTCTATGCGGTACTGATCGTTAATCTTCGTCTTTTTTTTTTTTTTTTTTTTTTTTTTTTTTTTTTTTTTAAAAAAAATGTACATTCTGGCTTAGATACTGGTGGGGATACGAGATCTTTATCCCACAGCCAGCTCTTTCGAGGATTGCATCTGCTCAGGATGTATCAACCGCTTTTCTTGGTTTCTTAAGTTCTGTGGGTTTGGTTGTTCCTGCAATTGTGCCATTTTTAGGATATATTGCTGCATATGTTGGACTTGAATTTGCAGTTATCAAAGCACAGAATGAGGGTAAAGGCGTTATCCTAGCAAGTACCTGGTTAGTACCAGTTGCACTCGTTCCTAGGGCTTGGGATGTACCAGATGATGATGATAATGTTGATAATAACAATGGTGGTGCCTAGCTTCATAATATTTTATCATAGTCAGAATAAAATGAGTGAAGAAAAATAGAAAAACGTATAATCAACAGATAATTTTAATTCTACATTACATTTGTCTATTTTTTTTTTTTTTATCACTACAATTCCCTTGCTCTTTCCTGAAATGAACAAATGGTGGTCTAAACGCCCAGGTTGGCCAGACGAGCGCTGGCAAGTTGACTCTTGACAAATTCCCTATCCACGTCATGACTGTCCTCGACCTCGCCCCAACGATCGATCTGGTCCAAGACCTCCAACTGGGCTGCTTTCCATGCCTTCTCCACTGACAAATGTCTCTTGACAACCGCCAGGCCAATCAAGAACGACTTGGCAGTCAATGTAGCTCGCTCAAAAGCTGAAAGGTCAATATCATTCATGCTGTTGACAATATCCCGTAGTTTTTGCTTCACTTCATCCGTCTGCTGGACATAAGTGATTCCCTGTGAGACTCGGATGTCAAGACCATATTCATCCTTAACCCATTTCAGAATAGGATCCCAGTGCTCATGCTGGGCCTTGACGATTGAATCAGGGTAGTCTTGTTGATAGCAAACAGAGTCAGTGTCAAGGAACTTTATTAAGCGATCCAAGGTATCCTTGCGCCCCTGTTCATTTCCTACAAAACCATCAATTGCTCTTGCAACTAGTGAGGTCTAAAAAAAATAAATAAAGGAGGTCCAATTAGGAATTGATGTGGTCACCGCTATTAGTATATTGTAACCTCCACTTCCGCATAGGGATTTGTTTGCAATACCATAGGCAGAGAGTGTGCCTTCAATAGGGTTTTCTGACCATGCCACTCCCCTGCGATCATCAATGCGAGGTGTTCCTGATCCTTAGGAAGAGTTAATTGGTTTCCAGCAGGTGTTTTCAATATCCTCCCATCCAATGTTACAGCAACACGATCTATATTTTTTTTTTTTTTGACAGATCCATTCAATTATTAAGCAATAAGTTTTTTTAAAAAAAACATGCATTCTAAAGATATAAACGAGAAATGTGATTTGGACGCTGGTAACAATGTTCCAATCTCTGATACCTCCAAGGTTTTTCACGCCAGCCTTCTCCCAGAAGCGCTTTCCAGACACTTCAGCACCTATCATGAGCCAAAACATAAAAGAGGGGTGAAAGGATCAGATAAAAGTTGGAGGGTTATAGTTGGTCTATGTCATTATTAACTTGTAAACTATATTCGCTATCGATAAACAAAGCATTGCTTAAACCATGACTCCACAAGGTGAACTTACGAGACATTTGATCTCTGAGAGGAGCACTCAGGTGCAATGGCCGAACTCCTGTCTTGGGTTGAGAAGCGATTCTTGAGATGAGAGTCCGCAACATGATGTGTCGAAAATTAATAGCTGCTGAGGGAACAGTTATCAAAAGATGTTCTTTGGAAGCAACCCTACATTTCTTGTTCTTGTGCCTGTCCGTGGCTTGTTTCATGTTGACAGCCAAAAGCTCCGGGCAAAGGAGGACAAAGTCTCGGACGCTTTTTCATTCATTCACTCATACACACACAGGTTTTTTTTTTTATTTTTTTAAAAGCTTAATCGAACAATGTCAAGGCAGCAGGTTCTCAGCGCTTACAGGAATCTTTTGAAAGCACAGCGACAGACATTCAAAGGTACTTTTGTCACAGCTTGAAACTTCCCAGGACTTTTTTTTTTCTATGTCTGTATACTGAACTAGCGTCCCTTACAAGAATCAAAAATTAACCGTCGATCTTTAATTTTATTATCCACAAAGGTGACTGGACAACACTTACAGGTACTTTCTTTTTCTGAAAATACGGATATGCAGGCAATTGTAGGACAGGAATGGAAAGATCAGGCAGACACCATGCAATATCACCTGGAGCCAAGAGCCAATCCTTCTTTAACTGGAATCGGTGTCATACAGTTTTATTACAGAACGTAAGCTCAGCTGGATTGATAAGTCTTCAAGAACAGGAATAGGGACATGAATAGGAATAAGCATAGAGATAGAATAGAAGCAGAGATAGGAACAGGAGCAGAAGCAGGAGCATTAGCAGAAGCAGGAACATTAGCAGAAACAGGAGCAGATACCTTTGAAGCACTTGTTCTTTTCTTTGTCTTTTTTTGCATGATTGGCGAGCAAAAGCCCTTGATTTTTCACATAAATCAATTTACACGGAAATGATGTCCTTGGACAAATCGCTTATACTTGTCGATATTTACATTTATTTATTTATTTTTTTTTAAAAAAAAAAAAAAGCTGCCCGCCAGAAGACATATACCGAATTTGACAGCAAACGCAATGAGACAGATGAGGCAAAAATTAAACAGCAGCTCGAGCTTGCTAACCAGGTTGCTTCGCTCCTCCGCCACAACCTTGCTCAAGCCGTCCGCGTCGAGGGCTCAAATGACGTTTACTGTATGTATTTCTTTTTTTTTTTTTTTTTTTTTTATATTATATTATCTATTCTTCATTTATTGCTTATGATCAGTAGTCATACATCCAAACCGCTGTCTAATTTTTTTTTTTTTTTTTTTTTTTTTTTGTGTTGTACCAACTTTTCCTTATTCTCAACAGCATTAAAATTGACGGAGGAGCACGAATTGGGCGATAATGAGACTCTGAGACAGGCATCCAAGATGCGCAGACTCAAAAATAAGGAAGCTGGTGCTAACGCTAACACAGCAACAAGTGGTGGATGCGGGTCTCCTTCATGCTGCTCTGCATAATAATAATAAAATAGAAAAAAAAAGAAAATGAGAAACCCTTGTAGTAGTATACTTTGCAGTAGAAAATAAGAAAGAAACATCGTGCAGAAGAGTATTTTGGTCCTATTTCCACATGTATCATACAAACAGTTAGCAATAGACAAAAATACAGATATCTCAGTCTATCGATCTAGGCAGGAGGAGACAATAAAAAATAAGTCTCTTCGATTACAAATGCTGTAGATCTTGATAAGATTTTATGTTATTGCTACTTCTTTCATGGTCTTCCCTTCCACGATTTATTTATTTCAGATCAAAATTGCCTTGTCGTGGCAAGGGTGGGTATATCGAACCTGACAAGAGCTTAATGAAGTGAGAAAATGGTGAAAGCGAGGGAGGAAAAAAAGAAAAATAAAATAAAATAAAAAAAAAAAAAAAAAAATAAAGAAAAAAATAAAAAAAAATAAAAAAAAGTAAAAAAAAAAAAAAAAAAAAGAAAAAGAAAAAGAATTTTACTCGTAGACGCTGACTGTCAGTTCATCATAAGTTGAACAAACCGCAAGAACAAGTGTCATATCAGAGCGATGTAGACCTAACAATGGAGCTACAGATTCGAGAGTCGGATAAACCTTCACCATATTCTGATCGCGGGCGATGGACGACAGCATACGGCTGCACTGATATAGTTGATGTAGTCGGTCTTCCAGATAATTTAAACACTTGAAAAAGCAGACGATAAAAAATTTGCAAACAGCGTTAATGTGCGAGTTGTATCACTCCTGTAATAATAGAGATAAAGACAATAAGACAGCTTACTTGTTCTGCGGTGAGTCCATTATGGGCTAGATCCATCATTTGGTGCAACGTTTCATCTATGAAAGAACTAGCAGCAGTGTGCGGTAGTCGTGTGACAGGCTCTCCTCTTAGATCAATTGGGCCACCAAGTCCGCCACCAATTCCACCGCCCGAACCTGCACGTAAATCACCTGCGTTGAAGACAGTGGGGAGTTGAGGTAGAGGCTTTGCGCAGAAGATGTTGCACTTCATCGTATTGGTATCTGCAACAATACAGACCGTGGATGCTATACGTTCCTGGATCTCAAAGTGTCGCATAGTATCTCTCATGTCAGTTTCCATGAAATGCTGAAAATCAAACTTTGGTACACCCATTAGCGCAAAATCTGACATGTACCGATCGCAGTAAGGCGCCATTAATGATCGACCATATGATTTGCAAAATAGGACATCGGCCGGGATGAGCTTTTCCTCAACTGGTGCGCCGTTGGTAGGCGAGGCCATAGAAGTTGAGGGAAATGGAGGAAACGAGCATACAATGCGCGAGGCTGGTAGCGGCACATTTGTAAGCACATCTTGAGCAGAGCAACTAGGATCATGAGTGCTTCTTGGTGGATCAATTCCTAAATTCTCCGATGATAATGTCTTTGATCGTGAGGTATCGACGCGAAGATGGTGGTTTGGCGCGTGTTGCGCCTGCACCTGCTGAGGTCCGTTTTCTTCACCCGTTGCAGACACTCGATCTGAATCAGGACGACTCTCAATCGTAGTTGGGGTCGTAGGTTGGGAGTGAAAAGGTGTGGATTCTGTCGATACAGAGTCTTTGGTTTCAATCCGTGGTCTAACAGAGTCAAACGTAGGCCTCCGAGAAACGGAGGACGCGAGAGGCCGATCTCGCTCATTCTGATTATGGTGAGGTATGATCGGCGTTGTAGGCTCTCCAATAGATGCTAGGCGAGAAGAGGCAGATGCACGCGAAACAGAAGACCCACGTCCTGCAAAGGTATCGATTCTAGGGCGCTTTGGTATACTGATCGATCGTATTAAGGTGGCAGGACTACCACTCTCATGGTCTTCTGGCAGATCATAAGTTGGGGGTGGCGGTGGATTAAGAAGCGAATCGGGGTCCTCTTTGAATTCGGTCAAGCGTTGGAAAACTTCATTACACCGGATAAAGTAGCTGAGAATGTAAAGAAGCCGTCGAACGAAGCTGGCATTGGAGCCTACCACTATTGTTCGACTGATCCTAGATGTGGTACCGATATTACCATAAAGATCGCTCAACTGAGCCCACAACGGATCATAAGCTCCTTGAGCATTAGCCTATAGAGTAATTGTGACGAAGCGCATCTGATTAGTACGCAGTAAACTAGTAAGGCCACAAGATAGTTAAATGTATGCTATGAAGTGTACAGTACACGAATCAAAGACTGATCTGTTGGAGCAATAGTCGGGACCCACGATGTATGGTAGCTTAATACCGCAGAGATGACCTCTGATACTAGCTGTCCTGAGGCTGGACTTTCTTCCATAAGATGAATGAGTTCTGTCATAAATGATGCCGAATAGGATGCCCGTTTACTCGGGTATGTATTAATATTGAGCCATAATGGAGCCTATAGTTCGTAGAATATAATCTGAGGTCAGCCGCTACCCATTTCTCTAGCGTCCAGAGGGATCGAGAGAAAACCGCCATCAGCACTTACCTGGATGCGTGGCGCGCTGTATAGTTGGTAAATCGCTTGCTGAAGTCTACTCACTGCCTCCTGAAGTCTCGGGTCCTGTTGAAATGACAGCCTCGTAAGATCTGGTATTGAGCGCACATGTCCGCTTCCGGACAAACCTGCTTTCTGTAAAATGATAATGATAATAATAATAGATAGATAAGAGAATGTAATAAAAAGAGTATATTGTACATATGCCAGAGCAGCTCTTCATCAGTGATAGTATGATGAGGATTCTTAACGTCTTTGGCGATACATACAGCATTTATCAGCCTGCGACAAACTGGTAATAGTAGTTCTAGGCATAGTGCTTGAAGCTGATGTAAACGAGTCTCAATCACAGCGAAATGTGAAAATACGAACTCCCGTAGCCGAGTGTTATTGTTGACTTCGATGAACACAGCGATTGAAAATGATTTTGAGCGTGCGGCTTGAGTTAATGCAGGCTACCATGAATATTTGTCAACAAATCAAAAAGACAAAATCGTTGAGTTCTCAGTTGTATTGGGTATACAATGGTCTATAAAGCTATTGACCACTGTCATAGTGTCATCAAGGGTGCGGTATACCTTCGCGTTTCCAAGACTATCTAGATGTGAAAACGAGCTAGGTAGTGGCATTGGATTGAATGTTCCATTTTCCATACTAGTTTGACTAGCGCGTCTTAATCTTCGAACATCAAATCCTGGACGTGAAGTCCGTGTCCGAAGAGGCGACGCATTGGGTAATGATGAAGATACTGCACCATTTTTAGATTCCTCCCGTGTGTAGGCTGATTCGGGTATAAAGGCTGTCATAGGTCGTGACGCTCGAGGGTGCGATCGATAGTCGCCATGCCCACTTATTGTTGACAACCCAGTTATTTCTACTGTGTTATTGCTATTATTAGAAGAAAATGATCCCCTGCGTGTTGAAGCTACAGTGTAAGCCATAACGTCTGTAGGATGGATGCTAAATGTCTTTGTCAGCATGATCTGCATGGGTTCGTTCAAGAGATGGATCTTTGTTGAAGAGCCCTTATAAGCAAGTGGAGTGGTGCCAAACATGAGCTTTGGGATGATAGAGGGGATCTAATAGATATCAAGAAACGAAGAAGAAAAGGTGAAAAAAGGAAGCATTGAGGAGATGAGACGAATAGTCCATCCATGTGCGACGCGTTTGCCTAACTGAATGTGATCTGGCGTCATGAGTGGAGTGATAAATATATCCTTCAATCATCATGTCAACCCCTGACTTCAGTTGTATTCTTGAGTGTGAAATGACTCCTGTGACGAATAAGAAAACTCTTTTTATTGCTCCATCCGTTCCTGAAGGATTAATTTTATCAACTAATATAATGTATGTAAAAAGAACTTACAAGTTTTGTAGGTCGCCTACTGGGCACAGTTTGGCTGCCCAAGAGGTTAATGGGTAATGAGCGATCACTCCGTAGTGACCCGAAGAGACTGTTCATGCTGCTACTTTTGAAAGAACTCCTGGCTGGGGAAGGGGGCATATCTACGGGATTGTATTCTGATGATAAGACTTGTTGGCTGTCAAAAAGAACAACGTCCTGGATAGAGTTGACTTCTTGGCACATCAACACCCTGATCTCCTGAGTTCCGAATGGAGGCAGGTTCCAGCTGTTTTACGTATTTTTATTAATATTGTTGTCATTGTATTATTATCATTGCCATTATTTTAAATGGTGATTAACATTGAAGAATGGACGAAGAATGTTTGCGATTGAGTTAGATGTAATTACTAACTACCCATTTTCTGAAGAATGAATAAAGGATCTGACATTGTCCAATTCAGAGTTGCCCTGTTTAATCGGACGGGATTTGGATCCCAAAGTTGGACTAGGGCGTAATTAGGCACACTGTGCCTTTTTTTTTTTTTTTTTTTTTTTTTTTCTGCACGTGTGGACAATGCAACAGTAGATAATGAAAAGTAGAGAAGAAAAAAAGAATGCGACACTTGCCATTCTTGTTCCAGTAATTCGCGTGTATGTTTGTCCTCGAGATCTTTAGCCGAGAAACTTTTACTAAAAAACTTTAGCATTCTCCAGGATGGCTCTGTAGTCATAAGATCGCAGAATTAGTTTTGACGGTGTTTTACCGATGCTGTAGAGTGAGAAAAGAAGTGAAAGGTTCTTTGTGGGTTGAAATTTGGACAGAATAGCCAAGGAGACTCGGGAGAAGCGAGGCAAAAGTGAAATGACAGAAAGGAGAGGAGGAAGAGGAGGAGAAGGACTGAAAAATAGAAGTATGCCTTTGCCTGCGGTTACTTGCAGTTGTGAAGTATTATTATAATTACTATTATTGGTTATTATGATTTATTATGGGAGAGGAAAGGTTGTGTTCAAGAATAGTCAAAAGGAGGAGTGAGAGAGATGGATGAAGGAAACAAGCAAGTAAATAGGCAGGAAGAAAGAGCAAAGATAGAAGAGCAAGTAAAAAGATGGAAGGAAGAAAGGAAACAGGAAATACGGGAGGAAAGAGAGCCAGGATCGTAGCTGGCGTTGGAGCTGTAATTGCATTCATGTTCATGTATTCAGATATTCATACACAATAGATTCAAAGCGCGTTCTGGCTGATAGTGACCTCCGGACATACAACCCGTATTTACAGCACTTTCACTCACACGTCGAAAAAAACGTAATAAGGATTCATTCCATTTCATTCCATTTCTTTCATTCACATTCATTCATTCATTCATTCACGAACACCAATATTGATATTTTTTTATTCTAAAACAAAAAAAAAAAAAAAAAAAAAAAAAAAAAAGAGACACGAGGAGAGGGGAGGGCGGGATGGTACGGCGAGTCGCTAGTTGTATTATTACGGTAGAATTAGTTTAGTGTTAGAAAAACGATTGTTGATAATGATGCTGAATGGTACTTTTCTCCTCCAGTCTATGAGCTTTCTCGTAAGGATCAAATGGACGGATGAAAAAGAGACAGACAATGTGTGCTGATTGGTTCCTTGTCAGAGTCTATTCAATTCCAGTCAAAGGAAAAGAAAAAAAGAAATTCAATACACATACAACTTATTCTTGTCCCTTTTCAAAAGAAAAACCCCCTCTACCCCAGCCTGCCATGTGGCTATTTTTTTTTTTCCTGGGTGTGGTCAGGGTCTACCTCCGTAGTCTAACCTGAACTGTCACTTGAGAAGACAGATGATTGAAGGAGGAAGGTCGACAGTGCAGGGTTTTGCAGTCGAATGATTAATATAATCAATTCATTTTTACTTTACTTCAATCTATACCATGTTGCTGTTCAACTAAAAAAGAAATCGATCACTTGCTGCATGTTGACGATAGATGCAGAGATCCTGTTTATGGATATCTGGAATCCAGTCGCAGAATTCATTTTCTATATGAAAATATCAGAGCCATCATAGATATCCGAGTTTTTGGAATCAGCAACGTCTCGACGATGGTCAGCCTTCACACCTTTCAGGTTATTAAGAGCTGAAGAGTTAATACGCATATTTGTGGCATAGCTCCTGATCGTCGTCTGGCGAGAATACATCGAGCAAACAGTAATCAATTGACCTGGATAACTCGCCACCATATTTAAATTGCTTTTGTGAGTCAAACTGTCCTGGTCTTGGCTTTGATGGATGGATTTAAATGATATGCCCAGTGGTTTTTTTTATGTCTCCTGGGTTTAGATTACATTGGTCCTACAGGGAATTAGTTTTTTTTTTTTTTTTTTTTGTTATAATTCCTACAGAGAATTAGTGTCTGTCTTAAAAGTACGCCTGATGGATTTTTGGAAGTCTTGTTATGGCCACTATCACCGCCATCAGCACATATCGGACGTCTGATCACAAGATATGGAAGGTCATTAACCGGATTGGGACCAGCGTTGGATGTAGACTCTGGTGGTATGATGCTTTGCAGGAGTGCATAGTCGTATTTCATGATCACTTTTAGCCCTGATACTGTAGTAATGGTTCAACTGTGATTTCGACAAGGACATACAGAGTGGCGAATACCCTTTGCTGCTTATACTGATGTCCCAGTCTGGTTTGTTTGTGGGATGAATGGGGTGAGAGTATGTACATAGGAAAGCCAGGCTATAAGCACATTCCTTTTTATTCTAAACCTAAACTCTTTGTTCGATGCCCGAAAGATCGACAAAGAGAATGTATGACAGCGACCACAAAAGGCTGCAAGTCAATACGGGATTTATGGTTGCGAGTTGAATCATGTGTAGGCGCGCAAAGAAAAAAGGTATAGCCATGAATAATGGCAGTGATAGGGGACCAAGGCAAAGGCGTATGCATTGCGGTGCCCAAATGCCTTTTTGACAATTTTGCACTAATTGAAGGCTGAAAGGCTTTGGGAAGGGCTGTGAAGAAACTAAGAGTTCTCCTAATTCCTCTTCTGTTATTGCATCATCATTTTTATTCTCATTCTGATTCACATCCGCACAGTTTATGACATGGAGTCGATCCCTTCTTCCTTTGACCATGTTTTTTCCATCCCAGAACTGGCAACTCATGTTGGTCAGTATTTGCGACCCTTTGAGCTGAGAACGCTGTCCCTCCTCTCTAGGACCCTCTTCAACACCTTTAGACCATCACTACGACTCTCAATCTCATCCTTGACATTTACTTCCTCTTCAGGCGAAATAAACAATATCCGATCGACATCGATCTTTTGCCCTCAAGATATCAGTTCCTTAGCACCCCGCACTCGAGCATTGAAATTGGATCTTCATCATGAAGATGACTGCCCTAAACAAACGGCTCTACTAGATACAGTCTTCAGACACTGGGGAAGCACCGAACAGAGGAGACACCTTTCTTCACTCCATATTGAGTATTGGGGCAATGAAAGCAGTGTTCTACATAAAGTCATAGTCAATATTCCGATGATCCAAGATCTATCCGTTACATTCATGGCTGCTATGGAGGTTAATGTGCTGCCAAATACTCTCATTGATTTAAGTAAAACAATGGGTCCACTGGCTTTAAAAACGCTTATACTCGAAAGCAGAATCCAGAATAGAAGCAAGTATATAGGCTGGTCAGCATTCACACGTATGTTACAAGCGTGTCCAGATCTTCAGGAACTCAATTTCAAGAATATCCCATTTGCTGCTGTTGATATGCGTGGTGACATTGAGAACGACGATGTTATTGATGAGGACAACAGTGAAAACGCTGATATTCATAACATTAAAAATATGGATTTGAAGCCCCAGTTCATGACAGTTACGCGATCTTTCCCGTCTATGAATAGTCTAAAGTTTTGGAGCTGTACTATCACCATGAAGCAAATCGTTAGTATGGATAAACTCTTCCCAAGGCTTCAAAAACTAGAAGTGAGGAGCAATACCGAGGCATGGACTGAGGCTCTGACTAAGCACGCTGCTATCCGTTCTACAACAACCCCAAGCACCAGCACAAATTTCAATATAAAGCAGGCTATTTTTCAAGAGCTGAAAAGTCTTACAATTTGGATTGAGCATCAAAGTGGTCGCATACGACTCATGGATCTCGTTCAAGGTCGGCCCTATCTAACAAGCCTCAGAACCGATCTGCTGCCGACGCTCAGGAATGGCCTCCTGGAGTTTGCAGAGTATTGTTCCAGTTTAAATAATCCTAGTCCTGGTTCAACCACAGAGACCACGGATACTTCATCGCCTTATCCTGTTGCCAATGCGGCAACTAATGTAAGACATAAGTTCAAGCGTCTAGCCATCCAGACTTACGCAAGCCCACCCATGTCAACTGAGGCTTTAGAGAGGTTTTACGGAGCTTCATGTTTCCAGGAATTGGAGTATATTTTTATACAGGCTGTAATGTGGTTTAGTCCTTTATTATCTTTATTTTACTTTTTTGTTGTAATTTCAGAGAGACTTATTGCTTCAAATTTCTGGGCTGTTATCTATAGCGACCCTTGACGATGAATCTATTCCCATTTGCAAGAACCCTCAAAAGCCTCGAGCTCGGAGGACATCATGCCCCAATGAATGATATTGAGTGTACCACCCTGAACGAGATCCTACAACGACTACCTGCACTTGAAAACTTAAGGATCGAACGATATCTGGAGAACTATAGCTTATTTTCAGGGTTGGGGTTCAATGATGGACCATTTCTTCATGAACTCAAAGTTTACATTTATCATAAGGCAGGAAATGCTGTTATACCTCAAAATGAAAAGATGGAGGTATTTGATTTGGACTTACTTGAGCGGCAGGTGTTAGAGAGATTCAGATTATTGGAAAGATTGAAGCTCGGCGTCCATCGTTCTTTGAGTTTACCAGAGCCCGATGTTCTTAAGCAATGGAGAGGAACCCTCTGGGAGAAGCGTGGTTGCAAAATACCGCAAATTGACTTTGTGGTCCGATACGATGCCATCTGAATGAATCCAGTTGATCACAGATAAACCATAATTACACAATTAAATATGTATTTCTTGAGTAAACACTTAATTTTGAAATTTTTTTTGTTATTGATGAAGAGAGAGAGTAATATAGAGATATAAGAGGTTCGGCGTACAACTCGGAGGTAGTGCAATACCGAGGACACCAGTGCCGGCCCAGATAGCGAGCCAGAGCTGGGCTAGCGAGTATCAAAAATAAAAATAATCGATTGGCGATCGTAATCGCCATATTATTCGATTAGAATAATAAGAACAGATACTACACTTGATCTTAGCCAAAAAGCTAGAGCGGGTAAAGAACAAAAAAATTGCTGACTTGGGCGCTTAATTTATACTCTCAAGCGGGCTGAGACTGCTTTTGGATATCGATATTCCAAGTAAAGAGGGAATCTCGAATGTGGGATTCTATATATGCCTTTGATTTAGGATCCAAATATGGATTTGACAGAAATTTTAGCAGTCAATCTGTTAATTCCATGTTAAGGTCGTGCCTGTGGGAAACTCGTCGGGTTAGAGGCGGGGGAGGATACACGAGCCATGTGAGCTTCTATTCACTACAGCGTAAGGCCTGCCAGGTCCTTCAAACTTCATCTAGGTAGAAATAAGCTTATAGTTGCGAATACGGTCCAGCCATGACTATTGGGCATAGAAGTACATCCTTTGTTGAGTCTGTTTAAGTCGAATTGCAGGACAGAAGTATAGTTTGTAAAAAGTCAGATTCGATTTTCCAATTTTGTTTTCAGCGTTCCAGGGACACATCTAACAATTCCTCTGTTTTACTGGTTTGAGAATCTCAACCTTGACCAAACATTCATGATAGTAAAATAAAATGAAAAACAAAAGCTGAAAAAACCTCATTGATACCAAAGCATAACATATCACCTATTAAGACATTCACATAGAACCTGAAGAAGATCGAACGGGTTGTGTCTTCCAACTTTTCAAGTAGTATAGGATGAGTTAATGGCATTAAAAGTATTATTATTTTGGTACATGAAAGATCTCTGTCAACCCCTTACGCGTTCTGCAAAGTTTCAGACATGGAAAAAGGATAATGTTCATTCCTTTACGCTCCTCCGAAGTCAACAATGCTCTTTACCCTATTATGGCCATACCATATGCTTGCCAGTATATCTTTAATGGGAACCTTGCCACTGTATTAAGAGAGGTATGGATTAATAAATAAATAAATAAATAAAACACCAAATACAAAACTTTGCATCTATTCTGTTTTCCTCTCCACTTTCTTTCTTTGAGAGGTAGCTGCGAATACCATTGCCAAGCGAGCTGATGCTGGTTTTATGAAGGTTCAATCTTTCAGAGACAAGTTATAAAAGTGAGAAGGTAAGGGAGGCCTCATTTCATCAAAGTAATGATTAGGAAAAAGGACAAAAGACCTGTACTGTAAACAACACTTCGTTACAGTTTGGGCCTTTGCACAATTATTGATGTCTAATTTTTTTTTTTTTTTATTTCTTAATGTGTCATGCATGGTTGTTGTTGGTTGTTAATTATTGTTATTACAAGACATGTTCACCTCGGTGCTTCTTTTCACTCTTATGCATGACCTTCAGAAACTCCTCAAGGGTGATGCGGCCGTCACCAGAGACATCGCCTTCTGTGATGATCTCGTCTACATCAGCCTATGATAGGAACAAGTTAAAAAAGCAAAGTCAGCAGGTTCAGAGGGACGACATATTCGGTCATTATTGTCCAACCTCATCAACGCACAAACAATTCCTCCGATTCTGATTTGGCCATAGTTCGACCATGATTACTACCATATACATGTACATATTATAATTATTGTTTTTTCTCACCTCAGAAAGTACATTTGGTCCCAAAAAGGAGTCTAAAGCAGTTTTGAGCTCCTGAGTAGAGACATATCCTGAACCATCCTTGTTAATCGAATAGAATGCACGACGATAGGGTTCCTCAGGATCTTTGTCCTTATCCTGGTTGTAGCGATTCATGAGATCTGTAAACTCTTTGATTTCAAGGCTGTGTGTAGGGATTCGGATAGTTGCCTTTAGTGCTTCATCTCCTAGTGTCTGTTAAATAGAAGAAGACAAAAAAAAAGCAATTGAGAAGGTTGTTGAAGAAAACACGAAAAAAAAAAAAAAAAAAAAAAAAAAAAGGATTCAAGCTGTAGCTTGCATTCACAAAGTCCCAGAAGACACTAGGCTCAATCTTGCCAGTGTTTTGAGGGTCGAACAGAGCGAAAGCTTCCTTGATTTCTTCAGGACGGATGTCAGACATGGTAGATAAAGAAAGAGAGAAAGAATATCTTTGTAAGGTAAGATAGTCAAAGAGTATTGGGATGATGTGTAAGAGTGTGCGATATAGAACAACTGAGGGTGCTTGAGAAAAGTGAAGGAGAGATATAAAAGACAAACAATCATTGGATTTGCTTCAAATAGCATCATCCATTCATCCTTTCATTCTTTCATGATTTTTAGATTGTTTAGAGATTTAGCCGTGAAGTGATGAAAGATAGAATGCCCTGATCAAAGGCGGACAAATGGCATATACATGTTACATGTACATCGAAATAGTTTATCCATGAACACGCGAAGCTTGGATGCCATCGTCTCACGACATAATCAATATGACAGTGGGTTTACATCACATCATGAGTAAGGGTCTCCTTTCTGATGCACGTTCGGATAATTTTATAATTTTCATTCAAAGTGTGCAACATCTCCAAGACCCTGTCCTCTGCACGTGTTGCAGTTATTCAAACAAAAAAAAAAAAAAAAGCTTGGTCCTCTCCCCTTGATACAGACATTATTATACGTGGATGTATTAGATTCAGTCATCAATTGATCTGTGGCGAAAAGTTGTTTATTGCATTTATTGAGTTGTTAACATGCAAATCATAAAGTTTGATCTATGCACAAGCTTACAAGTTATGGATAATAAAGGAGAATAGCTGTTTCGTCTTGCATTTGTAGTCAAGAGTCAAAAAAAAAAAAAAAAAAAAAGTTTGAAAACGGGGGAGAATAGGGGAGAATGGGTTATAATGAAATGGTGCCCTTTTTTACTTTTTACTTTTGCAGACAGTTACACTTGGATGGACAAAAGTCAAGACCGATCTAAATGTCTGAATGTGTAACAAATTCATTATGGATTTTTATTTTTAGAGTGATTTGCACTGCCAGGGCACACAGAAAAAAAAGCAGAAAGAGGTGTGAGAAGGAAAGAGCGTTTGTGTGCAATATACTTGTATCCTTTATCTTTCTTTTCTTTTTCCTTTTGTTCTTCACCTTCCTCTCCTCTTCTTTCCTGTGTGATGCTTCATCTCTCTTGAGTGCGACAAAGTGAGCGTACCCTGCTTTGCTTGCTTTTTTGCTCGGTTCATTCCCTTTCTCATTTCATTCTTCACTCCACTTCACTCCACTCCACTCCACTTCACTCCACTCCACTCCACTCCGCTCCACTCCATCCTGGCCCACACACTCTCCCTCTTTCCCACTCCCACACTCTCTCTCCATTCACATTCTGGGATATTCTCACCTTGCCTCACACCTCTCAAAAATACTGCTCCTTACTTCATTTTGTAAATTAATACTGCATCCCTTTAATTCTATACTGTTACAACTGTAGACTCATCTCTTCACACCATTATATAATCATTTTAATAACAAATGAGCTCACTTCATTCAGAAAAGTGGTTGCAGAACAGGCAATTTGGCATTGTCATCGATGCTGGCTCATCTGGTTCCAGGATTTACATTTACTCATGGATCAACCATCAACATCTAAAAGAAACATTACCTGCTCATGAGTTCTATGGTGTCTTACCTACGATCGAACCAGGGGTTGAATCCGGATCTCCATACGCTGCAGAATGGTCCAAAAAAACCGAACCAGGTACAGCTGTGAGCTTTTTTTTTTTTTTTTTTTTTTTTTTTTTGCTGAGAAAATAGGGCGAAGTGAATGGAAGAGAATATTGAGTACGATCAATCTTTATCTGATGCCTATTCCTTCCACTCAACAACCTTCTCCTCCTCTTACTCCCTTTTTTAAATATTTCTCCAGGCATTGCGGAATTCAAGGATCGGCCAGAAGATGTGGGGGAACACCTCGAGACACTCTTGGATCATGCACTTGAAGTGATTCCAGAATCCGAGATTGCGAATACACCCATTTATCTTCTTGCTACAGCTGGATTGCGACTTGTACAGGATGATGTTCGGCAACAGATCCTTAATAACTCTTGTAGTTACATCAAGGAAAACTATGGCTTTCATATCGGTGAATGCAAGGATCATATCAAGAATATCTCTGGCGAGGAAGAGGGCATCTATGGATGGGTTGCAATCAATTATTTGATGGGCGGATTTGACAACGGCGGTGTCAAGATGATCGAACCTGTGGTCCCTGGATCAGAACAACATGATAATATTGATATGGAAAACGAACAGGTACCTTCTGTAGATCTGCATGGATCAAATAATGGATCGGGCACGGACCAAAACAACTCGACCCCTTATCGACATACACTTGGCTTCTTAGACATGGGGGGTGCCAGTACACAGATCGCATTCGAACCATCATCACAGGCATCAAAGGAGCATGCCAATGATCTAACTACGGTTAAACTGAGGACATTGGATAGTCAGACCCTTGAATATCACGTTTTCGTTACAACTTTCCTGGGATATGGATCTAATCAAGCTAGGCGGCGTTATGTCAAAGACTATCTGCTTTCCACTAACAAGGATTGGCTCGAAACACAGAAGCCTGGAGTTCAAATCACAATTGAAGACCCTTGTTTACCCAAGAACTTGCAGTTGAGCGAGACACATACCATGCCGCACGTACCCTTGATGGGATCAGGGTCGTTCACAGAGTGCCTGAAACGTGTAGAAGTCCTGCTTAATAAGGACAAGGAGTGTAGCGATATACCCTGTTTATTCAATGGAGTGCATACCCCGCCTATTGACTTTAATATCAACACTTTTATTGGTGTATCCGAATATTGGTATTCATCCCATGATATCCTTGGGCTCGGCGGCGCCTATGACTATGCAGAGTTTGAGCGTAAATCAGCTGAATTTTGCAATTCAGAATGGGATGATATCAAAGCAAGGCCCGAATACCAGAGCCAGTCCCAGGAACGACTCGAGATGCAGTGCTTCAAGTCAGCCTGGCTCTCGAATGTGCTGCACGGGGGATTTGGGTTGCCTAGGTTTGGTGAGAAGGGCGCGATCGGCTCCGAAGAGCAGTCAAACGAAGTCCTCGAGAAGGCAGAAGAATCGATTAAGAACAAGAACTGGAGACCACCATTTCAGAGTATCAATGCCATCAGGGATATCCAGGTCACTTGGACTCTAGGAGCAATGGTTTTGATTTCGACTGGTTCGCTTGAGCCATACATGGGCACAGAATCAGGTGGCGCCCATGAAGGAGGACAAAGACCAACACAACAGATTTTGCCACCACCTGATCATAAGGCACCACATGAAGAGTCATACCCAGAACGAATGTTGGACAATTACAATCACTTTATGCTTCTGGCAATCATCTTGTTCGCGCTAGCTGTTATCTGGGTCTATCGATCAAGATCTTCCAAATCCGTCAAGAGATGGCTCACGCCTGGTGCTGGAGGCAGCGGCTTACCTTTCTTTGGTAGATTCCGTAGAATGCGGGGCTCCTCAGGCGTGGATTACAGCACGCTGGAATCAGGAACGGCGATGGGCTCAGGAACGCCCTACGGATACGGATTCAGTCCAAGAGCAAGTCTTAAAGTCATGTATCTCTCAATCATGCACCACACACGATCTTTTTGGTGGTCTGTGACCTCGCGCATCTGGCCTGAACCTAATGACTTCGATACAACGAATGGGCAGCCAGAACAGATGATGGAATCGATTACGATTGCAGGATACGATGGTAACTCTAACGCTTCGACTACCATTACCATGTCGAGTGTACCTAGTCATCATGGTGGAACACCGGCTGGCAGTTTTGGTTCGTCTGCGTTAAGTTCTATCCCAGAAGGCGGTTCGGGATCCTTTGAGCCTGGCTATCACCGATCTCATTCTACCCCATCGTCTGCTGGAGGTAGTGGCGGCGGGTCATCCCGGCCACCCAGGACCACACCAAGGTTTTTCAGAATCAACAAAAAGCGATTCTCGGGTGATTCACAATCACTGATTATACAAAAAGATGGACGTGGTAGCAGCCACGTGTCTCCGGATGGATGTGTAGTTAACACAGCCCTGCTCCAAAAGCAACCCAAAACTTCTGTGGAGCTGACAGCGCGTTCTGGATCTACAACAAATCTGATGGGCATGTGGGGTAGCAATAGCAGTACTCTCAATACACCTAATTACTTTAATTCCAGCGCCAATAATAACAGTCCACAGCCTCACGGTATACCAATGGATCATCTGCAGTCACCCTCTGGGGCAGCACCAGTGATTACATCGATATCATCTGCAGGCTGGAAGCAAGGATGGGTTCCTGAAGAGGAGATGGACGATCCCCCAGTACCATCTTTGCTAACGACATCCCGGAGCTATAACGGCGTCAGTCCCACATCTTCTGGTCATAGTCCTCTTCTAACGCCTCTGGGACGATATAAACAACAGCAAATGTTGAACCAAGATGGATCCTCATCTGCTCCTTCATCCTCTGTGAACTTGTCATCCATTTTGAATAATGGTCACAGTTCATCTTCTAATTCTGGGATGATGGTCTCTGCAGACGAACGCGAAGACTGGAGTGCAGATGGTGGTGGTGATGGCGATGATGAAGGTGACGGATACATCAATCATCGCCCGACTCATATCCACTCTAGAACAGGAATGCATAACGCCAGTTCCTATAATCAGTTTCAACAGCAGGTCCAGGAGTATTCACGGGGTCATATTCGGTCCGCCAGTGCAGCACCCTTTTCTAATGCCTCACGACCACTTCATGGATCCACACCAACGTCAATAGGGATGGCGCACTCTCAGTCAAGTCATGCTGTCCTCACAGCCGGATCATCATCGCGCTACAACTATTACAAGCAGCGATCAACGGGTCTATTGTCAGGGACCAATTTCGAAACAGGTGGTGGAGCCATGACAACATTAGATGATGAGTCTGCAGGCGAGGGTGGCTACGTTAGTGGTGGATCTTCATCTGGTGCGTCTCACAACCGATCTAGATCCTTTCAAGCAGGTTTGAGGGTTATAGGACCTAGGAGTGCAAGCCCTATGATGATGAACCAACACTTAAACTCAACAAGCACCAGCTCCATGGTTATGGGAAGACACAATGTCTCTGAACAGGATCAACAATTAGTTTCAAGAGGAAGTAGTGAGAACACGAGACGAAGCAGTATGGGATCCATCTTGTCTCCGTAAACATAAAGAGTTAAACTTTATTGTTACTATACCCCCCCACCCCACAATCTCAAGAATAAAAAAATGAAAATAATCTAGAGTAACATGTGGTATAAAAAAGGTGTAAATGCCAACAAACTCTTGTGCTCCTTCTCTAGTTCTTGTTCTCTACCAGGGTACCCACATGCTGGTATTTGCCCTCGAAATGCATGGCCCAGTCACTGAGAGCTTCCTTCTCGTCATCTGTCAGGTCCTCCAGCTTGTCGATAGGCCCATCCACAGGCACCAGCATTTCGCTGTCAAACGAGTTCTTGGCCAATCCACGGGATGCATCTCTGCCAGCGAAGTTGCCATAGGGACCACCTAGCAATAACAAGGAAAGAGAAAGAATGTAAATATGTTTAGTTAGTGGTAGTAAGGGAATAGTTAATGAGAGCATGCTTGTTGCTAGTGAATGCTTTCACTCTCATCAAAACAAAAAGAATGAGTAAAAAAAAAAGATACAGAGCAATGGGAATAGAAAAGAAACACGCTGCATTTTTGGTGATTGAATTTTTTTTTTCTTTTCTGCAGCTTCTAGAAAGGGAAGCTCTTAAAATTTTTCCGATAAGAATTTTTCTTGGCTACATTTTCATTTTTATCTCCAAGAAGCAAGCAATGCAGCGAATAGTTATTTTTTCTCATTTTGTTTGCTTTACTGCATCAGTTATCCAAGCTGACTCAATCTTCTCCTTCCACTTTCCAATCGAAAAAAAAGCTTCTTTTTATAATTAACAGTATTTTATTACAGTATTTTTTTTTTACCTGGGCCATAAAAGTTTCTGCCACGGGTCACGTCAAATATTTTGCCCTGAACAGCGATCAAGATCCTGGTGTCATCTGTTCGACCATCAAATTCGGTGAGTTCTTTGGGTGTATACTCCTTAAAGACTAAAGCAGGCAGTTTGGGACGAGGTGGGGGTAATTCTGGTGCTGCTGCGGCTGCAAAGAAATTGTACGAGATGTAACCCAACACAGCTGCCAAGATCCAGTTGACAGGATTTGTAAGAGCGGACATGATGATTAAACTATTGTGTTTTAACTCCAGGAATGTGTTGCAAAAAAAGTGGAATGAGAATGAAAAGAACAAAGAGATACAGTTTTGTCTTTCTTTTAGTCGGGACAGGGGTGGCTGTGACCCACAGCAGGCTGAAAAGCGGGATAGATTCGTGCCATGATGCAAAAGCGAGGAAGCCCAACCAATTGGCGACCTACACATCGAATAATGCTATCTGCCTCTATAGCCGCATGATAGATGGGATCCCTTTATTCCATTACAGTTCCTAGCCCACTTATTCACGTCCTGGAGTCTACTGTGACATTCCGGGCATATTCAGCCTATATCACAGAAATCTTGCCCAATCAACAGCGTGAGCAACAATAGACGAAGCGGATGTGGAGTCAGCTACGCGTCTCTTCCTCCCAAGCGATCCGAAGATGAGAGCGAGAGGTGTCTGTGTGGCTTTACCTCGATATCGCATTTTTTCCGTGAAGCGAAAGCTTTAGGTCAGAATGTTAGTTAGAGAGTGCCATGTCTTGCTCCAATCTTCATACACCAAAAAGTCGGAGCCATAGGTCAACACACATTATTTTTGCAGATTAGGTGCAGCCGTGATTCTGCACCATGGATTGCTCGACATGGGGAGATACAAAAACAAACGACGTACGAAAAGAGGCCACGACTTTTCAAACAAAGGAGTTTATTTATTTTTATTATTTTTTTACCAATTTTCGCTCTCAAGAGGAAAATAAAAAGTCAGAAGTGGATATGGCACAGGAGGGGCTGAGGATAAGAAATACATGTACGAAAAGATTGATAACATTTGAAAGCTATACACAAGAAAGAACGAGTGAATAAATGGCACAAGTCTAACAACTGAAAGAAAATGAGATATGGAATGTTTGTCGTAAGATCACAAATTGTACAAGACCTCATACCAGATGAGGATCAGAAAGAGCAGAGTAGGGCTGGTCTTGATTGCTTTGCAGGTCCATATCAACTAGACGAGCCATCATGGATTCGTAGAGCCAATCGATCATATTAGGGTCCTCTTGTGCTGCCGATGGAAACTCTGATCGACTGCCTGAAATCTGCAGCTGACTCAGCTCATAGAACAGTTGGATCTGTTCATCTGTCATATCATCCTCATCTTCAGCATGTGCTAAAGCCCAAAGACTCTGTTGCAAATCCCAGTCCAAGTCTTCATCTAAACTTGCTTCGTCAGTGACGACTTCTTCGACAACAGCCACATCTGGCTTCGAATTGGTGCTCATAAAGGTCATATTGGCAAATGTAGTCATCAGCTCGAACACAACTCCTGACATCCAAAATGGATTGGTATTTGATGATGGCTGGACTTTATCGCTCCATTGCAGCCACGGTCGATCAACCATGTCATTGTCCTTGGATTTAATTTTCTCACCAAGTTGGAACTCATCGCTTAAGCAGATCTCTGGTACCAAAGTGGTATGTACCATGATTGGATTTTTGTCCTTCCATGAGTTCTGACTAGTGCTGCCCGAAGAAGAATTAGGCACATCCTTGTGGAGGTTGAGTGTAAGGATTGGTGATTGGGGTCGAGGCATAGACAAGGGCAGGCCACTCTTGGCACTGGGATTTAATGCTTGGGTGCTACGGTTTAGGATTGATGTCAATAATGATTGATTTTCCTTGGAAAGGGGCGCAGTAGGACTGGTAGTCGCTACTTGGTCGGGTGCAGGCGCAGCGGTGGCGGTAACTGTACTAATAGCAGCTGTATTATTAACAATATTCCTTTCTGCCAATTGGCGCTTGACCTCCTCGAGTTCACCCTTAAGACGTATATTTTCTTCTTGAACAAGAGTAACCGCTTCACGCAGGTACCTTGCCTCCGTTTTATGTTGGAGCACTTGTCCCTCGAGAGTGAAGATGTATTCTATTTGTATCATGGGAAAAATCATAAAAGTCAGCATGCATGAATGTTGTACAGTGTACTCCCTATTATAGCCAAAAAAAAAAAAAAAAAAAAAAAAAAAAGAGAGGGGGAAGAGGATTGGCCATTTGGGATGCACGCACGCAAAGACCATCATATGATACAGGGCATGTTCGCACCTTCCCAAAGCTAGATCTGCTAAGAGTAAGACATAATGGAAGCTCTGACCCAGCGACAAAACCACCTTATATTGTCGAGAACTAAGGACTTACCCTTTCTTCTAACTCTGAAATTACGTGCAGAGATCTTATTGCGAAGCTGACGACGTTCTTTGGAAGTCATTTTCTTCAGATCTGTTGAAGAAGGAATATCATCGGTTTTTATTCCAGGCTGTGTCTTGAGACCATGAGTTTGCTCAGCAGAAGCTGTTGTTGTTGTTGTCATTGCTGCTTCATTAGCCTCACCACCTTCGACATTATCATCCGAGTCATCTTCTGAGGCAGGAGTCTCATCCTTGACTTTGGGAGACTCTTCAGCGGTCGCTATCAGATGCTTTGTGGACTCTAGCAAGCGGGCTAATGTCTCCTCAATCTCCTCTCTTGTGAGTTTTCCGGTGAATAACTGAGGGATGAGTGGCGTTTCTTCCTGCTGTTGTAGCAAGAACTGGAGTGTTGCTGGGGACAGGGTAGTGTTGACTGGAGATACGGGGGAATCGGGTGTAGACTCAGACGTAATGCTTGAAGCATTGGATGATGATGACGATTCAGTTGTATTTAATGTGTTAGGTGAAACAGCAGCTGTAGTAACACCGGCTATTGTTGAGTTTGAAGGAGAAATAGACGATTTTCGAGAGTTCGCGCTATTTGATTTTGACTTTGAGGTAGATTCAGTCTTGGCATGTTTACGCAGTCCAGATGGGGGTTCAGGACTGGAACGTTTCGTTCCTATAGATGATGTAGCTTTCATCGGCGTGTTTACGGATGCAACATCTGTAAAATAAAAGGTTAAAATATCGTTATTGGAGATTTGTTATTAGTACGATGACAACAGAAAAGAGATAGCTTTGACTACAGATATGATCGGCTATGCCCATAACCAGTGAATAGCGTGCATACTTTGAGTCAAGCCTGTTGCAGCCGACGATGACGGAACAGACAGGGAAATTATGTCGAGGGAGACGGTTGTAGCCTGGGGCTCGATCGTCAGCTGATCAGGCCGGACCATTGTCAATGCCTGATCACCAAAGGCAAGTGAAGGTTTTTGAGCCTCAGTGGGAATTTTGAGCGACTGTTGATCAAATGGAGAAGGGTCAAGAAGAATTTGTGTGTCTGTAGTGTCTTCTTGTTTGATAGCCAAGTCCATTGTCATGATAGAAGGCTCGGATTCATCGTCAGGAGATGCAATGAGGGCTGCTGCGGCGGCCTCAAGGTCGGTGGCGCTAACATCGAGACCGGCAGCTGTGTCCAGATAGTAGGAGAACAAATCACCAGTCGTCTCAGAGTGGTCGAGCAGGTCAAGCTCAATAAAGTCGTCAAACATTGGATTCGACATGCCCTGTCTTTATTTTTTCTCGACTATGGCAAAGGTAAATAAGAAATGGCGAGGAAAAAAGAAAAAGAAATGGAATGCAAAAACGAAGCACAGAGAGGGAGCCTATTTTAAAAAAAAAAAAAAAAAAAAAAAAAAAAAAAAAACTGTAAATCAGAACACTGACAAATGAACAATGGAAAAAAATAGAAACAAACCAAAAAAAGAAAAAAAAAAAAAAAAAAAGTTGACAATGTCGCGCAGCACTTCAGATGGGTTATTAAGCACACACACACCAATGAAATTACTCAAAACCTTGAAGCAGAAGGTAGCAGGGAGAGTGTTTATGACAATGACAAAGGAAAGTAGATGAAAAATGTGTTGAATATAAGAAATGAAAAGAAATGAGAATAAAGAAAAAAGAAGAAAGAGAGAAGAAGAATGAGAAGAAGAGAACGGGGAAAAAAAAAAAAAGAAAGCAGGAGCAAGGGAGTTCATAAAAAGAAATAAAAAGGAAACGAAACAAAAGGGATTTTTGACAAAGGCCAAAGTGTGGTGTGGTTCTGTGTGATTAGAGTATTACATCCCATCCAACAAAGCCTTCCCTTTCTGTATCACGCAACTTTCAAGGGGTGCGAAGGAATTCATCGACCCTAGGCCTTCTTCTCTACTTGCCCCTGTCCTTTCTTATTACAATGGGAACATTTTTTTACTGAAAGGACCTTGTCTTCATCGACCTTACAGCTGTCCCATGCAGATTCATTGCAGCTGGAAAGAAACAGCGCAGACCAGTTACGCATTTATTATTATGCCAACTCTACCCTGCTTGTCACATCCTGCCGTCATCTACCTTAACTCAAAAACTTTTGGTAGGTTTTTATCAAGATTTAGTCGAACCATTCTGCCGAATGGTCTCATTTCCTATCTGTCTTCCCTCCCTTCTGTCCTTTCTTTCACCCCTACTCGCTTCGCGATTTGTCCTTTTTCTATTTTCTGTGCTTCTCAACGTGGTTCAGCTGAAGTTTGATCGACGTGTTGTCATCAAGTATAATACATTATATATGTACAGACAATAATTAGTCTTTTAGTTTCTAAGTATGCTGGGAAGCAAGCTGGATTAATCATGCAAAGAGACGTTGCATCTAAGACTCTATTTTCGGGTTCACTGATCAATAAAATAACGTATTCGGTGAGCCCTTCCTCCGTCAATACTTTTCTCCAAGACTCTTGGCAGTTTTCAGATCACAGGGGTCATATTATTCATATTATTTCGGTTCCCAAATGTTGAAGGGCGTGTTTCAAGTATATCGCAAAAAAAAAAATGGGTTTTCTTCGCGTTTCGACAATATGACATCTTTTTGACATCCAGTACGATCGATTAGTCTTCGATCGTCACCTGACATTACCCCAAAACCTTACAAGGGGGCTGTGACTCCCATGCACGTATACACGTATGCGACGCGCACACTAAGAAGCTCTTTATTGGTTTCTATTGTGGAGTATTGACAATTTTTGCAGGATTCGTAATCAAGTTGCTTTTGGTTTCATACGCTGTGTCCGACGTACCAATTTTGTAGTAAGTTACAGTTCTATGGACGAATATTAAATAGATTTTTATAAAACCTCACCAACAACTTCCTGCAAAGCAGCAGCAGTTTTGCCTTTGCCTTTGCTCTGTGCCGAAGTCGCCTCAGAAAGCCACTGATGCTTGTCAACAGGTTGGGGTCCGTCTGTGAAGCCATGTTGTGAATGATCATGGTTCTCGGTGCAGGAGGCGCCAGCAGGATTCTTGAAAACGGTCACGCCCCTAGTCAACAGGTCCTTGAGCTTCTCCTCGTCTGCTCCCCAGTGCTCTTCAACCTCAGCTGCCTTGACCCATAGCTGATAGTTAGCGGGATTGGACTGGCGTGCATCCGCAAACAAACGGCGGCGCTTGGCTGCATCAGACTCATTGATAGCTTCTTGGTAAAATTGCTCGGCAGAGAGGGGACCGTTGTTGGGAACACCAGCGAAAGACATTATGGATTGAGTTGACTGACGGGCTTGTGAAAGAAAAAAGAAAAAAAAGGGAATGCGCTGAAATTTGGAAGAATGGGTTGATGAGAGAAAAAGAGAATGGGAAGTCGCCACTTTTTATGCGGAAGTAAGAGTGAAGAACAACGCGATAGTTTTTAGTTCTAACTTGATCACGTTTCAAGTGATACCATGTGGATGCTTTCCAAATATAATCCTCATTTTGGCGTCGAATCACACACGCGCTCCCTGACAGAACTGGAGAAACGAAGTGCTCTTACCAGTTTTTAATACGTCACTTTCTTCATCTATAATAGTAACAGATTTAGCCGATCCCATGCTGAAAAGTTCGTAATCATCGCAGATGCGATACTCTTGCTGAAAGGAAGTGGGCACAATACTGCATTATGCAATGGTGTCTAACGCCTAGAATCTTGTGTCTAAAGGAACATCAGATATTGCCCTTGCTTTCTTGGGGTGAACAAGGGCCATCCAGATATAGATGACTCTGTGTAAGATGAGAAGATGAGCTTTTTTTAAAAAAGGGTCATATGATTTCCTTCAGGCACCACCTTCCTTTTGCAAAGGTCACGCAATGAATCTTGCAGCATGGTGGAGTAGGCTTTTTAATAGCCGCAAGCTTAGGTAAACAAGTGACAAGTGACACTGGTGATTGACATCCCTCGTTAGTGTCCTTGTTGACAACTATTCATAGATGTGATAATTGGATGAAAGCCACGCTGTTAGGTTCAAGTATACACCATACTGAGTGCTCTGTATGGAACTTATTGTTGATCAAGCTTGCATTAATATGAATTGACTGCTAAAATTTCTGTCAAATCCATATTTGGATCCTAAATCAAAGGCATATATAGAATCCCACATTCGAGATTCCCTCTTTACTTGGAATATCGATATCCAAAAGCAGTCTCAGCCCGCTTGAGAGTATAAATTAAGCGCCCAAGTCAGCAATTTTTTTGTTCTTTACCCGCTCTAGCTTTTTGGCTAAGATCAAGTGTAGTATCTGTTCTTATTATTCTAATCGAATAATATGGCGATTACGATCGCCAATCGATTATTTTTATTTTTGATACTCGCTAGCCCAGCTCTGGCTCGCTATCTGGGCCGGCACTGGTGTCCTCGGTATTGCACTACCTCCGAGTTGTACGCCGAACCTCTTATATCTCTATATTACTCTCTCTCTTCATCAATAACAAAAAAGAAAAGGAAAGGTGAAAAGTCATGTGCATGATTGCTGTCGTTCCAGATAGAGGTGCAATGTAATACCATGATGGATTTATTGCATTGATGTCTTTCCTGGTACTTATCCGTATTATGTGCTTGAGGTTGTGGTTGGGCAAGCTTGAGAAATCTTGAACGGACACTGGTGGAACGAATTGTAATGCGATAGATAGTTCTAACCTTAAGTTAATAAATATAGATGAAAGGTGCAGTCTTGCTTGGTACTGCTTACACTAACTTTTTTTATATTACTTAGACTTGGAACATGGTAGGAGGTTTCTTTTTTAGGAGGACATGGTGTGTTGTTGTACTATGCTTCGCTCCGTTGACAGAATGCTTCAGAGAGTTACGGAGCTTCGAAAACACGTATGCCAATGGTTCCAAATATCCAAATGAAGGGAGACCGGATCATGTTTTCTAACAAGGAGTAGAATATCTATTTGAAGTGTCTACTCTCAGAGAGACAAACTGCGTAGGCAGCAAATAAAAACATGACCAAATTTGTATATTCTCTGACTCAAGTGTTGTTTTCTTACTCCCAAGTATATACATCGTACAATAACCCATTGAAATGGTCAGGGTTATGTGTCACATCCATCCTCCGACAGAGACTGTAGCACCTCGGTTGAAGGCATAAAGAATCAGGAAATAAGCATTGATGGTTACCAACGAAAGTGTTGAGCGTTAAAAAAAAAAAAAAAAAAAAAAAAAAGCCATGGTCATGGATCAACGGATCATGTATAAAAAAGCAATCAAGATAAATGCCAAGGGCTAGACTGTTGGAAACAATATTTAAAGCGAAGGTTTATGAACATCGGTCGATGTGGTCGAAATAGGAAACGGGGCAGAACTTTCTCCTAGTACTCAGGATCAAAACGTATTTTGTATAGTCCATTGAGCAGCGAGAGCTTCTGGATGATGACGAAGACAAATGTTAGAAAGAGGAGCAGAGACAGATGTCGCTTATGACCCAGAGCTTCTTCTTTTTCCAATGCCCAGTGCCCAACTGTATCAGCACTATTCAGTTTTTTGTAGCCATGACCGGCGATAACCGTCATATAGCAGATTGTCGATCACGCCAAATGTAATTTTTTTTGCGATACAAATTTATTGAAGGCGCCATGTGCTGTCTCGTTTTATTATCTCCAATCTTGCTTTCATTCTATTAGATCATGGTATCCCTATCTATCCAACTGCAAGAGCTCTGCTTGGTCTTGCCATCAAAAGGCGTACCACAATCATTCCTCATCTCTCAAGCTTCGTCCGCTCGATCCAGCATGATCGCTTCTTCTCTCGCATCAGCAGGTACTGCAACATCTTCCTCGCTTTCCACATGTTTACCCCATCCTCCTCTATCAACCAAGACGCGACCCATCCAGTATACCAACAGCAACAGCAGCCATTGCCCTCATTATATCCTTCAGGAACAACGGCTGTTGAAGGAGTGGTAGCCCTTACACTTTCCAAGCCGATCAGGGTCGGATCATTGTCTATCACTCTTGGCGGATCATCGCACCTCGCCCTTACCTCAGATAGTCACCAAAACCCTCGAAACCTCCCAATAGCGAAATTACCTAAGTACATCTCCCATTACTCACGTCAGCATTTCGAGTTCAACAGTTCCTGATTGAGCCGCCACCCTTGTGACAGCAACGTGTCATTTGTCAATGCATAGTTCTCGCGACGCATTACCCAGTAACTTGGAGCCCAATCAAATAGCATATTCGTTTGAAACCCAGGTGCCGAGCCGTGTTCTTGTATCAATAATGACTCCTCAGGGAGGGACGATTTGCCAGTTGACAGCAGAACTCGTGTTGGCGAAACTCAAGGTTGTGCCGGCTGGGATCATGGCAACTATATTGTCAGCAGCCTCAGCCTCAGTACTGTCTACGTCTCTAGTAAATAACACAATGATACTAAATATCTATCGATCAGGGATTTTGGACCATCCAGCAATGCTTTCTCGAATGCTCGCTACAGGCTATATCAAGATCTCAGTGACCGAATGGTAAGGACTAGCCCCACGAGCACTGAAAATGGGGCACATAGAGGCGAAAGAGCTATGATCCCAGACTCTATCTCGCACTTTAGAAGTTAATATCTCGGTACCATTTGTCCGTCTAGCATTGAGGTCTAGACCCGACATAAAGGATGACATCAAGCTTTTGCATGGAGGTCTGGCCATAAAATCATTCTAAGTAGCATTATAAGAGAGAACTATCTTCAGAGTTGAAAAGACAACTATAATACAGGAAAGCGATGTGGCCGAGAAACTGACGCAATTGGTAGTCGTTGGGATTCGAGAATGTATTATAAGTACGCAGCGTATGGATAGTGGCTGGCTGTCAAACCCTTCCATGACAGCACTAATAAGCTCTGGCTTTTCAACTATTGAGAGAATTGCTCAATTCAACACACCAAACCTTATCCGGGACCCAAATGAGCTTCATTCTTCCCACAGTTGCAACGTATCTACGTATGATCGGATCCCAAAGATGGAGTGCCAGCAACTAAAGAAAGACTTTGAAAACTATCCCATGGATTTCTCTGATGTCAAGTTAGGATCCGACATCGAGATACACTTCCTTAGGTGTAGTTTGTTCATAACAGAGCCGCCACTTAGGTTGGGTAAGAAACTGGCGGTTGAGCGTCAGATTAGCGATTTACCAGTTGTGGTTCGAGAGATTCCTGATAGAGTAGAGTATGACAGAAGTGGCTTGCCTATATACATGGTTCATTTGCGACATCACCGCTTCATTGAAAGAAGAGTAGACTTACGAAGCCACTGCACGCATAAGCATAAGTGGCAGTAACAGAGGTAGCGATTATGGGTCACCCAAAGGGTTAGTGAACGAGATGGGCATATCCTACCCACTCTCACAAGCGATCTCATATCAACTTCAACATCTATGGCAGACTTCATATTACCAAATGAAGACTGCGATGATAATGAAATGTTCACTGCGATTATGAGATCAAGGATACTACCGTCCTATGAAGACAGTATAAGTCAACCATCGATCGACTCGGTATTGAATGGCCTGATGTGGCTCTTCCCCTACCAAACGACACTTCTAAGCATGAGGTTGGTAGGTCTTTGATCGTGCCGTACCAGTCTTATACGATATTAATAGGTTATAAATGTATGACTTTAATGTAATATTAGTAAATAGTTTGCTTAGTTCAATAGATTTAATGGTTTAATCCTTGCGCTTTGATTTCCTACGCGAAGGCCTCTTGTTGGTGCTTGATAAAACTTCTTCTAATATTGACAAGCGAATTGCACTATCCGGAATACCATGCGGATTTGCTTTGGCTGCTGAGATGACGTTGCTTGTCGCAAATTCCTTATCCAGTTCATTTCTCTTCTGGCCGTTACCATCGTTCACACTATCATTATTATTCTTAACGATATCATTACCATAATAGTCATCATTGCTATCGTCGTTATCGTCGCCATCATTGCCATCATTGCCTTCATCGTCTGGACGTCCATGGTACTTTTTCGCTGACTTGCGAGCCATCCGCAATTTCTTCCGACGAATTTTTTGCGCTTTTTGCCCTCGCTTTGACATATCGCCGTTATAATACTCATCCAATCGTTCGAAAAGGATTTTCCTTGCCAATTTGCGATTCTGAGGTAGCGATCTCGTTGCTTGACATTGAACCACAATTCCTGTCTCAAAGTGTTTCAGCTCAACATTAGAATTTGTTTTGTTGATCTTTTGACCGCCGTTGCCGCCGCCCTTGATGAATCGCTCCCGGAAATCCGTTTCAAGCAGAGTAATTTCTTTATATTGAAACGGTTCTTTTGATGACAATGACGTGAACGATGATGCGAGCTCGTTTATGGTTGTTGATGTGGCAGAGTTTTCCTCAAATGATTCTGACTGATCCGGAGATTCCAGTTCTGTGTGGCCTATCGTTAGAGCATTGGCTTGTTTGTAGTCTTTCACGGGTATTGATGCATGATCACGACCAGGACCTGCTCGTAAGAAAGCTTCCGGGACCTGTTGGCATCGTAAGTTTGAGAATGCAGCGAGTGTTGGTGACTGGATACGGAAGAAGTGATAAGTGCCTAGCCAATATTGGCCAGCGGTAACAGCAGCACGATGCAAAAGCGTTATATAACAGTGGCCACTGCGAGCAAGCATCGTCGCCATACTCGAATCAGGTTGTCAATAGAGTACTGAATGGAGGATTCTCTTTGGAATTGAACAAATATTAATCCAAATTGTGACTGCATTATGTCCATACACTGATCCTCAGAGTTCGCAAAGCCAGCTCAACATCTACCATCACAAAAGCCTATTACCTTAACCGGAAGACTAATTAAAAAGATTATAAATGGATTTCGATGAGGAGGCGCTTATAGCTGAGGCCATTCGTAGGTCCCTTGCAGATTCGCAACCTGAAGTGCGTGGAGAGTCGTCTTCAGCTAGTTTATCAGCAATGGCAAGGACAACAGCCCTGCAAAGTAAAGCACCACCGCAAGCACCATCGATAATTGACCTCACGGACGAGATTGAGCCTGTTAAAATGGAGCAGAATACCATATCAAGCATGAACTTGTCCAGAGATGCTCAGGATGCTGCGACGACGGCTGAACAGGAGGATAGAGACCTCAAGTTAGCTCTAGCACTCTCAATGGCTGATGCAGCGTCACCTTATTCAATAGAGTCAGAACCTGTATCAATGGCAACCGCATTGACATCATCATCGCAAGGGATTTCTAGACAGAAGGAGTCAATAACATCAAAGACTACCTTCTCCCTTGGGAGTTTAAATCGTGCTGAAATGGAACACGAACGTCAAGAACGTATTAAACGGAAGGCTATGAATAGCGCTGGAGTAACGGTGCAACCACAATTGCAAACAGAACACAGAGCAAAAAAGTCACGTTCTCAAACTGTTGTATCAAATATTTTTTCAACGCCTGAATTACCTGAATTATCAGTATCAACGTCATCCTCATCAGTGTCACCATCGACTAAGAGGAAGGTACCATTTCCATCTACTTCATCATCGTCTAAAGTGTCAGCAGCAGCATTACCATCAGTGAAGTCATCATCACCATTAGTGCCTAAGGTGCCAGTACCTACATCCGGATCGTCTACGCCTTATACCACACCATCTATCCTTCCGTCTAGAGCCGAGATGATAGCGTCTATCGACAATGATTGCAACAAAGGCTCTGTACGTGATGACGATGAGGTAGCAGCCGTATACCCACCGAAATATAACGTCGCGACATTCAGGAATACTTGGATCAAAGGGGCGCGACCTGGGCAGGCAATTCGGTTTCAAGAACTCGTGGACAAGAATTTTCTTGTCAAAGCTGTCCTAACAACATTTGAACTAGATGAAGAGTGGCTCGAACATTATCTCCCTCGTACTATCCCTCAATGTCTTGTTCACCATTGGAGCAGAGAGCATGGTGACAAAGTATACAGAAAATATGCCAAAAAAGTTTTTTTTATATTCATAAATTAAAAATGATTTCCGTGATATTCATACGCATTTCTCTTCCTTGCCATCATCATTTTTATAGCCTGGTTTTCTGACCGACGGAAAGGTAACCTATCTACACCCACCGCTCAATGGCTTCGGATCTTTCCATCCGAAGCTTATGCTGCTATTCTACCCCACCTTCTGCCGCGTTGTGATATCCTCTGCCAATCTGGTAAGTAACCTCTTAGGTAGCTCTATCCGTTATGAAGACCAAAAGTCATATTGTTACCAGCTGGCAATGAACGTTGTTAATTTATTATTACTATCATTATTATTTATTTCGACTGAGCAAGGTTGCACACGATTGGATTGTGCTTGTCAACACAGTGTACGTACAGGATTTTCTATTGCTACCTAAAGCTGTAGAGAGGCCAGAGGAAATGGGCGACTTTGGATCAACTCTCTACAATTTCCTAAAAGTTATGACCGTGCCAGAAAAGGTTCTAGCAGTGGTAAGAGCAGTAGATTTCAGTGGAGCCAAAGTAAGGAAATTTCTGCTTTCGATTGTTATTCTCCTTATAATACAGATATTTGGCATGGTTGCTCTCAGCTTGCAATATTATGTTGATTCATACCATAATACTGTATTCTGAAAGGTTCTATTGGTCCCATCAGTTCAAGGCTCCTTTCCTGTTGGCGATGACTATACATATGGCATCGCGCAGTTGGCCAATGTTATGCGGAAGAAGACTTCCCCGAATCAGGAGATGGAAATGGAATATCAAGTAGGTCAAACAAACACTTACATTATCAGAGAACACAGCGATTATAGCATAACTTATTTCAATCCAAATCCGATAAAACACTATTTATTTTTCCTCTGCAATCAGACGAGTTCCATTGGAAAGCTGTCACACAAGTTTTTGAGTGAATTCTACGATGCATCCAGGGGTCGCCCTGTGAAACCCAGATCGAAGGTGTATGTTGAGGAGAGATTGCCGGATATTAAAGTTGTCTTTCCAACAGAAAAGCATGTGCAGAACAGTAGGTATGGAGAGTTGGGTGCGGGCACTGTATGTTTCCATCCCCAGGCCTGGGATGATCCCACCTTTCCAAGAAGAGTGATGCACGACTTCGAGTGTGTGGGGCCTTATCATGGATCTTTGATGCATTCTAAGGTAAGTCAGGGTCTAGGCTTATGACTGACCAGAGCTTTCAAATAGAGCGATTGTCTTGATGCTCCGGATCTTTTTTTTTAACGGCATATATAGTTTGTTCTGGCAAAGTCAGTTCAATCAACCAGCACAACTGGTCTGTATATCCCCCCACATCGGGCCGCTTTAGAGAAAAAATGTGCGGGATGGTTTTATGTCGGGTATGTCATCTTTCTCTCCGTCTATCACTTTATCTATTTTCCATATAGCAAAGCTCATTTTTTTTTTTTTTTTTTCTTCTTTCAGGAGTGCTAATTTTACAGAATCAGCCTGGGGAACAGTTGTTAGTAAAAGGGCTACCGCAAAATTTAAAAGTGGAGTTTATGTTTCGATGCGTAACTGGGAATTGGGCGTCGTATGTGTAATGGAAACCGAAGAGGAAATGGAGGCTATGGCGGAATTCGCGAATGCACAAGGCTTGAATCCAGGAGGCGAGCAATCCTTCTTTGGGCCATTGCCTATTCCATACAAGAGGCCCCTGACGCAGTACACTGCCACTGATCGACCATGGATTCGATGATCGTGTCACAGGCCCTATATATAATACTCCGCGCCTCGAAAAGAAGAAAAATCCCCTTACCAGGCACAGAATAAATGAAAAGGCAGGTGGTGGCCTTTTGTCTAAACCTTTCATAGCTTAGATGCAAAGTACATGACTTTGATGGGCGGATGACCAGGTCGATAGACATCAGCTAAGTGGTTAAAACATACAGAGCGTAAACTTGAGTAGATCATGGTCGCTTTCAAAGCAGAGAGGGTTTTTTTATTTTTATTTTTAGAGTTGATTATACTTTTCTACAGCCTCACTTCCTCCTCCGACTGCTTCGCGCTATACATACGTAGATGACGAAGTTTTCGGCTTCAGATGGAGTCCTCGCCAGAAAGTCATGAACTGGATATATTTTAAAATACTCAATTTGAATTATTATTTGCAAAAATACAATTTACGTACGAAGCTTGAAAAGCACAATAGAAAAAAAAAAAAATTCTCAAAATTCTTGATGTCCAAAAATGGAAGTATTCTATTCAATTTAAATGCCTGAAAAACATATCCAGTTCATGACTTTCTGGCGAGGACTCTATAATCGACTGCAGATGTTCTGGTATAGCCCAAATACAAGCGTGTTTGCAAGTCAGAGCGATTTATTGAGCTCACTTCAAGCGCTTGCCATGTGCTGCACAACATATAATGTAGCAAAACATACGCAGGCAATCGAGATCATCATGACACTCTTTTCTTTTTTCTTTTTCTTATGGTGTGCCAAATAAAAATAGAAGGGGATGGGGGAGGGGCTTGAGCCCCTCATGACGATAGTACCCAGCCATTTCAAACTTAGTGATGATAAGTCTAATTAGAGGCTGGCTTAGACTTCCACTCCAAGCTGTGAACCGGACGCCTTCAATTCAAAAATAAAAATAAAAGTTAAAATGCTTATCCCATTCAAAGTTTTCTATTTTAAGACCCATTCAATTAGGGGTGCTTTTTCAAATATGTTTGTGACTTTGGCGAGAAATTAAAAAAGGTAATGGACAAGTGCATGTAATTGTTTCCCAAATCGAAGGCAAGCACAATTCCAACTGCAAGCAGGAAAAAAAGTAAGATGAGAACAGAGTCACCCGATTGTTCCAAAAAGTAAAAGAAGCTGTAAGAATCTGTCCACTTATTGTACCTTAAATTATGATAAAAGACTTCCAGTTCTAGTCAATCTAAATAACATTAGTACCACACATACAGATGTGGCAGCTGCTGTTGGCGAAAGCAGGCTAATCGGGAAAGCTTTGTTCATGTCTCCGTCACCAGTAGTAAGGCTACGATAGCTCTAATGTCTTTAGGTGGTCAACACGTATACTTTCAATCTTTGGTCAACCTTAACCAAGGATACCAAAGTAACAGGGCAGAAAAGTGGACAGACAAAAAAAAAAAAAGATACAGCCTAGCATCCCATTTTCCACAGCACTTATAATATCGAATATAAACCTCACGCAAATCGGATTCGAACAACGGTGGGTTACCCATGGAGATACTATCAAGAAAGTTACTCGTCGGGCATGATATCCTCCCATGGCTGCTTGTATTGTGAAAAATATGAGTACAATCGTGGACAAGCACGATGCATACGACAGTCCTACTGCTGAGTTGGAGAAAGCAGCCAATGGTCCCAATAGTCCTATTCTTAACCCAAGGGTTTGGCCCTGATCTTGTCTATGGTAGTTATGCCTGTGCAAATGAAAATGGTTGGCGTGATAGAAGTGGATACTTAACGTGTTGTGCAATTAGAAGCAGCTATAGCCACTTAGGCAAGGATGGAGTTTTTTTTTTTTTTTTTTTTTTTTTTTAGTTACGCTGGTTTCTTACTGATTGTGTACAATTATTAGGCAGGGAAGATTCACGATACATGTATATGGTGTATCGTCAGCTTCAAATAGTGGTAGAACCTGGAATAAGCTGTGAAAAAAGGCATGAAAAGCTAAGCATAATAGGTACAGGGGATGATACATACAGCACTATATCCTTTACTATGGCTATTGGCAGAGTTATTACTCTTGATCTGTATTTGACCAGGTATGGTATTTATTTTACATTGTCAGATAAGGCATATTACGTGCAGAATCAATAATGAGTATTATAAACTATTTGGAACAGAATCCTATTTGATAGCCTAATATATCATGGTGCTTCAAGATTGTTCTTCGGATTCAGGAATAAGATATTCCTGATAGTCTGACGTGGGGCGTGGTACACTCAATGATTCCTCAAAGTCAGATTCTATATTGTCAGAGGCAAATAAAAGCGAAAATGTTAGTTCACCATAGTCCATCCATTCAGGAATAGACAATGACCTTCCTTTGATATGTATTTACCTCCATCGCCATTGGGGACTGTACTTCGCTCGGATGTTGCTGCAAGCTCCTCCGGTGAGAGTTCCTGGCGAACCTCCTCTAAGGTCGACAAGATCTCGTCCAGCGAAGGTCTCATCTCGGGGTTGGTGTCCCAGCAACACTCATACAATGCTCGGTAACTCTCTGGCGTGCCCGGTATAGCCTGCTCACGCTTCCCATTCAGGATAGATAAAGCAAATTGCACATCTTGTGGTGTTTTTGAGAATGCAGAATGACCGCTGGTGAGTTCCCAAAGTAAAACACCTAGAGAGTAAATGTCACAGCGTGCATCAAAGTAACGAGGGTTACGGAACCTCTCAGGCGCAATATAGGCCATGACTCCAATCAATGGGTCACTTTTATCTTCTGCAGGGCCGTGTCCATCAGGGACTCCTGTTGTAGTGGCCTCGTCTTTATCAGGGCTGTCTAGAGCTGGCATTTTCTGACTCACAAACTTGTATTGTCCCTCAGAATTTGTCGTTGTGGATATTGCGTACTCATCCACGCTCCGAACCACACGCTCTTCCATCGTACTTGCCCCAAAATCCGTTAACATGGCATTCCCAGCTTCGTCGATGAGAATGTTACCGCCATGCAAGTCTCTATGAAAGACGCCTTCCTTGTGTAGGCGTGCAATGGAAGCTGAGATTTGAGTTGCCAACGTCAGTTTATCAGCCCAAGTGAGCTTATGGAAGCCAACCCTGAGGTGCCATGAAAGAGAGCCTTGTTCAGCATACTTTGTCACGATGCAAAGTTTATCAAGTCCTGGGGGATAGGTAACTCCGTAGAACTGGACCACGCCTTCAAACCCCTTCATGCGATTGTAAATTTCGACCTTGAAACAAGAAGAATAATAAAAAGCTTATTGATTAGTACAGAGGCAGCAAGCCAATTAATCGAGGTGGTTTATATCGGATATCTCCTTGAGATATAGCACAATTCACGATCTAGCCGCGTGTTGTTTGCTCAACATGATACATGTGCATTATGGCTGTATATAAAGTGGGGTCAATAAATGTGAAATTAAATAAAGTTCACGCTCAGACGCGACTGAGCGACAGGAGAAAATTCAACTTGTCTTCAGTGAGATGATAGACAAAAAAAAATCAAACCATCCTAGATGAAAATTTGAAGGATACTTTGTGCACATTGTAATGAGGAGGAGAAAGCAAAGGATGTTCATGCGCACAAAGGCAAGAGCAGAGTGTGAAGTTGGACTAAAAATAAGGAAATTCCAGCATTGATTGTACACAATAGCGATCATGGCGAGTCCATTACATGTCATTTATTGCCTACCTCTTTGGAGATAACGTGGTCAGAGGCTTCCTTGATAGCAACTTTGATTCCTTTCCACTCTGCAACATGTATAATACCCATGCCTCCAGCATCAACTCCGATTGATAGGTTTTCAATCTCAGAGGCAGGGATTTCATTCGCAAGAAGCACCTTGCGCTCCTCAGCCGTCAAGGCGAATGGAAGACGATCAAGCCCTTGTTCCAGCGAGGAAGACTGCAACTGTTCAGTTTCGGATGCGGATATGTCTTCACCTGGTAGCCGGGCTTTGTTGATCTCACTATTGCTTAGGTTCTGGAGCGAGGTTGAAAGCCGCTTAATGAAGGAGGTCGCCGACGATTTGCTATTAGAGATGTTTTGGTTCTTGTTGGTTTTGTTTAACTGGGAGACCGATTTAAGTGAAGAGCTGTTGACGTTGCTTCTATTAACAGGCTGGCCCTCTGTAGAGGAGGTAGTTTTCGGATTATCAATGCTATCAACAGATGAAGAACGTTGATGGATATCAGCGGCAGCTGTTGGGGCAGCCTGGTGTTGGTTTAAAGGTACAATGGTGTTGAGTTGAATATCACGCTCTTGTGAAGATGGCAGAGTTTGAATATCCGAAGGGGAAGGAAAAGAAGATGACGTCGTGGTAGAGTTGCTCTTTTTCTTCCGGTGGTCGCCTTTTATACAGCAACACTTTGTCAATACGTTGCCCATTTTGTGAAAAGACTAGTTTTGGTAAAAGACAGATGATTGTAATAATATTTGGTGTGGCGGGCTCTGATATCCTTGGATGTGGATAGTGGCAACGAGGAGATATTAGAAGGTTGATGATGGGGACTAAGTGGCGTTTGGATGATCAATTGCCGATTAAAATACGACGGTTTGCGTAGAAATAGGAAGTGAGTAAAAGGAGCGAATGAGGTGATTGTAGGCGAAGTCGATTAAATTGCATAAATGTATTTTGAATAGGTTCAGGGTTTAAGTAAGCAAGTCGTTTTAGCTGATGGATGTAGTGAAAAAAAGGAGAAGAAGGGGCTGGATGCTGGTGTAGTAATCTATATAGTTACTGCCTGGCTGTATGGCCAGTTTTAGAAAAGCAATATGAGGAGGTCTATTCAGACTCTCTGTTGATGAGGAAGCGATGGTTCCAGATAGGCGACCAGGGACTGTGCCAAAGCGCGCAATCGAGGTAACGTAGAATGCAACAAAAGGTGGGAGTAAAACCATAGTTAGTTAAATGAGCATTGTACACTAATTGCACGAGTCTCCGTTGCACTTTTTTTTAAAAAAAAAAAAAAAAAAAAAAAAAAAAAGCTCCACCAGTTACAAATGCAGTGCAGCAAGAACGATGTCATTTTTGTAAGCCTAAAGTATGACACACGTTGTCGAGGGTCCTGCTCCAAAATAATGCTCAATTAAAAGTTATCAATCTAAACAACAATAGCGTGTTGGTAGCCGAATAGGTGCACAAGGTCATTTACTAAAATGGGCAAAGTGTATTTTTTTTACTGTTGACAGTTGAACGACATCGTAGCAAATAGCGTCCACAAGCCAAACAAGGATAGGGGTTTGCAAGAAAGAAAACGAAGAAAAGTAAGGGGAGAGATGGTAGAAGAGAAAGAGAGATTGAGGGGTAGATAGAATAAGCATAGAGAGGTAGATAAACAGTGTGGGAGAGAAAAAGATCATACGCTTTGGCCAGGTTTCTAGTCTGATGTTGTAAAGGAGGCCGACATGATCTCAAGGAAAGATGCAATACCTTTTGTTCAAAATATTCGGATCGATTAGGTGAAGAGAATAAGGGAGGTGTAGGAAAAGGTTTGATGTCTTGTCTTGTTGAAGAGGGATCAGCAAAGTGAAAAAAGAGGTATTCGTATTTATATGTAAAAGCAATGCAATGTGGAATAACTCGTTGGTTTATCAACATGAGCCTCCATTCAGAACAGGATCCTGTTCATTAAAAAAAAAAAAAAAAAAAAAAAAAAAAACCACAGCAATAGCAGTGCCCGGATAGGCCGGGGGTGGGGGGATTGGGTGACCAGATTGACTACATGTATATGCACATGCGTATTGTAGATTGAGCGACTGCTAGACACCGGTTGACTGAATGATTATGTGAACTCAAAGTTATCTTTGAACACAATTAAAATAAGACCATGCTCGTTGAAAGAACTAATTTCCTTTGCGCGTTTGCGCAGAAATCTGTTGCAGCTTAATCGAGATTTGGCTCAGTTGACATTGTTACCCAATCTGTGGGATGACCAGCTACTCCGCTGGTGTAAAATAAGAAAATAAGCCGTCTTCATTTAGATCGGATTTGTAGGCCCACGCTCTTACGATCCAATCGTTGATTTTCTGTGTCTATTTTTTTTTGTTTGGACTGAACTTTATCTTTGTTTGCATATCTCGAAAATATTTGGCGGTTCATGCACGAGAACGGGGCAAAAATTTATTTTGTGCAAATCTCTGTTTGTTTCCTTTTTCATTGCAGCACGAACATGCATCAGGTCATTGAGCAAACAGTTGTAGCGTCTCTTTGCTTTTCATAAATGTAGAAGCACAAGGTATCTCTCTATGCTCGTACATTTTGCATCGCAGCGTTTCTAGTCAATTCGAATCAAACGGAACCAAGGCACAGGAACCTCCAGAAGACATTAATTCTCGCCTTCACCATGGCTACAACAAATCCCTAGGAAAGACACTCAAATGCGTCGGTATATATTTATCTCGCTTCTGTTGTAGTTTCGTATATCATGTTGTAATCCGTGTTTCATATACTTTGTCAATTACCCATTCCACACACACCAAAAGATTGCCCTCTCTCCCGTTCTCGCTCTCCCATCCGTCCACAAGGCACGCTGAAACGAGATCACCCAACAAGGTACCGCCCAGCAAGAAGAGAGTGATTAAATAGCTTTCACTCCAAGTAATATACACAACCAACAATGCCGCTCCAATATCCCCCATTGATGCCGAAGCCTGAGAGCTAACGAATATCTCTAACACAAATGCGCTGAAGTTGTTGGAAAAAAAGAAAAAGAAAAAGGCTTTTTTCTTTCTTGACAAGGATTAATTACTTGCAAAATATACACACCGAGTCAAAACTCTCCATGCATTCACTAATGAAAAGTTTTTGACAAACAAGAAGATGAATAGTGGAGTAAGTGAGAATAAGATGTAGGTCTACATATCACACCCATGGGGTATTTATTGAAGTTTTTATCATATTCATCAGAGCTTATTAAAAGCATAACTACAAGTCTATGTACGAGTAACATAATAGAGCGTGTTAATCATAAATGTTTCCTAGGAGATGAATGTTCAGAAAAAGTATAAGACGTATATCCATTAATACGTTTGTCCATATGCACAAGAAAAGTGTTTTCTTTAATCTTTTATGCAACGGGTGTTCTGTAAAGGATGTAACAACTGTCCCCATCTCTGTGCGAAATTATAGTTTACTACGTATCGGCCTTGCATTGAATTTTCAACAAGGCAAGAGCCGTCGACTGTGGCTCGTTTTGAACTCAAACACACATTCTTTCTTGTGCAAGCCAACATTACGATTCCAACATGCAACGGACAACGCGTCAAGGCGCAGGAAAAGGCGGTGCCCCATCACGGCATGGATCATCAGAAACAGTACTCGCACCGCCTTCATTTCCATTGCTCAAGATGACACTTATTGCAATGGTCAATCTCGCAACAGCATATTCAACGTTGACGTGGATCCCTGCTAAACTGATCCAGACTAACATCAGCGAACACCAAACTTTTGCCAACAATGCCAATATTAGCAGCGACAGTAGTGTTAGCCAAACACTTCCCTCTCTGTCATGGACACTAATTGTGTTATTTGGTTTTCAAACGCTAGTGGGCCTCGCCCAGGCGTACCTCCATTCTAAAAATACTGCTGTGAATAAAAAGATTTCTGAAAGGAGTAGTCAGTTGTCGTCATCACCTTTTGCAATCCTTAGTGTCTCGATGACGATCGGTGCTGTTGGGGCCTCAGTTTGCCATTTGTTTGCGGTTCTCTTTGGAGCAGGAATTTTTCAGTACGATCTAATCTTTATTACAGTTATGAACGCAACGGCTATATCTCAGTGCGCTGATTGAAGGTGCCTTTCTGGCATTTTTTTTTTTTTTTTTATAATTATTTTTATTCTACATTTATTCTTTTATTGATGCTACACTGTTTATCATCATAGTCAATCAAAGGAGACAGGGCAATTGGCGCTCTATCTCTCATTGTTGACATTCTATCCAGCTTCATTTGTGCTTGGAACAGATTTCAAGAACTGGATTCGAATCTTTGTTCATAACAGGTACGCATTTTAACATGATTATAAGTAACTGCATAAGTTGAATTTTTTTTTTTTTTTTTTTTTTTTTCTCTAATACTCTTGCCATTTTTCTTCCTAGTCCACGGACATTCACTGAAGCTGCGCTCTATTGCCAGGGAATGATGGCTATTTTCGGGGCATGGCTTGGCTCAATTGTGATTCCTTTGGATTGGGATCGACCTTGGCAGGCATGGCCAGTCCCTTGCGTCTTGGGTGCATCGCTCTTCTACTGTATCGGTGTTGTTGTAGGATTGGTTGTGAGCATCGTCATGCATCAACGAGTTGCACGGAGCGAGTTTGGGGTTAATCTCGCCGAGCAGAAGGATAACATGAAGGAACACAAGAAGGTCAAGGGTGCATAACCTGCATGGGATCTGTGCACGGGCAGGACGTTGGTGGTCATGATTGGAAAAGCCGGCCATCGTGCTTACACGCGTGGGGAGAACTTTCATTGCTGTTGATTGTCTCGCTTTCTCCTTGAATGATTATCCTCCATGTACTCCTTTTTTTTTTTAAAAAAAAAAATAAAAAAAAAATAAAAAAAAAAAAATGGCAATCTAACAAAATGCACAGAGTGATGAATATGTTGTTTTGTGGCATTTAAGCTTTATCTGACTTGGTTTAATGAATCTGGAGCTTCAGTCTAAATTACCTTCGAATAATAAATGCATTTTATTTATTTCAACCTTATCTCTTTCTGGCGATACCTGAGAGAGCGTAGTTGAGTGTTCTATCCAGCTCTGACGATCCTTTCGAGATGGATTTGAATGGATCTGTGGGTCTAGCCCGTGTTCATTATGGCCTGGGGAGTCCAAGGAACAAATGGGTCTTTAACACTAGAGCTGCTCCCTTCTTCCACAATTATACATTGGGGATTGGGGACTTGATGCCTTTGTCAAATTCGTCCTCAGAATTGACCAAGTTGATTATCTGAAAATGTTTATGGTATTAGTGGGTGGAGACTGTGTAGATGAAAGTAAGGGGGATATTTCAAATTAGCGGATTTGTATCCTCACCATTGAATGCCATTGCTATTATCTTTATTTCGCGTATAATCAGCGTATTCTCAAAAATAATACAAAAAAAAAAAAAAAAAAAAAAAAAAAAAAGAACGCGTCAGCGATGGTTCACTGAAGGATCTACGAAGAAGCCTTATTCACATTGTCATAAAGGCCAGAGAAGGTCTCACTCCCACCAACATTTTCAGGGCAAAGGGATCTTGCATTGCAAATTAGCTATTTTATTTTTAATCTACATTATTTCTAGTCGGGCTTCAATGAAGGAAGGTGAAAAGGTGAAACACCTAGACAATTCTTTTTTTTTTATAAAAAGCACGGAAGCCAATGTTAAATATTGCCTTTGTGGCCAATATCATATGATCAATGAATATTTCGTATTCAGTTGGATAAATGACGGATAAATTTTCAATCCATATTTGCAAACTCGTTTGGAAACCTGATTCAGTTTGTAAATTGGTTTAAATCCATGTCATATTTATTTGGACTGCTTCCATGCAGAGAGAACCTTTTTTACACCCCTTGAGCCTCGGATGGCTATTTTGTGATTTGTGCGTTGAAATCATTTTCACGTGTGAAAGAGTGATCCGTGGAGAGAACTTTGTATGTACAACTTGGTCACACGTTTTTTTTTTTTTTTTTTTTTTTTTAGAGCTTTTTATGCTTCAAAGTGTCACTCCGTGGAAAAAAAAAAAAAAAAAAAAAAAAAAACGTGTTCAAGTTCAAAAAATCAATCTGTATTCTTTATTGATGTGTGTCTCTGTGTGCTTGTTTGCGAATGCCAAAAGTGAGAATGCCACGCACAGACATTACACAACAGAGTAACATTAGGAAGACAAATCCATCAGATCAGAGAGAGGAGTGTATGATCTATTTACTACACAAAGGAGACAATTCTCGTTCTGTAGGGAAGGAAAAAGAGATGGCTCCATTATTTTTATCTTGTCATGTTCACTTCAAGTGACTCTCTTGCGATGTAATATTCAAACTTTGTTCGATCCGTGGGCGTCTTTCTCCACTCGACTCTGTCTCTTTCTCTGCCGAGACTCATATGCAAATCATAACCTTGTTTTGAGCTATTAAGCTATTCAGATCTCTAAACTATACCAGTATATACATGTGGATGAGTGGAGGCCTTGCAGGCCCTGGTTTATTTGAGCATTCTCAGCTTCAACTACACATGTCTTGTATCGTTGCATTTATACAGATGGGACAGATCAGATCCAAAAAGTCTTACAACCTATAAAATAGACCCTCAATTTGATCCGATCTCTCTCTTTTCCTTCTTTTCTTTTCTTTTCCTATTCTCCAAATCCTCTTGACAACTTTTTTTTTTTTTTTTTTTCTCTCTCTCTCTCTCTCTCACTCTCTCCATCTCTCCATCTCCCCATCTCCATTCTACTTTCATTCGTCTCATTTCTCTTTCTCGCTTCCGTTCGTTTAGTATTTGTATTTCTTTTAAAAATCCTTTCTTAGTACTTCTATCAGAATTACAATAATTGCATATTTTCTTCATCATGTCCGAGTCTGCTGCTTCACAACGCCTGGCCTTTGTCCAGAACCACCTTCAGGTCTCTGCCTGCTCGAACAAGGAAGAGGAGCCAAGAAAGAAAAGGTAATTTGTCCTTTTTCTTTTCCCTTTTCCTTTCTCTTATTCTTGTGCTATATTTTTATTTCGCAAGCCATCAACAAGAATGTTTCATGGTGATCATACCCTGGGATGTAAAGGTTTGATCTGACTTTTTTTTTGTGGTATTTGTGATCCATGTAGCCCTGTCGAGTCCATGGCTGAGGAGAGAGCAAAGGCGACCTTCGATGTCAGGGAACTAACTTACTTCCTGGACGGTGGCGAAAAATTCACCAAGATCAGAGAAAAATTCATGATGGAGCTGGAGCGTGATCCTACCTTCCGCATGTACGACATGTACGACGTCACCAAAGATGAAATTCGTGTCCGCACCATGGAAAAGGTACAGAGTCGTTAGTCGTTTTATCTTTTGATTCGGGAACACAATGAATCATTACTGCATTCGTTATAAGCGTTGTAACAGTAGTGCACACAAACAACCTTTTTGGTGTCACATTCGGCATGATTGACCAAACAAAAAAAAAAAAAAAAAAAAAAAAAAAAAATTTATTTTTCACCAACTAGTTCCGCACTATCGTTCATTACGTCTCTGCAGAGCCCGTTCCTATTTTCACTATGCGTATGCAGACCATCTCTTTGATTGATCCCGGATTCTGGACCCGCTTCGGTGTCCATTATGGTCTCTTCTTCGGTGCCCTCCGCGGATCCGCCACCTCAGCTCAGTTCTCCCACTGGGTTTCCAAGGGTGCTCTCGCACTCAATGGCATGGTCGGATGCTTTGCCATGACTGAGCTGGGCCACGGATCTAATGTCGCTGGTCTTGAGACTACTGCCACTTTTGACGAGGCAGCCGATCAGTTCATCATTCATACTCCTACTATTACTGCCACCAAGTGGTGGATCGGAGGTGCTGCTCACACCGCTACCCACTGTGTTGTCTTCGCTCAGCTGATTGTTCGCGGCAAGCGCTATGGAACAAAGTCATTCGTTGTTCAACTCCGTGACACCCGTACCTACACTCTCATGCCCGGCATCAACATTGGAGATATCGGCAAGAAGATGGGCCGTGATGGCATTGACAATGGCTGGATCCAATTTACCAATGTCCGTATCCCTCGTACCAACATGCTTATGAAGCACACTAAGGTCTCGCGCGCTGGAGAAGTCAAGGAGCCACCCATGGCCCAGTTGACGTATGGCGCCTTGATTCAAGGCCGTGTTGCCATGGTCGTCGATTCTGGCAACATTGCCAAGAAGGCTGTCACCATTGCTGGACGCTACGCTGCAGTCCGTCGCCAGTTCCAGTCCAACCCTCATGACGTCCAAGAAACTAAGCTCATCGACTATGCCATCCACCAGTACCGCCTTATGCCTATCTTGGCTATGGCCTATGCCTTCCATTTCACTGGTGTTGAGACACAGAAGTTGTACGATACTCTCATGGATAAGCTCGAGTCCACGCAACCCGATGATGCCGGTCTTCAAGAGACTCTTGAGACCCTCAAGGAGACACACGCTACCTCGGCTGGTCTCAAGGCTTTCTGCACCTGGTCTACTTTGAATGCTATTGAGGCCTGTCGCCAGACCCTTGGTGGTCACGGTTACTCTGCCTACACTGGCCTTGCCACTACTTACAACGATTTTGCTGTTCACTGTACCTGGGAGGGTGATAACACCATCTTGACCCTTCAATCCGGACGTTACCTCGTTAACTGTTATCGCGAGGCTCTTGCGGGCAAAACCCAACCCGAGGGAGTTGACTATCTCAATCATCTCGACACTCTTCTGACTCAGGGCTGTGCTGTTAAGACTAACGAGGAGATTTTGAATTTCGACATCATCCAGCAGGCATGGGGAGTTGTTACTGCTAACGTTGTCAAGAAGGCCGGCGACGACTTTGCTGACTGCCTCAAGCAGGGTATGAGCCCCGAGGCTGCTTATGAAGAATGCTCACAGGCTCGTTTGGCTGCTGCCAAGATCCACTCTTTTGGATATGTTTTCCGTCGTTTTGCCCAGGCTGTTAAGGGCGCTCCTGAGAGTTTCCGCCCTATCCTCACTAAGGTCTGCTTGTTGTACGGTCTGTACTCAATTGAGCAGAATGCTGGATTCTTCTTGCAGTACCGTTATTTCACTCCTTCTCAGATGGACTATGTCCGTGCCCAGGTCAACGTTCTGTGCCGTGATGTCCGTCAGGAGTACATTCCCTTGATTGACGCCTTTAACTACTCTGATTACATGATCAACTCGCCCTTGGGTGTCTACGATGGTAACGTCTACGAAAAGTACTTTGACCAGGTTAAGAGACAGAATCCTGTCGGCCAGCCTCACCCATACCTCCCCTTGATCCAGTCTCTCCTTCGTCGTGATATTGAGGATGACGAACCTCTGGAGGACGATGAGGAGGATGACGAGTAAGCGAAAGGCCTCGGTTGAATATGAATCATAAAAAAAAAAAGAAAAGCACCCATAGAGTTGTAGCTAGAGTGCATAGCTTTTTCGTCTTCCAACTGTCATTAGAGCAGTGGAGTTGTAATATAATATAGACATTTTATTTCAAAAAGTATGGCAATAATTGGTTGTCTGTAATCCATGGCATTGGAAGAAAAAAAAAGTGCTGTTCATGGCTGAGGGTCTTGACTGTCCTTTTCTGCTTTAGTTTCCTCTGTTGTAGCTGTAGACTCGTCATCTTCCATAGCCTTTCCTGGTGTTGGTGTAGATTCATCTTCCGCAGCCTTTTCTGGTTCAGCGACCTTATTCTCATCTGCTTTCTTGCTGGTCATAGCCTCGATGAGACGTTTGATGAGCTCTTCATTGTTGAGCTTAAGGCCGTCAGTCTCTACGGTTTGTCTGAGGGCGTCTTTGACATTATTCTGATTAAAAAGGGTATTGTCCTTAATATGGCCAGCCTTCTTTGAGCCTGAGAAACCATACTTGACCGCAAAGAGGGCAAATACGGCAGCAAGAAATGCAACAAGTCCAGGAATAACATACTTGTAAAATAAGTGAAAAGCGATAAGTTCTCTTTATCTATTCTGGTTCGAACTTGATTCTAAAAGATATATATATATATATATACCTTCTTTGCCTGCGCTCTAGCAAGGCGGTAGTTCTCAATGCGTCTCATTTTCTCAGCCTTAGCATATCGAAGTTTAAAAAAAAGTTTTGATACTGTCAGCCAACACATGATACCCGCACCCTATACTTCCTTAGTATTCTGTTTCATATAGCAATCATGACCAAGACAGTCAGGTTTATACAGTATTCACAATACCTTATTCTCCTTTGGCGCCTTTGAAGCGCTTGAACGAACTGAACGAGCCATGGTTTATTTCTTATTGTCTTTTTTCTCCTTGAGTGTGAGTTTTCCACTGTCGTTAAGTGCTCTGTAGCGTAACGTGTCCTTTTTCTTTTGTCGAATAATTGTAACTATGTCTACTTTTTGTTGATTACGAGCGTTAGAATACGATCAAGATAGCAGTAATAAAAAAAAAAAAAAAAAAGAAAGAAAAGAAAGGGATGATAAGAAGTGGAGAAGGGAGTGAGAAAAAAATAAATTGTCTTAATTTTATTTGTAATATTTCAAACCACACGACAGTCGTGCCGATCTGTCATTGGCATTCTTCACTTTCTGAAGAGCAAAGATGCTCAAACTGACACTATGTACTCCTGCTGTCTTTTCGATTACATTCGGGCTCCACATTGCTGTCTTTGGGAATTATCCCTCTCCCTAGCCCTTTAACTCGCTCTAGACTGTGCCCGTGCTATGACTTGTTTCTGGATCCAGGATTTGTCATGAGGAATATAGGTCGCTGTCCTTGGATCAAATCTATCTTGAAAGGAGTAATTTATTAGAAAGGATGTTGACATGACATGCCAGTTATACAGTCAAGAGATATAGCAACCGGGCTTTCAAGCTATTAAACATACACCAATGCTGCACAGTCTGGTAGGTTATAGACCATCTCTAGGACCTCATTGACATCAAACTCAATTCTTTCTCGATGTGGGAACTTATTCTGAAGCGAGGCACGTTATCGGGTTAATATTATCGATCTTACAGAAAGCACTGTCAGAATTTTCCCATTATGCTTTCGTTCTTGCTTGGTTACCTTTAGGTATTCCTCATACATCGAAATCACCTCTATTGCAGAAGGATAAAAAAAAGGTTAAAAAGTCCATTCTGCACACTTTCTCATTTTCTTGAGACTTGAAAAAAAAAAAAAAAATCGGTATGAATATTTTTTTTTTTTTTTTTTTTTTTTTTCCACGTTGATATCGACATATTACCATCCATGGCCTTTGCAACAGAAGGACACTCGATGTATGTTTTGCTTGAGGCTGCAGATGTTTTCTGGACAAGAAGAATGGTATGACTCTATGACGGAAGGGAAATTGGTTTCGCCATTGCATCAAGAGTCAGTCCAAATTGATGTATTGTTGATAGTAAATGATTTCTTTTCATTCATCGGCTTGTGGGCCAAGCTCCTCTCTCTCCTTTTCTCTCTTCCGCTTTCACTCTTTATTCTAATTTTCTGTTTCTGTACCATCGTGTGTGCTGTTTTTATTGCTGTAGAATGTAGTTTAATAAATGGGTCAACGAAATGGATGGACCTTGAACATTTGGAAGAGACTGCTTTCTGAGTTTGTTTACTTGCTTTCATAAAAAAAAAAAAACTCATTCTTTGTTACTTCAACCTCATTACCATTTTTATTGAATATTTATCATGCCTGCAGAGTCAAAACGAAAGTTTCAGACAGGACAACCGGTGTCAACGAGAAGAAGGGCAAAGAAGGCAAGACATGCGGCTGCTCAAATCCAGAACAATATCGCTACACCCTCTAAAAAGGATCAGCGGATATTTGCCAAATCTTTGAAGCAAACAAAGTTGTATCAGAGTGATGACGAAGAAGAGGAAAATGATAATAATGACAAAGGACATCAGATATCTGGATCTGAAAGCGTAGGTAATGATGACATGGAAGAAGAAGAAGAAGAGGAGGAGGAGAAAGAGGAAGAGCTGGTTGGCAAGGGTAAGAAGGGATATAGGGAAAAGATCAAGAAACCCAGTGGAAAGAAAGGGAAAGTCTTTGCAGATACAGTAAGTTCTTTATGTTAAGTGCTTTGGTAGATTGGCAGTGATGCTTCTTTTCTTCTTATTTTTTTATTTTCTTAATCTGATTTCGTTTTTGTTGTTTATGACATGGATAGATTACGATGCTAAGTATTATTGATCAAGTAGTAGGAAAAGAGGAAGAGCGTGCTCAGATTAAGATCGAGAACATGGCAAGTATAAAAGCATATCTTTCAAGGAAAAATAATGATAATAATCGGAATGTGAGATATACCACATGTAGTGTCGTTTCATAGTTCGGGTACTGACTACGACAATGTGCAATATCTCATTCTTAATAATAACAACAGGGTAAAATCAAGTCCAAACTAGATAAGAAGGAGCAGAGGCATGTTGAGAAGGAGAGGGCTAAGAAGGCATTGATTGAAAAGAAGATCAAGGAGATCAAGCGGAAAAAGGCAGAGAAGCGCAAGGATAAGCAAAAGGCTGTGGAAATGGAGACCAAGACCGATTCAAGTATAAATGAAAACAGGAGATCAGTTAGCTTTCAACTTTAGATATTTTGCTTTACAATTATACACAAATCATTTTTTTTTTTTTTTTTTTTTTTTTTTTTTCCCGCGCCAGCGCTTGGGGATGACAGGACTGTCTTGTTGAGCATGAATACGGACCACTGTGTAGACGAAATCCGTGTGATATGTGTGACATGATGATGAGGGTGCACACGTATAGACTAAATGGATCAGCTGGTTGTCCAATAAAAAGTCTTGAATGAAGTGGAAGAAGCACTTTTTTTTTCTTTGCTTCGTTTTCCTTAAAGTCATTCACTATTTCTTCTTCCCGTTTCATTTGCGTTACTCGCTTGCTATCGCTGCTTGTATTGCTTACTGTGCTGTTCATGCTTCCGCTGTCCTCGACCTGTAGAGCAGCCTACCACCGGATCTTCCTTGTATCTTCGTGCTCATCTTCATCCTCGTCAGCATCGTATTCCCTTATCTCAAGGGTCTTTTCTTATCGCACCTCACAATCGACTGACCCTAGTCGCTTCTTTTCTACTCAATCAAGCTTCAGGTGAGCTGACGCAGCACCAGAATAGCACAATTTAGCCATTTTCTGCCACTTTTTTTTGACTTGGAAATTGATGCACACATGTTTCCAGTTGAATGCTCCAGTCCTGTTATTGAAATGGTGTTTTGTTTTTGCTCATTTTCATGCTCAATACTCATTCTCATGCTCTTTGTGTCTATGTCTGTCTGTTTAGATCTGCATCACCCTTTCAAACCTTCGATACAAAACGTCATTTCACCGTTAGTGCCACACGTTGCTTTTCCATCTCTCTCATGGCTGCTACTTCTAATGTTCTTCCAGAAGGATATGTCCTTCATGAAAAGGGAACCCATGCTATTTTCACAAAGCCTATTGAGCAGTCACTCAATGATGATCGTCATTATCGACTGATCCGTCTCAAGAACGACCTGGAGGTACTACTCATTCAGGATCCTAATGTTGACAAATCTGCGGCTGCGCTAGATGTTCATGTTGGCCATTTGAGTGATCCCGTAAGTCGTGCGTAACATACTCAGCTATATTTTATAGCATGTTGCAGTAATAATAATAATAATAATAATAATAATAATACGAGAAGACAGTGAAAAGGCATGCATCGTCGTACAAAACCAAATATTATTTACATTCCCGTCCTAATTCGCAATCACTTGTTTTTGCAAAATATCTCTTTACATTAGAAAAACTTGCAGGGACTGGCACATTTCCTGGAGCACTTGCTATTCATGGGCACTGCCAAATATCCTCGTGAGAACGAGTACAGTGAATTTTTAGCCCATCACTCGGGTAGCTCCAACGCGTTCACAGGACTTGATAACACTAATTATTATTTTGAAGTTGGACATGCTCACTTGGAAGGTGCTCTAGATCGATTTGCACAGTTTTTCATTTCACCCGCATTTAGCGAGAACTGTAAGGATCGTGAGCTTAGAGCAGTGGATTCAGAGCATAAGAAGAATTTGCAGAGCGATAGCTGGCGACTCTTTCAACTCGAAAAAAATTTATCAAGTCCGAATCACCCCTACAGTCAGTTTGGAACAGGAAATCTGGAAACCCTACAGGATGCGCCGGGACGGGAAGGGATCAATGTCAGAGATGAGCTCATTAAATTCCATTCAAAGTATTATTCTGCCAACATCATGAAATTGGTCATTCTTGGTCGAGGTAAAGAGATGAAACATTCAAGTTAATGAGACTGATTATTTACTTTTTTAAAAAATACTTACGCCAAGTCTCTTTTATATTGCAGAGCCACTGGATCAGCTTTCAGACTGGGCGATCGAAAAGTTTTCGGATATTAAGAATCTGAATATCAACCCGCCTGCCAATTCTAATCCTCCATGGACTGCCAAAGAGCTTTTGAAGACTAGCTATGTCAAGCCTGTTAAAGATTTTCGTACACTGGAAATTAAGTTCCCATTCCCAGATCAGTATCCCCAATATAGAATTCATCCAGCGCGTTATATCACCCACACTATCGGTCATGAGGGCAGTGGATCAATTCTCTCTTTGCTAAAGAAAAAAGGCTGGGCTAATAACTTGTCTGCGGGTACATCGCATGGTGGAATTGGCTTTGAATTTTTCAAGATTTCAGTCGACTTGACCAAAGAGGGTCTGGATCATTATGAAGATGTAACCGTGGTCGTCTTCCAATATATTGACATGCTTCGCCGTGAGGGCATTAGACCTTATATTTGGGATGAGGTAAGACAGACTTTCTGGCCCGATTGAATCTGTAGACTAATTGTGAGCTAAACATGACCTTGTAATTATCCTAGATCGCTTCATTGGCTGCAACTTCCTTCAGGTTCAAAGAGAAAAGCCCGGCTGCCGGATACTCATCTCGTTTGGCGGGCATTATGCAACGTGGTTATGCTCCCGAATGGGTCCTGTCTGGTTCCTACTTGATCCGTGGCTCAGATCCTAAGGCAATTATGGATTGCATTGATGCCCTTAAGATCGATTCATGGAAAAGCCATCTTGTCACACAGGATGTATCCGTCGTTCCCGGTGGAGTATTTGATCAAGTTGAGAAATGGTATGGCACTGAGTATCATGTTGAAGACGTATCTCCTGCTCTGTTAGAGGTAAGTAGTTGTCATTACACTTGATAGAAGATATCGAACGTCTAATGGCTAAGGGACTGAATGATTAATATTTATAATATGGACATTGCCGATAGAAATTGCAAAATTTAGAACCAAATTCAGATCTTCATCTCCCCATGCCTAATGACTTTATTCCTGAGAACTTTGAAACCAACAAAATTCCTACCACAACACCTCTTACCACGCCAGTCTTGTTGAAGCATACTCCATTGACTCGCATCTGGCACAAGAAAGACGATGTCTTTTGGGTACCAAAGGTCAACATGTACTTCCAGCTAAAGTCACCACTGTCGTATTCATCGCCCAGCAATAATGTTAAAACGCATCTATATGTTTACCTACTCAAGGATGCGCTGAACGAATATGCTTATGACGCAGATCTGGCAGGCCTTGCCTATTCCCTCGACACGACTATAGAGGGCATGATCTTGAGTGTGGAGGGCTACAATGATAAAGCCCATGTGTTATTACAGAAGGTGGTTGAAAAAATGAAGAACCTTGAGGTTGATCCTGAGCGGTTTCGATTGATGCAAGATCAAATGGATAGGATGTATAAAAATTTCAGGCTGGAGGCACCCCACCAACACGCTATGTACTACATGTCTTATCTGACACAGGAGAAGCTCTGGACTCATGATGAAAAACTCGCAGAGTTGAAGGAGCTGACTCCAGCAGACATTCAGGCTTTTTATCCAGCGTTACTGAGCCGTCTGCATATCGAAGGTCTTATCCACGGAAACATGGGCGCAGCAGAGGCACTTAAGGCTGGGTCGATTATTGAGAATTGTCTAGCACCAAAAACTTTGGTACCATCCGAATTGTTGTCCCAGAGGTCTCATATCCTGCCTGATAAGTGTAAAGCAGTTTACCAGCGTGATGTGCCTGATCCCTTTAACGTCAACTCGGGCGTCGAATATTACTTGCAAATCGAAGATGCTACGAGCAAGGAGAGTCGTGCGCGTATTCAGATCATGGCACAAATCATCAATGAGCCCTGCTTTAACCAACTCAGGACCAAAGAGCAACTCGGATACTTGGTTTTTAGTGGGGTCCGCAAACAATCAGGCGTAACAGGCCTGCGTTTCATTTTGCAGTCGGAGCGGGATCCAGTACACCTGGAGAGCAGAATCGAACACTTTTTGGAGTCAAGGATGAAAACATATTTGGAAGAGATGTCTCACGAGGAGTACGATAAGCAGGTCAATTCGCTGATCCAAAAGAAACTTGAAAAGGACAAGAATCTGCGACAGGAAACATATAGGTACTGGGGCCAAATTGTGTCGGGTTACTATGACTTTGATGAGATACAGGATGAAGTGGAGGAAATGCGCAGGACCACTCTGGAGACGATGAGGGAGTTTTTCAGAGAGTCAATACTGCCATCTGCACGTAATGCCAAGAAGCTCTCAGTTCATTTGCGGTCTCAGAAAGTGCCTCCTGTAGTTTCGAAGAAGGATATCAACGATCATGGTGGCGAGGTTGCCAATTCAGAGTCTGAAGAACCCGCGAAGCTGAGAGAAGGCACCTTGATTATTGATGATGTGGTGGGCTTCAAGGCTGCACTTGAGCTAAGCAGAGCGCCTTATCCAGTTGTAGATTTACTGCGATATTCTAAACTCTAGAGAATTTTTATTAGACACTCATCAATAAATCCATCCACATTTAACATTAATATGTAATTTTTCTATTGCTTCATGCTATGCAAACTAAACTATTACTTTATTACAGTGCCATATAGCTGGTATTTATCGATTGTTTCACAAAATCTCGCCAGCCTGTTCGGCGAGCCTGTAGAATAATGATTCTTTCTTCTTCAAAAGCGCACTGGGGGCGTCATATTCTTGTACGCGACCTTTCTCGAGGACCAAAATTTTGTCTGAATCCATGACAGTCTTGATTCTATGAGCAATAGTCAGGATTGTCCGATCCTTAAATTCCTGTCGAATAGTTCTCTGGATTAACTCGTCCGTTTCCACATCTACAGCGGCCGTGGCCTCATCCAAGATCAAGATTTTTGTCTTGCGCAACAATGCACGCGCCAGGCAGATCAAGGATCGCTGACCTACTGAAAAGTTTTCTCCGTTTTGAGTGACCTCATAGGAGAGCCCACCAGGCATGGATGAAACATAGTCCTTGAGGTGAGCACGCTCAAGGGCTTCCCATAGCTCCGCGTCCGAGGCCTCTTGGAAAGGATCCAAGTTCTCCCGAATGGTTCCCACAAAAAGTGTAGGGTCTTGAGGGATAATTGCCAAGTGCCGACGAAGATATTCTAATCCTACTGTGGATATGTCAACACCATCAATCCAAATCGCTCCACCATCCTCTTCAACTTCAACTTTCTCTAGCTCAATATTGGCCTTGGTCATGTCGGACAGACTAGGGTCTGTGTCCATATCCGTTCCGTTATGACTTGCCTTGGCCCAATGGCTATTAGCAGCTTCAACAATACGGAACAATGCCAAGGTTAAGGAGGACTTTCCTGCACCTGTGCGGCCGACAATTCCAACCTTCTCGCCAGGCTGGACCTCAAAGGATACGTTACGCAGGACCAGATCCATGCCCTGGCGATATCGAGTAGAGTAGTTCTTAAATTCGACATGACCATGTGTGGGCCAGGATTTCTCGAGCTGGACATCTGTATAGTTGGGCGCCTCTTGATTCTTTTTACAGTACTCGTCGATTCTCTCGACTGCGACCATCTCGAATTGAACTTCACACATGCATCTGACCATCCAGCAGATATCCATTGTGACGTTGAGTGCGTACGCGAGCGACATTCCGACCATGCTCGGGTTTAAAGTTTCGCGACCAAAGACCGCAAACATAGAGGCAGCTAGTACGATAATTGAACCTAGGCCTTCAAGACGGACGTTGAGCCATCTGTTGCCGACAGACCAAACAAATCGAGCGTTGGCAGCTTGGTCGGAACGAGAGGCATTTTGTTCAATGAATCGTTCATTGCACTGTAGCGCACGAATGGTCGACACGCCAGACAGAGTCTCTGCAAAATGTTGATACATAGGCGATTTGGTAACGGATTCGATTCTGCGGAAGTTCCTTGATGAAGCAATGTAGTATCGTTGCAGGAATATAAAGATCACAATGATTGGAGGGATGATTACCAGGAAAATTGGTGTGGTCACTGCAATAACGATGATGCTACCCACTGTTGAGACGAAGCAAAAGAACGTATCGTGAAAGGCCCATGGGATCTGTTCGTCAATGCTGAAGCAATCAGACGAAAATCGGTTTATGATACGGCCTACAGGCGTAGTATCGAAGAAGGACATGGGCAAGCGGAGGACATTGGTCAAAAGCCTGTTGTGAAGGCGCTCGCCAGCGCGAATACCGGCCGTGACCATAGTCGTGTAGGAGGTCCAAACAATGAGGAGCATGAACGTGACCACCAGAATTGCATAGATACCCATGTAATAGCCAATAGAGTGGGTTTGGTTGTCCCTGACCCAATACTGAAGCCAGGTATTCGTTCCAATTTGACAAGCTTGAATAATGATGAACAGGAAGAGGATTTGGCATACATAAAAGTAGGATCTAGATAATTCAATAACATTCATTAGACCTTTTTTTTTTTTTTTTTTTTTTTTTTTTTTTAGAAAAGGAATAAAAAAAAAAAAAATAGTAATTCACTTACGCGGCCTTGGCATAGGTCCAAAACACGTGCCATTGGATACTTCCAACCTTCATCCTCTCTTCTTCGACAAGGGCTGCATTATCATCCAGCTTCTCATCCTTGGTCTCTGGGCTCATCTTATGATGATTAGTTGCATTTGAGGCACCTATATCCGGCTCTTGGACTGTTTCTACTTCACTCAAATCATCCTTTGCATCTTTGCCAGACTCTTTTATAGAAAATTCCTGGATCAATTGGAAAAATGCTTTGGCTGAATCCATCAATTCCTGGTACTTTCCAATCTCTGATATTTGACCATCCTTCATCACCACAATCTGGTCCATTTCGCTAAGGTGATGGATACCATGTGTGATAAGCAGACGAGTTTTGTCTTTAAGCAAGCCATTGGGTCCGATCAAGTTCCTCCATAGGTGATGATCCACGTGTGCATCCACAGCACTTAGGGGATCATCCAAAAGATAGATATCTGCGTCCTGGTAGGCCGCTCGCGCTAAGGATACTCTTTGTTTTTGTCCTCCTGACAAATTGATACCGCGCTCTCCAATTTCTGTTTGATCACCTGCAGGAAGCATCTCAATATCTGGAGTTAACCCTGCAGCATAGATGACCCTATCATACTTCTCCTGGTCAAATTCAGATCCAAACAAAATATTGTCTCTCAGAGTTGCGTTGATGATCCAAGCTTGTTGAGGTACGTAAGCAAGCTGGCCATAGATCTTGACGGTCCCTTGGCGTTTGTACATGTTTCCAATAATGGCATCGATTAATGAGGATTTGCCTTGAGCGACTCTTCCGACAATAGCAGCCAAGTGGCCTTTCTGAACTGCCAGATTAATATGCTTAAGGGTGGCCTCATAACTAGGTTCCGCAGATTCTTCAAATGTAGGTTTAGGTAAGCCAGCCTTTTTGGCTTCTGCGATAGCCTGCTTTCTATTCCTAGCTCCCTTCTTCTGCCTTATCTTTATTTGCTTCTCAGTTTCGACCGCAGGCCCCTCTCTAACCCAAGCAAAGGTGCCATTCTTGATTTCGATAGCTGGTTGCGACGGATCAGCAGTACTATTGGCTTCGAGTCGCTCAGTCTGATCATTAGGAAGCTCTTCCTCCAGTAAATATGTTTGAATACGGCGGGTAGCGACTATCAAGCTGATGGTTTCACTCGTAACATGAGAAAGCATTCCGATAGGTCGGTTAAGAAATCCAAAAAGGGTAATGGAAACAAAGACGTTTTGCGAGTTGATCACGCCAGGGGTGCCTCCAGGCCCGCCCACAGTAGCATAGATACTGAAAGAGACCAGAGCCATTAGAAGCGTAAGTGAGCTGAACGTAATGGTCATGAATGAGAATGTAACCCCCATCTTACGCAGGATACCAAGCTCGCGGTTGCGGTAGTGCGAGACCTTGGATAAGAAGGAGGATTCCCTGAATGAATTATTAAAAAAAAAAAAAAAAAAAAAAAAAGTGAATATTTTAAGAAAGGAAAAAAGAACACTAAGTAATATCCTATTTTTTTTTCTTACCAGCCGTAGAGCTTAACGATTTTGATACTAGACATCAATTCACTGGTAAGACGAATACGATTATCCTGTGGTAACCAATACCAGAAACTGTAAAGTTAAACACATTGAAATGGATTTTCACAATGAAACGTCTTTTCACAAGTAAAAAAAAAGACTACTTACCATGGCTTCTAATTTCTGGTCCTTGGCAACAGAGAAAAAATTGGCGATCCAGCCTTGTAATGGTGCAACAGCAATAATCGTTGCTAAGCTCCCAAGCGCAGCCCAGCCGAGTTGTCGATAGAGTAACCAAAGAGCAATGCAGATCTCCAGGGGAATAGAAAACCACATGGGTAGGAGTGGTAATGCATCTGACCATCTCTCTGCGTCAACAGACATGTGGTTATTAATCTCTCCTGGCGTCTGCGATTGTTTGGCTGCAGGTGATAGCTTCAATGCTTTACGATAAACCATTGAGACCAGAGCCGTACGTGTCTCAATGCCCATATTCATGACCAATTGGGTGAATTGTCCCTCCAATATGGCGCTAAGAATGGTTGAAAAGAACATTCCAAATGCTAGAATTACTCCCAGAGAAGCTGATTTGGGGGTTTCGGTTGAGTAAGATTCAATGAAGCGCAAGAGCTGATCCATGAGTTCAGGAGCAATAAACCTTAATCCGGCAGATAGGATGATGTAGATGATAACAGGGATCCATTGAACGCCAAAGGCTTTCACGACTAAGAACAATAGCCAAGGCTCCTTGCCCTTTGCTCTTTTGCTGGCAACATGCTCTTCCCATTGTTGACTCAAGCGTTTGTATGAGAACTCGGTCCTGATCTGTTGAGGCATCATTCCTTGAATATCCCCTTTTTGCAATGGCCGTTTGTATCCCAAGGTGATGAGGCCCTGGAGATAGTGGAACCAAAAGCGGGAGAAGATGCTGGCCTTTTCATAAGGGCTCTTATCACTCTGTTTCTGCACTTTGGTTGAACCTCGTGGCCAAGACATGACAAAAAGGCCGAAGAGGATAAATCCAAAGTAGGTATAGTAGAGAGCGTTAGTGGTAGAAGTGCCTGTAGCGGTGCCAGATGTGAAGCCTTCTTCCTGCTCTTTAGACTGTTGTTCTTCAAAGGATCGTGAACCATAAAAGGTTGTTGGAAGAGCACTCAGGGTACGAGTGGTGATGGCGCCTGCAACAGTCGAGATAACATAGTAGCAGAAGATGAGAGTGGAAGTACGGATCTCGTACTTGTGTTCTTGAATATTTAATATTGTGGCGAAAATCTATCACATTCAAGGTTAGTGTAACTTTCTAATTTGTGTTTTCCAAAAACACCATGAACTCAAAAACTGCGGAAAAGATAAGCATACCCAGGCAACTCCCATGGACGCACTCGAAAGAACGGTTGCAGGAGAATGATCAGTTTTCTTTCCAAGCAACCCTGCCCGGATGAATAACAACAGGGCCGTCGTCAGCATCAATGTTTGCGCAGGCCAGAAAATTAAGTTTGTACGGCCCAATCCATGTGGCTTTCCTTTAAAGTAGAGATAAATTATCCTGAATAGAGAGGCAAAGATAACTAGACAGGCAGGTAATGTTGAAAGGATGGTGTCTTCGAAGCAGAGTGTTAGATCCACTCGATATCTACTTGTAGGACCCTGGTGAAGGAAGGTCACGAAATATAAAAAATAAAAGGTAATTAGAAGAGATATTGATTTTGAGACATAAAGGAGGAAATTACATGACGATGTTGGACATTTGCACATACCCATCCTTCTAAATTGTTGCAATAACTTGTACTCATAGAGTCAAGTTAAAAATAACAATATAAGAAAGAAGCTGTTTATAAAATAATAAAAATAAAAAATATGCCTATCGTTAAAGACGAATGACGAATGGAACTAACTTTGAAAAAGGAAATGAGTGGAATTTATAAATGTGTAGAAGGAAGAAAGGATGACGAGAAATCGAGGGACGATGCTACTACAAGACTTTACGACTTCAGATCATAATTATTAGGTTATTGGGGGATGAGAAACATGATAGTGCAAGAAATTTGGGCGAAATGATCTCTGATACTCTTTCTTTTATAGATTTAAAAGAATATAAAAAATGTGATAATTGTTTTTCCTAATTCCTTCCTATTACCCCCCTTTTTCTTTTCTTTTTTTTCGACTAGGGCTGTGGGTGATTGAGGGCGTTATTCCTCTACTGAACCCTGGATTGTTTATTTTTTATTTTTTGAAAAAGCGTCAATGGGTTTGAGGATAAGAGTGGGCATGGGAAATAAATATGATATATAATAATATATTTATACAAACATGTATTTGTATATTTGTATAAATGTATCTCTTGAGCGTGTAACTGTGGACCCACTTGCTGAGTTTATTTTCTTGTTTTAATGCCAAAAATGGTATTTTTTTTTATGCTTCTAAGCGTCCATACTAGATTATGATCATGATCATCAACCACAAGTCAAGCCATGGAGGCGACTGTGAGTACAGCCTTATCTTGTTTAGTCTTGCCTTGATGTCTCTGCAATAGCGATACTATCATTCAGTGAGATGGTGAAAATAAATATATATGTCAATTGACTCTTTAATGCCAGATGAACTCTGATCTAGGTTTGTGACACAAACGAATGCGATCGTGACTATCTTTGGTCACCTTCATTTGATCATGGCTGGTGATCGCATCCATTTGAAGACACTATCATTTGGATTTGACGTTCATCGATATCGCTGCATCCTTTATATAGTCCGTCCCATTAAAAAACGAGACATTCCATCTATTGTAAAAAGAAGAAATGTATTAGAACACAGAAATAAATAAATAAATAAATTAACCAAGAAAAAAAAGTACTATCAGGCCAATACTTACAATTTTTTTAAGACGAAGGCCTTTCTGGACCTAGTCATGTTTGTAGTAGATTGTGTCCTACTGTTGTTGCCGGCTTGTCTCTCCCCCTCCTCCTGGACCCAGCAAAGGTCCTTTCGGTGGTCTTGATCCCTCTACTCCTCCTCCTCCTTCATCTGAAAATTTCCTTTTTGTGGATCTGCTACTACCACCACCACTGCCACCACTACCTCCACCGCCGCCACTACCGCTAGAAGCTTGGCCTTGAGTTCCTCCATCCGGCGGCATATATTTTGCAGGTCGTTTTTGCTCTCTTATCTGCAACTCACAGACCCTTGCGATGTTCTCAGCACCAACAGCATCTCGATCAAAGTATGCTTTACAATTTCGACAGTACTTGGATCGAAAAGGAACATTCTCCAATATACTGTCACAGTGAGGCCGTGGACACTTGGCAGATGTGTAGTATTCATGACAACCTACAATGGGGTAGTCTAGAGATTTTGCCTGTTCGAGCCAGATTTAATACTCGTTAAAAAAAAGAGTCAAAAATTAAATGTCATTGATCAAAGGATTTTTTTTTTACCTTTTCAACAAGCTTCTTCATCAATATCCCATGCTTCGATACTTGCCCTCGGTTTGTCTTGAATGATCCTAGTCCAATACAGATCACCGCATTCGTATTGGCATCTCTTCTTCTTCCATTGCTTCCGCCCGCAAGCTTCAGAATTGCCTTGATCACATAATCAACCCATCCGTTCTGTGCTTTTCTATTATCCCAGCTATTCCGAACAAACCACCCGTCATTATAGAAATCGACAAGTGCCCTATATATAGTCTCCCTATTGTCGTCACTGGTCCCAGATCCACTGCTACTACTGGCCTCAACTCCACTGCTACTACCGGTCCCTGCTCTACAGCTACTACTGGCCCCAACCCCACTACCAGAGAAACTACCTCCAGTACTTGATGGAGCTTGATTTAGCGGCAAGCTCATATAAGCGAAATACTGTGTTAAAGTAGGCCTTGAGAATGACGGAATATTGCTTTCAATCTCTGTAATTCCTCTTCTAAGCTTTCGCCTCTCTAGCTCGCCCTGAAACTTCTTGGATGGTTTGTAAAGGTACGCTCTAGAAATCCGGAGGATCTCACGTTCGTTAGGTTTCCTTGGATCCAACTTTGCAATTGTCATCGAGTACCTCTCGCCTGGATCGATCCCAATGATAATGGTACTTTCGGGGGGAGGGCATGCTGCCTGGGTGTCATATTTAACTTCTACATTCTCGAGGAGACGGGATCTCTGCTTCCAGTTGATCTCACGCCGGGGACTGGGACTCACCGGGGACAGTGGATTTGTGCTCGATGTACCTTCTTCAGCTGCTTCTTCTCCCTCGTCGCCATCTAAGAATGGTTCATCAGCTTCCAGCAAGTCAATATCGCTGATACCCAGCAAGATATCGTCATCTTCATTTCCGTCGTCGTCTCCATCATCACCACCATCACCTGCACCATGGCCTGAAGACGAGGATCCCTGCTGAGCACTTGAAGAAGCCTGGACTGCTTGAGATCTTTGAGTATCCGAAGGTTGGGCAGCTTGCGAACCTCTACCTCTTTTTTGCTTCGATGTGTCATAGGCAAGAAGTGTTAGGGTAAGGCCGTTTGTAAAGAACGATGTCCGTAGTTTCCTTCTAGGACCATCATCAGATTGCAGTCCAACGTCCTTGTATCCTTTCAAGGAAAACAGTTCCTGCAACAATATCCCCTTGTGGTTAAGGATCTTGTCCTCCGCAGCCCCCTTGGTACTCATGTTTAGTTCCAACAATTGGACTATTTCCTCTCGAACTGTTGGGTTAGACCATAATATATCCAGGAGACAGGCTTCCGTTAGGCAAAGAGACCGAGGCGAGAAAGCAGACGTAGGGAAATCCAGATATTTTTTGGCAGTTGCATTTTGCTCAAAAAAGAATTGGATGGAACTTCTTCCATCGCCTGGAATATCTATGTCAAACTAGACATTATATTGAAGAAATGATTAGGAACATTTCTATAAACATATTATAAGATAACCTCAAAATATTATAATATTATATTTACCTGCGCATTCCGATAGTGAGACCTTAGCGCTGCTTGAACAGGGACCATGACCATCCGAGACGACCTGCTGATCACCAAATCGGGATAGATCTGGTTTAAAGGACCAAGCCCTGTCTTTGCATAGAAGTTTTCGTATGCTTTGAGCTGGGACGGCTTGGCTACGTTCCCTTCGCCTTTTTTCTTCACTTCCCTGCTATACCTAGATAATGGACTCATCACTCCGTGATACAACAACGCAGCAAGGCCGTAAATAAAGTCCCTGCTATCAAGAACTTCATCTAGGAGTTGTGGTGTTGTAAATAGTAGGTGTATCTTTGCTTAAGGGGCAAAAAGATAGACACAAAATCAGGAAAGGACAGTACAAAGAGTGTCAACAAGAATAACAAGAGAAAATAAAGACAAACAACCTTGACGACAAACAGCGCCATAGGATGTCGAAAGAGAAAGATGGGAGCTTTATAGGTTAGCTCACAAACTGAGTTCCTGGACGGCAAATGCTTGTTGTGAAAAGGGGAAAAGATAATAGCAAGAACAAGACGTATGGGGAAAACTAAAGACTTTATTGAGGAAGAAGTTCTTTGGCTTTTATAACTTAGCCTACAGGCCTGACTGTGGTGCTTTCTAGGTGAGGTGGACTCACCGATAGCTTAAGGCTTTGCACAAAGGTTCTTTTAACTGTGGATCGACAGAATGTCCCGATTAGTAGATACAAAGTAAAAATAAAATAGTTATAATTAATTTATATAACTATTAATGACCAGCCACAACAGTGGGAGATCAGCTGGATTGGATGGCCCAGTGGTAAGCAGGTTATCGATCCACAAGGCGCAGGCCCAGAAAGCTTGAATCCGTGCCTCGTTCAACATTTTAATAAACGATTGAATGAGCCCTTGAATTGTTGCAGCAAGTTGCTCGGGATTGAGATTGGGATCGGAAGTAGAGTCCAGCTTGGCAACTACACATGTCTTTAACGTGCCCAGAGTTAATGCAACAGTGGGGTGGGCCCTCTTCAACCGTCGGTCCTCGGCAGTAGCCTCCTTCACTTTCCTGGTCTTATCAGTCTTTCTGATATACTTGGCCTTCCCTTTGTTCTTCTTTTTTTTCTTCTTTTCCTCCTTAACCTCCTCTTCTTTGTCATCCTCTTTTTTTTCCTTTTCCTTTTTTTGGGGGACTTTCTTTGACGGCTGGAGCTGACGGGACGGTCGTGTTGTTTGCAGTTGGTCAGGTCATATTTCTTAGGGGAAAGTTCCTTTTTCTGGGTAGGGAAAAAAGGCCGATAGCGATTCGGCTTTGCGCGTTTAGGGATATAGAATCTAATTAGGAACAACAATGTCAAGGGTTAGATGACTTTTTTTTTTTTTTTTTTGTATATGCTTTGGAAAATGTTCGTTTGAAGGAGCTTACCTGGGTTGAGGTTGATTATTTTTATTCTGGTACCTAGCAGATATCGCAGTCCTCATTCTATCATGGTAATGAAGGAATCTTTCAGCGGTTGGTTGCTGTGAAGCCTGGGTTTGGATCCTACCAAAGAAAACATTAATTGAATGGTCAAACTGGCCTTCTGCAGGAGTTCGACGGCTACGGGCATGGACCTCACGAACATATGATACCGTCAACTTTTCGGCATCAGTGTCAGTGAGCGCAGAGATAATCTCAGCATTTGTAGCAAGACCAAAGGTTGGGATATTTGGGGTGTAATCGTTATCGGATATAATGCCATAGACCAGGAGTTGACTGTCCCTTGAAAACCCAAGGGCTTGCAGGACCTCTTGTTTCTCATAGAGTGCAAACATGTGATGGCGACGAGGGATTGGACGAAGAACTCTTTTTATAGAAGGATAGATGAGAAGGTCAGAGTCCCCAGACACAGCGATACTGGTTGGTGTACATTTGGCGGCAATACACACATCAGCCTCATTTCTACAATGGCAAATCACATAGTTATTGTATCGACCGAATGGCGCCGCGAGCTCCCTCTTCTCGTTATGACTGAATGTGAAGAGCTGTCGAAGATTCTTTTTAATGGCAATCATATGGCTTCGAGATTCCCATTTGCCTTCATTGGACTTGGTTTCCATGTTGGCTATGAGCGTATCGAGTTTTGCATCCGCTGCTGTACGCTTAGCATCTCGGTCCCTATAGGCGCGCGTTTTTTCTTCGCAGCGAGGCCCATCAATGTGTATCGTCACTGTGGCAAGAGGACCAAAGATCTTTCGAATGATACTAGCCATAGCATGGCCGCAGGCAGTGAAAGAACTCTGCCGGCTGAATCTCCTTAGGATGATATTATGTATATCGCTGTGGAAAGTGCCAAGCAGATCCAGCTCAAAAGATGAATGGGGTTCAGCAGCAAGCTCATGTACATCAATCTCCTTTGGTGGCAGGCCTCTCCTTGAAAGGTATGAATAGAGTCCTTTAATACCCATCTAGAGAAAGTATAGTGTAAAACAGTGCAAGCAATGTTGGTTTAAGCGGCTAAAGATTGAAGCTGAAGTTGTTAGAGTAGAGATAGTTTACCTTTAAGAAAGCAAAAAGTTATGATCTGTGAGGGGATGAGGGTGTAAGAGTACGGGTGAGAGCGCGAAAGCAATGTCGTTGTAAAATGAGAGAGAGAGAGGGAAAAGAGAGGAGGCAGGACGTATTTATAGGTGTATGAAAGAGAACGAAACAAAAGGCTGATGAATTTGGAACAACTCGAAACAATAAGATTCTCAGCGACAAGTTTTAACTTTTTGGATTTCGAGTATTGTTTACAGTCTTCTCCAATCATCTACATTTACCAAATCAAGCCTTCGCCATGACAATCAACAAGAAATAAAAAAAACAGACTTCCTTACGTCCCCCCTCGGTATGTGTATCTGTCTGAACACGTCCTAACTGACATCCTCTCGACAATCCTTCCAAGGCTGCAGTGTTTGAATGTGTACAGGGAACAAAAGAGGTCTAGATACAGGCTCTCTTTGTGACATTGAAGGAGATCGCATGTTTCATGGCTATCAAGACAAGGTACCCCTACAGGCACAAGACAAAGGTATAACTCGGTTCAAACTCAAAGGAACGATTTTACCAATGGCCTTGTTCTGAATCCACTTGCCTATGACACAGTCCAGACGAAGAGACAGCAGCAGTCTGACGTAGATGAAGAAGATCTCAGCCAGGAATTGAAACTTTCTCAAGGATTCCTTAACACGGCGTGTTTTAAAGGCAGCCGGTGAAGACCTGACAGATGAAGACTACGCAAACATAAACTGGAAGAGGAGCCCCAAACTTCTTGAAAACGTTGGACTCATATTCCATGAGCTAGGGCGATGCTCATCTGCAAATACCACAACTACCGTCTAATGCGATCCTGGTATTGTAATGCCCTTACGTTTTCTTCGCTAGACCGTCACAACCCTGACCTGCGTCAAACGGTGAAGGTGAGAAGTAGGCTCGTCAACAGCCTGTGTGTCTTATATGCGTTGCACCAATGCTCACTGATAGGTTGGGAGGAAAGACACCAAGCCGGCAACAACAATAGGATATGATCAGTTGCATATTTCACAGTACACGTGTTACATGAAAATTTATAATACAGACATACAGTACTAACAGCTCTATGCCCCGAGACAAACTTGCAGTTTTATTTTGATACAAATTTGGATAAATGCCCCATGGATGTGATGTGTGAACCCACATCCTATTCTCACTTCTGCTCCCTGGTTACTATTTGTCTGTCTAAAATTTTTCATGAGCTACTACAAACATGACTAGGTCGGGAAAGGCCTTCGTCTTGAAAAAGTTGTAAGTATTAGCTCGACAGTGCTTTCTTGACTAATCTCTTTATTTCTATGCTTGGTCTAGATGGTGTTTTTTTATGGGGAGGACTATTTAGACAACATATAGACCCCACATATCTTAATCATAATAAATTGGTTTGGTGGCATTGTTGTAAAAAATATCTTTGCTTAAGGGACAGAAAGATAGACACAATCAGGAAAAGGCAGGACAAAGGGCGTCAACAAGATTAACAAGAGAAAATAGAGTCAAATAACCTTGACTACAAACAGCACCATAGAATGTCAAAAGATGGGAGCTTTATAGGTGAGCTCACAAACTGAGTTACCGGAAGACAAATGCTTGTTGTGAAAAGGGGAAAAAGATAAATGGCAAGATGAACTGCAGGTGAAGAATAAGACATATGGGGAAAACTGAAGACTTTATTAAGAAGGAAGTTTCTTTGGCTTTTATACTCGGTAGCTTCTTTGGCTTTTATACTCGGTAGCTTCTAGGTGAGGCGGACCCGCCTATGACTACAAAGGCTTTGCGCAAAGATTCCTTTAAGCTGGTTCGACAGATTAGTGGATACAAAATAAACTGAAATTAACTTTAATGACCAGTCACACCACTTGCAATAACAAGCGAGTCAATTGGCTGCCAATACATTTAAGAGTATTCAAAAAATATAAGGGATCGCGACCAAATGGAACGGGCTATACTGATCATATTAACAAAAATGTGCTTTATTTTAATTTATTTTTTTTGAATGAAGTAGTAGGATTTCAAAAAAAAATAAAAATAAAAAAAGTTGTCCTGTACATTTCTAATGACGAATGGGAAAGATGAAAATGGGTACTTCAAGCTGTATTAAGTTCATTCTCAACTAATGTAAATCCTTCATGTAAAATACAGTAGAATAGACCTCAGATGAGATGCCCATATTCCTCTGTCGATTGCATAGACGAGTCATTGTGAAGAAAGCTTCCTGCAGAATCCATCGAGAATGGCTGAAACATCCAGTCCTCTACTCCATCCCCCGAATACAGCAGATGTGTCGCAGGAGAGCTCTCTAAGAACGGCGAGGAGTCTAGGGGAAATTCATCTTGTTCATTGCCTTGCTGGTGAATACAATTGTCGTTGCTATCCTGGCTGCTCTGATCACCATTCTGATAGCGCTTCTCCTGACTGGAGGAGGCAGGGGCGCCAGATGATTTTCGTCCGCTGTGAGACCTTCTACGCGATTGCACAGATGCTACCGATGAGTCTTCTCCGGAAATTAGCTGCAATGTTGAACGTGATTTATCATTCCCTTGTTCATTATTTTGTCCAGAGCCTCCATTCTCAACATGAACATGGCCATTTTCATTCTCGTCCCTATCCGCTGGAGGCAGTGACGGCATCTTGGACTGGTGCGCAAGCTCCTGAGCTAATTTTTGCTGTTCTTGGTACCATCGAAAGACGCTCGAAGTCGGAGTGGCATTCAAGTCATGCTGCTCGTCATCGTCTCCGCTTGGGAGTTTTCGGTCGTTTATCAGGTCCTCAACCTCTGCATCATCTAGATCAATGTTGGGGGGGTCGCTTAAAACAAAGTCTAAAAAACTTCCTGTCTTTTCATCTGTGCTCCATTTGTCAAATTGACTTAAAAGTGCCTTATTAAGCCCTGTAGAAGACTTGTTCCCTACTCCTGTCGAGCTCATTGAAGGGGTTCTTGTGGACGGTGATATCGGGCTTTTGCGTTTCCTAGATTTGAAATTTGAGCTTGGCGACGATAACTCCTCCGGCGATATGAGATGTGTCTGTGAACTAGATAGGTCATGGGACTTCAATGAGTACAATGGGTGCGAGCCTGCGCGACCCGCCGTGTATTCTGAAGCGAGGTGTTGACGCTTCTGTGACGAGGAAGAGTTTGGAGTATGAGGAAGTGGTGAATGAGCAATGGATGGGTTCCGTTTGGCATCTTCAACCTCGTCAGGGGCACTTCGCTTTTGGCTTGGAGCCGGTGGACTGAGGAATCTACGGCCGTTGCTGGTCGTACTCTGTTCTTCAAAGTCGGATAGCTCTATACTTTCATCAAACATATCCTCCTGTCCTTGTTGCTTTCGCATTGCTCGTTTCATCTGTTTCTTCTTCTCGTTGATAGCAGTTAGTGCTATTGTCATGGTTGACATTGGAAGAGGGTTGATGCTGCTATTGATTCGTGACGCCTTAGGTGTTGATTTTGTCGGGTCAGCAGAGCTTGTGTTTCTGGTTGGCAAGATATGATCCGACCTGGATCCATGAGCTGTTAGAGATACGTGTGAATCGAGAGAACGAGTTGGCTGTTGCTGAGATGGTGCTGGAGACGGTGATCGCGAATGATCCGAGGAGTAGTCGCCATTGTGCTGTTGAATACCATTATCGAACTCATATGCCGATGAAGTAGAAATATATGGATCTCTACGTCTAGATCGGCCAATAGTGCTCTCGCCTTTGCGAACATGATTTGTTAGGCTGGGTTTGAGCCGTTTTTCCGCTACCACTTCAAGATATTCACGGTATTGTCTCGCTTTGGTTTCGTCATATTCCTGGAGTTCCATATTCTGCCGTTCCTGCAACTCGCGAAGCTGATCTAGCTGTTTGCGCTGTAATTCTTCTTGATCCCTGCGTTGTTGCGACTGGAGATCCTCTAATTCTCGGCGTTGCTTGAGTTGGAGTTTCTCACGTAATTGTTTAATATTCTCTACAATGTTGGGTGCTGCGCCGTCGTATTTCCTTAAGTTTAAAAGATCAAAACTGTCGTTATCTTCCAAATGAGTGATAGGCTTGCTCGGATTTGAGCGACGATGGTTTTGTCCTGAGATAGTGGGTGAAGCCATAGCGTTCTCTCTACCGGAGCTAACATCCCACGACTGACCAATAAATTGACTACTGCCCCTGCCTCGACGTATCCTTTTGATACCAGCAGTATCGTCAGAATCAATTTCATGTTCCAAGCTATGCAGCTGATGCCGCGTATGGTCTCCAACATGATCTTTTGCTATGCTTTCTGTTGTCCTGGATGTGTTAGGAATAAGATCCCCCTTCCTTGGCTTATCGGAAGATCGTGTGGGCATATGGCCTAGATTTTGAGTCAATGATTCAGTCTCTTCATCAGAAACACTATCCTTTCGATCCCGTAGTGAGCTCTTAAGAAGATTCAGCATTTCTGAGTTATTATCTCTCCCAATATCTTCGAGAACTTCATCATATAGCTCTGAAAACAGATCAATGCTCTGATAATGCAGGTCATGCCCTATCTGAATCTGTGCAGTAGCCAGTTTTGATTTGAGGGAACGCAGGTGCTATTGAACATCAAGAAGAAGGTTAATAAGTCTTGATTTGATCAACATATCTAATCAACAGGTACACCCACAGACCCACAGTATCCAAGTAAGACACCCAAGCATGTACCTTAACGACCTGTGCACGTTTTAAAATCCTATCAGCAGCCTCTTCCTCTCGACGTCTCTTATCCTCTTCAGCTTCTTCTGCAAGCATCGCCAGTTCTCTCTCCATTTCCAAGGTCGTTGGACTAGCACGGTCATTGACTTGCTTGCCTGATCCTGCATCAAGGTTTTCGGCCACTGAAGTGCTCGAAGGCTCGTCAGCTTGGGCTTTTCCTTTGGTTACTGCTGCTGATGATCCTGTTTGGGTTTGGGTTTGGGTTTGGATTTGGGTTTGTCCTCGTGATTTAGTCTTTAGTGGTGGAAATTGAGGTGGCGGAAGTCCCGCAGCGACGGCTGCTGCTGCTGCCTGAGCCTGCTGTCTGAGGATTGTCTTTCTATATTGGCCTCTTTTTTTCCGAGGTTTAGGTGGATCCTTTACAGTATTTATCTCTTGCTTTATGATATCTGACCTTGATCCTTCCCCCGTGGATGAAGTGTAGATGGGTGCGTGTGCTGGTGTGGACGGTGTAATTTTCATTGGAATTATCCTCGCATCTGTCGTTGTCTGAGAGGAAGATGGTATTGAATAAGTTGGTGGCAAATGAATTTTAGTGAATGAATCTAAGTTGTGTTGGGTTCCCATGGTTGCGTCCTCGGTTTAATGTTTTCCTTGGAATCCAATGGGAAAAAGCCACAACACATTCGTTAACTCGATGGTGAGAATGAGACCGGAAGGAAAGGAAAAATGAAAAGATGTAAATTCTCAAACTCGCGATGAAAAATGCATGAATAGACAGGAATGCTCAATGTTGGGTAATGGCAGCAACACAGAGTTGAACAACTCAACATGAGTGTCAATGTAAAGGAAGGAAAAAAGTAAAAAAGTAGAGGCGCTCTGAGTGAAAGCGATGAAAGGAAAGACTTTTTTTTTTTTTTTTTTTTTAGTTTGAGCTGAAGAGGCTGATAGTACGCTGCGAACAAAACAACGCGCTGTGACTGGAAACGCGTTCATCTCATTTAAACATTTTTAATGAAGGTATGCAGCCCATGCATTGAAATGTCCTTCCCGTCATCACCTGAGTGGGGGCTTTCTTTTTTGACGCCCAGCATTCAACTAATCCTGTTCTCTAACTCTCCACGTCTGTCCCAAAGTCATCTCATCTTTCATTTAACGCATCATCTGTGCGGTTTCTTTCAGTCCTACCTTCGGATCCCATTCGTGCTTGCACTACTCCTTCGTCAGTCAAATCAGTCAAGCCAACTATCACGCAAGGAATCGCGTAGTCGTGGACCATGGTGTTTTACCGTTTGAAAGGTAGTCAGCCCTCGTTAGAATTCCAACCGTTAGCTTTAATGTTCAGTTCGGTGACTGAGCTTATAATGCGCGTCAACATTTGGATGAAAAAGTCCTTATATTTCTGAGCTTTTTCATGCCTGATTATATTTTACATTAGATCTCATAAAGGCCATCCGTGCCTGTAAAACTCACGCGGATGAGCGTGCAGTCATCCAGAAAGAGTCAGCATTCATTCGTACATCATTCAAAGAGGAAAACACAGAACTCCGTCATTCCAACATTTCGAAGCTTTTGTATATCCATATGCTTGGCTATCCTGCTCACTTTGGTCAAATTGAATGTCTAAAGTTGGCTGCCAGTCCTTTGTTCTCAGATAAGAGACTTGGCTATCTTGGAACCATGCTACTTCTGGATGAGAATCAGGAAGTTCTTACCCTATTAACAAACTCTTTGAAAAAGTATGATATGAATGTTTACTTTCAATAATAATTTTGATTAGTGGCACGGATATTCGCAAAATAGCAGAGATTATTTTAATCACCTAATATTGATCAAAAGCACTAAACGAACATCTTCTTCAAACTACTTGCTTTAGTGACTTGAACCATTCCAATATGTACATTGTTGGATTGGCGCTTTGCACGCTGGGCAATATTGGGTCTGCAGAGATGTCACGAGATCTTTGTTCAGAAGTCGAGAAACTTCTTGGAAGCTCCAATATGTATATCAGGAAGAAGGTACATTCTATTGTCGTGGACCATCAGCAAGAAAAACTCAATTGTGCATGGAAGAGTCGTCGCTTTTCTTCTCACGGAACATGGTCTTTTATCGATATCAAATGATATAACTTTTAGGCGGCTTTATGTGCTATCAGGATTATCCGTAAAGTTCCTGACCTGCAGGAGAACTTCATCCAGCGGGCCTCGTCACTTCTGAACGACCGTAATCATGGAGTCCTTCTTTCAGGCATCACTTTGATTACCGAAATGTGTTTAGCCTCCCAAGAGACACTTTTGCATTTTCGCAAAGCGGTTCCTGTGCTCGTCCGTCACTTGAAGAGTTTAGTCAGTGCCGGCTTCTCCGCAGAGCATGATGTAACTGGAGTAACGGATCCCTTCCTGCAGATCAAAATTTTACGTCTGCTTCGCATTCTTGGAAAGGACGACGTAGAAAGTAGCGAGGCTATGAACGACATCTTGGCGCAGGTCAGTGCGGGATCATTACCTATACGAAATACTCCTCGATCCGAACCACTAATATTCAATCGAGTGATTGTCTATCTATATATAATAGGTAGCCACTAATACAGAAGCGTCTAAGAATGTCGGCAATTCCATTCTCTACGAAACCGTGTTGACGATCATGGAGACACCATCGGACAATGCTCTCAGAGTCCTTGCGATCAACATCCTTGGAAAGTTTTTAAGCAATAGAGATAACAACATCAGGTAACAATGCAGTGATATAATACATCCTTTTACATTTAGGCTTAAATTCGTAGTTCTGATGCTAGAGCATCTATGTTGATGACCTCTTTTTTTTTTTTTTTTTTTTTTTTTTTTTTCCTGCTTGTTTGTTTGTGACAGATATGTCGCGTTGACCACTCTCAACAAGTCAATCTCACTGGATGTCAACGCTGTTCAACGCCATCGCAATATTATTTTGGACTGCCTTCGCGATGCTGATATCTCCATTAGGAGACGCGCTCTTGAGTTGTCTTTCTCACTTATCAATGAGTCTAATGTTCGAGTGCTAACTCGAGAACTTCTGGCTTTCTTGGAGGTTGCTGATAATGAGTTCAAGCCTAGTATGACAACGAAGATTTGTCTCGCTGCAGAAAGGTAATGGTTACGGTGGTTGAATTTCATTTTATCTCATGTCAATACTTCGCCTAGTACATGATATGCTGTACTGATATCAGGACCGAATAACAATCAATAGATTTGCACCCAATAAACGCTGGCACCTTGATACTGTTATGCGTGTGTTGAAGCTGGCAGGAAACTATGTCCGCGAGGAGATGTTAGCAGCATTTATTCGTTTGGTGACTCAGACCTCTGAACTTCAAGGATACACCGTCCAAAAGCTGTATACATCTCTCAAGGAGGACATCTCTCAAGAATCACTTACCTTGGCAGGTGTCTGGGTCATTGGTGAATATGGAGATATTTTGGTCAGTGGTGGCAGTTATGAGGAGGAGGAACTTGCTAAGGAGGTAAGCTGAAATATCAAGTCAATATGCAGTCAAACTTACTGGACTATATCAGTGAACTCCAGTAACCGTTCGCTCTTCTATACTCACTTTACCAGGTTTCTGAGTCTGACGTAATTGATTTATTGGAGTCCATTTTGGCTGGACCATTCGCCAACCAAGTTCTCCGTGAGTATGTCATCACGGCCCTTATGAAGCTGACGTCCCGGTTCACTTCCCCCACATCCTCAGAAAGAGTCAAGCAACTGCTTGTAGGTTTTTCCACCTCTATTGAGGTTGAAATCCAACAACGTGCTGTTGAGTTTACCAATCTCTTCCAATATGACGAGATCCGCCCGGCTGTACTTGAACGAATGCCTGTTATGCAGATCAAGGAAACCATCATCGCAGGCGAAAACCTCAATAGTGCAGGTAAGAGCTCTTCTGTTCCTTGGAACCTATTCCATTGACCAACTCTCATCATTTTAATAACTCCTCCTTGGATTTTATTTCACAGCTTCAGGCAGCTCAGGAACACAGGCAAGCAGTTCAGCGGGACCAAGTGACCAGGATGTAAGTAACCTTCATCTTCATCTCCACCTACAAGCTAGTGGCAAAGGAACAATATAGCGCTAATATTCACTCGTGCTTTGTCTCTTATTATATTATCATGAATTAGCTTCTTCTCGATTTGATGGGTATCGGAACTAGTGGAGGCACCACTAATGCACAAATTTCAACAGGAACACCGGCGTCGTCCGGAAATGGTGCTGGTAACAATATTGACCTTCTAGCTGATCTCTTTGGCGGATCAAGTGTATCCAGTCCACCAGCGGCCACCAACCAATCTGCAGCTGCTGTTAGTAACCTCTTCTCAGGCATGGGTGATGTCGCTGCTGCATCGCCTTCGCCTTCGGCCGCCGGTAACAATATTTTGGATCTTCTTGGAGGGGGTATGGCTGCGCCATCTGCATCGCCCACGTCTACTCCAGCAAATGCCAGGAACGCATCAAGTAATAGCAACGGATCCACGTCGAACCAGTCAACGCCCTCTCAAAAGACTCACCCTGTCTACTCAAAGAATGGTCTTAATATTGTATTTAACCCACAGCGCGATAGTACCAATCCTAATGTGGTCAACATTCAGGCAACATTTACAAACGATAGCAATCTCTCTGGAGGCACTATCAGTGGTCTTCAGTTCCATGCGGCCGTTCCCAAGACACAGCAATTGCAGATGCGCCCAGCGTCATCTAATGAGATTGCTCCTGGAGGTTCTGCAACTCAGTTACTCAAGATCGCCAACCCTCAAAAAGTAATGTTCTACTCTTGCATCTTTAATCGGCTAATTTTAAAGTGATTACATGAGAGTTAACGATTCGTTTAAATATATTGAAAATCATTTGCTTATAGACACCTGTTCGACTTCGTCTCAAGATCGTATATACCACAGCGAACCATGGTGCCGTGACTGATCTCTCAGAATTTGCAGGATTTCCAGAGGGTGCTTATTAAGTCTAGAAGTACAGAAAGCATAGGCATGATACAAGCAGGAGAAAACTTTGAGTTAATAGATGAATAGGCAATAATTCTTTTTATAAAAAAAAAAAAAAAAAAAAAAATAGTTTCCTGTTGAACCAATTGATGATCGACCGGACCCTTGAACTTGTTCTTCAAAATGTGTGATGCTTCAGGGCGAATAGCAGCGCGAACCGAGAGGCTCAATTTCCCCACATCTTGTATATCACACCCTTAATACCAGAGATGATGTCTTACAAAATACAGTTCTAGTAAATCACAAATGAAAATGGTCCATTTTTTTTTTAAAAACTCTCTCTCCCATGACATGGCAAATGAAGAAGGATATTGATAATTGGGTTGTTATCTCTCTTCCCCCTCAGATCAAGTTTCATCTGAAAAATTTTCGTGACTAGATGAACGGCACTGTATAAAAAGACATCGTTGTTCCCACATCCTTTATTATATTTCTTCTCTTTATATCGTCGACATCATGGCTTCTCGATCAACCATCACCTGCTTTTATGATATCGTTTCGCCTTATAGTTACTTTGGTGTCAAGTTGCTCAACCGGTACCGACAACAACCTCAGTGGCAAAACGTTGCTGTCGAATTCCGACCTGTGTTCCTGGGTGGGATCATGAATGTAAAGAAACATTAGAAAGAATGAACAGAAGATGCGAGATGCTGAATTGGATGGGAGGAACAAGAATGCCATTGGTATTCCGCTTTTTTTTTTTTTTTTTTTTTTTTTTCCCTTTTTTCTCAGACTTCTTTTCTTGACTTTTAAAAACAAATAGGGTGCTAAAAACCAGCCTCCTGCTACGATCCCTGCAAAGGGCAAATACATGGTAGATACAATAAGAAAAAAAAAAAGTTGGCTTTTGTGCTGTTGTTATCAGGTGGTGTCATCAATTCGGCTAACTGACACACAAAAAAACCAGATTAAAGATCTTCATACGATTAGCAAAATTACTGGGATCCCCTTCCAGTTCTCCTCCAACTTCCCTTTGTTGACTATTCCTACTATGCGCTTACTCATTGCTATTCAGAAGCATGAGTCAGCCAAGTATGAGCAATGTATCGAAAAGGTAAAGAAAAAAGCTCTTCGTTATTTGAGGGAAAAAAAAAAAAAAAAAAAAAAAAAAGAACTGAACAAAGACTTGATGATACTAAGAGCTCTCTTATTGTCTCAATTGCTTGTTATATCCATTTATTCCATAGCTCTATGTAAGTTGAGAACAAAGTCATTTTATTATCTATTTTTTTTTTTTTTTTTTTTTCATCTTTATATTGCTTTTTATTTATTCACTTTCTTTGCCTGTTTTTTGTTCAATCGATGGGTAGGATGAGTACTGGGTCCAGGACAATGATGTGACCGATGCTGCTATCCTTGTGAAGGCACTCTCCCCAATTTTGGGCTCGGCCAATGCTGTTGAAAAATACCTTCAAATGACATCTGATAAAGGCATCAAACAAACATTGATGGACAACACACAGCAAGCAGTTGACATTGGTGCCTTTGGTGCCCCTACTTTCATCGTTAAGAAGGCTGGTACAGAAGCAGGAGAGGAAGTCATGTTCTTTGGTTCAGACCGTTTTGAAATGATGGCTTCGTTCTTGGACTTGCCATATCCCGGCATTACCTTCCATAAAACGTCTTCACCAAAGCTATAATTTTTTATGAAAATTAAAAAGGGAGACACGTGTTTCTAGATCAAATACATGTATACAACTTATTGCAAATAAAAAAAAAAAAAAAAAAAAAAAAAAGAGAGAGAGAGAGATAAATAACATTAAGGCTATTAGCAGCTAAAAACACCGCTGAGAACTTTTTAAGCGGTTACACTTTTCTGGATCTGTATAATATTCTCCTAGTCCTAGTTAAAATGAAAATAAAAGGCCGGTCGTTCTAGGCGAAGATATTGCCGAAAATGATAAGTATACAAAAAAAAGTACAAGTTGAGGAATCTGAAGGGTAAGAAATGTGATCGTGATCATGGCTACTGTGTTAATTAGACGTTAATAAAGCGGCTCCCCCATTGAGAATGTGAGAGAGGGTGCACGCTTTACACAAGAGAGCGTACAAAGAATTTTTTATTTTTTATCTACTACGGAAAGAGCCCAAACTGGCACTAAAACGCGTCAATGTGACAAGGAAATGTAACCAGTCCGAAGCCCACACGTTGTCTCTCGAGCCAATAATATTAAGCGCTTGGAGCATTCGCCCTCCAAAATAGCTACACTTGGCGTCTATGATTGTGAAAATAGTTCTGTGACAGTAATATAGGTTTTACATCCTCAGCCAATCTTTGGCTGACGTGCAAGCGTGTGTGTACATGTACCAAGGCCCGAATATAAGATTTTTCTGTCAGCGATGGTAATGTCTACAAGAAGCGCAGACACATGGTCTCTTTGTTTTGTGGTGGCCCCAATTCAAATTTAGTAATCAAACACACACTACAAATGCTTCGCTGCGGAAAATGAAGAAATAAAAAAAAGGCCTCTGTGATTAGTGTTGGTCACAACTTCCAGGGCGGGTAGGATAAGTGGATTTATGGCCTTGAATAGGCTCTATTAGCTTTCTATCCGATATGATTACCTCAATATCATCTTTATATAAACATGAGAATGCGGCTAATTACCTTTTGATCCACTAAGGACCTTTACCCATTTATCAATTCTCTTTCAGGAAGATTACTATTCAGAACTAAGAACTAGGGGTGACCAGGTTACTGATGGTCACTTAATTGGGCAGGGTCCGCCCAGATCTATAATCAGGATACTCCAGTGGATTTTAGAGAGCTCTCCTTCATGTACCCATTTTTCTGATGTGCAGACAAAAGACCGAGGTTCAGGTAAAATAGGGATTATTAAAAAAAAAAATTCCCATGGTCCTCTCTCTCCCTCCTGAGCAACATGTTTATGTTAAAATCCTGGCCCAATATATCGAGGACATAATATAGTAAATACAAAAAAAAAAAAAAAAAAAAAACGCGCTCGGAATGATGGTGAATGAGTGCAAACAAGGCGATGTCGTTTTAAACTTCTCTTTCTTACCTCTCTTTCCTTTTAAAGATAACGTGCAAATGAGGTATTACTTTGACAGTGAAATCCACGATCTGATTATAAAAAGAGAGGTAAGAAAAAACAAAGTAGGCTGCATTCTTCATTCTTTTTTTTTTTTTTCTTCTTCCTCTTCTTTCTATTTCTACAAATTTCCTCTTGTTTTTTTTTTTACTTCACGCCTTGTACTTACTACCTGCTTTTTCTTTGTATGTAAATCGCGTCGCACTCGTATCTCAATTTCTTTTTGTTTTTGCTTTAGCATTTCGGTATAGCACTCTTGACCATTAACTTCATACATCTCTATCCCCCGCATCAGTAGGTTAGCAAAAAAAGAAAAGAAAGAATGATGAGACAGATGAGACAGATGAGAAATACAAGTAAAAAGAAGGCAAAAAAAAAAAGTCAACAGCCATAAAAGTTCGTCCGAGGATTGTGAGCGTTCCTTGAATGGAGGGGCCAACACCTTTACCTGTTTTGATCTAAGAGAAATGAAGTGACAAAGGGAAGGAACAACATAATATATGAATACACCAACAATGTGCAAATGAGGGGAGATGGCTGGTTTTCAGGGGAGTGGGAGGTTGAAGAAGCGACAAGATTCGCTCCTTACTGTTGTGCAAACAACCATTACCTTTCCATTTCCTCCTTTTAGTATTTTATACACAGGTGTTTTAATATGAACAAGTCATCCAATGTCTAATGGCTTTTTGCTATCTCTGCCTATCCGGAAATGGTGCTCCTTAGGCTGGAATATCGAGCAGATGAACAACTACTTCCCTATTAGCAAGTTCGAACACGTCCACCCTGTGGATCTTTGTCCACCGCCATGCCGTTTTATTCGCGAACGTTCCCAAAAGATTGGCTGGACTAATGTTACTGTCATCTACGAAGGTGCTCTTAGTTCCAACCTCCCAGGCTTGGATGATCTCAAGGGTAAGTTTAATCTTGTGACGATGTCCTATCTTTCCATGATAGGCAATATTTATGCTCTAGTCGATCACATCCAAACCTTGCTCGAGTTCAAGACTGGTGTCACCGGTGTCTCTGACTTTTACACTTCCAGAAATGTGACTAAACCCAGCGTTTATGGGGTTGAGGATTACCAATCCAACTGGCTCACCCACAACTTTTAGCAAATTTGATTCTCGTTTGATCATGTCCACCATGCTTCGCATCGCGAGTATCTGGAGCACCGTTTTGGTGTCAAGAAAGTGATCAATGGCTGAAACCACTTTGTCATTCCCTTTATTGTCTAGATCCCTTATTATATCTGGCTGGAGTAAAAGAAGCGCTCAGATGTCCGGAGAGATCGATCAACTCTCACCATTGCTCTCACCAGCAGCGTTGCAATTCTGGTACAAGAACAAGGATTCCTTTGACAGTAGTTTCTATGAAGCGAGATACACTGGATTAGCCTTCTGGGCCTTCAAATGCCTCGCACATGTGATGGGTGTGGAGAAGGCCGTGGAGTAGGCCGTTGCCACCGACGATATTGAGGCTCAGTATCGGGTATGGGAGAGGGTGGTCAAGTCAGCAGTGTTTCTAGCATGGTTGCTCGAGCGGGCGATGTCACATCCGGCGTTCTTGTGGAATACATTGGGTGTGCCTGTGAATCAGTGGAAAATGATCTTAGATGAAGGTACTACAGCGAGGTACTTTTATGATACACTTGATCTGGTCATGGAGCGTTCGCTGTTCAGGAATGATCAGTACTTTTACTACATGATTATTGTCCGCAAGTACACCCGAGAGCCTTGTCCATCCAACCTCACTGAGGCTGTATGCCAGGTGCTTAAAGAAGACAAAGCAACGGATGCGATGCTTCTACATACAAAATCAATTACACAAGTGCTAAAATCGTTTGTTAACGGAGAGCTGGCCAAGGCCGTGAGATAGATCACATGGACTGGTTTCCGTTTGAGAATGCAGAAGAAGAGACCAGGGAGGTTTGTAGAACAGTGCGCAAGGGAGGTATGGTTCTGTGGAGGAGTGCTGGACCTATGCCTTGGTGTAATGCCATGTTTGAGAAGCATGAATTCACAGTTGAGACAGTTGATGTCCGTATCCCTGGCAGTGACGCCTCAGTTGGTCGAACCAATAGATATGCTTCCTGGTACAAGGCCATCAAACAGTGAAAGAAAGAAAGGAAAGAAAAAAAAAAAAAAAAAAAAAAAAAAACTCATTGACATGGAAAGCCAAATAGGAATGTTCGCGGTTTTTGCTGTTAATATCACTATTATTATCATTATTACAATTATCGTTATTGTTATTATGACTACTATTGTTACTATCACTTCTTCCCTCATCCTTTTACTGCACTCTATATAAAAAGATGCGTTAAATGTGACAGGAAAGTCCTGATCAAAATTTTACAGAAGTCTGTGCTCTCAAATTCAGAGATTGAAAATGATGATGGAGGAGAAAATTTGTTTATGTACATGTACATGTACGCGACATACGCGCTCTTGGGAGATGAAGGTTAGTTAGTATATGTAATAAAGATTGCATGGGCATCTTAATATTTTTCCACAATGTAGTTGCTTTGCGCTACTCTGTTGGCAATGAAGCAAGCTCTCAGAACTTTAAATTAATTCGTTCACATCCAACCATGTTCTCGTTTTCTGATTGTCGGTTTTTCATTATTATTAATATTATTATTATTTTCATAAATCATGTCATCTCATTTAAAATATTCATCACCATGGCATTTGGCTTTCTCATTAAAGGTCTTGTTGTTTTTTGCTGTTGTTTGTGGGGATGGAATTGCGTACCTTTTTTTTTTTATCATTTATTTATTTAACAAAGGATTTTTTATAGTGTGGGGGATAGTGATGGGCAGTGTGACAAGAGTCGACGGAGGGTGTGCTCACTTTTCTGGGGTGTGTGTTAGTCTACTTTAATACATGGAGCATCGACAAACAAACAGTTACATCGCCCTAGCACAACCAAACTAAAATTAGGCAACCTTCAAAGGATAATTCGTCGACTGCAAGGAACAAAAGGAACAAGGGTGCTTACAACATGTGCTTAACAACCATGCAAACCTATTCTACATGTACAATGTGTATTATAACTGACTGAGCAATACCATCTGGACAAGCAATTTTTTTTTTTTCCTTCTTCATCTCCACCTTCTTCTTCTTCTTATTTCTCCTCTCCTCTTCTCCTTCATTAACCATCATCATCATCATCTTTTCCTTGTCTTTTTTTTTTTATTTTTTTTTATTTAAAAAAAATCCTCCGTGCCTAAACGTCTCATTCATTCATTCAATTCTCATTTGACCTTCCATTCTCCTGAACAAGCCTTTTTCATTATTACTTCTTACACAGTTAAAAAAAAAAATAAAAAAAAAAAGGAGAAGGAAAAGGAGCGGAAGAAAATAAAAAATAAAAAAAAATGTCAGCGGCGGATGTCTCTTTGACCATATCAAAGTCGTCTGCTAGATCTGGATCTGAATCTGATTCCACAATAACAGTACAAAATGCATGTAAACCCGTACACAGCTTAGACACACATGCAATAGCAACATCCTCGCACCAGCAAATTCTCGACCATGACAAAGCAATAGAAGCAATTGAAGCAACAGGCGCAACAAAAGCACATCATTCTAATTATCATCAGCCTTCTCTCCCTCCTCTTTCTCCTTTTGAACCCATTTCCTCCACTTCAACGAGTCCCACTGCGAGTACCACAGCCCCTTCTCCACCTCCTTCTCCTTCTCCATTCCCATCTCCATCTTTATCATTATCTCCTCTTCCCTCTCATTCTTGCTATTACTCCCCTGTGACCACGCCCTATCCCATCGTATACTCTTCTCCCTCTCTTATTGACTCTGCCCGTTCTGCTTCCTCTTCTGCATCAGCCCTTCATTCACTCTCTTCTTCCCCATTCACTTCTCACCCACCACTTCGATCTTCCATCCCTCCCCCTCCATTATATTCCCTTCCACTTTCACTTTCGCTCTCACTTGACCCATCGCAACCACAGTCACAACAACACATCTCCAACAATACCACTACCAGACCTTTGTCATTGTCTCTTTCTCTTTCCTCTCCTTCTTCTCCTTCTGTTCATGCATCTGGTTCTTATCCTCAACTAGAGTCACATTCAAACTCATATTTTCCACCTCTGTATCAAGATTGGAGAAACATTCCCAGTATCATGTCAACTTATCCGCCACCGCCCTTGTCCCCGGTCATTCCTTCAATCCCACAATTATCCACACACTCGCCACAAAGTGTTTACAACCTTGGAGATGGTCAAGAACAAGCCAACAACAGCCCTACACCCAGCTTAACTAATACATCCATAACTACAACCAACAACACCCGTCCTCGTTCCGTCCTTGACCTGGCCATCGACACCGCAAGTACAAATCCTGCTGGTCGTCGTGTGCGAAGGAACGTTGTGACTCGATGGCGAAATATTCCTCGCAACGCACGTATCTTTCTGACGTTTAATGTTGTCATGACAATAGCCAAGGTATGTGACAACGAAACTTTTTTAATTTATCATTCGGTATATTCTTCCATGCAGAAATACATCTCCCATCTCGTAATCATGGAGTGCGTCATTTAGTCTGTTTGAACCTTGGGAATTTTTAAAAAGTTTATTCAATATCGACCCGTTACTTCTTGCAGCCGTTTTGTGTTCTCCAGAAAGCCTTCATTCTATTCTTACCATTATCAGCAGCACTCTCACCATCATTCCTAAAGCGGGTCACCACAGCACACCAAAAAATGATGGAGATTGACCTCTCAGAAACAATAATGTCGGGGTTAGAAGAAAGAGACAATAAACTCGTTCATCATCTGGACAGTAAGGGTTCGATCAATCATGGCAAAAAAGTACAGGCATCACTTCATAGAACACAAAACACATACACACACGCATACAGTATAAAAGAATCCATGGTGAAGCTTTTCAGTTCCTTCATCTCCATTATTCAGTACATTTTAAGACGCATACAGGCTCCTTGATCTCTGGAGCTTTTATATATACATATATATATATAAATGTATGTGTGTGTGTTTATGCATACAAGTATTTTTCGTTAGATGACACCAACTGAAATACCGATATATTTGGCTTTTTTTTTTTTTTATTATTTTGCTACTATTGTGCATATAGATTGTGTCAACAATCGTAGTTTTGATCTTAGATAAAGATGCATACTGCCCGTATCTAAAGGTTTTGCTTCTGCTCTATGCTATCCGATCGGCTATTGGCCTACCCTTCTCAGCTTATGCTCACTTACACCCACGTATCCAGGGAGCACCACTCACGACTCGTGACATTATTCTGGAACGACAAAGGACTTTAATGGAGATTGCAGGAACCTGTCTGTTCTTTCTTTCCAACTACTTTTTGTTCACTCAGGTCGACTGTCGAGTGAGAGCACCTGCGGTTTTTTACATGACAGTTGTTCATGTGATTCTGGGCTATATTGTCATTCTCATCCCCATCATTTTATGCTTGGCTGTCATCCTATGTTTGCCATTGGTGCTCCATATCATGCGTGCTCTGGATCTAGGCCCTGTTGTAGGGGTCAAAGGAGCAACCGACGAAATGATTGATGCTATCCCAATTGTCAAATATCGCAGACCTGTTGAAGTAGCAACGAATGAGAGCACTCGAAGCACAGTGGTGGATTTAAGTTCGACGGATGATAGGATTGAAGCAGGAACGCCTTTGTCAATCATAGCTCCTACAACTAGCGCTCCATCAGCTGTATTGGGTGCACCCAATTCATCTTCAGTACCACAGTCTGCACCCCAAACACCAAAGAGAGGTCTATTTGGGTTTTATAAGAGAGGCAAAAAGTTGTCTGGAACGAACAAGAATAGTGATGGGTCTCTACCCTCACAGGATAGCAATTCGGTCGAATATTTGACGTTGTCAGACCCGCAGGATGCGATTTGTGCGATCTGTCTTTGTGACTATGAGAATGAGGAAGTTTTGCGAAAGATGAACTGTAACCATTACTTTCACAAGGATTGTGTGGATGAATGGCTGCGGTTGAATAGATGCTGTCCACTATGTAAACGCGATATTGAGGAGCTTGCAGGAGTGCGGGAGCCAACAGATACGAACACAGGAACAGGAACACAAGCAACGACCTCTTCACCATTGTCTTCATCACCTTCTCCAACTCTGCCATCTGTGTCGCAACCTACTATGACTGGATCTCGTTCATGATTATCCAGGTGAACATAATCAATTTACGACTATTAAAAAAAAAAAAAAAAAAAAAAAAAAAAGGCTTACAAAGCCTGTGCCTGTAATTGTAAAAATGTATTCTAGAAGAAAATAAATAAATAAATAAATAAAAGACAATGTACGTCATGATCATCGGGGGAGGTTAAAAAATAAGGGGGCGTAGTGTTCTTTAAAAGTTGTTTGTTAAAAAGTCGAAAGAATGACCGGAGCTTACGACTGTCGAAACTTCACCATTGTACTTTCTTGGTCCAAAAATGGACTGGATTGTCAAGAAGTTTGTTCATTACGTGAGGCACTTGAGCAGCTACATGTACTTGCAATACTTTAAAGGGCATGGTTCAAAAACAAAAACAAAAGATCCCCTATTTTTTTTTTTTCTTTTCTTTTTTACTTCTCACAATAAGTATATATCCGTATATGGTATGTGGCAGGCCATTAGTTAACGCCATGATGTTGTCTGTTCTTTCCCTTTGTACTCCAAGGGACGAGGTACTTAAAGAAAGAGAGAGAGGAGAGATGATGTTCATGCATTTTGAGAGATTATAGGCAATGACGGACAAACATCAACTCAACCGAGAAGGACGCAGATGTTGTTGATATGCTGATAGAGCATAAATATAAACAAAGAGTTTGTTCGATTATTATTATTATTATTATTATTATTTTGTCTATCACCGAGTAATGACTTGCCTAGCAATAATCATGCACAATGTGGAAGGAGAGAGAGTCTGTTGTGAAAAGATAAATAATAAGAAGGTACAATAGTCCGCAAAATAAATAAGAAAACGATGCCAAAGAGTAAATAGAAAACAAAGGTGCTCTATGTTCATGTATGATGTATAATATAATATATTCATGATGAGTTTAGTTAGTGAGGGTTCCAACAGAGCTTTAAACTGCTCATGGAGATTCCTCATGACAATTAACTCCAGATCCGTTATTCAGAACAAATTTCTTTCATCTTTGAAAAGTAACGCCTACACACATTATATTTACAAAACTTGTACACAACAGGAAAAGGCTACAAAAAAAAAAGCGCAACTTTGCTAGCCTAGAGATCACAAAGATTGTCAATATGATATAAACATATTTGTGTAGTTCTACTGAACAATGTCGCTGAACCATGCATAAAACAATGTTGTATGTCGAATGCGAAAAGTAACAAGTATGGGGAGGATCCTTTTTTTTTTTTTTTTTTTTTTTTCTTTCTAGAGTGATATAAAGAATAAAAAAGAGGAGTTGGCCTTGCGCTCAAGCCAACAGGTTCTCTTGGAGTGGATCATTGTTCCTTTTCTTTTTTTTTACTATTGTCCCCACTAATGTAGCATATAAACGTTCTTGTAAAAAAAAAACCGTTGGAATGCTATTTTGGTTGAGATATCATATTATTATATCATTATTGTTTGTTAGTGCAAATTTCTAATACGAAACACGCTTCGACGCGATTTTTTTTCTTCTCCTAATGAAGGATATACAAAATTAAAGAATCGTGGTGTCTTATGAGGTAGACCTGGAATTATGGGGAAAGAGAGAGAGAAGGGAACTGGAGGGAAAGGCGGGGCAGCGAGAGTAGGATGAAGGAGAGAAGAAGGCTTTAGATGAGAAAAGGTTCAATGTTGCAGAATAAAAGAAATGAGGCGTTAATTGGAACAGGATCTTGACAACCCTTGCTTTGTATACGACAAGTATAATAATATACATGTGTGTATAATTTGATCCTTCTCACCTTTTTTTTTTTTTTTTTTTTTTTTTTTCCCGTAACAAGTTCTCCTTTTTTTTTTTTTTTTTTTTTCTGCTGCAGACCCATGGTCAGTCGGACAAAATGCATAATGGGTGGACTTTTTTTTCTTTTTGAAATGGGCAACATTTTCAGATACAATAGTCGATTGACTTGATTTGCATTGACAATAGAGCTGCAGGAAGGTAAAGTAGGAAAGAGAACACACACAACAAAGTTTCCATCCCATTCGTCCTCTGTCGCTTTGTACCTCCATCCTATCCCTTCTGGGCAACGATCCTTCACCCTTTTTTTTTTTTTTTTTCTCTTGACTCGAACATCTTTTTCGTCCTTATATGATTGTTCCCAGGTGGCTGGCAAGTTGTCATTCTACTCTTTGCTTATATGCTTGTCATCTTTTTCCCCCACATTTTTTTGATGTTGTTTATAGTATTTACATGTATATATGCATGAAGCTGGTTGGAACTTGAACCTTGGACAAACATTTTGTTTCGTTATCAATTTCTCCACTTGCATCTTTTTTTTTTTTTTTTTTTAAAGACTCTTTGTCCGAGCTGAATCTATCGTGTTACAGAGAATTGTACTCCATGGCTTGTACATGTACCTGACAGGTATGTTCGCTAGCCCTTGAAGTAGGGAATCAGAGATTGTTTTAACCTTGGTGTTTGTTCCCATTTTCCCGATTATTTTTGAAAAAGGGAACAATGCGTTTCTCCCTTCTGTTCTCTCCTTCTCTCCTTCTCTCCTTCTCATCTCTTACTCACCATCATTGGAGGACAATAGTTCCATCTCCTACACGCCTAGAAAAATCTCGACCGTTTTTTTTTTTTTTTTTTTTTTCCATGCTCTCTTTATTTTTGCATCTTTTGTACGAGTGAACTTGAAGTATGTGATCAGTCCTGTCGTACATACTTCACACGTCCCTTACCCACAATCACCCCTTTTAGGGACTTTTTTTTTTTTTTTTTTTTTTGAAGTCATTGCCTCTCATCCTCTCATCTTCGCCTTTCTTTCTTGCCTTTCTACTTTTTATTATTATTATTACTATCATCATTATCACCTTTTTTTTCATTCATTCTTCGTTTCTGTGCTTTTTATTACAACCAGATTCAACAACTCAGATTTCACAACAACCGTTTCTTCCTTTACTTCATCACTTCACAGTCCTTTTTAGTTGACAGTTGGTAAGTGTCTACGCTCAGTACACGCTTTTCTCTGTTTCTTTAGGCCTAATTGGCTCAGGGCCCATTCCCAGTCCAAAGCGACCCAGATTTTAATCCAAATCAATACGACATGACTTGACCTTTATTTCATTTGTACTACTATACTTCAACTTTCCCAGTCATCACTGTCTCGCACCCTGCCTTCTTTTTTTTTTTTTTTTTTTACTTTGTGTGTTCCAAAGCATTGCTTCCATATCTCCAATTCTCACACCCTTTTTGCTTTGTCGGATTCCCCTGATCTGCTTTTGGGTTGTGTGCTCATTTGATTCCACACTATTTAAACTACTTCACTCCATTCACTATAAATAACAACTTCAGCAAATAAACAAACGATCCACTCGCACTTTTTTTTATTTCTTTTTTCTTTTTTCTCCTATATTTCTTTCTTTTCTTACTTTCTTTCTTTCTTTCTTTCTCTCTGCAATCTTCCATTGTACTCATTCTATCTTGACTTTCTTTTTCTTTTCCTTTTTTTTTTATTCTTCTTCAATCGCATCGAATCCATATTTTCCATTGTTTCCAATCGTTGATTTTTTTCAATCCGACTGTTCCTAAAATTTGTTCTTCTACAATTCTGCGTATGGGGATTGTAGACCAACCTGAGCTGATCCTTTCAACAACTACAGCAGCCACAGCAGCTACAGCAACTACAGCAACAATAGCAATAATAGCAACAGCAACAGCAACAACAACAACGACAATCATCTGTATCCATTCTGCTATTTCTACAACCTCCAAACCTCATTGCAGGACTAGGACTATGCGTACCGCTACGCCGGGATTCGAGTCTGCACTTCACACCCACCACACACACCATCACCATTCCCACCTATCACACCTTTCACACCTTTCACACCAACCTGTGCTCATTACCACAACGACGGGATCTGCTCTTGACACATCGGTTCCTGAGCAAAGGCTCAAACACCGGTTGCACAAGATCATTAGGATCCCATCGAATGTGGCCCAAACACATTCTCGCATGACTCCCATCAAACTCAGCATTAGTCGTCTTGACCGACGGAAACCACTCACCGGCCTGAAACTCAATCCTTCTCTTTCAAGCACGCCCGATGCTCTAGTCCCTATTATGAAGTCTAATAGTTCGAGCGTGTTTGTAGCAGAGTCGGTCGCGCAACCGACCAGCACAGCCACCGTTCCTATTATGACTGCAACTACAGCAATAGGAATTATTGATCGAGGCGAAGTAGACGAAGGAATCGGAGGTACAATGGCGGAGATAAAAGAGGAAAACTCAATGTTGTCACTGAACCTTGGAAGCACCTTGGCAACACTCGCTACTACTTCGATTGTAGCAGCTGATGATCCAACTTTCTTGAGAGGAAAAAATGAGACACAACATCATCACCATGGATCTAGAAATAGCAGCAGCAGTAGTGGTACAAAACATGACATCGATGTTGAGGACAGCAGTGACGACAAGAAAAACAAGGGATATGACACTCAAATGGCTCCTCCTCGCGAAGGCTTTACTGTCTCGACCTCGCTTTTTGCTAGAGTCAAGGCTAGAGTTCTTCAGCAGAGTAGTCCAAAGCAATCTCGAAATCAGCGTTCTACTACCCAAAAACAATCGTCGCCAGAAGAGAGTCGTGGTAGTAACCAGGAGGAGAATTTGACCACGGTCTCTGTAAAGGGGTCCAAAATTGACTCTGCAGAGGTGGAGAGCAATGCGAGCCATAGTAACCCCAATACACTTTCTTCGGGGACCAACCATTTCAATGACTGTGTGCAACATGATCAAGATCGGGATAGTGACAGCACAGCAACGGATTTAGAAGACATTACAGCGATGGCGATAGCAGCAGCATCATCAGCCCGCTTCCGTCAGCGTAAATATTCCTTTGGACCTCATTATAATGCTGTTGTGATGAACCCAAATAATAATAGTCATGGTGATGATGATTACAACAGCGGGTTAGACCATCAGATGAACAAAAGCAGTATCATCGATGAGTGGGATACAAGCGCACTGACAAAAGCAGAGCATGCGATGGCAGAGTTGATAATTACTGAAGAAATTATGGAGGAGCGGGAGGAGGATGAGGTCATCCTAATCAACGATCTGGCTGACAAGGAACAAGATCCTGTTCAGCTCTTTGAACAGGTTTTGACCCGACACCATCTGACTGAAGAGGCGATAACAGCGTCATTACAGGAATTGAGACAGTTGATCCTCGCATTCGGTATTCCTGATCAGGTACAGTCAACTTTTTTTATTTCTTTTATATTTTTATATTTTTTATTGCCATTGATTGCATTGCATTGCATGATAATGAAATACGCAAAGAGTAAGAAGGAGCAATGCTTTATTTCACTTCTTTGATCATTACCATCCCTGTTTTGTCATCCTTTTTTGAGTATTATTACATTTCCTGTCGTTTGTAAAAAAGAGTTAATTATTCTATTTGCTCAGAGCAAAAAGAAAACAAAAACAAAAACAACCTTCCAGCAAAGCTTAGTTGGAAACAAATTACCTTTCCACTCCCCCCCTTTTCCCTGTCTCTAGTAGGATGCTATCAATCTGAGCGTTCTGTTGTCATCGATGTCACCGTTGTTGTCATCGTTCTTTTAGTGTCTTTTTTTTTTTTTTTTTTTTTTTCTAATTTTTATTTTATCTGTATTACACGATTCTTCTTTTTTTTTTTTTTCTGTCTGATGATGAATGGGTTAACTGTGCGGCATTGGTTCTTTTTTTTTTTTTTTTTTTTTTTTTTTTTTTCTCAACGGTTTTTTTTTAAAAGAGTAAAAAAGAGATTCCTCACCACATGCACATGTAAGAAGAGGAAAACAACGAGAGAAGCAATGCCAAAGTATCCTTTCATTCTGCCATCATTTTTTTCATTTACTTATTGGCAATTTACTGTGGACCACACAGACCACATAGGCCACACAGACCACATATTACGCATAGTTGCACAAAGGAAAACCCATTGGCTCTTCCTCCTTCCAATTCTTTTTCACATGGATTGTTATATCATCTTTCCTGTGGGTAGAATAGAGCAGAGTTTTCCGTGGCTCCATGAATTTTTCTTTTCTTTTCTTCAAATTCATTGCTTCTTGTCTATAAGCTTTTAAGGGAAAGGCAAAGAAGAAAAGAGAGAGAAAGAAAGAGAGACCAATCAAACAACAAACAACAAATAACAAAACAACAGCCATCCACCTAAACAAACAAACAAAAAGTAGGGCTGGAGAACATCGTTAAAGTTCTCTTTTTATTTATTCTTGTGTGTACAAGGAAAGATCAATGCTTCCTCCCGTTGTATTAGAATCAGGATACTTGAGAGAGAGAGAGAGAGAGATAACAAGAAAAAAGTCCTTCCTCACCCATGGCTATGACATCGCTTTCCTTGTTATATTCACTCTTTATTTCTGTGCTTCTTTTGTCTTTTCATCTTTTTTATCATATTATTTACTTCTACAAATGGTATCCATATTAACTTTTTTTTTCTTTTTCTTTTCCTTTTTCCTTCCCTTCTTTCTGATAAAAAAAAAAAAAAAAAAAAAAATGAGCTTAGCCAAAAGACCAGTCCAAGTCATCATTGATCCGCGGCAAGTGCTGGAAATTGCTTTTGGAGGTGCATCATGTCTCTGCACAAGAATACGTCTCATTAGTGAAGCAAGGCAAACCCGAGGAATACGACAAAATCCGAAATGATACCTTTCGCACCTTAGCCACGGACCGTAAGTTTACGGATGTGGTTGAGGAAGATAGCTTGATTCGCGTCCTTTGTGCCTTTGCTTGGAGCACACAAGGTAAGACGAAATATAGGGATTGACCAAAAGTAAAAAAAAAAAAAAAAAAAAAAAAAAAAAAGACGTATCTCGATGCTATCATTTGTTTAACAAGAGAATTTACCACTCTATATCTTTACTTTCCTCTTCAATTACTTAGCTACGACAGCCCTTGAATCGGACGTATCGTTTACTTATGTACAGGGAATGAATGTGCTGGCCGCTCCATTCCTGTACACGATGTCTGAGATGGAGGCATTCTACTCGTACTCCAACTTGATCAGATATTGTTGTCCACTCTATGTCCAGCCTGCACTCCAGGGCGTTCATTGCGGTACTAAGGTATGTGGTATTAAGAGCACGTTATTGCTTGTTTTCCAAGGCTGTAACGTCATTTAAACAAACTGAACATGTTATTTTTCACTCTCTTGATCATTTACAGTTGCTCGAAGAGTGCTTACGTAAGATCGATAATGAACTCTACGAATATCTAAAGTCAAAGAACTTGTCTGCTGAAGTGTATGCATTTCCATGTAAGTTTTTTTTTTTTTTTTTTTTTTTTTTTTTGGTTTTGTTTTTTAGTACATATTAGTGCTTATTATGCATTGAGTTTTTGTTTAGTTTCTTACGAGACAATGCATGGCACATGAGCGCACAAGGTCTTTCACTTACTAGTTTTTTATTTTCTTATTTTTCTATTTTGCAAATGGAATGATATTGTGACATAATATAGCTGTGTTGACTCTTTGTGCATGCACACCTCCATTGGAACAGGCACTACAGCTGTGGGATTTTTTGCTGGCCTGGGGCATCCACCTCAACATCATTTGCATCATTGCGCAGCTGTATTTGATCCGTGATGAGCTTTTAAGCCACGCCAGGTACCTTTTTGTTTTTTATTTTTTAAATTTATCCATTGTTGCATGGGGCAACGATCGAAGATAAAAAAAAAGAAAAAAAAAGAAAAACTCATACTTGTAGTGTGGCATACTGACATTTCACTCATTCTACTTTACTTTCTTTTTTTCTTTTTTTTTTTTTTTTAAAAAGTCCGATGAAGCTTTTACGTATTTTTCCAGACCTGGATGCGGACAAGATTATTCGGGAGACGATCAGGATGATCAAACTCTTGCCGGACGAGCTGTACGATCTCCTGGTGCGTCACCCCTATGATCCAACGGTTGCGGAGCAAATTAACTGGTGAAAAACCGTCTTATTTGCTTTGTTGTTTCTTTGTTTGTTGTTGTACTTGTTTACCATAATCTCTCTCTCTCTTTTTATATATATATATATCATATTTGATCATTTTGCGCATCTATCCATTTCCTTTTAGTTGTAGTCCTGTTTTGTTTCTTGTATTATCATATAGATCCATATTCCATGCATTTTCGTTAGTTATATATATATATATATATATTATTTTTAAGGCGCTGTATTATTACAAAATATCTAATATACCAAGTCATTTCACCAGTTGTTTCAAAAGAAAAGAAAAGAAAGCCATAAAGAGTTATATATTTTATTTCTTATTCCTATTATGTTTCTTTTTTTTTTTTTTTTTTTTTTTGTTTCTGTTTATTAAGGAAAAAAAAAAAAAAAAAAAAAAAAAAGATCTGTACAAGGGATGTAATGAATGGTTGCCCAGCCAGAGTTGTCTATGGGAAAATATATGCAGTGCATAGACGTAGAGTTTAGAGTTTAAAGTTCTTTGATATCTCTTATTACCATTAGTTCTCTTTGGACTGCTGATCAACTATTTGTTGACTCTTCTTTATACTCTCTTCCTCCTGCTCAAGGATCTCCTTTGGGATCCATTCCAACATGCCCTCTGCAGCATTTTCTAGAGCCAATTCCATCTCTGTCTTGGGTTGGTGACCTTTGGTTGAATGAAGGGTAGTGTCGTTATTGTTTGTCAAAGGCGATGAGGTCTCACCATCCTTAACCAATTGATAGTCCCTTGTGAACTTCCTGACGGTCTCACCATGTTCCTTAACAAGATCCTCGACTGTGACGCCCCGGGTCTTGAACCAACCGAGATGATCGGCAATCAAATGTCTGTTTTTACAATGATCACATTGCATAATAACGACACCGTGATTATAAGCATGTTTGGACATGGTCTTGTGAGAACGGTGGTTGCAAACTGTGCAAGTGAAACCAATCAGTAGCCGGGCCTTTGGATCTGTGTTGGGAGGGATTGGATTCTGATGTTGATGTTGGAATCCATCGTCCCCCATTACTTTAGCTTTAACTTTGGTACTTGTGGCTTCTTCTTCTTCTTCTTTTTCCAAGGTCTCTTTTGTAGGGTGAAGATCGTTATTGACATTGTTATAATTGTTTCGTTGGTGTTGATCCAGTGTACGGATGGAGACATGATATAGACGGAGACTAAGGGTAGGATAGGATCCAGATATTGACAATGGCAATGGTAATGGTGGTAGTAATGATGATAATCTGTTCGGTCTTGAGGATGGCAGACAATTACGGGCAAGAGATAATAGAGAGGATCGAGAAGAGGATCTGATCAGATGTCCATGGTTTGTACAGTGTGCAGCTGCAGTTGTAGAGCGAGTTGAGAAGGATCGGAAAGAGCCTTTCGATACTACTCCAGCTGTTGTTTGCATAGAATGGAGGAGGGTTGGTATTCCGTGCATGGTTCTGTTCATGACTCTGTTGGGTTGTATAGAACGACTGCGGAGGTTAGTGAGTAAAATGTAAAGGGTAAAGGGTAAAGGGTAAAGGGTAAAGGGAAAAGGGAAAAGGGAAAAAGGATGAGCCTCTCCGGAAGAAGAGAAAAAGAAACAATGAAGGAATCAAGTAAAAATTAAAGTCACGCGGGCAGCTTCTTCCGTACCAGATCTACAAAAGAGATTTCTCCTCACATTCACACACAATCAAACAATCAACCCGCATTTCTTTCTTTACTTTGCTGTTTTCTAGCATACTCCTGTATATATATTTTTTTGTATTTTTTTTTTTTTTGTTTCTTCTTCATTGTTCATCCTTTTTGATCCAATCATGGTCAAGTTCTATCAGCATACTTCCTCATTTGAACATGCATGGGACAATGTCACCTATGCCTTCTGGCTTCGCTATCCAAACCCTTTTGCTTCTCATGTCGTTGGTTGTGATGTCATCGACCGTCAAGTAGATCCCGAAACTGGTGTCTTGCGTACCACTCGATTGATTCTCAAGCAAGGTGTACTTCCTCGATGGGGACGACATGTAAGGACACTCTCTCGTCTGTTTTTAGTTGTTTTTTCTTTTTCTTTTTTTTTTTTTTTTTTTTTCTATTCCGACCAAAACAATATATGCAATCAACTAACCGAAAAAAAAAAAAAAAAAAAAAAAAACGGACTTCTTTTTTATATTATATATATTATTATGTACCTTTGTCCTATAATAGTTGATCAAGAACTCTGATGCATACATCATTGAAGAATCTGAGGTCGACCCGCGCACACAGACCATGGTCACTCGCACCAAGAACCTTAACCATGTGAGGGTGATGCAGGTTGAGGAAACCCAGATCTTCACAGTCCACCCTGAGAATCCAAAATGGTAAGTTTCGTTTCTAAATGATAACTTGAGATAAAATGCAATTGGGCCAAAAAAAAAGATATTGGTTAGAAAATTACAACTAGATGACATCTAAGCTCTGTCTGGTCTGGTCTGGTCTGGTCTGGTTTGGTTTGGTCATGTATGGTCTTGTATGGCCTTGTATGGTCCGATATGGACATTAATGTCTTGCATTTTTGTGTGTGGTCGTGTGCATCTTATTTCTGGGAGAAGATAAGGAAAAAAAAAAAAAAGTCAAAAAGGAAATATGAGCCATGGACGAGGAAATACAATTTGTCCTTTTTTGCCTTTTGCGACTATTAGAATCCTACTAGAGTCATTCACATGTCTTGAGATTGTTGGTATTGATATTAATCTCGCTATTAACTTTTTACTAATGACTTTTTTTTTTTTTTTTTTTTTTGCTAAATCTGTCGGCACAACAGGACTCAAGTCAAGACAGAGGCAAGGATCATCAGTGAACTGCGCTGGGGTTTAACAGGACGAGTCGAGTCGTTTGGCATCAACAAGTTCATGGACAACTCTGTACGGGCAAGGAAAGGAATGGCCCATATCCTGGAACGCCTTCGACAAAACGCTGCTCTTGCAGGTACACCCGTTGTAGGAGCTGCCACTACTCCTGCTGATTGCTAAACAAAAAAGAGAATGAAAAACAAAATCAAAATCAAAATCAAAATCAAAAAAAAAAAAAAAACTTTTGTTTCCCTCATTTGAATTTGATATCGCAACAGTATTCAAGCAAGAGAGATATGTCAATGTTTTTTCACCATCGCCCTCTTCATCTCTTCAGATTCACATTGTATAATATACTGTCGTCCTCTCTGTCTGTCTCTTCATCCTTTTAACCATTTATTTTTGCTGTCGCTGCCCCATTCGAAACCAAGGACATATTCAAGGGCAAACAATACCTGCAAAACCCATGACAAAGATTGTCATTCATGGAAAGGAAAAAAAGACAGAATTCTAGATACTTTTTCTTTTTCTTCTTTTTTTTTTTTTTTTTTCTTTTTTTTTTTTTCTATCTTGTTTGAAATAAACATTTGTATCATATCCAAAATGATTATGAAAAAAAAAAAAAAAAAAAAAAAAGTTTTTAAGCAATGGTACCCTTGGCCTTCTCTGCAAGGTAATCTTCATGAAGCTTCTTTTGGGCCTCCCATTCTTTGGTCAACTTCTTTCTCCTGCTCTTGGGCAACTCTTGCCCTTCTTTGTCCGTCAGGGGAATACCAGTCTCTGCCTCGAACGAGCCATACTCTTCAGCACCAGGTCCCTGCTTGAACATCTCCATGGGCGGGACTTTTCCCTTCTCCAACTTGGCTAAACGCGCCTGCTCCTTGGCTCTAGCAAGCTCCTCCTTCTTGGCTGCCTTCTCTGCCGCTTGCTGGAGCTTGAGCTGACGCTGAGCAGCTAATTCCTCAGCTGGAATAAATTTGACCAAAGCTGTCCCATCCTCACGATCATCCAACGAGACACCCAGACGCTCCAAGTCCTCATCGCGTAGCTTGTCAGATAAAGCGAGCATGTCCTTCACAGGACGCCCCTCACGAGCATAAGCACGGATGGTGTCCCGGAAGGTGGAGAGCGCCTGCAAGTATGGCAAGGCAATATCCTCAACTGAGACACCAGCACCACCTTCTGCACTGGCCAAACCAATAGGCTCTGCCACTACGCCGTCCAAACCGAATGTCCTGAGCATCTTGCTGATATACTGAGCAACCTTATTGACCACCTCCACATTCAAATTCCTGCCAGCATCACGGATATAAACATTCGTACGTGAGACCAAAGCCAAGAGTTCCGACATTGCATTTGGTGTATTGATTGAATCGCAAAGCGCCGCATGAACAGCATTTTGTCGCTCCTTGAGAGCTGCAATCATGTCCAGTTCCAGACGACGGAAGTTGTGTGTTCCAGTCGAGTCCAGAGCTGTGTGCTTGGCCTCTGCAATCATAGCCTTGGCATTTACAAAGAAGTTCTATTTTTTTTTTTTTTTTTTTTTTTTTTTACATATATAAAATAATGATTTTAGCTTTGTATTGATTTAATAGGTAGCCTTCGTAAAAAGAGCGCAAGAAAGGATGATGGAGATGGCTTACATTAAAAGTTGACTCAACACCGATGGCCTCTCCCATACTGGTCTCTCTGAAATCAACGCCAGTATCCCACTGATGAAGCAAAAAGAAATATCGAAGCTGGCGAGCAGTGTACTTTTCCAATGCTTGCTATTAAAACCAAAAATAAAATAAAAATAAAGGAGCATATATTTATATTCAAACCATATTGTCAGGTATTAGCATCCAAAGAGTAATCCGGCTATATATTATATAAAGATGAAAACTATTCGGATATACAACAACAACAACAACAACAACAACAACAGCAACAACAAGATCGATAATCCTTACCTGAACAGAGATAAAGTTCTTCAAAGACTTTGACATTTTCTGGCCCTCAACGTGCAAATGACCGCAGTGTGTAAAGTAATTGACCCATTGATCACATTGATGGTAAGCCTCCGACTGAGCCAGCTCATTGTCGTGGTGAGGGAAAGCCAAGTCAATGCCTCCAGAATGAATATCCATATTACTACCCAAAACCTCAGAGGCCATAACAGAGCACTCAATGTGCCATCCAGGACGACCGGGTCCCCATGGCGAGTCCCAAGCAGGCTCACCTGGCTTGGATGCCTTCCAGAGAGCAAAATCCATACTCGACTTCTTTCCAGCCAGCTTAATACCGAGTGAGCCTTCCGATTCCTCCATTAAAGAAGCATCGCCCTTGGACCAAGGAGCCAACTTTGCATAGTGATGGCCATCCTTACCATCGAACGCCGCAGTGTCAAAATAGACAGATCCCTCAGCCTCATATGCGTATCCGTTACTGATGATTTTTTCTACAAACGCAACAATCTCAGGAACATATTCACTCACGCGCGTCAACACATCGGGGCGGCGAACTCCTAAGCGATCCATGTCCTTGAAGAACTCGCCCTCCCAGTAAGCGGCCAAGTCTCTAAAGACCTTTGGGTCACTGACCGTGTGCGAAAGCTCCTTGTCCAGCAAGTTGGAGAGTGTTGTTTTGTTGGCATCGCAGAAGGCAGCAGCATCTGTAGTGGCAGGTGACTTCTTGGATTGTTCAATAGCATCAAAAGCCTCCTGAAGTGCTGAGAAATGCATAGCGAATTTGGGATGAGCAGTACTGAGGGATGCCTTGAGGGCTGCATCAGTCTTAATTTTGTCCGAGAAGACAGCCCACTGATCTGCAGCAGAGGCATCAATGGCCTTGAGTTCTGATTCCGCATACAACTTCCAGGCCGCTTCGGCCTTGGCAATGGCCTCAGGTGTGACACTAGTGGTGGCAGCCTTGAAATTGTTGAAAAGGTAGTTCTGACGAGCACGCTTAATGATCTATGTTATAATTAAAAAAAATGCATTTAATACATAAATGTAGACAGGGACTAGAGATGATCTTTAGAAAAACAATTCAACCTTGGATACCCTAGTTTTCTATTTTTTCTTTTACCTTATCATCAATGTCCGTGATATTCTCGACAAATAACACGTTGTAGCCAAAATAATCCTCGATAACACGATGCAGAATGTCTAAAGAGACGTAATTTCTATCAGGTTCAGAGAAATAAAAAAGAAAAAAAAAAGTTACGAATGCCTTCCTCAGAAATTTTGCATGGTCTACGGCTAATGTTTGGTTTTATAAAATCTTTTTTTTTTTTTTTTTTTTTTAACATCGGCTTACCTAGCATGCCCAATGTGGGTTGAGTCATAGACGGTAGGACCGCAGGCATACCAGGTAACTTGGTTACCATCGAGAGGAATGAATTCAGTCTAAACACGACAAGATTTATAACTATTAGCGTTAAAATCAAAATTGTAATTGATCCAGGAGTGCTTCATATCCTCATTAGTGCTTTACCTTGGTACGAGTCATAGAGTTATATAGCTTCAACTTGGGTTGAGGCTTGGCGACGGGTACGCGCCATGGAGGCTGTTTACGCGAGGCAGCGGCGGTCGTGGCAGGGGCAGACATGGAAGCGGTTGTATGGTTGTGATAGTTTGTCACAGAGAGAGAGAACCTTTTGATAAAAGAGTTATACCGAGTAGTGAAAAGAATAGCAGGCAGAGCAGACGAAGGTCTAGTAGATGCTAAAGAGGATGAGAAGAAAGTTGAAGCTGAGGACGAGCGAAGCAGTGGAAGACGTTGTCGAGCGAGAGAAAAAGAGGAAATAAGCATTCGGGGGAATGTGCAATTGAGATGGCGTACTTTTATACAGAAAGGGAGGAATCAACAACCACCCGAGTAAAGAAAGTCTTTACAAGTCTATCAAGGATATGTTTTATGTTTATTAAATCATTCGAGGGACTGTCAAATAGTCATTTCTGATACAGCTCACCCCGCAGTTTTTGACTCAAAAAAGATTCGTGTGCACACACAAATAATATTTTTGGGATGAGACAATGGCTCAGCCACATTCTCGCGTTTGGTGGCAATCTGTTATATATTTTTGTTCTATTGGCACGTGCACGTGCATAGTTGCTCTGAACTATGGAAAAACACCGCAAAAAAAGCGACTAGGACAGATAGGAAGTGTCTAGCGCATAAGCCCTGTACACCATGTATTCTCATGTCCGTCCAAAAGCATGCGTGCATTACATATTCATTATATCTTAAATGAATGGCCACAAAGGACAATAGACGAACACAACAATTATTTTGCTATGAAGGAAAGAGAAAGGTGAAATGGATTCTCATTCCCTTCGATACTGTGTCCTTTGGTCTAGAAAAAAAGAATTTCTAGCGCTGCATGCGTATACGCTAGAAAAGTTGGTTGTTAAGAGAACACTAAAAAGGAGTAGAGTGGTTATCTTCCACTATATAAAGGATGGCCATCAAGTATACGACCCTTTCTTCTCACATATACAACAGACACATCTATACATAGAAGCACATACACATACACCCCCTCAGTCTCCTCTTTTCCTTACATCCTTTTTCATACCTTTCTTTTCAATTTTTTTCTTCACCAGCATGAAGTCAAACATTCTCCTCAGTTTGAGCGCCGCCCTCGGGCTCTTGATTGGATCAAGCAATGGTGCTCCTATCTTCAACGGAAATACCCACCTTGTAAGACGTCAGGATACAGTATCGTGTCCAGGCATGGTCAAAGGCCCCACTGGCCACAGCTACTTTGGTAATTTAAAAAAAAAAAAAAAAAAAAAAAAAAGTAATATTGGGTTCCTAGTCCAATTAAAATAATCCAATTTCCTCAACCTGACCAAATATCATGTAAATCATTATAGCTTTCAGCACAGGGCTCAGTAACAAAGTAGCCCAGCAAGCTTGTGCATCTTGCTACAATGGTGTCCTAGCAGATATTGCATCTGATGATATCCCCTTCCTAGGATCTAATCTTGAACAAGACTCCTGGATCAAGTCATGGAACCAAGACAGTTACGCTGACAGCTGTCTTACTCTCAGGTCTGCCTCTGACGGTGGCTGTAAGATTTTTTTTTTTTTTTTCTTTTTCTTTTTTTTCCGAATCTTACGGTTATTCAAAGGCAACTAATGCTTACAATTATCATTTTATATCTTTCAAACAATGCATAAAAAACTAAAATAAACAGCTCCATCTGTTAACGTCGATTCCGCTTGCACATCCGAGCTCTGGCCCCTCTGTGTTGCCACTATTGCCCCTACTAATGAAGCCCAAGATTCTGTGGAACTCGGAGCTCAAAGTGGTGAGGGCGCTACAATTGCGTCTCTCGCGATCCCATATACTGCAGATGCTAATGCTGACACACAGACTGCTGAAGCCGGAACTGAAGCCGGAACTGAAGCAGGAACTGAAGCAGGAACTGAAGCCGGAACTGAAGCCGAAACTGAAGCAGGAACCAAAGCAGGAAATGAAGCCGGGACTGAAGCTGGAACTGAAGCTGTGATTGATACTAACGCAAACCAGGAGCAAGGCCAGCAGCAACAAGGACAACAGCAACAAGGACAACAGCAACACGAAGAGCAGCAACAAGGACAGCAGCAGAGCCCAGTACCTGCTGGAAATGCCGCCGGATCGAAGGAGGCTCAAGTTAACACCTCAAGGAAGGTGATAACTTCCCCTCAGTATGAAGCCACTACGTCAATTGCGGATATGACTTTCTTCCCTGGCAGTACCACCCCTAGTAATCCGGAGGTGACCAGCCCCCGAGTCCCTACAGGTGAGGAAAGTGATCTTGAAATCCTCCAGGTCGTTGAAGAAAATAAGGTATCTGAGTTGCCTGAGCCCATTCCCTATTCGATTGAGGAAAAGAGCGCTGAGGACAACACTGAGGGTCTTCAGAATGCCAATACCGAGAAGAGCACGGCTCCCTCGCCAAAAGAGGAGAGCAATGCCGACGCTGAAGCTGGCCAAGCAAAAGTTGATGGAGGTGCGCAGCAGGCTAGCAAGAAGGAACGATCTCGCGATGCCTCTAAGACTGAAGAGGACGCGACTAGGAAGCAAAAGGACCAACGCACTGCCCCTGCTGCGGCTATATAAGCAAGTAATAGCTGCGCATAGATTATACGAGTTAGGGTGAGGGAGAGGTGATATGCAGGCGTAGCCCTCTTTTTGCCTCTTTGAGGCATGGAGTAAGAATATGAAAATATGTGTAAAAGGCAAATGAAATTTTTAGATACCTGCTCTTGGTTCACCTCGGACAATGAATAATAAAATGAAGTCCTATGCTATCCTTGGTTACGCTTGTCTGTGTAATAGCAACATATCCTACGCATCCCTATCTGAATAAATGTCAACACGTACTCTGTTTAGTTTTAGTATTATCTGAGTAAGGGGTTGATATCAGCCCCGAAGGCTTGTTGGGTCGACAGGATCGAAGGGTCCGCGGTAAATCGAAACGTTGTTTCAATATTTTCTTCACCCTTCACAGTTGGTAGCCTTCATTGTGAACAAAACGCATATTGGTTGTTTAATCATGACCTCCGCATCTGGTGACTATGCTTACTGGCTGCATCCTTAGAGGCTGTGCCCTTCTCATCCTCGACGATGTAGAATGTACTCGGATATATAGCCTTAAGTAACTCAGCGCCCATGATGTCGGTGCTATTGTCACCATCTTTGCCTTGATCAAGCTGGCTACAATGGCCTGGACATAACCCTGATAATTGCTAACTGGTTCTTCTCGATCGCATCCAGTGTTCTCTGGGTTCAATCCAAGGTCAGTTTCTCCTACCGCTCTACCTCAATTTCTTAGATATGGTTCCGGTCTGGTTCTACAGATAATCACCTCGGTCGCTGATGCTGATGACGAAGATCAAGAAAGCCAATAGAGTTGTTTCTATAATGATATCTGTCATGAAAAGCTGACTGACACTCTTCAATCTTTTTTTTTTTTAGTATATGTTGCTCGATAGTAAAGATAGTAGTATTTGGCCTCGCCTTGGCCAGTATTCTGACTAACAATAATAACCTTATTAATTATGGAAAAGCAGCGAAGCCTTTGAGACAAGGGGAGGATTAATCCACAATATAGTCAATATAATATTGCTTCTTGTACATGTCTACACTCAGAGCTGTAATACTATAACGTAAAAAACATGGATCACAACATAGTGGCCTCCAAATCAATATCGGCTTTTATTAATATCATGACTATCGTCTGTAGAACTGGCGCTTAAAGTTAAAGTGGAGTTGCAGCACCCCACGGTCAAAAACGGATTTGTAGCCTCTCTTGTGCGAATGCTCCCATTCACGATTGACGATTCTGAAAGCAATGTCTTCGTATGGAGGCCCAGCTTTAAACTTTATAAGCACTGTATCATTGGTATCGGGTTCCTTGATGATCTCATACGTAGGCGCCTGGGACTTATCAATAAGATCAGGATAAAACAAATTGAACTTGTAACCTTGTACAACTTTAGGCGGTGGATTGTCGTGGTCGTAGTGCGTTTGATTATACTTGTTCCATTCATATCCTGTATGAACACGATTGAAGAATCGAGGTTTGCGGGGTCGATATTTATCTTGCCACATATATGTCTATTATTGACAAAGACGATCGATTATTAACTCTTCCTGTCAGAATAATAATAATAATAATAGTAAAAAAGCCAGCATTTTTGAAGTTTAATGGTGCTATGGAGCATGGGCCTTACCTGTTGTCGTTGTAATGCGGCTTCGACATTGAATACTTCCTCGTTGACAGCCATCTGTTTTGCTGCTTCCTTGTCAAACAAGATCTTAGAGACAAACTCATCGTCTGGATGTTGCTCGTCCATATCTTGATCAGGATTCTTCTTCTTAGGATTGAACTGCTTATTGAGCACTTGACGACGTTTTTCGAGCTAAAGGATTAATTCAAAAGAACATTCGTCAGTCCGACATTCACTCCAACACGCTGATCGATTTTCGGGCTATCCTAGACAAAACAGCTTACGATCTCTGCCCAGTCCTCCCACTGATCCACAACAGCCAAGCTCTGATCTTCACGACTAAGCGTGTCGACAGGTTCGGGGCTCATAGCTCGATCATAAGGAAGTGCAGGTGTATTGAGTCCGTCCATGTCCTGGTCATTGTCGTCTGGAGCAAGCTCTGCCTCGTCATCAAGAAGCTCCCTTAAGCCACTCACGTCTCCTTCAACATCCTGGGTCTGCATCGCCAAAACAGCAGCAAGTTCTGCTTTCTCTTTTTCAGCCTCACGCAGCTGACGAGCTTTAAGCTGCTCCAGACGTTTCTGTAGGATTTTCTGGTGGATGACATTCAGCTTAGCTTTGGCCTTCCAAACAATTAGAGTTTTCAATAAAGCCTCCCAGTAGTCAACATCAATTGCGCCTCCGGCTCCTAATTTGCGCTGGATCTGTCCTTGCAGAAGGGTAAGCTCTTCATATGACTTGCCAGCCAGCTTGGATGCAATGTCCTGAGCTATATGAGGTGCAACGACACTCTGTACTGCGCGTGCTGGATCCAATTCCGTAAGTTTATCTTCACAAACAATTAGCATTGATCTCCAGAAATCCATACTCTGCTCATCCTTGTCTAAGCTAAGATAGAATTTGATGTCGTGAAACAGCTCTTCCACTTCCTGGAGACTCAAGTTGTCGAAAATAGTGTAAGGTTCCTCGACATCGATCTCAAGGCCAATATCGTCTTCCTCATCCTCATCTTTCTCACCTCTATCCTCAGCAATCAGTTTAATGTTAACAGCAAGGATATCGATGGGTTTGGCTCGGTTACTCTTGATTCTTATCTCCGCGCGTCGTTTCGCCTGTTTCAAATGGAACTCTTCTTCTTGGGCCTGCCAATCACCTAACTGAGCCTGCTCTGAAGCGCGCTGGATCCTGACCAGTTCTTCTTCTCTTTCTTCTCTTTCGCGCTCACGTTCTGCACGCTTTTGCTTCAATTTTTCCAATTCTATCCTAGCTTCCTCTCTCCTGATAGCATCCCGTCTTGCTGCTTCTGCAGAAGATATGCCCTTCTTTTTTTCAACTTCACGTTTCTTGGCCCAAGTAAATTTTTTGGCAAGGTTAGCATCATTGAAGGGGTTATCCGCATTCGAGTAGTTATTCATGGCGAGGTCGAGGGCTTTTTTACGTTCTTCTTTTTCCTTTTTCCGCTCTGCTTTTCGAATCGCCCGTTCCTCGGAAGTTTCGCGTGGTTTTTTGCTTGAGCGTCCGTCATCATCATTATCGCGTCTTGATTTCTTACGACTAGACCGGCCTTTGTCTTGGTCGCTCTCGCTGTCTGAATCTCTGTGGCGTCTAGAACTACTGTCCCTTTCTCTGTCTCTGTGCTTGCTTCTGTCTCTATCTCTGCTGCCACTTCTATCCCTGTCGCTTCTGTCTCGGGAGCGACCGTCGCGACGCCTTGACTCTCTATTTTCCCTGTTCCTGTCCTTATCCTTGTCCCTGCTTCTGTCCCTGCTTCTTTCCCTGTCTCTGCTTCTGCTTCTATCTCTGTCTCTGTCTCTGTCTCTGTCTCTGTCTCTGTCTCTATTTTTATCTTTTTCTACACTTCTTTCTCGAATCCTATCCCTTTCTCTTTCTCTGTCTCTTTCTCTGTCTCTTTCTCTGTCTCTTTCTCTGTCTCTTTCTCTGTCTCTGTCCCTGCCTCTGTTGGTATCCTTTCGTACATCTCTTCGTTCATCATCGTTATAGCGATCGAATGATGAATGCCGACGAGAGGGCGACCTGGACCGAGATCTGTTACTTCTATGGCGATCAATTCTGTCTCTACTAGGACTTCTACTAGTACTTGGCATATTTGGGGTGATATAGTGCTAAGGATTGTGCTGAAAGTGACGTGCTGAATGTAAGAATAAAGAAGCACCCAACACATAATCATTAAGGCTTGGGCGCTGTAATGAACAATGGATCTGATTGGCCAATATTCCGGGACTGCGGAATATTGAATCAAAACAATGCACAACCAAATATGGAAGGCTCTTTTTTTTTTTTTTTTTTTTAATGCATGGCTCTACATTGAAGCCGACTTGTTCTGTCCTTTGCATTCGCTATACATTCTTTCACAATGTCGGAACAGCACCACCAGCATCGTTCCAACACAAAGCTCAAGCAGCAGAACAAGCCCTTCAAGTCAAAACATCAAACCAAGGGTAGTTTGAGGGACAAAGCCAAAGGTAAGACGATACACAAATTTTGTTTTATAGTCGCTTCTTTTCTTATGGCAGCTGTTTGATCCAACTTTCAATAACGACCTTTAGGCAAAGTCGAGCGTGTGTCAATTAAAAACCACTCTGCGAAGTTATTCCCTAATAAGACTGATCGTCGCAATGCTGCCAAATTGCTACAGCAAAAGAAGCGTGAGGAGCTGTTTCGAAAAACTAAGATTTTTGATGGAAAAAATGGGACACCCAAAGTCGTTGCCGTCGTTGCTCTTTGCCCTGATGTCAGCGCCGATGATGCTGTTGCAAAGGTGTTTGCCAGTGTAGACCAAGTCCCTGCTAACAAAGGAACAGTTCTCATGACGTGAGTATTAAGAGGGATTGAGTCGACAAATTGATATCTGTCGTCAATAAGGATAATTAGACCAAATATGTGGATCTAACTTCTTCTTCCGTAATATCCTAGGACGGACCGTTTCAAGCAGAAACTTCAATTTGTTCCACTTCAGCGCAACTACATTGATATCATGGACGCTGCTAAAGTAGCTGATTTTTTGCTCTTTGTGATGTCTGCAGTGGAGGAGGTAGACAAATTTGGTGAAATGGTTCTCTCAGGTATTCAATCTCAAGGAGTCCCCTCTGTTGTCGCTGCCGTCAGCAATCTCGAGAGTACGCCAGCCAAGAAGCACTCCGATATCAAAAAGTCGCTCTTGTCTTTCACTAACCACTTCTTTCCCGAGGAGACTAAAGTCCATGCTTTAGATAATACTTCAGAAACTGTAAATGTGCTTCGTATGATGGCCAACCAATTGCCAAAGTCGATCACTTGGCGTGACACTCATCCCTATATGTTGGCAGAGAACGTTGAATTTGAAGAGAATCTTGCTGATTCGTCAGTTGGTACTCTGAAGGTTACAGGGTATGCCAGAGGGACCCATTTCCAGGCCAATCGACTGGTTCATTTGCAGAACTTTGGTGACTTCCAATTGGAAAAAATTACATCCGCCCCTATCACACACAAGTCTGTTCATGTGAACGGTAACGGTATGGATACCGAAGGCACTGAGACCGTTTTGGATACTCCTGTCCCTGGAGAGCAGGATGACCTGGCTGCAGAGAACGAGCCTGATCTGCTGGCGAATGAGCAGACTTGGCCTACTGAGGAAGAGCTTATGGAAGCTGAAGGTATGTCTAATTTTACAAGCGCTTTTTAGAACTACTATATTTAATCCAAGCTCTACTTATTTTTTAACCATACCATATCTTCCTAATTTTGCTCTTAGAACGTGTCAAGAATATGGATCCTTCTGAAAGGCCTGAGGAATCATTCAACAATGCACCAAAGAAGGTCATTCGACGTGTCCCCAAAGGAACATCGAACTATCAGGCTGCCTGGATTGTAGATTCTGATCATGAGAGCGATGAAGACATTGATGATGAAGATGATGACATGGATGATCGTATGGATGACGATGATTTGCCTAGTGCACGTAATGGAGCCGAGTCAGAGGAAGAATACGAGGACCTTGAAGTTGATACTGAGGACGCTACAAAAGAAGAAGAGACATATGAAGATGAACTCGACAACGAAGAGGAGGCTCGTCAGTATGCTGAATATCTGGCAAGAGAGAAGGAGAATAGAGATGATATGGAGTTTCCAGATGAAGTTGAGGCGCCTATGGATGTTCCTGCTCGTGTCCGATTTGCGCGTTACCGCGCCCTCGAATCATTCAGAACTTCGCCTTGGGATCCATATGAGAATCTTCCTCTGGACTATGGTCGTATATTCCAGTTTGAGAACTTCCGACGCACTAAGCACCGTGTCATGAATCAGGCAAAGGAGGATGGTGTCTTACCTGGTACTCACATTACCTTGTACATTGCTAATGTTCCTCGAGCTGTTATGGATACCTACTCTGCCACACGCCCTTTCATTATCTTTGGGCTGCTGCAGTATGAGCATAAGATGGGCGTCATTAACGTTGTGGTCACCCGCAATGCTGAATACGAAGGGGTCGTCAAGGCCAAGGATCCTCTTGTCCTTCACTGTGGCTTCAGACGATTTGTGGTCCGCCCCATCTTTTCACAAAACACTCGCAATGGCAAGGGAACGAACAATGTCCACAAGAGCGAGCGCTTCCTGCAACAGGGCCGTAGCACCGTTGTTACTGTCTATGCGCCCATTCAGTTTGGCAATCTACCTGTCGTCCTGACTAAGGACTCTGAAGATATCAACTCACCTATTCTTATCGCGACAGGCACTGTTATGGATGCAGATCCCAGGAGGATTGTTGCCAAGAGGATCATCTTGACCGGACACCCCTATAAAGTCCACAAGCGTTCCGCTACCATTCGATTCATGTTCTTTAATCCAGATGATGTTTGGTACTACAAGTCTGTGGAGCTCCGTACTAAACACGGCCGTACTGGCCACATCAAGGAGTCACTAGGAACACATGGATATTTTAAGGCCCAATGGTGAGTGGATTTGTGTTTACTATAGTAGCGCTGCGTATATGCTTCATCAGCATGGTTCTAACTTTTTTTTTTTTTTTTTTTTTTTTTTTAATAATCTAGGGACCAACAAATATCCATGCAGGATACTGTCATGATGTGCCTATGTAAGTTATGCATGCTTGCTTTTAACTTCACTCATCAGCCAGGACATAGTACCTCACTATACCAAAACTAACGCTTTGATCATATGTTTTGCTATAGACAAGAGAATATTCCCTAAGTGGGGTACAACTCTCTGGGTGAATCCCGATGCTGGCAAGATTGGCACGCAGGCGACGGTTACCACGACAGAAAGCATGGACATGGATTAAAAGCATTTAGAAGAGGAATCTCTTCCTTCATCGTCTAGAAAATATATATATATCATGAAATATTCTTTTGCATATAATACATTCTTTTTCTTAAAAAAATTTGTAATAATTTATTTTGCTGACGCCAATGACGAGTTGGGCTTGGGGCGATCAATGACGGAGAATCGTAGTTGCGACAGGGTTTTGCCACCAAAAGCTAGCTCACATGTAATGGTCTCTCCAGGATAGACCGGCCCAACACCCTTTGGGGTTCCTGTCAAGATTACGTCGCCTTCCTCGAGTCGCATGATCGAAGAGACATTTTCAATCAATGTCGGGACACTTTTTATTGTAGAGCAGAGTTTTCAAGAAAGTTAAATATTAAAAAGGGCGTCTGTTTAGGGTCGATCAGCCGATATGCTTATGCAGGGTATAAAAAAAAAAAAAAAAAAAAAAAAAAAAGAAGAGAGAAAGAATAATGGACTCACCTAAAAATCATATCGCGAGTGTTACCTTGCTGCTTAGTGACTCCATCGATCTGAAGGAGTAGGTCCACATTGTCGTGATCAGAAATATACTCTTTAGGAATGAAATCCCCAATAGGAGTAAAAGTATCATACCCCTTGGCAGCGCTCCAAGGTCTACCCGCCTTCTTGGCTTGCTCTTGTAGATCACGAGCTGTCATGTCAAGAGCAAGCGCATATCCTGAAATATAATCATCGGCTTCATTGGCTTGAATATCACGTCCATTTTTACCGATGATAACTGCTAACTCGAGTTCATGATGGACTTCACAACCAGTGGGGATTTCGATACTCTGACCGTTAGTGATGTAGGACGAAGGTGGTTTGAGAAAGAAAAAGGGTGAAGTAGGAACAGCGTTTCCTAGCTCTTTAGCATGCTCGGAATAGTTGCGACCGATAGCAATAATCTTGCGTCCAGTCTTAACGAAGTTTGCAGACGCCATGACTGAGGTGATGGAGGGCGGAATGAATGAATGAAAAAAAATAAAAATAAAATAAAATAAAATAAAATAAAATAAAGCTTGCCAGAAAAGGCTCTTTGTGGTACCTTTTTTTATTAGTGAGTGGCATTAATACGGCTTTCCCACGGTTATCCCGATCATTGTTGCCTCAAGCGCTTATTGTACCAATGGGTGGAACCCTCGCTGCTGTAATCCTAGGCTTAAACTTCTCAGGTCGCATTTGAGATGACATTTGCGCGAGACACAGCCCATCAATATTTCCAGCGCCAATCGCAGCACGATCAAATACACCCACATCTACGGTAGTATTTTAATCGTGGTAGGACTAGGTTCTAGGGGATTGGTGTGATTGGTATGGTAACAACGTGCACTGATGGAACACCTATGAATGCCACCTAGCAACTCGCCATACTATTGCTTTAGAGATAGAGACTCGAGCATGCAATTAATCGATTTTTTAAAATCTCGAATGACAACCATCTTTAGATCTGTATGGAAGTTCGGTAACATACCTCTAGCGAAAAAAGAGCCGGAACGGTGTTTTGTTTTTCTTTTAGGTAGGGGAAGAATGAATGAGATGACAAATGTTGCTAGTTGCATTAAAAGAGTGAAGGCAAGTAAATGGTGGACATAGTGCATCGTGATGATATGGCTTGATATATGGCTATTGACTTTTTTTTTTTGCTGTTTAATTTTTACTGATATTTTTTTTTCTTCCTTGGCATGCAATAGATAATAGTTTTTTGCTAGTAGAAAGCACAGAGAGCCGGATCTGTCCTCCCCATGAGTTGATGGAAGCTAAATGGGCAAAATTGCCCGGTTTACAGCCCAAGGGACAGGGCCTAAAGGAGTACCAAGGTCTTGGCCTTGACGCCACTGGCTCGTGTTTTTTTTTTTTTTTTTTGTTTTTTTGTTGAGCGCATAGACGGATCGAGCTAATGGACAATTTAGAATATAACCCATCGATTATATCATATATGAACGCTTCCCTAAAAAAGAATACGAAGCATTTCGCATGGCACAGACGACATACATATAGCATTGTCCCTAGTCTGAATCCTTCATAAAGTTTGCTTTTAAAAAATGCTATGCTGCTTAAGCATGTCCTATTTGCTGAACGATGCCAACGCCAGTGTCTGGGGGCCATCTGCATCACAAGAGGTACTATTTCAATCGCCATTGTTGATCCACTCAAGTTTCCATCCATTCATAGCTATGGGAGTTGTCCTGTTCAAAACTGTGAATTTATTTCATTGCTTCACCCCAGGATGTAAGACCATGCCCCTCTCTCCGATCCGTCTGGTTGTTCGTGCAAGTTTAGGAAGATTCAAGGCCATCCTCGGTATCCAAAAGGTTCTGTTGTGTGTTAAGATAAAATAGTGGGAAATTGCTGTCAGAGATCAGGAGCAGATTGCCGGTTTAGAAGAAAGCCTTGAAAGCTTTTTTTTTTATAAGAGTTTATTTGGTAGTGGTGTTCGCATAGTATATACTGTGAGAAAATTGCATTTTTTGACGATGCAAAGATTGGGTTAGTACAAAGGAAAAAACCTTTCATACTCAGGTCGGGGCCGTACCTCTCTGTCCCCTGCCTTGATCCGAGAGGAAGTGGGGTTTCCGGATTTGAAACCAGACCCTCCGCTACAGAGGGGGAAGCTTTAGCCACTAGGCCAGGCTTAAAGCAAGCATGGGCTGAAACAGTTGGGCCATTGCGGGAGCAAGTCACATGATATGCCACGTGATCAGCTGCGCTAGCGTATTTTGAGCGTACTTGGACACATTCTGCGTCTTCGCTTTTGCCCACTTCACGCACTTTCAATCTCATCTCTTTTTTTTACAAGATCGAGGAGAACACGAGTGGACATAGAGTTTGTCGTTCTCTTCCTTTTGTTGGCTTATATCCTCTATTGACACAGGTGAGTGTTCTTATCCACACACGCACTGCCTGATTGCCTGATTGGCTTGATCATAGTCATCGACCACGCCATTCACTATTTTCGATTCATACATGCTGCATATACTTTAACCAGGCTCATTTGCACATGCGTACACTATCCGTCTAATTAACTTTGCCCCGATGTCATTTAGGCACCAACAAACAGCTCAAGCACACAAATCTTTACACTTTAACTTCGATCACCTCCTGTTATGGCGGCACATCCATATCATGGCCAGGCATATGGCAATCCATATGGTCAGATGGATGCCTATGGCAATGTCCCCACCCCACAGGAGTTGAACCAAGAGAAACTGGAAGAGAAGGCTAGGAAATGGCAGCAATTGCAAGCCAAGGTAAGCACCAGTTGTTTGTTTTTATTTTGACATTAAAAGATACTATTGTCTTGCATTTAATAATTCCTCACTTCTTTTTCTTTTCCTCTTTGTAGCGCTATGGCGAGAAGCGCAAGTTTGGATTCGTTGCGCATGAAAAGTCTGACATGCCTCCAGAACATATCCGCAAGATCATCAAAGACCATGGTGATATGTCATCTAAAAAATTCAGACATGATAAACGTATCTACCTTGGTGCATTAAAATATGTTCCCCATTCAGTATTAAAGCTGTTGGAGAATATGCCCATGCCTTGGGAGCAGGTTCGGGAAGTGCCTGTTCTCTACCATATCACAGGAGCCATTTCATTTGTTAATGAGATCCCACGGGTCATTGAACCTGTTTATATAGCACAGTGGGGAAGCATGTGGATCATGATGAGACGTGAAAAGAGAGATCGCCGACACTTCAAGCGTATGCGTTTCCCACCTATGGACGACGAAGAAATGCCTCTGGACTACGGTGACAACATTTTGGATGTGGAACCACTCGAAGCCATCCAGATGGAACTTGATGAGGATGAAGACAAGGCCATCTATGACTGGTTTTATGATCACAAGCCCTTACTCGACACAAAGCATGTCAACGGGCCATCATACAGAACTTGGCACCTTGATTTGAGCCAAATGTCAAACCTGTACAGAATCGCCAAACAGTTGATGTCAGATCTCACAGACAAGAACTACTTTTATTTATTTGACAAGCCCAGTTTTTTCACAGCTAAAGCCCTTAATGTCGCTATCCCAGGAGGACCTAAGTTCGAGCCCTTATATCGTGATGTTGACCCTGCTGATGAGGATTGGAACGAATTCAACGATATTAACAAAATCATCATTCGTCAACCCATCCGAACTGAGTACAAGGTCGCTTTCCCATATGTTTACAACTCTCTTCCTCGCTCGGTACATGTTGGATGGTATCATCATCCTACGGTTGTATACATCCCAGCTGAAGATCCTGACCTTCCCGCATTCTATTACGATCCCATCATCAACCCCATCACCACACGCAGTACCAAAGCACCGAACCAAGATATGTCTTTAGAAGACGCATTGTTTGGCGACAAAGACGAAGATGATGATGAGGATTTCAAGCTTCCAGATGAGGTGGAGTCTTTTCTGGAAGAGGAGGATCTTTTTACTGACAATACTGCCAACGGTATCAGTCTCTACTGGGCACCGCACCCTTTCAATAAACGCAGCGGACGCATGCGACGTGCTCAGGACATTCCATTGGTTCAGAGCTGGTATTTGGAGCACTGCCCAAGTGATCATCCTGTTAAAGTTCGAGTTTCTTACCAAAAACTACTCAAAAACTATGTCCTCAATGCTCTTCACCATCGTCGGCCCAAGCCTCTCAGCAAGAAGTATCTTTTCCGTCAACTCAAAGCAACTAAATTCTTTCAGTCAACAGAGTTAGATTGGGTTGAAGTGGGTCTGCAGGTCTGCCGACAGGGATACAACATGCTGAACCTATTAATTCACCGCAAGAATTTGAATTACCTACATCTGGATTATAACTTCAACCTTAAACCCGTCAAGACCTTAACGACTAAGGAGCGTAAAAAGTCACGTTTCGGAAATGCCATGCATTTGTGCCGTGAAATCTTGCGCTTGACCAAGCTCATTGTCGACTCACATGTCCAATACCGTCTTGGAAACGTGGATGCATTCCAGCTGGCTGATGGTCTACAGTATATTTTCGCACACGTTGGTCAGTTGACAGGAATGTACAGATATAAGTACCGATTGATGAGACAGATCCGTGCAGTAAGTGCTACTCCCTATATTTTGTGCTTTATAGCTTTATGGTGTCTGGCATGGACTAGGTATTCGAAAAAATATGCAGTCACTTACTGATTTCTTTTGGTATTTATAGTGCAAAGATTTGAAGCACGTCATCTACTATCGTTTCAACACAGGACCCGTCGGAAAAGGACCAGGATGTGGATTTTGGGCACCAGGCTGGAGGGTTTGGTTATTTTTCTTACGTGGTATTGTCCCATTGTTGGAGCGATGGCTCGGAAATCTCCTTGCAAGACATTTCGAGGGTCGTCACTCCAAGGGTATTGCCAAGACTGTGACCAAACAGCGAGTGGAATCACATTATGATCTTGAACTTCGTGCTGCTGTCTTGGCCGATATTGTCGATATGATGCCTGAAAACATCAAAGCTAACAAGTCCAAGACTATCCTTCAGCATTTGAGTGAGGCTTGGAGGTATGGCCCTTATGAGAAGTACTTTGATAAAATACGAATGTACAATCTATTTGAATGAATGTATTGACTTTTTTTTTTTTTTTTTTTTTTTTTTGCATTGTATAGATGCTGGAAGGCAAATATTCCATGGAAGGTTCCAATGATGCCTGCACCAGTTGAGAACATGATTTTGCGCTATGTTAAGAATAAAGCTGACTGGTGGACAAACGTTGCACATTACAATCGAGAACGTATTCGACGCGGAGCAACCGTTGACAAGACTGTCACTAAGAAGAACCTGGGTCGTCTTACTCGTCTCTGGCTCAAAGCCGAACAGGAACGCCAACACAACTATCTTAAGGATGGCCCTTATATCACCGCGGAGGAAGCTGTCGCTATTTACACGTCAACTGTACATTGGCTAGAAAGCAGGAAGTTTTCACCTATCCCATTCCCTCCCTTGAGCTACAAGCATGATACCAAACTTTTGATCTTGGCATTAGAGCGATTGAAGGAGGCCTATAGCGTCAAAGGTCGTCTCAACCAGTCACAACGTGAGGAACTTGGTCTTGTTGAACAAGCTTATGACAATCCTCACGAGGCTCTTAGTCGTATAAAGCGCCTATTACTTACTCAACGTGCATTCAAGGAAGTCGGCATCGAGTTCATGGATCTCTACAGCCATTTGATTCCCGTATACGATGTTGAGCCCTTAGAAAAGATTACAGACGCCTACTTGGATCAGTATCTGTGGTATGAGGCAGACAAACGCCATCTCTTCCCTGCATGGATCAAGCCTGCAGACACAGAACCAGCGCCTTTGCTTGTTTATAAGTGGTGTCAGGGCATCAACAATCTCACTGATGTTTGGGAAACTTCAGAGGGTGAATGTGTTGTCATGATGGAGACCAAATTCTCGAAGCTTGCCGAGAAAGTAGATCTCACACTTCTAAATCGTCTGCTCCGTCTGATCCTCGACCATAATATTGCCGATTACATGACTGCCAAGAATAACATTTCCCTGAATTACAAAGATATGAATCATGTTAACGCATATGGTCTTATTCGTGGTCTCCAATTTTCCAGCTTTATCTACCAGTACTATGGCTTGATCTTGGATCTTTTGGTCCTCGGTCTCCAGCGCGCAAGTGAAATGGCTGGGCCTCCTCAGATGCCTAACGACTTTTTGCAGTATCGCGATGTTGCTACGGAGGTGCGCCACCCCATTCGTCTTTACTCTCGCTACATTGATCGTTTCCATATGGTTCTACGCTTCACTGCTGATGAAGCAAGGGATTTGATCCAGAGATATCTCACCGAGCATCCAGACCCTAACAACGAAAATGTGGTTGGTTATCGTAACAAGAAGTGCTGGCCCCGTGATTGCAGAATGCGTTTGATGAAACATGACGTCAATCTGGGCCGTGCTGTTTTCTGGGACATGAAGAATCGTCTTCCTCGTAGTTTGACGACTATTGAATGGGATGACACATATGTCTCAGTATATAGCAAGGATAACCCAAACTTGCTCTTCGCCATGTGTGGATTTGAAGTCCGTATCCTTCCCAAGATTCGTAACCAGGACGAACAGTTCTCGATGAAGGATGGTGTCTGGAACTTGATCAACGAGCAGACAAAGGAACGAACTGCACAAGCCTTCTTGCGTGTCGATGAGGAGGGTATTCAGCGATTCCACAACCGCATTCGTCAAATTTTGATGGCTTCTGGCTCTACAACCTTTTCCAAGATCATCAACAAATGGAACTCATGTTTGATTGGCTTGATGACATATTATCGTGAAGCAGTCGTGCATACGCGTGAACTGCTAGATCTTTTGGTCAAATGCGAGAACAAGATTCAAACTCGTGTCAAGATCGGACTTAACTCAAAGATGCCCTCAAGATTCCCCCCCACTGTCTTCTTCACTCCAAAGGAATTAGGCGGTCTAGGAATGTTGTCGATGGGCCACGTCTTGATTCCCCAGTCGGATCTGAGATGGTCCAAACAGACAGATGCTGGCATCACCCACTTCCGTAGTGGTATGTCGCACGAGCAGGATCAATTGATTCCCAACCTGTTCCGTTACTTGCAACCATGGGAGTCCGAGTTCATTGATTCCCAGCGTGTCTGGTCCGAATATGCATTGAAGCGTCAGGAGGCCAACAACCAAAATCGTCGTCTAACTCTGGAGGATCTTGAGGATTCTTGGGACCGAGGAATCCCCCGTATCAACAGTTTGTTCCAGAAGGATCGCCACACACTTGCTTATGACAAGGGATGGCGTGTCCGCTCGGAGTTTAAACAGTACCAAATTCTCAAGGTCAATCCCTTCGCCTGGACCTCACAGCGCCACGATGGAAAGCTTTGGCAGCTCAACAACTACAGAACTGACATGATTCAGGCTCTTGGAGGGGTGGAAGGTATTCTTGAGCACACCCTGTTCAAGGGCACCTACTTCCCAACCTGGGAGGGTCTTTTCTGGGAGAAGGCATCGGGATTCGAGGAGAGTATGAAGTACAAGAAGTTGACCAATGCTCAGCGATCTGGTTTGAACCAAATTCCTAACCGTCGCTTCACGCTCTGGTGGTCACCCACTATCAATCGTGCCAACGTCTATGTCGGTTTCCAAGTACAGTTGGATCTAACAGGTATTTTCATGCACGGCAAGATCCCCACGCTCAAGATTTCGTTGATTCAGATCTTCCGTGCACATTTGTGGCAAAAGATTCACGAGTCGCTCACTATGGATATGTGTCAAGTGCTGGATCAAGAACTGGAGGCATTGCAGATTGAAACTGTGCAGAAGGAAACGATCCATCCTCGCAAGTCTTACAAGATGAACAGCTCATGTGCGGATATTCTGCTATTTGGCTCATACAAGTGGAAGGTCTCGCGTCCTTCGTTGCTGACTGATTCAAGAGATAACACGGATGGAACAACGACACAAAAGTTCTGGATTGATATTCAACTCCGTTGGGGCGACTTTGACTCACACGATATTGAGCGTTACACGCGTGCCAAGTTCCTGGACTACACTACTGATAACATGTCGATCTACCCCTCTCCTACGGGCGTGATGATTGGCGTCGACCTGGCTTATTCATTGTATAGCGCTTATGGTAATTGGTTCCCTGGTCTCAAGATCCTGATGCAACAGGCTATGGCTAAGATTATCAAGGCCAACCCTGCATTGTATGTCTTGCGTGAGCGAATTCGTAAGGGTTTGCAACTGTACTCTTCAGAACCCACAGAACCATATTTGTCCTCGCAAAACTATGGTGAACTTTTCAGCAATCAGATCATCTGGTTTGTCGATGATACGAATGTGTACCGTGTTACTATTCACAAGACTTTCGAGGGTAACTTGGTAAGTGACTTGGTGTCGTAGTTGTCTTAATTATTCCTGTATTTTATAATGAAAAATAATATACTAATCCTACTATGCGTTCCTCCCACTTTTCCTCCTTTACAACAATAGACCACAAAACCCATCAACGGTGCCATCTTTATTTTCAATCCAAGAACTGGACAACTTTTCCTCAAGATTATTCACACATCAGTTTGGGCGGGTCAGAAGCGTCTCGGACAGTTGGCTAAGTGGAAGACGGCTGAAGAAGTTGCTGCTTTGATTCGTTCGCTCCCAGTTGAAGAGCAGCCTAAGCAACTGATTGTTACCCGCAAGGGAATGTTGGATCCTCTTGAAGTTCACTGTCTTGGTAAGTTCTATATTTCTCTTAGTATTTCATATAGAGAATGCGTTCATCTCCATTGGCACTTGAAAGATCTTTAATTAACGTCTCTCTTCATTTTGTCAATTAGATTTCCCCAACATTGTTATCAAGGGTTCCGAGTTGCAACTACCCTTCCAAGCCTGTCTGAAGGTTGAGAAGTTCGGAGACTTGATTTTAAGAGCAACGGAGCCTCAGATGTGTCTGTTTGGCCTCTATGACGACTGGTTGAAGTCTATTTCGTCATACACTGCGTTCTCTCGTCTCATCTTGATATTGCGTGCGCTTCATGTCAACAACGACAAGGCCAAGATGATTCTTCGTCCCGACAAGACTACTATCACGGAGCCTCATCATGTCTGGCCTTCGCTAACAGATGAAGAATGGCTCTCAGTTGAAACGTCATTGAAGGACTTGATTCTCGGTGATTATGGAAAGAAGAACAACGTCAATGTGGCATCGTTGACGCAATCCGAAATTCGTGATATTATCTTGGGTATGGAAATCTCTGCGCCTTCCCTTCAGCGTCAACAGATTGCTGAGATTGAGAAACAGGCCAAGGAGCCTTCACAATTGACGGCGGTTACGACCAAGACTCAAAACATCCATGGAGACGAAATGATTGTTACGACCACCGCACCTTATGAGACTCAAACGTTTTCGTCCAAGACTGAGTGGCGTATTCGTGCCATTTCATCGACCAACCTGCATCTCCGTACTAATCACATTTATGTATCAACGGATGACATTAAGGAAGCTGGATATACATACGTTTTGCCCAAGAATATCCTCAAGCGGTTTATTACTATTTCGGATCTTCGCACACAGATTTCAGGGTACATGTATGGTGTGTCGCCTCCCGACAATGCTCAAGTAAAGGAAATCCGTGCGATCGTAATGGTTCCTCAGTGGGGAACACACCAGACAGTTCATCTTCCTCATATGCTCCCTAATCACGAGTACTTGAACGATTTCGAGCCTTTGGGATGGATCCACACACAACCAAATGAACTTGCCCAGCTGTCACCTCAGGATGTGACAACACATGCCAAGATCATGGCCGATAATAAATCATGGGATGGAGAAAAGACTATAATTATTACCTGCTCGTTCACACCAGGTTCTTGTTCACTGACAGCCTACAAGTTGACTCCATCCGGATTTGAATGGGGCAGGAACAACAAGGACACAGGCAATAACCCACAGGGATACCTCCCTTCGCATTACGAGAAGGTTCAGATGTTGCTATCCGATCGTTTCTTAGGATTTTTCATGGTACCGGCCTCAGGAGTGTGGAATTATTCATTCATGGGTGCACAACATACACCTGACATGAAATACCGTCTTGTGTTGGACACGCCTAAGGAGTTCTATCACGAATTGCATCGTCCCACACACTTTTTGAACTTTGCTAGGATGGAGGACAGCATTGTGGAAGTCGAGCGCGAAGATGTTTTTGAGTAGTACTTAGTATCTATTTTGTTTATTTTCTTGTCGTAAAAAATATGTTTCATTACAACTTTGTGCAATAAAAAAAATATTCGTTTAATCAAAATGGCTCCTTCCTCTCTTTTAAGCAATTGATGGTGCGATGCGATGCTTCTGTACATGTACAATAATTGATTTAATATTAAGTGACATCTGCTTTGCTCCATGATTAGTTCGCGGAAGCGCGCTTTGCGAGGACACGATCTATAATCTTGGCGACAAGGCTCTCACCCTCCTCACCGTTGAGATATCTCTTGACCATGGAATCGACAGCTTTAGAGGCATACTTGCCCATCATATCAACTTCGATATTCACCTGGTCGCCCAGGGCCTTGTGAGGCATGACCACACGGGTCTGAGTGTAAGCGATCATCATAATGGAGAAGGTCCTCTTGACATCATCGACATCAATGACTGTGAGGGAAGTGCCATCAAGACAAATGAAACCCTTGGGGACAATATAGTTCATAAGTTCTTGGTATTCCTCTGGGACTTGGAAGACAAATGTGATGGCATTGCCGTCATCCACACGGGAGACGATCGAAACTGTGGTGTCGACGTGGCCCTGGACCATGTGTCCGCCAAACCGAGTGTGTGCATTCATGGCACGCTCCAAGTTGACAGCATCCCCAATCTTGAGCGAACCTTTTTAATAAATTATAAAATAAGGAGTTTGAGTATGTTATTATTACTATTTTGCCCTACGGTTCTAAAAGTACCTACCCAGGTTGGTCTTGCGAAGAGTCTCGGGTGCTACACCAACCTTGAATGACGACTCGTTGAATTCAGTCACAGTTAAACAGGTGCCTGAGGAAGGGGGAAATAGATCAGTAGATCGGTCAGTAAAGGATATTTTTAATCCGTATTATACTCCACATTCTTTTCTTATTACTATCATTCGATTGAATCAGAGGTGGGAGAAGAAGGAACTAACCATTGACAGCAATGCTGTCACCGAGGTGGCAGTCGCCCAAGATCTCGGCAGCCTCACCAATTGTGATGCTGAATCCCTTTCCACCTGATTCTGAAAAGTCGAGGGGTGCAACATCGATGACCTTGCCAAGGTGCTCAACAATGCCAGTGAACATGATGCAACTAGCTCTTTATTTTTATTGAAAGTAGAGGAATTAGTCGGATGAGAAAGCAAGGGGAAAGAAGTGAAATGAAAAGAGAAAAAAGAGGAAAGATCACTTCTAAATTTTTGTGAAATATGCGCAGCGCGCACAAAATTGTTTTTATTGAATTGCCTATTAAAGTTATGCGTAGGCCGTAATGGCGCCCTCCTTTCTCTTGACTCGCATATATATATACTTTTTCGTTCTTCGAACGCAGAAAACTAATCACAAAGGGTGGAAAAGGGACGGAGAGATGATAATGATGGAGAAAATGGACGATAAAGGCCCCAATTTCAAGTCTAGTCCCATGTCTATCTTACATGCTTACATGCTCTTCTGCCATCAATTCACGCGCTCGATAAGATCTAGGTGCACGTGATCACGACATGCCTGTCATTCTTTACCACGTCACATTGGGGACAAAGAGAGAGGGGAGAACCTGATCATCATCATTCCCAAGAAAGCAAGCATCCGACAATTCTAGGACGCCTTTTGACGATAGCCAATCCTTACCCTGGCTCATCCATTTCTTTCTTGAAAATCTATTTTTTTCTTCTTTCTTACGGACACTCAATATCCTCTCTCGTCAAACCCATCTTTGCAAGATGCTCCACAAGCTTACTCTTCTTGCCGTTGCTGTCTTGGTCACGCTCCAGTCAGTGGCAGCCTTCAACGTCGTTGTACCTGCTGGAGAGCGCCGATGCTTTTTCGAAAACCTTGAGAAGGGTGATACCTTCCATGTATCTTTCCAAGTTGGGGAGGGCGGCCATCTCGACATTGACTTTTTTGTAAGAGGCACAAATAAAAAGAAAAGACTCGGCAATGAAACAAAAAGCAAAGGAAGATTAGGCGATTTTAGAATGCTTTACAGGCTTTCTCCCAAAGTTCAAAACAAAGAATGATTCTAATCTAACTATGATTACATTAACGCGTGATTAGATGACTAATCCAAATGAAATCCTTGTCGAGGATGCCAAGAAGACTGCATCAGACACGTTCAACTTTGAGGCAAAGATCAGTGGCAAGCATGAGTACTGCTTCAGCAACGCTTTTTCAACTGTAACTGAGAAGACTGTTGGATTCAATGCTTTGGTCTTTAAGCCATACAGGGAGGATGCCAGTATGTGGTTTTTTTTTATATGCTGTTCAATTGAGCTACCACACTATGAAAAGAACGAATGTGTATAACTGACGAGATACCTCATTATCTATTCAACAGCAAACAAGACTGACCCACTTGAGCAAGAGATCCGTGAATTGGCTGCTGGGATCCAAGAGATCAAAAATGAACAGGAGTATACTTTGGCTCGTGAGAGAACACACCGTAACAGTACGTAGCAATCCATTTTTGGCTCATAATTTTTTTTTTTTTTTTTTTTTTTTTTTCATTTACTTTTACTTGAGGACTATTTGCAAAGACATGGTGGCTAGAAAGAGACTCTTTTAGGTGACGATCACCCGCTAATTTCCATGAAAACGATTTCATGATCTCTATTCAAAATGGTCTATTAGCTGCTGAAAGCACAAACTCGCGCGTGGTGTGGTGGTCCTTGTTCCAGTCCGCTATCCTTTTCCTTGTTTGCGTCTTCCAGATTACGTATCTTAAGCGTTTCTTTGAGGTCAAGCGTGTTGTTTAAAATAATACAACCTCATTACACCCTGGTTTTTACTTTTTTAATTGGGGCTATTTTATTTTACTATACTTTTTTCTTTGCTTGACATGGCATTGACAATTAACTGTCGTTTGCTGCGGCACACCGTATCATCTTTGAAATAAAAAATTGTGTCTACTATTTATGTCTTGGCCATGTGCTGTGTTCACAATAAAGCGCGTCTATTAAAAAATTGGCTTTTGTTTTATTTTATTTTCCTTTTTCTGCTTCTTTGTTCTTTGTTTCTGTTTTCACAAAATAAAAACCATTTAACACTATACAAACGTCTTGTGCATGTCAAACATTCAACCATACTTGTAGTTTCGACAGCACCATGGATAAATTGACCGAGGAGTAATTTCAAAACGAAATTAGATCGTTCATTTGATTACATTCTCTTCATGGGTTTGGTTAATGCCTCGATCTAATTTCTATCTTTTTTTTTTTTTTTTTTTTTTTTTTTTTTTTGAAAAGACAAGCCCGAGAAACTATTTCTCGAATGTTTGACGAAATGGGCAGGACTTTGAATGCTGTAGGGGATTATTCCGAGAGTGAATACGAGACAGACGAGGATGAGATTCCTGAAGGTTAGTACCAAAATAAAATAAAGAAATCTGTGATAAAACAATACATGGACTTTTTAATTCAAAAGGATTTGTTCCATGTGATACTAAAGAATTTTCTTTGTTCTCTTTAATGCATTTTTCAAGCTAGCTCAAGCTCGCGCCCAGTAGCAACTCAACCTGTAGAGACTACTCAAACACCAGAGGATGGTGATGCACCCGTAAAGAAAAAGAAGAAAAAGAGAAAAAAAAAGGCGGCCAACAAGCCTGATTTGGAAGACCTTCTCAACAATGTCAATCTTGAGGAACTTGAGAAAGAGGACCCTTATGACATGTAAGCACTAGTGTGATATTTTCTTTTTTCTTATTGTTTCTTTCCATTACCTGTTGCGTTATACCTGCCAACACATCAAGAAAACCTGGAGAATAAGACTATGGCATTCACATTTGTTCAATGATAGCTCTAAATCTGTAGCTGAGAGGATGGAACTAGCCGTAACACGTTTTCGTAAAAACCGCAAGTTTAACCCTGAACGAGCACAGATCTTATCTACTTATCTTGACTACGGTGGTATTCGGACTGGTCCCAAGATGTTCCAAGGAGGTGGGGCTTCTAACACACCCGGTGTCACAGACAATGATACCAATCCGGGCGATCCTGATTATGAGGCCATGAATGCCGGTATCGATAGCGTGGATCTCCCCGAAGATGGACAAGTGATCGATTTCACCAACGTTGTAACCACGTTCCTTTCGGAACACTTCTTAAAAAACACAGGATGGATCGATATGACCTATCATAAAGACACCCCCCTAGTTATTGCGGCATTACTGAACTATCTCTTGCTTCGAAATGTACTTCCAGAGCATGAAGAAGATTTGCGAGCTGCATTGAAGGTTGCAGAGCAAGCCCAGGTTGAACTACCCCTCTGTAAACAGATCAACAATAGTATGCCTGGTCTCTATGACAAAGCATGCTCATTGCTGTATGGTGGCGAGTGGTATGGACACCTTGACCAGACATGGACATCCTACGAGACCAATGTCGAAAGTTTGGGGATGGATCGTGCGATGGCGGAGGCAATTGTCCAGTCATTGATTGGCCCTGACGCAGACCTGAAGAATCTTTCAATCATTTCCAGAGAGGATTTGGATCTAGAGATCATCCATATTGATTTCCCTGATGAGCCACAAGAGCCTGAGGAGAATAACTCTGATAAAGCAGATTTTTCCGATGAATTGGCTACAGAGGATGATCCCGAATTAGTGGCTATGGTCGATAGAATGTTGCTAGGCTCAAGTGCCCCTTCGTTCAACACATCCGAGTCAGGATTGGATCAAACCAATAGTAGTAGTAATCATCCAGCGAGTACAATACCGTCAGAATTTGGGCCTATACCATCCTCCAAGAACAAGCCCGTTATGCCTGTGCCCATGTTTGCGAATGTAACCTTTGCAGAATGGGATCGGTATCTACTACGTGAGGAGCAAAAACCACTGGACCAGCGGCGTAAGTTTCATGTGTACTTTGATCCGTCAACTGCAAGCAAGATGCTGCTTAGTATGAGAGTTGTAGGAATTGTGTACACGTTGTCGAATGGCATGTCCTACCTGGAGCAGGCAGCAATCTACCCTACATACTATCTGGAAGCAGAAGTAGATGAAACTCCAGACGATGCTTATGAAGAATGGTCGGACAATGAATAGCCCTGTACAGGTCAATCCGTCCAGTCTACGCATGACACCAAACAATAGAACACCAGCTACATGTAATGTAATCATTTGAAATAAAGCACTTGTTGGAATGATTGATGGATCTCTTCGCCATTGTTTATTGCCGTTAGTTCAACATGTTCTCCATTGGAAAAGTAGTCAGACACGTTGTTCCAGACACACCTCAAGCCTGATTTTGTTCTATCTCCTCGATCAGCCTATTAAGTTTCGGCACTAATGACTGAAATCTGAACTCCCGCATGATTCCCAGTACCCTTTCTGCTGATGCCCACAATTGATTATCCACACAGGCCTTGAGTAACACATAGTATGATTTCCATAGGATCTGGTCGCTATTGCAAGCAATCGAATCCCCTTGAAATTTTTTCAGCCATCTCTCGGCATTATCCATCAGTGAAAGCCTAGAATATCCAGAGATCATGATAAGATAAGCACCCGCAGACATGCCTTCCTCGGTAGTTGTTTGAGCAAGACGAGCCATATTTTCAGCCAGCTCAATATCATGGCCCTTGAAAGCACATTGCATCATAGCACCATATGTGTGGATAGAGGGCGCATGCCCCTCCTGTTGCATGGCCTCAAATGTTTCCTTGGCTCTATCCAGCATGCCGACATTAACGTATCCCGCTATCAATGCTGAATATGTTATGGCTGTTTTGGGGATTTTCCGGCTTGTCATGAGGTCTGCAACTTTCATGGCTGACCCCGCATCTCGTTGCGAAAACAACACATCTGTAACAATCGTATAAGTAGTGGCGTTGGGTGCAATCCCAGAATCTGTCATGTGGCTCATCACTTTATTCACTCCCACCTGATCCTGAACCGAAAGCAGCCCCTTGATCATAATATTATAAGTATCCAAAGTTGGTTTGACTTTCTTGCGCATAGTCATCTCATCAAACATGACCTTGGCTTTTTCAGGCAGATGGTTGCGGAGTAGACCGGTCAAAACAATGTTATACATAGTCGAGTCAGGCTTAATAAAGTAAGGCTGTTGCTGCATGCTCTCCCATAGTCCCATGGCGGAATCAGGATTCTTCGATCTGAAATATCCATTCATCACACTAGAAAAGCTATGTGCATCAGGTTTGATCTCTGGGTCCTTGAGGATCTGATTCCATAGCTCTAATGCGGCAGGAAATTCTTTTGGTATACGACACAATGCTGACAGAAGCGCGTTCATGACGGGCAGATCCAGATGCGCTGTTCCTGGCTGCTCCGAGATTCGAGTCCACATCTGTGTTGCTTCATTCAAACACCCTGCCTTAAGTAGACCGGACATCATGGCTGATGCCGTATACTTGTTGATCGGGAAGCCCAAGTCAAGGGTATGGTTCTGAAGAGCAAAGGCCTCATCGGGTCTATTGCTTTCGAATAAAGAACTCAGCAAGTGGGTAAAGCGTCTAGAATTGGGGGGACAGCTCTGAATCTGGAGGTCACGAAAGATAGATTTCACGCGTTCGATATCATTGCTCGTCAGTTGTAAGCCTCTTGTCCAATTAAGGAATTGTGATATATACTGCATCAGCCCATTGCTCTTGCAAGAGATCAAATCCTGAAGCCTAGCTTCATCCCCGTTCTTGAGATACATGGCCATTTGAAGCGCCAATGTCCTTTGAGATGTCGCCATATCCATAGGTTCCTCATAAATAATGTCAATCGCGCGTTGCGCCTCCTGAAACTTGTTCCGTTTGATATGAAGGTAGATAAAGTCGTTGTAGACGTCCGATGAATAGTGTATATCACGTTTATGCATCGCCATCATGACTTGATTCATTTTTCTAGCCGTATCATTTGTAATGGGTTTGCTCCGAAGCCATTGAAGGAGCCGTAGGAGATCAGTCTCGGTGACAATCCTCTTTTGATTGAGCTGCTCCTGGTATAAAGCCCAATAATCAATATTTGGATCCATCGAGGAAGCCCTTGGGAAAATATTGTGTTTTAATGGCGAACGTGATGGAGTCGATGCTGCTTTTCCAGTCCCCTTGGCTAGAATCTCCTCGATAATGCGAGGAGGGCCAGGGCCCCAGGATATCCGTGTGTCGTTACCACTATTGCTGTATGCAACTATGCCTGTGTCTACGGCTAGATGTGTATGATTCCATGAATTGCATGAACTACTTTGCTCTCCCTGTGTCTTATCGCTTACTATGCTGGGTACTGTGGTGTGCTTTGATAGACTGCTTGAATGTATAGTTCGTTGTTGACCGAGCTGTAGGCGTCGGATCCTAGATTTTACGGGCACATGGGCCAATAGTGTCTCTGTCTGCACCTGAAGTAGTAAAAGTCGGAGGCATTGAGCCGAGGATCCTGCCGTTGTGGTTGAATGTGTACATGTTGTAACAGATCTTGTTTGTGGAACCAGCGTGGATCGAGCAGTTTTTGCCACACATGACTGGAATCTTGTAGCACTCATTATTAAGTTAAAGGAGACGAGTGCGACAAAAGAATGAATTTCAGTTTCCAGCCCAAATGCCGAAGGGAGGGACACTACATCGTGGCTTGGCAACCCTTTTTTGCCACCACCTTTTTGTATGTGATGCGAAGCATTTAAAAATTATATCCAAGACCTGCTTTAATTTCAGACACAAGTAAAAGCACAGGAATCATGTCAACAGTAGTAGAAAATAAAGACACCAATGGAGCAGCTCCATTGACTACTACATCAGGATCATCATCGTCCGACCAGGCAGAAAATGCCAAAGCAGAAGGTCAACTGAAAGAAGTTCAACTGAAACAACTATATGAACAGTCAACACAATACAACCATTGGCGATATACACAGGCTGCGTTGGATAATTTGAGAAATAAAGTAAACCAGGAAGCTATCGCTTGTATTAAACAGAACATTGGAGAAGAACGTGAACAGGTACAACTTGTGTCTTTCTTATGGCTCTGATAAAGACGGGGAAAAGAAAGATCATGGCTCTCATACATGGATGTCTAACATGGATCCATATTACTATCTCTTTTTTTTTTTTTTTGTTTTAAAAAAAAAAAAAAAAAAAAAAAAAAAAAAAATGAGTAGAGGCTAGCACAAGGCCTCTCTGTCGACGGCTTGCCAAAAGACCTTAGTTTTCTAAAAGTAGAAGAAGAGCTGGCCCTCCTTGGGTTTTATGAACGCAAGATAGTACAGATATTTCAGCATTGGAAGCTCCCATCCCACACAACAGTAAGTGGGCAACTTTTTTTTTTTTTTTAAAAAAAAAAAAAAAAAAAAGGCAAACTATGACTTTTGATGTCGTGGAAATATTTTATTATTATTCCTATTCTTAAAGTTGGATTGGGAGCTTACAGAGATTGTTATATCATCTCATTGCTAGGCAACAGCTATCGTCTACATGAAGAGATTCTACCTTGAGAATACAGTCATGGATTATCATCCTAAAGATGTTATGTAAGGATCATTTTTTTTTCTTCGTCTTCTTTATTTTCAATTACACCTTTTTTTTTTTTTTTTTTTTTTTAACCAAAGATATGCATTGGCTGTTTTTTTTATTTTACTTAATTTAACTTGTCGATTCTTTTTTTTTTTTTTTTTTTTTTTTTCTTTTATCATTTCAATATGTAGGATGACATGCATGTTCTTAGCACGCAAGACAGAAAATGTTTTAATGAATATTGAGGATTTTACAAAAGCACTCAAAGCTTTGCCATCAGCCATCTTGAATTTGGAGTTTTTAGTCTGTAAGAACCTACGCTTCCATTTCACTGTGCACCACCCATATCGCCCATGCCTTGGTTTTTTTTACGATATGCAGGTAAAAATTTATTCTATTCTCACCTTTTTTTTTTTTTTTTTTTTTTTGCTTGTCCACCATTCTTAAAAAAAAAAAAAAACTTTCTTGAATTATATCTGTCATGAATAATATATAGGCTGTCACCGATAATATGGAGAGGCTACAGAGGGTATATGAGGCTGCTCTGAAGTTGATCGACACCTCCCTTCACACGGACCTCTGTTTCTTATACCAACCCTCACAGATTGCCCTTGCGGCCCTGCGGATAGCTTGTCAAGACGAATCCTATGATTTTGAAAGGTAATGGTTCAAAAAAAAAAAAAAAAAAAAAAAAAAAAAAAAGGACTACTATAGCTTACAATACATTGGACAGTTTTATAACTCTGTCTACCGACTTTTTATTATTATTATTATTATTCTCTTCTTTCATCATAGATACGCTACTTATAAATTCAAAGCAACGGAAAGTACAACGCAAAAGTATAATCAAACATTGCTACCGATATTAGAAAGCATTGAGAACGTCTTGAAAACAGATCCACGTTGTGTTGAAGTGGATAGATCTGTGGTACAAGAGATTGATAGAAGACTAAAAACATGCAAGGATCCTGCAAAGAACCCGGAAAGTTTGATGTAAGAAAAGGCATTGTTTGTGTAACTACTGAATATTCCAACCAACATAAAAACTAACATCGGAAAATTCATTTCATACTTTTCTTAAAAAAAAAAAAAAAAAAAAAAAAAGCTACGGTAAAAGAAAGAGAACTGAGGTGAATGGCGACGACGATGACGATGACGATGAGAAAGATGATGACAAGCCCGATAAGCGGCAAAAACTGGGAACTGATAGCTCACCTGAATAAAGGACCATGTTCTTTAGACCTTTCTGCCATCGTCGGTTTTAACATTTATACGTGTATGTATACTTTATGACCATGAACAACGTTATAGCTTGAAGAAATAGTTTATCGTACAAGTACAATTGAAAGATAGACCCATTAAAAATCTATATCTATTATGAAATGTGTGTATTCGTCCAGTCCTACTCTCAATCACCCTTTCCTGTATGAAATTCGCTCATCCAGGAGAACACGATTCTCTGTTACTTGATAAAAGGTAGGCCAGTCTTTGTCTTGGCCTTGTAGTCGCGATAATCTTGTCCAAAGAAGCGAATCAAAAGCTGTTCTTCTTGGAATATGCGATCTGAGAAGAAATAGTGCAATACTGCACCATATCCTACAAAGCAGATCGGATTCATCATCATAAGTTGGGATCCCAATGCCCAGTAGTAAAAGCCAAAATATGAAGGATGTCTCAGCAGACTATTTCATGTCATCGAAAGAAAAAAAATAAACCCAATAGTGTTAAGCTTTTGTTTGAACAAGGAAAAAAAAAAAAAAAAAAAAAAAAAAAAAAAAACTCCCTTCGAATTGGAAACCGCCAACCAACAATAGCTTTCAGGAAACAATTGATAATTATATTTGCACATGGTCATTAAAAGAACAATAACAAAAAAAAAAAAAAAAAAAAAAAAAAACACAACTTTTTACCTGTAGATACCATCAGTCACTAGGACATGGTGCTCTTCCTTATAAAACTCGACATAATGCGAGAAATTGGATTTGGCAGAAAACATGGCGAGGGTGCGAGCAGCTTGGCCTATAACGACAATAATTAGACCAACCTTGTTGAGCCAACCCCAGGTCTTGAGCTGAGGAAAGAAATAGAGTTCGATCAGAAACTCTGTAACGCCACCGATTGTTGCCATGGTGTATTCAGGACTGTGGTTCAAGAGAAATGCTTTAAAAAAGAAAAAAAAAGTGCACATTGATTTTAATGTGGGAAATATACTTTGTGTCGCATCGCCAGATTATGCTTCGCCATTCATTAAAAAATATACTACTATTTCATATCTGGGCTACTGTGAACAACTTTTACTTACAATCTAGAGTAAGCTTGGTAGGATTGAACAGAGCAATGGCAATGTATTCGAACGCATGAAAGATGGCGAGTGCAGCCAAAAAGAGCCAGAACTGTGGAATAGATGTCTCTACAAGAGATGCCAGGATCAAACTGGCACCAAAGAGTGTGCCCAAACCAAAGCCATAGACTGCAATGTTCTGAGGCGTGTTTTCACCATCGAAGAGGCGAATATCTGTAATGGATTCTGGTACTTGACTACGCAAGACCTTATGTGCTTGGTTTAAAGTTGTCGATGTAGAAGAGTTGGAGGAAAGTCCATGTGCGTTTCTGTTAGGTCGTATGGCAGTGAAGGAAGATGTAGACGATGAATCTGTGGAAGCAGGATGATCATGTCTAATGGGAGGTATAGTGGAGGTGTCCATAGTAAAAATAAAGTGGAAGGAAAGGTACTGGAATGGAAAGCAATCAAGTGATTGATGAAGAGAGAAAAGATCACAACGCGCACATCGTATAAATATCAAACAATAGCTTGGCAATAACCCCCCAATGATGTTTTTGGCAGCCACATGAATGAACGAAAAAAAAAAATTAATGTGATCCTTCTTGCACACTCCAACCCCATAGCACACTATTAAATACCATGACAGAAAGGAAAATCTTATGTATAAAAAGATTCAGTGCATTCGATGCTCTGTGCTCTGTTAGACTATTGATTACAATTCTCGTATATGATTGTTCAGCAATGTTATTTTTATTTTTATTCCCTAATATTATCGACAACCGGAACACAACATCATAGCCCAAGCCAACCTCCAGACCACAGGATGCAATACCACAATCGAGTGGCTGTCTAAAAGAATTTATCATGTCTTCATTCTCTTTGTTAATTTTATCTATAGCCGATGGACCGGTCCCTACTGTTTCGTTGCTTTGTTAGAACAGAATTTTCATAAAAGGGTGATAGTAAAGTTTGTCGTCTCGCAGTGAGAGGACCTTGTCAGATATTGCCAGAATTCTGGTGATGAACAAACCCGCATCGTATCCTTCCATCAGATTTTAGTCTCTTCGGGACATCCATTCTCATAAACCTTTCTCGGCTGTGCCACAACGCATTGATAAAATTACAGCACATGCACTTCTTGGCCAAAACAAAAGAAAAGGCGTTGGACAGAAATTTCCTTTTCAATTAATGACTTTCTCTCTATTCTGATTGAGTATAATTTTTCAGATCAATTATGAGAACGACAGCCAATCGAGCTTTCAATCAAATCCAACCAGCACTTCCCCGACACTATTCTGCATGGAGAATATTTGAATCGATGTATTGAGTAGCGATATGTCAGTCATAACTTACATCCTGATAGAATATGTAAAATACAAACGTGTCAAGAATCTAGCGATAAGTGATGCGTGATGGCATAGTGATATTGCAAAGATATGATATTTAGGTCTGTATTTATTGACAGATAAAGTAGAGGCAAAGTAAAAGAAAGGAGGAAAAAAATTATGTATTGATGTATAGATCTATGGAGCAGGGCCGCGGTAACCATGGTGTCGATCTCGATCCCGCTCCCGCTCCCACCCACCATAAGGGCCACCAGGGCCAGGTGGCTCTCCACCCATCATTGCTCCACGAAGGTCACCCTGACTTCCACCATGGCTTCCTCCGCGACGATGGCCATAATGAGGTGGGGGTGCTGGGCCACCAGGCATCATTCTTCCATAATCTATGGATCCTCCATGCGATGGATGTGAGTGATGACCCATCGGGGGTATAGGTCCTCCATGAGGTGGTAATGGCCGTGTATCCATCATCCGTGGATCATCCAAGTCCATGCTTGATGGCTCCTTGTAATGTTCTTTACGATCACGATGACCTATTGGTCCTGGGCCTTCCTCGTGACGATCAGATATATACCCACCGTACCCTCCACTAGGTCCACCATATCCAGATGAGTGCATTCCAGACATAGGTCCACTGCTTGATCCAGGTCTTCCTCCTTGACTCATGCTTGCGCCTCCCGATCGGCCGCCACCGCTGTTCCCTGAACCTCCAGAGTAATGGTGGCCGGAGCCTTGTTGTGAACCAGGTGGCGGTGGACCATGATGATGTGAATGCTGCGGTGGCATTGATGAATGCTGAGGAGGCATGTGATGATGGGGAGGTGGAGGACCTCCGTGTTGTACATGTTGAGAATGCGAGCTGTGCGGACTTTGAGAATGATGATGTATTGAATGGGAGTGTGAGTGTGAATGTGGATGAGGTCCGCTGTGAGATCCGCTACTGCTGTGCATATGGCCATGGCCAGGCTGCGATGGTGGCAGCTGTGAACCTTGCTGGGAAGGCCCCTGAGCATAATGCATGGATGATGGATGCTGGGAGTAGCCCCCATGGCCGCTTCCGCCGCCCTGAGGTGGTCCCCCATATCGCACCATATCATCCACAGGGTATTGAGGGTGGTAATCTGAGCGGATTGAACTCGATCCAGGTCTGCGTTGCTGATGCATTTGCATCTGGTGATGATGTTCACGCTCACGCTGCTCATGTTCCCTCTGCTCCTGATCGCGAATCATTTGGATATCACGGTGTTGCTGATGTTCCCTATGCATTTGATGCTCACGTTGCTGATGTTGGATCTGCATCTGCTGCTGATCCCTGGGGATATGATGGTGTGATGGTGGTCCTTGCTGAAGATGAGTTGGTTGAGTCATCGGTTGCCCGTGTATTGGTTGCTGTGAAGGATGTGGCGACTGAGGAGGGTGCATAGACTCACGGCGATGTGAATCTCTGGGCTGATACTCTTTGGAGTGGATCTCGCGACCTTTAGAGGGAGGTCCAGGATGGAGGGCCTGAGATGGCTGAGACAAAGATTGCGATTCTTTTCCATTTGCTTTGTGAGAAGGGGTAGCAACTATAGCCCGTCCCCCACGGCGTGCAGCTGAAGATGTATTATTAACACCAATAACAGTCTGGCCGCCTTTATTAGTCTTTGAAGTAGGACTGGAGTTCCATTCGCCCTGAGCGTTGCTTGGTTTAGCCTGCACTACATCGGATGGTGTTGTTGAAACAATCTTACGGTTGTGACTTGAGATAGTGCCAGAGCTGCCTCCATTGATGGGGGCAGAAGGGCTAGCGAAGTTATGTGCCGCAGAAGTGGTGGTGGCACGACTGCTTAATCTTCCTGATCCAGTAGTGGTGACATGGGTCATACCTGGTGAGCCCATGATTAATGATGATCCGCTAGCGTCGTGATGATTGCGACGCCCATCTTCGTCTTCAGAATCGGAAAGTTCCTCGTCCGGTACAATTCTAGAATCGGCCAATCGACGTGGAATTCTCACATCAAAATCGTCGTCTTCATCTTCGTCATCCGATGACGTATAGTCTCTTGGTACTTCTTGCATCTGAACAGATGGCGCACATGGAATATGTCGGAGATTTTCAATGATTTGAGCCTTGAGATTATGCAGATCTTCTGGAGTATTGTCATTCTTCATATTGCTGGCAGGGACATCCAAACGGTACTCGGGTCCATAGTACTCAAAGTATGCATTAAAAGGAAGCTCTTCAGGCAGCTGCTCATTTAAAAGCACAGCAGTTTCAAAGGTCCATGCTCTGGCTACATTACGGATGGTGTATCCTCCACCACCAACGACAATCATTGGCACGCCAAAAGATTTGACATATGCCACGCAGTTGGCGTGCCCTTTCATCGAAAGATTGAAGCATCCGAGCTTATCACCAGCCAAGGAATCTGCTCCACACTGCAAAACTACTGCTCCTGGACGATACCACTCCATGATATGTTTGATGATCTATTTCATGGCAAATATGAAAAAGTGTGATTATAAATTCCCCTCGACAAAGCCTATACAGTCCATACTTTGGCCTCTCAGACTTACAGGCTCAAATAGATTCTGATACGACCAATCATCCATTCCTTTTTGCAGAGGTACATTGACTGCATAGTTTTTGCCTTTGCCAATTCCGGTTTCTTCAAGCTTTCCGGTTCCAGGGAAGAATTCTGTCATGTGAAATGAAGCAGTCATGACACGGTCTGTAGTGTAGAAAGCTTCTTCAACTCCATCGCCATGGTGAATATCAATGTCAATGTATAGAACACGCTGATGATAACGTAGCAGTTCCAAGATAGCCAGTACAATGTCGTTGATGTAGCAAAACCCTGACGCCTCCGTCTTCTTTGCATGATGTAATCCACCGGCCCAATTAATAGAAATATCTGATTCGCCACGAAGGAGCTTATTAGCAGCAGCTATAGTCATATTGTAGATGTTATCAACCAAGCTTTAATCAGTCATCTATATTGTGCTTATCTCATATCATTGTAAGAGGAAGGAAAAAAAGGCTTCTCACCACACTTACCAATTGAACCTCCAGCAGAAATGGAGCAAAACTCAAACAAACCATCAAAAACAGGGCAATCATCACCAAGATTGACTTATTAAATTATGAAAGAAAGGTTTAGTATAAATTTTCAAAATGAAGTTTCAAGAGCAGTCCTACGAAAATGTCTTAATGACCAGACTTACAAAGCTGCTTAGTTTGCTCTGACATCCCTTCACCACCAACCATCTCAGGTGCAAGGCGGTACAGGAAGTCAACATACTCATCGTTATGGAAACGAGTCATCTGCCTAGCAGTCGCTCGTTTCGGGCGCTACCGAAAATGTTAAATATATTACAAAGATGATATTGAGCTCATTAGGCTTTGGATGTTGCACCATCCCTACTAAGGCACATGCCTTGGATAACAATGATGCTTCAAGACTTACAATGACATCCATCTTCTTGTAGAGTCCATAGTTGGTTACTAAGCTATGGCACATACGCACTCGATGAGGCTTCATTGGATGACCTATTCAATTGAATTGATGGATAGAGATAAATAAGATAGAAGAGTTTAATCAGTGATATCACAAGAATTCATGTCGGAAGAGCAAGGGAAAAAGCTGTCTATAATATGGACAACATCTAGTGAAGCTTTACCATAACCATAGGTGTAATTTCCGACATCATCTAATTCGAATTACGGATACACATACATACGCAGAGAAAAATAAGAAATGTGAGTGACTATCAGAATCGAGACAATTCAGATCCTTGAAGCCTTGTCTTTTCTAAGCAAAATTGGTTAGAGACTCAATGTTTGAACAAACAAAGAGTGTTACCATCATAAAAATAAGAAACACGCTGCTTCTGAGTTGATCCTCCCCCAAGAGCAAATGAAGAAAACCCAGTCGTCATAATTTCTTTTGTACAGGGCCGATGCGATGAAGGAACTATCTTGAGGTATGCAGTATCGAGTATAGAAAATTAAAGAGTACAGGACACCGCGTTGAAAATAGATGCTTGTAGATATTTTTGATTTAGGAAATGAGGCTCAATCTCTTCCCTTTTCTTGCTCTTATTTTCTCTTCTTCTAACTTTGATTTCTTTCTTTTTGTTTTCTTTAGAAAAGGGGAAGGAGGACACTGATGCTTTAAGATGGTCGAATCTGCTTCCTTTGTGGAACACAGCTCAATAGTAAAAAAGGAAGAGAGAAGAGAAAAGAGAAAAGAGAAAAGAGTAAGGCTGTATGTGGTAGCAGAGCAAGAAATGAATGGGAAGGATTCACCCCAACTGGGTTCGTCGGTTCAGAAGAAAAGGAAAATGATGTGGATGGTAATTAAATAAATGCCAATGAGAATCGAGGAACATCCTCCACTTTTTTAAACACGCAACACATCAAAGGATCGGTGGCTTAGTCAATTGAAAACTCGTCGATTTTATCAATTTTATTGAATTACAAAAATATACAGTGTGGAATGAAAAGAATACAAAAAAAAATAAAACACACAAATCATTAGGGTTCAAAAATGCGTCGTAAGAAGCACAAAGATGTACTGTAAATACATGCCATGATAAGGAAGAAATAAAAAAAAAAGTCAGTGAAAGCGTTACACGCCTTGATTGTAGAATATTGCTGATCAGAAAAGATACTGGCAATAAAAAGCTTTTTGACCATATTATAGGAAAAGCATACAAGGCACTCTTTTTTTGAGGTAGAAAAATGCCATACATTATAGGAAATAAAAAGGGGAGGAGAGAGAGGCGACCAGTGTACTCTATCAGCGTTGGTATCAGTAGTGCTGTTCGACTTCCATGTCTGAGGACTAAGTAACAAAAGAAAAAAGCTGATTAGAGAGATACATGTTCAATGCAGGCATTTTTCAGCCAATCCCACCAACCACATGTAGGATGGGCACAGAAGTTTTGCCTGTAGTACAGAAGTAATCCACGAAAACGGAAATCCATGGTGTTGCCAAGAATGTTTAAAAGGAATGTGGCAAAGAAAAGATAGTTCATCTTTGTTTTGTCAACTTACAGAGTCATTGTCATCCGTGGGTTCTCCGAGGTTCGCCTGTAAGATCCGCACTCTGTTTTTGAGTTCGTTCTTTTGACTTAAAAGTCGCTGGATATAGTCCACCGCTACGTTAACGGAAAATTGGAAAAAAAAAAAAAAAAAAAAAAAAATTAGTTAAGATTGACTCTTGCTTTGCATCAGATCTTGTGAACAAAAAAAAAAAAAAAAAAAAAAAAAAAATATGCTCGTTACATTTCTGGAGGATGAGAGCTTCACTGCGATGGCATTCACTCAACGTGGGAACAATTTCGACTAGAGAATCAAATCCAATTCGGATGTTTTGTCGACGTTTCTGTTCCGATGCTATGTGATTAGCCTTCTTCTCGGCCTCAGTCAACAGTTCATGAGGTGCCTTTTTGGTCCTGGATTGTGTTGGCGCTTGAGTATGCGATGGTGAACGAGTACTTGAGGTATCAGAGCCAGACATTTGTCGATGACGGGTAGGTGAAGTGGTCACCTCTTGTTCACTCATTGAACTATTTCTGCTGTTAATACTCAATCCATTCCGATGCTCTTGAACTGGGTCTGGAAAAGGAACTTCCTCATTGTCATCTCTACCTTCAGTATAATGACCGTTTCGTCGGCCATTCACGTCAAACATAGTAGATCCGCTTGTCTTTCGTTTGCCATTAAGTCGTACAGGGTCATGTCCATCTCGACTAGATCGATGAAGGTCGTGAGCTGAGGACCCTTTACGCCCTGCTGTCTTTTTGGCTGAGGGGCCGAATCCATCATCATCATCTTGTGAGGGGTACTGAGATTGCAGTATATATCCAGGCTCGTAATGACCGCCAGGTGAGGATGGATAAGATCTTGGGGATGAGTGGCGTACCCCATTTAATGAATAAGGAGAAGGAGTCGAGTCATGCCCATCTGTCTCACCAAAGTGTAGACTTCCTTGTGATTTTTGTTTCGTGATTGTGCGTGTGTGGAGCTGAACGGGTGGATCACGATTATTGCGAGGATAGTATGGCTGCTGTTGGTCCGCATACTGACTAGGTGGCGAGCTCTGATGATATTGATGTTGCGACTCGTATGGATCATGAATGGGTTGATTTTGCTGAAAGCTGGACGTACGTTGCTGAAGCGCCGCTTGTTGATCTCGTATTTGTTGCTGTTGTAGTTGTTCCATTTGATGTTGCATCTGGCGTTGTTGTGCAAGTGCCATTGCTTGCGCAATAGCGCTTGCTTGGGCCATAAGAGCAGGATCTTGCAGAAACGCTTGACTCATTGCATGAGGATCAAAAACCCCACCTGGTGCCAAAAGAGGATTGGAGCTGATCTGTTGGATCCATTCGCGCTGTTGCTGGGCCAGTGCAGAGGGTGAATCTAATGGACGGGAATAATCACCATTTAAAGAAGAGGGTGATAATGGTAATTGAGGCTGCGACTGCCTATGAGGGACATGATGTTGGAGTTGATACTGTGACATGTCTCCTGTTCCCCCTGGTGGAGAGGGATTGGGACCTTTTTGACGCTCTTCCTGTGCTAATTGCCCTAGAAATGCAGAAAAGGCCTTTTGTTCATGGTCAGATAGAAGCGAAGAAAAGTTCATGGAAGAAGACTTGTGGTTGGATTGAGTTGTTGAAGTAAAAGAATAAATAAGACAGCGGAGTTAGCCTTGATTAGAGCAATTGCTTCAGGTGCGAATATGTAGTCTGAATATGTGGAGCAGTTGTGGAGAAAAACCAAGAAAGGTAAAATAAAAATAAAGATAAAAATAAAAATAAAATAAATAAAAAAGAATGATGAATGTGAACAGCAATGAATGTGAATGAGAGAATGAGGAAGAGTAGAAGAAAGGAAAGGAAAGGAAAGGAAAGGAGAGCAAGAGCGTGTGGAAGAAGAAGATGGTTTTAAAAACAAATGTGTGAACAGGAGTACAGGAGTGCTTAACAAAGTGTTGGGTAGGTGCAACCAACGGAAACATTCTCCGCCCCTTCTTCTTTCTTTCTTCTTTACTCTTTACTTCTTGTTTAGGCATGTAATGACAGCCCATTGTGGAGGACATACTGTGAACAGGGTATCTTGAATCAATACCAAATGTATCCTGAATCAGTACAACAAATAATATGTCTGTAAAATATTTGTTTATTATGGGATATCCATATACAAACATGTAGAGCAATATTTTATAAAAGGATTTATTGTGGAGCGCAGAGCGAGATCGACTGATTTGTTTACAATGGTGCATGAACTGGAGGATGGGGCGCAGAGCTAGAAAACAAGAACGAAGTGGAGAACTGCATTCAGGGACAAAAAAAGAAGAAAAAGAACATAGAATAAAATAATAATATCTATACTCTCGTAATATTTATACAAATGTGTATAAACAAGGGAGCAAGAGCGCAACACTCACTACAATATTGAAATGTTCCTTTCAGCTTTCCCGCTGCTAAACATGTGTTTGTCAGGAAAACAAGAAACATTGGGGAAAATGCAACGAGATGTGGGTACTTTTTTGGAAATACATGCAGCCCAGTGTCAATGGTAGACAGCTGTCACAACAAACCATTACCATTGACGCGATCCCTTTTTCTTTTCTTCCTTTTTTTTTGCTTTGACCGTTGAATGATTATTTTTGGTTCGTCAAAGAAAAAAAAAAAAAACAGCAATCAGTCAATGTCAATCTGACCTAACCTTTTATCTAGCTAACGGCGTTCATGAGCCCGTGAAAGACGCTACCCAAGAAATATCCCTCAGTGATGGCTGCAACAATTGACAAAAAAACCTGGTCAAAGACTCCGCTACAACCCAAAAGCGCCACAAGCATTGATTTGGCTTGTGCGACTGTCGCAGTTGTACACCAAGACCCACAGAACTGAGGAATGTAATCATTCACAAAGCACGCAGGGGTGTTCAAACGCCTGAACAAACTGGCAATAGATCAGCTGACCTTCTGTTTTTGGGCATTTGCGCCGTTGTCAATAATAATACACTCTTAATCGATACACGTACATTCCTATCTCTCTCACCTTTTCTCCTTTTTCTGGAACTCTTCTTTCTCTCATGCTACTCTTTCCTCCTCTCTCTCACACACTTTAATCATCACTGCTTTATTTTATCCACCCTGCTCTAGTCTTTTAAACCACTCTCTCAGCTTTTTTAACCTTTAATCTGTAACGAGTCGAAATCTGTTCAAATATTCATGGACAGAAGAATGGTAATACTCGAGCATACGAAAACTATGATTATTTTACTCACAAATTTGTGAAGGCAGAATCGATATCCCAATCATTGCTGCCTCGAGCGCTTAACAGCGCCAATGAGGAAACCTCGCTGCTGTCAACGTGGACTTAAACTTTTCAAGTCGTATTTGAGATGACATATGCGCAAGGCACATCCCGCCAATATTCCCAGCATCAGTCGCATCACGATCAAATACACCACACATCTGCGATAGTTATTTAACCGTGATAGGACTAATTCTAGGGAACTGGTGCAGTTGGTACGACTGATACAGTAGTTATGTGCATTGGTGGGATATTTATGAAAGTCACCTAGTAGTTTGGCCTGATACTATTGCTGTTAGAGACAAAGGCTTGAGCCTCTAATCAATCGATTTTTAAATTCTCGAACGACAACCATTTTAGATCAGTATGGGGATTCGGCAACATACCTCTAGCGAAAAAGAAGCCGGAAAGGTGTTTTATTTTTCTTTAGGGTGGGGGAAGAAGGAATGAAAATGAGATGTGAATGGTGGACATAGTTCATCGTGATGATATAGCTGAATATGATTTTTTTCTTCCTTGACATGCAATAGACGGAGTTGATGCAAAGTTAAATGGGCAAATTTGCCCGTTTTACGGTCCAAGAGATAACCTCATTCTGCCTACTTTCCGTTTTATCCTTCTTTTACCTCTCTGCACACGAAGCGGGAGTCATTCTCTTTCTTTTTTTATTTTTCCCATTCAGATAACTCATCGACATCCAAATTTACTTCATTCTGAATCCTTTTGAAATACTCGAGTAATTTACCATATGTGTATTGACAATCCCTATATTGTTCAATCCAAAGGTACTGGTAGTAGTATGTTAATGATAAATCAAGCTGAGAGCCTTATAAGGTTGTAGACAGGGTCTTGTATGACCGTAGGCATGTACTATACTGAGAACCTTATTTTACAAGACCACAGATTTGTGCTGCTGAGAATCCTATTAGATCGTAGGTACTACTTGTAGACCAACAGAGCATCGCGCCAGTCAAATCCCCCGCTGAAAAAAAAAAAAAAAAAAAAAAATGCATTGGCGAAATCACCGATCACTTTTATTCTATCACAAGATATCATTTTCTTGCTGTTGACCTTACACATTGTACGTGTCATTTAGATAAGAGGCCAGATTTCGTTTCTTACTCGTCCCAAAGATCTAGTTCAGAAATCTCATCCATATATTACACATCTCAAATATCTCCAGAGAAGGAACCTGAGGATTGTCTCCCATCTGAATGGCTTGAATCGATTCAACAACATTTCTAAATAATTATGAGCCTATGATGGAGTGGGCCGGATATCGAAGACTGAAAAGATATAGACAAATTATTATTCGACTATAACCTTGTCGATTGAGACCGTTTCACTTTTTTGTATGGACAATATTTTCAGTCGTGAGCAACGATTTTCACCGGTAGATCTTGCGCCACGGCGTAAGGTTTTTTTTCCGGTACGGTGCACCACTACTCAGAAAATCCTCGCTGTCGGTGGTTTCTGGTACGGTGTATCAAGGGCGGAGCAGGATATTTTTGCGCTAGGATACATCATACCGCTACTTGTAGACCAGCGGTGCATTGATGACGAATATTTGTAATTCTAGAAACATACAATCGTTGAATTCGAATCCTTGCCACACAAGCACAGGCATTTACATGTACAAAAAAACCACTTTATAAAATATAAAAAAAAAATAAGGATTCTACACATCACTTTAGGATGGCGCTCCAAGTGTAAAACAAATGAGTATGAGTTATGATATGAAATGCTTAGAAAGGCAGAGTGCTCTTGGTCTTTGTCTTTTCTGCTGCCTTGGCCTAACGACGTGAGTATTTAAATTGAATCGATAATCAGCTGTCAATATCATCATAGCAATAATACTGATTCTTCTTCCTCCTTGATCAGAATGCTTAGCACAGCAGTCAAGAAAGAGAAGAAAGGAAAAAAAAAAAAAAAAAAAAAAAAAAAAAAAAAAAAAAGCACCTTTTTCCAGGTTTCAATTGTCTTGGGCATCTCAGCGATAGCCTTGGCAATTTTTGCCTTCCTAAATATTATTAATCCCATTCAAAAAAAAAAAAAAAAAAAAAAAAAAAAGAAGTAAGGAATGACATGTATACTCATGGATCAAATAATACAAAGTAGTCGTGTTTGAATATCCTGGATCCCTTATTTCACCATCTTATATATATACCTCAGCGGGGCAGTCCTGTCATGCTTGCGACCCTTATCTGGCTTACCCATCCGCACAGTCTTTGTTGATGCTGGTTTTGGAGGTGGCAAGTTCAAGAGCTGTGCCGCAGGGATGGGTGCTCCTGTCTCGGGATGGGTGGCAAGAGCAATACCAGCTCTCTCCAGACGAGCCACTTTTTTACGGATATCAGCCAACACTCGAGCTGAAACCTTGGCCTCCTGCCAACGCATCCTTGTGCGTTCTCCTGTAGCGGTCAGTATTGAAGGCGCTCCTGATTGTGATGACGATCCTGCTACTTTATTAGAGGCTTTTGATGAAGAAGCCTTTGCGGTTGCTATTCCAGGGACAGCAACCCATTGGTGAACATAGTCTGAAGCGGGACGAACCCTAAGACCAGCCAGAGTCTTATTGAGGGCCTTTGGGTGTGACAAGAGCTTCCGGAGGCCGGCAGCAGTTGCGGAGGAGGAGGATGTGGAAGACATTGCCACCACTCTTGCTGGAGACGCCATGATGTTTATTCTAATTTATCTGAGCAATAATTTCAAGAAGAGAATTATTTGTAAAAAGGAATGCGAATGCTACTAATGCCAACGGCGCCTCTAGGCTTAATGAATGCAAGGCAGGAACAAGTTTTGGCTTCAGAGATCAATGTTTTTGTGGGTGGCTTGTCGATTCACCTATGCACGTGCAAATTTTAAGTTTATAAATATTATATTTATTTGTTTGGACTAAACATTTCTAACCCTAGTTATCAATAGGAAGTAGTCGTGTTCACAGCAGACTCCCGAGTTTGATTATGGAACATACTTTCCAGGCCACAGTCACTACCATTTCTACGGATGCTCAGTCTTTTTGGGAGTGCGCTTGAGGTCGATTGGGACATGAATGTAGATGAGGTAGTTATAGTGGTGGAAGGATAGTTATCAAGAGCGCTTTGGCTACGGCGAGAGCCTTGGTGATGAGGCTGATGGCCATGAGAGCTTACAGCGTTATTATTTTCTAAAAGTGCCAAGGGCGCGCCACGGCCGGTTGCCCACTCAATGCCTAGATCACCTTCAAACCCAAGTCCTGCCAAATAATTGGACGTGTCCTCGTCAAATTCTGGGTGCAGTAGATTGGATTTGACGTGATCGCCGAATCGCCGTAGAGTTGAGATCACTGCTGCCAGAAGGTTAGAGTCGCGTTCTCCGCTACATGATATACGCCAGTGTCCAGGATAGTAGCCGATGTCAGTAACGAAGCAGACCAATGGCAATGAAGAGGAAAACCATCAAGACATACATATCATTGTTACCTTGTCTGCCCTTGGCGTTCACTTTCTGCACCTTGATTCGAGCTTGGTTTAATGGCTTGAGTACGGGGAGCATCATCTCGTAAATTGTCCGGAACAGTTGGCGGGAAATGTACTTGCATTGGGTCAAGATGCTCACTATGCACTGATTCTATAGGGACAGTAGATGCTGCTGTCACCGCCGAAAAAGGTTGATGTGCCTTTCCATAGTCCTGATAGCTGGTCCTATGCCATGCCTGTAGCCTCTTAAGAGCTTCCAATGAAGATGCAGAAACTTGTTGTTTGATCCTTTTCATGTTTGTAGCATTGCTGCCCATCGAATCAACGGAAGAAGATGCAATCGTATTGGTACACGGGTTCTTGTTTATGGTCGTAGAATTGGACCAGGAGCGGCGTCTCATTTTTACTGGCGTGTTATCTGACAAATATTCCGGGACGAGAGTCTTTGATAGACCAACTAAGTCTGTGTCATCATAGGAAGCATGGCGTGCCAGTGCCTTTATGGGATTGATCTGGAAACGTCACAAGTATTACTCTTTACTCTTGAAGCCTTATATTCATGTTACTTTTTTTTTTTTTTTTTTAAAGATAAAATATAGTCCAAAAAACTTACATGTGAACTGTCATCCAAATCTAGCTCCACTTCGCGCGATCTAAATGTACTCAAAGCACTTTCAAATACTTGCAACCAACTTTGCTTGGCAGGGATATCAATCACCATGGCATCAATGTCCTCCATCTCCGCTTCGTAAATATTACATTTTGAGAGCTTGGATGGACCGGGGCGTCTTTTAGAGTACTTTGAGGTACTAGTCGCAATAGTAGCAGTAGAGGGAGGTGGGGACGGTAAATGATGATGAGAGTGAGAGTAACCCAAAGTACTGCGTTGTGTGCTCGGAGATGCAGCCAACAGCTGCTTTTGGTGGGATGAAGGGACGTAGCGATCCTGCAAGAGAGAAATATTGTTGATTACAGTATCAAATTCACCTGGGGAAACAGGACCTTTTGATTTTGTAACCCATCCTTTTTCGCTCCATTGTTCTCTATGCTTTTGCTGACGCTGCCGGTGCTTGATTGATGAAGATGTGGAAGAAGAGCTTTCCCACCCAGTATACAGCTCAGACTCATGGTCAGAACCCACACGAGACGAAGATGGAGTGCTAGTATTCATTACAAAGTTACCAGCACCATCATGGAAGAGCATCTGGGTATGGAACCTGTTTCCAACTCCACTTAAATGCTGTGCAAAAGACGGATGTATCATATTATTGAGCGAAGTCGTTGATGGAGATGATCCCGTATAGGGCGATGCTGGGGTAATACGGCGTGCAGAGAGTCGCGGCGTGGCCGTATTAGAAGATGATAAGTGACCTTCGTCATCGTCCTGTGACCAGATAGAAGGATCTTCAGACTCGCCCTCTATGCTTTCTAGACCCTCACTGGTAAAATCAGAGTAGCTCAAAGTACCGATACTGCTGGCTCTATCTCTACGACGACTATGTGTTTCATGCAGTCGAAGTGACATTGCATCTCTACCACGTGGGCCAATAGCTGTTGTTGCCAATTCAGTAAGACTATCACGGACATCGTCCCCTTCATCCGAAGACAGGGTTCCGGTCTCATGAGTAAAAGTTTCAGTACTATTACTCCTGATACTGCCTGTGACAGCCCCTGATAGGGAGGGTCGTTGATGACGCTGACCTAATACGAAACTCCATTCCTGCGCACGCTGTTGCTCCTGGTGCAAATACAACTGTTGTCGCGCCCGCGCCCGAGCAGCACCACTAGTGTTATGGTGACGGATGGACGTCCATTCTTGATCTAATGCATCGTCAAGGAGGATATCGTCTGCTGGATTGATATGAGATAAGGCTGCTGCATGTGACGAGCTAGATAATATCGATTCACTCGTATGTTTACCAGCAGTTGCATGCTGTGATGCAGGCAAGTCCTGCTCAGATGAGTATCCGCCAGTTTGACGGTTGTAGTGTGTGCGCTGCTTGTATGTTGCCATGGTTGGTCTTTACTGTTTAAAGTCGAGACGGGTGTGATGAAAAATGGGCGAGTAGACTTTTACTAAAAATATTAAGAGTTGTAAGGAAGATAAAGAGTTGGTGAGTGCGAGAGTGAGATTATTTATGAGAGGACGGCATCAGCGACAGAACGAGGGTGAAAGAGTGTGGATGAATGGGTCTGAGAAAAAGGAGTAAGTCTTTTTTTATCAAACAAAAAGAGATAAGACACCACACGAATTCGTTCCCGCACATACAAAATTTAATTAGACACATGCATACCGCATGGCGTCGGATAGAAGAGCAATGAGATGAGGTTAACAAAAGGTGGGGCAATAAGCTGGCATAAATGAGGCAAAAAAGAAAAAAAGCCCTTTGTCTCTTTGTTTTAATCGATGAAAAGGAAGTGGCTCAACCGATGATATATTTATTTGATGGGTAATGGACAGCAGTGAGGAACGAGTCTAAATCATTTTTGGTTTGCTAATTGGGGATGATAGTTGGATGCATCATCGATAATGATCTTGGGAGCATTTCTTTCCCTTCCACAGCATGTATCAGCCCCTTGCAAATGGTGCAACATCTGAATCCTCTCTCACTGTCGTGATTCTGAACGTTGCAGTCGTGATTTTCATTTGTGCAATGTTCATTCACTCTACCCCTTCACTCGTTCTCATGTAAACCACACCACAGAGCAACAGCAAAAACTACCCCTAACCCATGTTGAGACTGATATCTCTTTCTCTGGAAAGAATGCATATCGTAGTGCGGCCGTGCGATCAATAGCCAATGGGCAATGAACAAATGCTCCCAGAAACAGAAAGTATAACCGAAACCAAGGACCCTTTTTTGGTCAAAATGCGTTGTGAGTGACGGCTCAATCTAGCATGACTTCTTACTGTAAACTATGTGAACGGAGTTTTTTTTTTTAAAAGTGGTTATAGCCTACTTTGATTGCTACTGTAATCAGATGGAGATGGAAAAGGGAAAGAAATGAGCTTGACAGATGATTGTAATGTACTCATGCACAAAAAAGAAAAAATATAGACCCATGGGACTCATGGACTGTTATATCACTCATCGTTGGGTAGGTCATTCGCCCAAAGAAATTGTGTCACCTTCTGAGCTGAGCACAGTATGACAAAAAAAGTCACAAACCCCACCTTTTGGAACCTATGATGAATTGAATGATGAATGATTTCATATTTATCATTTGCGCTGTTGCTGAACAAGGCGAAACAGATCTGCTACAAGATACAACGATCCACAGAGGATCACCACATCATCTTCCTGACGCTGAGTCCCAACCCAAGCAAGTGCAGCCCTCAGATCTGTACCAAATGAACGTATCTCCAACGATCCCCAACAATTCTCCTTTTGTTGGTCCCGTCGCTGCGTCAAACGGTCGCAAACTTCCTGCGCAGCAATCGACGATACCCACGGCATGCCCTCTGGTGGAGTAAACTCCACTGCTGAGAACGTATTTGTTTCAGATCCTTGATTTTGTGGATGTAAATGTTGAAAGAGTAATATATCAAACATTTCTTCAATATCTTTGCCCTTCGTTAATCCCACAATCCAATGTATTCTTGGTCGAATTCCCGATAACAGAGATCTCCTAGCGACATGCTCATTCACAAATGAACGCAGTGCAACGGCTGCTGCAGGATTGTGAGCCCCATCGATCAACATCTGGCCGTTAACTTCCTTTGGTGCAACTGTATCCTCAACCCACTGCAACCTCCCTGGCCAAACCGTTTCCTCCATACCCTTGCGAATAGTTTCCTCTGTGATCTTTTGACTCCAAATCATATCGCTTTTATCGTTCTTTCGCAGCACATCAATCGCTCTAATAGCCGCAGCCGCATTCTCCAGCTGGAAGTCTCCCAGCAATGGTAACCAAAATTTAAATCCGTCATCCTCTAGCTCTGCCCAATGTCCTACTGGATTGTTGGACCTCAAACCAAACGAAGCGGCCTTTTCTGCGCTGATCAAACACGCCGGCTTCGCTTTAATAACTTTGTTCAATGGTAATCCTACACTTATGGCCTTATCTTCCAAAATTTTATAGACCTTCTCTCCCTCCACTTGAAAAGAAACGACAACAGGGACTCCCTGCTTAATAATCCCTGCTTTCTCTGATGCAATCTCTTCGATAGTGTTTCCCAATACAGTCCCATGATCCATTCCAATGGACGCAATTACACAAACTTTGGGATTTGGCACAACGTTAGTCGCATCCAATCGCCCACCTACGCCGACTTCAATTACTGCAATATCTACCCGTTCTTGTTCCTTCCCTGCCTTTAGCTGACGATTTGGATCATGGCTACGACCGTAAGCAAACCAGTAAAACGCGACGGCGGTCAGAATCTCAAAGGAAGTCGCCTTCAACTCTAACTCCCTGTCTTTTTGCCTGACGACTTCAGTGACATAGTCGTAATCGCTCTGAGATATGGGCTGATTATTGATCTGGATCGTGTCACGAGGAGTAATGAGATGTGGTGAATTGTAGCGACCTACACGGAATCCTGAAGCCTGAAGGATCGATGAAATGTAAGCACAAATGGACCCTTTACCATTTGTTCCTGCGACGTGAATTATAGGGTATGTGAGATGTGGGGCAAGATCATATGCGTTTGCAGAGGTCGATGGGGGCTTGAGTGCTTCAAGCAATCGAGTAACACGATTTAATCCGAGATCCATTTGTAATGTAGTTCAAAATTTGCAAAGAAAGGTGAATAAAAAAGCTTTCATAGATTTTCGTTATATTACGCCAAATTTTTTGTTTTAATTCTTTAAATGTGGAATCCTATGCGCGGGGATTCTCCTCAGGCTCCGGTTCGACGAGGCCTTCTTTAACTAACATGGACTCTAGTTCACCACTTTGGTGCAGATTAAGCATGATATCGCAACCTCCAATGAACTCGCCATTGATGTAAACTTGAGGAATAGTAGGCCATGATCTAATGTCATCAATAGTAAGCATAGGGTAACTTTAGTGTCAACATGAACACGACTTTTTTTTTTTGATCCAATGCAAATATTTCCTTTCACGACGTACGAGTATTCTTTAATACCGCTACGGAGCTCTTCATCAGCCAAGATATTGAAAGTTTTCAAGGACTTTTTCATATCGACACCTATTCATAATCGTTAATAAAATAAATCAATGACATGTCAGAAAGCTATTGATATCTTCTCATTTTCTATTTTTCCTCTCTTATTATTCAGATCGAACTCTTTCTTGAGTTTTTTACCTTGAACTGTAAGAATTTGCATGACTGCACGGCTAAATCCACACTATGAGATAAGAGTGTAGGTGTGAGCATTAGTATTATGGCCGCATCAAATGCTGAAGGTTTTGTTTCTTATATGCTGCCTCTTTTACCTGAGGCATATCAGGAGTTCCTTTCATAAAGACGACAAGCTTGTTATTGTGTATTGCCTACCAAAAAAAAATAAAATAAAATAAAATAAAAATTAGTAGCTCCTTAATAAGGCGTAGTATTAAACTCATAAAAAAAAGCAAACATACATCCTCAATAGTCTTCTTGGTAGAATCGGAAAGGTGGCGGACAGCGAAGCTGGTAGCAGGAAGGACTGCACGGCGTGTTAAAAGTTGGCTGCTTGGACGGAGGGCCTACCAAAATTGATATAATGATGGAACATTTTTCAGTGCACTAGCCACCCGTACTCTGCTGAATTTCTCAAAGTTCCTTAGTAAAAAAAGCATGCTCCAACGATTTATACCCATGTGGCAGTGCGAAGGAAACTCATGGTTGACAATGCGTGAATGCGGTTTTAAAAAAAAAAAAAAAAAAAAAAAAAAAAGGGACGAGAAGAAGGATTCGATCCTCTCATTTGTCATGGTCTGGTCGGAATATTTGAACCCAACCTGGATTCATAAGCCAGCCACCCACATCATATCAATTCACTTAAATCCCTACTTCATTTTCTCTTGCTTCATTGGCAGATTATTATGTATTTTAATAACATTATTGTAAAATAGAAGAACACCAATATCACTATGACCAGTCCTCGCGTCGAAGCGTGCGAAGACTCTTTTTAGGAGCAATATTGCCAAATGATGCATATTCACCAGCATAGTCTTGTACACCTTCATTCGAGTTTCTGGGTGAATGTCTTGAAGGCTCACAATTATGCAACTCTCTATTGCTGGCGATTCGAGAGCTACTGGTGGATATGGATTCACCAGTTGCCACTGTTGATGACATAGCTCTAGGAGATGCAGATCTTGCCGCATTATCCGGACCAAAGATATCACCGTCTCTCATATTACTGGACAGGATAGGTGAATCAGGCAGACCACGAGGGTTATCGTTGTCGCGGAACTTTGCGTGTGGAGATTCCATTAAAGTAGGGTCTTGCAATCGAAAAGACTGAAGCGCTACATTTCGATCCTGAACTGAAGGAGGAAGGGCAGCGGAGGCGTAGGGATGATTTATGTCGGAATGGTCTATATTATGGTGCGTATACTGATCAACAGGGTTGATGACCCAGAGCTCTCCCTGTTGCATGTCGTGGTTCCAGACAGTGCTATTATACATGTTAGAATCATTGTAATAATCCTCCGGTGCAGTATCCACAGGTGGAGCATTGTTGTTTATGCGTTGTGGTAAGTTTCGATCAAACGCAGCTCGATTTCTGCCCATCGAACTAGTCGTTGCATAATGGGCTGCCATAGGGAGGTGAGGAAGATCTTCGTGATAAATAGCCGGATTGGAACGGTATGCCTGGTGCGAAGACGACCCTTCGTAGGGACCATAGCCACCACTGTTGTAGGTTTGTTGCTGTTGAACAGGATAACCGGTATTAGACTGCATTTCATAGTTGTATACATCATCATATCCTCCTGAAGTTGTGCTATTTAGACCAATGGCCCCACCGCTCGTAGTGGGACTACTACTGGCTAGGTACCCATGGCTAGCATATTTCTTCGGCGTGTCACTCATTTCTTGAAGGGTATCAAAATTCAGCTCTCGGCTCTTATGGTGACGGCGATGATAGCAGATAATGCAAGAAGCGATGATAATGATCAGGGCCGTAATACCAATGATTGAACCCACGATAACGGGGACATTGGTAGGGCTAGAAGATGAAGAGCCAGCATCAGACGAAGCTTGGGGGGATTGCGAAGACGACTGTGAAATAGACGGAACTAAATCAGTAGTAATGGGATTGACTGGCTGAGTAGTTGAAGGGATGGAAGATAAAGTTGCAGAGCTGAAAGTAGTTGTTAAAGAGGGTATGGTGAAAAGAGTGGTTGTCGTTGTAATGGTCGTTGTGACTATGGTGGTTATTGGAATAACGGTTGTAGTAGTGGTGGTTGAGAGAGTGCTGCTTGAGGGAGTAGTATTGATTGTGGTTGTGGTTGGAGAGGATACCATTGGCGTAGAACCATCAAAGGAGCTGGATGGCCTCCGAATGGTGCCTGAACTACTAGATGTGGTGCCCTATCAATGCAAGTTCTGATGAGAAAAAATAATATGTGTACCTTGAATAAGCAAGTCTTATGACCAAGTTTGAATCCATACCTGTGCCTCCACAGGATGCAGCACGGCCAGCATGACCAGAACAGACAAGCAAGAAGGAATGAAAGAAAGCATGGTTATCGAGGGCTTTGGAATCCCTTTTTATTTTATTTTCGAATTATTTTTTTTGGTGGTCGGTGGAATGAGTGGAGAAGGAATGTGAAGACAATTGCCAGAAGTTAATTCTGCAACAATGAGAATTGAACTGCTGGAATAATAACAATGAGATTTGGAGAGTGGAATGATATTTTGTCTTGGATAAGTTGTAGAAAGAGGAAGGACGAAAAAAGCAAAAAAAAAAAATAATAATAATAATAATAATAATATATAATGAAATAAATTGCTTTGATCCTGTTTCTGAGTCTTCAGTCTTCAGGGCGTTGCTGTTATTTTCTATTAAATAAATACATATTCAAATGTATAATAAATAATTCAAGTAAAATGTACATTAATGGAGACGTACCCTGTTTCAGAAAAGACGTCTCAATTAGCGAGTCGAGTCTTGTGGTTAAAGCCCCTGGAGATCTGATTGATCACATTGGCGAAATCTCCCAAGTACATGTAACACGAAATACCGTTCGACCTTTCAACTGATTTCATTCAGGGACCATCTTACATTCGTGATCTAGTCAAGGGAGAAGTGAATAGGCAAAGGAATGTATCAAAAGTATATGCATGAGACATCTGCCAAAGTCCTTGATTTAACCTCCTTGGACATCTCAAGTACACTTTCATGGCCATGACAACAAATCAAAACTACCAAAGCCCTTAATACATTCGAGTTATGCAATAATAATAATAAGAGGTCGTAATTAAGATAGTTAAGAGCGGTGGATGCATGCTTACTGTGCTTACTCTAGCATGCCCAGTTATGAATGTACTGTGACACGAAGCAAAAACGTTATTGCATTTAGACTTTCAGAGGAGATCATGTCAAAAATAACATTGTTACATGTATATCTGTATAATATAAATATTATATTTATGGCTGTGACGAGCACTCTAAAGCCAATTGAGAACAGCTTTGGCGATCTCCATTTGGATTTTGGCCGAAGGGTGGAATGCATCCCAAAAAAAGTGCTTGCCTGGATTTTTACATACATTCTTGTAGTCAATGCTGACACATCCATGTGTGACATCGGTGATGCCTAGACGCCTCAGCTCCTTGGGCTGGTAAAGATAAGCAAAAAACTTGGTCAAGTCGAAAAATGCTATTTTGGCCTTTTCTTTGTCATGAAAATTGCAAGTGCGGAGAGAACCTGGGCCTGCAAGACTGCCATATTCCTCCTTGACTTCAGCGGCAAAAATGCCAAACTCAGCTTGCTCTTCCTTGGCTTTTTTACTGTACGCATCGGCCAAAGAAGTGTTCGTAATGGCGTATGGAATCAATCCAATGTTCTGATTTTGAATTACTAGGATTCTTCGTGCACCCATTGACACGAGACGTTTGATACCGGTATGGATCCTGTCGACAACAGCAGACGGATCCAAGGAGATGTCGAAAAAGAAGTCGTTGCCTTGAAAATTGATCACAAACACACTTTCAGCTATAGCCCTCTGAGCATATTTGGATGCATAAATATCGAGCTGCTGAAGGAAGCCTGGGACAAGAATGTTCGAGTTTTGGCCAGTCAATCCTTGAACAAGATCTGAATCAGTAGTGGCACCTCCATAGGCATAGTTAACCACTTGGTAGTTCCTAGCTTTTACAACCTGGCAGAGCAAATACAAAGCGATATCAGTAGATATGTCTATTGGATACTTTTAAAGGGTATACGACACTTTTTTCTAAGGAACGTAAGCGTGATCATACATAGTCGGGCCACGCAGGTCCATTGGAGAAGCGACCTTTGTAATAAAAAGGGGGAGGCCAGGTTTTGTTTGACAACTTGTAAACATTGCCAGATTCAGAAAATGAGTCTCCGAACACGACCAGTTTCTTGAGGGTGCATCGTACGGGCGTCGCGAGTGCTGAAGGCAGCGAAACTGCCACAGCGACAACAGTCATGAAGATGAATTTGACCAACATGGCTCTGAATAATGTGGAGTGTCTAAATGGATGGAAAAGGAATGAAGAAAAGAAAAAATTGTTCTTCAAGGTTTAGTTTTAGGTAAAAAAGAAAAAGGAAAAAGGAAAAAGGAAAAAAACTATTTTTACCACTTTTTTCTACCACCATTTTTACTGTCAGTAAAGCATCGATCTCCAACTCACCCGATCAATCGTCCAAGCCCGCTCTCTTAGATCTAGACTCAACCAGTCGGGACAACGTGCTCATAAAAAAAAAAATTGACGGAACGGACAGATTCCAGTCTGACCAAAATTCAGATCAATTGTGTGCTTGTCAACGATCACAAATGAGAGAAAGGTACCCATAAACCCTCTTGAGTAGGCTTTGTCCATAGATGATATAAGATGCAGTGCCCGCCACAATTGTCTGAGTTTTTTGCTCTCCATATTTTATAATCTTTTATTGCGTGCTCACAACGAAGTGGATTAAGATTAAAAAAGTGAATGAACATAACAATACGAATAATAAGCAACATAACCCAGTCCTAGGGCTAACATCGTCACTTCTAGTGTGACAGGTTGGCGAAAGACTTGGGATCCCCTGCTTCTGTGGTGAATATCTGCCTAAATACCGCCAAAGATATCACAAGAAAATCAGCGGGCCGTGCGAGGAAGGTTGGCGGTAAATTGGCTCTACTTCTTAAACAAGAACTCTGGCGTAGTCTACCTAATTATTCTGTTGATGCTCAAAAGAAAGCCGACAAACAACCCCAAAACCCTCTATCAGACACCACCATCAGGAGATGTCTCAAGAGAATTGGTATGAAGGCAGGAAAGATAGCGAAGAAGCCTTATCTTAAGAAGTAACGCATAGGGAAGCGTCTCTACTCACATACACCAATGATAGACTCAAGATAAGAAAGCTGTCGTTCGGTCAGGTAGGTCCAAAATCAACCGTGTCTGCTTAGATAGGATGAATTAGATCTAGGATGACCAAGAAGCCATCAATGAGCGGACTGCTCAAGGAGTAGTGAAGTTTAGTGGCAGGAGCCATGGTACGGAGCTGTATTTCGTGGGGCGGGTCTGGCCGGGCCTGTAGGGTTGGGGAGCATAAAGGAAAACATATAAAGCACTAGCCGTATAAATCACCTCCGGGTGAAGCACTTTCTAGAGAGTATTAACATAGCTGACAAAACGACTTGATTACCTTTTAGTGATGATATTGACACTAGGAATGATGACATTGGCCCCACGGTTGGGTATGCTGTTTATTATTCATATCGCTATACTTACTCAGTTTTTTTTTTTATCTCAATCCAATTCGCTTTGAGGATGCAAAACATTTGATCAATTGTAGCGAGCATTGTGGTAACTATGGAGTGGTTCATTTGGTCGCGCCACAATTGGACGAAAATATATTTTTATTTACAAGCAATCACAACTCTGTTTTTCTCCGCTGCCTTTTATCTTCGTCCTTACCCTCGTCTTTCTCAGTACTCTTGGGCCTCTTGGGGCCCTCTAGCATATCCAACAAGGCCGCAAAGTCAACACTCGACAAAAACTCGGCTTCTTTGCTCTTTTCCTCGTCATCTTTAGACTGTCTTGCCAATTTCTTATCTTCTTCCTCAATGAGAGCATCATTGATCAGCTGTATAATATCTTTTTTATTGTTGTTTTTCCTGGACAGCTTGCTGACATGCGTCTTTGACTTCGATTCAACCTCCTCCTCTATCCTTACATCATCCTTGCCTTTTGCTCCTGAAGTTCCGAAAATTGATTCTAGAAGCGACTCTACTTCCAAGTTCTGAGCTTGATCGTTCTTTTCCGCATTACTATCCGCAAATCTACCAATGCGTTCTATAGCCTCAATTTGGCCCTGGCTCATATAAGGCTTCAATTCCTTAAAATATGCGTCGAACTCGGCGAGAAGGTCATCAAGCTGTTTACGCCTAGCAGCTGCTTCCGCCTCATCGATCAAAGAGGCCATCTCCTTAAAACCAGAGGGCATTTTGGTGCCGATAACATTGGTCTTGTCAATCAGAGTGTCCTCCTCTGTATGGAGTCGCTGCTGCCCAAGCTTAATCTGCGCATTTACCCCTTGAAATGCCATTGCTTCAGTCTTATCATCAACGGCCTCGGGAAGGGTAGCCTTATACTGTTGATATTGCTCATCCGAAACGATGCGCCTACAGTCGATTTTGTTGGCTTCCGGAGCTGGAATAAGCTCAAATGCTGGGTCTTTGCATAGTGCTGATGAGTAGATCACCATTGTGTAAGTGCAGATAGAAGGCTCAGTGACTTGCTGAATGCGATCATCAACATTGGCGCATTGGAACTAACCAGAATCAGCGTGCAAAGGATCTGTGTGTAAGATTCTCTGGGAGAGCAATCTGGTGCGACATAAGAGTAAACAACAAGACTAAATATAGAGCAATCACTTGATATATTTACCTGAACTTCAACCTTTCGCGGTACGCCTGTGAGGTCGCAGATTTCACCATAGTCCCAATGTTGGACGAGGTATTTCCGCTCGTCGCTTGCGCCCAGATCTGTGGAAGTGGCGACACGCCTTTTTGATGATGCTGATGTTTGTCGCCCTATAGATTCGCCATTGTTTGGTTGTGCCTGAATCTCAGATTGCGCAGGCTGGTAATTTGCAAGGACATGTGTCGCAGCTTCACTGGTCGGCTCCCACTTCCCATTTACGTTGTGTGCGTGATACTGTCGGATGCGCTTCTTATGGCAGTATTCATAAGTCCAATATCCATAGATCTATTATGCATTGCAGCGTTCATCAGTCACTGGAAAACTTTGTTCAATAGGGCTTTTTTTTTCTTTTTCTTTTTTTTAACTTATCATGACCATTGCATACCATGTAGAGACAACGACCTGTCAAATGGTCTAGGAGTGCCAACCCTCGCCTGATACTTTGCTGCTTCTCCTCTTTCAACTCCTGAGGGGTCTTCTGAGGTTCTTCTTTGACTTCTTCAATGTGCGCCTCAGGGATGGAGCAGGTCCAGCGCTGACCATCAGTATCGGTCATAATTACGCTAGAAGCAGGTACCACGCTACGTATAGGAGATTCCTTGTCACTTTTGCCTCGATTCTGATCCTGTGTCTCGGGCTTGGCAGTTTCAATTTGAGGCATGTCTTTCACAAGCTTCAAAAGTCAGAAAACAAGCCGTTAATTTTTACTGTCTAGTGTAGCCTATAGGCTTTATAGAGGCACAGACATTACCTGCTGACGATGCATGTTTCCGAGTCGCATTCTCTCGACGCCGACAGCAGATACTGGAACGAGCTCGTCCAGAAACTGCACATGGTATTGGGGGTGTGCAAGAAGGTCATTGAAAACAAATCCGGCCGAGTAACCCAAGCCTGCAGCAGGTGTGAAGAGGTAAAAAGAAACAAGGGCTGTGAATGACGCCTGGGATGGAGAAATGATCTTGAGCCTCATGTCAAAGGGAAATGTCAGAAAAAAAGAAAGCGAGAGTGTGTCAACTGCATGCATAAAGATACTCATACCTCCAAGCACACTATCTGGCTATTGCTCATTGGCTAGTAGTATATCACATGACTATGTAATGACCTGATATATCCATGATATAATTAATAAGAAGCCAAGGAGCCATTTGTCCAGGCACAGACCTCAAACAGAAGTGGAGTTCATTCTGAACAGGCGGAGGACAGGCGTGCGCCTCTGGCCTGGGTTTGTGGAGCTTTCATCTTAAGGGTATGAAGGGTGACGAACACGCTCAGAAAAAAAGTCCTTTTCTTCGTTTCTCTTCTCTCTCTCCTCTCTCTCTTCCTCTCTCTTCCTCATTCCAAAATATATCGCCAGTTTTTTTTTTTTTATTTTATTTTTGTTTTCCTTCTGATCTGATCTTGTACAAATTTCAATCATCGACTGCTCCCACCCCTCCAACTTTTTTTTTTTTTTTTTATTTCTTTTTGTGTTTGCTGCTACTGCCTACTACTTCCACTGTTACGAAGCAGAAGACAACAATAACAAACAAGACAAGGCAAAAAACGACTACATAACATTGAAACTTCACATCAAACAGATCGGATCCATTATTTTTCTCTTCAACACATTTTTGGTCTCATTCGATCTCGTAAAAACCACCAGCTCTGCACTCTTGTGCCCCCCTTCCGTCCTCCATCTCTTTCTCCTGATTTCTTGATTTCCTTTGACTATTCTCACGCGACACATATTCAGTCGTTTTTTCTTTTTCTTTTCTTTTATTTCCTTTTGTTATTTTTGTTTCTCGTCACTTTTCATTCTGTTTTCTTTATTGACGAGGATTTTACATCCACGCGACGTTTAAATTGAAACTTTTTTTTTTTTCAACCTCGTTTCTCGATCCTTCATCAATAGCCCATTAAATCATCTTTTTGTTTCTTATTGTTTTATCTTCATTCCCTCTTTTTTCTATTCCTTTTTTTGTATTCATCATCTTGATTTATTTCTATATTTTTGTAAGCCTTTGACCACTATTGAACTCCTCTCCGTTTTAAATTACGATGGCCACCAATCAACAACAACATATGGCGTAAGTTGATGTGTGAATTTAACGACTTTTTTATAAGTCAAACAATCCATTAATTGAACATGAACTTTTTTTGTTCATCTTAGCCACGAAAATGATAGCTGGAAGAAGCAGTTGAGCCTTCCAGCAAAAGATGACCGGCCCCAGACAGAGGTAAAGTTACATCTGACTGCTCAATAGAGTTATTCGCGTACATTTGTTCTGGTAATGTCAGTCTCGTGAGCACTATATTTACTTTTCTCTACTTGTGTCTGATGACATAGGACGTCACTGCAACTAAAGGCAACGAGTTCGAGGACTACTTTTTGAAACGTGAACTGTTAATGGGTATCTTCGAGGCTGGCTTTGAGCGCCCATCACCCATCCAAGAAGAGTCTATACCAATTGCTCTCGCTGGGAGAGATATTCTCGCTAGAGCTAAAAACGGAACTGGGAAGACTGCCGCCTTTGTGATTCCCTCCCTCGAAAAAATTAACCTCAAGAAGAACAAAGTCCAGGCTCTACTCCTGGTTCCTACCCGCGAATTGGCTCTCCAGACAGCCCAGGTCTGCAAGACATTGGGCAAGCATATGGGCGTTCAAGTCATGGTCACGACAGGAGGCACGACCCTTAAAGATGATATCATGCGTCTTGGTGAAACTGTTCATATTATTGTCGGCACGCCTGGCCGTATCCTTGATCTCGCTGGCAAAGGAGTGGCCAACTTCAGCGAGTGCACAACCTTCGTCATGGATGAAGCAGATAAACTTCTTAGCCCTGAGTTTACGCCAATTGTTGAACAATTGCTCACATACTTCCCCAAAGATCGTCAAATCATGTTGTACAGTGCCACCTTCCCCATGATTGTCAAGACATTCAAAGACAAGCATATGGTCAAACCTTACGAAATCAACTTAATGGACGAACTCACTCTTCGTGGTGTCACACAGTACTATGCTTTTGTGGAGGAACGCCAGAAGGTTCATTGTCTTAACACTCTATTCTCCAAGGTTCGTTTCATCATCATCACGCGTTAGGAAAAAAAAAACTCTTCAAGTGTGATTGCCGTAGCTAAAATATGCTTATTGGCATCGCATCCCTTATCTTTTTTTATTTATAGCTTCAAATCAACCAGTCTATCATTTTCTGTAATTCGACCAACCGCGTGGAACTTTTGGCCAAAAAAATTACTGAGCTTGGATACTCTTGCTTCTACTCGCATGCAAAGATGCTTCAATCACACCGTAACCGAGTATTCCATGATTTTAGAAACGGAGTTTGCCGCAATCTGGTTTGTTCGGATCTCTTAACTCGTGGTATCGATATCCAGGCGGTCAATGTCGTCATCAATTTTGATTTCCCAAAGAACGCAGAGACGTATCTCCATCGCATTGGCCGTAGTGGTCGCTTTGGCCATCTTGGCCTAGCCATTAATCTGATCACGTATGATGATCGATTTAACCTTTACAAAATTGAGCAGGAGCTGGGAACTGAAATCCAGGCTATTCCTCCCGTTATTGATAAGCGCCTTTACGTTGCACCTTCGGCGCTCGATGCTGTCGAACACGAAGATCAGCAGAAACGCGCTCAACACCAGCAGCAACACCAGCAGCAACATCAACAACAACAACAACACCAGCAACAACATCAGCAGTATCATCAGCAGCACCAACAGCAGCACCATCAGATGGCGCACCATCAATACCAGCAGCAGCAGTTTCAGCAACGTCCGCAGCAGCAACAGCGCCGATAATTGTCCAGGATATGTTGTGGTTGTCATAGGATGGCCATTCTTCTTCCCTCGTGTGGGAGATTTTTTTTTTTTTTTTTTTTTTTTTTTTTTTTAATATCATTTGCTCTTGACTTCGTAATGTCCCTTTGATATGAAGTAATGAGAAGCGTCGAACTTTTTTTTTTTTTTTTTTTTTTTTTTTCCTTTTCTTTTTCAATTTTTTTTTTTTTTTTTTTTTTTTTTTAGAAAGAGCCCCTTTCTTTCATTTCTTTCTTTCTTTCTTTCTTTTTTTTTGTTTTTTTTTTTTTTTTTTATGCGGTGTGCTCGAATAGATAATAAAGCATTCCTATTTCACCATTATAAAATCAATACTCCGTCATGTCGTTTACGCAGATAATCAAATATTGTTGTCTTTATGGACGCTTTAAAATTTCAGATTGCTCCAACCTTTCAAGACATCGATTTTAACTATGGGTACCTCAATAGGTTGTAGGACATGATAGCTATACTGTCCATAAATAACATGTTCAGTAAGAGTACCATGGAGAATATTAACGACGTGAGCCACAATATAGAAACACCAGCGTCAAGAAACCAAGAACAAGTGCAGCAAAAAGGAAGTCATATAAAAACCTGCACAGAAACCAATTGGAGATGAATGAAAATCTATTTATTGCATGCTTCTATGGAACAATCAAGTCTTTTTTTTTCCTTTTTTTTTTATTCAAACAAGACATGCAGGTCAAGGTTTTTAATGTCCATCATATCAGACAGCCGTGACACCTCCGCCATACTGTGCCCAATCGTTGGATTACGACCAACGGTAGCAGCCTCTATTTCACCAACGACAACAACGACGGCAATTCAAGTGCATGCACAACAAGACGGCTACCATTCCATAAACGTAAAATATTGGCGTAGGAATAAACCGTAGTTCAGTTCTGGAAAAAGAGTTATCACTCCTTTTTTTTTTTTTTTTTTTTTTTTTTTTTTTTTCGCTCTGTTGTGCTTATTCAGAACCTAACCGAGAATCCGCCAGTATACGAAGGCAGAACTATCACTTACAGGGCTAAGTGGTCGATACATGTAGATTTGAATGTTATGGTACTTCGCTTACAAGTGAGGCAAAATCCATTCAAACAAATACTTTAGGTATACAATCAATTGTATACTCTCTTCCACATACAACTACAATACAACACATCAATATTCTCCAACCACCATCCCCGCTGCCAATGAACACCCCACTGGACGTGTTAAGAAAAAAAAAAAAAAAAAAAACACAGTGATGGCGATAGCGATATCAAAGTCTAGGGTACTAGCAATAATATCAGCAGAAGGAGAAGCAATGCTGACTTGATCCCATACTTGATCTGTTTCTCTCATATCAAGAGTTCTTGATACTCTAATCCAATCAGTTCTGAAGAAATATTCATGGAACAGAAAAATACTTTCTAAACAGCTGTAAGTCAGCTTTTTTATTTTTATTTTGAGTAACCTGATCCGCCGTTTTTTTACCATTCTCAATGACATTTTCAACGACCATTGCTGCCGTTTTGTAACAGGACTAGAAACCTGTATCTGGTCTTGCCGACTATGTCAAGCTAAACATCTTATACAATTACCACTACAAGTTGCTGTACCCTAAAATCATAAGAACAAGGATATGGGCATGGACAGGGATGATCAACTATAGAACCCAAAGTGTCGACTGATAGATCCCTCAAGTTCCTATTATAGGTCTTATATCAGATATGGACTTGTATTATCATAAATACCATTTTCATCGCTACTGCTTGCTTCAAGGCTGTCAGCTCAAATGTGAATAGGGGAAAGCAGGAAGAGAGAGAGGAAGAGCCGAGAAAAAAAAAAAGTTTGTCGAAGGGACAAAGTTTGATGAGGCTAAACAACATCATGGTTCACACGCCTCTGTTTTGTAGACATCGATGAAGATGAACTGCTTTTTTTCCTTTCTTCCTTTTATATTGTTACAGTTATTACAGTAGCATTAAGGTTGCTTTCGTTCATAGTTTTCTATCTGTTTTCTTCTATATATTACAAAAAATAAAAATAAAAAAGTCAAAATTTATATCTGACGAGTGATTGGCGTGGTAGGCGACATCGCATGAATTGTGGAGGAACGAGGTCTTGTCCTGACACGCGACAATAATCCACCACCGTTGCTACCTCTAATGCCACCACCCACGCTGCTGCTGCTGTTGCGTTTGTTCAAATTTGGCTCTTCGGACGACTGTGCTCGTGTTTGTCCTGCCATGTCAACCCCTTCGGGGAAGGTCATATGATATGAGAGCTTAATCGCCGGATGTTCCAGAGGCTGAGATGGGTCAATGTTCGATTGGGGATTTTGCTGTTGTTGATGGTGGTGCTTGTGGAAAAAAGGCATTCCAAATGCTGATGAGCTAGACGCTGTCAAAACGGACGATTGAGATTGCGACATCATCGGATTCATGTACAATGACCTCCCTTCTTGAGGCTGCGAGAGCGTTTGTTGCTGCTTAGTTGGCGTAGCTGGAGCAGATGGAGACGAATCCAGTGTGTTGAGTGCTTCTTCAGACTTTCGACGGATAAGACGCTTGAAAATATTGCGGCCAGTTCTCTTAGGAGAATTTGGAGGTACAGGGTGTCCGAAAGGCTGCAAATACCGACTATCCTCTGTCGACTCATCTACATCTATTCCAAAAGACAGTCCTTGATGATCATTCAAATGCTGCTGCTGCTGTTGTTGTTGTTCGAAAGGGCTATCATTACATTGGGGCTCCTCAATACGAGGATTCGATGGGGCAATATCCTGGTTTCTGTTCACCGTTGTGGTATCATTGATACATCGTATCATCGGCTGATCCGCATTGCCAGAAGTGATTCTCCTATCTGAGATATCTATAGGATCTTGTGGCCCCGAAAGGATTGATTCATGCTCCTTTACGACAATTTGATCCTTGACTGACATTCCAAAGGAATTATCACTACATGGTGTTGGGATTGGCATCCCAGTTGGGATTTCTTCGCCATTGCTGGCAATAGGCAAGGGCTCGGGCAGAGTACCTGTTTCAGGCGGCGGCATTGAATTGCTCTTCGCTAATGAGATGATCTGTGGATTAAGGGGAAGTGTAGATGACAGGCTGACATCATGAGGTGGTAAATCGTTTCCACATGTTTTGCTGTGGAATTTAATGTCATCCATGTCATCCCCATTATTTCGTCGCTTATTCTGCGAAAGATCCATATCAATGATTTGTCGAACCGCCGCTGCCTCCCGGTTCAGCATGGAATGCATTCGTACGGGAGTCGGATATTCACCAATGTATCCCGGGCGAGCATGTAGAGCTTCTTTTCGAGGATCTACGTCGATCGCCACAGCCTTGCCCATAATGGACTGTGTTGGAGGCAATGACGCGCTTTCCAACAATGGAGCAAGGCCTGCTTCTAACTTTGCAGTCTCGCTTTGAAGAGATCGGCTGCTCTCTTGAGATGAACGTCGTTGCTGCATGGCAGTGAAAGAAGTATACTCGTCAACTCCACTAGGCTGCGCAAATGTACCATCTCCGTCAATGGCAGTGCTGGTAACTCGACCCATTGCAATTCCAACTTTTCCCACAGCCCCAAAGTTGCTGCAAGAATCAGGACCGCCTGTAGGATATCCCTGATGCGATGGTGCAGTAGGAGGAGTAGCGTTGCTGCTCTTCCTTTTGGCCTTGTGGCTCAAGGACGAAAGAATGCTTCTAAAAGAACTCGGGTGACTCAGGTGCTGTGCATCCTTAGGGACATTGGACTGAGAAGAGGAAGTAGTCGATGATGTGATTGAGAAAGAGTCGCTTTTGTTTCGAGTCCTTTCTCCAGTGACTGTGCTGCTAGTCGAGGTGTTATCTGTTGAAGAGACAACGATGGAGCTGAAATCCGACTCATCGTCCAAATCATCACGTCTGAATTCCTTTCGCAATGGGGACGCCGGCGTGACACCTATACCATGCGGATACATAGTATACCCAACAGGCGAGATTGAAGGTGGGTGATTAATACTATGTCTCCGCGGCCTGTTAGAGGCAGGGCTACCTAATTTTCCATTGACAATAGCACTCGATGTGAACTGTGGTTGAGGAAGACGGTTGTCATCCATGGATGCCCGCCCTACCGTACGCAAAAAGAAATAAAGTAAACAAAGCATGTCAGTATTCTCTTCAAAAAATAAAAAAGTAAAAAATAAAAAAAATAAAAAAATATAGAAAAAAAGAAAAGATACAGATACAGATAATTGCCATACCTTGAGGTTCACTCCTAAAAGAGCCTTCAGAGCATAGTGAAGACGATTCAGCATGGCCAAGGTGAGGTATTGGCTTCTGTAGCACAATTAGAGGCGCTTTTGCTACACCTCCAATTCGGGCATGGCTAGAGTGGCCAGAGGTAGCTGGCTCACTTACATCCTTTGGAAGTTGCTTGTCTCTCATCACATCGTGCTCGTCAGATTGCCGTACATGGTCACTGTAACCATTACTGCCCGTAGAGCTGTCGTAGCCGTCCGTCAAAAGGCTAGATTGGCTGGGATTTTCAGATCCTGATAGAGCGTGCTTCTGTTGTAACAACTGTTGCCCTAAAGAACCACTAGCATCACCAAGTGGCACAGAAAGATCTTCCTTAGATGGCCCGCCATCTCCATGAGACTGGGTTCGAAGTTTGCGGAAAGCAGAACTGATGTTTATCAAGGAGGGGTTCTGCGTATGTGTATTAGATGTAGTCATGCTCCGCATGCCATTGGCTTGATTGAGTTGTGAGTCCTCTGCACTAAAAAGGCTGGCAGCATAGACTGACGAGGCGGGAGAGTCTTCTCCTTTGATGCGAAGAAGGTCATAGCTTTCGTGCAACGAATCGACATCAGAGTTAGTAGTGGTTCTAGCGGTTGTCGGCACACCTTCAACACTTGTAGGACTGTCTTGTGGCTCTCCCTGTGCTAATTCCCCTTCATACATAGTGGAAGAAAGGTTTGGTGTCGATCCAAATTTCATGCGTTGAAGCAATTCTGCAGCTGCTGATGTGGAGGACATGAGCCCAAGCGGTCCATAGGGCGATCCTTGTGTAACTCGGCTGTCGCCTTCGCCATCTTCCATAAGTTCAGGACCATCTTCATGATCGTCCTCTATAAGCGTGTCAAACCCGCTTCGGTCGCTTGAACCAGTTCCTGTTGTCGGAAGAGAGGGCCCAGAGTGTGTCCCTTTCGTATGCTTCTTCATAAATCCTTGGAACATCTTGCTTAGCGAAAACTTGTCTCTAGATGAAGGTGAGTCATTCGTAGAGTGGCTACTGTTGGATGGCTGCGCTACACTCTCACTCAAAATGTTATTTCCTGTATAAGTCGATCCAGTATCTCCCGAGTCCTTTGAGTACACAGAGGACTTATCGGCATCCGTAGCCTTTTCAGGGTTCTTGTTCTTTTCTTTATGTTTCTTCTTGTCCTTGGTATTCAATTTACCACCTTCAAGTACCGACGGTTCGTACTCTGAAATGCCATACTGTGACCAATGATCCTCTACTGTTCGAGTTGTATCCATAGCAGGGAAGGGGTTGGAATCTGATATATTTCCTGTAGTAGACCCTGTCGAATACGAAAAGGAAATATTGGGATCCATGGATCCACTGCGGCCACGCGTGGTCTCAGTTGTCTTTCTGTGATGTAACTTACTATTGTTGTTCGTTCCATAACTAAAGCCTTCATGGCCTTGCCTACCAACCCCAGATTCAGCACTAGGCCTTCCTCCATGATTCCCAGGTACATGCAACGTTCTGACTGATGCAGCATCAGTGGCGTCAGTCGTTTGTTGTTGTCCTGATCGATATACTCCGGGACGCAGAGTATCACCATCATAAAGACTACCAGCCTTACTCTGGTTATCGTACGTATGATTTAGTTGCGTGGGCTCATCAGTCAAAGAGACATGTGGTCTATCATTGCCAATATTCATGTAGAGATCTGCGACAGACATAGTTTCCGTTCGATGGCGTGAATCGCTTGGAATTTCGATCGCTGACCGAGGGGTATTGCTGACTTCTGCCAAGTTGATGGTCGCTGCACGCGTCCCTGGGCTATGAGATCGTTTGAGTGGCTGTGCTTTGGATGTTTGCTGTGAAGTCGCGGCAGTATCTGCAGTCTCGCCTCCAGGCAAAATTTCTTCACCAAAGATACCGCCCACACCTTCTGAATCAGAAAAGGGGACATCGTCCATGTTAGGAAGCACCATAGTCTCAGCGATAGCCTCAAGCATCTTATTTTCAATCGCCTTGATGATCAGGTTTGACTTTATGTGCTTGTCAGACACGACCGGCTCGATCTTCATCTCCACTTGCGGCTTTTGATAAAAACCATACCAAAGCCTGTTACAGGGTGGAGGCTTAATCCAGACCTGCATACGCCCTTCCAGCCTTATGAGAGTTATTGCAAGGACTAATGAGACTTTGATCGGTTGAATCTTCTTTGTCACTGTCACTATAGCCTCTGCCTCAACCTCGGCCCTAAATCCACCCTGATATAGAAGACTCATATCCATGATCAGATCACCATTAGGTTTCAGTGTCAAAAGCTTAGGTCGAGTGATCATGGGCACACCATCACCGAGATGAACAGACTTCATTCGTATATCGTTCAGAAAGTTTGGCAGACGAACACGCGTCAACTTATCGACCAGCTTTTGAAAGACCATGTCCTTGACCTGGGGTGTCTTATAGACTCCCAAGAAGATCCTACCTAGGACTGCGTTGAGCCATGCTGCCTGAAATTGATGCTCGTTCGAGTGGATGGTCCGTATCAGGGTGTTCATGGCTGATTTGTCGAACAAGGTTGAGTCCTGGATTCCATCCCCAGAAAATGTGTCAAAGCAATTATGGAATAATCATGTCAATGATCTCGTACTATTTGAACATATTGTTCTCAGCTCTGCTAAATTTGTCTCAGTTCTATTGAAATATTCCTTACCCTCTTTGGAATCTCCCTCAGACACGATTGCGAATGAAGCTTCAACTTGGAGCATCGCAGCAGAGTAAAGTAGAGATCCTCTTTATCCACTGAGTTAACCATCGACAAATAGTAATCTTTAGAGGACAATGGATTAGAATCTGAGCTAGCAGTAGAGTGCCGTGTATGGTTGGGGTTGGGCTGATATTTTAGCCAGATAGGGTTCCGTTTTGAGTAGATATGGCTGTCTTTCTGGTTCCCCGGTACGGAGACCTGATAATGAGGGAGAGTAATGATACCAAGGCACTCACTCATGTGTTCGTTTTCATAAATGAACATGGTTGTACCCTTGATAACAGCATATTTTGAGTCCTTGAACCGCGCTTGTAGAGATGGGGGTAGCGTCAGATGGGGGTTATATGAATCAAAATAGGTAAATCGGGGATCCTGTGCAGCTGCTCCAGTCATATCATCCATCAGACCGTTGGGTCCTGCTCCCTTCTTCCTACTGTCCTTTTTAAAGGATGGTTCAATAACACGGTGATCTACTTCGGGTATACGTTTGACTGAGATCCAGCCTGCGAATTGGTATCGAGGATCCAAATGTTCGGGTATTAATCCTACTCCATTAGTTGCATTGGCAAAACCTATACCGTTGACGTCCCCCTGCTGCTGCTGTCGTGAAGCAAAGTATGAAGCGTAGAGAGCTGAAGGCATATCATCAAGATCATACTCTTGTTCTTTTTCCTTGCGTTTTTCATATTCAAGTTGCTCCTCCCGCTGCTCTGTATATGACGGCGAATAGTTGAAGAAGTAATAAAGCCCAGCCAAGATACTGGATGGGATAAAAAGCAACCCACATAGAAAGCCGAACCAAAAGCCCATGACGATGATAGAATTGTGATCTGCAATATGTGATGTAGTTGCAGAGGATATGTAGGGCTGTCGGAGAGGCCAAGCTCACAGGCGCAATGAAAAGTGGATGATTTAGACTGGAAGAATGATGAAAGAAAGATAGAGGAAGGGAAACAAGATTTGTGAGTGAACGAGTTGAGAGAGCATGCATTCGTAAGTGACAATCATAAAAAAGAGGGATATCAAAGAAGAAGAAAAAAAGGAGGAGGATGAGCAGGTGAACAAGAATATGACATAAACAAAAAATAATAGGGTATCAATTGGTACAGGAACAGAATGAGAAAAAAGGGTCAGGCCACATGCACTTGGACCGACCAATGTTTGCTGCTGTTCGCTTGTCTGATCATCGCTCAGAAGCACAGGCAGCTGAAGTCGAAGAGTTGCTTGATCCGTTGGAAGCAGGGGGTGTTGTGCAGAAAGAAAGTCAAGCTAAATTACTAGCAGTTTCCCAAAAGCATTTAAAATGAACACATGCATAAAAAGGAAGGAGTGGGACAATGGCAACAACAGATCATGCTATTCATGCTATTATCATTTTTAAATCGACTCTACTCTAAATAAAGGCGATAAATGTAGCCAGAACAATGTCGCCTGCTCAGGACACCCCCTTGCTCGTTCGCTCGCAACTGAACGAATGAAAGAAAGAGAAAAAGAGAGAAAACTATGATAATAATAAATAATATTGATGCATAAAAGTTGAGCAGTACTTCGTCCTAAATTAATTCGAACAAGAATTCTAACAAATCAAATCGCGTGAGCAACAGTGGTTGTTCAAAGAGATTGGGATGGTGGCGCTGAAACATCTATCCCTGTGGAAGATGAAAGAGGGATGATCATGGATGGGATCAAAGGGATGGCAACACGGAACATACCCTGTATGGACAGCTTACGAGCAAAAAAAAAAAAAAAAAAAAAAAAAAAAACACACACACAAAATAACCTGGGGATTCTTTGAAAAGAAGAGACACTGGTGGATGAACTCTGAGAAAAGTGTATCCAAGTATGCAACACGTTAGATTGATGATCAGAGAAAATATCAGATAAACATTGAAGGAAACGAGGAAGGGGACATGAAGTTAGGAAATATGTCAAACGGTCAAATGCTGAAAGAGAGAGAAGGGTTGGATGAATAATGAATGAAATAAATGGTTAGATGAATGAAACGATGTATGAATGGAGAGATGAAAAGATGAGGATTAAGTATCGAAAGAAGAAAAAGAAGAAGAAGAAGAAGAAAAGGCGAGTAATGTGTTTGAATGAAAGAAGGAAGGAAGGAAGAGGAGCAGTGGTGAGGATGGAAGAAGGCGAATGGAGAGACAAAGGAAAGATTGAATCAAACAGCTTGTTCAGAAAGGCAAACATTTTGGAAGCAAGAAACATTTAATGTTTTATATCCAATTATCCAATTGTCACATGTATTTATTTTATTTTTTTGGACATTTGGCATAGAGTTCAGTGTCTGTGTTTTGTCGAAACCTTTGTCTTGGACGTCCACCCATTTTCATGACTTTGTGATGATGTTCCATAATTATGGTGAATACGTCCCCTTGCTATCCTTTACTTTTTCCAAGTGAAATAAGGATAAAAAGAAAAACCTTTGGCTTTTTAGTTAAGACAACAGAAGACAAGCTGCCAACCGTTGCTGCACTTCAGACCGGACGATCCATTGCAAAAAAAAAAAAATTTGCAATTGACACAGTATTGCTAAAAAATTTTCTTGCATAAACTTGACAACCATGCATCAAGATGGGTTCACCCATCATCTCTCCCTTCCATTCCTTCCATTACAATTTTTTTTTTCTTTCTTGTCATTTCTCTCCTTTACATCGTATATCATCCCTAATATACCCCATCTATTCCATTTATATATTTTTTTCCTCTCTTGTTGCTTTGCTTTTTCATCTGTTGTATCCAAAGTGTCTAAAAAAAAGGCTCCTTTTCCTCTCAACAGAGTCAAGCAAACTGCTCTTGTGTTCCTTCCATTCCTTCTCTCCTTTCCTTCCTCAACTGACATCTGTCAAAGGACACCCCTGTATCATTCAAGATAGCTTCAGTATTTCTTTTTTTCCTACCGAATAAGCAACTGCGACCCTGGCCCGTGACCCATCTGCCAACCCCCATCACCCCTCTCTTTTATCTCCTTTTCTTTTTTATCCTTTTACTTTTTTACTTGGAGTAATCTTTTGCGACGACAGGGCCTTTTTTTTTTTTGTCCCCTCCCGTCTTCCCTTTCTTTTTCTCTCTCTCTCTCTTTCTTTTTTTTTTTTTTTTTTTTTTTTTTTCTTTTCTTTTTTTTCTTCCTTTCTAGAATCAACGTACCAAACTAATCCAGCCTTATCAACCCAAACTCATTCTGGACAAAATCAAACCATAATAGCCAGAGTCACAAACATAGTCGCTTTATAATGGCCGACACTCACACATCAGTTGCTTCGACTATCCCACCAGGAGGGACTATCGACGCCGACACAGTTGCTCTGACTTTACTTCTTGTCTCCGGGTCACGCTCAACGTTCATGTTCAGAGGTGGAGATACTATTGAGACGGTCAAGAATAAGGTCTATGAGAACTGGCCCAAGGAGTGGCAGGAAGAGAAACCAGCATCACCTCAAAGCTTAAAGATCCTGTATCTGGGCAAATTCCTTGCGGATAACTCCACACTTGAATCAAACAAGATCCAACCTGGTGCCACAACGATAGTCCACCTCACCATCAAGGCACTAGAACAGGAGTTGCATGGACATTCCAAATTGGATCCAGATGCAAAATGCAAATTCTGTCTCATTCTTTAAAAAAAAAAATCTTTTTACTATTCTCTATTTGTATATTCAATTGGATACGCTTTTTGCCACACACACACACACACACACATACTGCTTACGTCTACAGTTCTTGTATTGCCCACCTTTTGTCCTTTTGTCCTTTTGTCCTGAGTGACTACAGCACCATGGTATCTCATAATGCATTCGATTGACTGGGCTACCGCCCCTTTTTTCCCATCTACCTCTCTCACACCACAAACATTCTCTCTTTAATAAAACATCAATTATGGACTTAAGGGGCCCTCTGCCAAAACCTTTGTATAATATTTATTTGCCTAATATCATCCTCAACGGACCAAAAAGCTACTATCATTCATCGTCTTTGTCTTCGTCTTGTCCCGACCTGATGGCTTTTTTTTTTTCTTTTTCTTTTTTTTTTTTTGCTGGTAACATTCTGATACGACCTTAGGACCTTAAGGCTGAAGGAAGATTAAGAAAAGATGAGGGAAGCCCAATGTTAGGATGCTAAATATACTACATTTACTATAACTGTGAAAAGAAAAGAAAGAAAAAGTTGCTTATTACACTGTGTAACACGCACACACAACAACAACAAAAAAAAAAAAAAGTTTACTATTCCTTGGAAATGAATGTTCGCAGGAAGACGAACGCTGAACTGTTTATTTGGATGTATTGGACATGTGAAAAAAAAAAAAAAAAAAAAAAACTTTTGAGGATATATTTGTATACTCCATCTTTGGTTATACTTACTTCCCATTACTTTCCAGACAAAGGAAACACAGCGTTTCTGTTCTTGATTTTTTTTTTTTTTTTTTTTTTTTATGTAATAAACCTTTGGACGTTACCATGTCTAGTTGTCCCGATATTGATGACAAATGTCACACTCAGTGAGCACAAAAAGTAAAAAGTAAAAAGTAAAAAAGGTCATATCCGAGACACGAAAAGGGTTTATCACCACCACCTTCTGGATTAGAAATACTTCAAGCTTATTATTATTTTAGGTATATGGCTATGTACAGGGCGAAAAATGGGGAGAATTACAGGCAGGTCCCCACCCCCCACCAATCCCCAAAAGGGAAGGTAAGGAGAGAACTAACTTTCTATCTCTTTCTACACTATGTGGAAAAAAAAAAAAAAAAAAAAAAAGGTGCGCATGTGGAATAACTTCAGAATTACAAATAAATCCGTATGTGAGAATATGAATCGGGTGTTTGAAACAATAGCTAATAGTGCTTCGTAAGGGTCCTTAAAGCCGAATGAAGTAATCTCAACGCGGAACCGCGCTCGGATCGGATACCTTTCCTTGAAGCAAGCACGGCGGTCTTATCAATCTGCGTTACTGTCCCTGATGAAATCATCATTGGAGTTTCTTTGATTGTGGCCATAGTCTTGGGAAATGCCACCAGTGCTAATGCAGATGAACCCCTATCATCTACAGATGACGCAACAGAGGCTGTCGACATTGACACGACAGAAATGGTCATGAATGAAGGAGAATAACATGTCTCGGACCCAGTACTGTATTCGCGCCATGGGGATTCGCCAACGCTAATTCGTCGTGGGTAGCGAGGCCGCAGTTTTTCTTCTTCTTGTTGTTGTTGTTGTTCAGCTTTTTGGACCGAATCAGGATGCTGTGCTTGTGCCGCGGCTGCGGCTTGTACACGATGAATTTGCTCAAGTAGCTTTATCCGCTGCTGATATTCAAAGACTTCATCCCAAAGCTCGTCAATGCTCTTTCCTGGACCTGGTATATAAAATAAAAAAAGCGCACACGTGGGATATTTAGTTTAATTGCTTCTGAGACATGACTTAAAAATTTGCTGATGGAAATGCTAAATTTGGACCTCTTCCCCCGGATGTAATGACTCTTCAGGTTGTACAAGCTGAATGAGTCTACCGAAAAGTTTAAAAAAAAAAAAAAAAAAAAAAAAGAAAGCTTACCATGATCTACAATCTCCCATGCGTCGCCACGAGGAGAGGAAACACTTGTTCCGTAAGACGACAACATAAGATCGTCACTAAGAGATCCCTCACCACTGTAGTTTTTGGGATGCAACCAATTGAAACGCTTAAGTCTGGCATCACTTACGCCAGAATCATGGAATGACTGTAGATATTCTGGGAGATAAGTCGCATCATCTCCATCAGCGTCTATTATTGTAGATATATGCGTGGGAGGGTTTGTGTGCAGAGAGACAAGATGCATGAGAAAGGCGGGAAAGCCGTGGCGGTGTCCAAAGGATGTATGGCAATATTAGTACAAGTTCATGGAAAAAGATGCACGGCCGTTGGGATGAATTTTTATGATAAAAATAAAAAAAAAAAAAAAAAAAAAAAAAAGCTGATCTGTGGATAGTATAATGAGCGAAATGTTCCATGGTGCTGATCGGAAAAGTTGTCTTTTTTACCTTGGTCGTGTAGAATACCATCAGTGACTTCTGGCTCACGATGGAAAGAGGTAGCGATCGGAATACTAATGGGTTTAACGAGATCAAAATAAGAACCCATAGTATTGGTGGGCAGGATGGGATATGCCATTGATCAAAATGAAAGATGTGGTGAAATGAATGGAATAGGAGTGGTTGAAGTGTGGGCGATGGTATTCAATTTATATAATATTTTGCTGTAAAGACACGCGCTAGTTGCTCCAGGGCAGAGGTGGCCACGGAAAGAAGACAATGACTAAAAAGGAGAAAGCGAGAGAGAGCACACACGAAATGGAGATTTGATAGCGGATCGTAAGACAATGACAAATAAACACTAATCAGGCTCTATAGTCAAGTTGAACAAGAAAAGGGAGAAAAAAAAAAATTGAGTTTGTTGGATGAGACCCTTTGATCCTTTTTATAGTATTTGAGGACGAGCAGTTCAGAATAGATAAGAAGTTGATGGGAGGCTCATTCTCTCATCTGGGAAGGAACATTAAGAGTTTATGGAAGCGGCACAAATTTATTGCTCAAAGGATGCAATCGGGCCTGTGGGACGAAACAATCAACCATCACAATATGCAAATTGTCAGTGCACTTTGAGTTGACGTTATTCATGGCCATGCCTTGTGTTGCCATCATCAACAAATAATAAGTAATATGGCCAACCCATGGTTGTATGAATGGTGACTAAATCGCGCGAAATGCACATTTACCGTAAATCTAACATGCACCATGATCTATTTACAATGCACTGTCAAAGCTTTTTTACTTTTCCATTCGCTTCCCGTGTTGTATCATTGTGTTTTCCCGTCGTAAATGGTGGCGAAATAGATATGGGCCTACAAACTATGATGTGACAAGGGGGAGTTGCATATTCGGCTTAAAATGTTGAGATTCCGTAACCTGCAGCTCAACCATGCATCCTTCTATTATCTAGGAATCTTTGAAATATGAAGAGATGGAAGTTCATCTAAAGCACTGTTACTGCGCTGAACTGCATAGGGAAACGATCGCTATTCATAATTGGTAGAAAAGTTGTATGATTGACAGACTAGACAACGACAACATGTACACCTACGAAACCATTTAGTTTTTCCTTTTTCTCCCAGAGCATCAGAGTCAGGTACTGCAACTACAATGTGCAATCCCTCACATCAGGGGGATCCATAACAATTACGGCTAGTCTGTTAACTTGCGCGCATTTTCTTTGTTCTTTGTGATGACATTGGAAAAATCCGTTCCAGCTGACAAAAAGCATGACCATAGCAACAGGTTTCGAGTGCCCTTTTTTTTTTTTTTTTTTTAAGCTAAGCCGTTGACCTGCACATCTTACTCAGCAATGCGAAATTGTGTTCAGAGACAAAGTGCTATCGTCATCATAAAGTTTAAAAAGAGGGCTCATGAGCATGCATAAAAAACAAAATATTGGCACCATACCTTGTGGAGACATGTCCTGTGAAAACAATACGATATTATATACCATTTGTTATCGTACACTGCATGCGAGAAACCGGATGCAAAAAAAAAAAAGCGTTTTTCGATCCGATTGAGACACACGACGCTAGCGTCACGGGAATTTCCTGGGAACAACTTGTTAGCTCCTCGAATTCGTCCAACGTGACGAGCATTTGGGTCACTCAGAGCATCATTAGGTCCAGGGATCTGAGCTGGGTTCCTTTTTTGGATCGACTCATGTCAATAACAGGCAATTGATGAGTCTGTCAAAAAAAAAAAAAAAAAAAAAATTAGCTCAAATCAATATAATAAACTTTGGCCGATAGCAAAAGTTGATTTGCACATCAACAGTCATCCATCATAGCCATCTTCAAGTCCTATGAAAGTCTTATCATACAATACTCGCATGATTCCGATAAACAATCAAGTATCAAGGGAAATAGCTCAGAGGGAGGCAGTAGGCCAGTTCACTCCATAATGAGCTTTTTTTGTGCACCATTGCTTCGCCCTTGGGCTGATTTTATTGACCCGAGAGGAAGTTTTCTAACGAGCGCCAACAATAAAGCTAAAAACTTTTGAAACAATAGCAAAGGAACATTAGACACTTGTTATGAGCCTATCATCATTCCTACAGAAGACATAAAGTTACTCGCAGAACCATATACGACATAAAAAAAAAAAAAATAAAAAATAAAAAAGATGAACCTACTGTTCAACCACCATTGGTAGGACTGTTGTCACCAAAACAATACTGTTTCCTTTACAAAGAGTGCGTCTTTTAGTAAAGATTTCTCACAAGAGAACCAGGTTTTGGTGAGCAATGACATACATGGAAGCGGGCTGTTCGCAGAATTGGAAAGCCGAATGTGCGGCTTATCAGGACATTTAGAATTGCAGAGACTTCGCACCATGAAGGTCTAGCCAAAACTCGGTAGGGCGAAAAAAAAAAGAAAAAAAAAAATCGCTAATAGATTGGACATAATAAACCTAGCGGAATCTGTTTATGACTTCAATATGTATCAAGTGTTGTTTCCTTAGCTGCAACCCTACAAAGCCATGGTTACAGAAAATAGACTTGAACGCTGCGGATCACTACAATGGAAATTATGTCATTGCTATATTTATCGGCACAATCAAGGGATTTCTACACAAAAGCATGGTTGGAATGAGAACAGTATTTTTTTGCTTGAAATAGCTAATAAAGTCCGAAACTTGAGAGATCAAGGGGCTGCACAACTTATTGAGAGAGGACATGAAGAGGGAAATTAAAAAACAAAAAAAAAAAAAAAAAAAAAAAAGTGTTGCAGGTTGTATGGAAAAGAAGAAGGTTCGTTTTTAATCACCATGAGTATGGGCGTATATGGATCAAATAAAGTTTTTTTAAGATGCAGAGGATGACGGGCACTTGGCGTTGAACAACGGAGCAATCGCGCTAAAGTCTTTACTCCAATCATCCACTACAGGACAGGATCGCAGAAGTGCTCCTTGTGGTCAATGGAGAGAGCCTTCATTCATCAGTTCATGTTCAAGTATATGTATGTATATAAATATATACATCGTTGAGACTTTAGTCATACCCGAGAAGTATGAAGGAGCCTGTGAAGTATAAATATCAGGATTATGCGTAGGTGACAAGGTTGGTATTGGAAACGGACACGCTGATGCACAATTGTCCATAGTCCATGTGGCAATGCATTCCATCATTTCTTGCTCTGCTTTTCCCCTAAACCCGATAATCTGTATGCCGTTGCTGCGTTTACCAAACTATAATTTTAATATTGTCCTGTCAGGAAAAACCGGTTGATGTCATTGTGCCCTTTTCATGAAGCTCTTCTCAAAAGCTCAGATACGTTAATCTTTCTAAAGTACAGTTGGCCCCTGCTGTTCAAACAAAGGTTGAATATGTTATTCATATTTTAAATAGTTATAGTCCAAACAAATGAATGAAAAAGAAAGGTGCTGGACATACCAGAGAGCCCAGAAAAGTCGTAGTGCAGATGTAATGTGTTCAAAACAAATTGCCCCAATGAGATATGTTTATTCAACTTAGCTTAATCGAATTATCCGAAAAGTTATCCAGATAGGATATCCGTTTCTTCCTCCTCACTATAAATGTAGTTTACTGACAGTCTTTTCGAGTGATGGATTTAAATGACTCCATTAGCCTGGTACGCGTGGTCTCGTTGGGTTCAAGGCGGCTTCTTTCGAAAGAGGGCTTGATCTCGGACCAGTATTCTTCTAAAGGATTCAAAAAGGGTAACAGTGACCTGTATGCATCCTCAATAAGCCCCCTAACCTACAGCAACGTAGACTTTGCGTTATCCTTTAGAAAGTGGATAGCTTGCGTATTCATTTCAATCCTATGACTCTAAGGACCTCTCAACGATAAATATGCCGACTTGCAATGCTCTGCGCACAATGTGGGTACCACGCTGCGCTTTTTGGTTGGGAACGCTTTCTCCAATTGTGTATTAGTTTAAGCAATCTTCCGGAACCCTATTGAAACCAAGCTATCTAAAACAGTAGCTACTCCTCCAAGGCGTCAGAGAATTTATATGTTATAAAATCTATAGTCGTAATTGATTGGAGTTGCACGCTTCCTCTTCCAATGGAAGCCTTCCAGAATAGACCCATTTCATATTCTTCAACGGAAGAATTGAGGCTCACCCATCTTTTTCTCTTTCTCTTTGAAACTCGTCGTCGTCAAAGCCGGTATGGGTATATGAAGACCCATTTTGGGCCAGAGTATTGTCCTCAATTGCAACGACGTCATTGGCGTTGCCAAGCAGGCCCAGGAGCGAGCATCAGTGCCTGGCTCATGCCCAGAATAACTCTGGGGGATTCAAGGGTTAAATGGGGTTTTTAGCATCAGAGCCGTTACTCCCTCCTACAATCATTCGATGGCAGCGAGTAGGGACTTGGTTCTTATAGCACGACTCGATTCACCATAGCTGGGGTTTCTGCGGTCATCACACCCTTAGCTCAGATGTAGAGCATCATGACGTTCCTTGTCCTGCTATGCAGATCAACAGACGAAATCTGCATTGTAGTTGTTTCTAACGGCGGGAATATCTTAAAAGAAAGAGTATCAAGAATACAAACACCAGAGCCATTATCTCATTGTCCCAGTGAAGGCGATGGTCCGCAATCCAAGGTCTTTGTCGAATTGCTCATCAGGATCGACCAAGTTGATGATGTGAGAAATGTGCATGGTGTTTGAGTTGTATGTCGATGAGAGGCTTATTTGTAATAAGTTTGCCAGTGGATACCGTCGCTTTTAGACTCATATCCATATCCATATCCATATCCATTCGATCCATAACGGCACGTTCAATAATAACACGTAGTTATACAGGTATAAAAAACGTGCGGTAAAAACGCGTCGCCGATGTCAGAATGTGAAATGATGACAAGGCTCGGATAAATTTCAATAGATTTATATACATTTATGATATTTGGCTAACGATTTTAACTTACTTTCAACCATTTTTTTGGAACATAAAGTTTATTTAAAGTTGGATAATACACTAAAAGTATAAATGCTACTTTTGCTCTTTTGTCTGTGGAAGACAAGTTCATTCAATTACAATAACTCTGTCTGTCTCTCTTTTTTTTTTTGTGCTACAGTGCTACCCCGCATTCTCGTTTGTCAATTGAGTGCTGCAGTTTTACACAATGCATCTCGGAAGAGTGAGCTCTAGACTGAGGCCTGGACTCGGTCGATATTCTTTTTTTCTTTTTTCTTTTTCTTTTTTTTTTTTTTTTTTTTTTTTTTCTCCGAGTTAAATGATGCTGAATGTATATATATATTTAATATATGTAATATAATATAAATTTCTATACAAACTGAACACACCTAACACTTGCCCATCATTCATTTCTTTTATTACAAGTGAAACATGTCTGTCCAACATGCCACATGCCACATGCCACCCGCACAAAATAGATATCATCCGTGGTATCAGCGCCTTTTTTTTAAACAAAAGTGCTAGCTTGTTTTTTTTTTTTTTTTTTTTTTTTTTGAACCACATCAATCGCCTTGATTGCTTGCTATTGTTCCCAGGGCTGATCGCAGGTGTGCATGTTGGTAACTTTACGAGCAGGGAAACACAAATAAACTCAATGTTGTCATGTGTGTTTATGTGAATGTGTATGGAGGAATAAAAAGCATTGTGAAAATCCTTGTCGAATGTTCATGCTCAACTTTTTTGTTCATTCAAAATAGCTCTTGCAGTGAGATGCAGGAACAGAGATGGACATCTCCCTTCACAGCCGATGAGCACTTCAGTGCTGCATATCGACCTCTGTCCTCAGGAAATGGCGTAGATTAGGTCAATGATTCCAAGGATTCTATCCCCCCCCCCTTCCTTACCATTGCACAGGAGCTCATATGCTTGATGAGCAAGTAGATAAAATAGACATGTGCGTTTTCGAAAGGAATTTCTTCCCCTGTCCAGGGGATGGACAGAAGGCAAAAAGGGAGGCGCGGTCTGTTCAATAACATACACAAATACAGGAGACGGTCTTGTTAGAAACAACTGCTGTGCCAAGGAAATTTCCGTCTACCATTGTATTTACTAAGAGACAATGATCTCGATTGATCATTTGATTATCTTGACGGTTGTCTTTCGGTGGTCTGCGCTTGTTGTGTTGTTGACATGGGTGGTTCGTGTGGAGGTTGTTTGACATTTGACAATTTAATTTCATTTCTTTTTTTTTTTTTTTTTTTTTTTTTAGTTAATGCGCTTTACTTGCAAGTGAGGCTCTTTGTTGTTTATGATCGTCCTTAAACTCTTTCTCTTCAAAAATATTCATTTATTTTTGTACGATTGGCTGGTATTCCTCTTTTATTATCTTTTGGTGCAGCATGCTTGTGGAGATTATTATCATTCTTACGACGGACATACAAACGATTTCAAATACCGATGATGCACGGGGCACAACGCCTCTCAATGAACATCTGCCAAATCCTTGGCTGACCAAACCTCGCAGAGGAAGATTTAAACCAAAAAGGGTACAAGAAGGCACAGACTGACATGCGGCGGGGAATGATGAGTAGAAATGAAGGAGCCTTTTTTACACCAAAAAAAAAAAAAAAAAAAAAAAAAAAAAAAAAAAAAAGCTCGTTAGCCATTTCCTTTATCCATTGGCTTTTTTTTTTTCTTTTTTCTTTTTCTTGCATTATAAATCATCGTTGATATATAACATGGATTGTTATTGTTTTGCTCCTATCAAGCTTTTGGCTCTCGTTTTTCCATCCGCCCTGTTCTCCACGGCTCACTCAACAGGCAAGGTCACACGGTCCGCGAGACGTCTGTGTTGAACGCCGTCAGCAAACGAAAACTTTACACTGCATGGATGCACCCAGGATTTTTTTTTTTTTTTTATTTGCTCCCATATCCTTTCATGTCTCCACACGCCTAACATGGAGTACAAAGGAGATTGAAGAGAAATACGTAATAATTTTTTTTTATGATTCGGCACGGAATATAATTTTAATTTTTTTTTTTTTTTTTATTTATTTATTTCGCGTAATGTTCATTTTACACTCTTCGTTGGTTATTTCACAGCTCTCGGCTGTCTTTATCTCTCTGACAAGCAAGGGAACAGGTGCTCAGATAGGGTGGTCTTTGCATTTTCTTTTGATGTATTTTCTAAACTGAGGAAAAGTCTCGCACTTTTTTTTTTTTTTTTTTTTTTTTTTTTTATATTTTTCCTTAAATTACCCTATTTTTTTTTTTTCTCCTCTTTCTTCTTATTTTTTTCTCAAGTGCCGCCATCTGGAAACACTTCAGGATCGATTTGAGCCTGGTGCTCTCATTTAACCCATGTGCATCCTGAAATCTCCTTTGTGACCATTTCTAGGCCAGACAAGGCCTTTTTTGGGCGATGATTTTAGGTTTTCCTCGTCTCATTTCAATATAATGGAGTAAAGCAAAGATGCTATTGAGTCGATGGATGCGATTCATTTCTGTCTGTAAAAAGTATCGACTTTATTTCTGCCATCGCATGCCCGCACTTGTTTATTTAAATTTTATTATATAAAATATATAATATATATTATATACAGTTATTGAGCTGAGAATCACTCAAACAAATCGCAGCTTAACCTTAGTTCACATCTAGTCTCTTTCTTTCTCGGGCCCTTAGTCAGCTCAGATGGTTTGTCTGTCCGTGAAAGAGTTTGTAAGATTTAGTTTTTTGTCAATGACGAGCTAATTCATACTGAGTATATTCTATGCATTCTATATAAATGTCTATGGGATTGAACACTTGCGCAATGAAAGCAAACAAAAACTTGACCGAGTAAGAAAGAATTTTTTTTTTTTTTTTTTTTCTTTTTTCTAGAGGTTTAATAGTTTAGTCAATTCGAATCTATCCTTTAACCGTTTTAATATAATATATAGATTAATATTAAGAAGAATGTTATTATAAATATATGGATGATGGATGTATTGTCTATTCACTCCCGACCGACACACTTGTGTGAATCTATTGTGATTCTAATAAAAGGATCGTGTTATCTTTGTGTGTCCTTCACTTGGATGAACATCACGGATAGTTGATACTTGACTCGAATCCTTACGCCCTTCATTGTCTTCCATCTTTGCCTTCGTAGTATAATTTTTTTTTTTTTTTTTTTTTTTTTTTTGGACTGCAACGCTGTGAGTGGTCCTGAATAACCAAAAAAAAAAAAAAAAAAAAAAAAAGAATGAGTATATATTATATATATATAGTATATAAAGTAGATAAAATATAAAATAGATAAAATATAAAATCTTTTAGCTCTAATCACGCGCCAACTTTGTGTTGTGTATGAATGTCCTCATTCTCATTCGTCACTTCATTGACGCTTTCTTTTTATTGCAAACAGGTTCTGACATTATCCTATTGAGTCCAATTCAATCGATTCAATCCTCACGGACACGCCATTGGGTGGAGCGTTCGTCCTTTATTCATCATCACTCACTGGGTCCCCCTTCCCTCTCTTCCCTCCTTCCATTCAATCTTTGTAAACAGTTTTTATTTTTTATTTTTCCCTCTCTTTTTTTTTATTTTTTTTTTTATTTTTTTTTATTTTTTTTATATATTTCTTCTCTTTTCTGTCTTTTTCCTCTCTTTCTCCCTTTCTCTCTTTTCTTTCTTTCTTCTTTCTTTCTTTCTTTCTGTCAATCTCCTTTTCCCTTTGTCCCCTCTCAATCCTTCCATACCCAATTAATTCTTTCTTATTCATCAGCACCGCCATATCAGTGTATGTATGTGAACCATCTTTTCTTAGACCCCCCTGATTCTCTTTCTCTTTCTCTTTCTCTTCCCTTTAAACTTCCCTTCCTTTCTTATCCCTATTCTCTGTCTTTGTCCTGCCTGGGTACCAGATTTTATTTTTTCTCTGTTGATCACCCACTCTTTTTTGTCTGCTCTTCCTTACTCCACCGCACTCATCTTGTTCATTTCAAAAGTCTTTTTCGCAATAACTAGAATTGAGTATGTAGATAATGAAGTTGAAAAAAAAAAAAAAAAAAAAAAAAATGAGAACCTGCATTGCTTTTTGTATCTGGGGTTTCCATTAAAAGACTTTCTCACAACTAAACACGCATACAACAATTAAAACGTTGTTTAATAAGATCCACAATGTCAACAACAAAAACAACAACAACAGTAATGTCAACAGGAGCAACAATAACATCACTAATACAACAACACGACAACAATGATCCTCCACAATTCATACACAGCACAGAACACGCATGCCATGCATATCTCCTGCTCATAAAAAGACTTTTTTTTTTTTTTTTTTTTTTTTTCCTTCCTTCCTCGTTCCATTCCTTGTCAGCTCTCTGTTTCCCCTCGTTGCCACGCCAAAAGGAAAATTTAACGATTCTCAACCTTATCTTTTTCTCACTGCTTCTCCTTCCCTTCCCTTTTCTCTTTTCTCTTCCCTCTTTGCGTTGGTTTCCCCCTCCCCTTTCCTTTGCTCCCCTATTTTTCCATTTCTGCGTTCTACCTCTTGATTTCCATCTGTTTTTTTTGTTTTTTTGTTTTTTGTATTCGTTGGTAAATACCCCTGACTAACAAGCCTTTTTTTTTTTTTTTTTATTTTTTTTTTTTATTTTGACATGTATCATTATTCTTTTTTCTCTTTTCTTCCTCTTTCCTAACTCTGTTCAGTCATCACTCTACTTTTCTATATCTTTCCTCTCTTACTCTGTCGGTACCTGCAGCTCTTGCCACATCAAAAAAAAAAAAAATAATATCAACGCGTTGCAACAGACAGTTTTTCACTGGATTTGTCACGACGCAGGATATAGACCTTCATATTTATGACAAAGCTGGAACAGAACCCAATGTCATCCTCAAAAGGTATCCAGTGGACCCAGCCCATAAACGACCTGTCTCTTGGTCCACTGAGTTATCCTCCATACTCCACTGGTTACCAAGCTACTTCACCACCGACTCGACATACAATGTCTCCTCCCACACATCCATCGTCCATTGGGGCTAATACTTCAGGTATGTTTTAAATTTATTTTCTTTGTTTCTCATGGTTTTCTTTCCTTCCTTGGCAACACGACGCGATACACGCAATATTTTTTTCTTCCCTCCATGGACCCCAGAAATTTTTTTCTTTTTTTTTTTTTTTTTTTTTTTTTTTTTTTACCGCCGAGAGCTCTTGCATTTGAAGAGTCTGTTTACTTCAGCTGGGAAGGAAAGACGGCGCTTATTGACAATTCAGTCTGTGACGCGGGAGTTTTTTTTTTTTTTTTTTTTTTTTTCAACCCTGTGAATTTTTTTTTTTTTTTTTTTTTTTTTTTTGGTCATACCTTGCAAATTCTTTTTTATAACATACTAACAGCCCATCTTTGGTGTACCTCTGTAGGTCCCTTGCCCATGAAAATGTCTGAACGAAATGTTGACGGCGATGGGAAAACCAAGAAAAAGACTGGAAATAGCAATAATAACAGTGCTGGTACCAAGAAAGGCCCAGAAGTGCCTCCAGGATTGGAGCATTTTCATTCAAAGTACCCCAAGCCAACACATTCATATTCCTATTTGATCACCACAGCCATTCTAGAAAGCCCACAACAACAAATGACTCTCAACGAAATCTACGAATGGGTCATGGAGCGATATCCTTGGTATCGAACTGCCATCAATGGCTGGAAGGTACATGATCCTTTAAATGATTCTCATACTCTCCTTCTTCTAACTCAGACCATCATAAACATACACGATTTTGTCCTGGTTGAAAAAAAAAAAAAAAAAAAAAAAAAAAAAAAGACAGACAGACAGACAGACAGACAGATGCTTAGGCCGTATGAGGTCAAATAGGAGTAATCCTGGAATTTATCTGTGGTGCTGTCCAGACTTTTTAACTCTATTTTTTTTTTTTTTTTTTTTTTTTTGACTCTTAGAATTCAATTCGCCATAACCTGTCGCTGAACAAGGCTTTCATGCGTGTACCTCGACCACCAAGCGAGCCTGGAAAAGGATCCTATTGGAAATTAGATCCTAATCATCAGTCCCCATCGGCCCAGGCGCATAATGGTGGCGCAGGAGCACAGGGAGCAGGCGCACGATCTGGCAGAAGCTCTAGAAGAAGCAGTGCCGGTCAGAGAGGCTCCACAAGTAGATCCAACAGACGTGCCACAAGTGATCCCACTCCTCATCCTATACCGGGTCAGGGAACAGACATTCCATTGACTCCCGTGCCTGTGTTGCCAAAGCGACCCGGCATGGAAAGTGATCCTCATCTCTTCAAGATTGATACGCCTCCAGTTCCAACCATCATTCCTGTTCTACCCTCCACATCAGGTCCCAATAGACGACATTCTCATCTTCTGAGCCATGATCACAGCTACGCCTCACCCCAGGAACAACTCCAACATATCGAGCAGCAACAACAGCAGCAGCATGGCGGCCCATACACAACTGCGCAGATGCCCCCCTCGTTCAACTTATCGGGCTTGAATACACAACAACATCATCATCAAGGCGCCCTCTTCTCCCCAACGTCACCCACAGGAACAAGCTCTGGCGGGGATTATGGTCAAACCAATTCGTTTTATTCAGCCAACGGTGGTGCTCCCCCACATACCCTGGCAAATTCAGGCATGATGGATTCGGACTCGTCCTTCTCGCGTTTCTCGAATTCTGGACTTTATTTTGCACAGAATGGTGGGAACAACAACGGACGCCCACTCTCCATGCCCGGAAGTTCACCCTATAGCGCAGGAGGCGCAAGTCACTATGGTGATTACGGTCATGGTGGTCAACACGCAGGAGGTGCTCCCTCTCATTCCTATGGAGGAGCAGCAGCTACAGCATCGTTCTATCCCAATTCTGTCGGCTATGGTTTCTCGCCTCCCTCTAACCGTGCTGGAACAACGAGTGGTGTCAACAATGGAGCCAGTTCTCCATACGGCAGCTCACCATCCTATCGAGGCTTTCATGATTACGGTAATCCAGCATCACCTGACTACAGCGCCAGCAGCCACTCGCGTCCATCATCAATGATGAGTCTCTCCCCACCGGCGAGCTCGTCATTTATGAGTGCTGCCTCATCTGCACCTTCATCATACCCAATCTCACAATCATTTGGTCAGGCTGGCTCTGGTATGCTCTCACCAGTTTCGCCTGGAAGCCAAAGTGTATCTAGCACGACCATGTCGATCTCAGCCTCCTCACCACCATCAGCTCCCAGTTCAATGAGGGCTCCTGGTTCATTTGTCGTTGGTCAAGAACCCAAGGGACTTTCCAGCAATAATGGCAGCGGAATTAATCGACATGCTGCTTGGTAAATTTATTGGCAGGACCCTGTGCCGATGATAATTTTTTTTTTTTTTTTTTTATTTTTATTTTTTTACCATTGTCAACACTGTTGATGTTTGTTTTGCTGTGCGGTTGTTTTGTCTCATCATTTGTAAGATTTTTTATTTTTTTATTTTTTTATTTTTCACTCTCTGTATTGTACTTTTTTTTTTATTTCTGTTGTGGAGAGAAAACCTTCTCCCATAACAGACAGCAACAAACGCACAATACAAAAGTCAAACAAACAAACAAACAAACAAACAAGCAAAAACAAACAAACGAAACAAAAAGCCAGGAAAAAAAAAAAAAAAAAAAAAAAAAAAAAAACCAACATAATTATTTATTAGCCTCAGTACAGAAAAAAAAAAAATCATTTTCATTATCATTGCCATCGCATGTTTCCACTCTTGTTATTTCATTGCTCTTCTTCCACATCACAATAGCCACTTTCACCCTCCTTTTGTTACCCTGTAGTTTAATTGTTTTCTTCAGTAATGTAATTATTTTCTTTTCCAGCCATTGAAGAAAAAAAAAAAAAAAAAAAAAAAATTGATTCTTGTAATTAATGTGTATCCACTGGTGTGTATACCTCGATTTAGGAGGTTGTAGGAATGCGATGGTTAGGATTCTACAGAATAAGATTGACATGTTGAGATTCCACGAACTGTTGTGAATGTCACATCTCATTGGGCCATCTGGCTTCCGAGAATCATGAAAATAAAGTCAAATTAATAGTGTGAATCACCTTCACGACCTTTTTTTTTTTTTTTGGTTCCAAAGTTGTCAGGTGGTTTATAAATCCATATGATCGATTTATTCAGGCTAGATATTATTATTGTTCTAATGATTTAAAAGAGCAGGTTTGCCATAGAAGGTCCATGGAGAGAAGTCAAGAGCTTTTCTGTTCTGTGAAAGGCATTTCAAACCAACTGGATGGTTATCAGAATGTCCTATTGAAGCTGCGAAACGTTAAAATCTTTTTTTTTTTTTTTTTTTTTTTTTGAATGCTATGTTTCCATCTGTTGCTCCTCAACCTTTGGATTATGTATTCTGGAGAAGGATTTGCAATGCATTTTTAAATTGTTTAACAAAATCTTTTCTCGATCAGTTAAAGATGATATCATGTGTCAAGGAGATCTGTCAGGGACAGAAAGCTTTCAAAGGGCACACTGTGTGTTGTCAAAATTAAATATATCGGATGGGGAGGCTGTGCTGATAAAGACATGTAAATGTATATGTATATGTAAATGTATATGAATATTTTATTTTTTAATCCCATTTGACACCATTTCATTCTTTTACTTAATCATCCATTCATTACCTTTGAATCTTTCTTCTTCCTGCCTGGTACATATTTATTATACATATTTGTATATACTCTTTATTGTCTTGTCTTCACCATGTTTTTCTCAAGGATTCTTAAAACTCGATCAACCTCCTTGGCATCAACACTCATGTCCCGTCAATCTACTGTGGCTACTCTGACGAGAATCGCAATCTTGCCACCTCAGTTGAATCAAACACGTACAATTGTCTCGCCTTCGCGTGTCCTCTTTGCAACGAACAATTCTGATGTCGAAAAGGGTGTACAGAATATTACTGACCTATTCATGACTGCACGCGATGAGGTTTGATTTTTTTTTTTTTTTTTTTTTTTTAAAAAAATAAAAATAAAAAAATTCTCATTGCTTTTCTATTCTTTCTAAACTCCTTCATGTTTTTGACTAATATTTTTATAATTTTACAAAACAATCCACAACGGTTGATTAGCTCGAATATGCAGAAGAAGCGCGTGGAACTGTGTACTACAACGATGACAAGGAAGCCGCACGTGAGGCTGTTCAAGAATGCTTGAGCACATATGATGAACTGTTGAAGGACTTGGACGAAGCACAAAAGCTTGATGTTCAACGCAAGATTGGTCTCAAGATCATGGAGCTCAAGTCACAGTTGGATGCTCTGAACGAAGAGGAACTCGAATAAACAATGTCAATAAAAAAAAAAAAAAAAAAAAAAGTGCTATATATCATTATAGTCAACTGGATAAATAGAGACGAACAGACTTTGGATTATCTTTTTTTTTTTTTTTATTTTTTTATTTTTTTTTTATTTTTTTATTTTTTTTTTATTAAAGAAACAGAAGAGTATTTTAGACACGAATCTTTATCTTTTGATGTATTTACAGTCATTACGACAACGCTCAAGTAAGAAGAGCAACCCTAAAAACGAATTTGTTTCACACCAGACTGTTCAGGTCTTCATCGCCATTATCGTCCTCGTCAGAGTTATCTCGATACCGCTCTTGAGCATCCTGGAGCTCATCCCCACCGCCAGTTCCCAACATTGTATTCTCCGCAGCATCATCGTCATCATCATCCATATAGTGACCAAAATAGTCGTCCATGATCACCTCTCCAGGTTCCTGGCTCAAATTCTGATACCCATATCCGCCACGTCCACCACTGCCAAAGCCTCCAAAGTATCCACGAAGGCGTCTTGGCATCAGTGCCCCTACTGTCGCTGTGAGCTTATCCCACGTATCATAAATAGCACTTGGAACATGGAGTCTTGAGAGTGACCGGGGTACACGAATTGAAGGCATGTTCATGGTCGGAAGAGAGGATGACCGAGGAAGATGGATCTGGTCATAGATATCATTGCCGAGTCGAATAGGCGAGCCTCGTCTTCCTGTCAAATAACCCTTATACCGGTTCAAGAAAAAGAGAATGGCATAAGCTCCACCGCCTGAAGCTAATAGGATACCAGTCCACCCAAAGAATCCGATACCACCCCTTCCAGGGCAGTATTTCTTGCGACCAAACAACTCATGGTCACCCACACAGCTTGAGAAGGCCATCTTGCGGTATCCAATGGACTCATAGTAGTAGTCTTGGCCTTCTGGTAATGATGCACAGATTTCTTTTTCGTTCAGGACAACGGGCGTTGCGTCCTTGATCAACTGACACTTGCCAGAATCGTCGGGTTCATAGTTAAAGTCACACTCAAAGTCTTTAGCTGTGCATTGACAATTGCTGACAATCTCCCGCGGATTCACAGCCAGCTCACCTACAAAACATTGGCGGTCTTCAATCCTGCGGAAATACTCAACTTTGCGACCAAACATGCACTCCTCACCACGGAGATCCGCAAGACTCCAACGCTCAAAGTCATCATTTGCTTCATCCTTCAAATTCAGTCGGCAAGTAGGGAAGTCTAGGCCCTCAAAATCAATCTGGTAGATCAATTGCTTTGCAGTATTGGCTCCGCCTGCTCGGGGGACGGCAAACAAAAGGAAAGACTTTCCAATCCCACCTGGTTTGGTCATAATGTCTTGGATAATAACTTTTTCCGTTGAAAACTCAAACTGTTGGAAGGTTTTGCCATGGTCAAGGGAATAGATCACATGGTCTGTAGGGAGTCCATCATCATTGGCCAGCAAAATGATGCTTCCTTGATCTCCAAAGTCATATTGGTGTGGTCCATGCAATATTTCTCTCCAGGAAAAACCTCCATCTCGGGTCAAGAAAGTGCTGCCTTGAGCATACTCTCCCAATGAAGTACCAACGTTTCCAACACCAATGACCATACCAGGCATCGAAGGGGAGCTGAACATGTCTTCGGAATGTTTCCTGTCAAGATAATTGTGCAAATGTAAGCTGCAATCCGTACCCTAAAATCATTTTGAATGAGTACGCAAAAAGCAGATAATATTCGTTGTCAGTTTTTTTTTTTTTTTTTTTTTTTTTTTTTTAAAACGATTGTTGTGTTTGTTTAATGATAAATCAAATGTGGGAAAACGAACCACGCAGTCATAACGCTGATTATCCGAATCAACCTCCGGTGCTTTCAAGGGATTCCATGTATTTCCATTATCGACTGTAATCATCGACCGAAGCTGTTTCTTCTTCCCTTGATTAGCTTCGTTCGGGTTAATAACTTCGTTCAGGAGTGCAACACCATCCACACCCTGCATCTTCTCAAAGTCCACGTTGCCCATGTCAGACTCACTGACATACTTCTTGGATAACGAAAAATAGGTGCCATTGGAATTGGACGTGAATAGGTTCCCAACCTTAGATCCTTGACGGTTGATTACGTTAATTGCCATAAATACTGACCGTGTAGTTGAGTCCAGGACCGTGTATGCCTAAGTTCAAGCCATATGTTGCAAAAGTAAAGGTTTAGTTAGATCGAGTGGTTTCATTCCATGTAAACAAAGTAGAAAGAGTGTCACCGTGCAGCAAAATCATACAGGATTAACAACATCAAAGTTGGAAGGGTAGTGGGCTTGTGTAAATTTAATACCGTCCGTTGATATGGCAACCCTCAGCGCGCGTTGACTCGGCACGTACTAAGAATGATTAGGCAAAAAGCACGGAAAGAGTGTGTGAGTATATATATGCATATGCATATTTCATTGCTTCGCGCCTCAGTGGATCAAGATTCTCTTGCTTCTTTTACCTCGGCTGCAATGAGATAATCCGAATAAATTGCATATCCCACAATGGCATTAAAGAGCACTTGCGACGTCCTCATGTAGTTGTCCGTGTAAACAAACTTGACAGGAGTGTTCGCATTCATTAGAGTCTTTTGGGATCCGGATCTGTCATCGTATTGTTCACAGTAGATTCCCTCATTGTTGACCTGCTTAAAGCTCGAGTCTCGTGCCCAAGCACATGATCTGACCCAGGTTGCGAGCGGACGCCAGTTCTTGCCAAAGTCCTTGGTATAGAAGGCTTCGATATGACAATGATCTTCTCGTTCGTAACTACAACCAATTTCGCCCAAGTAAATCATCCATCCAGGTTCGGTTGGGTGGAACGACCATGGATTGGGCATGAATGATATAGCTGCGGAGGGTAGTGGCAATTCAATCGTATCCCAGTTGAGGCCTCTGTCTTGAGTATACTTGTGCTTACGGCCAGAGGTCCCAATGATCGCCCGAATATCATCATAGGGGTTACGGTGGACCCCAGTGACAATTCCATCGACTTCGACCTCGTCCCAATCTTTTCCATCGTTCTGACTAATGTAGACATGGGTCTCCAATTTGAGAATGGCCACATCAGACTTGGGGAAGTAAAAGACTGAATCCTGATTGTACTCGTATCGGTTGTTGAACCTTGACATTTTACTCTCAACTGCTCGCTTGGGGCCACATTGTCTCTCCACTTTTTGTGACTCGAGATCCACACCATCCACACAAGCGCTAGCTTCGATCTTCTTAAACCCAGACCTACCCATATAGGTGCCATCACAGACCTTTGGCTTTTCAGGATCATGACCAAAACGTTGACACTTCCCGGCATCATCTCTGAAGAAGCCGATATCACACTCAAAATCGCGTTCCGTGCATTTGCAATTTGTTTGCTCCATGTCTGGAACTCCATCGTCATCGTTTACACGGCAGATCTTATCGGCCTTACGACGCCAATAAATAAGCTATAATGTTTTAAAAAGGGTAAAAAAAAAATAAAAAAAAAAAAAGAATGTCAACACCAACATCACTTGAGAAACTAAATAACAAAGCACATAGTCAACCCGATAATTGTTCTCTTACTTCTTTGCCAAGGATACAGCGGTCGTCCTCACCCTCAAATGGCGACCACCTCTCAAAGTCACTCTTATCTGGGTTGCGCTTGTCCATAACGCATTGACGTCTGTTGCTAAAGTCCAATGTTGACACGATAGCTTGTTGACTTCCAGCAGCGAACAGTCCTTTGATGGTAATTTTGGATGTGGTTGAAGTCGGCTCCGTGGTCACAGCCTGGATCAAAACAGGCTCATCGGCAAACATGGTCCTCTGCCACGTGGTGCCAAAGTCGTATGAGAACGACACTTCCTGAGTTGGCTCTGCAGGATTGACCAGAACGAGAACACCGCCTTCATCGCCAAACTCATACAGAGTACGTGTGTCACTCACTTTTTGCCAAGTTCTGCCTGCATTGCGACTAAGGTAGGTCTGAGCTGTCTCTATAGGTCCCAGATGTGAGCCAACGTTGCCAATACCCATGACCAGACCGACAGATGAAGAGGCGCTAAAGACAGCACCAGGGCCATCGTAGTCAGTAACACTGTGAAGATGCAATGAGCATTCATCGCTATCGCAGTTGCTGCCTACGGGTGCATGGATGGGGTTCCAGGTACTGCCATCATTGAATGAGATCAATGAACGAACATGTTTTTCCCCATCTTTAGCTAACGAAGCTGTATTGGTCACCTGGTTAGCAAGAATAATACCCTCAATTCCACCAAGTTTCTCCCAATCCACAAGTTGTTCTTCATTGCGATTAGTATTATCAAGTTGCAATGAGAAATAGGTTCCATTGCTGTTGGATTTAAACAAGCGTCCATGCTCTCTACCGGCAACAGTCGACTTTGCTACATCCACAACAAGACTGCCTGTGGTGGATTGCAAGACAGTGAACCCATTCTTGTCTACCCTAATATTTGGTGGGAAAACAGCCTGGGCAAAGTCTTGACCATTAAGAGACACATGCAGAATAAAGTCGTTTCCGACATCCTGTGAGTGGAGATGACATAAAAAATAGAGAGTGAGTATGCGTGCCATAAAGTAGTATTTTTTGTCTGCTGCATGTCGACCCTATTTGTCACCTTACCACTGCAACTGCCAGGAAACGCTCGACCACATAGAATTGGACGACATTATCAAAAAGAACAAGATGCAGAACATCCGTGTCGCGTTTATACACCATCTGGAGGGGATGTGTCTCTGTCGACGTGACCTCATCCTGACAGATGTTTGCGGGCATAGGTTTTTTCCAGGCCATCATAAAGATTCCATGATCAGGCATATCCAATTTCCGATGAGCCGCATATACTGCTTTATCAACCCATGTATCAACCTCAGCCCAATGACCCCCACCGTTCTGAGTGCGATAAAGGCGAGTAAAGCATTCGTCCTTCTTCTGTCCAAGGTAAAGCATCCAATCATATTTGTCACTGTCTGGATGAAAATCAATTAACGGGAACATAAACTTGTTTGGTGGCGCTGGCAGCTCATGTTTGTCAAAAGTCTCTCCTCGATTGCGGGTCACATAAACATGTTCGTTTGTGAAGAGATACGCTCGCTTTTCGTCCTCGTCATGGATAGCAATGTGAACAAAGCGTCCAGCGTCAGGCAAGACACGCTTCCAAGTAGAGCCATCGTCGGTACTACGCCAAACCTGTTGAGATCCTGTCATAACCATGATCACAGAAGATTTCAAGAAGTATTGAAATCCGCCCAGCAATGATGTGTCAAATTTAGTGATAGAGTGCGTAATATCTGTTGGAATGGTCTCAGCGGTGCAGGTCTTCATCTGAGGTTCGTCCTTCTTGAGTCCCTTTTCAGAATCGCAGCTGTTGCCTGGGATCTTGCGATAACCAGATGATCCAAGGTAGGTATCGCCCTCCTTCTTACATGAGCCATCTGGCATAGCCTCTTTGCCTTTCAACACACACTTGCCATCCTGCAATACATAATTATAGTCACATTCAAAGTCCTCGTCTGTGCAGGGGCAAATTTCGTCCGTCTTTTTGGGGTTCGTGAAGTCCTCTTTAACCATGCACTCCGCATCGGCCTTCCTGCGCCAGTACCACGTTTTGACGCCCATAAGGCAATCGGGATTGTTCCTGAGATTACGCGCATACCATTTTTCAAAATCAGATCTGTCCATATTGTCTTCATTAAGCTCACACTTGCGACCATATACGTTCGTGAGATCGAGCTGATAGGCATTAAACCTGAGTCCAAGGCGAACGAAGAGCAGGAACTTTTGGGATGTCGATTCTGGGTCAGAAACCAGTGCCCCTGGGCGGATATTCTCATCATCAAGCTCATACTTGTGCCTACGATCCAACGATTCATTAAAACGAGAACGCAGAGCCATAAAATCAGAATGTTTGGGTCTCAGGACTTATCACATGAGTTTTAAACTTTTTAAAAATAATAATTCAGTTTACCATGTCTTGCCACGGTCTGCGCTGTACTGAAAAAAGTTCACTGGAACGTTGTCATCTCTCACAGCAACGATCAAGCCCCCTTGATCACCAAATTCGTATTTGTGAGGATGTTCAAGTACAGCTTTCCAAGTAAGACCACCATCTTCCGACAAGTAGGTATCACACTCTTCCCATGGAAGTAGGTAAGATCCGACATTTCCAACACCCATGACCACACCTGGAGCAGCTTTAGAACTGTAAACAGGAGGAGCTACTCTAGCGGATGTAACTGAGTGAAGGTGTAGGCTACATGAGCCATCCTACAACACAATAAATGAGTATTTAGTTAGGGGTTTTTTTTTTTTTTTTTTTTTTTTTTGTATTCATGAAATGTATTGTATTTAGTATAGGCATACCGTGTTAGGAGTGCAAGCGTTTCTTCTTCCATCGGCCCTAGTGTCTGGTGGTAAAATGTACTGCCAGCTCGCACCCGCCTCAAATGAGATCTGTGTGCGAAGGCGCTTCTCTTCATCATCCCTTGGAGATGATGCATAGTTGTCGACGATATTGATGATGTAAACGCCATCGATATTTTGGATTTTCTCAAAGTCGACCGTATCGTCGTATCTGCGGTTTGTATATTGCTTCGAACGAACAAAATACGTACCGTTTGAGTTGCTCAACATTAGATTTCCATATGAATCCCCTGGCGAGGTCTTAACATCTACAATCAAACTGTACGGAGTCGACTCTAGTATTGTATATGACTGGAGCAAATGCAACGAAAGTTAAGCGGGGATATTAATACGAAATCTTCCGAATTTTTTTTTAGATAATTCTTCATAATCACTATTCCTTACGTCCTGACGGAGATTAGAAGGCGCCGGGAAGTTGGCTTTAGCCCATGTCTTTGCATCATTTGATACCCAGAGTGACATATCGCCTGTAGTGAGATGTTTTTCAGCCACCAGCATAAATGACTCTTTTGTAACAAAGTTGACAACCGCAGCGCGGTCACTCGTGCTAAAAACGATAGTTTCTTTAGTCTCGAAGTAATCCTGACTCTTGACTAGCTTTGCATCCTCAAACCCAATGGATCCATCCGCTCGGAGAGCTTTGTAATCCAAACAGTGGATAAGTTCCGTTGGTGCCTCATCAAAGTTAGGGCTTGAAACTGCCCATTCACACTTGTGCGTAAATGCCAAGAGCTTCTTGGGGGCTGTGTCGAACCCATCCTTGGTGTAAAATGACTATTGAATGCAATGGCCGGGAAAATATTTTAAAATACTGTAGTATCAGCTAATGTTTCAGCCATAATAATAAAAATCATTATATAAATACACAAATCCCTTGTACTGATGGATGTCTTAATAACGAACCTCCTGATGGCAATGGCCACGATCATCACAAGGCTTTAGAAGAATCAGGACCCAATTTGGCCGCTTGGCATGAAAGGACAGTACGAAATGGTCTTCAATAGGGATATACTCTGTTTGAAATGTTTTCCAGGACTGACCCTGATCTGTAGTTTTGTACTGGGTCTTTCCCTGCGTGATAATGTAAGCCTAAATATTGATGCAGGAAGGAAAAAAAAAAAAAAAAAAAAAAGGTTTTAGATTAAACGAAGTAGATATTATTAAGAGGATGCTGTGGGACAACAAATGTGACAATCATACCGTTTTAGGATCAAATGGGTGCATAATCAAGGAAGAAGCAACTCCCTCAGGCACATCCTGAATTCTATTCCAGGTCTTTCCTTCATCCGGTGATCGAAAGACGTTACGGGCGGCGTCCTGATAGAGAATGATCTGAGGAAGTGTCGCAACAAAGGATTAAGTGTACGATTGATGTCATCTATATTAGTATCCTTACGTCTAATGTAGCAAGGTGAACAGGAAGATACAGTTTCACATATTATCTAGGACATACTGGTGAGTTTTGAAAATAGTTGACCTTCCGTGGTGCGTTATCAAACTTATTTTCAGTGACGATGGGGTCTGTAGGCGCAGCATGGACATTGACGCTTGGAGAGATTACACATGCCAAAAAAACTGCAACTAATGATGCAATACGAGCCACACGGAAGACCCGCTTTGCAGACCACACAAAATCTCCTTTAGGCCTTGGAGACTGCGCCTGAGCAGTATGCCAAGCCGCGTCCATTGAAACGAATAGAGGAATCAATGTCTGAGATGTTGAGTTGTACTCTCAGTGTATGTAGCCCCAGTTCTGCTTGGTTATTCTTTGTAAATATGTCTTATTGAGTAGTCGATTCGATTGCTTTCACTGTCCTATGTGATCTACTCTGGTTAAATGACAGAATTCGAGTCGAGGAATGAAGCGAGATAGCAAAAGATGAAAAAAAAAAAAAAAAAAAATTGACGCGCACCCTGATTTATTTTTGAATTACTGAGCCAAAAATGGCAGTGCGCGTGAGGTGTACGTGGAGCAACAAGATTAATCTCGTCATAATTCCACGGGCAAATCTTCCCTCACACTCTTCGACGACTGGCCTCCTCTCTCTCCCTTTCCTTTCTTTGAACAAGAACGACTATACCCGTAACATTTCCCGGCTTGGAAATGTCATTAACAACAAAATTATCGAAAAGCAGGATGGCGTAGCAGAGAATAACAAGCCGCCTAAAAGATTGGGTTTCATATAAGTCTCCATCTTTTTTTTTTTTTTTTTTTTTTTTTTTTTTCAAAAAGATCCAAGATCTGGGGTTACTTGGAATACAAGGAAGCGGAGGAAAAGAGCATAGCTGATGGACATTTTCAAGATTCCATAGAGCTTTTCGTGGATCAGTAACAAAGTATCCTGTGACTTATAGCAGATTACTACAGAGTCTGCATTCAATTCGTGAACTACTAAAAAGGTGCCCTTGCTCTCTACCCTTTTTTTTTCCCTAAGTTATTCATTCGGCTAACCCACTTTGCAGCTTACACATGGGCATTGTTCTCATGGTGCTTGACTTTGGCCAATGCAGTAATCATCTCTCACTCAATAACTCGCAACTATTGAGTATGTCAATCAGAGCTTGAATATGCGACAAAATACGCATAGATGTGTGCTCTTGCAGAGGTGGGGTATCCTCAATTATGCGATTAGTTACATATGAACCATTGGGAAGAGACCCAATCTGGCAAACCAGAGCTATTCTGTCTCTGCCAACCCTCTGTTCGCCGAATGCACACCACCTGAATATGCTTGCAGGAACGGACATCTGGGCACCATGAGCGCTGCTGACTCTCATAACAAATGACCCCCCCCCCCCCCCCCCCAAGGTACACAATCCACGATCACAAAAGCTCACATTTCATGTCAGTTTGGAGTAATGCCAATGTATTTGTACACCAGTGGCGGTGTACCAGCGGCGAAATTTTTCGTCATAATAATCATAATTTAATTGATTCACAGAGCATTGATGACATTGATACACGCCACCACCGTATACCAGCGACATCAAACTAGCGAAAATCTGGTGATTTCTGCTAAACGGAGTGAACACCAACCCACCAACTTATCTGCCTCTGGCTCTACCTTAGCGCGCAGAACGAGGTGTCGCTGCTACTACAGCTAAAATGTCAAGGATGTCCGCGAGAAGAACGGTAGGCCAAAGAGCCCAAGTCTTTGCATTGATGACACTGGCACTCCCTTTATTCCAAGTGTAAGGTACCCTCTCTCTTGGGATCTTCCCTCACTAATGCTGATCAATAAAATAACAAATAAAATATAAGTAAACTGAAAAGCCATTCCCTTCAGTAGTGAAGTCTGCAAGAACTGTTTCATTGCACCTGGGATTCTCAGGAATGATGTAAAATATTGTATTGGATGCCTCTAGAGCTTTTGGGCGTAAATCTGTTGAGCTTTTATATTGAGGATCTTTTGTGAAGACGCGCCTTGACATGGGTGTTACTCTTAGCAGCCATATTTAGCGAAGATATCTTTCTTTCGTTCCATTACTTATGCATATTTCAGACATCAGAATCATAAAATCGTAATACAGCCTAGAGTCGCTCTCCCTGTGGGTCCTAACGAGCGCAACTTGGTGAAGTCAATGGTTTCCAGTGGTCACGATTGAAAATATCAAGAACGAATTGAGGTCGAGTGAAGAGAGTCTTCAGTCGGTAATGATCGTCTCAGTAAGTGTTGAATGTTGCTGTGTTCAGTTAGACCGTAACTAACATCCCATGATTTACAGGTTGAGGCAGAGGCGAAAAGTGTTCCTTCAAGCTTCCTTCGAGAACGAGGTATGTGTCGAAAGTCAAGAATTCACAAGTGGTTGTGTATATGTTAGGTACTGAGGTTTGGGAGTGCATCCTAGGGACACTTCCATTTTTATTCATGAGGTCCAGAACATCGTGTGGCGGTCGTGGCGGGACCTTAATAAAAGGCTCCCGCCTGGCAACAATAACAAAAGGCAACTTTCGATCTCCTTGACTTTAAGTCTGAAAAAACATCCTAGTATAGATAGGTTCTAATCGTTCTTTCGTTCCTCACAGCTCGCGGTAAAGTCATCCGAAGGATCTGGAAAAGAGAACTCCGTTGCCGCGGACGTAGAGCGAGGTCTCTTTCAGTTATGTCCATGCCCCGACTATGTCCGACAGAAGATCCCTTGCAAGCACATGTATTTGGCGTCAAGGGTCTACGACGGCTTTGATGTTCAATATACCGCTGCTCCTTCGTGCATTAAACATCAAAGCAAGCACTTAGAGTTCGACTTTGAGCCCTTCTCGAGAGATTTATCTCGCCAGCTTTATCGCACGAGATGAATGCGATGAGAGCTAAAGAGAGGGAAGAAGCCACTGCCCAAGCGTTCGAAGAGTGTGAAGAAGAACTTATGGTCCTGTAGAAGGAGCTGGACTGTATGGCATATAGCAGGCAAAAAGAGAAGTGTGCATTGAAGGATATGCAAGACTCAGTAACAGATCCAAGGAGTATGATCCATATAACGACAGCGAGAGGTGTACAAGCGCCTGAACAAACTGACTGTAAAAAGTAATATATCAGCTGACCTCTTTGTCTTTGGGTCAAAATTGTGCTACTTTCGGATTTTTAAACCTTTATTTTCTACATGAAATCTTCTTCAAAGGCCTCTACATCACCATCATGATCCATATTCCTGTAATTGGATGTGCCCGTCATATCTGCGTTTTCAAAGATAGACGCATATGACCGCTCTGATGCTTTTTCTTTCAACTTTTGAATTTGTTCATGTTCTTGCTGTTGCCGTTCCTGATCTTTCAGTCGTTGCTGTTTACGAAGAGTCCTTTCATGATTCATCTTCTCTTGTGCCAGGTCTGGAAACCGCTCAACCTTGGTCTTGTTGAGCCGGTTGACGATCTCATTAATCCTTTCTGCCACATGGACGCGCTTAACTAGATTGTTCTTTTTAAAACTGACTTGACCTACATCCATATCGCCAGTCTTTTTGAGGTTGGACCATGGAGTATAGATGATTGTGAGATTATTTCTCTTGTTCCCCTCGATTGAATTGGCCTTCACAAGCTGTGCCAAATCAGCCAAGAGTCTCTCGGGAATGTTATCCCAGGTCTGGTCAGGTCCCAGTCGCAGGTAGACGTGTGCACTCGAGAGCTTATCGACGTGGAACCACACGTCTTCCTCAAATCCATGCTTAATTAGGTCCTCGTTTTCATACTTATCCTTGCCCATGAAGATCAGGGCCGGTGGACTCACAACTGATGATTTGAAGTCGAGAGGAGAGAAACGAAAGATAAAAGAGCAGGGTGGCCGTTAATGACAGGAAGCGGTAAAGTACTCACAATCTTCTCCTGTGTCTTGGTTATTTAGTTTCTCAAGGCATCTAAAGAATGAAATGTCTTGCAATACCAATCTAGAATTACCATTAGATGTGAAATACAGAACCATAATGATGTTTGATTGTCTTGATCTCGTTATTTTTATGGTGTCTTGAATAAGACATTTTTTAATGTGGCTTTTTTCTTTTCATGTCTTGTATGGTTTTTGTGCACTTTTTTTTTTTCGATTGTTAATTATGACAGTCAGTCGTACGTCCAGGTGCCCTTTTCCATCGAGGAATGCCTCCGCTGCTTTTTTCAAAATACTTTGTCCCTATTTCTTAAGAATACGCAATCCATTTCAAATAATGTGTAGTCCTCGTAGACTAGGAGCCACTAAAGTTGATGGCGTGAGTGATGATACGCTAGGCTGAAGTAGTGTATCATCAATCATTTTGACAAACACAGGGCTGTGTTTGGTGCAGATTGCAAGAGTGAATGTATTCTGCATCATAAAAATAGAATTTTGTGACAGAAAGGAAATTTACTTCAATGATGATTGTTTTCTCAAAATGCACAAGCAGGTCCCCTCCTCTCTCTTTTTTCTTCCTTTCTTTCTCACCTTCTCACCTTCTCACCTTACCCTGTCCTTACTCCTTTCATCTTTCCTTATTACTTCTGTTGATCCTCTTCTTCCCTTTACCACTTGTCTTCTATACCATTTATATATATATATATACAGACACACACACCCACCTCATTAGACACCCCTAGATATCCACGCACGCAATTTTAATACATGAGTTACTACAACAATCCCACTTCCCCGAGGCAAAACCAGACTGCCGCCTATGTCCCGGCTTCTTCGTATTCTCCCTCAGTCCCATACTCTACGAAGCCATCATCTGGCAACACCTTTATTACTACCACACCAACATACATTAGTTCGCCATTTGACGATGATCCTGTTGTCCCCAATAACAACAACAGCTATGAAAAGACTACCCCTTACAACCCAGACTATATGCCAAACACTAGTCAAACCAACGAACATGCTCTCTCTCCATCCTTCACAGAGAAAAACCTAGCTGCAGGTGCAGGTGCAGGTGTAGGCCAGACCTATGCGATGCATCATTTGAATACCCAACAGAACAACTCCTATGACCCTTATGGAAACAATCTCAACAACCAGAGCTATGCTAGCTACAATAGCAACAACCGTGAATCGTATGGATATGACAACAACAATAACTACTACAATGGCTATGATGAAGAGCGTCCTTCACTTTCCAATGACACTGCACCTATGCGTCCCTATGCAGACATGGAAACGAGCGAGGGCTTGACTCGTCACAAGAGTGGTGTGACTCGAGTCAAGTACGGCAAAAAGGAAAAATCAAAATGTCTGCCTTGTTTCCCCTGTATCCGCTCTACCTGTGGACGCATCACTTGTTGTTTCTGTATAATTCTGTTGCTGCTCATCATTGCCTTAGTTGTCGTGGTCTTCACTCTCTTCAAAGTGCCTACCGTCAACTATAAGGGTATGCAAGCTGAACCACAGTTCCTCTTCAACCAGGGTGGCACCACCTTGCAAGTTCAATTTGCTGCTGACATTGAGGTCACCAACCCTAACCCACTTGGATTCAAGTTTGAGTCGATTGTTGCTACTGTAAGCTTTTTTTTTTCTTTGTTTTATTATGGGATTGATCACATTTTATTTTACAACCAGGGGTGTAAAAAGGGGAAGTCGGATATTCTCTTTCTCTGCACTCGTCCTTGCCTCCCCTCATTTGTCATTTGTGTATCTCATTGTATGCATTTTTAAATACATCCATGCATGTTTTCCCAAAAGGGCTGTTTTGTCAACAAGATGTGATGGAGGGGAAAAGACATCAACAAAAAAGAGGGCTGCGGCGGTGCTCTTGCTCTTGCTCTGAGGCTGAAAACAACAACAACAACAACAAAAAAAAAAAAAAAAAAAAAAAAAGGCGAGACCCAAAGAGAGTTCAGTCAGTTGATTGGCGCTTGGCAATGGGTAAATTTTTGACTATGCACCATTTATTCACAAATAAGACTTCTCTTTTTCTCTCCTTAGGCTTATTATCCCAAGTATGAACCATCAATTGGAGGAGGCAACCTGACTAATGTTGAATTTCCAAGCAAGACCACTAAGACCATTACCTTCCCTATCTCGGCCGCTTATTCAGGTTCACAGGACCCTGGCTTCACTGTCGTTAAGGACATTCTCACCAGATGTGGCAAACTTGGTGGTGACGCCACAGATCTGACCATCAACTATGATCTCAAGTTGACTGTCAAACTTCTCTTTTTCAACATCAGTCCTACCATCAAGGATCAACACGTCAACTTTGCGTGCCCTGCAGACATTGACTCCATTGCAAATGGCGTCCCCGGTGGTATTGGCGCCATCATCGGTGGCAAGGCTACTTAAATTATATTTAGATATCTCTCTATTCACAATGTGTAGTTTAGCAGACCTTCTTTTTTGTCTGAGGGTTTTTTCCCTTCGATGTACCATAAGTAACATAAGATCCCTCCTCATGAAGCAAAGCAAAAACCCACCTCGTATTACAAATCCATCATTCATACATCACTTGATTATCTGAATTCTCAATCATTAAACGATATAAATATTTCCGCTCCTCATCAAGCAATATACATTACTATTTCTTTCACTATCAGGATTATGTAGATAGTTATTACTGAACATTACCACAGAAAAGCATAAAAGATCGACCTGTTATCGTACATGACCTTTTATGCTTGCAAATTAAAGGAATGCAAATAAAAGGGGGTTCCTAGGAACACAACAAGTCTATGATTACTGCTGTTACTATCTAGAATAGTACACATATCGAAGCACGCGTTCCTTTCTCAGCTCATATCGGTGCATTTTCTCATGCACTATCAGCTCCTGCACTAGATTATTGCGCAAAAATGCCGCTTTCGCCTATGACGATAATTTTGATACAACAGCCATCACATAATTATTTTCCAATTTTTTTTTTTATCATGATCTAGAACAGATAGGAAATCAGTTTTAGAAAAGCGTTTATTTCAGGGTCCTCAAGAATGGATAATAATGACATGAGCCCAGAAAATCGAAATAATTAGTCTTAATATCATCGGACACCACCTCTAGCAATCTGCATCAGACTTCGCCAGAACTGCAACGTCTTTAAAAAATCGTTTCACATCAACGTGCTAGCGCTAAAAATGTTCTATTAGAGTATGTAGCCGCGAGACTCATTTTATAGTATCGACGTAGTATCAGACATGTTGGGTGAAGAACCGCGAGACAATCGCGAAGATCTAGCTGCAGCGTTTCTACCATTATCTTGCTCCAATCGTCTACGCTCGAGCATACCGGCTAACAAAGATGAAGAACTGGTTGTATTCACAGAAGAGGGCGCGCCAAAACCGGATCGCGGGCCTTTCAACTCTGTTCGTCCGAATTTTGATGGTGAGCTGTCGCTCATTGCAGCGGCAACACTAGGGTTGAATGCGTTGGTTGTTCCAAATCTTGGCTTAGATGAAGAGGGTGAAGACTGAAGACGCCTCTCGTTATCTTGTTGGTGCATCAAGAAAGCCTTGGGCGCCCCAGCAGACCCTGACTTCCCTGTCCAGGTCGGCACGTCAAGTTCTTGACGCCTTCGCCTCTTTCTGGACTCCTTCAATGCTGCCATAGCACGTTCTGCCATTCTTGTTGCTGTTTTTTTTTTTTTTTTTTTTTTTTTTTTTAAAAAAAAAAAGAAAGTTAGCAACTGCGCATCAAATGATTTTTCCGTCTCCATCTCGGATGATATTATAAATGTGATAATAGCGGACCTTCTCGCTCAACAATCAGTCTTTCCTGTTTGGCAGAGTCCATAATTTCATCATGTTTCAATGCACTATGCACTCCCGAGGATTCAAACAAACTCGTGAGAATGTTGATCTCAGATGAATCTTGCGAATGGTCTGTATCTCTAACAGATTTGTTTGCTTTCTTAAGGTTGTGCTCTTCATCCCCTTCATCCTTGACCCCGCCTGGAAGAGAACTCGACTCGCGTGGAGCTTTGCTATTGATGGATAAATAAACATCCGTCAGCGGCGATTGTAATTATCTCAATAAAGTACAAATGAAAATAGCTCTGCCTAAAAAAAAAAAAAAAACCTACAACTTTTCAATCTTGCGTACACCATCGAGTTGCGAAAGTTCCTCCAGGCTGTCTCCTCCTCGTCTAGATGACTTTGACTTGCTTCGATTTGATTTAATGGACACTTCAGATCCCTGAAAAATCCCTCCAGTCTCTGTTCCGACCGCATCTTCACCTTCAAGAGTAAATAAATCAGCCATATCATGGCTCTTAAAAAACCGTCGCTGCTTTGGGTCCTTGAGGATCTTGTTAGTCAGAAACTGCTTGAAAATTTGACGATGGTAGATCTTTTCTTCAATGGTTCCTGAAGTCATCAGTCGATAGATTGTCACCGCTCGAGTCTGGCCTAATCTCCAAGCACGCTCCCGTGCCTGCACATCTGTCGATGGGTTCCAGTCCGGGTCAAAAATAATAACCCGGTCTGCACCTGTCAGGTTTACACCCAGACCACCAACCTTAGTCGTCAACAGAAATATATAGATGTCGTCTCTTGCATTAAATTCGTCCACCAAACTCATTCTGTTTTGAATTGGCGTTGTGCCATCCATGCGCCTGTAGCTGTAGCCTTCGCTCTTGATAAATTTTTCAAGAATATCGAGCATGGTCCTTGTCTGGGAGAACAATAATACACGGTGCTTCTCTTTTTGCCACATCTGTAATAACGCCCTTACAACCACCATCTTGCCACTTTTACTATAATGACCATAATCTGGATCGTTTTTGTGCTTTTCACGCGCCAGAATATCTGCATGGTTGCAAATCTTGCGAACAAGGTCAATTCCATACAAGGCATGTCGCTTGCCCTCCATGATTGATGTTAGTTCGTTAGACTTCAAGAATTCTTCATATGCCGATCTCTGTGGTGGAGTCAGTTTACAGAACAAAACTTGTTCCGACTTCTTGGGCATATCTGATGCTACATCGGCTTTCATTCTCCTCAATAGGTATGGGTTAATCAAATTTCTTAATACACATGCACACTTGTAAGCTGTTTGAACCTGTAGGTTACTCGCATTCGCATATCCCCCTAAGTTGATAGGGATCGCAAACTGAGATTGAAAGACGGGTAATGTGCCAAGTCGACCAGGAAACACAAAGTCAAAGAGCGACCACAGTTCGTTCAGGTTGTTCTGAATAGGTGTCCCTGACAGAATAATCCGATGCGGCGTCCTAAACTGCTTGCACGTCAGTGTGATGTCCGCATCGGGGTTTCTAATCTTGTGTCCTTCGTCCAAGACAATGTAGGACCAGGTTTTCCGCAAGAGCCGCCGCGCATGAATGCGGAGGCCAGCATATGTTGTGACAAGGACATGACCTTTGGAGCTAATACGATCAATAATGTCATCTGCGACTGTGCGCTCCTCATTCTCTTCTGTTGCTCTTCCACGGCGAGCTCTTCCTCCAAACCGGTTTTTCCCCCTGCGTTTCTTTTTGACACTTCCGCTGCTATACCCGTCAGAAAATGAATCGTGGGAGTCATCATCCCGTTCATGATATGTGTCGTTATTACTGCTATGCATACCACTTCCACTAGAATGTAGAATTGCCACACGCATCGGGGGCCACCATCGATGAAATTCTTTGACCCATTGCTTCAGAAGCGTAGCTGGGCACACAATAATGATGGGTGCCTCTAGATTGCCACTGTATAAAAGCCCGGCCAAAAACGAGATTATTTGGATTGTCTTTCCCAAGCCCTATAAACATGAATCAGTAGTGAGCTTAGGGCGGTATCATAAAACGATTTTTTTTTTTTGGCTCTTTATAATGCTTGCACTTGGTGCTTACCATTTCGTCACCTATGATCCCCCCCGCACCTTGACAATGGAGTTCCCAGAGCCATTGTGTGCAGGTCTTTTGATAGTCAAATAGGTTAGAATAAATGTCCCCTGGAATCTTGTAGCCACCTTCCAGTTCTGCATCTGGTATGCTCGGATGGGGGTTATTCATTTCGAGGGCAGGCTCCAACTTTTGCTCAGGATTGTCCCATCCTTCATTCACGTCCTTTTCTAAGGATGCATCGGGCTAGTAAGCGGCAAAGATTTCCTTGTATCAGCATTAGCAACATTGAACCTCTGGAAGTTAACGCTCGAAAGCCATGTATAAAGGCTTATTGCGTCAGTAACTTACATTATTGATACGCCAACGAAGGTGTCTTCGCTTCTGTGCCCAGTCATAAAGACGTTTTTGATAGTTCATCTCATTCCCATCATCATCACAAAGAGATCTATATGCTGCGCCGCCCTTAGCTCTCTTTTTTGAACTCAGGGGAATGTCATTATCGCCGTCATCTAGCTTGAAGTCGTCGTCATCCACAATCTCCTGGATATCCGAATAATCATCATCGCTCGCTCCTACAAAATCCGGATCGAGCGTATCTTCACTGCTCTCATAATTTTTGTCGTTATCATCGTCATGAAACTCACTTTCACTACGGCCGATTGCCGAAACAATTCTGCTCCTTGCTTTCCGCATACTAGAGCGCTCCGCAGGCACCACATTGTTTTGAACGTAAGTTTTGTTTTCGTCCTCTCTTTTCAAACTCCTGCCGATTAAACTCCACGAGGGCCGAGCCAGGTGGACATGAGACTTAGGACCTTCTTCTACAGGCATTGATGTGCCTGCAATCTTGAATCCAGAGGACGAGGTAGAGGGTTCTCCCTGTTTTGACTTTTCCAGGCCCGATATGGCGGCAAACGGCGTAATTTTACCTGTGCGAATTAGGTACTCACGCTGGGATTCGCCATCCATCTGCTCCGAAGCCGTAGATGTTGCAGAAGATGTAAGCTGTGAGGGTAAGGGTGCTCCTGATTTCCGTGCGCGGATTCTCTCAGTTATATCAGCTCCATCTAGCTCTGCTTGCGCAAGCTCTTCATTCAAAGCGTTTAACCGATCCTCCAGGTTGGATAGCGCAAATGATCCCCGCTCCAGCTTCCTCCGATTACTTTCAAGCTTCTTTATCTCTAGTCGAATTTTACTACAATCCAAAGCAAATGCCATGTTAGTTTCTCTTGTCGTCTATGACTTTTTAATAGGATGGACGCAATTACTTACTTTACATTCTTGAGTATCTTTTCCAATCGCTTTTTATTCATAGCGTTTTCCTTTGCATCAAGTGCCTTGCTGGCCTAAATATTAATGAAACCTCATTGGCTTGTTATACCACTGTGGTGTATGAGAAAATATAGACGTCATTAACATATATGGCAATAGATCCTCGGGTTCAATACCTTGGATATAATGTCTCTTTCCAACGTATCCTGGTCAACCATGGCAACATCGAGTAAGGCACCTAAATTGTCTGCGACTACGTTATCTAATGTTTTGTTTGATAACATTGTACTTGTTTCATGGTCGACAGTAGAAGTAGTTGTGAGTGGTTGATATTCCATTCCATCGCTAAAGTTGTTAGTATCTGGTTGTTGTGGATAGTCCATGGCAATGAAGGTGAAGCTACGAAATGTCACTGATGATTATACTTTGAATAAGTAAAGAAGAACAATGGAGGCAAATGAACAAAAAGAGAAAAAAGAATGAATGTGACATGGGATAAATAGTGAAGTTGAGATGTGGCAAATGACAATGTCTGTCATTTTAATTTGTGGCTAGTTGCCACCAATCCGTTTGTGACTGCGGAGTGCGTTGCAGATAAAAATTCGAGGATTAAGCACTTGTACAGTTTACTGTTACATGCACATTCCATTCAATTAAATCATTAAAGAGACGTCGACATATAATTTTTTACATCTGTTGGCACAGCCCTGAAATAAACGGACAATCAATTTCTTGTGTATCTGTGTGCATTGGGCGCTCCCCTTTTTAAAATTTTTGTACTTCCATTTGTACTTCACCATAAAATTCCCTCACCTGCATGTCTTCTCTTTCTCCATTTCCGTCTTTTCTCTTTTTCCTTCTCTTTTTCTTTTTCTACCTCTCTCGCCACGTCAACACCCCCACAACTATCGTCATGGTCACTCCAGTAGAAACCCCCCCCAATATTATATCTCAGCAACGTGTGTCTCTTAATACACACTCGTCCTCTGCCTCTTTCTCAATAACGCCCTCCTCTCGATCCTCATCCTCCCATTTATCACTTAACTCTACCATTGAGTCGACTCTACAAACTTCACCTCGGCAACAGTTCCCTTCACCCTCGGATCCATTGGGATCTCTTCAACACCATCCACTGCCACCAATACGTAGCCGGGCTGATGCACACGAGAGCCGATCCCAGCTGATAACAGGGCTCCCTTCCTCTATCGACCAGATTTCCCCGTCTGGCCTTGCTTCTGTTTCGCCTTCCAGTTGGTCAACCATATCTTCTGATACGACTCCATCATTGGCCAGTTCATCCGCATTTGAGAGTAAAGTTCGTTTTGAACGACTACCTCAGGGTGGTCATCGGCATCATCTTTCGGCACCAAAGCGACATCAATTTCTATCGAATCAAGTACGAAGACTTCGAGAACTCTTGGACAGCAAGAGAGATCACCATGCAGAAGATCATACTTCACCTATAACAGGCATCCCACATTCACATGCACAGTCACCACTCCAAGGATCTTCACATCAGTTCAAGTCAGAAGTGCTCGAAGACTCATCGCCATTGTCCAGCGAGAAGTGCCAAGAAATGGACACTGACCGCTATCAGCATCAACCACAATTACACCCACATCCATATCCACATCCACAGCAACAGAATGGGGGAGTAGCTAGTCCCACAGCCCACAATCGCAGACGACAAAGCTTGCTTAAGACAGACTTTGCACAAAAGTATGGCGAGTTACAACAGGTCATAGGAAAAGGTAAAAAAGACTTACACATTCAATTACCACATTCACATGCGACACAATACTCACGCTTTCTAAAAAAAAGGCACGTACCTTGGAAACAGATTCCAATTCCATCATTGAATGGATCAAAAAGAACATATACAAAAAAAGCTTATGTATACGTGTATCTACACGCATACAGCTACGTTCCCTAACTGTACTAACTGAATTGTGTCATGAATACAACTGTCCTTACGCTTCTTCCCGCTATTATTGCGTTTACCACTTTTTTTTTTTTTTTTTTTTTTCTCTCTCTCACATCTGATCATGTTTTCTGCTTCTATTTTCAACAGGCGCTTTTGGCATAGTGAAATTATCGATTAAGAAAGATTCAGACACTGGTGAGGAGCATGCATATGCTGTCAAGGTAACAATGTGGAAGAAATACAAAGTTATAACTCTCCTTTACATCCCGTGGTAAATTCCAGGCAAAACTCAAAACCATTCTATCCCATGGTAGGAATTTAAACAGGCCTATGGGGAATCACAAAAGCAATACATGCGTCGTCTGACGAGTGAATTTTGCATTGCTTCTTCACTCAGGCATATCAACGTCATCCATACGATGGATCTACTTCAACTACATGGAGAAACCTATATTGAAGTGATGGAATATTGTGGAGGTGGAGATATGTGCAGTTTGATTGCCTCTGCCAATACCCTGGGGGAATCGGAGTCAAATTGCTTTTTTTCACAATTGGTTCATGGTGTAGGGTTCTTGCATTCTATGGGAGTTGTGCATCGGGATTTGAAGCCCGAAAACTTACTTTTGACATCAGATGGCTGTCTCAAAATTGCGGATTTCGGGAACAGTGAGGTTTTTAGAATGCCATGGGAAAAGAAAGTAAGATCATCGGCTTCTATTCGAGGTAGTGGTCCATTTATTGCTCCAGAGGAGTTCACTAGCGAAACGTTCGATGCTCGGTAAGTAAGCTAGTAAGCAAACAAGCAAACAAACAAAAGAAAGTGCTTTCAACTAACACCTTTTATTTATTTATTTACTTTAATGTAATTGTAGCAAGGTAGATATGTGGGCATGTGGTGTTATATATATGTGCATGAGGCTCGGGCGATATACTTGGCATGAGGCCTCGAATGGAGACCCCATTTGGGATGCATTCCTGTACAAGCGTGAGCGCTTCCTGAGTGTCCAGGATATCAAGCTGCAACAGCCACAGCCACAGCCACAGCTAGCACAGCACATGGCACACTCAAATCCTTATAGGAGCCACACCCCTCCTTCTCACATCAATCTGACAGCAATCGAGCAAGTACTACATGTCACACTTGCGTGGCCAAATCATGTTCTAGATGTGATTGAGAATGTTTTGGAGCCTGATACAAGGAAACGATGGCAGGCTACTAGTGTTATGAACAGTGAGTGGTTTCAGTTAATTGAGAACTGCCATCCGACCCCTCCTCCTCCAGAACAGGTGTTGGATGAGAGCGACTTTGAGGCAGCCATCCCGAGTCAGAGAGTTGGCTCTAAAGTCATTGCTGAAGGTGCGTCTGTGGCAGGATGCAAAATTGTAAAAGAAGTTAAGCAAAGGCGAACGATAGCAGGGAGTGCAACAAGAAGTATAGATGGAGTCTCTCATGAATCATAGAAATCCCGGGATAATGGCTCTAGAAACTTAAAACTAAAATATAGAAATTGGGTATTGGACTCCCCTTTGAGTTGTACGCTGTAGTGTGGTTGGTCGAGGTCTTTGACTGGTTGGCTTCAAGGCCCAGTTGACGCCCAAAGTTTTACGGTTATTAGGTTGAGAGTGTTCTACGATTCATGGTGTTGTCGCCTCTTTTAATGCGAGGGTGGGAACGGTGGTGAAGCGCGTCGTTTCATTGGTTATGGACATTGCCTTCGAGTATCGAGTGCTCAGTATCAAAGGGCTTCTGAGCTTGCGATGTAAGGCAGCAACCAGCCTGCCATTGGTCCCAGTTCATACAATGCTTACTGTTAACATGGAGGATAGAGTCAGAGCATCTTTACAAAATGAGTAATAGCGAGGGGGAGATAAACACAAAATACTGAAGTGGGGACATCGAACAGCGCCTCCTAGCATGGTCGAGCTTATGGGATTACATTTGATCTTGTGTGCCTCAAGGTAGGCGAGAACGCCCTGCCCATCCATATTACGGCAGGTTTACTTGCACATGATGAATCATTCGTAGAGAGCATTAGCCTTTACTCTTTAGCTTTAGTTTTTGTAAAGATTAGCATGTTCTCTTTAGGACAAAACTTACTCTGCGTGGTCCAGAAGGGAAATACAAAGATCAATGAAAAGAATCAAATTTATTAACACAAAAAAAGGTAAATAGTAGAGCTGTAAAATAGCAAAATGGCAAAGCAAAATAGTAAAAATAGTACAATAGCAAAAAAAAAAACATATTATTCTCAATGCTAGAGCCGTTTTCTCGGCATGTGGTCCCCGTACAAATACTTGCAATCACGTCTGAAATCCAAGCGCCAAGGACAGTATACTATCTTCAGCATCTGGCTCAATAACTGTGTATCCTTGTTTTGGCCGACTGAAAAACCCCCTCCGAAGCTTCCCTCTCGGTCCAAGATCTTCGATGAATGTGTTGGAGTCAAAGTCGATCAAATCGACAGAACCATTAGGTGCATGATTCGTCCCAATCCCTGAGTCACGTCCCTGTAGAAGCTTAGCTGGTAACTCATATGTGTACGGAGGAAGTTCTCCAACAGTATCACTATATAGAGTCAGCTGATCCTGCCGCTCTTCCGTTCTATTACTGGGAATCTTGTTTATGGAGACCGGCGGGTCCACTTCGAGCCCTTGCGCCTCCTGTGTGTTCATCCCTAAACCCGATTCCTCTGTTGGGGCTATTAGTGATCGCATTATGGCCCTCGATTGCTCCTGCAGCGCAGAGCGTGGCGACGGTACAACAACCCGCACTCTCGAAGCAATCTTGCACAGGTAGTCCCACCCAATCCATGCAAAAGTATATGGTTGATCGGGTCGTAAGTTCTGGTAGCAAACCGCATACCATGCTGCGGCCTTCATCTCTACATATTTTTTTTGGGTGGGCGAAACTTCTTTAGAGCCTGGCGCATAAAATTCTTGCTCCAGTTCCGCACGGAACTTGCGTCTGATAGCGGAATACGCGGTGACGATCGATTTACGGATATCGTGTTCGCGATTATTTGTAATTAGATCGACTCCCATGATAAAGCCGCTGACCAATTCTAGATCACTACAAGAAGATACGGGCATAAGGTCAATTAACAAAAAAATAAAATAAAAAAAGAGAGACTAGAGAGAGAACTATCACATTTTTTCACTATTAACAATGCACTAAAGGAGTTATAGTTTTGCTTGACATACTTTTTGATCCCATATTGGTTCATCAAAGAGCGAACCTCATCATCGTATCGCTCTTTGACTTGGCGAGCATTCTGCATGTAGTCTTCATGGCCATCAATGAGAAGGCGCTCCCAGCAGGATTGTTCATAATTTTTTGGCTTGAACGGCACCGTTTTAGCGCATTCTCGATATATCTGCCCAAGAACTTTCTTGGACGGATAAGTCTTTTCTGGTGGTTTTTCCATAAAATCAGGGTATTTCTTTGGCTTTAGTTCTACCCTAAAATCCGCTGGTTTCCCCGACTTTGGGAAATCTACAGCGTCAGAATGGAGCTGTGCAAGCCGAAGGCATTTTCCGTGGTGGGGGCCCTCGTCATAATAGTCAGAGAGGGCCAAGTGCGCGTTAGCGATTTGGCCTAGATTGTTCAGGACCGCATATTGAACAAAAAATTTCATGACGTCTAGGATCGTGACATCATCTCTCATCTCGGCTTCGCGACCAGCATAGACCATCGGTGGGACTTCTTTTATCTTTTCGACAATGTCAGGATCCCAAATCACCCTATCCAGAAACCAATGGCATCTTGAGTAAGCCACGAAGAAACATAAAATATAAAAAAGACAATTTCCTTTCAAAAAGCCATGCTAGGTGTGTTAAGCTGAGGGTAAAGAGTTACTCACGTAAAATCTATGACATCGGTAAAAGTAGCAAGTATATAAAGGCGTAGTGTCAGTGAAATTATTAGCGCATGATCATGTTGCTTTGTTCCCATCTGTAATTATAAGGGCAGATACTAACCGTCTCCGTCAAGATCCCCTCCACTGCACATACTGGGAATACCCCGTTCTCCTTTGGTATTAAAGACCACAACATCGCGCAAATGCCACAGCTCAGGACAGTCGACAGCCTGAACGATCCTGATGTCTCCAGGATGGAAACATGGACAACGCACGACAGCACACTTGCCTGTGATGACCTCACGCTTACTAGGATTCCCAACGGCCGAAACTTGGACAAAAATTTCGCCCTCCTTGAGCTTCCCTGTTTCGTCGCATACTCCAAGCAAATACGCGCCTTTTTGGACATAAATCCTCGCCTTTTTGGCAAGCTCCTCCAACATTTGAAGCTTAAAGAGGGTCAATAAATTCTTAATGAACGGGTCTCCCCGTTGCAGAAATCCTGCTCGGATCATGGTCGTCATCATCTTGGATGTGCCACTTTCATCCCAATTTTGCAGCAGCATCCTATTAGCGACCGCATCGTTGGACTCAATTTCCTCTAGATCCCGAACCATACTGTTCTTTAGGTCCAATATGGTCTACGAAGAATTAAAATAGAAAAATTACACATGCAAATGTGTGAGGTCATCACGACTTGACGAGCGAGAGATAAACCTTTAAATAACCCAATTTAGCATGCAAAACATAAACGCATATCCACACTAGCGACGCCTACCTGTTCGGGAACACCCAAGCCTGTAAGCAAAATGATGATTTGCCTATTTAGGAAGCTTGGGATAAATGACGAGGTCCTGATCACCTCGAGAACCAAATGCGAAGCCTTAAATTTCTCCATACTTGGACGGATCTGCACACGTTTCCCTCGCAAAGGCGGATGGTAGACCAGAACACCTTTGGATCCACCCAATCGGATCTGAAATGCTGAAGGCCTCACTTCCTTCTCCATTTCAACAGCAATCGTCTCAGCCAACGTCCTAGAGATTCTTCCACAGCCATCAGAGAATATGGCCCCATCATGCTCTATATCATCAATCATTTCCACTTCGGAAGACATCAAGTTCGCGATTGCTCTTGTGGATGAGAAACATTGACCCATCCGTGCTGCATACTTGGCGATCGACTTTATCCGTGAAAAGTCGCCCATCCATTGTCGGATACTGTCCACCGTATCGGGGCCGCCCTGGGCACAAAAAAACCACGCAGAGTTTTCTCTCAACTGACTCGCTGAGAAAGCTAGAAAACTATATTCGCGGTCGCCTATTTTGATACCGCGTGTCAACGCTGAGAAGATACGATTGTATATGGCGTTATTTTCATTACTCGTGCTGTCCTTAGACCACACACGATTACTGCCTTCGTCCGAGAATTCAACGCGTAGGAAATAGTCGCGTTGTTGGACAAAATGCCGAATTATCCTGTTGGAAGTTTCGAGGGTTGGTGGCTGCAGATGGATGGTAGTAGGTGTAACAATAATCTTCCTGAGATTTACATATTGTTCTGCTACTATCCGAGGCCGGGTAGCAGCCTTGGATAGCTTGGCGGCTTCTTTTACAAGGTAGTCCTTGAGGTTCCATATACGCTGACGATTTGAGATGATGTTCTCAAGAATCATAGTAGCTTTAAGGGGCTCTAGATAATGTAAGATCCCCGCCACTTCAGATGTCATATCATAATCTATGACGAGATTGAAGGAGAGCGCTGATTCGAGCATGTAGCGCACGTCGAAGTCAAGTCCTTTAAAGGCATCCATATCGGGTCTGGATGAGCTCTCCTGCACGATATTTGGCACCATGTCCACACTGAGGAGGTTGAAATCTCTGCATTTCCTTTTAAAAAATGCCAGCCCCCTGCTTTCCTGAGGAACCACCAACCGGATAACAGTCCACCGTCCGAGCATTGCCGAAAGATTTGGTGGACTTGGCTCAAGCGGCATTACGTTAGTGGGTGGTCTAACATGGAATTCGGCACCCTCTTTCGGAATGTCCACCACGCGTCGCATACACGAAAACATCGACCATTTTGAATTATCCGAACTTTCCATGTTCGGATCATAGCGCCAATACATGGGTGGGAAGCGCAGGTTGATGACGATTGCGGCTGTATTGTTTTTTAGATCATCGATTTGAATACACCCTTTCTCCATGTCGTGAAATTTCATATCGACATAGTATTTGATGACTGTGTCCTTGAATTCTCTCTTAAATCCAATTTTTATCATCCTACGATTTTCCTGGAACTGTATTGAGACTCCAGATGTGGCCACGAATTCACTGCAGAAGACGTTTTTTTCCAGTTTCTGCCCTAGTTCGAAGCTATTGGCAGAGCACCATGATGTGCCCCCGCTACCACCGGATTGAATTAATGTTATTTGTTGCGGGACACTCACGAGCCCTTGTATATTGTAAGGTCGGGCCTCAAAAAGCACGATGGCATCGTGCCTGCCATCAGTCCTATCCACCGTGACATCACCAATCTCTCCAAATTGTTCGAACTTCTTCTTAATATCCATTGCAGTCATATTAGAGTCAAGATTGCTGATACGGATCCGCACACTCTCGTAGGGCTTTTTTTGGCTCAGTGAATTCTGAAGCTCGTCGCGCTCAACTTCAGAATAACTTTGCTGTATCGAGGGCTGGATCGCTATCCTTTGTGGCTGATGTGGTTGTTGATATCTATGATATGGCGTTCGGTATTGGTATTGCTGCTGTTGCTGCTGTTGCTGCTGCTGCTGTTGCTGTTGTTGCTGTTGTTGCTGTAACTGGCGAGAGCTAGAATCGCCTCTGGACGGCCATATGTAGCTCCGAGAGGTGGTTAGGCGGTAGGGAGTGGTTGGGGCAGCCATTTTGGTGGATAACAGAAACCGGAACGCCAAAGGAACGCTTTGTATTGAATCGTGACGACCTTGAGGAGGAAAACGACTGATAGAATAGAAGACGGAAACTGAAAGAGCAATTGAAAGAGGAGAAAAGGACAGGGAGAGATAAAGGAAGGAGAAGAGCAAGGGAGCACTGGTGTGGAAGAAGCGATTGCTTTGAGAATGAGGAATCAAGCGACGATGAAACAAAAAGAATGATGCACAAAAAAAAAAAAGCTAAAAAATTCCACACGCTGACGCCACCATTAATTTTTTTTTTTTTTTTTTTTTTTTCAAATTCGTATTTACGCATCCTTAAAGCATCAGGAAGAAGTACAAAAAATCCATCAATGGGTGCCACCTGTCTAGTTCACTGGAAGGATGCCAATGGTCAGCAGTCCCTTACATTACTCTCTGAACGGCTTCTCAAACAGTTCCATGCTAACCCCATTGGCCGATGGACCATCAATTGGAAGGTTTTTAGGGACACTAGTCCCGTCTCAAAATCAGGAACAGGAAAGATGCTCCATGTTGTATATGTTCAAGGTGGCGCAACTGCTCGAGGCGTTCCTCCAGGATCCCAGGCGGCTAACACGTCAGCAGGGAGCGTTTTAAGTGGCACAGGTGCTGGTCTAACTGGAAATACAAGTGCTATAGCGTCCAATGGTGTTGGGAGCGCAATATCAGGGATGGCAGCTGGGACTGGGGGGATGGGCTTGAATACGGGATCAAGCAAAACTGGACTAGGTATTCTTCCACCGGGCGGGCCTTCTGCTAACATAGTAGGAGCAGGAGCGGGTGTAGGGAATATGGGAGGATTGACATCAGCGCAAGCAGCTGCTGATTCATACAATTCAACAGCATGGTGTCTCATTGATGATGGTGCTGTGGGACTGACGTCGGCATCTGCAGCTTCTACAAACAATGTCAATACATCTTCGAACACGGCCGGTGCTGATGCAGCAGGTTCAAAGAAAAAGGCTGTCCTGGTCGAAGTCGAAAAAGACATTGAAGCGCTCATTGCCAAATTGAAGAATCTCTGGGTCCACCGACAACATGCACAAGTTGAGGTCCGTTCACTTGTTCGGCATGTGCCATATGTATTACTCACAATGGTCGTAATAACCTGTATACTCTTTTAATGGTTCAATAGGGGTATGTTTTCGACCTGGGTGATTTTATTGTAAGAGCAGGAAACATTATGGTTGCTTCAACGAGCTATAAAGGGATGTTAATTGAGGTAAGCTTTGTCACCAATATGAGGGAAGAGATGAGTCTCAATCACAATTATCATGTTATAACATGTCTGAAGTACTGGTTTTCATTCCCTTTAAACACATTTTCAAAGATCGAATATCTCCCACAAACATCTAGCGCCATAGCTTCCAATGCCATTCTCGAGGAATTTGTCCGCCTAATTTCTCCACCAGGAGTGACACTTTATTCTCCACAAATGCTTGATTATCCCTATGAGCAAGTTGGATTGGATTCAAAGCACTGGTCCATGCTCCATTCTGGTTTCCAATATATGACTCTCTTTAGGAGACAGCACATCCTGTAAAATAAGACTATTGACAGTTTTTCAACATTTTTATTTCCATGTTTTACACTGGTACCGAGATTTTCAAAAGTTTACAGCGCTATTATGATTTAGAAGAGATGGACAACGATTAACAACTTGGCCATGCTGTCGGTCTTAATCTCTTGCTTATGTATTTAACGAGCGGGCAAATTTATATTCCGAAGACTTACTCTCATCGTCTTTTTGAGGAGGTTTGGGCATGCCGCCAGTGCTCCCCATATTGTTCATCAAACCACGAGCACTAGATAGTCATAAAGTAGAGCAGATGAGGCTGAGTGTAAACATTTCCTGAAAGTAGTTAATTCAATTAAAAATGAGTCAAACATATATAGCTTACGCCTCGGCAATCTGGGGATCCCTCATAATCTCGTCAATGTTGGGGCGCTCGCCGCTAGACATCATGCGCTGGGCCATCTGTTGCATAGCAGGATTGGTCATCAATGAGTCTAAGGCTCCGGATTGCATCATTTGCTGAGCCATGTTCATCATCGCTGGATTCCTCATTAAAGTGGCGAGGTCGGGCATACCAGCACCACCGCCTAAGGCACTCAGATCAGGGAATCCAGCAGGAAGACCACCAGCACCTGCGCCAGGACTGCCACGAGCTGAAGGAGCAACTTCGTTATCACGGGCTTTGGTACGAGCAGTGTTGAGGGAGCTCTTCATGGTAGGATTGTTTGGCTCAAGTTCTAAGCCTTTCTCATAAGCAGTGACAGCCTCTTTATACTTGCCAACGGAGAAATATGCATGGCCAAGGCGACTGTACGCTTTGCTATATGAAGGATCAACTTCTGCTGCTTTGAGGGAGTCTTTAATCGCATTTTGATGATCACCCATCTGACTATAAGCAGCAGCACTGTTGGAATGATAGTAAAAGTTTGAACCAATGAATATCTTGCGATCGTGCTGCGGTCTCTTCTGGGATAAGAAAAAAAAAGTCCCATATCTTACCGGTTAGCATAGTACACAGCATTGTTAGGATTGAGGACAATGGCCTCACCGTACAGACGGATAGCCTCGGCATAATCTTTCTCGTTCACCTTGCGGTTGCCTACATAGGTCAACAAATTAATTATCCAAACGCCCAAGTGACCATCCTTAAGATCTTTAGTATCGACTCGTTTCATAGTAGAGTGAACCGAAAGAAAATAAAAAAAGCTTCCTACCAGCAACTTTTAGCTCTTCGGCATTCTTCTTATCCTCAGCGGTAGGCTCAGTAACCTTGGGGGTAGTGGCGGTGGAAGAAGAAGCGGCTGGTGCCACAGCAGCATTCTATCAAAAAAAGTTTAGATATTAGTAGACTATCAATCAGAACTTTAGTTTAAATTCCTGCACTTTCATGCTTCATCCCGAGACAAATCAGTAAGATATCCTTGTCCAATTTTTCTTGTAACTATTATCATATTTATCCTAGATCTCTTGTGTGTATTAAATTCCACGTGCGTGTCCTTGTGGTCCTGTGCTTCCTTTGCCTGCTACACGTCAAATCAAGTCAAGTCCAGTCAAGCCAAAAAAAAAAAAAATTACAGTTGTGCTATATTCTCTTGTGCCGTACCTTGTTTCCAAGCTTTTTCTGGGCATTCACGAACACCTCAAAAATAGACATGAGTGTAGCGGGTTTGGTGCTGTAGGTTTGCGCTTGAGCAGAATCGTTCAAATCAACTCCAAAGGCCTCTCCAATACACTGAATGGCGACTACCATTCAAGTGAGATGAACTGTTAAAACTTCAGCCCAGAATTAGATAAAAAGGAATTGATCAAAAATAAAGACTGTGCATACCCTCGACACCCTCAGCATCATCGGACTTAATGGTGCCATTGTTAATGGAGGTCTGGAGAAACTCGAGAATGGAGAATACGAGATGCTTCTGCTTTTCGTCAGCCATAATATGGGTAATTGCGAAATTGAAGGAAGATAGCGAAACTGAAAGAAGACTTTCGAAGACAGATAGAACATACCAGTTATCACGTGATAAGCCATTAAAATATGCTGATCAGACCTGTTTCTTATTCTGGTTAGGCCAAATCAATTGACTGGGAAGCCAAGCAGCCCAACCGGTATTTATCTCTGAGAAGGAAGCCAAGGCTTCGACGACAATAAAATTGGCATCGTCATGTTCATCAGATGGCCAAGCTTAGCAACAGCAACCGATTGGTAGGCAAGCCTTCATTCACACTATTAGGCTACCATTGGCTTAATAGTTTGCCAGCCACTGGGTATTGGAATTGAAGATATGAATGATATTTAAAACATATGCTTTCTTGGCCCTTTCTATCCTTGGTCTATAACAATTCATAGGCTGGAAGGCGGGCACTGTAGCATATCGAGAATGCGGTAACCATTATTGCTTCACTTACAGCTTAGGGCTGTTCTCCCAGTCATTGCTGTCGCGAACTCTTTGCAGGCGCTACTGAGGAAGTCTCTTGCAGTCCTGCTATCATGATGGACATATCTTTGGCGCCAACCGCATCAACCCAAATACACCTCACATTTACAGCAGTATTTTGATCTTGATGGGCTTGATTTCAGAAAACTGGTGCAGTTGGCACAGGGGTAACACGCATTAACAAAATACTCGTAACGCTAGCAGCTCCATACCTCAATAACTGATCTTCCTTAGCATGCGTTCACTAATATGCGAACTGATTTGGGTCAATATGTGTGCTCGGTGCATCACATCCCAGTTCTTTAGTTCGTAATAATCATGTCAAGTATTGTGTAAAAAATGGATTGAGTAGATTTAGACACCGGCAAAGCTACCATGCATCATAATGATGATCCCCCGTGTTGATGACAATAAGTCAATGTAGTTTGCTACGCTGTCTATACTATTGGGATCTCCCTAGCACAGAGTGCTGGATCCGGCCTGCCTACGAGTTGAACTCCCTAAATGGGCAAATTTGCCCGTTGAGTGGCCCAAGAGATAGCTTGGGGAAGATGGACATTGTCGCTGGACCTAATCAAGTCAAAGTTCTGATTATTAGCATTTCTCGAGATCCAATTAGTATTACGAAAACAAACTATCGCAGTCCTTATACCTCCCAAAGAGACGACTTCATGATAACAGAGATACGTCTTGTCAGTCTATTGGGTGTTGTCATATGGAGAAATGAACGACTTTTTTGAGTCATCAATGTATGCATTAGAGCAATTGAATTAACGCATACAGTAATTTACACCTCAGTTTCAAAATAAGGCCCAATTGCCTTATTCACTTTCTCCTGGTCCTTGTAAATGCTCCTGAGTTTTGTTTGTGAGGTTGGTCCGGCCAAATGTTGCTGAAGATTGATGCTTCATAATTTCCATATCATCGGTTTATGTTTCAGAGAGCATTGCTTTTTTTTAAAAAAAAAAAAAAAAAAAAAAAAAAAAAAAAGAAAACTTGTGAAAAGCAATCTAATATTCGACCTATACTTCTTGGTGGGATCGTCCATCAAAAATACAAAGAAGTATGCTAGGAGTTGGTATAATGTCTTATCACAGATAAAATAGAAAAGCAATCTGTCAGACGAACAATATGATCGTTTTTATTGTTATTCACTGGAAGATCATTATTTTGTTAATCTGGATTAAGGCCCGGGGAAGATGTTGGGATAGTAAATATAGGCCTTACCAAAAATGGCGGCTGCTGTAAGCATACCAATCCCAGGTATGGAGCAGGTCAGCTCGGTTTCATGTACCAAAAAACATGCCAGAAGCGAAAAGCATATGAGAGCCAATAAAGCATTGATACAAACACTTTCATGGAAGTCGATAAAGGCGACGAAATGAACGCTGAGGAGACAATGCAGGATCTGACAGCTACTGTTCCAGCTTTTATTCAAGTACCGCCAAGTAATAGGAGCGCCCAAGAAATGCTTCTCGATTTCGAGCCCAGATATTGACGTCCTTAAACGATCAGTCCTACAACGTCGTAGCACACTGAATAAACTGGTTGTATCTTTCTGTGACCGCTGAATACCACACAACTACAGCTGACTAAATACCACGATTCATCGTTTTTTTGGTGCCGAAGGAAATCGTGTGATATTAAGAAAACGCAAGAAACAGAATATGCACTAGCTATAATAGCGATCCTGAACATGATTGTGGATACGTCCAAACGTAAGGTCTTGTTTACTGTTGGTTGCTGTGATTTAGAGCCTAATTATCGCCTTATTGCTACAGGGTATTCTTAAAGCAGTCGGTGCCCAGGCTAAGGACGAAAAGATATGTTTCAAGAGGTATCAATAGCTTTTATACTTTCCGAAGTGTCCTCGAAACCGGCCTGTGGGCCCAAGTGACCCTTGCAGTCATGGATTTGTTGATCGCGTCTGCATAAAACGGATACCTTCTCCGAAGCATCAGATACTGTTTCACAGAGGCACGGTGATCAATTATCGGAGCAACATATTCGCATCTTACCAAGTTGTGATGATATCGTATCTTCAACCTCAGAACAAGTGTTGTGTCTGTGATCCATCTTATGCTGCTTTATATAACTTCGAGTGTCTTGCTTCCCTTTAGTGCATATTTAAAGCAAATAAGGATATACACTCTTAAATTACTTTATTTATAAGAGGCTCTCACAGCACTCAGCACTCAGCACTCAGCACTCAGCACTCAGCACTCAAGAACCTTGTTTAGCGTTTGAAGGTAAGGTGCCAAGGGGTACTGAGAGCCAAGAGCGATTTGTAACTTGTTTTGTAGGTTTAGGTTGCCATGAAGAGATTCAACCAACTCCTTAAATATCATTGAACATGGCGTAAGATCGATCCGACTGTAGCCTGTAAAGATCGCCAGATTTTCGTTCCAATCCTTGTGTGCAGCGCACAGAGCAATCCACATGGCCTACAGCGAGCACAGTTTTCATTTAGAAGCTTTAGATCTGTAACAAAAATCCTTGTTGTGAGCGTAATAGAAAGGAAAAAAAAAAAAAAAGGCGCTACTAACTTACAGATGCTGCAATCTGTGACGTATTGTAGTCGAGGAACTTGCTGGAAAGCAGACTGATATCGCAAAGGAACTGAAGATAAACCATAAGATAAGCACTTGAGTCGTATCGAATGCCTGACAGCACAAAGTATTTCTATTCAGGAATGCATGTAAGGCTTACATCGAACAGCGCAGAAACCTCAGGTAGGGCGGGGACAGCACGCTTAAAAAAATCCGCAAACCCTGTGGCACTGGCCACCAAAATTTCAAACTTGAGTGCGACAAGAATAGCCAACTCGGTTTTCGCAAGGTGTTTACTTGTGTAAAAATTACAGAATATTAGGCAACGTTCAACATTGACAGCACAAGCGGTTTCATCCAGTTTGCTACAAGACATTAAGAATACACAATACTTTAGTAAGATAGGCGATAAATGCATCTAAAGGATCAATAGAACGTAGAGTTTAAAGCCGCACATCTATACCCTGCAATCATGCTAGCACAAATTCCAATAGCCTGAAGATCCTCCACTGTGCATTCCGAGCCTTTGGCGATCAGATACCGATCCATTATATGAACTAGAAGATCCGAGGCGGTTGGTTAAATAGACAACGAAAATGTATACAAATGATGCTCATTCCATCACTTATGACAGTTAGACATCTTACTAGCAGCATGAACAGTGGATCGTTGATAGTCGAATTCACGGTAACAGATCCCAATAACCCAAAGAACAAGAGCTTGTCGGTCGATACTGAAAGTTGAATCCGGCGCCATGTACATGTACCGATCGTACCGTGACTAAGGTGCGCATGGATTGTTAGTAATATGTTTAAGACGAGATTGAAGGCAGCAATATTATACGTATCCTATATGTATCAACTGAGGACTAATTGGGATCCTTACCTCGATCTCGAGTAAATAATTGAACGCATCATTGCAGTACTCATTCCAATAATAATGGCACATTGGAAAGGGATCTACAATCAACAGCCGTGGCCGACTTGTGGCTGGCAGATAAAGAAAAAACAGCAGTATAATTCGGTGTCAGCCAAATTCGCAATATTACAAAATACGACCATTATGAATTCAATTGTAAAAAAAGGCATGTACTCTTTCGGGGCCGCCTGGTCATTAATGGGCCTAATGGAATGGTGTAAGAAGCCAATATGTGATTTTCGGACTCTGTTTCATTTTCCGCCTCTTTTGGATCTGAAGGCTAAGGAAAGGCAGGGAACGAGCATTGACGTGAGCAAATGCAAAAGTAGAAAGAATATGGACCACTTCCTACGCCACACATGCACGCGTATACTAAAACAATATTAAACAATGGTCATGAAGAAAGAGAAGTGAAAACAACACGTCATCCTCAATTGATGGCTTTAGAGGATAAAATCCGTTGTTCAACGGACTTGGTATCCGATTAAAAAATAAATCCAAGACAACGATACGAGAATGCGCCAGACGACCGAATATAAACATATTCACACATGTATACAATAGATTTGTACAGTAGACACTCAGGTATCTAAAACAATACAGAGCTTCAACTCACCCCTGGTGTACTATCAACTATCGTTTCGGTGAAGCCAGGTTGGGGCGATTGTCGTCCTTTCTTGATAGGGGTCCGAAGGATGGATTCATTCAGATTATGACATGTCGTGAGAGTGTGAGGCATACTGGTGCCACTACCTTCGGATTCCGACTCTTTCTCCAAATCTGGTTTGTTCTTGGGATCAATTTCTACTTTTTTGGAGATTTCGTCTGCTATCATCGACATGGTCGAGCGTCTTTGAAGACGAGGTCTAGGACGAGCACCCCATGATACACTACGAGCATTACGGCCGACTATCCCTCGGGATTCGCTTTTTGGTCGTTTATTGCTTTCTAGTTCCTGTGGATCATCATCTGAGCTCTGCCAAAAAGACATGTCGGGGCGTCGCGGATCCGAGCTCTGAGACCACTGACTTGCCTCTTTGTGTCGACCCATAAATTCATCCATTGAGCTAAGTTCTGATGCACCAAGAAGCGGGCGTATTGATGGGTTTGGTGAGGAGTGGGTTTGTTCGTGCTCTTGACTGTGAAGCCGCCGAGGAAGAGGGCTTTGAGCGCCGCGTTTTGGGGTCTCCGTCGGAGTTATAGCAGAGCTAGAGGTCCCTGATACAGCCGGCTCATGAATCGGATCATCAAACGTAACGCAGGAGGCAGGATTGGTATCAGAGGAGATTGTAGAGATTTGTTTTAGAGAATCACTGACAAAAGGAAAGGAAGATTTATTCCTGTCTAGAAGGGTTGAGGAAGTGCGTTGTAGACAAGGAGATATCCTGGAGGCAGTACAGCTGATGATATCGATGGATGGTGACAAGGAAGGAGAGAAAGACCTCTCAGGTGGGGTCAACAGCGGCCTAGACAGCCGATTAGTACTGGACAATGGAATGTCATTCTGGAGGCAATCACCTGAGGTTGTCATGATGACTCGGTTGTCCTTGTCACCAATGCTGATGTTATTATGGACGAGATCAGACATACTCTCTGACAAAGACGATTCCCCTGATTGCGAGCACAAGCCCAAAGTCGCCGAACTATGCTTATGTTGTAACAGAATGACGGGAGTGTAGATGCTTGGAATGAGGGATGAAGTCGAAGAAGTAAAGCTGTGAAGGATTGATGACAGAACAAGCTAATGACCAATGAGTGTAAGAAAAAAAAGCGCTGTCCGTCAGGGCATAAACAGAATGAGGGAACTACCTCGGCCTGTTGCCACCTAAAGCGACTTCTTTCAGGAGACGAGAAGGGGTAGTAAAAAAAAAAAAAAATCGCAATAGTAGCTAGCACAGGGGAGAAAGTAAAAGAGTGGATGAAACAGAAGGTTGTCACAATTCGTGACAATGGTTGGTTGTGTTGAGTTAGTGAAACAATATTATCATGATAGTCCTGTTTAATCTAAATGAGAGTAGCTCATGGATATCATGTTGCAATAGAGCTCTTGTAGTTACTGTAGTGTATAGGATAGTATTAAAAAAAAAAAAAAAAAAAAAAAAATAGGAAGGCAGATACAGATTATACACCTAGAATAGGGTTCCAGATGGGACAGGCGGAAGCACGGTTAGGTGTGGACCTTGTGTAGTGTGGCCATCTATTACAGGTTGGGATGGATTCATTTCAATTGAATCGTTGGTTATTCATGAATCTTTCTTTTCAACGGGAACACCAATATCTGTATTTTATTTTGTAAAGACAGAACGTAATAAGAGCAGGTTTCTGCAATCCCACATGGCTCGATCTTAATTCATCAATGCCACGCGCTACTTTTGCCTGAAATGGTAAATTAATCATCACATGCATCTCAAGACGCGCTTGTTTATGGACGCCACCAAATTTAGACAAGTATTTTTCTTGTTGCTGCTGTCTTTTTGAGTTATGTTGTAACATTGAAGCGCTTGGCTCATGAGATACAATGGGATCTGTAAACTGGCTCTGGTCGTGATCTCAAGTAGGATCTGGAGAGGAACGAAATCATGCCAGTAGCATTTTTATTTTAGGTCACAAGCTTACGAAGAGCCCCGATATGGTAATAAATACCCATTTTCCCTTTTCTTCCTTATTTCCTTTGCTGGCCTACTTGTCCTCCTTCATTTGTGGTGCATCTATATCATTTATATTGTCATTGCGTCTTTTTTTTACCCTTCTTTTTCTTCTCATTAAAAATATTGAAGTATGCGCACGGAGAGGCTCTTCAGATTATAAATTAATCATGAGCTCTGGCGTGGCTTACTTTCATCATTTACAATCATCTCTTCCGTAAAAGCGGACCAGCGGACCCTGCATTACCCCCCGTTTCATTAATACCTTCCAACCTAACTACAAGTAACGATGATAGTGCTTAGGAACCTCCCTAACGCTACTAAATCCTTCAGTTTTCCATGGTGATATATTCGTTAATGCATGATTACGTTGCCCCATTCGACCCACCACAACAGACAAAGCCATCCGATGTGATCCTCACAGGCAATTTTGTCATTTCATGTATAGGCCTATTGAGGTTTGAAATCGGTTATTTCCGGCTACAATAAACGCGCCGTATCGGACGCTCTTCGTTACCCCAACTTCTAGTCGGAAATGATTGTGGCTAATTACCAATATGATAGTAACCAAAAAAGAAAATGAGGGAGTTTATTATATTAGTCGCAAACCCCAGTGTCCCAGCTCTTTATCACACAGCTAACGCTGTCTATAACAACGTTCGCGGTCCCAATAGCCTTCCCACAAGCACCTTACTCTACATTCCTAGCACAAATTCTTTTGGATACCACACCTCTGTATAAAGACATTCTTCCGCAAAATGAATCGAAACCATCATGAGCTATTTATTGATGATATATTTGCTCATCCGACATAAAAAAAATAAAAATAAAACAAAGTAAAAGAAAGCTTGACGGCTGTAGTTTGCGTCGCTAACCAAACACTGTGAGATTCGTTCTCATGGATACTACTATCTTGTTATATATGATAACACAGCCTATCCCACCCTTACTCTTGCACCATACATCATTTATTTTATTCAGCCTCTAAGAAAATATTCTTTTCGCTTTTTACTTTTCTTTGCCATGTCTACTTGGCATGTTAATAATGTCTACATGTAAGCTTTTTTTTTTTTTTTTTTTTTTTTTGTCGAAAGGATGGGGAGCATGTAAAGGGCTGTTCTGTGAAATCAGCTGAAAAGAGCCCAAATGCATTGAGTGTCATTGTGATCATGCCTAAATGTTGTTTATCCAGCGACTATGTTGAATATAAAAAAAAAAAGGTTAACAATGCGCAGCAAGGCAATGCAATAGGTACATCCACAAAAATACCTAAAAAGAGAAAATCATAATATACCTGAGCTAACAATTTCATCAGCCTTCCGCAAAGCCTCAATCATCTTTTTACATTCTTTGCGCCGATTTTGCGTAAGCTCGCTCTCCTTCAGCAGCTCGTCCAAGACGTCTGTCTTGTATAGCTCTTGCAATAACTCCCGCTGAAGTTCTTCTTTGGCGTTGTTGACCAACTTGAGCATAATGGCTTTGGGAACAGTATCAATCACAGTCCGTTTCACAATATTGAAATAGGATGAAATAAGCAGCTCTTTGAAGGAGAAAGAAATAAAAAAAAAACATCGTGTTATGTTTGACTTATTTTGTGTCTCTCCAATTGGACAAACATCGCTGTCTCAGAACTACATTATCCATCATAACAACAATAAAGTACTTACTGATCACCTCCGTCTCAATCTGCTCACGCTCAGACAAATTTCCAGATGCCTTGAGGATAGCTGGTGGCTATTTAATAAGAACAAATACAAAATAAACATTAGCAAAGAAAGAAAAAAAAATCGTATAATACCTATCAGCACATACAAATTCATGTTTAAACTCGAGGCAGTGATAATTCCATGAATGCGCTAAGCAAAAATTCAGGCAGGTTCTTACAGGCTCCATAACAGAAGAACGCTTTTTCTTGCCAGAGAAAAAACTCCCAAAAAAGCCGTTGTTCGTAGGCTCAGGCTCAAGGCTTGGAGGCAAGCTCGCTAGCGTAGAATTACGGTTCTTGGGATCAACGGGCTGAGGATTCTTAGCTTGATTCATACGTTCGTTGATTACAGCCATAGCCTTATGTCCATTTAGAAAATCAGGATGACCGGTGTTGATATAGCAAGATTCCATTCTATTAGTTTTGAAGGGAAAAAAAAAATATTAAAAAAAATTCATCGCAGTACATTAGAAAAGATACACATAGATCACAAAATCAAAACCAGTCGTAGTCTGTGGTGTAGACCTACGCAATTAAGTCCTGGACAAGCTTGTTGGTAGGGTCCAATCGTTTACGGAAGAAATTGATGACAACCTGGTAAAAGCGGTCTTTGAGTTGAGGGAATCGCTTGAACAACTAAAAGGATAATGTAAATGATTAAAGTTAATCATAGTTTTAATTATATGATTCTTCACGGGGTTAATTAAAAAGACCGTACCTGTTTCGATAGAAGCTGTGTCAAAATGCGAACCAATTCATCAAAGACCAAGTTAACACAACGCAGACTGGGATCCTCCAAGCGTCTGATCTGCTGCTTGATGATGACCTCAAATGCTGTGGTGCCAACGAAGAGGGCAGGAGAAGAACCCTATTGTAAATGTAACAGTAGAGCATTTAGTATTTAAGCGATCCATTAGGTTGTCAATATATTGCCTTGCCTTCAATTTCCAAAGCCTCAAAACTTACAGATGAGTTGTAGAGGATAGTACGAATGTCAACATCCTTGACTTGGTCAAATGGGTCAAGCGATTTGACTCCGTTAGAATAAAGCTCATGAAAGACAAAGCTGATACGGGCTCCACCGGAGAGCTCAAAAGATGACAGATCAGTCGAGTTCCCATCAATTATAGTGCGAAACTCTGTACAGAATTCAGTGATGATGTTGAGAACAATATTGGCCTGTCCCGCTCCTTCCAAAACGCCGTCGCCGAGTGTGGCAAGTTCTGCAAGGTATTTTGCCAATGCTGCCTGGATCTTCGCCTTGATCTCAGGCAAAGTATTCTTGATATGATGCATTAGAATCTAGCCAGAGTCAAAGGAAAGAAGCGTGTTTCTTAACGGGCTAGCCAATATCAACTTTATACAACCGCATCTTCCCATAACCTCGTCATGAACCCTGCCTTACCATGTTCAACTTTCGGGCAAGATAAGGAGTGCCACAGTACTGAGCCTTACTCTTATATGCAGGGTGGTTTTCAAAGAAAGAGCGTTCAGCATCAAGTGACCGGCTGATAGATTTTTTAGTATCAATATCACGTTGGCCGCGGTTGACAACGGGAACATATCCGAGACGAAGTGGAATCACACGACCAGCCAAGATATCTACAACATCCGTCCCGGCATCCCTATGACAAAGTGAGTGACAATGAAAGATCATTTAGATTGATGATATAGCATAAAAAAAAAAAAAAAAAAAAGAAATTGCCGTTGTTATTGCCTTACATCAAATCGATTTTAGTCAGGACTCCGATAGTTCTTGCTCCTTCAGGGTCAACATCACGAGCAAGGCGAAGTCCATCTGAATTGGCGAGATCAACGTTGGCGGCAGTCACTGCGAGAATAATAGAGTTGGGTTTTGTGATGTATTTGATAATCATATCTCTAATCTGCCTCTCAATATCTTTCGGTTGATCTCCAACAGGGAGCTATTGTATTTGGAGTATTTGTATTAATGGATGAAGGCCGAGAAAATTAGCAAGTGAGCTATAGGCTGATGCAAATTTGCTAAAATGACGGGGCTCCGGTAATTGTTGAACAGTTGATGCATACTTTGGTCAATCCCGGCAAGTCAACAAGAGTCAAGGTCAAGACATGAGGAGAATAAATACGGAGATTAATTGGAAGAGGGGAAATTCCTAATTATGGCACAGTGCATAGTAGAGAGAGAAAAACTATTTAATCCTGTCCACTTCCAAAATTCATTGGCAATGACTCTGCGAAGACAATGAAAAATTATTTTAGTCATACCTGCATTTTTCCCAGTCTTCGCTTCAGTATCGCGAATGATTTCCTCACGGATCAAGTTAAAGTCTGTGTACTTGACACCAGGTTGGTGCAAAAACTCACCCCATTCTTCAGGCTCCTTCTTTTCATCCTGAACTTCTTTGTCTTCTAGATGAGAGTAATTAAAATTAGACAGGCAAACAAGCAAGAATTGAAAGTTTCCAATAATTTGTCAGCTTGAGTGGTCACTAGACTAAAAAACCCACATAGTGAACGTGATTGACCAAATCACATGAATCCAGGCACGCATTCACATACAAGAGCATCCCTTTCTTCCATCCCCTGAAATGAATATGGCATTTTGCGTTCATTCCCAAATTCAGCCTCCGAAATACAACTGTATCAGAGTAAGCAGAAAATCTAATGGTTCCATTAGTGCATATGGAGACTTGCCTTTATCTTTATCAACCTCCTCTCCATTGACAGTAGGCGTTGGTCGGTTAATCAATTGAAGTACCTGTGAAGCAAAAAAGGTACATTGATGAGTGATATGCAGCACATGAATGAATGAGGGCCAAAGCGTGCTTAGAGATGGAGACTGTGGCTCTTTTTATTGCCCGCCGTTAGCCATTGGTGGTACGTTACCAAAGGTCGACGAGTCACAATGCCAGAGCCACGAGGTAAGAAATCGCGCCCGACAATATTTTCAAGAACAGAGCTCTTTCCAGATGACTGAGAGCCAATGACAACGATCTGAGGCAGGTCTACCGGATTGTGTACGCCAACAGTTGAGAAAGCGTCCTGTAGTTTGTTGATGGTCCTGATTAACGTGGCATCCATGGCTAAGTAGTTGAACAGAGGATGGAATGTCTTGACAGCTGATAGGTGAGAAGAAAGAGAAAAAATGTCCTTATGCTGTGAATGCTTTTATTTATGTTAATGCCAAGCAAGGATGAAGAAAACCAAGGTCGACAGGGTGACCGATGCGCAAAGCAGAGCAAAGCCAAGAAAGGAGAAAAGGGACGACGTGGGAGAAGGAGAGAATAGCACAAACGGACACCCAAAAAGGTAAATCGCACGTATAACGCACGTGTACAATGGTGCACAAATCTGACACAACGTCGCGCCACCAAAACGAAGTATGTAAGAGAAGGTAGCATTTAACATGGGTTTCGTTTAAGGTGATCTGAATGTAGTTTTAGACACAGTGTTTAATCATGGCTTCAATTCAAGAGTAGGAGCAAAGTGTAGGTGTAACCTTTTGTATACGATCGATAGTCATTTCAAGTGATGTCTTCAAAGATGAGTACATTTTTCATGAGTTTGTCCCCTGCTGGTACCCCAGAACATCATTAAAGTTATTATCCAAGTCATATATAAATATGAAATATGGTCCTCTGAGAACACCAACACAGGGTCTGCCAATGATCCTAAAAGTAAAATTACTTGAAAATGGCTATCATCGCACAGAGCTTTACTTACAAAGATACAAAAAAAGATGGATCAGGAAATGTAGCCTATTGAAAATGTAGAAGCTGTGTTTCCCCTGTTTTTGACCTTACACTAATTATTTGTTACAAAATATATTGTGATGAATCACCATATTCATCCAATCCATCCCATCATTCGTCATCTCACGATTTCTTTATCACGTTCATATTCTCTTCATTGCCATTGCCATCTGTTGGAGGATGCTCTTGATGGACTGGCCTCTGCCTTGGCGACTCCGGCTCCTGCTCCGCCGCAAGTTCCGTCGCATCAGGGCAACCTTCAGATTGCGTCCACGCAGAAATGTGCTCTTGGTGTTGATTACCTTGTTCATCCTATTTCAGCTCATTTTTAGAACCGCACATCGCTACACCATCATCGACGAACGATGGCGTAAACTGCAGAAGTATTCCAAACCCGGCATTCTAGGTGCGCCTTCCAACATCATCTTGAATACGAAAGAAGATATTAAAGTCCAGCTTTGTAGTGCAGAAACCATGCTTTGTTCAACGTGGGAGAGGGATCGCATATGGCAAGGCGAAGAGTTAAAGAGAGATGAGGCATGGTTGGTATCTGGTGAAATTAGAGTCCCTATTGGTGTACAGGCTGTCTTAACCTTGCAAGATGGGCGAAGACGAACACTTCGGTATGGTCACCACAAATGCGACCACGCAACTCTAAACTGCAAGGAGATAGGAACAATGATTGTCCAAGGTAAAGTTAATGACTTGATTTCCAAAAAAAAAAAAAAAAAAAAAAAATACTGTTTTTCATAAATTATTACAACATGTCTGTATTAATAGGGAGCATCATGTCAGCCATTGACAGGATATTGGAATCATGCTCAAGTAAGCAATGGATCACGGAGCCCGCCATTGTCCATACAATACAATCTAAAAAATCATTCAGCCCAAGGGACGTGACAATGATTGCACAGTTCTCCATCAGCCGTCTTGACCGCTTTGAACGGGCTAGAGCAGTTTGGGAAGGACCTATCTCTGTTGTCATGTATGGCAATTGTTTATCCATAATATTTTGTATTTGGCACATCATATCAGAATCTGATGTTGAGAAAAATACACCAGATATTAATTAGTTTTACCACTGTCTACAGCTTCCTAGCGTCCAATGTGGACATTTTTGAACTTCAAAAGTATTTCGAGCGGCCTGGCAAGTTGGCATTATACGAATCAATTACATTAACGATCGTCAAGCCTAATTTCTCGCTTGAAACACACAAACGATATCCAATCAATCATCTCAGAAACATCGGTATTCAAGCTGCCAACACTGACTATATCTATGTGATTGACGCGGATTTCGTGCCCTCATCAAAGCTATACGACTTTGCGCGTACAACTATTATCCGACTCCTGGAATCAGCCCAATATCCGACGGCATATGTAGTTCCATGCCTTGCAATTAAGGAGGAATTCAATGGCAAATATCCAGACACAATTAAGGAGCTTCAGCCTTTAATGAAGTCTGGCATGGCATATATCACTGATCCCAGAGCAGGCCATGGACCTACTTTCACTTCGATCTTCATGAATCCGCCAATTTTCGGGAGTTCACCGGCGTATGAAGTCTGCTACGAGTCTCAATGGGAACCTTACTATATTGTTCGTCGAGAAGCGCCTCATCCTTACTATGATGAGCGATTCAAAAATCAGGGCGCAGATAAGCAAAGCCACGCGCTTTTAATGAACGCCATTGGCTTCAAGTTCATGGTCCTCCGTGACCATTTCATGTATCATATGGACCATGCAAAGCTCGTTTGGACAGGAGATGGGCTGGACAAGCATTTTCAGAAGGATTTCACCTATTTTAAAGATTATTCGCCTGCTTTGAGACGTATTTTTGGAACCAATTATCGGTGGCCAAAAGGGTGCTCGCAGCCATTGGTTCAGTCTTTCAAGCGCGATCTTCAAGGAATAGGAACCATGTAATATTAGCTCTTTCTTTTCTTTTCTTTTTCTTTTTTTCCTCTTTTCTTGCCATACTCTTTTTCGTTCCTTTGTAATCGCTTTATTTTATTTGTTTTATTCTTTTTATAGCCCTTGTATTTTACACCCCTTTTTCTTTGCCTGCATAGCATAAAGTACACTGTACATTGGTACATGAGAAAATTTTCTAAATAAAAAAAATAAAAAAAAGGTGTGAGTCTATAGATCTTCAACCCAGAGTGGAATTATGTATGTGACGATGTGCTTAGAATCAGATAACAATTGCGTTGCAGGTTTATTGTCTATTTTTGGATCTTCTGAATATGAATAAAGGTAATTACTCTGGAAAGTATGTCCTTACTAGGACTCTCACAACCGGCGGCTACCAAATCGCTCACGCCCTAAACAAGCTCTCCTGCTACATCTCAAAGAAATTTTCTTAGCAATTCCACGAAATCCAGGCTGAAGTACCTTCAAACCCTGATTCCTGGTGAGGGATGTCTATCATAAGGATTTCCGGGCCAATCTAGCCATGTCATCCTTGTCATTGATCCTGGTATCAAGAACACCGCAACTGCTGTCATTGTGGCCATTCTTCTGCCTCAAACATCGTCACGGAGCCTGTTCTTTTCCAAAGGTTGTCACAATTGGAACTAAAAGGAGCTCAAAGATTTTGAAACGGTTGAGAGTATGATGAACACCAATGGTATACAAGCAAGGGTCCTCTCCTTAAACTGTTGCAATCTAAAGAAAAATGAATTGGATCAACAATCCAAGATTCACAAATAATAAAGGCCCTTCGATCTCGCTTGTGTCCGTCGAGGAATATTTAAGGTCGTTTTATGGATCGCCAGTGTCAAAAATTGATAGATACAGAGCAGAGCAAGGAGAGAAAGCTGAAGTTAGAACAGTACATGGAGTGTTGAAGGCCATCCGAGGAAAAGCGAAACTTGATATGGAAGGGCAATGGCAACTTCAAGGGTAGGAAAGGCGCGGGTGTTAGGACCATAAAGTTTACCTCGACCCTGAAAAATCGGGCCTTTTTTTTTAATAGTCGCGGCCTAGATATAGAAGTAGTTCGAATGTGTGTTGACGAATTCAGGGCCTCAATATTTTGCTGCGCTTGTCACGAGAGAATGAAACGAAAGGTCGATCTTACATTTGCTCAAATTAGTCCGAAGCATGATAAAAAAGGCTCAGTGCGGTCATGACCACAATACTGGCCAGAACATGGCCATACAGCCCTTCAGTGGATAAAAAATTTCAGTAGCCTATTGTGTTAGATAGAATAGCGCATATATATGGCTCTGAGGGTAATCGAATTGCATTGCAGTTCTTGCAGGTCGTTTATAACTAGATAACAGAGCTATAAACAACGCACGCCATTTTAAATAAAGCTTCTTCAACAACGTGTGTTCAAGATATCCTGCTTGGTGGCTGTACTGTAACCAGATTCGCGTGACAGGCTTGCTGCATTTGGCATGTCCCAGATACTTAGATCCATAATATAACTTGAGTTTCCTTCAATTTACAATTCGGTTCTTCTAAGAAACACGCTCTTAACTAAATGCTCTTTGGGACGCGGTACGCACGTCTTCTCAGCTTACTCTAAGCCTAGATCGGTGTATAATTAAACGTTCCTTCGGTTTACTAAGGATATGAACAGACAGAAGTGAGAGTTAGCAATCAGGGAAAGAAAGAGCAGACAAGTTGATCATTTTATCACATATTGAGGTTCTGTGAGTAAGAGAGCTATGAATGTTTAGACTGGATTGGCTAAGTGGATTCTCAGATTACTTATCAACGCCATCACAACGTCAAAGCCTAAAACGTCATAGAATCGTGCGTGTAAGACTTTCCTAACACACAACATCACAGTGCGTAGAACCACTGTCGGCCCTCTTCATAGTGTAAGCTGCACTGATGATGAATTTGCCAGTCCAAAGATAGGAGACAAGAGGGATGAGTTATGGAGCCACACATCATTAAAGTATTTATTCATTATCTAATCACACAGCTCTGGAGCCGTTATTAATAGGCAGCTTTATGGATGATCAAAACCGTTCAAGATGAAGAACACGATAAATGTATAATAGTATAAATGGTGGTAGCCCATCGCTGACGTCATTTGCCTATTGTATCACCAAAAGCAATCTCTAGTAGGAATTCGATTATTGTCTGTGGTGTTGTTTTAGTCGACCGCAAACAGACAGAAACCCCAAGATTGCGTTGTTGGAGAATGATTGATATCAACAATTCCACACTCTACATTCTACATCTACATTCTACATTCTTTCATTTACCTTTATCTTCTTTTTGTCATTTATGAATGTATGCGCCTGCTTCTGTATTGCATTAACTCATTAGTCCATTTTCCCTATCACCACTAGGAATTTATAATAGTTAGCATCGTATATAAGGGATTTGTCAACACAGATATTGCCTTTCATGGCCTCAGCTTACCACACACGCAAAGCAACGAGAGCAAATAATGTTTGAAAGGGGAAGTGCAAGACTATTCTGAATACAAGGCACAAATTCTTCGAACACCACAAAGTTCCTGCGGATGGAATTAATCATCACGCCCACAGGGATACAGATAATTTTAGAATACTTTAATCGAGAGGCTAAACAAAATGAAACAAAAATATTTATATAAATGTATTTTTATATAATAGGAAGGTTGATATCTAGAGTACCGCAAGGATAACAATACCAGTGACAACGGCGACAATCAACAAAATATAGCATGATTTGTTTTGTGCTTTCTTTTGGTGGACGGCTGCTGTTGCCAATTCCTCTGTTGCAGCATGCGTGACCATACTGACTGACGTGACATTTGATTCAATCGAATCTACGAGATATATGATGTTTTCAAAATCAGGCCAAAGATGATGAGCTTACGTTCCAAAAAGTGGTAGGAAGAAGAGCATTGGAAAGTCTGATTTAAAAGTAAAAGCTTTAATACCCAACATGTTGCCTTGTTCATGGACCATGCTACCAAGGTCACGAAAAATCTCGTTCAATTCTGTGATACCCTGTTCAATTTCCCTAATCTCTTCCTCACGTTGCGTGATCATAGATTCATTGTACTCGAGCTCGTTATCGACAACGAGTAGCTGCAAGCGCCGTTGATCATCATTAATTAATGGCTGTTCACCTGTATCACCACCCTCATCTTCGCTAATATTGCTTCAATGAAGTAGAAAAATAATATGAGCAATGGAGCAAACTTGAAGAACGATCAGTCACATGAAGAAAGCACATACGAGTAATTATGTCGTGTCGTCACAACTTGACGGGCTTTGAGTACGAAATCGCGTTGTTTTTCGGCGGACACGCGCTGAACTTTTTGGAATTCAACTAGCACCTTTTGAAAATCTTTAGAAACCTTCTGGTGCTCCAGTTTTTTCTAATCGAATTCATACAATGGAAAAAAGATGAGTAAACCAATAAATAAGCTGAAATGGCTGTTTCGATCTCGCTATCTGACCAAACATGTCCACACTATCATCACCCAATATTTTTTTGTGTTCCGTCACATGATCTCTATTACCCCAGGAACATCTACTTTGCCAAGCTCTTTGATATTCTGGCTAGTTTCACGGACCAGGTTTCGAGTTTGTTCGGTTATATCTTGACTGCAATTAATTATAAAGAAAAAAAAGTCAGTGTGCCCGCTCTTGGGATAAGATTCTTTACGGGTAGCGTAAAAAAAAGAGCATTTATTTCAACATTAGCTACTCCAGAAAAAAGGATAAAAAAGAGTCAGTGTGTAAACAATAACTAAGGATATTTACAGCTTTGCCCTAACATCCTGAGAATCTTTAGCAGTACCAAGAAAACCAACTAGACGCTGTATTGAAGACACATTTGAAGAGATACGAAAGACTTGTTGAGAAATGTGTTTCACTTTGGCTTCGTGCGTATGTTGATTCACTTCATGTGGGTGATCGAGGGTGTGATCCCAATAAGTAAAAAAAAGGTATAGAGCGAATTAAATTACTGGGCATAGGTTTGGTTGTAACACAGCAAACGAGTAAACGGGAGAGTATAAGGTAATATACCATCTCCTACGATATCGCCACGGCCAAACTTATTAAAGCTAGCAGTGTTGCTACTGATGTTATGGGGACTATTACGGATAAGAGGGCTAAAGCCAGACGCGCCTCCTCGTCGGGAACCACCATCACCTCGTTCCAGATCAGCAAAAGACATTAGTGAACAGTTGTGGTGATGCTGTTGGTATTAAATATATTCCTGAGAAATTGGATAAGAAGCTATATAAACGAGAAAAGTAGAAGAGTAATGGGAAAAAGATCAAATGCAAGAACATGGGAAAACAGGGGTAAACAAAATTGTGCCATTTCCATAAAGACACTGTACCTTTCTACTTTATCACCTGACAGAAACAATGAAAAGAAGCATATGATTGGCAGAGGAGCCTGTCAAGTTATAATTAATCGTATTCATTCTTCATGCTTCTTGCCTCTTATTTGCTTCATCTCACGACACTTTTTTCTTCTTCCCTTCATTGCATCAATGCAAAGCAACAAGCTGGATAAGCTGGATATAAGCGCTTAAATTTGACTTTTTAAAGCATACCCAAATACTTCATCTTAAGGTCCCGTCGCCACTACGATGCAACACGACATTACTCAGACCGCAGCCAGCAGCGGCCTTGGCCTAGCTAACGCTTCACGCCCAAATAGTCGCAACGGCAATGGATATTATCATCCTGAAGACCTTGCCACGTCGCGTCGATTACATGGATCCAATACTCCAGCTTCAACGCCCGGCACTGCTATTAATCCTACCGCATCCAGACCCTATATTCGCCCTAGCCATACCGCACGTCGAGATAGTACAGCATCAAGCTACAGCACTCTTTCCGAGGTATCACAGCCCTGGACCATGGCAGACATTGGCTTCAACGCTATCTCCGGAGTCCTCAACAACCCAAACAAGCGTCCTTCATCGACAGCAAAGCCTACTAAAGCTGATATACCCCCCGTCCCTCCAACTCCCCTTCGCAAAGTAAAAGCATCAGAATTCGATAGCTACATTAAACATATTACTCCCGTCTTTGAGAGATATCAGAGCAATAGAGCAGGCGCTAAATCAGTAGATAATGCTGGTGTACACTCCCCTCGTTCGCCTTTTGGGTCATCCTTTGATTCTCGAGCAAGTCATCTTCAACCTCCTGTGATGGCTCCATCCATTGCACAGACTACGATGCATAGTATGGAAAGGATCGAGAGCGCACGCAACCCATATTCTGTTCCAGACATGCCTGAGCTCAAAGAACCCGTGCCAATGAAACCAGCTATGCCAGATACGCCTGCTCTTAGCACTGTTCCATCCATCTTTTTCGATCCCGACTTTAACTTTGAGAACCCAAGGACTTTTGATCAAGTTTGCGAACAAACAGGCTCTTCAGACGCAAAGAGCAATAGCACAACTTCGATTGTTACCAACAGCATTCTTCAGGAAAAGCTTTCACATTATTTAGACACGGTTGAGATTCATTTAATGACAGAGATTTCACGGAGATCGATTTCGTTCTTTGAGGCATTATCCAACCTGCAGGCACTGCATTCTCAAACACTAGAATGCGTGTCTCAAATTCATGTCCTCCGTGCACAGCTGGCCAGGATTGACCACACACAGTCAAAACAGGGTTTAGAAGTTGTGCGTCTCAAGAGACGCAGGCGTAATATAGGTTTGCTTCATAATGGCATTCGAATGGTCAAAGAAATTCGATCGACACAACCCATGATCCAGGTCTTATTGGGAGACAGCAACTATTTTGGCGCATTGGATCTAATTGATGGCACTCAGTGGACACTCATCGATGGTGATATAAGACATCTTGAAGCAACTCCAGGATTTGGTCCTAGCCTTACGCTTATTTCATCTTCAGCTTCTATTACACCTTCACCACGCTCATTGGATATCCGTGGTGTATTGGCACTTGTCCACTTTGGAGGTCAGTTGGCAGAGATGCGAAAGATGATCGGAAAGATGATTGAAAATGATCTAGTAAATCTACTACTCGATGACTTTCGAGAACGAATCGGTAAATTGGATGTTGCAACATTATTGACCGATATTGGTCGAGTTGATACATCCAACACAAAGTTCATGAAACCCAATTTCAACCGAGGTATCAATCCACTGTTATCGAAACAAGTGGAGGAGGAGAGCGATCTGCAAGATAAAATATTTTCGTTGATTCAAGGATTACTTCGAACCAACCGCGCAGGAGTTGCGCTTCAAACCTATAGAGAACAGATTTTGCAAGAGATTAAAAACATCATCAAATCTGTATGGCGGCTTTAGACAGTTTCTTTAATTTTATTTAAAGAAAAAGGAAGCACAGAAGAGAATATTTATTTTAAACTAACAGATTTTTAACCTCCATGCTATATCATATGAATAGCAATATCCGCCTCCAGACCCTGATACAGCCAACACCAATGGTCCTGTTTCTTCCAGGAAAAAGGATCAAATGTAAGCGAAGCTGATATTAAAATATTTCATTCTGGCGTATCAAAGGCACAGTTCTAGTCCTGACAAGCTTCACATTGCTGTTGACTTCTTTTAGGACTTCTTTGGCGAGGCAACTGCGGGAAATGGATTCCATTACGTTTTACAAGATGCTGTCCTATATATATGCATTCCTATTAGGTGCTTTTCAGAGGGTGTCATTATACCACCAACTGATCCTACATTGTATCCGCAGAGCAGAGGCTCATGGTACTGGGCGATTGATTATGGTTGACTCTTCTTCCGACACAGATAGCGTACAGGGGTCTATTTCCATTCGTGAAGTGAAAGATGGAGAAAACGAAGATGCTGAAGACTATGAAGGACCAGAGGGTGATCAGGTGCAATTAGACGGCGAGGATGCTGGATTCAGTCTTAAGACGATGACACCAGGGTCAACTCCCATGCAGGCAACAATAGGAAGAAAGCGTATAGCAGCCCCAGGCAGCAACATCAAAGTTACCCCGCCTAGGATACAGTTTGCTGGAGGTCTTCACTCTCCATCTATTCACGGTTTTGCATCAATGCAGCTTGGTGATGAGGAAGGCGATCAACTCAGCGATGGTTCTATTACTCAGCTATTTCGACAATTAGAAACAGAATCAGAAGAAATTCTCTTTGCAGTAGCAGACCTAGCACACTCGAGATGCGCAAAGTTGATGAGTATGAGGAGCGAGCAAACCGCAAAACTCTTGCCTATTGAGGTTTATCGGTTGCTTAGGCTTACCTGGTCGTTTGTATTACAAAGCGAACTTCTGTCAGGATACATGTGCTATGGCCTCAGGACAGCTATTCTATCTCAGTCCAAAGCATTTTTACTCCAGTTTCACATGCAAAAGACAAGCCAACTAGCAATATCTGTTGGAGAGGATCAGTGGATTCAAGTGGAAGTACCATGGTCCTCGCAAGCCACCGCTAATGAAATTGTCGCAATTTCGACCCTTAGTCTACAGGAGGCTCGCAATAAGGACTTCGCGATGGCATTCAATGTTCTCAAGCTGGCGGGGCCGCCAGTCGCCCAAGGTATAATGGACCACGATACGTTTCTCCCAGCGCGCCTAGGATCTAAGGGTCCAAAAGAATCCAACAGCAGTAGTAAAGAGACAGAGATACCAGTACCAACACGTGTACTATCGATCGGGGATGAGGTGTTCTTCGTTGTAGGCTGTTCATTAGTATTGCTTGATATTGTGGCGGAGTATTTAGATATCCTCAACAACATTTCAGCACTTACTACGGATGTTATGCAGCGCATCATCGAACTGCTCAAGGTAACGGTTCTTGTACTTCTTTGGTTCATTATACAGCTTAATTCATTGGAAAGGCGTGCTCAACTCTGTATCACTATTTATCTACTCTATGTAGTTGTTCAATTCGAGGACGTGTCAAGTGATTCTTGGAGCTGGAGCCATGCGGTCGGCGGGACTTAAAAACATTACAGCCAAACATCTTGCTCTTGCATCTCAGTCACTAAGTATGTTTGCGACGCTGATACCATATGTCAAGGACTGGATCCGATCTAAAATGACTGACAAACAGATGGTTATGCTGACGGAGTTCGACAGGATTCTTCGTGATTTCCAAGAGCACCAGAATGAGATCCACGCGAAACTAGTGACGATTATGACGGAACGCCTCAATATCCACATGCGCTCTATGACAAATCCTGCTGTTGTCGATTATGATGCGCTCAACAAGCCTGCACAGCAATTAGCAAATGGTGGTGGAAATGTCAATGCATTTATGGATGGCCTCGTCAAGGACGCAATAACGCTTCACAAAGTCTTGAGCCGCTTCTTACCAGCGGCATCCATGCGGGTATGTACTATCTAAAATTGGTATAGTTATTTAGTTTCCTTTTAAAATCCGTATTTGCTTGGTTTGACCAGTGGGGCCTTGTATTTCTGTCAATATTAGAAAGTTATCGATGAAGTCCTCCAGGTATTCACAACGCGGCTTGAGGAAGAGATCGAAAAGTTGCCGATCGCCACACCCTTGGGAAAAACAAGGTTACAGGCAGATGTTGCATACTTTGGCCAAAAGTTAAGCCCACTTGATCCCAATGGGATTATTGGAACAAAGTTGCTGAAGCAAGTTAAAGAGCTAGCTCTGATAGACAAGAAGAATGGGACAGCAACCCCCACAATAGCTGCTCCTGTGAATGCTGCCTCATCTGGCTCTTAGAGCAGCATTAATTTTTTTCACAGGCATTTTTTTTAGTTCCATAAAAGTTGCACGAAGTCACGTTTAATTGTTACTAGTGATATTAATTTGCATTTTGTGTAGTAGTGTGTTCCTCCTCTTTATTCATTAATCCACACAATGGGTACGATTTGATGGATTTTGAATTTACCTAATCGGGAATGCGCACTATTTCAATGGAAGCATCAGAAAGTGTCGCCTTGGATGTGTTCGTTTGATATCCATGCTATCTCGAACATGCTGCTAACCATCGATTTATTTATTTTATCAATCCATCTAATATGTTTACCATCATCGACATCGTGAATACAACCACTCCACATATCAAACACTACTTTCGTAACTTTATTATTGTTGAACGTGCATGTACGTCCTGGAAACAATCGTGTCGATTTATAAACGAAAAATCAAATCATAACGGGAATAATCATCAACAACAAACACTGTTTTTCTCAATTACTTCGACCTGTCATTATGATCCATTCATCACGATATTTTACTCCAACTTTCAGCCGTTGGAAAGAATAAGCGTCTCTCGAAAGGCAAGAAGGGTCTCAAGAAGAAGGTGTAAGTCTCTTTAACAATAAGCATCAGTCCCCGGCTGCGTTCGATGCAGGATCTCTTATGTTTGGGAACCGGAGCTCAATACGGAGCAGGAAAAAAAAAAAAAAAAAAAAAAAGGATGCGACATGAAAAGATGAATTCAGGATGTCAATATCAAAGTCGAATGAGAATCTCTCTATATCATTATAAGCTACCTTTTCAACTTGATTGTATCAAGGACGCTTGGGATTCAACTAAAGAAAAACGACAAAGTCAGATCGAATTAGTCTGAGTGGCGGCATCTGCCATCAAGGCGATTTGAACCCGGAAGCTCGATTAGTTTTGCTATTGTGATCTAGCGATGAAGACCTGCTGAAGGATCTTTCACCTCATATTGATGCAGAATTATCTCGGCTCGTGTACTCAGCAGTCAATTCAGATGAAAAGATATCCACAGTTACTTTCGGCTTTGACAGTGGGTGCAGTCGGAAGATATTTTGACATGTCATGGCTCGTCGTTTTGCACCGATTGTCGCGAGTTATGATTAATTTTTCCCGGTCATAATTAAGAACAAATAAGGCGTTGAAAGGATAATTAAGGATCTAGGGCGGAGATATCAGCAATATAATGGATTCTGACCGATGTTGATTCCAATGATTTCCACCATCTAGCGTCGATCCCTTCACCCGCAAGGATTGGTACGATATTAAGGCCCCCTCCACCTTCGATGTCCGTAACGTTGGCAAGACCCTCGTCAACCGCACTCAGGGTTTGAAGAATGCCAACGACGCCTTGAAGGGCCGTGTCCTCGAGATCTCTCTCGCTGACTTGAACAAGAACGAGGAGTATTCGTTCCGCAAGGTCAAGCTGCGTGTTGATGAGGTCCAGGGCAAGAACTGCCTCACTAACTTCCACGGCATGGACATGACTTCGGACAAGCTCCGTTCCATGGTCCGCAAGTGGCAGGTAATGCTATGTCCACATTCTATATACAGCTATCTATTTATATATCTTTTTCGGATCATGTCGATATTCTCAATATCCTAATGAGGAGGTTTTTTTATCCCCTTTTACAGACCATCATCGAGGCTCACGTCGATGTCAAGACCACTGATGGATACTTGTTGCGTCTCTTTGCTGTGGCTTTCACCAAAAAAGGTGTCCATCAGGTCAAGAAGACCACCTACGCTCAGTCTGCCCAGATCCGTCAGATTCGTAAGAAGATGTTCGAGATCATGACTGCCCAGGCCACCTCATGCGACTTGAAGGAGCTCGTCCACAAGTTCATCCCCGAGGTTATTGGAAACGAGATTGAGAAGTCTTGCAAGGCCATCTACCCCCTCCGTGATGTGTACATTCGCAAGGTCAAGATCTTGAAGGCCCCTAAGTTTGATCTTGGCAAGCTCCTCGAGCTCCATTCTGGCGCTGATGTCGACACCACTGGTGCTAAGGTTGAACGCAAGGGTGACTTCAAGGAGCCCGCTATTCTTGCTGAGGTTTAAAAAGAAAATAAAAACGTTTCCCTCTAAAAAGCATTTTTTACCTACAGCTAACATGTCCCTTACGTCTCTTGTTCTTTGCTTTGTTCCTTCAAGTGAACTTTAATATCCTCATTATTTTGTTGTGGAAAATAAAAGAGAGAAAAATAAAGAGGTTTTATAAGATACAGGCTGCTATAACTCCATGGAGCAGCATTATCATGTATTAGTTTTTTTTTTTTTTTTTTTTTTTTTGCAGACCAATTGAAGAAAAGGTTGCATTTATTTTATTTTATTTTTTTCCGCGTTCACAAGCACTAGACACAACCTTAAGCCTGGCTACGAAGGGTTCTCTCAAAATAGGTATTGAGGGGTCCCTTCTCGTTAAGGTACTTAACGTAGCAGCCATCGGGCTGGAGGAGACCAGCAGAGCGCTTAGCAATATAGTCCTCACGAGAGAGTTTGGTGAAACCCCACTTCTTGGAGACAGCGATCTTCTGACGACCAGCGAACTTGAACTTGGCACGACGAAGAGACTCGATAACGACAGCCTTGTTGGTATCCTTGGTACGGATGGAGAAGATAACCTGGCCAATGTTTACGCGAGCAGCAGTACCCATGGGCTTACCATAAGCACCACGCATACCGGTCTGAAGACGATCAGCACCGGCGCAGGACAACATCTTATTGATACGCAAGACGTGGAAAGGATGGAGACGGACACGCATGTGGAAGGAATCCTTTCCAGAGTTCTTGGTGATGTACTTGTTGGCGCAAATACGACCAGCCTCAAGAGCCTCAGAGGAAATCTGCTGCTTCTCGTCGCAGAGCAAGTGGACGCAGAGAGGGAACTCGTCGACACCGGCCTTCTTGCGACCAAGATCGTAGATACGAATCTTGGGATCTAAATTAAAGAGCCACAAAAAAAATTCCAGCAAAACACCATTAGTTTTTCGAATTTTGCGTTATAATCGGATATCCGTGATCCATGTTCAAGTCCCAAACGCATTTCTTTCAATCCTCTCCTCTGAGCCGACAAGTACTTCAACCGATTGTATTGTATCGAACAAGAGCTCTCCTGACAATCTTCTGGCCCTCTTTATGCTGTCCAACTCACGAAATCAATAGCATTATTTATAGCCCCAAGTCAGGTCACGCTAATGTACTAACCAGGGACACCACGGCAGAAGCGAGACTTAGGGTAAGCCTTGTTCTTCTGGTATCTGTAGCAACGAGCTGGACGACGACCCATTTCGACTACAAGGTATTAAAAAGCAATAAAATAACCAGAGTGGTAAGTGGTTAAAACAAAATGAGCTCCATGGTCCGAGTAAAAAGCAGTTTCTATTGATCACTGCCATCCTGCCTTGTCTTCTATACTGTCAATATTCTCAGCAGTAAGACTCATGCGCCATGATTGGTGTTGCCTGTCGAGTGATCCTGTCTGTCGCATGCGTATCATATATGTTTCTTGACATGACACGACACTAAGTCAATGCATTGAAATGCCTCCATGAATCCTGTTGATGGGTACTTTTTTTTTTTCTTTTAATTTTGTATAGTAATAATCGAGGCCGAAGGTGATGTGAATGAGGGATATTGTGATTTCTTTAACATAAAGTTATGAACCGAATTCCAAAGTTTTCTTGAAACACTCGAGAATGTATACATAGTATGTAGGATTATGGATACACCAATGGTGACACTGACATGCGATAAGCATGTAGATCAGTCGCATATTGTTGGATGGATTGATCAATTGTTCCTTCTTCCAAGCGATGGATGGTCCTCCAGCCCCTAGTGAAAACGATCTATCTGTCAAAAATTACATTTTCTTGGGAATGAGATTGAGAAGGAGCAACACGTCAACACAGTATGCAGATCTCATATTCAGTCAGAATACGGCTTATTTTATGCTCTTAAGGGTCACAAATCCCGGAATAATTCTGTGCCTGTCAATTGTATTATTACTTCAATGGGTGGAGAAAAAATAAAATAAAATAAAAGTAATCTATGCTCTACATAAAAAAGTTATTACACGGCAGGAATGGTTGGGGTTGCTTCTGCTTGGTATGTTATACATTTAACAAATCTTGAATTGTTGCTTTCTCTTTTCTTTTTTGACCCCTTTAAGCAGTTTTGGAAGACGTCTGTGACTCACTCTTAAACCGTGCAAAGGCTTCGCGAACGCCAAACTTGAGTCTATCCATAGCACTCTCCATAGAATCTAGAGCCGGACGGACATCCAAGTGAAAAACTGGCACATCGTTGGCGACATCATCCTGTCCACCATAATAGTCGATAACATAACGTACTTCCTTGCCACACCGATCGATGATCCAATCATGACGATCAAAAGGTTTAGGAGCGCTGTGCATATGTGCATACCAAAAAAAAAAAAAAAAAAAAAAAAAAAAAAGTTTAAATAAGTGATTGATATAAAAACGTCACCTTAAAAAAAACGATCACTTGTTCAACTCACCCAAAAAAACCCATGATTCTAGCCTTTGGACTGAGTTGCTGAGGCCGGCCCTGGAAACGAAGGAGTTTAGGTTCACAGCAGGTACTAAAATATAACGTTACTCGAGATGCTGATTGTTAAAAAAGGGCAACTATCCTATTTGGCTATATTGACAGGAAAAAAACAGTGGTGGATAGAAGATGTATGGGTAACATACTCAGAATGCTCCTTTTCCCATTTCATGACTTCATTCCAAGCTTCCTCGTTCATCCAGTTATGAATATCGACCATCGTTTCGATTGCATCTTCGGGAGTCTCCCAACCCTTTCTACGAAGAGCATTATAAAATTGTTGGGGCGAAGGGTATTCCCATTTGGAACTATCATTTGTTTTGGCTTTAGGAATAGAGGAAATTACTCTTTCAGTAGGGAGGGGTATTTCTTGGTCAGGAAAGGGTGATTGAGCTAAATTAGGAATATTATTATCTGGGTTGAGGCTTTCTCCATTTTCTTGCCGGTGCATAGGACAACCTGGAGGAGGCTTTGGTGCTTGATGCATGGGGCATGCAGGAGGTGGGTTAATGGCAGTGGTGTCCTTTCCGGGCGACATGTCTGAGTTGGTTAGAAGATGGAGTTAGATTAAGAATAGAATGCTCGGAAATGCGAAAAGGAATGCCTGTTCATTCCACACACTGTTAAGAGAAATGAAAAAAGGAGTAACAACAAACGACAAGCCACGAAATGTGATTTAATATCAATATCCGATCTGGTGCAATTGCTGACCAAGCCTAATGTCGCAGAGTAAAAAAAGAAAAAGAAAAACGCCCTTACAAAACGTGGGAGGACTGTACACTCAAGGATTTCACATGTGCCATGCTTGTTTAAAGGTCTATTTTACAAATAAATGTCATTCGGATATCTAATACTCTTCTTTGGCTCGAAAACATATTTCCCAATTTTCTCCTCTGAATATTATGCGACGACTTCAATACCCATCGATCTTGCACTTCCAACAACTCCCGCACAAATGCCTTTAAGTGACAAATGTTCCATGCCTTCGTCTGCCTGCTTGATCTTTGCAATTTCGTAAACTTGCTTCAAGTTGACTTTGCCGACAAACGGGTGTTCCTTGCCAATGTTAGTAGCGCCCTTCTCGATCCCTGCGGCACGTTTAAGGAAAAAGGAAGTCGGTGGTGATTTTGTGACAAATGTGAATGTACGGTCACCCTTAACAGTAATAATGACAGGCAAAGGCGTTCCAGGTTCAACGTTCTTGGTTCTGTCATTGAACTGTTTACAGAAATCCATCGACTTGACACCACGCTGACCGAGGGCAGGGCCAATAGGAGGAGATGGAGTGGCCTTCCCTGCAGGGACAACCAGACGCAAGAGGGATGCAGCGGCAGCAGGAGCTTTCTTGGACATTCTGTTGATGGCCTCAAGATTGAAAGATGTAATGAATAAATGGACTGGTTAGTGTCTTTTATTTCGGCCAAACACGGTGAGCAGCCACAACATTTTTTTTCATAGCCACACAAAGTTTGTGGCTGCTCGGGTGTTCGAAGAGCTTGACGATTTTCAGTCTGTTTTTGATGCATCACCACTCAGAAGGATTTTACCATTGATGCTTCTTGGAGCCACCAGCGTAACTGCTATCAGGGTTCCATGCCATATCACACTAGTAAAATTCGCTTGTGAAAAATTTTTGGGATTCGTTTATACGATCCAAATCGTCTGGATTACATGTCATACCCATATGCCGTGTCTACAAGGAATTTGGACTATGACATCCAATGTCTTTGCTGTTTAACAACGTCGCCAAATAGCACTTGAAATTCCTCTTATGGTCGCTGCATCCTGTATAGCCTTTGAGAGAGCCATTATGGAGATAATCATGTTTCTTCCAGCCTTTATTGCTGCAAATAGAAATAACATGCGCTTGATATTTGTACATGATCAATAAATCGACAATTTCAGTAAAAGTCGTTCACAGAAATCTTAGGCTTCCTCTTAAATTTTAATTTTTGACTTTTGCTTTACTTTTATTAAACAATTACTTGTGATGCCGTTTGACAACTTCATGCAACGGAAATTGTCATCAAATATTTTTGGAAAACAAGCAGCTTTGTTGTTGCTTACATTACTATGTTTCTTTTCAATGTAAGCATCATGGTTAGGTTTTGTAAATGTTCATTATACATTTGAGAATGATGTGTATATTGTTGAATTGACAAATAGTTGCTTTCCTTTCCTTCCAATCATATCAACCATCTTAATTCACCCAGACTACCAAGCGCTTTATCATTGTCAGTAGTGCCGCCAATGTCAGTCTCAACTCGAATTGCCTCAGATACTTTTAAAAGACAGCTAGGGCCTGATACAACAATGGATCCTTTAAGCTACACATGCGAGGTTGTAGGAGAATGTCTCGCATGTAGTACTCTGCAAATCGTAAGAGGCGGAGGCATAGAAGTTCAGGGACAATTCGTCATTTACTTCTAAGAGCGTCGAAACTAATGTTCAACCTCATTCTATTTATTTTCCATTCAGCAAACCGAAAATGTCTGTAAAGAAACTCACAATCGACAAAGGATAGAATGTCATTATGTTGATCCCAGAAAGGAAGAAGACGAGGACCTTAAACTCAAGCTTCCCACATATAGATCATGCCTCCATGTCAAAGCAGTCGAAGCGAGGAAATTCGCACATTTTTTTGTAAGAACTCTCTCTATTGGACTTACTGATGCATTCTTAACTGATGTGTTCCTATCATGATTCAACGCTAACCTTGGCTAGTCTATGCTAGTCTATGAATGTGTTCCTAGCTTTTTTCTCAGGTTTATTGTTAGTTTGGAGGAAACGCAAGCTTGCAGCTGCTCAGTATAGGCGCATGGCCAGAAGGATAGGCATTGCATAAAACCCATTTCTTCATTTCAATCAAGAAAATAAGCATAAAAACAGCTAATAGAAAATGATCTGCTTTGCATTGTGCATGCTTAGACATAACATAATATTTAATTAGCCTGTTTGATTCGAGTCTCATACTTGAAGTTTTAAAGTAGACTTTTTGTTCTTTTTTGCCTTGGTAGCCAATTTCTTGGCTTTGAGTGCAAGTGATGAATCCCATGCCTCCTTATGCTTTCTATACAACAGAATAGTTATTCGAGCATCCTCGACACTAGAATGAGATCCTTGTTGGATCTTAATTCCCAAAATCTCCTGGGCGAGCTTTCTGAGTGATGGGGTTTTGCCTTTAGCTAGAGCTCTGAACGGTTGGTATCTGGAGGTATCACGGATTAGTCTCTGTGGGTGTTCGAGCAATAGAGCCTTGAAATCATTTTGTAGTGCATGTCCAACAACTATTTTATCCTTGATAATATCAGCCACCTGCTTTTGGGCGTCTTTAAAATCTATTGCCTTGGCAAGGTGTCTTGGCGTGATGCCACTGACCTCAGTGCGAAAATCTGTCACACGTTCCAGTGGACGGACATAGAGATCCAGGACTGTAACGCCATGATAGTTGACAATACTGACTCGAGCTAAAGCTGACTGTTCACCATCTGGCCCAACGCCTACCATCTCACAATCAATCCCCACATACTTTCCAATCCTATCAAGATAGAAGTATCGACGGTTAGATGCTATGATCTCAATAAATACCATATCATGCTTTATATTATATAGATTGAATAGTGGTCAGAATCATTTACTTGTGTTTTCCAGTTTCTGTTGGATCATACTCGTGCTTGCACCCTGATTTCCCGTATGCCTTTTCAAGATCCTCTTTTGAAATATCATCAAACCATAGTTGAGTAGTATCGTGTTTAGTTCCAGTAACAATGTTCAAGTTTGGTATTTTCGTTCTAGCTGATGTTGCGTCTTGATCATCATCAAAATCTGAAGATGAGCGCTTTTTTGATGCGTTGTAAACGGGTATAGTTTTGCGAGGGGAAGGTTTAATAGTCTTAAAAAAAAAAAAAAAAAAAAAAAAAAAAGAAAGGAAGGAAGCTAATGTAAGCCAGTTGAAGGAGAACAGATATAAAAACAAGCCCCAGCATAGCTCCATTCAAAGACAATACTATTCTGAAATATATGACATACAGAGATAAGGGTTTTCCAGTTTGAGGACGGCGCTGATTTTGCGACGATAGAGGACGAAACTGTCTTTTCATGTGTCGTCTCCTTAACAACTTGGACAGTCTTCTTAATTTTGGCTTTTTTCTTAAAACTCTTAGGCTTTTTAGACAAAGCCTCAGAATTCGCTGGCTTTCTTGACTCTGCTTCTTTACTAGAAGAAGCTGTCTTGAAATGTTTCGGCATTTTAAGCAGGAAAATGAGAAAAAGAACGATGCCAACAATGAAGCAAAACAACAACAAACAACAATAAACGTGACTGTATAAATTTTAATTATTGGTGGCAAATTTGCTTTAGTAACCGTTAGTTCGTTTCATTTGGTCGTGATCCCATTATTTTTTGAGACTTGCTTGTTGTTACAAGTCTGTCACGCAGTGAGCTACCAAACCAATTCAATCATTAAAAATATATGGGGTGGTCTACAAGTCCACAGGTTGTCCATGTAGTCCATCCCATTAAAAACACCATCTAGATTAAGCACAGAATTTAATAAATTAACCAAAAAAGTATTGTCAAGCCAACACTTACAACTCTTTTAAGACAAAGGCCTTTCAGGACCTAGTCATATTTGTAGTAGACCAAATCCTGTTGTTGCTGCCGGCTTGATGTCTCTCCCTGGACTCAACAAAAGTTCTTTGCGCCAATACGAATGCGGTGATTTGCATTGGACTTGGGTCATTCAAGGCAAATCGTGGGCAAGCATCGAAGCATAGGATATTGACGAAGAAGCTTGTTGAAAAGGTAAAAAGAAAAAGAATTGACATTTAATTTTGAGTCTTTTTTAACATGGATTGTTAAATCGGGACTACTTCAGTGTAGGTTGTCACGAATGCTACACACCTGCCAAGTACCCATGATCACTCTGTGATGCTTTATTGGAGAATGCTCCTTGTCGATCCAAGTACTGTCGAAATCGTAAAGCATACTTTGATCGGAAACGAGGAAAGTATCGATAGAGGGGGATGGAGAAAGAGATGAGAGGAATCAAAGCAGCAAATAAAGTAGGTTGTCGCGTTCGCCAGAATAGTTGCTTTTCGTGAAAGATGTATTTGTTTCAACTCGCAAACATAGCAGGATGCAGAGGAACTTAGTTTTGCAGGTTCAGACTGAAATCAGTGACCGTATGGTAGTGTAATAGGACGCCCACGTAATCAATACTGAACAACCGCGCTCTCCCTCTCTTTGAACAATCTTATTTGTCTCAGCAGAAGAGATAGAGCAAGCGTATACTACAGCGAAGCAGGGTTCCAAAGCGTGCACGGGCGCATGCTTCAGTTGCTCGAAAAGGCTACAGCAAGATACGATCCTCTAAAGCTATGGAAAACTATGACAGAGAGCACATGAAGGCTAGGATTCGAGGTAGTAGGAGTTGCAAATTTCAAAGTATGCGCATTCATGAGGCTAATGTTGATCAATAAAGATACGCACCCTGCCTTTCGCAAGTACTGTTCTATTGACAGGCATATAAAATAAAAACTTGGATAGGTACTTGGTTGTAATGTGTGGACTTGCATATTGTTTTTTTTTACTATATTCTCTACGAACTTGTCTAGCTCAATGCATTCAAGAAGCTTCTCTTTCAAAGTATGATTCTTTTATCTTTATCATCGCTTTACACTTTCGCCGTGCCTGATTTATAGCCGTTAATTTAGGCTGAGCAGTAGCGTTGGACAAGATAAAAGACTGCGCTCAACTGTCCAATAATCATTCATCCCACAATGTGTTAGGCCATTTTTAAAATATAAGAATAAACAAATGAATTGTGTCACGGCCAAACGAACCGACCGTCGTTCGTTCCTTGAACACAAAGTTCTGATCACGGGACTTTACCCTTTAGCTTTCAGGGGTTTTTTTTTCAATTCTCTTTCTCATCATCTCGACCTTTTTCATCCTGTTATTTCATATTCAAATTGCTCAAGCCTTCATACCCTTCAAGACATAGCAAAGTCATTCAGTTTACTTTGGGTTATTGGCCTACTGAAGATAAAACCCAGTATTTCAAGGAAAAAAAAGAGACAGATATAGCAATAATGACCAAAGTCATTTCATTTCAAGAAGTGGCCAAGCACACCTCGGCCGACGACTGCTGGGTGATCCACAATAACAAGGTCTATGATGTTTCGGGCTTTGTGGCAGATCATCCTGGAGGAGAAGAATTGATTCTTGACCATGCTGGCAAGGATGTGACACAGTTGATGAAGGATGAACTCGAGCACGTGCATTCGGAAGGTGCATATGAGATGTTGGACGAGTTGCTTATTGGTCAGCTCGAGAATACAACCTCCACTACGACAACAACAAAGACTATTTCTTCCGATGGCGCCACAGGTATTATTCAAAGGACAACGATAACTACTGTCAAGACGACAACCTCGGCAAAAGGAAATATTGAAGAGGAAAAAGACCACACACATTTGGTTACGACCGATATTGCCGCCGATGTCAAGAAGGAGAAGTTTTTGGATCTCAGCAAGCCATTGCTTTACCAGCTCTGGAAAGCCAATTATCCTAAAGATTTTTACATGAAACAGGTGCATATTCCTCGACACTTGCCTTATTCTGCTCGTGTATTTGAGTCAGACTTTTTGGAAGTCTTCAGTCGTACACCATGGTGGTTGGTCCCAATCTTATGGTTGCCAGTCGTCGCATTGATGCTCTCATGGGCGATTCAAGGCGGAGAAGAAGCAGGAGCCTTGTCTGTTGAAAAAGCAGGATCCACTTTCTTGGCTGGTGTGATGACTTGGACATTAGCAGAGTATTCTATTCACAGATTCCTCTTCCATGTGGACGATCTTTTGCCTGACAGTACCTATTCCAATGTGGCTCATTTCCTTTTACATGGAATTCATCACTATCTTCCCATGGATAGGTAATTTTCTTTTTTATATACACCCTGTGTGACCTGATTAATGCAGGTTTTTCTTTTTTATCCTTTTTTGACCGAGCCGAAATGCAGACCCACCCCAACGAAATACGAATTCCCTGCTGTTCTGTCCTTTTGGTCAGCTGTTCTCATATTTGCCAGGGGTTTCTTAAGCCATAACATCGCGTAGCTCATTTTTTTTTTTTTTTTTTTTCTTTTACTTCAAGGTTGCGCTTGGTCATGCCTCCCGTGCTGACTATTGTCATCGGTACCCCACTGTACTTGCTGGCTCATACCTTGCTAGAAGCTCCTATGGCAAATGCATTGATGTCTGGGGTATACTTTGGATACATTTGCTACGACATGGTCCATTATTATCTACACCATGCTCGTGTCTTCGAGTTCCATTTTAAGGAAATGAAAACCTATCATCTGGCTCATCACTACAAGAACTATGACAATGGATACGGCATCACTTCCAAGATCTGGGATCGCGTAAGCTTAGCACAAAGCCCTTTATTTCCTATTTTTTATGTCAATCAATCTGCTCTACCGCAACCGTAATATGAAAGAGACTGACTCCTCTATTTTGCTATCGTATTTTCTCGGAATAGGTCTTCGGCACGTTATTGGAAATGTAATCAATAATTACCAAAAAACATCAAATAATTTCAAGAAAACACATACCTTCATACAATGACAATACATATTATAATATTAGTTTTATATTCCTGATTGTAAGTTTATTAGAGAGTTATTGTCGATTTTTTATTATCTCTTACACTTTCTTTTAAGATTTAAATTACAAAATGTTAAAGGCCTTGAGAGCCTTGTTAATATCTCCAGCACGAGGATCCACCACGGTTAAAATATTGTTCAAGAATTCTGGGTCGTATTTACAGGCTCTAGTACAGTCAGGCGAGAAGTTGACTTCAACAATAACAGGCTGACAGTTATCCTTCAACATTACATCAATGCCATAGACCGAGAACGCTTCATAAGGTTGTGTCTTGGCCTTGGCATCCTGAGCACCCAATCCTTGAGGTTGAGACTTGACAACAGCTGCAGCAAAGATGGCCTTAATGGACTCGTTGATGTCTGCCTGGATGTCTGCCCATTTCTTGTCGTGTTTGCTTGAATGCTCTTTCTCAAAATTCTCGATGAATTTAGTGTACAGCAACTGTGTCAAGTTGTAGTTGCCATAATTCATGACCTACAAATTTCGTTTTAAAGTATGCACAGCGCTTTCGGTTAGGGAAGATTTGGAGACAAAAAACTTGGAAGACCCCCCATGAGAATAAAAAAAAAAACAAAACCCTCAATCGTCACAAAAAAAAAAAAAAAAAAAAAAAAAAATGCATACAGTAAAGTGCTTCTCATAGTTATCAAAGTCATTAAGCTCGAATGGTTGGTTGGCCAGACGGATCCAGAACATTTTGTAGACCATCAACTGGAACTCGTATTCTTGGCTTGGATCGCCTTCAACCTTATGGGTTGCCTTCAATAATACAATGTATCGCAAGTCGAATTTGCGGCCTTCATAGAGAACAGGCGTCTGGATGTACTCTTGCACAATTTTTGGACCAGTATCTCGAAGTCTAACCAAGGGGGCTAACTCCTGTTGAATCGTAATTTGCAGACCACGAGCCATGTTCCATGGCTTGCATATCCATAAGTTCCGATGTCCATGCGCTTGATTCCAGAGATAATGACCCACAAACTGAGCCAACTCTGTAGTAAGGTTGTAAGTAGTGGATGACCATGGGACAGTCCCATAAGCTGCCTTGATCAATGCTGCCAGATTATGTTTAAACGTGACACAGGACTCGTTCTCGAGCTGATTGATTGTTTGTCCTTTCGTTAGCTTATCAAACTCCTTGAAATCTTGAGAAAACCAAAGCAGATCAGCTTGCTCTTCAGAGTCAACAAGCTCAATGCTTGGTAACTTGCAGTTGGTAGCCACCCATTCTGTGGTCGTGTAGAGACGCAATTTGTGATTCGATTTCTGAGCTGGGGGACGAGTCAGTGTCTTTACGAAGGGCTGTTCAAAAGGTTTGATCTCATTGTCCTCCATTTTGTCAGACTATTGTTTTCGTGGATATATAGCATAAACATACACATGCACAAATGCTCCATTAGTGTTTTTTTTTTTTTTTTTTTTTTTTTTAGTGAGCGAAAGTAATATATCGATATAGATCTCGAACAGCGTTCATCAATCCATACCTCATAGACGGCAATGAGCTCTGCAGCATCTGCAGAACCATTGAAAAGTTGAAGATAGGCTTTGCGAGTGATGGGATCTTTGATATCCGCGGGGACGAAATCACGAGTTAGAGCTCCACCCTTTGGAATGTCTTCGATTGGGTAGATAATACTGTAAGAAACTGTTCCACGTCCGACATAGATGAAGGGTGCGCAAATACAGTTAGGAGTATCCGAGTGGGCCATTGATGATCCTACTTCGTCCATAATGTCTTTTTTTTTTTTTTTTTTTTTTTTTTTTATACAACCCGTATTACAGGAGTATTGGTTAATAACGACTCATACATATACACAAGATTGAACGTACAAGTAGACAATGTGTGAATGAGACTTACACCATGCGCTCTCTTTCTTGGTCTGACCAGAAGGATCAACAACAGCGTATTCGTATGTTTGACTGAACTTCCACATCTCTGACATAATCTTGTTGATAGTGTCCTGCTTCTTCTTTTCGGCTGCCTTGGCTTCTTTGTCAACTGAAATAATAAGCATTCAATAAAACAAATATCAATTGATTAGATTACAACTTCTCCCGAATCTATTAAAGGGCTATATTGAACACAAACATACGTTTGACCTGGCCACCAATGGTTTCTTCAAGCTTCTTGAGGCTTTCAGCGTCATGATCTGGATGAAGAGTGAGCGACTATTTTTTTTTTTTAAAAAAAAAAAAGCATTAGTGTTTTTTTTTTTTTTTTTTTTTTTTTGGTAAAAACTAGTTTCATTTGTCTGATCCATGGTTTTAGGAAATTTCAAAAGACGTTGGCTCACCATCAAAGCAGCGATAACATCGCCTTTCTCGTTTTGAAGCGCGACCTTGGCACGATCCACAGATACATTACCCTGTGAGGCCACTAATTCGACCATGGCCTGATCGACTTCCAGATCAGGATAGTTGCTAACAGCTTCAGCATCCTCTGTAGTGGCTGTATGTTCCTCTTCTCCTTCTTCTTCATCTTCATCGACTGAGATATCCATCATAGAAACAAGACGTTCAACCAGTTGTGGATTGTCCAGCAGTTGAGCGCGCGAAGTTTCAGGTTTGGTGGTCCAGGCATGGTCAACAAGAAAAATATCACTATGAAAAAAAAAAAAAAAAAAAAAAAAAAAGAGTATTCGCTCATTTGGGGTTAGTTTTGTATAGTCGTGAGTATGTATTATTTCTGTCTGTTCGAGAGGCATTATGCTCGATACCCATTGATTCGGATTCATGTATATATAAACTGTGGTAACGAATATTACCCGTGCTTCTTGAGACCACCTTCTTTCTTGACATGAAGAGAATATTTATCTAAAGGGTCTCCATAATGAAGTTCAAGGTATTCTCCAGCATCAAATAGATCTTGGCCAAGCTTTTGAAAGAGGGGCTGTTATTTAAATGTTGACACGAAGAAGTAATAATTATGAGGGGAAAAGTAAGTAAAAAAAAGTAAAAAAGGATAATAACAATCATACTGTAAGTGCAAAGATAATAGCATGTATTACCTCCCAGAGATCCTCAGGAATGCTTGCCAGCTGGTACTGATGGATCTGAAGAAATTGCTTATATTCCATTGGTAATGATCTAGAGATGCATATGGCAAAAAAGGAAGAGAAAAATGTACTAATTGTATATTCAATTAGATATAAATGTCCCCCACAAAAATATTTTTTTAGGCAAGTTTCATTTTTCTATAACAATGCCTTCTTCGTTTTACGTGACACTGACAGGACACTAAAAAAAAGTGGTGGCTGCTCCAATGTTTTGTTATTTCTTTCTTCCTAGCTACTATCAATAAAGCAACCTTCAGGATGACAATCCTGGGCATTGGTATCGATATCTTGCATCTGCCTCGTATCAAGCATATCTTGATTCGCCATCCAGAAAGATTCCTCACACGGATTCTCACAAAAACAGAGCTACAGGAATACCGGGTTTTATTGGAGAAGACAAGCGGAAAGGTTGATGTTGACGCGCCTGTACGGTACCTTGGGGCCAGGTTAATAATTTTTTTTTCCCCCTTTTTCTTCTTCTTCTCTCGCTCAATACAGAGCATACCGAAACATGAACAGAACAGCTTCGTAAGATATCAACCTTAATCTGTTATTCCTCTATGACGGGAAATTGTAGATGGGCACTTAAAGAGGCCTCGTACAAAGCCGCGTTCCCACATCATAAATTAACATGGCAAGACGTTATTATCACCAAGAAAGATGGAAAACCTTGTTTGATCATTCCAGAGAAGGATCGCTTTGGAATAGGGAAGGCCCATGCGTCTGTATCACACGATGGCGAATACTTAATAGCTCAAGTGCTCTTTGAGGTACCATGATCCATTCCTGATCGGAGCAATGCCTTAATAACTACACCCAATTTTTTTAGAAAGAAACGCCTTAGTAAACCAATTCTTTTTTTTTTTTTTTTTTTTTTTATATTACTATTATTATTATTATTATTATTATTATTATTATTATTTTCTTTTCTATGCTACTATTACATGTTAAAATTTATTTAGTTTTGTAAGATGCAATTTTTTTTTTTTTTTTTTTTTTTTTTGGTGTCTTCTATCGGTTGGCTTTGCGGCTAATCTGAAGTTTCTTAGCTGTAATCTCAGCCTTGGTCATGGGCACCAAACGTGTTCCTTCCCGTCTCTGCCAGATTTCTATTGGTGGTAGTGGCCAGTAATTCGGACCAAATGTGATGTCTGTCATGGCTTTTTGTGTCTTGTCGTCAATTTTACTGAAATCGAAAAAGATGACACGAATATCAAATGTTAAAAACAAGCCTTTGAGCTATTGATCATCCAAAAAAAAAAAAAAAAAAAAAAAAAAAAAAAAAATCTTGAATGAAATACTTACATGATCCGCTCCTTGGATGCACGAATAAGGCCAGTGCCATTAGCAAGTGCAGCCATCCACTTTGGTTCTATGACCGTCAAACCCTTGAGGTAAGTCTTGGAAGGCTTGCCCTCGATCTCTACTGCCTTAACCGTTCTCTGTAGATCCTGATATACGACCATAGGAGGTGCCTTTTCCATATTGAGGCCGAACAGAGCCGAGCTCGGATGGATGTATACGCTCTCTTTGGACCACATTGTCACATAAGGTACTGCCTTGGCCTTTTTGGAATAGTGCTCTTCTACTGTGCCAACCAAATCTTTACGAACAGCGACCTGATCTAAAAATGCACATGCTACAATCTGACGTATAGCAGTCAGTTGTCTGGACGTGGGTTTCTCCATGTAAGGATCAAAGACTAGCGAAGATACTGTAGGACTATTGGCAAAGCTATCTTGAACCAAGCGTGTAAGTTGCCCACGAAGTTGATGGATTTCCTGCATTGCTTTGTATCGGACAAAATTTTCTACGCAAAACTTCTCCTTGTCTGTCTCGCGTTCATACGCACCCACGACATTAAGAATTTTAGCCATATCGTTCAGGGGATCTAGAGCCTCATGGATTGCTTGGGACTTGTAGAACTTTTGCCGAGTTCGCTTATTCTGTTCCTTGCGAAGAATCTTTTCGTTTTTAATACATTGTAATTCCATCTCATCCAGTTCATCCAGCTGAGGACCACTCCATTTGCTGGTAGAGGACTCATCATCGCTTTCGTCATCCGAATCACCTGGTCTAGAGATATCTAATTGGAATTCTTTTACGAAGATATCACCGACTGAAAGCGCAGCGACAATAGCAATTACATATGGGAAGCAATTCTCCTGATGCGCAAGCGTCAACCTGAAAAAAAAAAAAAAAAAAAAAAAAAGTCAATTCGTATTCATTGGTCAATAGTTGTAAGTCAACATCAGAATGCATTCAAGTGCTATCAGCACATTACATTTTGGCGAGACGAGGAACTAGAGGAAAGATTGACATTGTCTTGCCAAGCTCAGTGATACTCTTTTTGTTAGTATTTTCAAGAGCATTCAGATAAATCAGGCGTTGTTCCGACTGTCGAAGGTCCTCGCGATTTGGCGGCGTAGGGAAGGGGAAGTTGACGACATTGTCAATGTGCATACTTTTCATTTGCAGTACAACACCATCGATGGGCATCTTCTGAATTTCTGCCTCAGACGCGGTGGGGAACTCGTTTTCATACACGGCAGAGCTATATAATCTATAGCAATGACCGTGGCCAGTACGACCTGCACGACCTGCACGCTGAGTGGCACTGGCTTTGGATGTCCATCCAACCTGGAACGTCTGGATACCTGTCTCCTTATCATAGTGGCGTTCTTTGGATTTACCGCTGTCGACTACGTACTTGATACCCGGAATGGTGATCGATGTTTCTGCCACATTAGTGGCAATAACGCACATTCTTGAGCCAGGTGGAGGAGGTTGAAAGACTTTCATCTGCTCTTCTGTTTTGAGCAACGAATAAAGTGGGAGGACGTATAATGGTGCAGTTCCAGCATCAGGAGTCTCTTCCAAAACCTCATCTCCTTCAAGCAACTCCTCTTCTGAATCAGAAGCATCCAAGTCAAATGTTTCATCATCCTCTTCTATGCCTTCAATCTCGGGGATAGTCTCAGCTTCTCCTAGTGCTATGTCCTCCAGCTCTACGTCTTCGTTGCGAGGATCCAATGCCTGATTGGCTGGAGCGTCGTCTTTTGAATCTTCCTCCCTCTTATCACTGGTATCTGTTTTGACCTTCTTGCTTCTTCTCATACGGTCAAGCTTGGTCTCGAACTTTGGCGCCTTATTGTCGAAAGGAAACTTCTTTCGTAACTTTTTGACGAGTGTCATGATTTCAGCCTGACCAGATAAGAACACCAAGATTCCACCATCGGGCAGACGAGTATGAATTTTGGTGATTTTCTTGTACGCCTCTGTGACATAGTCTATCTCCGGTGTTCTCTTATTGAAATGCATAGTAACGCCATAAGTTTTCTTGACATCCACGCTGACAACAGGAACAAGGTCCTTGATCTCTTCTTTCATCTCATTCGAGTCCTTATCATCATCTCCATCGGTAGCTCTCTTGGCTTTGTTAGGGCTACCAAAAAGTCTTTCATTCTTTGTGAACTCTTCAATGACAAGGGTAGCAGACATGATGATCAACTTTAGTGGTTTGGTTGTCTCACGACATTTCTTGCTCTCCTCACGACGAAGGCGCACAATACGGCTGAGAGCACCTATCAAAATATCAGTATTCAAGCTGCGCTCATGGGCTTCATCAATAATGATAGCAGAGTACCTGCGTAGCAGGAAATCTGAATTGAGCTCCCGTAGTAGCACACCATCTGTCATGAACTTCATCACAGTATCAGGCGATGTCGTGGCATCGTAGCGGATTTGATGTGAAACCTTTGATGCTGGCAAGTTCAGCTCTCTAGCGACACGAGCGGCCATTGATACTGCTGCAACACGACGAGGCTGAGTGATGCCAATCATGCCAGGGTTGGGACTGTCGGGATTACCGTATCCTGCCTCATACAAGAATTGGGGTACCTGAGTTGTTTTTCCTGAACCTGTTTCTCCCTTGATGATGATGATGTCATTATAAATGATTTTTTCCATGATATGTTGCTCCTCTGTGCAAACAGGAAGAGTTAAGCGCATCTCCTGAATTTCTTGATCCCTGTCTACATGGACATGGAAAGCCTGAAGCATAATAAACATCTATTTCAGCATGGTCTCTCCTTCACCTTGAGCAAATGGCGACATTATTATACTACGGGTGATGTGCTTACCTCGCCGATATCGCCTTCTTCAAGCTTGTCTACTATTTCGACTCTATTGCCCAAAAGGTCTCTCTGTGGCTCAATGCGGCTTGAAACGTACTCTCCTGTTCTCACAGGAAGGCTATCAATATTGGATATGGGCTTTTCCTCTTCTCCATCCTCCGCTGTTGCCAACCCTCCTAGGTCTGTCATCCAGCCACGCCGCTTCTTCCTGGCTGGCTCGCCTGATTGATCGCCTTCTTGATTACTGCCATTATGTTTGCCGTTTGCCTTCTCACTTTCATCGTTTGATGAACTATCGTATTCAGAATTGGAACTATCGAACGAGCTTTCACGCTCTTTTTGTTTGGTCGCCTCTTTTTGTGCACGGATCATAGCAAGCCGAGACTATGAACCAAAATAAATAAAATAAATCAGATCTTCCTGCACTATGGAGTCGTCCTTACATAGAAATCTCTGGTTCGTGCAAATATTCTTCATCTTACCGGTTTCTTTCCCGGTGCGGACTTTCTAACGAGGACTGAGGATCCAACTTTCAAAGCGCTTCCTGTAACAACTGATGTAGGTGTTGACCTGGCTACTGTTTTTGATATTTCTGAAGCTGATGTCACAGATATAGATGGTTTTGCATTTTCCATTTCCAAGTCACTGTCATTCGCTTTTGAGCCTCCACCGCCATCATCGTCACTATCATCATATTCATCATCTTCCAGGTCATTATAGTCATACTTCTTGTCCACAAAAAGTCGGACGGTTGGATCTGATCGCTGTAATCCTTGGCGTTCTTCATGAAGTGCTCTCCTGAGTTTTTCCTTAGTCGTCTCCTTATGTTGTCCAAGTGTACGACTTGACTTCAAGAGATCAGAAGACCATGCCTGTTCCTCCAGCTTTTTGAATAAATCGCCCCGTGCCTCTTTCTTCAATTTTTTCTCCTATAAAGGTCAATAGCCATAAAAAATATTAAAAAAATGCATTGTAAAAAGTTTGCTACTAAACCCAAAGTCCATGTGCTCACAAGTAGGATCTGGTCCATTGGTTATTATAAATGTATTTGCTTACAATGTATTTTTCCAATCGCTTTTTTTTCTTGCTGCTCATTTGGGGCTTGGATGCCTATGGAAGAAGGATAATGTTAAAAAATAAAGTAGACGAGCATTGCTTCCAGTTGATTAATGACACAGATCAAGCAAAAAGAAGTAGTAGTCGATCATGTTTCGTAGCTTTAAGTACACACCTCTTCATTATACTTGATTGCTTCTGTGTCCACTTTTCCGGTAACCAAAATTTCAGCATTGGTATCAACTCTGTTCGATGGAGAGACATTGTAAGCATTTGGAGAGCGGCTCAACTATTCCTGTACAAAGATCAATAGAGCAAAAGAAAAAAAAAAAAAGTTCTCTTACGGCTGAATAACGGTTGGTTTAGTTGCTTTTCGTCCACCATCTCTGGCATTGGGATGTGGCTTCGATGTTCTATTGCTTGAAGCTCTCGCTCTTTCATTATAGCGAGGCCTGTTCTTCCCCATGACGCACTATTGTATCTTGGAGTGGAGAGAAGGGGGATAGAAAGTATGTTGTTCTTGATACAGAGAAGTATCGTATTGCTTCAAGTTTTGTCTTTGAATGCAACTTGAATGGTAAGAATAAGAATGTAATGGATGAACAGCAACTTGGGGCTATTTTTTATTATTGTTATTGCTGTGACTGGCTCCAGAACCTTCACTGGCTCACTTCATGAACCATAAATCTAAATAACAATATTATAAAAGCACCTACGCTTTTTCGAGACATGTGTTTCTGCTATATCCCAGGTGATTGCATATACTGCAATGTCGTTGCGCGGAAGACTGACAAGGCAATTATATGCTGAATACCAATGATAATAATGTAAGGTTAAAAATACAACACGCAGCAGGTTAAAGGAATAGTAATTTGTAAACTAAGGTTAGTATACCTTCGCCTTTGCTCTGGTCTTTCACTTTCACCGAGGTCGTCGGGACTGACGCTTCGTCTGCAGGCCACCGCAGGCTCGATTCGATTTGTACGGGGTCACTAACAACGTATCAGCGAGGATGGCGCAATGGGAATATTGGATATGAAACTCACCCTTCATTGCTTAGACGTGTACTTCAGTTGTGTCCTGAGTGGCCGTAAATACTACACGCTCTCATTTTAGGAACACTACTATCGGTAACAACGATAGAGTTAAAAAATAATCAAATAAAATAAAATAAAAAATAAAAATAAAAAATAAAAAATAAAAATAAAAATAAAAAATAAAAAATAAAAATAAAAATAAAAATAAAAATAAAAAGATTATAAAGTAACATATCTTTGCCTCTGTTCAGGAATAACATTCTGTGCAACACTACTGAAAGTGCGGTGAAGACGGTAGCCCAAGGTCGGCAAACACCAACCACTACAGCGCCAAAATATAAATAAATAAATAAATAAGGTGTTAAGGAAACTGCTGAAAACGAAAGGTATTCTAGTAAATGATCGTGAGAGGCTACAGAACTTAAATAGAGGCCTCATAATGGAGCATTGATCTCTTGTTACTTTCTTACGTCGTCTTCAATGTTCATATCATGTTGCAGTTTAAATTTTGCATGGCTTATTTTTATTGGTCTTGGGCGAAATCATTTCCTTCGGGCAACTATTTAAACAAACACACGGCCTATGAAAAGCAATTATAGGGTTATCGCCATTCAAGTCTTTAGATGGATAGAGAAGAAGAAGTTTTTAATAGTCAAATCCTACCTCTTCAGCCTCTTGGGGCAATATGTGTGTACAGGATCTATTTTGGCTATAGCGTAATATAAATGATCTTTACCCCTCTTTTGCGAAAGAGGCTTTGGTTCAAGGTAGACTGGTGGGGGAGTTAGAGTGGCGAGCTCAGCAGCAGCTTAATGATATAAGCTTGGCGTAACCGAGGAAACCAATGTCTCCTGTATCGGAGAAAACTCCAGCCTATAATCTTCTTGAGTAGGACAAACACAACTGTGTTGAGAAGAGCAACTTGTGTTCATGCAAACCACGCAGCCAAGCTCGACTGCAAGCTCAGCTCCTGTTTTGCCTCTTCTTTACGTCTTCTGTTTTTCTTTTCCATTCTCTCTCCTGTTCAAGGGAATTAAGTAGGGCGCGCTCGTCAACGAAGCTGTAGATCCTGTCATTAAGTTTCTCTTCATCCTCCGCATCCTTCGCTTGCTGCTCTGCTAGCTCCTCTACAGGCTGTGCTTGGATGGCGCGTGGCACAGCCCGCCGGAATCTTAGTGCTCAGATGATGCGTCGTACACTCGATGTGGAGCCATTCGACGGTAGAATGGTTTTCTAGTGGTTCGAGCTGCCATAAATTGAGCGAGAGCGCTTGACAGGTAACTGACTTGTGGAAGTTGCAGCAGACGCCGAACGTGTGGAGCATGTGGCAGCAGTCGAAGACGAACGTGTGAAACGTGCGGCAGACAAAATAATTGTTTTTTAAAGTTGAACAGATAAAATAAACGAAAGCAATGAAAACAAATGTCCTGAAGAATATGGAAGCAAGGATTTAAAGAGAGAGGAATATTAAGAATTAGAACAGTAAAACAAAGAGAACGGGTTCACGTTTTAAATCTCCAGTTCATCGTAGACGTTAAAGGGTCATGTCACATGGTAAAAATAAATAAATAAAATTAAGTGGGTCTATATCATTGACTATCCGCACTCCTGCCACTCACAAATGAGTGAATCCTCAAGCTGCTACTTATTAATGTAGTTTTTTTTTTTTTTTTTTTTTTTTTTTATGGTATCAATGAAGCCGCAGCTTGAAACAGCCACCTAATTTCGCAACCACTTAGTTTTTCGTCTTTTAAATAGAGATATAGAAAATATATTTATACTTTTCTGTAGATGCAAAATGTTATTTTTTTTTACTCTTCACTTGCCGTTCTCTGATAACCACTTGTATGCAGCACTAAAATCGAGATTCTCGTATTCCTTATTGGCAGCCATCTGGTTATAGAGCTGCTGAGCAAGGGCACCGAGAAGTACTGTCGACTTTGTCTCGACTGCAGCATTGACTGCCAGACGCAGATCCTTAGCCATCAGGGGCATACCAAATCCACCTGTGTAGCCCCTTGAGGCCGCAGAGTTCTCCTGAACACCGGGACAGGGATTATAGACCTCACTGCTCCAGCAGCGACCGCTTGAGGTATTGAGGATCCCTGCCAATAGCTTGGGGTCCATTCCCATGCGTACACCCAAGTTCATGGTTTCTGAGGTGGCAATCATGGAAATGCCCAATAGCATGTTATTACAGATCTTGGCAACTTGACCGTTGCCATTTGTGCCACAGTAGACAATATTCTTTCCCATCTTTGCAAGATAAGGTTTAGCAATATCAAAGTCAGCATCTGTCCGAGATCCTACCATGAAGGTGAGTGTTCCAGCTTGAGCACCTCCCGTTCCTTTCATTAATGCCATTTATCGATAAGTTAGGAAGGTAATAATAATAATAATAATAATAATAAAAACATTGTTTAGATTGTTGAAAGTTTAGAATCTCGATCAATTGGCGAAAAAAAAAAAAAAAAAAAAAAAAATGCAGTACCACCAGAAACAGGTGCATCAATAGCTTTTGCACCCTTTTCGTGCAAATCCTTGGCAACACGGACGGCCATGGACTGGTCAATAGTAGAGGCATCCATGACCAAGTGTTTGTCTGTCAGACCATCCAAAAGACCAGTCTTTCCAAAGTACACACTTTCGACATGTTGCGAAGCAGGCAGCATGGTGACAATGACAGTCGCTTGTTGCGCAACTTCCAAAGGACTCTTTGCGACTTTAACCTTATCCTTATTATTAGGATCCGTGTTATGGTCTTTGACAAAAGTGGAAGTTGTCTTTTGGTTGATATCGTAAACAATAAAATCAGCCTCATGCTTGAAACCGTTGAAAAGATTGGTCGCCATGGGCAGACCCATGTTGCCTAGACCAACAAACCCGATTCTCTTGACCTTGGACTGTTTAAATGTCAGATTAAAAATTAATTTTAATTTTGCTTGGCCTCTAACCGTGGGTAAAAAAAATTGAAGGCTGATTTGCATTATTTGCTTTGAGAGAAGGAAACAAAGGACTTACATCTAGTCAAACATAATAAATGGAATTGAGCAAACCCACGGATAACAGTAAGTATTCAAGATCAAAGCATTAGAAACTGAAGTATTTAATGATGTAGTTTAGGAGTTAGAGTTGTTTTCTAAACAGGGGAAGACAAACATACCAGTGGACTTGAAGCGAAGACCCGAAATAGGCGTTGTAAGCGAAGTTGACAGACGGGCGCTGGCACGCGTCGAGCGGGCAAGGAATGAGGTGATCATGGTAGACAGAGAGGGTAAAGAAGAGATGATGCAGTTGAGACGGGGGGGGGGGGGGGGGGGAATGAAATGAATGAGAATAAGAACGAGAATAAGAATGAGAATGGAAGAAAGAAGAAAGAAGAAAGAAGAAAGAGACATGAAAAGAATCGATAATTGGATAGGATTAAGTTACTCCTGAACTACCCGTTTTTTCAATAATTTTATAAAATTTTACCATGAATAACTACTACACAAGTTGCGGGTATTGGCTCTTTTTCAATGAACTTGTTGGAGGTTACTCCGTCAGGTTGGACCAAACCGTCAAGCTGTCAAGGATCATGATTCATCGAGAGTTTGTTTCCTTCCACCTACTTGGGGGGATCAATGAAATCGTGGATGTTCAATATACTTGTTATGATCCACAGTCCTGGGCAACTTGACACCACGATGTAATTTATGGAACCCCAAAAATTGTGTGAATGTGGAGAGCGTGAGAAGAATTTGGGACTGTACGAAATTGTTTGACCAGCTCAAATGTTACGAGTCAAACAGATTTTTTCCGTCAATTTTCCTCGACATCGCTCATTATTATTATTTTTTTTGTTTTTGTTTCCTCATTCCATTCCCTCCATTCTTTTCATACACAACATAGTCCTTATACCAATGATGACTCTGGCTAATCAACTTCGCGTTCTCACAGGTAAGATTAAACGAGTCCATCTGTGTAGTGTTTATGAGCGGAGTGTGAGCACGATTGTGTGTCCTTTCTTGACTTTTAATTGACATGGCAGGATATACCTGTCTTTATGAGCCTTAAAGAGACATTGAGAAGTCAGAGCTATACCATCATCTCGTCCTTTGTAAATGATTTCTCTCACATGAAACTATTGCAACTACCCTATATATATCTTCAGTTGACCATAAACTAACTTTCTATTTTCTTCGTTTATATGACAGTTGGCACAGGTGCTATCGGCGCATTTTATAGCTGGCGTCTCCAGCAATCAGGCGGCTGTGTCGTTACTACCGTCTGTAGATCTAATTACGAGGTTATTAAGGTAAAAGGGATCAAGATTCAAACCGCTGCTTGGGACGAAGGCCCTCATATCTTCAGACCCGACCATGGTAAAAAAAAATTGTTTTATGAGTCAAGAGGATCATTCCAATCCGACATGAATATTCCATAAACGGTATAGAATATTTTCATTAATTTATTTTTCGTTTCACGAAAAAACAAAAAAAAAAAAAAAAAAAAAAAAGTGGTCAATACTGTGCCTTGTGAGACGTTTGACTTTATCATGGTATGTATGAAGGCTTTGCCTCAAGTGTACAACATTGCCGACATCATCGCCCCTGCTGTCAATGCGTCTCCCAACGCTGCCATTGTCCTGATTCAGAATGGCATTGGAATTGAAGACCCAATCAAAGCACGGTTCCCTCGTAACCCTATTTTATCGACTATTGCCTACATTGGAGTCACACAAAATGAAGCTGGTGTTGTTTTTCACTCGGGACACCTTCGGGATTTGATCATTGGCCTGTTCGAGCCTGTCAAAGGTGTTGATGCCAAAAGCGTTCTCCAGATCTTTGGTCAGCTCTGTGAAAAGGCAGATATTGGTACAACTATCACGGACGAGATTCAATCCTACCGTTGGCGAAAGCTCGTCTGGTGAGTTAGCCATTCTCTACCTTCTGTTATAGATGAGGAAGTGATTTTTTTTATAAAAAAAAAAAAAAAGCTCACAATCAGAAATTATGTCTTTCTTAATAGGAGCGTCTCTATGAATCTTATTTCCATCCTCTCGGAACTCAGGACTGTATCCAACGTCCTTGCAAGTGAGAAGTACAAACAGTTATTAGTGACAGTCATGGAAGAAGTCGTCGCTTTAGGCTCGGCCTTGGGTTATGACGTACCTCCTACGTTGGTAGGCCAGAGCATAGCTACAAGTGAAAGTTTGTTTGAAGGATATAAGGCCAGTTTGGTAGTGGATTTTGAGGAAGGACGGCCAATGGAAACCGAAGTCATCTTTTCGAACCCAATCAAGATAGCAGAGAAACATCAACTTACACATCTAATCCCAACTTGGTACCGAATGCATAAGGAGCTTTTCGAATACTTGGCAAAGCATCAAGCTGAAAGGAAATAAGCATGGATACAAGCAAACAAGCAAAAAAAAAAAAAAAAAAAAAAAAAAAAGAAGTAAATAGCTACTGTTCTAATACATGTAGATATAAAGGTTTTTTGATTCATTCAAAGGCAAAGCGCATTCATATTCGGTCCATTCATTGGTGGCTGTTTTTTATCCGCAACAAGGAAGCTAATTGGCTGCTTGTCCATTTGAGTTGTTCAAAAAAATAATCAAGGTGCGACTGCATGAACCAGTCAAGGCTACATGACATTGGCTACCATTTCAAGCATGTTCACGTTGATTTTTTTTTTTTTTACAAAAAAATAAACGAGTCTATCAGCATTTGAGCTCATGCCAATGTCTTTCTGTCTTTGAGCACCATTGAGCAGCAATGAAGAGACATTTATTTGTATTCGAACTTTTGTACTTTTTGTATCTGCGCATGCTTGCTGTTTGTTTGTTTTTGTCATTGGAGAATAAATTTTATTGGACATGTCCTCCCATGTCCATGAATATATTCTTTTTACATAATTCAATATCCATCTCCCATGTGCATCAAAACTATTAATCAATTAATCTCTTTTTTGCTCTCTCTCTGTATTTTTTTTTTTTTAACCCCTCTTTTTTCATTTTCTTGTACTTATCCATCAGTCTCATTCTAATTCTCACTCTCACTCTCTCATTGCTAGTGCCATTGTCATTCTCATTCTCATTTTCTCATTCACATTTACATTCGCAATATCGTACCCTTCTTGATACCCCATCCTTCCTAGTCTTGACTGCTTTACACATCTCTCTGCAACTCTGTAAGTTTTTTTATTTCCTTCACCCCATTTGCTCTACCTCTTCTTCTTCCTCTTCCTCTTCCTCTCTCCGCCTTCGCCCTCCCCTTGATTCACGCAGACCTGAGATCGTTCTAATTTCTTCCCCAAGTATCATCACATTACATCAACACCACTCAGCAACGCACTCAGAGATACACAAAGTACAAACCATCTTGCACCTTATCACCTCACATCTCGTCCCACTCAATTTACCTTTTTCTCTCTCTCCTGACTCTCATTTCTTGGCTGTTTGCTTCGCCTGTCTACACATCTTTCATCATACCACATTCCATTCGTTATTTAACACTCTACACGTCCATTTGTTTGCCTTTCACCAGAATTTCAAAAGACGACACCATAACAATCCTCTCCATTCACCCCTCGGCTGCCACTCACATCTCCATTTTCTTCTGCTGACCGTCTCATGCATATTCGCCTTCAACGTTGATTTCAACTCTCCCTTCTTCTGTGTCATCATTATTATCAACAGGTTTTTTTTTTTTTTTTTTTTTCCTCCAACTCGTCTCCGTTTCACTTCTATCCTGCTATCCTGCAAAACAGAACACAGCCCCACCATTTTTTTTTTCTTTTTGAAAAAGGCAATTCAGTCATTTTGGCCTCAAAGTGCAACATTCGATTTGAAAGGCATTAAAAATACTAATGCTTTTTATATATATATTATTTTATTTTATTTTTTTTATAGTAGATCCCTGAACTGTTATTTTGAATAACAAAGTCAGAGGTTTTTCTCCTATTAAACTCAACTCTACCGTGGCGCCTGAAGCATGACCGGACAGTCTCAGGCACAAGGCACTGCCGCGGCCATTGAGACATCTGTCCAAGTCGGTATGTATGCCAAAAGCCGTCTTCATTTTACTCTTACAACCATCCAAGTCCAAAAAAAAATGCTATCGACTTTACAGCAAAGCTCCAACAATCATGCTCATCTTTTAAGCAATACAATCAAGGCTGTATTTTCTGCCTTGCAGGAATGGCATTGTTTAAAAGAGGAAAAAATAGATGCTCTTACTGTGCGCTCTAATTGCTTGTCAGATTGCTAGCGGTTTATCAGTAGCTCAACATATTATTCTTTCAATCCTTTAAACCACAAGGATACTCGCTCTCATCGCTCACACCTATTTTATTGCCCACCCTTTTTCATTTCGAGTTGATGTGCACACAGCGACCTTCAACATAAAAAGCATAACAGTCTTTTGGTCAGCGTATAGTCAGCCAAGTAAAATAGTTTGCTTTTCTCTCACAACAATATTTGCTTTTTTTTTTTTTTTTTTTTTTTATTCAACTGATATAAACTACAATAGCTCTTCGGATCCGACCCATCATAACGGACCCAAAGAATGTAAACAAAGCTCGAGGGCGCGCTGAGACAGAAGTACTCTCAGTTATTGAACGCTCGCCTACACCCTCATCTTTATCCTCTGCATCAGGTGCGCCTGCACACGACCAACCTCAACAAGTTGTAGTCGTCCCAGTCCAAAGATATTTCACGTTTGACCATGTCTTTGGTACTAACGCTACACAAGAGGAGATCTATCAAGGCAGTGTCAAACGAATGGTTGACAAATTCATGGAAGGTAAAGAGTGAGCTCCTCCCCCTGCATGGCTGTTCGTTCGTCTGCTTTGCAATAATGACAGTCTGTACTGGAAACTACATCAATGGTAACATAAAAACAAAATGACTTGATTTTTCATGCATTTTCTTTCCACCAACAATTTAATTAATGATAGGTTACAATGTAACGATTATGGCATATGGCCAGACTTCTTCTGGAAAAACATATACTATGGGCACTGGGGCACCATCATCTGAGGACCGAGGTAGCCCTTCAGAAGGTTAGTAAATTCAACACTGAAAAGCATTCGCTTGAAGCTGAAGGGGATAGTCTGGATATGCACGGACTTGTCACAAGCATGGAGTGTATACATGCAGGAACTAGGGATGGCTCGCGCACGTGCTAATGTATCCACCTAAAAACATTTTGCACCATATATCTACACAGGTATCATCCCACGCGCAGTGGCACAACTTTTTCATGATGCTAGAAAACCACCTCCTGTATACCCAGGCTATAAAATCCCGCCTCTCAAGACAAGCTTTCGCGTATCTTTTGTGGAGATTTATAACGAAGATCTAATCGATTTATTGGCAAAAGGAGATTTTCGTCCTCCCGTAACCATTCGTGAAGATACAAAGGGAAATATTTTTTGGACAGGAGTACAGGAAATTGCTGTCGCATCAGTAGAGGAAGTCATCCAGTAAGTACTATATGCTGCAAGAGTAATAATGCACATGTGTAATCATTCACCAGATTATAACTAAAAAAAAAAAAAAAAAAAAAAAATAGTTTACTTTGGTATGGCTCTCAGAACCGACAGACACATTCCACAGAGATGAATGAAAAATCATCTAGATCCCATGCTATCTTCAGCATAACCTTACGGCAAGAAAAGTTTGTTCCAACCCATCCTCCTCCACCATTACCCGTCATAGACTCTTTAAATTCTCCCACGTTATCCAAAAATGCACATCCCAGGTCACCCAGTCTAAGCAATACCACTAGTATCGTACCAGGATCACCAGCCTCGATTCGACCCGGAACGCCAACTACCATGGGGGCATCTAGTATTCCTATGCCATTTTCAAGCGGAATCGCTATTCCAGGTTCAAAGCTGAAGCGCCAGAGCACTCTGTCCGATATAACAGCATTAACAGCCCCTTCAACGCCGATTTCGACCGCAAATGATGATCCAGAGCCTGATGGCGAATGGGTTGTTCTAAATAGTAAATTTCATTTTGTGGACTTGGCTGGCTCTGAGCGTCTGAAGCGGACATCGGCCATCGGTGATCGTGCAAAAGAGGGAATCAGCATCAATGCAGGGCTTCATGCACTAGGAAATGTTATTTCCGCACTAGGGGATCCTAGTAAAAAAGCAAGTCATGTACCATATCGTGATTCAAAACTTACGAGGTTGCTACAGGACTCATTGGGAGGCAATGCACTGGCCCTGATGATTGCCTGTGTTAGTCCAAGCGAAATTAATCTTAATGAGACTCTTGTGAGTACAGATGAGTTATTATTACACATGGGAATACTCGTAGTGAGGGTTTAGTATCGATTTAGCAGAAAAAAAGAAAAAAAAAAATGGAAATCTAATCGTTTTTTCATCTGAACATGGGATGATAGAATACACTCAAGTATGCAAACCGCGCACGTAACATCAAAAACTCTTCCACTTTAAACCAGGAAGTAAATATGGACAACCCAGAATACTTGCGCTCCATCATCCAGAAGCTTAAAATGGAGATAAAAATGCTCAAGGAAGCCAATACTAAAATGGGAGTGGGTTCAGATGACAATGGGAATTCAGCCTTAGACAGCCCAAGTCCCAAAACTATCCAATCAGGTCGTCTTTCAATCCAATCAACTGCTACTTTTGCGCCTGGAGGACTCGACGATGCTCTGAGTGACCGTGCCTTCTCGCCTTCACCCTCAACGAGGCTCTCTCATTATCAAAGTCGCGAATCACTCTCCACTGATATCAGTCATAGTTATTTGGATGCCGTCCAGGAAGAGGAGGACCGCTATTCGGATATTTCGTCTACTATCAGGACAGACGTAGTTCGTACGGGTGCCAGCAGTGCGAGTGAGACGACAGCTACTTCACCTACGTCCCGGCCCAATATTGCGCCCCTAGTCATTCCACAGCTCCTTGATACCAAATCTTTTCAGGAGTTTGTTGAGCCAGTCATTGAAGAATACGAAAAAGTCATTTCAGGACTAGAGACTCATTTGGCTATGACACAAGCAGCTTTAAACCACTCGGAGCTTATACTAGAAGAACAACAAGGTCGGATTGATATTATCGAGGACGAAAACCGGATGTTGCTCCGAAAGCAACAGCAATTCAAGTCGGGTAGCGGTAGTGAGTCAGATGAAGCTGCTAATTCACGGAATCAGCAAAAGGAACTTCAGAGACAACTGCAGACTGTTCAGCAGCAGCTAAAAGAAGTAGAGGAACGCAAAGCTCAGAAAGAACAGTATATCGAACAGCTAGAACAAAAACTTGCTCAAGAAAAGGAAGTAATTGAGGAGCGGATTCAAGAAGCCTTGAAGAAGAAGGAGGAGGAGCTGTTGCGCTCAAGGGCAGTATCTCCTCATTTACAGCTGAATAACACTAACGAAAAGGAACAAGAGCTTAAACTACTATCTGAAAGGGTCCTTGAGTTAGAAGAGCAAATCCGCCGGCATCAAGAGATAGCAGATGCAGAGACCGCAACAGTAGTCACAGAGTCAGACCAAGAACGAGAGGAGCGTGAATCAAAGGAGGCAAAGTGTGAAGAGGAACTTATCGAGAAGCGGGAAGCCAAGGCTGCTCTTGAACGAGAGTTGGAGTCTGAAAAAGTTAGGCAAAACACCTTGGATACAGAGGCTAAAGAGTCCATAGCAAGTCATACCAGGACTGACAGCGCTCATACAGATTCAAATCCAGGACAAGAGGAGGGTGTCGTCCAGCAGCTGGCTGTGACCGCTGCTTTGATAGATTCAGAAGCTACTAAAAGCAGCAAAATCGACGAGCTTGAGGCCCAGCTGGCTGAGGCTCGTGAATCAGAACGTCTTCTTAAGGAAGAGACTGTTATCTTGGTAGAAAAATTGGAGAAATTACAAAAAGATCACGCATCTGTACTGGAGAAGGAAGAGATGCTCCACTTGGCGGTTTCAGATCTTGAAGAGCGTCTCAAGATTTCACAGGAGAGTGAATCGAAGCATCTTGAAGAGCTAGAGAAGAACTTGGCTCGAATTCAAAATTTGGAGGAGCGGTCAACCAAAGCTGAGCTGGAGGCGCTTAGGGTAGCGGATGAGCTGAAAGATAAGCTTGCAGCAGCTACAAGCGCAGCAGAAGGGCAGTATGCTGACGAGCTACTCGAATTGCTGGAAAAGATGGAGGTTGAGCGCACTAAGGTTGAGGCACTTCAAACTCAGGTTGAGAGTCATCTTGTGGAATTAGCCGCTGAAAAATCCAGGGCTGCAGAGTTGGAGTCAAGTCGAGACGAAATTCAGGCAAAATGGGATGCTGACAAGGAGCGCATCCAAATTCTAGAGAAGGAGATTGAACAACAATCGACGCTTATCCGTGAAAAAGTTGAATTGATCGCTTCGTTGGGAGCTCAAGTCTCTGCACATGAAGGTACAATTGCAGCGAGAGAGCATTTAGAGCAGGAATTGAATCAGCGAACTGACGAGTACAATACAGCCCTTGCATCTAAAGCGGCTCTAATTCTTGAGCTGGAACAGAAGATCACAGAGCTTGAAATGACAGTCCAAAGCTCAGATAAGGCTACAAGTGAGCTGGTGGGGAAAATTCAAACTGAGCTTTCTTTCTCACTTGAGCAGCTAAACGAAAGCCAGGCCAAAACAAAGGAGCAGGAACAAGTCCTGCAAGAGTTGAAGGAAAAGATGGCAGCTCTTGATGCGGAAGCGAGCTCCTTCAAGGCCACTTTGTCGACTAAAGAAACCGAGCATACAGAGGCTATCCAGGCCCTTCAAGCCAAAATCAAGCTCGCAGAAGCTGACCGAGACGAGGCAGAGACAAGGCTCGAAGAGGTGGAGCGACGCCATCAAGCTGTAGATGAAGATATTAAGGCCCTCCAGGCCACAGTTGATCAGCACCTTGCAACTATTGAAATATTGCAGAGTAAGCTTTCTGAGGCAGAAGCGATGTCTCTCTCAACCTCGCGACCAGTATCTGTATCGTCGTCTGCCACAAACCTCGCTGTTAGTGAGGATGCATCGTCAGCACTTCAGCGGCTAGAGAAAGAGAAATCTTTATACAAAGCAATTGTGCGTGAGAACGAGAAACAGATCGAGCAATTGAGTCAGGAACTTGAGTCACTTGCGTCAGAATTCTTGAATACGGTTGCAATGTCTGAGGCGGCAGAAGAAGAGATGAAGGCGCGGATTACGGAACTGCAAGCTCTCTTAGAAGAAAAGAATGAAAGCAACTCATTTCCCGCACAGTCCGCGAGCCACTTTGAGACCAGCATGGCGCCGTCTTCTATGGCTGCTCAAGCTCAAATATCTGCACTCAAGGCTGAACGTGATCAAGCACTACAGTCTTCGGAGGAACTTTCTTCAATTATAGCAGATTTGAATGAGCAAAACCATAGCCTACAAGAGAGACTCTTAACTCTCGAGCGTGAACAAGAAGCGATCAAACTTCAACATGTTCTAGAGAGCCAGACGCAACAAAATGAAATTCGCATGCTCAAGGATCGAGCGGAGCGGCTGGACCGCAATGCAAGTCCTAGTCCTGTCAGTTATCTCCACGATGATGATAGAGAGCGTATCCTACAACATAAGCCATCAAACTCATCCGATTACTTTATGAATAACAAAAGTGGTGAAGACTCATTGGCAACACCACGTCAGAGTTGGAGTACCACTGCATCTGGCTCACAACAGCCCAATTCACAGCTCCGGAATGGAAGGCATGAGTCAACTCTTATTCAACAGGCCAAGCATATCAAGATGCTGGAAGAGCGGATTGCTGAACTCCAGGCAAATGCCGGCTCACAAGTAACAACAGGTGAAGGCAATGCCCATAAACATACACCGCCGATGTCATCAATTTCAGCTATTGGTCTTGGTATTCATCACAAGAACTCTGACCCCGAGTTGGCACGGTCAGTATCTTCACCTATTGTCCACCATCACAGCACAGACAAGATGTCCCCAGCGCTGCGTGGACACTCAACGCTCAATGGCCCCACAGGCGCAGCACCACCTACCCCTCCACCTCAAATTCCTCTACCTCCTCCTCCGGCAAGTGCAGCTCCTGGTGGAAAGGTCACTCCAGCACATCTGAATGGAAATGCACCCTCTTCACCCAGAATTGGCGGCACTTTCAATCTGGAAACATCGTCGCCGCATTCCTCTCCTAGCATGCGGCCTTCCAGAGCGGGATCGATCAACAGTCGTGTAAATAGTAGTGCGCCCAACGCACAACTCTCTGCTGCAAACGTTGTTCGTCGTGAGCGTGACTCCACATCGTCTAATGTTTCAGAACCGGTTTTCAATGCTGGACTCAACACCAATGGAAGTACTAATGGTCATAGTAATGGATGGGCTAGTCCAACAGGAAGCACTATGAGTGTAAGCAATATCTCTGCTGCTACTGCACAAGCACTCCAAGGAGTGGAGGTAAACGAACTTCGCGGAGTTGTGGACACACTTGCCCATCAAGTGCAGGCTCTCAAGGTTGAGCAGGCGATGCAGCAAGGCAAGATTCAACGATTAGAAGCTGCGCTTGCAGAGGCGGAGGAGAGGCTTAAGGTTGCTCAGAATGAAAAGCAAATGACACAGGATGAGAAGGTGACCCTTGCTAAAGAAATAGAGAAGGTTCAAGCCGAGTTGACTGCGGTCAAGCTAAAGTCTGAGAAAGATCGTCAGGAGCTTGAAAGCATTTTGGAAAAAGAGCGAAGAGAGCGCGAGAAAGCTGTTGAGGCAAGGGCAATCATGGAGGCCAAGATGGAGGAGCTAATGGGCCGCAAGAGTAAGTTTGCATGCTTCTAGATGATTTGATATCAAATCTCCTGCACCAATACTGCACCAATACATCATGTGCACATACGCGCATACACGCATGCAAAAAAAAAAAAAGAAAAAAAAGGCCCGGGTTACCATCACTGTTTTTTATTCTCATCTCCATTGCATCCTATTCTCTCTTCGGGGTGACTCGTTATGGCCTCCCCATTTTTATCTTTACCCTTTTTCATCCATTTTATTTATCATTTTATTCTTGTTATATTCTTCATTTTTTTTTTATTTTTTGTTGTACCCGTTAATTTCCCTTGTACTCGTACATCTGTTTTCTCAGTATAAGAAACTACTTGAAGAGAAAAGAAAGAAAGAAAGAAAGAAAGAAATACACCTTTCTATACTTGCGACTATCGTACAAAATGATCAAATATGAATCGAAGAATGATAAAAAAAAAAAAACAAAAATTCAAGAGGGGCGAGTGTAACACCTTGGGTTTTCATGGTTACACAAACACGTTTTTTAACTGACCACTAATGACCGTTTTTCATTTTTCTCCTACCAATCATGAAATAGAAAACTCAGGCTTGATGTCCAAAATCAAAATCAAGAGGTGGTCCAAAAACAACTAAGCATTATTTGATACCCTTAAAAAATAACTTAATTAGTCTGTGCTTTTTAACGTGTAACAAAGTAGATATTTAACATTAGAAACTAGTAAAACCCAAAGACTTAACTGTTCTTGAGTGTGATTGATGGTTATTCGCAGGTTGTGGCAGCATGCTCTGGCATAAAGTCTGATCTCTGTGTGAACAAGATGTATAGGCGTTGCAAGGATCGCAATGGATGGTGGTGTCATTCGTAGGGTTGGTAAGGCAATTTCACGGCTCTACTACCTCGCCTTCGCGCCGTGGACTGAGACTATTCATTATTATCCACTAGTCTGACAAATTGGGGTAACCAACGCACAGGCTTTGTGCTTCAAAAGTCTTTTTTTTGGAAGTGTATCTGTGTATTAACATGCTACCTTTGCAAAATGCCTGGTAAGCGCAACATGTTGTCACCCTACAGAAGTAAGCGCATGGAGCAACAGGGTATGCTAACCAGGGGTTCGTTGGCCATCGCTAGACGCCGGAGACTTGAACACCTAGATGTGCTCCCCATCCATGTGGAAGGAATATCCGCTCTAACCACACTTGGCTATCTGATATTAAGGGCCCCAGAACATGCAATGTGTTCAAATTTTCTGTCAACCGTGGTTGACTGGAACGTCTCGCTTAGGATAAACATTGATCTGCGTGAGGCCATGAGGTTAGAGCATGTCTGATTGAAAGCAACATGATGGGGTTACAGCGCAGAGGAATGATCATCCCGAGGTCAATCCCTATTTCAATAAGTCAGTTCGTTCAACTTTGGACGAGATCCTACTTGGCTTAGTCGATCCTCTGAATGCTCGGTTTCCAAAAATACGCACCAAAGATAACGTATCGTATCGAGCAGTAAACCCGCTGGTTTGGTAGACTCTATGGCAACCTTGAATTTTTTTTTGCAACAAACATGGTGGTGACGCTGACTCCGCAAAAGAAAAATCCACTAATCCTCAGGCTTGGTATTGCTCCATTGTTGAAAAAAAAAAAAAAAAAAAATTCAAGTATTCACAGGTTTTATAGTAGCGCACAAACCCAGAAAACCTTTGTCACAAGTGTTGTCTTTACGTGAAGCAACTTGAGGCCACGTTGTCCTCAAGTTCTACCGTATGCAGCCGTGACATTAGTAAGCAAGGGTTTCGCAACCAAATGAATTGGCTCGATCCTGTCATAGGAGTCTTCTCTCGACTGTTTGTGATAAACCAGCCCTTTGATGAGCCTACATCCTTTCTAGATATGGTGGTCATAAACAGGGGTGAGACGCACAAATCTAGGAAATTTGTGTGGGCGTGGAGCTGCGTCATATTATGTACATAATTGTTGTGAACAATGCTTTGGACTGTCTCTACTTTGTGGATCATAGAGTTGTTCGATGATGAAAATTTAAGAATGAAGGAAATACTTGCAAGCTTCTGTTCTTCTTTTTGTTTAAAGCAAGGCTGGGACTTCCTTCCATAAGTTTCAAAGGGTAATGGCCATTAAGGATTCAATCTTCCACATTGTTGACCTGCAGCGGTTGTAAGGCATATTTTGGCCAAGGCATCTGTAGTGGATAAACTGGTATAGGCGGGTCCGTTTAGTTCAGGTATGAACAGGAGCTCCCCAAGTTCAAGCCTTAAACGGATTTATAATGTACAAGCTTTCTTTGTATGTTTGCTATTTGATGCTTTTGATAGACCAAGGAGGACTGACATATATCATTACACTAGTGCTTCCTTTAGCCGCCGACTTTTACTCATCATGGTTCATAGAGACAGAGACTTAAAAAGTTCAAGGGATCACAAAATACCCCACTTGCAAGGAAAAAAAAGGTTACTGCTTTTTTATATACATTTTCATGAGCTCAAATTATTCTTCTGAGGCAACATCACAGGGACAGTCACCAAAGAACTGAATGACACTGGCCATAGACTGACACCTTGACACAAATACATGTCTCTTGACATTAGTTTTGACAACCTGCATTCACTTTTTGTTCTCGCCTTTGATACTTCTCTCGCGCACCGCCATGGACAACAACGATGTAGGATACAGCTCCGTCGCATGGGACACATATTCACCAACAGGCTCTCATGGGAATAATGAAGACGCTCCAGGTGATAACAGCAACAATACCAAACTCCATAGTAACAACACACTGCATTCGTCTTTATTTGCCTCTTCGGACGAAGACGAAGACGACCTCAACGACATCACCGCTGCTGCTTCTTCTGTCATCCTTCCCGCAGAGACATCTGCTTGGGCAGACGAGCCTCTTGACAATGAGGTTATAGACATTCATGGACAGGAAACCAGTGTTGGCACTGTTGCAAACAGCAATAGCGATAGTTTTAGTGATTTCAATCGCGATACTCGAGGAAGTAACAGTGACCATTATGACCAGAGCAATGGCAGCGTAAATAAAACTTCCAGACAAGCTCACAGAGTAAGGAAGCTTCTTTCTTTCCTATTCTCTCTCTCATCAGCTCAATTGAAATGGCTCGTTTGAAGCGTTAAAATAGCTAACCTGATATGCATGATCTTTTTTTTGCACATCATTACCACTATTAGTCGAACGCGCCAGGGAAAGCGCCAAAACGAGAGATCTTGGAGGAAATTTCGGGGTTGGCGCTGTCTACGTCAGCTGCAGAAGCTCTGACCAAGTTAATCCCCATGGAGATTACAGTAACTGATGCGCACAGAGAGAAGGAAGGTTCGACTGATAGTTTTATTTCGTATCAAGTTAATACAAAGGTAATTTTTATAAATTTAATTTCTTTATATGTATACTATACTCTGTTTAAAAGTTTATTGCGGCTTATGAATTCTTATCTTTTATCCAGACCGAGATGAAGGGCTTTTCTGGACCTAGCGTATCTGTCCGTCGTCGATTTCAAGATTTTGCATGGCTTCATCACGTCTTGGGTAGAGATCACCCAGAAGCAATTCTTCCTCCCTTACCCGACAAGCACCGCATGCGTACGTACTATGAAAAATACGAATCATTGTCAGATGGCTCTGTAAAATAAACATGAGCCTTATTATTGGTTCCCTTCCCTACTTGACTATATAATATTGTTTAGGTTATGTTCGTGGTGACCGTTTCAGCCCAGAGTTTGTGGAGAAGCGTAGAGCGAGTCTTGAACGGTTCTTGAAAAAGATTGCTGTCCATCCAACACTCCAGCGTGCAGAGAGTCTTCGTGTATTTCTGGATTCGAAAGACTGGAACTCAGACCTTGCACAGCAAAACAAGAAACGACAGGACGAGGGTCGCTTAGATGCTATCGGAGATGCATTGCTAAATGCATTTTCAAAGATTAAGAAGCCTGATGAGAAGTTTGTGGCTATGCGAGATGAAGTTGACAAATTAGAAGAAAACTTGCAAGGATTGGAAAAACTGGAACAAAGGATTCTAAAACGACATGAGGAGCTTGAAGGAGACTATCGAGAATTCGGAGGCTCGGTAGCCGGTCTTGGTAACTTGGAGACTGGTATCACAGAACCTCTACACCGCTTTGCACACACGGTAGCCAGCTACGCTACCATTTTAAACGAACTGGTTAGTTTATTCTTCCATAAATGCTCATGCCAGCAAGAAATTTTACTTCATTTCTGTCCTAATGGCTTGTACCTTGTGATTGAATGATCTATTAGTCGACACGTGAGGATACTGAGTTTTTAACACAACTTCACGAGTGTCTAGCCTACTGCAACAGCGTCAAGGTAAGTTGGCATGATTGACATCGTACACTCATTTTTTGTATTTACTTAAAAAAAGAGAGGAAAAAGGAGAGCACTTAACCTCTTAATTTGCTGTTGATGTTGATATTAATGTTGATATTGACATATAACAAATAATCTAGAGCGTCCTTAAGCTACGGGATCAAAAACAGCTGGATTTCGAGGAGCTAACAGATTATTTACAGCAGCAGGTGACTGAGCGTGATAGACTTCTAAGCAATGGACGCCTTGGTGGGTCAGCCACTATCGGGGGTTTCTTCCAGCAAAAAATGGATGAAATCAAGGGTGTGGATCAAGAGCGCGCCAAGCAGGAAAAGATCAAGCGTGTTGAGGAGAGGATTAAAGAGGTGGGTATAAATCCTAATATTCGCCGCTCCAAGGCGATTACGGTTTATGAATTCTCTTTCTGCTACTTTAATCTCTGACTCTATTATTATTACTTTTATTATTTTGTCGTTGGTTAGCTGGAAGATGCTGTGGTGAAAAGCAATGACGAATCTGTCCTTTTCTCAAACGAGACGGTCAAAGAGTATGAGATTTTTCAGCTGCAAAAAACAAAAGACATGCGACAGTGTCTACTGGACTATACAGCAGGCAGAGTGGAATTTTTTGAAAAGGGTAAGGAGCTTTGGGACCAAATTATTCCTGTCCTAGAAGCAATCCAAGTGGATGATGACTAAGAGACAAGGCATCTATTATATTATTCAAGACATTGGCTATTGTCCCTAAAGAAATAAAAAAAAAAAAAAAAAAAAAAAAAAAAAGTTTTCTTTTGCTTTGTAGTTTCTATGGCTACAAAGCGCCGCCTTTAGTATTTTTAATAATAAATATCAAACAAATATGCTCCTCACAAACATAAAAAACCACACCCCGATATTCGTCTCTCTAACAAAAGTCGACAGATTAAATAAAAATTCAATTCCCATGTCAATAAATTGGAAATTATCCCAGGCCCATCTTTTTTTTTTTTTTTTTTTTTTTATGCAAAAGGCTATTCTTGTCATGTATTTTGAAGCGATTTGTAATCCGCTGGAAAAAAAAAAAAAAAAAAAAAAAAAAAAGTGAGGTTAAAATGGGCCCTTGGAACAAGGTTTTTACCTTTTTTTCTCTCATAAGCACACATACACATTTTTTGAACCGTCATATCGCATCATGGTCGCTACATATCCACCCACATGCAACAATGCTGACACCTCAGCACAAGCTGTAGTGCTCGATGCTTCTGACAGCACCTTTTCGCTGTTGTATTTTGACAGTATCGGGGTATTGGGGCCAACCCGCAATCTCTTGGCCCTTGGGAAGGCTCAATGGACACAGCTTTACCCCCAAGATTGGGAAAACAGTGACAATCTGGACAAGCATTCTACACCCTTTGAAGTCATGCCCGTCCTCTATGTCCATTCTAAAGATGGAAGCCAAGTAAAGGATCCAAAATCATATTGGGAAAGACGAACAATAATATCTGAACATGGGAAAATACTTAACTTTTTTTTTTTTTTTTTTTTTTTTTTTTTTTGAATAAAAGACTGTAGCTATAGCAGAGAGCAAGACCATTGAGCTATATCTAGCCAAAAAGTTCAATTGTCTGGGCAAAAACTCTTACGAAGAAGCATTGATCAGCGCCTTCACCTCGTCTACAGCCTCCCTTTTGGATGATTTCATGTCGTCCGTTATCAACCTCAAGGCTTCTCCTGAAGTCAAACAAGAGCAGGTCAACCACTTTTTAACTGTCAAGATTCCAAACTGGGTCAGGATCCATGAACAGCACTTGAGAGCCAATCAGTCAAACGGCCATTATGTTGGCGACACGGTAAAAAAGAGGACGGATAGCACCCTTTTCCTAGTATCCTAATATTTTTATCTTTAATATCGGTCTGGATGTTTATTTGATTTTTTTTTTTTTTTTTTTTTTTTTTTGGACTTAAAGATTACATTAGCCGACCTAAGAGCTGCCGCACTGATCGAAGTTATTCAGAGATTCCCACATGCTGCCCAGTGTATCACCCCAGAAACAGCACCTGGTCTTCTCAAAGTTAAAGAGACTATCAATCATCATCCAAAGATCATAGAATGGCGCAATTCTGAGCTCTTTAAGAGCCTACGATCGTCACGTTTGTCTCCTCAACAGCCCAAAGCCTCCGAAGTCAAGTTAAATGACCGTGAAGGGAACAAAACTGGTGGGCTCGCAGCATGAGCTTAAACGCTCAATATATGCTGTATTAAACCACTGCCACAAGAAATAGCTAGCATTTAAACAGCAAAGTAGGCATAGATCTAGAAAGCACCCAAGAATGCGTATAGTTCGCTTTTTTTTTTTTTTTTTTTTTTTTTAAAAAAAAAGATACATGTGCTAAAATAAAAATCATACCATTGCCTCGCCAATACCCTCCATGTCTTCGTACTGGCTTGTGAGGAAGTCCAGCTCCTCGGGATTTGAATGCAGCGCCTGATAAATATGGTATGGTGCTAGTAGCTTATCCGAAACTTTTGTGGTTTTGGTGCCATTAGAACCACCTTCGTTATCAGACTCATGCATTTCATCTAATTCCATCATGATTGACTCTGGTCCTTTCTCTGCTTCGCTCTCGTCACGATAGATGCGAATAGCCTTAGTAAGGATTCGGTTCAAAAAAGCCTTTGTTGCGTGAACTAAGAGGCCTCCAACGACTGCCCTTTGTGACATCGATTCTGGCACATTCATTAAATCAGGGGCATTCAACAGCTTCTCTTGCGCCTGATCGCGATCTCGGAGTCCGTTTCTGGATCCTCCAGATCCGCCATTAAGACCACCATCTAGAAACAGCGTCTTCAATTTGAGTTCATCCATGACAGAAAGAACCCAATCGATTTCAGAGCGTCGACTCTTATATACCTCAATTTTTTGGAATGCATCCGTCAACTGCTGTATTTTCGCCTGCTGTTCTTTTGATGGTGTGTCCGTCGGGCTTAATGATGTTTGTGCCTGCGTAGGCGTTGTTAAGGGCACTTCACTGTCACCAATATCCAAATCCATACCCGAATCCGAGTGCTGTTGCATATCCATCACTATAATGTCGTGCTTAGAAATGGGCCGTCCATGCTGATCGACAATTCCGCAACTCTTGAGCATATCTAGTGTAAATTTGTTCTTGGAGCGCCCAACCAACAATGAAAGTAGCATTCCTTCTTCTTCCTCCACATCCTTGATGGCATAGAAACTAGGGTGATGCGGACAATTAGGGATTCTTTTTCCATTATCTTCGTTCAATAAAACAGACTCAGATATATTTCCTGCCATACCAAGTACTGCATTGCGATGCTGCTCCCAGAGCGATCCACATGCTTTGCAATAAGAAAACGTGGTTTCCTTTGCTCTATGTCTTGTGGATACGTCGCCATTCATAGATGCAGCTCGTACTGTATCGATAGTTGATTCTAACCCATTTGGTGTCGCAGTGTTATTGCCAATGTTGCGCAAGTCGATCGATGACGTGCCTGGATGAGAGAGCGTGTTTTGTAGTTCTCTTTCATCTTCCTCCGCACCATCTGCCATTGCCACTTCTGCAGCTGAATTCAAGATTATATTATTTCGCGAGCCGGATTTGCTGGCACTGCCTTTGGATCGAGATTGGAAGGGCGTTGTAGTTACAAAAGTCGTGTTTCTATCCAGCTCAAGATCAACATGCCTTTCTCTTCCATGTACTTGTCTTCCGCAAAGGGTTGGATCCAACTAAAATCATGAATATAGCAGTAATCATCTCTCTTTAGCCTTGAAACTACTTAGCACTCTATCGAGAAGCTGAACACACATACCAGAAAAAAAATAAAATAAAATAAAATAAAAATAGAAAAAAAAAATAAAAATAAAAATAAAAATAAAAAAATAAAACGTACAGCAAGACGGTGATACACCTCAACTGGTTTGTTCCGAACATCATGGAAGAATAAACGGACTTTGATCTGGGTTTCGCCCCATGCGTAACGACTGAGGTGAAAAGGCGGTTCTGAGACGGTGACTATATGATTTGGCTTATAACTCTCATGAAGATGAAATTCAACTTTGGAGACATAGGCAGTAATATCTTCCGGCTTGGGGGTGCCATCCACATAGATCATCCACTTATATGGGAATTCCCTGAGTCTAGGGTCACGCTTGTCTTCTGGTAGATACTTGGACACATTCCCAATCACAATCCGTCTCTTGACGTAAAATCGTGACCCGACAGTATCCAGCGGCGCAGGGACTCCAGCATGAATAGCATTCGCGCCAAAAGTGATGATAGTTGGCTGAATTTGTTGTGTGTGCAGCGATTGTGGCAGTATTTCTGTATGCGGTCCTAAAATAGATGTAGCTTGAGATGAAGTAGAGGATGGTGTATTTGCAGGAAATCCTGAAATAGGCGTAAAAGATTCTAGATCATTTCGCTCAAACGGATTAACTGTAGGGTCCGTTGCTCTGGGATTTACAGTGGTCGATACCCTATTATCGGTTGTTTTGTAGGATACTGACGTTGCCTGCCGCGAAGATACGTTGGACCGCCCAGAGACGGACGCTGATGAGGGTCCTTGTGACATACTGTCGTATTTTCTCATAGGTCCTTTACCGGCGTGAGGCGGTCGAAGTGTCTCCTCACCACTGTCATTGTTACCTTCCGTATCATCACTATCCGAACCCACCTCTGCTTTCGATCCCGGTGTCCCTTTTTGTGGACGTACAATGCTCAATGCAAGAGACGACCGCCGCCTCTTTCCAGTATGTAATTCGGATTCACCTGCAGAGGCCACATCAGAAGTATCAGATTCGCTTTCCGTTCCAGTATTTGAGGAATTGACTGACGCATCGCTGTTTTTCCGTGGCGGTTGAGACAGTGGTCCGCGGCTACTCTCACTTGCGCGATCATCATCCATTTCCAGTTCCACGTCTTCGTCATATGTTTTAATTGTCGGCTATTGATCCGTTCATAAAATGCTTCAAGTTAATTATTAACTGTATAACATTGATACAGCGTCATATGCTTATTGATGTTCAAAGTCCATACCTTTGGAAAGTCACCCTGTCCTTGTGCGTCGCTAAGATAATTAAAGTGAACCAACAAAGTATCAGTCTGCGTCCTTCGATGTTTCGATTCAATGTCGATACGCAAAAATGACTTGCCTTGATCCCAAAGAACTAAACACGACTTTAGTGCGGCAGGGATGGTCAGAAGGCACTTCGCTTGATGGCTTTTGTTATGTCGACAAATGGGATATGGTTGGCATGTATCATTTAATTTCCTTAATTACATCTTTTTCCAAACTGTAGAAAAAAAAAAAAAAAAAAAAAAAAAGCTTCCAATAATTTACTTACCACCACAATGCCACAAAATCGTACACCTTCAACTGTGTTTTTGAAGACAATTTTATGAGAGAGACGCATATGGTTGATGAGCCCCTGTATACTTCCAAAGTCGTATCGGTCACATTTTGGACAGCCTAGTCTATTATTTTTGATCAATTTCAAAGTTCAGTGATATTAAAATAGATCCCTTCCTTGTTAATAACGATCATTGTTATAGAGGTGGGGTAATTGTCATACTTAACAAACTGTCCATCCGCGCGGACAGCGTAAAGAGCCTCCGGTTGTCGCACGGTTTGTCCCTGATAAGCCGTCGTTCGCCTGCTCAGTCGGGCACTGGTATATTGCTGTGGATTTTGGCTTCCTGAGGTACGTGAGATTGTTGAGTTACCGTAGGGTGATCCCTGACGTTCTGTGTCGATTTAAAATGAGCAAAAGAAAAGAGCTATCAGCCATTCGTTTTTTGCCAGTCGAGTGTACATTTGATATTGTCAATGATCGGTCGAAAATAAATACATAATAAAAGCACTGAGTTTTCATTCGATAAAGCTCAACTTTACCGCTCAAAATAGCGTGCCGGAGATCTTCTAGCATACGCTCTGCTTTGAGGAGTTCTTGTGTTATAGTTGCTCTCTCTGCATGACGCAAAAGAATCTCAAGGTCAAATTGGTGATCAATGATGTTCACAATTTTTTGACGAGTGAGTTCTGTTTGCACATCTGGTTGTTTTGTACTTTGTCCAGAAAATGTTGGTTTTGACCCAATAGTAGCATCGGATTCAGACATGTCAGTCGGCATTCCTTTTATTGAGGAAGCTATTGTTGCCACTGTGGGAATTGATTGAAGTGCGTCAGGGCCATTCATAGTCGCCTCAGTGATGTCATTAATGCTATATGTTGGTGGCAATATAGTATGACGATCTGTTTGAAGGAAAGCATGGTTTGTAGTAGAGAATGTGCCCATATCACGTGATATTTGGAAAGTTTAAATAGAGAACGGACAATGTTTCATATTTACTGAATCATGTGCTACAATAAGGGACCAAGCGTGAAGTCAAAGACAAAAAGCAGAAATAATACTCAACATGGTTGAGCTATTCAGTTTCTATAGCATTATGGTGATTGAGAAAAGCTTTTTCGGCCGGAACCTTCCAATCTTTATCCTAATCAACGGCTTCTGGGCCCTTTGAGACACTTGGAGCGCGCTTCAGTTCCGTTGCGGAATTGAGTGATGCCCCTGTCGAGTGTGATGATACTAACTTGCTCTAGATGCACTAAATATCCTGCTCGAATATAAAGATTGAAGTGTCGAATTCTCTCGCAAGATGGATTCTATACTGCAACTAAGGCTTCTGTAAGGCTCGTCGTCATGTTGTAAGCGTGCTGGGCAAGCCTGATATGACCCCAATTTCTTCTATAGTTAGCTCTAGCTGGCTTCATCTGTCAGCAGCATGATGACAAATTTGTTTTTATGTTTCGCATGATCAACTTCTTCATAAATCCTTGTTACAATACAAATATGTCTATGATATGCTTAAGTTAAGTACTCCGTAATTGTTGTTTGAGTTGTTGGTGGTGACTGTTGCCGTGCTGTAAACACCAAGATCAATCCTGACTGCTATATATTGGTTCTGATCCGGGATCCATATTCAACAGGGTTCTTGCTAGCCAGCATAGTCTCATTCTCTTGAGCTTGTAGTAAATAGCAATGAGGACAGAATGACTAGGGGGCTTCTTTATGAGAGGATGACAAAACTTTCAGTTCATACCTGTTCGCGCAGAAAATACTTGTCAGAACGTACTTCATCCTCATGTTGCCTTCATCAGTCAACTTCCTTTGCTGCGATGACTTTTCTACGGATCCATCCATGAGTTCACGCAATTGGGCTTGACGGACTTGTTACTTGCTGTCTCGCTCAAAGGCTGTTTCTGTGGGCCATAAGTTAGGAATGGTCGACCTCGAGGCCCTTGCGTATAAAGGTAAAGAGTATGCTTGGTGTATAGAAGCTCGTTCTCAGAGAACAAATAGCATGTCAGTTCATAAGGGCGTTAAGCTACATGTTCCCTTGCCGCATTAAGATCGGACAAAAAGGACTTGTGAGGGAGTATTGGAGATCTCTGTCTTCGTAGGCGTAAAGCAACCTGATTAGATTCAACTCCCTTAAGGCGAAGAAGAAGCTATCTTTGAACAGAGAGAGTTAAATGTCCAGAACAGAGACACTTGGTGTCTTCGATTTTCTTTCTGCATCTCGAGGTAATAAAAAGTCCTTCGTGCATTCAAAACACGACGTCTATGTCTGCGCGCAACGAATCATTCGTCGAGACCGTTAGTCTTTACTCTCTGACACTTTACCTCTTTAGCTGTACAATTCTTTTTTATTAATTTTTATTTTATTTTTAATATGTTTGTTGCCTGCCGCTTTCCTTTTTTTTTTTTTTTTTTTTTTTTTTTTTTTGAGTGCTTAATGTGTTCATCCAAGACGAAGTTGCTGCCTAACGAGCCTCGAATTGAACCACTATATGATGAAATAGAGGTTGCATTTGAAGTAGAACAGCACGATTAGTCTCACATGAACATTAATCAAATACATGAATATGTCTCTCTGACAACAGCGGATCACATGGTGCTAGAATTAGAAAAAGAAGGATTTTATCCAGTCTTGCTATGTATCTGTTATATATGATGCCATTTGAGAACGAAAACAACAGCGCTGCTCGTCGGGGGAATCGAGACGTAGAGAAAAGATAGGACAAAACAAATAAAACAAACGAAAACGTACTTCGTTTGGTGCGCCTTTTATACATTATACGGTAACCACATTCTTTGCAACGAATGGGTTCCTTAGGCTTAATTTCGTTTTCGGATCCGCACTCAGCACAGATGTATGTCATGGCGGCAGCAGGAGGTTTAGGAGCCGAGGATTGTCCAGCGTTGTAATTCATCTTTGCTTAATGCGAATCGTAGACAAAGAAGGAAAGAGCTGTAACATTTCTTTTGGTGTTTATGTTTGAAAACTAACGATGAAGTTCTTTTTGTGGAAAAGAAATAGTCACAGTATTTTATTCAAGCGTATCATGTGACCTAATATTAAATGGATACTCGACAATCTTAGAACTCATTGGCATAAATGCTACCATGTGTTTGGGTAGATATCATTTCATTTACTGTTCTCTGAAGAACGTTCCAGTCCTCGGCATGTGGTGTCGCCATCTATATGAGGGATTTACCAAAACAGTTAATCAATGCTATCCACAACATTCAAAGCATATCCCATGTCGATACGAGACATACTACGTTACCTCTCCAATATCATAAACATAAACATGGCCATCACTTGAACCAATGGCTGCATGACGACCATCCTTGCTCCAGCTCATTTTGTTCAGTGCCTTTCCTGCTCCCACAACTGTACTCATGACTGGTACCTCTGTATCCATGTTTAAGTTCCAGACGTCAAACTTGCCGGTCCCTTCCACTGTACCAAAGATAGCAGGGTGTGTAGGCGACCACTTCACATCATATACGTAATCATCTGCAGTCTCAAACGAGTACAGAGGATGCACAACAGAATTATCAGCCGTGGTTGTTTTAGCATGAGTTCGCTTGCGCCACAGCTTGACAGTCCAATCTACAGAGCATGTTAAGTATAGATCCGAGAAGTCCACAGGTCCGAACAAAGGATGGAAATGAAGACCAGTGACTGGGCCAAAGTGTCCCTTGTAGGAATAGGTTGCGTTGATTCCAGCTTGGCTATACGTGGGGAAAATAAGATGTTATATGGTGTCCCTTCATAAATACATCACCTAGATCTCGATGTAACCTAAAACTAATGATGATATTATACAAACCTTCCTGCACGGGCGTATCGATTTGCCTGATATATTGCGCCTTCTTCGGTACCTACCCAGAAAGCATTTGTCTCACCATCTGGGAAGCCGAGAGTGGTGACTGCAACCTCGTCTGTGATGTGATGAGCAGGATAGTCGAGCGAGATGGTCTCCTGTGGTTGTGCCAGCATATCCAACTGCCATGAGCACATGGTGCCATCTGTACTCACACTAATTAGATTATGTGCATTCTGCGTACCAACCATATCCATAGCATAAACAGGGTGTGTATGACCGCCCACAGAAAGATGGGTTTTGAGGATAGGCAGCGACTTGGCGCGTGTATCCCAAAGTAAGATTTGTCCGGAATAAGTGCCTCCGATAATCAAGTTCGGGTGAAAGTCAGAAAATCGAACCGTGAGAACATCTGACTGAGAGTGGAAGACAAATTCGGGTCGATCATCCAAGTGAACGTTCCAAACACAGACAATACCATCGGGCTCGTTGACAGCCAAAGGGTTCTTATTATATGAGGATACGATCAGCTCTGGATGCTATCAAACCAGCCGGGAAAAAAAGGATGTCAGTTACTGAAGTAAACATGCAGAAAGTATATATCCTAATACCAAGCATTAGACACTACCTTGGTAGACCAACCGACATCAGTAACAGACCTGTTCTTGGACCATTTATCGTCATGGAAGGAGCAGACAAGTCGCATCCTATTTCCGTTGAGATCCTCTCTGAACACCACAATAAAAAATAAAAATAAAAAAAAAGGTAAATTCTCAGTCCGGACGAAAGTATTGGATATAAACTTTTTTTTTTTTTTTTTTTTTTTTAATCCCTTACGCTTCGTCATCGAGTCCCAAAGTGTAATCCTTCATAAAATCGTATTTCTCACTCATAGCTCGCTCGAGAATCTTAGAGGAGTGATCGACAAATTCAATGAACTCAGTTGACTGTAATATGGTTTTACGCTCTTCATCAGTAAGCTCTATTATAGTCAATGGATGCATTATGTCCTTCGATTAGTGTAGGCTCCTGCGAACTACTGGCATTCTATAATTACATCCGCAGCATATAAACATACCTGGAATCTCCTTGGGAGCAGTCTCTTCTTTAGCCAGACGCTCCGCCTCCAGTTTTTCTAAGCGCAGCTGCTCCTCCCGCGCAAACTCCTCTTTGATTTGCTCCCTGATCTCCTCCTCAGATGGCCCCTGCGCTTCGAATGAGCCTTCAACAGTCTGAACTTCCTTGTTGTAGACGACACGCTCCTAGCAGAAGGTATTACAAGATTTGTCAAAAATATTGAAAAAAAAAAAAAAAAAAAAAAAAAAAATCTAATAATTATTAACAACAGCAGCACTTCATCTACCTTTGATGGAATATCGAAGATAACAGTCTCGACAGAAGTAAACTGAGGTATGAGACGAGGCAATGCTTGTGGCAATGGTTGAGAAGCACTATAAAAAAGTTGTTTTGAATTTAAATATTAATCAACTTTTTCTTCAACAGCTAAAGTGCCTGATAATGCACTAAAGGGACAATTCGTGAAATCTAAACAGCCTTTCATTTTTCACAGCGACAACAAACCTTGAACTGAAAGGAGGAGAGGATATGACAGTCGTAGTGGTACTAGTACCCTTGTCTGACCCAGCATCTGAGCCTCCGTCAATAGTCGTTGTAGGAGTTGAAGGTCTATCTATGAGAGAAGAAACAAAGTCCTCGAGCTCACGACGAGTGCTAGGAGCTCCACCACTAGTAAGCTGACCAAAAAAAAGATGAAATCATCTATAGGTGTTAAGATTATAGTCCGGATGTTGTCCAAGTGGTGATGGTGGATGTAGTCAAAGCAGGTTCGCAAACAAAGGCTGAACTACTGCAAACCCAACACATACTGACTCTTTTTGCTGAGCGACTAACAATGCTCCTTTGCGCTCATCGCGTGCCCTTCTAAGCTCCGCCAGCTTCTGCCTCTTCCTTTCCAATTCTTCACGACGTCGCTCCATCTAGGCTGAATGTTTCTTAGGGATGGCCTAGGACTTTTTTACGATGATATCGGATAAGGTAAATGAATTTTAATTTGTGGATGTCGTTGACTGCGGCGATCGGAGCAATATAAACGTGAGAAGGGGGAGTATAAAGATGTGGATACGTCCGAGTTGCAGTTGATGAGTTGCAGAATGTGAAAAGGTTAAAATGAGGAGTTGGGGTGATAAAGGAGTACGACCCAAAAAAAAAAAAAAAAAAAAAGAATAAGGGCTTGATCCCGAAGTCACGCTGTCCTTGCACATGCTTTCGCGTGATATAAAATTATTAGTCTTAATTAAGATACACTTTTTATTTCATATGCATTACTGGGCATGAGTGCTAGTGCTAGTTCTGGTATTGGTGCTATTGGCCTTCGCGACAGGCGATGATCTCCTTGATATTGGTAATGATGGAGCTGAGGGCGTATACTGTGTCATGTTAGAAGCAGCATTACTGGAAGCATATGCAAGGATCCACTACATTGTGTCACATACCCAAGAACCTGGTTAATTCAGACTTCTATGGCATTTTTTGACATCATTTTATAAAATATAGCTTACTTTGGTATTGGTGAGTGTATATTTCAAGGCACGGGTCCATGTCTCGCCCTGACTGAACTGAAGCTTGATGGAAGCATCGCCAATACGGTCCTTGTTAATCCTTGTTAAGTATTCATTAGAAACAATATCGGTCAAACAACTGAATGAAACCCCATCCAATATCATGTCAAGTACACACCCATACTGGAGACATACTTATAGGGGAGCTCTAGCTTCGGACCCTGCTGCTCCGCATAGTCTCCAAGTTGCTGTAGACAGTTCAGAAATGCCACCATTGCATTATCGAATCTTCTATTCAGGAACACCCGTCCTATTGCAAACTCTCCTGATCCATAAAGCTCGTAGCTTGCACGATCACCCTCAATCTTATCTATACGAGAAAATGATCCCAATGGCACAAGTCGATAGGTTTTGAAAGTAAAGTTGAGCTTGTTGGCAATCGTATGGAGCATCAGTAGAGTTTGCCCCCAAGCAGCATTAATTTCGGGCCAGTCTACGGGCTGTGTTGGTAATCTTCCCAGTCTAAATCCGTTAATTGTGGCGAACTGTCCATCGTAACCTATACAAAATGTGTCATTATAGACATTCGTCTTATGCAACTTTTCAAGCTGCCTTGCATCATAGTCGTACTTGAGATTAACACTGTCTCTTTCATTATGGAATGACTGGAGCGCAAGTTGGAGATCATTGCACTCTTGCCAATATCTATTACATAAATAAAGTCATTTGCCCAATTCTTAGCCTTACATGTAAAAAAAAAAAAAAAAAAAAAAAAGGCTAAATCCCACATACCTTTCTTCCTCCTTATCTAAAGCCAATGACTCCTGCTCCAACATAGCAATTTCATCGCGCACAGCCCTTTGCTGATCCTCAATATCACGTAGAGCCTGAATAGAGGCACTCTCATCCAATTGAATCTGCTTGATTTCATTTTCAAGTGCCTCCATTTCTCCGTCACTTGCCACGTTCGAATTGACAGTACGCAAGAAATCGATATAGCAATCGCGTTCTCGTGAGATATCTTGGAGCTGTTTCGCTAGTGAGTCTAGCAACATCTCTGTACACTCATTACACAAGGGATGGTCGATATCCGACTTTGCAGACATCAAATCAAAAAGCTTCCCTGTCGTGCGCAGTCGGTTGGCCTTACTTGCCCTGTCTGTCGTAGACAAAATTTCGAGCCCGTCGTTCGCTCCGTTGTTAGATGATTTAATTCGACTATTAGGCCCTCCTATGCTTGAGCTATAACCCTCATTCAACAACGAGTCATAGGCACCGCTCACATTACTGCCAGTATGCAATTTAATCCCTTGGCCGCCCACTGAAGAGTTAATAGATCCTCTGGAGTTATATGGTTGGTGGTTGAGATGCTGAAGATGAGACAAATCAGATGAGCTCCCTTTTGAAAGCATGATAAAAGATTCGGCTGCATCCACAGACTGGTGAGATAAGGATGAGTCCTGGTTGCTGATCCTAGTGCTGGAAGGATGGACATTTGGTGGGATTGTACGAGTGAACATTGCTGAAGTCTCTCCCGAAGAGCCTCCCAGTTTCCGTTGCGTACCAGGAATAGTCTGTCGATCACCTGCCACAATAGAGCTATGTCCATGTTGGTCCGACAAGGGGCCTGAGCTTCCACGCAATATTCAATGCACTCGATTAGCTCTTGTGAACATAGAACAGATGCAAAACAATGCTCAGATACATATAGTAGTTCCTGCGTTACCGAGCAGCAAGTCAAAAGCGGCTGAGTTAATGTCCTGCAGCGATTCATCAATTGTCAGTTGCTGGTTGCATTTTTGGCATACAAAGAGTCGAGCAGACGACGTAGACATGATGATAAAGATAATAATTAACAAACTTTAATTCCTGAATTCTGTCAGAAATGTAGCGATGAGAAATAAAGACGAGAATGATGGGGGAAAGAACATGCATTGATCGTGGTTCAAACTTTTTTTTGTTCATTTGGCACCTGACTAATTTCTAGATGTCGTCAAATGTGTTTTTATTTAGAAATCATATTGTACAGGTATAGGTTATGACCAAGTTGAAAGATGGCCAAAAAAGGGTTGTCTTAATAGTAATCAGCTTTTTGAAAAGGCATGAATATAAACTTTAGAACTTGAACTCTTCAAATGCAGATCCGGCGAGGGCTGCTTGAATTTCGGCAGCATTCTGGGAATTGGGGAGCGCTGGGAAGCCATCTGCAGATACCTGGTTTGGTGCTGATGCAGAAGAGACATTAGCGACTCCAGAAACTCCGGTGGTAGATACGGCTCCGGCGTTGGCATTGTTGTTATTGTTATTGCTGCCACCTTTGTTAATGATTTCAACATAGTTGCTAGGGAATAAGCCCATCTCACCATTTCGAAGACGTCCGCGCCACCAAAGAGACTCCTGACCCATAGGATCCTGTCGGCTCAAAATAGCGATAATGTCACCACGTCGGAAGCCCAACTCTTGTTGTGGATTTGAGGGTGTGAAATCATACAACGCACGGGCAAAATCCAAACTCTGGGGGTTGACTGCTGCTGAGGTTGAAGTGAAAGCTTGTCCTTCTTGACCAGGTAGCATGCCCTGCTGCTGCTGTGGCTGTGGGCTCCTATTGGAAAGGGCACGAATCAGGCGGCCCATAAGATATGGCAAACCAAAAACGGCGAGCAAGAAAATGATAATCGGCCTCTTGGAATATCTTGGTTGAGCTTGGAACTCCTGAAAATTGCCCGCTGTCAATTCTTGAGTGTTGACTGGCTGCTTCTTACCGACAAGACGATACGCGAGACTCTTAGCCCATCGAAGAAGAGCAAAAATGCTCAAGACCTGTCCCAAATATCCACGCAGATGACCAAATTGCTCGGCCACACCTACCATGGCCATAAATGACGAATGCGTCGCCATAAATGTTGACTCGAGCATTTGAGCAAATCCTCCAAACGCACCCACAACAGATTCAATCAATTGGAACGTCGGGGCAGTTCCTTGCTCCATGCGCTGCATGAGCGTCATCTCTTCTGGCCCCATAGGGCCATTCATACCATTCATACCATTCATACCGTTCATTCCCATGTTCATCCTGTTCATGCCATAGCCATAGCTTGAGCCATATCCACCATAGGACGAGCCGTATCCTCCAAGCGATGAGCCATACATGCCACTACCGTACCGCGAATAGGGCGAGGAGTATGAAGAACCATAGTTAGAGCCATACCCCATGCCCATTCTGTTATAGGGCGAGGAATAGCTTGAACCATAACTTGAGCCGTAGCCGGTCATTCCATAGCCAGTAGTTGCGTAACCAGTGCCGTAGTTGTTCATGCCTTAAAAAATTGAGCAGCAGTCAAAAAAAGAAGAGGCAAGTAATGAGAAGAGAGATGAGAAGAAGAGAGAAGAATTAGAGAATTGTGAGATATGATAGGTAAGAAGGAGGTAGAAACAAGAGCAAGATTAAGAAAAGTTGAGAATGAAAGTGAAAACAAGTAGGCAAAGCGATCAGTCTGGAAAAAAGTGGATATTCTGTGGGTGACTTCGGCTCCGGCTCAGATAATTCGCCGCAACAAAAAAAAAAAATTACAAAACCGCACTAGTGTAAAGTGGCAGTCAGTCAAGTAGACATGCCCCATTCACACTAACACAAAACTGGTCGTCATCAAATGACCAATGAAAGGTTTTCATTCCAATTTGTTACTAGTGCAAATCAAATCATTTATAAAAGCTGAATGACAACTGTCAAGCCTGCATTATGGACTCGGACAATACCTGGTCTATATCCTGAAGTAGCCCCCATGGCGGTAGTGGTAGTTGGATTGCGGGCAGGCAAGGCTGGTGGACCGGAATCAAGAGAGGTAGTCGATGTAGTTGTAGCGGGAACTGAGGACGAGGCAGGCAGCGAAGGCAAGGGGGCGGAGGCTGCAGCAGGATTCGCCTGTCTAGCTCTTTCCCATGGTTTTTCTGGCATTGTCAGTAAAGGATTAGCACGCAGGTGGAAGAGAGTGAATAGAGAAGATATAGGTGCGTTTGATTATTGAAAGAGTGTGAACAGGTATGAAGTATGAACAAGTGTAAAAGAATGGGGTGGGAGTGAGGTGGGAATGGAATTAGGGCTTAGAAAAAGAAAATGAGGGGGTGTTTAAAAGTATAAACGAGTTCTCTTTGATCAGGCAGAGGTGATGGTGATGGTGATGGAAATAAGGAGAGGGAGAGAGGAGCTTGAAAGAAAGAAAATAAAAAATCTGCTGTTCAGATATTGCAGCATCAGACCTTGACTCTGTTTGACGGAATTTCGTCGGGGAAGTATGGAGTGGCCGATTGGGTATCTTTCACATGGGAGAAAATCTCTCACATGACATGTCAGAAACATTTCCAGACTAGGATCGTTCCAAATTCAGTAATAAATCCTGTTAGTGATACAACCTGCATTTTGCTTCTTGATAGATAGCACCGACCTCAATACCATGCCCTAGACTTGTTTATCCTCGTTTCATTTGTTAATGAGTTTATTTTACCAGAGCCTAAAAAGTCATTGAAGCTTCAACGTTGGCCGCGTATTTCGGATTCTGCAATAATATCTTGAAGTTCTCCGTCAATAACAAATGCATGAGGATTCCTCATGTCTATGATGCCCCAAGGTGATGGTGGCAATAATGCAACTAAGTATTGAACCACAAAAATAAAAGAGAAAACTAAATTAGAGATGGAAATTTCGTTGGTTGTGGCAATAAAGAGAATGCGTGCTTTCAAGAAGAAGCGCATGCAATATAGAAACGAGCAGCCGCAAAGCGACACGCTCTGTTCTTTTACGGCTACCCTCGGCTCTTCTTCTCTCCGGGGAATCCGCCTGATGAAAGAGATGAGCATCCAAAGCCTTTGTGGACCAAATCAAAAGGTTTTATGGGATCTCTATATGATTGGCGATACCAATAAAGTGCAACTGGCCGCTATGGAGCGACAAACATCAGACAACCCTGTATGCCAATAAAGAAAAGCTGATATCTGGACTGTACAAACGTCTAGGAGGAATCTCATTGTTACCAGCGGGACGCTTTGTAATTATTGAATGGCCATCTCATCTAACGGCGACACGTCTACTTGTTGAAGGATATCGAGCAGCGGCGACTATTCTATATTGCAAGTAATCAACCCTTACCGCCTTAAATCTTTCTTCGCGCGCCCACCCTCGCTACAGCCCCATCAAGTGGCTACTCTTCCAGCGTCAAGGACTGAGTAAGAAGACGAAAGTTCTCCACAATCCATCGGTCCAATTTCAAACGATCTTTCAACAATATAAGCAATGTCATCGCAGTAAGATGAACAGCAGACAATGCAGAAATATGCCGCAAACGCCCGATAAAGTGCTTGTAATATATATATATATATACTGGTATATCATCGCAACTGTTGTCATGCGTTCGTAAGTACACGTTTAAGCACATCCACTGAACATTAAGTTTCAATCTTTCATATCACCCCATACAATGAAAGGGATCTTTTAATCTTATTGTTACTGTGGCTCGCCTGTGCCTTAGACCTGTGTCGACTGAGGCCTTGCCACAGAAGTGTATCATAAGCGCCTGTATATCTTGAAGACATAACCGTTGAGTCTTCCCAGACAAATGTTAAGAGGCCAGTGCTACACTCTACAACCTCACAGTCGTACTTGGTACCAATACGGAGACCATTTCTACCAGACTGAGGTGTTAGATATGTATCCACGCATACGATGTCATTACAGATTTGACTAACTTGCGGACTACGTTCATATTGAGCTTCATGGCTATACAAACAACACAGAATAGGACAAAGCGCGCCTTGACGGCATGATGGCTCTATTCCTCCACAGCAGCGCTACCAGTCTTGGCTAATACCCTGTACAGTAGTGACAAACTATCTATAGCACTGATCGCCAAGCAATTGTTTTGGTTTAACAGTACCTATTTAATAAGCTTAATATGGCGTCAGTAGCAAAAGGAGCTGTTCATCCAGCGCGTCCTATATCCAGTCGAAAATATCGATCAGCATAGAGGATAACATACCAAACTGCCCTTACAGAGTTTGACGTCTACAACAAAGACTAGTAGAGGGAAGGATCTGTACCAACAATCTGATATTAGATCTGTACCAACAATCTGATATTAGATCTTTTGTTTAATGCGTTCCAACTGTTCATCGTAGAGCTCAAGTGACGGCAACTAGAGATGACAGCGACGGAGACGAAGATCATAAAAAGGATGTTAAGATTGTCGAAGAGGACGGCGACGGAAGGGCTCATTTAGCTTTGGTGGCACGTTCCTCAACGAAGACGAAACAAGAGTATCACCACCCATCACGAGGGTCATATCGCAACGGTTTATGTGCCAGTGGAGCACACGCTCACAGGTCCTTCGAGGATAACTCAATGCTGTGCCGACTTCTGTGTACCTTCGCCTCCAGATTAAGGTATAGAGCAATCTCTAATATAAAGTGCTATTGTTTCGGAGACACGCATGACAATATCGAACGACAGGGCTCAATGGTGTTTCTAAACTTGGGATATAGTTTAGAACTGTCTGCCAACAATAGTTGCTTTGGTGTTGAGCTTGACCCAGCTGAAAGGAACACTATGGCAGTCATATTGATTGATCTAATCCCCTTAATCACACAGTAGAGTAAATGTTCAGCGTCCCAACCAAGAGTAAAGCTTTTATTTACTCTACGAGTCAGGATCATTGGAGCTTATTATTTTGTAATGCTGCCGAACTGGTCCAAGTGGGTTTGGCTTGACTTAGGAATCAGCAGTGATGCTTCATTCAAACATTGATTGCTATTTGATAGTTTTTTTAAGCGGATGAAAGTCAAAGGAACACTTAGTCATACTCACAGCTCACTTGTAAGAAAAAAAGACTTTTTTTTTTTTTTTTTTTTTTTTTTTTCGTTGTTAAATAATTATAACCCACTCTAGCAATTGTTATTAATATGTCAATTATCGAGTTCATCGTGTCGTACTTTGCTTTGTGCTTTCCGAGCCCATGTCCCTTTTATATAAATCCAAAATATATGCTGTTATCCTTACTTTTTTTTTACTATGCTCTACTCGGCTCTGCTTTTGTTCTATTTTCTATTTATTATTGTTTCCTCTTCGAGCGTCTCTTGAAGGCTGCAGACATCTTATTAAACACATTTGGTTCTCATCGCCCCCACTGAACACATTAACGCATCGACCACACATTTCTCTTTTAGTAAAGGAGAGGATCACAATTATTTTTCCTTCTTCCTTTTCTCTTGGCCATTACCATCTTTACTTCATCCTATCTCATTACAGTCCCCCTAGTGCTATTCTATCTTCATCTGTAATTTGTCTTTTATATTACATCCACAGAAGCTCTAAGCTCAATCATTCTCCAATTTGCCTTCTAAGGCGCCGTCCGACTTCCATCCCTGTCCTAGCCTCCGATACATGCGAGTAGGCCATTCAACTTTGTTTGAATTTTGGTATGTTTCCAGAATTTGCTTGCTATCACACGCACACATTCTTCGATAGCTGCCTTTTTTTTTTTTTTTTTTTCTTAATGTCATGAGCCAAGTCCTGGCAGTGGATTTCATTGATATTGTTATTAGTCAAAAGATGGGTTTGGGCACTCTCATTTTTGGATATTGTTGCTAATATCTTCCTTCCAATGGAAAAGCCATCACACTTTCCATAATGGAGCTTTTTCTTATTGCCATGTAAGACTGTAAACACGGGGTCTATTCATAATCAGTGTTTCCTCCTTGAAATATTGAAACGAGTACCAATGTGGCTCAAAATTATAGCTATAACCCTCTTTTTTTTATTTATTTTGTTCCGCGTACTTTTGTCATAGTATGCATGTTTGGACTCTCCTCCCTAAATCGGTTGTGAAATGCAATGCAATGTTTATACAGTTTTACGTTGCTGTCTGTTTTTCCTATTTATGACTTTTTGGTAGCTGAGCTTAAAAAAGTCTGGCTCTTTGGGTAAACAAAAGCTCAAGTATCCTGAAGCATATTTTCCTGGATCTATTAGTTGGTCCATGGTTTCCACCCTTTTTTTACAAACTACCCTCTCCTTTAGCCCTCTTGTCCTTTTATCCTTTTTGCAAAACTCACATGCTAACTCATTTATTCATTCCTTCATTCCTTCATTCCTTCATTCCTTCATTCCTTCATTCCTTCATTCCTTCATTCATCGTTTCCCTCTCATTTCCTTCTCATCTTCTATTCTGCAAAGCACTTTCTAATTTGGTGCAGACGAAACCTTAAAATAAAGGGTCTCAAAGAGTGTGTAACACAACACAACAACAGTCCAAAGATGATGGTCGTATTGTGAACCCTGAAGACAGCTTTGTGTTTATTACACTCCTTATTTTTATGCTTGCAGCTCGCTCACATCACAACTGTTGCCTTATTCTATGCTCTTCTACTCTAAATACTCACTTTTGTATATTTATCTTTGCCTCTTCTCCATATGCATTCACTCTCGCGCTTACCTTTTGTCGTATTCAATCTTCGCAGACAACAGTCAGGACATAACCACAGTATATAGTAATTAGCGGCAACATTACCCCCTCCTCCTTGTCACAACCCTTATCACATCTTTCTAAAAAAAAAAAAAAAAAAAAATCATGGATATCTCACGCAAATGCTATTGTAGTCTTCACACCGAGAGCAGTAATACCAGTGTTGATGACATGGACCATGCCTCGGCAACTGTTGCATCTTCGGCCGCTTCGCTGTGCGCTAAACTACTTCTGAGTCAGGACCGGAATAATATCGGGTTTTTTCCGCCTCTATCAGGGGCCCATCCTCACCAAAGACGTGTTCAAGGAGACAATATCGATGTAGTATTCCAAGAGACGCGATCTGTGGCAGAGACAGATGAGAGTCCTTCACGAGGCACATTTATGGCGATGAACGTCGATATGTATGGTAACCAGCACTACGAGGCAGAGGGCTCTGTTGTGCTCGCTGTATGCAGCTCCATATTAGAAAGCTGCTCGCTCCAGGCAACTCCCGAGGTACATTCCTCCATTCAATATGACTTTCCCCTTTCCTCCGCCATATCTACCAACTGTATAAACAACGTGTTACTATCATCTCTTCCTTCCTCTTCCTCTCCAAAATACACTGTACAACATCACAACCATAATCACTATTATCAAAAACACCTTCACCAACAATCACATCCACAGCATCCATACCTAGACGATTCCATGTCACTACACCAGACCTCTACCAGCTTAACCACTATCCCTCTAGCGGTCGAGCCCACACTTCTCACGTCCTTGCCCACATGCGTCCGTGCACACATGGGCCGGGACGGGGATATACTTCCGCCTAGTGATAGCGAATCCTCAGAAGTTCAGCTGGAGACCTTTGCGGAAGGTGAATTATTGGAAGCGAAGGTATCAAATAATAAACGCTGGAATTCCATATCCTCACACCATTATTCTACAACACACCTCTGTGGAACTGGCGCTCGCTGCTCCTCTTCAACTTTATTTGATGAAGCTCGCCCATTGTCAGGATATGGCTCATGGCCCAAGCCCGAAGGCTCTGACAGTCAGAAGCCCAATCTTGTCCTCACCCGTCCCATTTCAACGTTTGAGCCGCAACAAAATCAAATCTTCAATTCGTCCATGACAAGACAGAGTCTTGCTATTGACGATTTGAAGTTTCAAAAACACTACAAGAATCACCAGAGCCAAGATCATGATGATTCTGCCCTCAGCTCTACTGACCAAACCCAGACCGCAGGAGATAGCTTCATTACCAACTTGTATACCAATATTTCTGCGTGGGATTCAACAACACAGCTGAAAGTACAGGCCTCGAGGCCTGTGCAATCTACTCCACGAAGCAAAGATTGCCAAAGCTTTAAAGATTCACTGCCTTTTGCCATGTCTACTGCGCCCTTGACTCCGACACCCGTAGATTTGGACAAGTCAGCCAAGAATTTAATGATCTTTAATCAAATCCCACGTCAATGGCCATCCTCACAAGAAACGTTGCGCCTTAACATTGTGGCTAAGGCAAACAAGAAGTTTCCAGTAGGTCCTTTTTTTTTTTTTTTTTTTTTTTTTTTCATTCACCCAAGATCCTGCAAGTTTCCTCTGACGAGTTTAGGCAAGGCTTAAGAGTAGCAATTTGAGAGCAAGATATAGAAGCTGAAGAGGGGAGAACAGGGGAAAGACCAAAGAGCATTGATTCATGTTTAACCCACAAATAGTATTTTACCACATGATATGAATGGAGAGGATCTATCCATTCTCTGTTTTTGATTATCGATACTGGAGGAAAAGGGAAATGAATCCTAGTGATGCTATTCCAGTAATAGAACGTCTATTAGTATCAGTCCATTTAGTCTTTCTCAGTCTGTTTTATTTCTGAGATGAAGAGAAAAAGCCCCTCGTGCTCATTATGCCCTCTCCCCTTGACTAAATACCTTTTGCCTCACTGGTGTTCGATGCGGGTTGCATGATAAGGAGACTAATTTGTTATGTCTTCCCCTGATACAATCTTTATTTTTATTTTTATTTTTTTATCTTTACGGTTGCCAGGTTATCAGGAATCTTGATCCATCTACTGCAGAACGGATTGACCGCATTATCAGCAAAGAACGGCCACTGAGCAAAGCTGCAAAGGAGAGGGCAAGTATTTTATTTATATTCCTGACACACATTTCTCTCATCTTTATCATTTCTTTTTATTCATATCACGATCAATACCTAATCTCGTCTTGCATGGTTTTTTGATTATGTATCGTACAACAGCTTGTAGTGGAGCGGAAAGAGGCCGAAGCTGAGGCACGGGGCTTTTTTGATCCAGCACGCCGGTGGAAGGGTCGAGATGTATATCCTCGACCCTCAAACTGGGTCTATTGTCGTCGAGTAAGCCTTTTTTTTTTTTTTTTTTTTTTTTTTTGATGTTTTTTATTCTTGCTCTGATCCTTGAAAACCTCGTGACTTCTGGTAGACAAAAAACAACTGGTTTGACAAGACAAAAATTTTAATGGATCAATACAAGTTGTATAAGAGACATGTTCTTGGCAAGGGTCACCATGCAGACGTATACAAGGGTTCTGATCTGTTAACAGGCCAAGATTTGGCCATCAAAGTAATCTATAAGACAGTGACGCGACGCCTAGGTTTTGTGAAAGAGGATCCTACGCAGCAGGCTAAAAACAGACGGCTGTTGAATGAGGCCTGGTTCATTGACTACTTGAAAGATGCAGTAAGTATCAGGTGTGTGTTTGCAATATGTCAGTCTGAATGGATTTGTCTTGAGTTATTTATTTATTTTAAATCGATATGATAGCCAGGTATCTGTAAGATGCTTCGCGTTGTCGAGACGGCAACAAAGTTCTATTTCGTGATGGAGCTTGCCCATTCAGACTTAAACTCATACTCAAATGGCACTAACATGCGTGAGGAAGAGATTCGTCATATTCTCAAACCCATTTTTGAGTGTCTCAAGCATGCTCATAGTCACAACGTCACTCATCGTGATATCAAGGTAAAGGCAGTTTGTGTTTACTTCTTGCTTTTCAACAATAAAATATATAAATAAACGCTGATCCTAGAGTTTAATTAATCCGCATAGCCAGAGAATATCTTACTGCGAATAAGAAAAGAATGGCTTCAAAATAATGATATCGCCACCCTCAGTTTAAACTCAAAGCCTAAAACCAAAGTCAACGGAAAACAAAAACCTACTACTCCTCAAGACCTTAGTAATGATATCCCACACATATTTAGTTCTAATGATGGATCTAGTATTCCAAGTAGCATGCTCGTTAATGGGAGCCCAAGCATGGATATAGAAAAAACATCAGATTCGACGGATTCTTCAACGTTGTATAACCAAAACCGCCGTTTTGACGCATTCTTAGCAGATTGGGGATTGGCCGTGGAGCATGATTGCAACAGTGGAAGAAAGCCTGTTGGAACACCATTGTATGCAGCACCAGAGGTCGTACGCAAAATGAAGAGAATTCGCCGCCGTGAATGGATCAACTACAGAGCCTGTGACATCTGGAGCTTGGGTGTGACCATGTTTGTCATGTAGGTTGTACAAGAGGCTTTTTTTTTTTTTTTTTTTTTTTTTTTTTAGAAAACTCACATTCTCCTGCTTTCATTTTTTTAAAAAGTGCTACTGGAAATTACCCATATCATATCCATGACGCAATCGAAGCCCAGTCTCCACCGAACTGGGCTGCGCTCGAAGCATCCGGCATGTCGCAGGAGTACATTACGCTCACTCAACAGTTAATGAATCTGACAGCTGAGTTGCGACCTTCCGCCGCAGAGGCATGCAATGATCCATGGCTCCAGGGTTAAAAAGTCTCTTTATATACCAGTCATACTCATTTACTCGCATTAATGATAATCTAGCATTGTACTTTTATTAAATATTTTAATTGGGGTGGTGTAAAAAATGCCATCCATCTATTGTCTTAAACGTGGCGCGCAATCTTTATTCCGTAATAAATTCTATGCCGGTGCTCATAATATTGAGCTCCAAAGCCCTTAAAGTCTCTTTTAGACCCAGGCGCAGCTACTCTGAATAGCTACATTTTCATGCCGGAATACGTCCACGAAGGTATTCCATTACGGCCTCAGTGCCTTGATCCATGATTTGACGTCTGGGCACTCTAAAAAGGTTTCCGTCGAGGCTCAGCGACTTGATACTCCTAACATTACCCAAGAGTGGAGGTAAAGTTCCAATCTCATTTCCAGACAAATCCAAGGACACGAGACCCTCAAATGATTTAGGATCAATGACTGCAATTTTGTTTCGGCTTCCATTTAAAGTCTTGAGTTTGGGGAAGGTCTTAGGTAGCCAGACTGGGAGCTCTGTTAATCTATTAGCTGACAAGTGGAGCTCGTTCAAGTTCGGGAAATTGTTGAGTCCGATCACCTCAGCAGAGTCAGCGGCGGTCATTGTACTCAGGGATGTGATAAGATTGTCTGAAAGGTCAAGTTTGATCAATAATGGAAAGGAAAGTGCAAATGGGAATTCCGCGATCTTGTTGTGGTTGATGCTGATTTGGGTCAATGTGCGTCCTACAACCTCTTGCAATGTCTTTGGGAAGAAAGTAAGAGCATTAAAATCCAAGTTGGCAGTCTGGGGATCAGAGCAAGCCTCTTGAATTTCACCAACTGATAGTTCTTTAAGTGCTTTTTTCGCAAGGTTCAGATTCTGAATTGGTTTCTTGGATGCCGGCGTCGCAACAGCATGAGAAGAGGCTGCTTTTGTGGAGGATAAATGCGACGGCGCTGAGGCGGAGGATATCGCTTCTTTTCCATCATGCGACGAAGAGATAGCCATTGACTCTACCCGAACAGCATTAGCTAATTAGGAAATTAAGATAAGATTAGTACACAAGCCTTTTTTTTGTGAGTATGATGGGATAAAAATAAGATATTAGTTTTAGCGCACAAATAGGACAGAATCATACCAGATAATGAAGCCTCCGTTTCCTGACGCTGTTTTAAGAGCTTCATCAGAGCCTCCGTGGTAGTAACGTTGCGCGGCACATTGCGAGTAGGGTTATGCTCCCAAATGAATGTAGTAAGATCAACCATGCTTCCTAGCTCCGAAGGCACATGCTCCATCCTATTACCAGCCATGTCGAGGTGGCGTAAATCCGTGAGATCAAGAACGCCCTCAGGGATTGTAGTGAAGTTATTTGCCCGAACGTCCAGATGATATAGCTGAGGGGTTCCCATAAGAAGGTTTTCGATGCTACTCAGCATGTTCTGCGAAAGCATCAATTCCTTGAGGACAGGAATCTGGATTTTTGGCTTTGTAGCATTGTTCACATCGGTACCAATGTCTGTGATCCTTTCAATACATGAATTCCTTGCGTCCAATCTGGTTAGTGAGGGGAGGAGAATATCGTTTCCAACAGGTAATTGCTCAAAACCTGAAAAAAGGGTCGAAAGCTTGTTATCTAAAATCTCTAATTCCGTCAGCTTTGGCATTTGTGTCAAAATGTTGATAGGCAGGCGCTTCAAGTTGTTTTTGGACAAGTGCAACTTGCGGATAGCTTTCAATTTAGAAAGTTCTTGTGGGAGTTCTGTCAATTTGTTGCCAGTTAAATCCAGTATTTCAAGGTGAGAAAGGTTCCCTATGTCACTATTCAACGCTCCTGAGAGTTGATTGTTGGCGAGATGCAAGGTAACAAGTGTTGAGAGCGTGAAAATCACCGGCGGAATCACTTCAAACTTGTTGGACGACAGATTGAGGTTGACTAACCGCTTAAGCTCGCCAAATTCATCTGGTAATGTTGTCAACTGGTTCGTCCGAAACTATTCAAGAATGATCGGAAATAGTCAAAACATGTTCCTGAACCACGCTTTTTTTTTTTTTTTTTTTTTTTTTTTTTGGCGACGGATAAATATTGAATATGACTTCTACCTAATACTTACATCTACAGTAACCAACGCTCCGAACTCTCGGATTCGGGTGTCAATAAAAGTAATTTTGTTGTCAGCGGCAATTAGGCGTGTTAAATCCACGGCATTGTACCAAGCATCACCAGACGAGCTGAAGTCGACAACAACCGTGTCCGGATCGACATGATACATATTCCAAATCTCTAGTGGGACTTCTGTAAGATCTCGACTAGATAAATTCATAATACCTATAATAAGAATTGTGACGTCGTCATGGTACTATGATAAGCAAGTGTATCAAAAAATGTAAAAGAAAAAAAAAATGAAGACTTTCGTACCAGTCCCTTTGGCATTAGCAATCAGACTTCTAATTGACTTTTGTGTATGCCCCAGGATTTCCACATCTGTCTGGCTTCTTGGAGGTGGAGCTGTCCTCTTAACACCAGGGACACCAGAACTCACGAATGCTTGACGTTCATCTTCGGCTCCCCCGCGGATAGCTTTTGATTTTGCAAGTTCAGCTCGGGCAGCGGCGATGGCTTCACGTACTGAAGGTCGGGACATGACAAAGTTTAATAGATATTCAATCTAATAGTAAACTGTTCAAGAGATTGTGAATGGAACAAGAAGGCAATGAAGCAGATTGAGAAAATGAAGAGAATGAAGAGAATGAAGAGAATGAAGAGAAAAAATAGCCGTCTCCTTAAGCCCAAAATCTTTGTCTTACAAAAATTCTTGTCACACAAACACGCTCCTCTTGGTTCCATGCTCCCTATTTTTTTGTCTTTCTGAATAAGAGTAGGGAGTAGGGCAAATTTTAGTATGATAAACTGTATTTGAGAAATGTCCTTACCACCAAGTATTGGTTCTTAATGTTAATTAATGCAAAGCAATCGGACCTCGGTCGGACTGATAGGTAAAGCTCGTTTCTTTTAAATAGTGTCGCGGTCAACTAAAAGGGATTCGGACAGGGGACATGATGCTGTGCGAGACGTCTATTTTTATTTTACCTTCTATCTTCTAGACAAGCGTATCTGTCATGTGACGCCAATAAATTTCCCCAAAATCATCTCTTTCACGCAGTGAAAGGTAGTGTAGTTCACTACCAGGGAGCGGGTCTGGAGTTGGCTTTCGCTGGACTATTGTGGCTTAAAATATTTACTAATGAATGTATTTAAAGAAATTGGATTTTTCTTTTTCTTTTCTTTATCAGTGCCTCAAGTAGAACACGATAGTCGTTACCATGACTATTTGATATTGGATATGAGTGCAAAGAGTGAATTTAACCGAGCACTGAGCACGTCCATTGAAAGACGTCTTGCCGATTCCTGGCATGCTCTGCCTCTGGCGTTGTGGGATTGATATATCCTTGCTCGCTCTATATTTTTTTTTTCTCATCACAATAACAAAGCAAATCAGATGAATTCAGATCGAATAATAGTTTAAATCTGATCAGATCAGATCAGACTTTGATTTAATTGAGCGAGCTCCATGAGTTTTTATTTTCATTGTTGTTTGACTTCTGATCAAACTTGCGGAACTGTCGTACAAGAGCTGGATTGATCCGAATTAATTTCTTCTCTTCTCCAACCCTAAGCAAAGCGCCATGTTGGACGAGTCGTTCTATCCGCTGGATGAGCCATTGTTTCATTTCCACAGGCTGCTCCTTAGCTGATTCAGCGATTGAGCCAAAGTTCATTATTAGGGCGAGTAATGTCCCTTCTTTCCGCCCACAGCTTGATACTACAGGGGCGCTCGATCGAGCTGGTGATGGCAATGGCGGCATTAATGGTGCTGCTGCTGTTGGCTCATCCATCTCTGCACCTGGTAAAAATTCGAGCCATTCATATAACTCAAGAAAACTCTCCAAATCCTGGATCTTATCAGGCTTCCTGGCTCGATCCGAATCCTGCAAAAGTCTCAATTCGTCTAATCGACATCCAAAAATATCTGCGACAAACTTTCGACTTTGCTGATTCGTTAATATTTTCGCTCCTGAGCGTGTCCCAGGCAAAGCAACCCGTCTCCCAAGAATCGAAGGATCTTGAAATGAAAGTGGCATTGTGTCCGATTTATCAGGTATAAGCTCTTTGTTATCTATCAAAAGTTTGACCAGCGCCAGCGCCAGAGCATCACGATCAACCACGTCCATATTAGGCTTCATAAAGGGTCCTTTCAAAAGATGATGCAGAGATCTTACAGGAATAAGCTAGGAATTCGTGAAAAAAAAAAAAAAAAAAAAAAAAAATCACGAAATTATTATACAAAACATAAAAAAGTAAAAAAGTAAAGTTTGGAAGCAATGCCATTGCCTCAACGTACAACATACCGTTCCACGGGGAACACTGGTCAGCAAAAACTTTTTAGCATCAGTCGTCATTTGAATAGGGTCAGTCAATAGTGGCTGGTATCCATGCCTGAACTTTTGTACGAGAATGTTATCGTACATTCGTAAGCTTGTAAACGCATCCTGTGCAATACATCGGATCAGCTCGCGTGAGAGTTCAATACTTCCGTGAGATTCCCAATCCCATCTTCTTGGATCAATTAATGTTCCCGGCTCTTTTTGTTCTGACTGGGAGACTTGTCCATTTGAATTAATTCTTCCAGGTAAATAGATGTCATGAGGTTCACTAAACACGTCATGTAACATTCCGACATTGATAGAACCCACTCCTATCACTTTTGCCATCCAATGGATATCAAGGACATTTTTACAAGTGATTCCATACTGATCCTTGACGCGCATAGCATCTTCATAGGCTCCATATCCGAGCTTAGTGTATGTGACAGATTCCAAAAATGTTTTCAAAAGCGGGGGTATTAGATCTGGGTTGCGCCCGCCATTAGTGATATTATAAGTAGGGAGAATGAGTGATAGATGTTGATTGGCGATCTGGATGTAATGAATCAATCCTGTAGAGGAGCAGGCGAGGACATTAGATGCTATGGGGGATGGTTCCGTATTGAAATCTGACATGAACAACAGAGTGTTGAGAGAGTGCTGGACTAAATTTTTGAATCGAATCGAGGGAGGTGTTAGGCAGGTGCTCGCAAATTATTATCAATAGTCCAGTAATTTGTATGCGTAGCGTTTTTTTTTCAGTTTTTTGTCTACCTTGTTCACTTGTTGATGGGATAAAGACAGGAGGTTTGATCTGTAACATGGGGATTTCAGCCTTGCGTAGAAGGATGACGGCGGTATGTGGCGTGTTCCTAGTACTGCGCTGTGCAAAAAACGGGTTTTTGGGATCAGCTTTGATCTTGGTCCAGTTCCATGCATATCGTACAGAAACGGAGGCAAGCTCCGGAGAGAATGGACGAAGAGTCTTTTGTTGTTGTTGCCTGGGTTTATGGTAATGGCAGCAAGACTGAATCTGTGAATGCCGTGCTGGCAGAAGTTTCTGTGTCGTCCGAATGCCTCTTTTCCACATGTGTGTCTTTAATCCTGAATGCTTTGTTTTTGGTCCTGGCCCTGGTGGAGGTCAGTAAAGTAAATTATAGAATTATAGTCGATAGGAGTATTAGATCAAAGTGGCTTATTTACTTTGTCTCCTTTATTTGCTCGAACCATCGCTTTCAAGAATCTTCTAGCACTAATTGCAACAAGAATAGCACATGGCATCGCGGACACTGGTCGTTGACAATGGCGCGTCAACAATTAAGTGTGGGTATGCTGATGGAAATACGAGTTATAGAATAATTCCCAACAACATCACTCGATCCAAAACCGAGAGGAAAGCCTTCATAGGCGATCAGCTTGAGACTTGTAAAGACTTTTCAGGTCTCTACTATCGCCTACCCTTTGAGAAAGGTTTGCTCACCAACTGGGATGTTGAAAAACAAGTCTGGGACAGAATATTCACGGGAAAAGTTATGCCGGTATGTGAAGCTGAATATGTCTTTTTTAAAAATAACTGAGAGGAGACATTGATATTAAGCAGCTTGCCCGTATTTATATATATAGTGCGACCCATCATCAACAACCCTTTTGATCTCTGAACCAATATTGAATTTACCCAATATCGCTACAACGTATGATCAGCTTGTTTTTGAAGAATACGCCTTTCAGTCCTATACCCGTATGTCTGCGCCCCAGATGGCCATGTACAACGAGATTCCGAAATTATATGGACAAAAAATAGGCAGCGGCAAAAAGAGAGTTGATTGTGCGGTGGTTGTCGACTCTGGATACTCATTCACACATATTGTGCCATTCTGGAAAGGCAAACCGATTTTAGTGGGCATTCGGAGGATCAACGTAGGGGGCAAGTTGCTGACGAATCACTTAAAGGAAATCATTTCCTTCCGATATTGGAATATGATGGATGAAACACATCTCGTGAATGAGGTCAAAGAAGCTTGCTGCTTTATATCCAACAACTTCTGGGAAGATCTGGACATTTGCAAGTAAGTCACAAGTACAGCTGGATGTAATGTGGGCTGTAAAGACAATATAAGAGGATAACATCCTAACTAAAAGTTTTAAACAATGAGCGACCAGGAAATCACCGCGTGCCAATAAAATCCTCCAGCATTATGTTCTGCCGGATTATTCATCACAGCAGACAGGATATATTAAGGGCAAACGAGGAACTAAGAAAGTCAAAAGTAAGAAAACTTCAAGCAAAATGGATATCGACATTGATCAGACCGAACCTGAGGAACTTGGAAAGGACGAAGAAGTAGAAAACAAAGAGTCTAGTGGTGATGAATATGATAACGACATTGAAATGACGACGCCTGATGATGATGAGCAAGTTTTGACCATGAACAATGAGCGGTTCACGGTACCGGAAATTCTTTTCCATCCATCGGATATTGGCATGGAGCAAGCAGGCATTCCTGAGGCTGTCGTAGATGCTGTTTCTTCATGCGATGAAGGTATACATAATGTCTGTTTTTATAACTTGATCATAAAGACGACAGGACAGGTTTCGTGTATTTCATGAGAATTCATGATCCTATTTTAACACAATTACATAGAAATCCAAGGTATGCTTTATGCCAATGTGGTACTCATTGGTGGTAATGCCCGGCTGCCGGGTTTTAGGAGACGGGTAGCAAATGATCTTCGCCAACTAGCTCCATCAGAATACGAGGTTAGAGTTGGCATTGACAGTGAGTAAGTACTGTGGTATTTCTGTTGGAGATTGGTCTTTTGACTTGACTGTCTATGAGAATTAATATATGATATTGATTCTTCTTATATAGTCCTCTTGGATATGGATGGAGAGGTGCAGTGCGACTTGCCACGATGGATGAGTTTGCGAGTGAGTTTAAGAGTAGGCTGGTCACCAGAGCCGAATACTTGGAATCAGGGAGCACCCTTTGCGAGTCACGGTTTCGTTCTGGAGTATAACTCAATCCTGGTCCATTAGATAATCTCGAATCAAATGTAAAATAATCAATTTTTGTAAAATAAACATGCTTCAGCTTTGCATCCTGGGTTTTTATACTTCCATGTAAAAAAAAAAAATAAAACAAAATAAATTAAAATAAATAGAAAAAAAAAATCTGTCGGGTTCTAGATACCATTAGATAATGTCAGGTCCAGCGGCATGAAAGATTTTTTTAATATGCTGCTATTCGATATTCCACAATGTCCTGATCAATGTCTCTCCCTTGCTGAATCATAAAAACTGACGACCGTTTTTATCAGAAAGGGAAAAGAAGAAAGAAGAAAGAAGAAAGAATGACTTCTGATATTTAAACAGACCAATGGTCTGGTTTGAAAGCTTCCCTGCAAACACTCTTTAGCGATCGCAATCCCAACGACCTCCTCGACCTAAGTTGTTTTTTTTTTGTTTATTACTATTCCATTTTGCCCGATAACCCCCAAATGTATTTTCAACGCGGAGCCTTTGCATTTTTTGACTATTTGCCTTATTACCATACCTTGTACCATTATCCCTATTATCTCAAATACCCTTCTCTCTCCAGAACTTTCAATCATTAAGACGCGATCCCTATTCTAGTCACACGCACTCTATTCTTTTTCTTTCAATCTACTAAACTTCATTGATACCCAAACACTCATATAATGGGATTTAGTAGAAAACAACCAGTCGCTGTCACACCAGCAGCCACTTCTGCTAGTATTACCATCATGGGTAACACCACTAATCCCTCCGCCATCACCGCTGCTTCACCCGCTCATCAACAATCCTCTATATCCCTCCTGAAACGTAAACCAGTTAAGAGATTGGTCAGTTCAAGCGCCAGTAACCACTCTATCACATCAACCTCAACTGGGTCAAGTCAAATAAGTAATCCCAATGACAGTAATAAGAAGAACAACGATAGAAGCAGCAGTAGTAGTAGTAGCAGTAGCACGTATTCGCAGTCAATTGCCAGAAAATCAAACCTTAAGATGACAGGACCCTCTTCGGGCCCAACCCTAAAAGGGGAGATAGTCTACCCGCAGGTCCAGAAAGGATATCCTTTGATGGACACAACTGGAATAGGGATGGGGATGGGGATGGTGATGGTGATGGGCGCTGAGCTCAATGATGAAGCGTTAAATACACCAAAGACGCCAAAAACTTTTCAACAATCACAAGAAGAGTTGTTTTCGAAACTGGAAGCATTAGCAGCGGCTAAGAATAAGTTGAGCTCGACAGATCACTCAGTACAATCAAGAGTATCATCGAGCAGCGTCGGTACTAGTCTTCAGCTTCCAAATCATGGCAGCAATAGGTTGCAAAAATCAGTGAATAATAGTACGAATAACCGAAGCAGGATGGGTTTAAATGGGAGCTCTTCAACATCTTCTTTGAGACAGGACATTCGTCATGTACCAACCAATCCTCCTTTTGGAAGCAGGTAGGTTAGCAAGGGCAGTGAAGTTCGTCATAATCATGTATTAAAAAAACCCTACTTTGATTACTTACACTACATGTCATGCCTCCAGCTCTCCCACGCCTGAGCGGCCTCGCGAGTAAGTTGACCAATCACATCGTGTCCAACATTTTCTAGGCCTCTATATTTCTACATTTTAGGTGATTGACGCGTTTTTTTGTGCAACATTTTTTAAAAAATTAGGCCCAGACGGCGGATCAACAGTGCTCAATTCAAGACACCGACAGTTGCAGAAATGGGGGAACTCGCACAGATCGTTGTTGCCAACGCTACACCCCCAAAACCTCAAAACAAACCTCGCAAACGGTACACCTTCTTTTATTCAAGATGATATCTTAATTTAAAGTAATGGCCCGTTGTTGTGCCGTATCCAACTTTTATATTAATTACCCTTTGTAATGCCATTTTTTTTTTTTTTTTTTTTTTTTAACTGGGAAAAAACTCAGGGCAAGCACGCTCACTTTAACAACTACAACTTTTGCGCCCCCGGGACAAGCGCTACCAAACACAACCACCGTAATAGCTGGAAGAGGAATCAATAATAATGAACGTGACTATCGCCAACTATACGAAGCGGCAGATAAGAATGCCAAAAGCTGGGAAAAGAGGTATTCTGTTGCCCAGCAACAGCTTAACTATGAACGAGAAAAATGGGAGGGTATGCTGCTATGATCATTATGGGATGATTTCGTCATTACTGGAGGCTACTGCTTATCATAGTCTATAATGGCGTACTTACTTTCATTAAGATTTTTTTTTTTTTTTTTCCGAAAAAAAAAAAAATTAGAAAAATATGCTGCTCTGGAGAAGGACTTCCGAGATCTGGAGAATAGCAAAGTCGAAGCCAATACTGAGAAAATGAATGTATTGCTTGATACAGTTCAACAACTTCAACTTGCAAATGAGGTCTTTCGGAAACAGCTTATGGACGCAGGCATTGAACCTGACCCTATGCCTGCAGCTAAGTTCCATCCTCAACTTTTGATGGTGAGCGAAGACCACGACCGCACATTCTTGGAAGAGAACGAGTTGATGAATGTGCGATCTTTGGAGACAAATCAAAAGATCGAACACCTGTCCAACGAGTTAAACGTACGTAAACTCTTTTTTTTTATATTTATTTTGTGTGGAGCGATGTAAGAGACAATCGTGACATTGGTAACGCTATTTTATTTTACTTTTTTTTTAGAATGTTGCTATCGCCATCTCTCAGACGATAAACTACGTGCAGTTGCGGTACTTGACTCAAATGCTAGATGTAGTTGAGCATGTCACTTCCCAGAAACGCGCCCGTGCCATGTCTAACAGTTTCCTTTCGGACATGTTGAGCCGAGGTGTGAAGAAGCCGAGCCCTTTGCAGTTAAAAAGCACTTGCTCCATCGCAACCCAAACGCCGCCTTCCTTTCAACAGCAGCTTATTCAGCAGCAACTGTTAGCGGCTGCGGAATGTGGCTCTGCTTCTTTTAGATCAATGGAGAGTAAGCTCAGTAAAAGTTATAGTTTCTCATCCAATCTCTTTAGCCTTGTAGGCTTGGCCAACAGTGGTGCTCTCGACGGCGGCCAGTATAGGCTTAAGGGCGGTGCTATAGGCGACCACCGGTCGCAATTGATCCGTCAGAGCATCTCCCCTATGGTCCTTGAGAGCCTCAGGGGTGATCCTGGGTCTCCAGACTTAATTGATACCCTTACAGCCAACAGAGCCGCCGTACCAATGCCAAAATTCCAGTATGCATCTCCAACATCATCTCAATTACGTATCTTTGTTCCAGAACCGAGTAAAGTACATGAGTACAGTGCGGCCTCAAGTATTGGGAGCATGTCTCGAGCCCGTAGTGGCACAGGGAGCAGTATTGAAAGCGGGGCCGCATCTCTGAAGCGATCTTCCTCTGATATCAGTCTGAATCGGTCGCAGTATCAACGTCACCGCCAACCGCAACAACAACAAGAACAAAAGAAGCAGCAACAGCAGTACCGTCTCGCTCGGGCTGGCATTAAGAATGCATGTGGTGTCGCACTCCAAACAATCGAGCCGCACAGATCTATAAGTCAACAATTCTTATCTCCAAATACGGCCCTCTTGTCCACGAATAATTAAACAATATATTTGGCAATGGAGTGTCATGAGCACCAAGTTGTATTATACATTCAAATATAAAAGTGATATTGTACTATAAAATTAGAGGATACAATGAATGCTATTACGAAAATTATAATAATACTATGATTTTTTTTTTCTTTGAGTGGAGATGATGGATGTAGGGAGATAAGTTTAGAGTGGAGAATGCATTCCGAGTTTGGTATTGAACTCGAGCTTAGCTAACTTTTGGGCGCGCACACATTCTTTCATATCACGCGCCTTGACGATTTCTTGGACAGGCATGAAAACCACTGGCCAGAAGAATGCAATGATATATATCCACCAAGGCACACTCTGAACGCTATTAGGGCCACGGAATACTGAAATAATACAGAACACAATTTGCAATAGCATGCTATAACAATCAGGGGTACAAATAAAAAAAGGAGAAGATTGTTTTAGAATGGGAGTGTTTTTTTTTTTTTTTTTTTTTTTTTTTTTTTTTTGGTGATCACGGCTGTTGTCATTGACTTTATCGTTCGCTTGAGCTTACCTTGCGGCACATGACCCTATCCAGACACGGTTCTTCCATGGCATAAAGGCACGCAATGAAAGTGTACGGCTCATGAAAGTGCTTGACATCCAGATCATATACCAGACCCAAATGACTAAAGTAAAATTCTGAGCATAGAGCAATGCCCACTGCTCGCCATCTGTCCATTCAAGCCAAGGCACCCCTTCTCCAAAACTATTGAACAGGAAATGATACCCTTCTTGGCCGTCATAGATTTGGAGCGAACTGGTCGTAAAAGAAGTAACGACAAGTGAGTTAGCAAGACTTGTAAAAAAAAATAAAGAACAAAAAAAAACAAAAACCAAAGGCATCTGCTCTCTATTGCGAATTAATCGACCTACTAAAGGAAAACGAACACACACATCCCGATAGGGAGAATAAACCGAGCAAGGAAGTATACAATAAAACGAGATAGATCTTTCAGTGGTGAGGTATTTTTGCCTAGTAATGAACAAAGATCAAATAGTCAAAGGCATTTTCACGGAAAACAATATACGACAATATCATTGTCTTGATATGCATGTCATTTGTAAACGACAAATAGGCTTGACTCACTTGGCATCATTGTCATAGTATCCGGCTCATGAGGCGAAAAGAAGAATGACAAAATTATAAGTGGCACAATGATCCACATCAACCACAGAATCTGGTAACCCGTCATAGCAGGCGGTAACAGAAAGCAGTACGACACGAGCAATAATAGTGAAATGGACATGAACGAAGCGATCATGAAAACTACCCCCTACAGCACATAGGCAAAGAATAAATGGTTCAGTAAAGTCCATATATTCGTAAGTGTTCGAGTGATAATTTAAGAGATATATTCAAAAGAGCTGTCCATACCTGTCGCTGTGAGTTGAGCAACCGACGAGCCTCTCTAATGACTTGCGTCAAGGCATACAAACTCGTCTCACTATGCATAGTCAATCCACACGGTAGGCTGTTAATCTTGGCACCCAAGGAAAATGCTGATCTGGACTCTGGGCTGGAGCCCATCCTAAAAGGCTCCATTCCTACACTGATGTCTGCCTACGATATTCACGAAAGTCGCGCATGCATTTATAAGGTTGCCAATTCTCAGAAATATCTAACTTTTGCATTTCCAATTAAGGATGAGTACTTCAATTACCTTTGCAAACGCAGCAATATTATCGATGTTGAGCGAGCTACCAATGCAGCATACGACTTCGCCATAGTCTTGGAAGATCTTAATCATCTCAGTTGCAGCATGCGGCCCACATTCTGCAAACAGAGATACGTGAAGCGGGATATCATCCACAGACTCCAAATGAGGTCGAATGTTCTCAATGCCTCTAGGAAGCTGAGCCTTAATATCGTACGACTCTAAATAGCCGGTATTGGCGCCATATGGATCTGACGCTGAAGACAATAAGATACAACTATTCCAGTCAGTTTCCAGCCCAAGTCGATCAGCAAAGGCTTTGCTCTCACGTTCACTCGCAGGTGAGAAGTAGACGAAGCGAATCCCTGCTAGTCCCAAGTCCTCAATAAAGTCGCAAACATTCTGTTATATTGCAACAAAAGGGAAATAAGTAAACAAATACCTCTGACACGTCTAACTTTACAACCTTTAACAGATGCATGGGGGGTAAAGAGGCTTACAGTCTTTGGTTGATGAGCAAGGGTGGTCATTCCCAAAAAAATTTGTCCCTGTACTGCTTCCTCATAGAACTCTTGTGTATTGACAGGAGCCTGCGTATCAAATTCATCTTGTATGTCTTCCGCGGCATCCAACTCACGAAGCTTACGCCATCTCTGCAACGGTCCTGTTTCAGATTTAGATGTAGCCATAGCAGAATCTTCAACTGGGGAACCAATATTTTGATCTTCTTCCTCATCACTGTCCCCACCTATATGAATCACAATATTGACGGGATCAGGTAAACTATTGATGTCGATTCTTTTTCCATCAAGTAGCGCTTTGGAATTCAGAGGTGTTTCAAGAATCTCGTCGATCCCTTCGTGTTTTTCGTTTTCTCTCGATAAGAGTGCGTTGTTAACAGGCAGCTTCTCGCTGAGTTTATCTTCTGCTTCCGGTATAATCCGAGGAGGAAGAGTAATGAATCCTGTAGTTGTAGGGTCAAAACCGAGATCTTCCTTGTCCTTTTCAAACGAGATGGGACGGTACGCGTATGCCACACACTGTAAATCGTTCACCACAGCTGTCTGGTAAAAGTCCGATATTTTCTTGAGCATCTATGGATTGAGAGGTTAAA